GGGGGAGAGCACTGTCCCCTGTGGAGCCCCCGTGCTGCAGACCACCATGTCCGATACACAGTTCTGAAGCCTCACAAACTGTGGTCTGTCGGTGAGGTAGTCCACGGTCCATGCGGCTAGGTGACAGTCCACTCCCGCCCGCTCGAGCTTCCCCCTGAGCAGTGAAGGCTGGATGGTGTTGAACGCACTGGAGAAGTCAAAAAACATGACCCTCACAGTGCTGCCAGTGTTCTCTAGGTGAGCCATGGACCTCTGCAGCAGGTAGATGACTGCGTCATCCACCCCGATGTTCGGCTGGTACGCAAACTGCAGAGGATCCAGATGAGAGCTCACCAGGGGGCGGAGGTTCCTCAGTACGATCCTCTCCAGAGTCTTCATCAGGTGAGAGGTGAGGGCCACAGGTCTGAAGTGGTTGGGCTCCCTAGGGTGCGCTGTCTTGGGGACAGGAATCACGCAGGAAGTCTTCCACAGTGTTGGGACCCTCTCCAGACTCAGGCTCAAGCTGAAGATGTGCAGTAGCACCTCACAGAGCTGGTCTGCACAGTCTTTCAGGAGTCTGGGGCTGATGCCGTCAGGACCCGTGGCTTTCCTTGGCTTCATCTTCCTCAGCTCACTTCTCACCTGGTCAGCTGTTATGGAGAGGCTGGGGGTGGTGCTGGAGGGGGTGGTGGAGGATGAGTGGAGGGGGGTTGATGGTGTCGGTGCCATGGGACTGAGGTGGTGTGAATAAGAATAAGAAGAAGGAGGAGCAGCAGACGGGTCGTTGGTTAGATGAGTCGGGGGAGGAGTGGGAGTAATGCTCTCAGTTGTCCGTTGTGTGATTATACTCAGGGATCACCCTGACACAGCAGGCAGGCCCCTCGCTGAGCCAACAATGCTGATCTGTGAGCCAAGATGACTCCACACGGGTCAACTGAATGTCAGTTAGATTAAGTGTCAAGTAAAGGGTGAGTGTGGGCTTGTTTTTGTGTGTTTGTCTTCAAAGACGGTACAAAAGAGTTTGGTTTAACTGTGTAAAAGCTAAGTTTATTGGCATTAGTACCCAGCTATTAATTTCAGCAATCTGTTTTTTTACTACAACACATCTGTTTTTGCTAAGAGATCCCCCTTCATTAGGATAAAACAATTATTCAAATAAAACTGCACAAACCCTATCATCTGAGGTCATGGTGTTACTGTTACCACTACAGTGCCGGGCGTTTTAATCCTTTAAAAGCAAAAAACTTAATCCAAGTGTTAAAAGGGCAGCCTCTTTACCAAAACTAAAAGCATATCCTTTTAATCTGCTATCATGGGTATCCAGTGGTCTGACCAAAAGAGGTCTTAGGCTGTATAAAAGTTGTATAAATTATGTGCTGTTAAATGTCTCTCTGCCAGCTTGGTACTGCAAGACCAACACCACAATAAATATTTTACGAACTTGTCAGTTAAATCTGTATTTCTAGGGGAGTTTACTAACTGAGTCAGACCAAAATGCTGCAGGATTCAGCTCAAGGAAGAACATTTATGATCATTTCTTTATCATTTCCTTGAAGTAATTGTCACCGTAATCATTTTGCACTGCAGACCTGGTAGTTCTTCTGCCTTAGCGTCTCGGTCTGATTGCATTTCCATGAAGAAATGATCATAAATGTTCTTCCTTGAGCTGTGTCACCCCGCTGCAGTCTGTAATGGACTGGCCTGAGGTCTCGCTACAAACAAGCGGCTGCTGGAAGAGAGTAGGTGAGTTGTGTTTAGTCTCTTTGCTAAAGAAATCAGGCAAAGTTAAAAAGATGTTTGGTGGCTAGTACTATGGCTGGGACCCTATATGTACTGTTGATGAAGTTAGATGTTGTTCTGAGCATTATTTGTGGCTATAGAGTGGCGTTTTGGATGAGGTTTGTGTGTGGCTTGGTGTTATGGTGTGTTTGACCCTAAATTAACTGTAAGTATAAATATCCCTTTAAGTAAGAGGGATAACTGAGTAAATCTGCAAAAAAGAGGTCTGTAGAGTGCTGCACGGAGGTGCAGGTGTTGGAATTGTTGCCCCACAGCAAGAAGGGTCCTGTGCAGAGTTTACATGCCCTCCCTGTCCATGCATGGCCTCTCTCTCTACTCTTACTCTCTATTAACCAGCATGTCTTAATATGTGAGTGTAAATGTTTATCTCTTTGTTAGCCCTGTCATAAGCCAGTAAAATCTTCTTTGCATAGTGTTTGCAGTCACACTGCAAACCCAAATGGAATGGGCGGTATAGATAACGAATGGAAGGTCCACAGATTTGTCTGGTTTAAGTTGGTCTTTTAAAGTCAGTGGGAGTCGGGAACATGGGAACAAAGGACTGAACAGTGACCTTAAGAACCAGCATTGTCCGTGCTGAAGCAATAAATGTCAAATTTATTCTTCGTATTGACTCTTACTTATTGATCCAAAACAAACTTATTGAATTTCCAAAAGCTCCAAAACTCTCAGTGGGACTCTTTTCAGCTTGTTTCAAAGACAGGATGAGAGATTATCAGAGTTCAGTGGAAATGACAGTCAGCACTGAGACTTATTATCAGAGTTCTTCACAGTTTCCTGAAGAGATGACATTTGGCACCAGCATCCAGTGAGTGATGAAATGTTTTCCAGTTGGACAAAGTGCATGTGGTTTGAATGGCTGTTGCCCCATGAAGAAAGAAAGCAGCTTTAAATACTATATCAATGCTTTTTTGGTTATAGATACATATATATTTCGAGGAGACTGGGGATGAAAACACTCTAAACACTTCTTAGCTCCTTGATTTTTTTTCTAAGTATTTTTTGGGGCAATTTTTGACTTTTAATGATAGTACAAGGTGAAATGTGGGGAGATAGAGATGTTATAAACTGTATGAGCTGATTTCAAAAACAGGGCTTTCCTTTATTACAACCAGCCCCACAAGCAGAGTGGGTTGTTTTGACCCAGAAGTGTGTGTAAATCTGAATGGGTGCATAAACTAATCTACACGAACAAACTTTCTTGACTATTTACATGCAAAATGAGTACAATGTGAATGTATTCAAATAACTACATAGCTGTAAAAGGTCAAATGTTAGATAATGATAATCTCAGACCAGGAATGTTAAGTCACAGTGAGTGTGTATTAGTATGCTGTTAACAGCATAAAACCACCAAGTTTGGCAGTGTGCAGTACATACTGTTTGAGTATTTAGTAGGTAGTGATTAAGTAGTAGTAGTCAATGAGAACAATAGAGAACTGTGAAACATGTTAATGTTAGTCATTTACTGAGAGGCTTTTTTCCAACAACAGCAGGTACACCTTTGTCAGTCTCTAAGAATCTGAACTACAATTTAATCCAATATAAGTCATATGGATTTATTGGCAATAATAAGAGTTCAAAATAAAGTATAGTCCCGATCAAAAAATGTACTTGTACCTTATCATTAGTTTTAATTTCTTTGAAGAAACAAGAGGCAGTTGTTGAAAGCCACAAAAATCCCAAAGTGGATTTGGGAAGGGAACAGGTAAACACTGATCATGAGACGTCTATGTTATCCCTGATTAGTGGAAATGAGGGCGTTACAACTCTCCCCATGTTACAGCCATCCCTGGTCTCCCCTACTAGATGGATAACATGCTGCACTGCTGCTGATCCTCTTTACTAGATTATTCCTGTACTCAAAAATAGCCGATGACTCCACACAAAATTACACTCCCTTGGGCAAAGTACATTTCTAGACAAGGTGTCCATTATTGCATTTGGATGATGTGCTGACTCTGTAAAAACTTGAGCCCCTTGAAGGATGTTATGCAGTGGTCACTTGGTGAACAAAAAAGTTTCACCATTATGTTGTGTTGCCATACTTTCAAGCAAAACAAAGTTTTTAACAAGCTGTGTAACTGTGTGTTCTCTGGTAACCCCTAAGGGTCTGACTCACAGCTAAAATCCTCATTCAACAGGGTGTCAATAAAAAGGAAATATTGTTCAAAACTGAAGTACACAGAAGCTGTCTTAGCCACTACTTAACAACGGGTGAGGTTTGTACTCTGTAGGCAGTTTATAGAGGCTTTACTGCTGTAAGATAGATGTTCCTGTAGACCTACAAGCAGAGTCTTATGAGTTAAAAATGAAAGATGCTCAAAGGGTTTGATTTCCTGTCCCCCCAATCTGTGTGAATGGGATTACTTATTACTGGTGGGTGCTGCGCGTACCCAGTAGCTTCTACCAGTGGTGAATGAGTGGGTGATTGTGGCATGTAATATCAAAGCGCTGAGTGCTCAGAGGACTTGTGAGGTGCTTTATAAACACAGTCGATTCGAATGAAAACCCCTTACTTCCCAAACAGAGCTCGGACCATCTAACTTGATTTATCGCTTTCTTGACGGGGGGAAATGTGTGCCTGGAGACAAATCATGTGGTTGCTGTTATTGTCCAAAGTGTAAATCTATCTGATGATGGCTGCACGCTGGGCTCCAAATCACCTGCTGTTCCATCTCACCATGCAGTAACACAGTGACTGAGAGCGCTGTCAAATACACGCACTTAGTCTTCATCAGTACAGGGCAAGGCTGTGTGTGCACCAACAGCTTCTGTATGAGGTTGTCCACTTCCCCTACCTGTAATATTTGTGCTCCGTGAATGAAGTTTTTACTAATTTTTTTACTGGTAATTATGTGACAAAAAAATGGGTTTTATGCTGTGAGTATCCCCCTCTGCAGGGTGGAGGAATAACCAGTTCTTGGAGACTTGGTGGACGGTGATTGCAATTGATTTCTAGCTGAGGTGATGCTGCTCCACATCAACACAGGTGCAAACTCAGTGTGAACGCTGTGATCCAGGCTGCTGTGTCATCTACTCTCTGTCTGTGTGACCTTACATGCTCTCTTTTCACAGTGCTGCTCGCCATTATTTTCCTATCCGTCATCCTTGAGGTGAAAGTGAATATATGGAATAGAAAACACAATCATAATCATAACAATAGTTAGACTAGAATTTGCACAGTCAATGGGGTTGACTTCATTGCTCAAGTTTCCTAGTTGGCGATTTTTGATTTTCTTTTCTGGGTATTTGTCGGTCATCATTCATTTTCTTTCCATCGTTTTATAGGTCAGAATCAGAGTAAGAATAAGTATGTTGGTCAATTACGTGTACATGAGAAATCTGACTCAAGTTTGTTGGACTCATACAAAAATAGACAATACAATAATGGAAGTACATAGGATGATAAAATAAATAAACCTATTAAATGTCAAATATTTTAAAAAGTCACATTTTCTATTTATTCACTGACAGTATTTGCCGTCTCCTTTGCTGTCATGCTACACTGGTAATGGAGAGTGGAAGTGTGTGTGCAGATATCTGTGTGTGTGTGTGTGTGTGTATGAGTGCGTGATTTACTGCAGTGTGATGTAATCAGCTGCACTGTTCGTCTTATCATACTCACTTTAGTTGATGGACTTTGTAGTTGGACTATTTATAGATTTCATTGGTTGTTGTGAGTTCAGTTTGACAGAATGGTGATACTGTCTTTACTCTTTATCTAAAAGTATCTTGCTCTTACCATCAGCTTTTAGTAAAAACAGAGCAAATAGGGACAACCATAGACTGCATGCATGTCACTTTAACATCTAATTTCATTCATCAGCATCAAGTTTGTATTATATGTTCTACCAGTCAGTTATAAACGTGATGGCATATTAAAGTATTAAATTTTTTTGTAGTTAATCAATAATCATTCATTCACTTAATAAAACAAAGTTCTTTCACACACTTTAATCTTTGTTTTTTTGTCAGCATAGGGGGAAAAAAAAGTCAAAAAGCTTCCACCATCTTTAGTTTTTCATTATTTCAGCCTATACAGTTGCAATAAAACTGCTGAGGAAATAAATATATTTTTCCAACTCCACAGACTTGGGCAGTAATTTGAAGAGTGTTTTGCCCATCTGAGAGATGTAGTTTCATTATGCTCACTCTGTCTCTCAGGTTTGCTCCATTGATGTTTTTAGTGGCAAAATATTTTGTCTTTTTTAATCAGCTTGTTGCTAATTTTGGGTTTGTCCCAGTTTGTGCCAGCTGTGTCAGAGCTGACACTCTGAAAAATGACGTCTATTTGAGACAGGTACTCAGATTATTCACATAACAAATATGAGGGCTGTAAAACTGAAACAAATGTCGTACAACTCCCCAACCTCTTGAGCTGGAACGCTGTGTAGACTATTGATTTAAAAAAAAAAAATGCTCGTTTCAAATGTAAAATGTGTACCATTGTGCTGCATCACCTCTTCTTTAACAGCAATCTGAAAATGTTCAGGAGCTGAGGAAAAAGCTTCAGGAGTTATGAAAACTAAATGATATATGATTTCATTTACACAACTGTTTGGAGTTCCTTTGTCATGTATTTTGTGTCTTGATGTACCAAATGTTTTCATTTCATAAAAAATCTGCAGGCAGGCACGTTTAAAACCCAGACTCTCCTCCTCCAGAGCCATGGTGTTGTAATACGTCCACAATACACAAAATTACAGAACCACATCTTTGCTCTACTTTCAATTAAATATAGTCCTAAAATGACTTCTAAAGCTTCAAATCCTGTTTCTACACACAGCATCCTAACTCTTTTAGGATTGGGATTGTGCATTGGTCCAAACTACTACTTTTCCTAAGGTTTCTCTATGTCTTTGTCTGTGTTTAACCTGAAGCTCTTTCATCTTTTCATCTTTTCTGTCCATTTGTATGGAGATACAGACAGAGACATTGTTGAACAGTGTAGCCAACAGTTTAAGCCAGACCAGTAAAATACATGAAAAGAGTATGATGTATACAATATATAATTTAGGCAGCAAATCTTAAAAAAACAAAAACAAAATGATAATTATTTGAAAATTATTATTTTTTAAGTGGGAGCTTCCTGCCCATGGTTGTTCCTAGTCCAATAAAAGCCCATTATTACTTTAAAAAAAAGTAGAGGTGATTGACTTTCAGTGGGAGAAACTGCAGCACAGTGTGGGATGATACTGTTGGTCAGATATCTGCTATATAAAGGGTCATGTTTAAAGCTGCAGTACACTTAATTTTCTTCTAATTAAAACTTAAATCTACGCCGGTGTTTGACCCACAAAGCAGGCCTTTTGGGAAGGAGAAAAGAGGAGAGAGAATCACTCTGATTGGAAATGGCCAATTAGGAGAAAATGCTTTGCAAAGGAACCCTGAAGTCGAATGGCAAAGTGTTCTCCTGTGTCCTGAGTGCGGGGCTAATGCCACACCATCTACTGTACTGCTGGTACAGAGAAGGTGAATCATCTCATTAAGTCAATGACACCATTATCAGTGGTGTGTTTTAGAGTGACATCGTAATACAATGAAGTCTCAAATATCTCCAACTGCTCCCTTATGTAAAATGATTCAAATCGACCTCTAAACGAGCAAAAAGGTTTGACTTTGACAACCAACGCCGCGCGTGTCTAAATCCAGGTGTTCAAATTTGGATGGCAGAGATTGTTCCTGTTGGTAACGCCCTTGTGCAGATGGATGAGACCTGTGCCTGGACAGCTGGCAAGAGTAATACTTAACTAAAATTAGACAAGGGAGGCAAGAACGGGATAAAAATAGGATGAAGCAGAGCTATTTCTGTTTCATTTCCTCATTTGTATTCTGACACATCATTATTTGAAGCCCTTATTTCTTCTTGTTTTGGCAGTCAGGTCATTGGCATCATTACTCAAAGTATCATCCAAGACTCATCTTTTCATCAGCTCTCGTCAGTTTTAACATCTTTTATATCCTTTCTTTGAAAATCTGCTGCAGGGACTGCGAGAATACATTCCTATTACTAATGGTGAGCTGTGCTGAAGCTAAGAATTGCATTTTTTATCTGGCTAATCTCTTCTGAAATATTTCTAATCAAACTTCATACAGGCCATATTCATTTGACAAGACCAGATCAACACCTATTTTCACGCTAGATGGGCCAAAAAAAATATCAGGGGGGGGTCTCAGATTTTATTTATATCCTCACTCAGCAACTATTACATTGCGATAAGCCCTTTCCACACTGATGTTCAAACCAAAGTGCAATCTTAAAACTTATCTGACACTGTTACCTCATACTGACACAATAAACCCAACGATGACAAATTCTAAGTATGAATTTACATTGTGTTGTATCATATGTAAATAGACAACACACATGCAGCACTGCTGACATATATATGAACTCCATTTTGCCAATGTCTCTGTCACTACTTTAGGTGAAGGCCTCAGTGACATTTATGATGCACTGACATGGAGATGTAAAATAATTTTAGTCTAGTTTGTCTTTCTATGGGCCCTAACAGGTTATTGACTACCCGGTCTTGTTAATAGTCTTCTAACTCATATCAATCAGACATAATCTATCAGACTTTATTTGTAAGAATAAAAACAGGAGCCAAAAAACATCTTATGTGAAAACACTGGCAATAGGATAAAATGTTAACACTCAAGATTGGATGATGAAAACAATAAAATAGAGGTAACAACTAAGGTTGAAAAATTACAACTTGAAAGGTGACTAGTAAAATTATATTAAAACAGAGTAAAATTGCAGAGTCAATAAAAAAGGAGAATATTTAGTATAAGAAATAAAATTCAGTGAAAAGCTAGACTGAAGCAGGTCTTTAGTTTGTTTTTAAAAATATGGGTTAGGGGTTATGGTTAGATATGGGTTCATTTTCTGAAGGACTCAGTATGTTGGTCATATAGTTTTGAACAAATTGTTTGATTGAAATACTTCTGAAAATATTGAGTATCCTCCGTGCCCACTGTGCCTCCATACACTCGAGTATGTCAGGTTTCAGTACTGACAGTTTCCATTTTTAGCAATGAGAGAGGAAGCACTTTGGTGACCTCAGCTCCACATTTCTGCAGCATACCCCAGGGGTGCAGCTGGCAGGCAGGGATTGGACTCAGCTGGTGATGCTGGAGTCTGTTTAGGTGGGAGGTTGTGTTGTGAGGCCGGATGCGTGAGGCACCCAGGCCAAGATGGCTGTGATTTCCAGTGCCTAAGGCCGGGATTGCCCCTCAGTGCTTGCCTCCTGTTTGAGACTGCCTGTGTAAATGTGCTGTTGTTTCTCAATACTAATCCCTCAAAATGAAAACAGCACAAAAAAGAAGGACATTAGTAAACGTGGGTCGCAGATGTGGGTTAAACAAGCTGAACTGACTCAAAAACTTAAAGCCTAAGACTAGCAATATGTTTGATCAACAATACAAACAGTAACTTATCCCCAATTTCCACTGCATACGGAACAGCTACGAAAAGGCCGTATCTGCCAATCATAGCCATTCAAGTCAATGTGTCAATTTCCACCGGCTTCTTTCTGTTCCGCTGCGGATCGCTGGACTCCCCAGCTGATCGCAGGAGTTCTATTTTTTACGGATGCTGGAGCATGCCGGATAGATTTAGCAGAGATTAACCCGTGCTGTGAAGGAAGTTTGGCACGGACACAAAATAAAACATCCGTCTTCTTTTCAAAATAAAACACTTTGCGTTTCAGGCGGATCGTATTTCACACCATGCAAAGGTGCGGGGACGAACAAGTGAAAGGTTTTTAGATGTTATTTCACCTGATGACACCATGCATGAGAGGATGCTGATTTTAGAAGTCTAGAAGTAGATTTCCTCCTCTGGAAGACCACGATCTACTGCTTATAAGGTTAGCCTATGTGGCTAAAGACAACTTGTTGATTATCTAAAGGCAGTTCTGAAAATCCTACTTTACTCCCTTTTAATTAATTTCAAAAAGAAATATAATTGATAATAAAAGAGGACAAAGATTTTCAGACTTCCAAGTTGTGCACTCTGAGGCAGAGAGGCAGAGGCTGAAATAGAAAGGCTGGTTTAGTCAATATCCAAATGAATGCAGACCATCACATAAACTTACGGTTATGGAAATATTCTCTTATTCATGGTTTAAGAATTTCTCCTGTGGATGAAGGTCAAAGAAGCAGTGAATCTCCCCAAAGAGCCTCATCTGGGCTTTCCTTAACACTTAAACAGTAAAGGGAAAATAAACTCTGATGGATGGGAATGAGGAAAGTTCTCAAAAATCAACCGTCCACATCTCAATCGTATGTCCCGTGTTCTCTTCATAATAGTCCACTGCTGGTCGTTAACCTCAGGCAATCAGCTGCACCATCTCAGCTGAAAATCCGCTTGCTTACTGCAAACTACTTTCCAGTCGAAATGTCTTAGTTTGGCTGTAATGGGCTCCTCCTCATTTTATGGGCTCTTATGTTCTTCACCACATTGCCCTTTTCACACACAATTACCTCCTCAGCTCCTTTTCAGGCTCATTAGCAGGACTCACAGGCTTAACCCGCCCTAAAAGCAGGGGCTTCGAGGGATATGACGAGTTCTTCAGCTTCAAGAGGAGGATCATTTAGCTCATCCAAAACTTTGGAACTGTGAAGTCATTAAAGTTCAAAAATAGAAGCTCAAATGAGCCCACGTTTTGTTGTGGTAAACTTTTGGAGAATTAAAAAGAGTCAGTGAAGAAATTTGACTTTGACATTTACCACCTCATACTAACATTATTTCTGCTCATGGTACTCCATAGTATAAACACTTAAGATATATATAGCATATTCCTTTTAGTAACTATGCAGCAGATGATGATATTAAAGGCTATCATTGGAGGGAGGCTCAGAAAGAGTCTATTTCTATACCCAGCAAACGTCTACAAGTATAAATAGATATCAGAGCACAAGAACTATTCCCAGAATATGTCAAGTAAGGATAATGTCAGGTGTTGCTTTGCATAATCACCTGGTCATAATACATAATACATACATTATCATCCAGAGACTAGTTTAAGACAAGTCGACAAGTCGATGCAAATATTGATTGAAAGATACTTTTATTGACTTAAGGATTGTTTTGATCTAAAAAAAAACTAGTCTCTTTACTTTTACTTGTCCCTTTAATTTCACGGGTGACAGTTTTGGAATAAAATAACATCAAACTGAACAAATTATTCCAAAGTTAAGTTAAAACATCAGCCTGCTTATTTCTTATAATAAACAATAAACCAAACGGTACCATTAAAGGTACTATTAGACAGAATTAAACTTCAAAGAAACTAATGTCACAGCATTTTATTTCAATATTGTTGCTTTTATCAAAACAGCTTATGGTTTAAACTACTTTGTAGTGATTGGCTACTTAGAGATGGCTCTGTTGCCTGTGTTTGGGTTGCGAAACAGGATCCTGCTCCACTTTTCCCTTAAGATGACTGAAGTCCAGTTGCTGTTCATGCATCTTTAGCTGTGCCTGCAAACTGTCCTTATTACTTGATCCTTAAAGTCTGAAATAGAAACTCATGTTTTTGCTATAGTGTCAACAGGCGGTGAGTGGTGTTTGACTCCTTCACACCAATTGATTTGATATGCATGTGCTCAGGTTGTCCCTTTTGACTTCAGGTTTTGAACAATAGAATGAAGTATTTATCATAGCAAAGCACTAATAGAGATAAGGAAGAACAAGATCTTAGGACTGGGCGATTTGGCAAAAAAAATGATCATGATTTATTTTGTCATATCGTCTGATCTCTGTTATTATGACATTTTTTTTTTTAACTGCCAGTTTTAAAGCATCTGTACCAAACACTAACGAAACTAGTTTTATTCACAAACAAAGTAGGGCCCGACTGATTCAAACTCGCTGATTTTCATAGATATTTTCAGAAATAAAATGCGGAGAATAAGATTTGGTCTCACTTCCAAAATATTCTGCCATTTGAAAAGTTCCCCGACCTATCCTGTAGATGGCGCAGCAATCTCATGACAATCTTAATCCACTTACTCACAGCACAGCAGAGTGACGGATCTGAAGCAGAAATGCTGAAACGCTTTTCTGGTCTGAGTTTGATCAGTCAGTCTTCCTGTCGGCGTGAAGAGCAGTAGCCTTCAGTACATATAGTATACTGTGGATATCTACAGTATATATATATATATATATATATATATATATATACTGTAGATATCCACAGTATCTGTAGATCTGTTTTATCATTTGAAGAAGTATATATATATATATATATATATATATATATATATATATATACTTCTTCAAATGATAAAACAGATCTTTTGTGTTGTGTTTTTGAGGGCACCGACCACTGACATGCCTTGCACAATCTCTCGACGTCACTTTGGAGATACCCGAACCACCACACAACTGATGTTGGATAACTTTTCTTCTCAACAATGGCATCTTTGGAGGATGACTCAAAGTCATGACGCGTAGCTCCACGTTCGGTCAAAAGCACAACTCTGATTGGATGTTGTGACACACATTTCCGCCATGTCTGATCAAGTAAATATGTTCACAGCTGATCACCGTGATTGAACTGAAATTTATTACGATCATTAATTACGATCAGATTATCGCCCAGTCCTACTTTAACTGTATTTATGATAAAGTATCTAACCCTCTGCCTCATATGTTTCTGTAGCATTATTGGGTCAGCATCTTACTTCAAGCTGTACCCTCATGCAGTGAAGGCACAACCACATCACTCTGGAAAAATACAAGGCTTGATGACCCCCAGTGCAGAGCATAAAAGCCCACAATCAGCAAATTGGTCCTGCAAGTGTTTGTGGTGAAGCTGCCTTACAGCAATGTCACATTGCTGTGTGATATATGACATCTTAACCTCAGTTCTTGTTGGTTTATTTACACATAAATTGGGCCACTTGGCATCCGAGTCTTGTGGTTTACTCATTCATCTGCACATGCATGTTCAAGGGAAAAAAATTGCCCCAGGAATTTTTTGAATTAGGTAAGAATGATTGACACAGTGAATTTCACATCAAACGCTATACTGCCAGCAGCAACATGGCACTCTTTGAAGAAAAACGCTTTTCCAAATGGGTTGGCAGTGAACATGTGGAGCTTAACCCTGGGGGTTGGGCTTCTTGCTTGGCCTAAGGAGATGAATGGTTGTTTTTGAAGTTCCTAGAAATTAAGTGGGACATCACAATGGATGCATTACAATTCCAGATACATTGTTTTGAAAACTACTCTGGATTTTCTTATAGAACCACTTAAACAAAGAAAGATTTATTGGTGTTGAAGGAAAGTGTAAGTCAAGGGCTGTTTTCCTGAAGATTCTTAGTGCAAAGAGTTGCTCCTAGTGGCCAAATTCTAAGAAAACTCTCAAAATCATGATGTTTTCTTAGACTTTCCCCTAAAAGGGAAGAGTAGATTTGAGTAAAGATAAAAGCTATTCCTAAAGAATCCTAGCTCTTAAGAGAGCTCCTAAGGGGAGATCTGTTAATAGCAGGGAAGAGGACTTTTAAGGGGCTTAGGAGTTCCTAAAGCAGAGGACAAAATGGTGCACAGAAGAGGCAGGAGAGATATTCTTCAAACACTGGATGACAGTGAATCAATGAAACGCTACAGATTGGAACAAGCAGGAATCATGTTGATCTCATTAGAGATGCACTTACTTCTGCAACACAATGCCACAATGCAATACCACCCAATATGAAAACCAACCAACATCGCTTCTTATGGGCTGGTCAGCAATCACAGTCATTGATGAAAGCTGAGCCATTTTACCCTTGTTAACACCAAATTGAGTTCAAATGTTGAAAGTTGAAAATTCAAAAATTACCAGCATGGCAATTCATATAAGCAAATAAATGTGACTATCACTATAAATGTGACTAGGATAATTTTAAAGTATAGCTTACTATTCACTAAATTAACAGCCACAAAAACGTGGAATAATCTCCTTGTCGATGTTTGGCCCATATCCTCTTTTCAACTGTTTTCCAATATGTCAGAAACAGAAACAGGAACAACAGGGAACCCAAACACTGAGGAAAATACACAGAAAATACAACTAAATTACAAAACCAGGAAAAACTAAACTAACAAGAACCACCATGACACCAGCTGCACTTCTCTATCTCTTTATTCACTTTTACTGTAATTATCGCTGTCTGATTATTCCTAATATAGAATTTTAAATTTCAAATCAAAATATAAAAATGAAAATGAAACACACAAAATAGATACTAATCAAACAAGTTTAAAGAGGGTTAAAATGCACCAGTCACTCAAGTCTGGATAAATTATAAAGAAAGCAGAATTCTTACTCCATGTGGAGACAAAAATAGCATTGTGATGCAACTTCAGAGGAGATGACTTGACAAAAGCATTACACCGAACTGCAATTCAGAAAGAGATGAAATATTTAACAACACAAGTCTTAGTTGGCCTTTTGTTTGTGTTCTTAGCATGTAGAGCCTCTTCTTGGAGGGAAAAACCATCTGTTTGCTCAAAGTCTCCATGGATATGACAAAAGAATAGCCACAATTGATCATATACAGCTTGTAATACAGATGCTTTTAATCATGTCTCTCTCACAGCATCAGAACACCCATATCTAATTCAATACAATGTGTGTGTGTGTGTTTGTGCTTCTCTATATAGCTCCCAAGGTAAATCTGATAAAGTAAAGTTATGTTATCCTCATTCAGTCTCTTCATTCAGTATCCTTGCTGTCTGGCAAAACTTGAGTACTTCACTGAAGATGCCTCCAATGGGACTTGTGTAAGTAGGTTTGCCTATAGCAGTTTGGATCCCTGCTGATTAAATATGAACACATATCTTATTTCACTTCTTAATGTGTTCTCTTGTCTGTGTCAGTTGATTGTAGCTGTAACTTCGACTTTATAATTCAGTTTGACCAAAAGGAGAAGCAACACTGGCATCATTTGAAGAGGTGAAAAAGTCAGATGAACCTTTATGTGTAGCCTTTTTGGGCTGTAGGAAACAGTTTTCAATCAATCAATCAATCAATCCATCAATCAATCAATCAATCAATCAATCAATCAATCAATCAATCAATCAATCAATCAATCAATCAATCAATCAATCAATCAATCAATCAATCAATCAATCAATCTTTATTTTTAAGACACTTTTCATACATAGAATGTAGAACAAAGTGCTGTTCATTTAAGCAGGATATTAAAACACACACAGATGCACACTCAAAAGATCAGGTTAGGACTCTTCAACCTGCCACAGATGACTGAGAAGATGTTTTTTTGAGTTAAAAAATGTGGAAACACTGGACCGTAAACTAAAGCGATAAAACCATGATAAAATATAATAAAATTTAATAATAATAATAATAATAATAATAATAAAATCAAACAATGACAGAAGGTAAATTAAAAAAAAAGGAAAAACACAAAAAAATTACTCTTGGACTAAAATAGGGTAAAATCATATAATGTAGATTAAGAGATTGAAACACAACTAAAAGCCAGACTTTGTTTAATGCAGAGGTGCCCTCTAGTGTTAGAAAATCATATCTCTGTGTTGCCACATTGTTGAAAACAACAAAGGTTTTTAACAAGATGAATATTAATAATAAAACTCCGATACTATATTTAAAGGTTTCACCAATGTTGTTATGAGGTTTCAAATCTATTAACTTACACATACATGTACAATCTTGTACAGATCTATATAAGTGGGGGTTAATTAATCCTCTCCATTATTCTTTTCCTGTGGTTCTATCTAGTAAAGGACAAATTCATCTATTTAACCTTAAATTATCAGGCAGACAACACAGCCACTCATTTGTCCCCCTCACCTCCCGATCTTACGCTTTATTATAAGCTTTTTGATTTCCTATAAACAACCCTTACATTATTTTACATACTAAGTGGTAAATCCAGTAAATTAACCTGTGCAAGTGCAATACAAAACACTACCAATAAACCTAATGCACAGACATAAGAAGAAAACAAAAATATTATTTTTCTGAACTGCAGCACAACCTCGATCCTGATCAGACCAGAGGACCTCTTCCTCATCGGCTTTGATGTTCCCCCGGTGCGAGCAGTGAAAGAAAAAAACCTGCTATGGTTGATTTGTCTGTGTTATTCATCTGCATGGATCAAAAGTCTCTGACAGCCCCTTTTATGCTGTAACACATTATTCAAGCAAGACAAGACAGGCTAAATGGTAATGTTGCATTTTGAAGGCCAGCGCTTCCTGGTGAAGTATGCGTGGTAAAAATGTGTATACAAGGGGGAAAAACTGGGATTCCCCTGTCAACAGAATAGAGAATGAAGTAGCTCTGATCTTTGGCTCCCTCTACTGTACAACTACATAAACTGTGGCCAAATTCCAAGTTTGTGTCCTGACAAGACAAACAGACTCCTGAGAAAAAAAAATGTTATTCTTGTAAATATGCATCCTGTTTTAAAATGTCTTTCTTTCACCAAGCCAGCCATCACAGAGCAGGGTTTTACAAAGAAAAGGACTCCAAATGTGGACTCAAAAAAATATCAAGATTTAATAAACAAAGAGGCAAAAAATAATGAAAACGTACTTATTTTTTAATTGCCTGTTTTAAAGACAAGATTTCAACACTCCATCTTATGTAGATGATTTACAGCCTAAAAAAATCAGGTCAGACATTTTTAAAAAGTAAAAACACTCGCGTAGTAAAACCAAGACTAACAAAGTTTTAATATGAGGCTGTGGTCCTTGTGGGGTGCATCTTCATCCCAGCATGATTTGGAGCATTTTTATCCTCTCTCTACACATTTCCTGTCTCTCTCAAGCTGTCCTGTTGATGAAGGAAAAGTCCAAAAACTAATCTGAAGGAAACAAGTACTGTTAATCAAAGTCTGTGAGTCTCTGATTCTTGTAGTGATCTGAGGATGACCTCCTTTTTGTAAGAAAAATGTGTAAGTTTGACCCTGTGGTACATCCTCTCCCTGCACTGCAGCAGGCGATAAAAGGACAGAGTGACCTTAGCCAGTGCCAAGGTGCAGGCGATCTCCACCACCAGCAGGGTGGTGTAGAAAATCAGCTGACATTTGCACTGCTGAACTTTTCCTCTGTATGGATTTGTAGAAGGTGACAGTTGTGGCTCTTGTGTTGATAGATCCATGGGACAGGTAAAAATTTTCGGACTGGTCTGTTGAGGAGGAGTTGGTGTTGGGGTGGTAAGTGGCTGGGTTGTCCTGAGGGTGGTGGTGGTGGGAGCAGCTGTTGTCCAAGTGGTTGTTGGTGGTCTTGTTGTGGTGAGTAAAGTCGTGGTTATGGTTGTGGTGGTTGTTATCATCCCTGTAGTGGGTGCAGCTGTTGTAAATGTGGTGGTTGATGGAATTGTGGTGGTTGTGGTTAGTGTAGTGGTGGAGGAGGTGGTTGTCATAGTTGTTGGCAAAGTGGTTGGTAGTGTTGTAGTAGTAAGGATCGTTGTGGTTGGTTGTGTAGTTGTGGGGGGTATTGTGGTAGTTGCAAGTGTGGTGGTCGTTGGTGTTGTAGGAAAAGGTGTAGTTGTGGTGAAGATGGTGGTTGTTAGAACTGTAGTTGGAAGTGTGGTGGTTGGAGTTGTAGGGAGAGGTGTCGTAGTCGTTTGAATGGTGGTTGTTGCTTCTGTAGTTGGGAGTGTCGTTGTGGGTGGTTTGGTTGTTGTTAGTAAAGTGGTGGTTGGCATTGTTGGAGGCAGTGTCGAAGTGGTAAGGATGGTTGTTGTTGGTGCTGTAGTTGTGATGGTTGTAGTAGTTATTGGAGTTGTTGTGATGGTTGTCGTAGTCATTGGAGTTGTTGTCATGGTTGTAGTGGTCATTGGAGTTGTTGTGATGGTTGTAGTGGTCATTGGAGTTGTTGTCATGGTTGTAGTAGTCATTGGAGTTGTTGTCATGGTTGTAGTAGTCATTGGAGTTGTTGTCATGGTTGTAGTAGTCATTGGAGTTGTTGTCATGGTTGTCGTAGTCATTGGAGTTGTTGTCATGGTTGTAGTTGTTGTGGTGGTTGGAGTTGTCGTTGGAGCTGTTGTGATAGTTGTAGTTGTGGGAATAGTTGTAGGGAGGCAAATTAATTTATCCTCTGCCAATGATGTGATTTCCTGTCCCCGTAATTCTTCTGGATACTCACACCGCACAGGACTCACAATCTTGACAGCGTTTTGTGTCATCCATGTGTGAAGAAAAATCAGGTTACAGTCGCAACGCCAAGGGTTGTCATTGAGATAAAGTCTCTTTAGTTTCGTTAGAGGCTGGAAAATATCCCCAGGAAGCGTCTGCAGGTTGTTGTATGCTAGCTTTAGCGTGGTCAGTGATTGCAGATTTTTAAACACATCTTCATCCAGCAAATCAATCTTGTTGTTTTGGAGATTCAGCTCTGTGAGCTTCAGAGCACCTTCAAAATAATCTGAATGTAATGTGGTGAATAGATTTTTGGACAGATCCAGCTTCTTGAGTTTTGTCAAAGGGCTGACTAATCCTTTAGGAAAAGAGCTGAGATTGTTTTGGCTGAAACTTAAGTCCACTAGTCTTGGCATTTCTCCAAAAAGCACTGGTGGAAGACTGGTGAGTTCATTCGTATGCAGTGTCAGTGTTTTGAGAAGCGGAAAGCCAACAAAAAAACCCTCTGGTAAGGCAGTCAGAAGATTACTATCTAGAAGCAGCTTACTCAGTTTTTCTTTGTGTGGAAATAAATTTGGTGACAGTTCAGTTATTTTATTTCCACTTAGGCCAATTTCTTTTAAGTTTGTCAGATTTTGAAAAATGTTTTCAGGTATCACAGTGAGTTGATTCTCATAAAGTCGTAGTGTCTGCAGTTTGGTAAGATTTGAAAACCAGTCAGAAGACACTGCAGAAAGATTGTTTTTGGCTAAATGGAGGAGGGATAGGTTTTCAAGATCGTCAAAGGTCCCATCTTCAATAGTTTGGATTTCATTTCCTTGTAGACGGAGCTCTTGGACCTTCCTGAGGCCATCAAACAAGCCTTTCTCCAGACGGAGCAGTTTGTTTTGCGGCAATTCAATCCTTTTGATGTTGAAGAGGTCTTTAAAGGCTCCCACTGGGATTGAGGTCAGTGGAGAGCCAGAGATCACAAGAACTGTGAGATTGACCAAGCCTTTAAAGGCCTCAGGTCCAACATATGTTGTGTTTGTGTTTATAAACTCCACACTTATAAGAAAGGGGAGTTCAGTAAAAGCTTCATTCGGGATTGTTTTAATCTGGCTTTCCACAAATAAAATCTCTGTCACTCCTGGTCCCAGGACACGTGGGATCTCTGTGACAGATGAACTGAAAAGATGTTGGTTAGCTTTGAGGGTGGCTTCTGTTTTTGCAGCATCTTCAGTTTGGGTAAATGAAGTCTTCAACAGCAAAGCCAGAAAAAAGACAGTGATTTCTCTTCTTGACATGGCTAAAAGATAAAAAAGATAAAACATGATCATTCTTAACTTGAGCAGAAATCTTTTAGCAAGTCCATTTAAAGGCTATTTGATATATTTTAGTTATTGTGATAAAAGATGAGCATTCAACTGTTGGTAACATCACAACACGCACTGCTATTTTTCATCATGTTATCATTGTCAAATCTGGAAAAAAAAAACACACTTGCCTACCGTATTCTTTCCTGACAGACGACGAGATGATTGTTGCAGCCGTTTAGGAGTAGCAAACAAACTCAGTCTCATTAGTTATCTTCAGCGTTAATGTTTACAGCCGTGTTGCACTCCATGTGGGGCTGGGTGTGGCACATGTCTGCAGCTCCAGATAAGAGCAAAACTTACTAGAATTGAGAATTCTTTTAATTCTCAGAAATAAAATATTAAAGTTTTCAAAAAAAGTTTTCGTTTTTTTTCCTTCTTAAAGATAAAGTTATTTTGATTATGATTGTAATTACTTTAAATATGATTATAAAGGATAATTAAAGGATTGCTAAAAGTTTTCACCTTCACCATCATGTGGAGAGTATGTGAGGTTATCTGTTGAGGACATCAGGACAAGCAGAAGTTTTTTCCTCAAGCTTTCACCTCTGTTATTGACCTTTTGCATGGGATGTAAACATTTTGACTGTTTAAAAGATGCAAAGAAAAAAGGACTGGACTTCAGATTGTAGTTTGCTTCTTTTTCTCTCCTTTCGTGATCATCTATTTCCAGTTTGTTTATTATAATTTGACTAAATTTCCTGTAACTCAAAAACTTCTGTTGCCTGGAAACAATAGACATCAGAGCAAGTTTGACTGCTATCTGTCCTGCAGGTCAAGAGAAGGGTGTATTTAAGGTTGTAGCCAGAGGATTCCTATGTTATTCAAGCTCTTTTCCTCTAGATGGCAGGCTGTTAAAGTAGACATAAATCAGAGAAACAGCTGATTTGACAACAGTGCTAAATGTTCATTATTACTTTTTTATTAATTTAATTATTAAAAAAATACAGTTTCATGTGAATCCAACAACAGTTTAGTTTCATGCTCTGTTAGGATCCTTTTATGTGAACCCAGTGTCTCAACTTTTTGTTCATATTTTATAAGCTGTGCACGATTATTTTAAGAAGCATGCTGGTTCTTAATCATTATTTTATCATAGGAGAAGTCTACCAAAAGGCCGTGTAACATGAATTACACTAACAATGAAATACTTTTGAACTCATGCTCATGTACTTTTGCATGTCATTTTTTCCATTCATCTCATGCTTCCTATGGTTTGTCTGGATAATGCTTCTTCATATTTTATTTTGAACTTTTTTTTAGCTTGGTGTGTAGGTAAATCCCCCTTTACAACACTCAACTGAGTAAAGTTTAATCTACTATCTTCTGACTCACATCACTGAGCACCTTGCAGCAGTTACAGACACTAAAATTCATAACACAGAAACTAGCATGGGTGCATGTTTTTATTATTCATTTTCATTAAGTATGCATGAAATCCCATTTTGTCCAAAAGTGATCAACACAATGTAAGATTTTTCCAACTAAAATAGTGCATTTATTAATTTTACAGTAAAACTGAGTTATGTAAACCAAAGGCTCTTCATTTCATTAGAGTTAAAATGGCGCCTTAGTTTTTTTGCATGGAAGCAAGTTCACAAAACAGAGTTAAACTTTACGCTAAATGAATTATTTTAAGGAAAAAAACTGTAGTCAAACTAGAGCTATTAATACAAAAAAAATGGAAAATAGATTGAAGACAATACTGAACACAGGCTTCATTTCCAGAGGGGGAGTTCTGTTTCAGGTATCTGAGATTACATTCAACATCATGACCACTTGGCAACATGGTAAGGGGGCTGTTTTTACAGCAAGAACACCTAATATCTGTTCTCTTTTAAAGCACACATGAGAAGGAATACTGGCTGGTAAATCAGGTTAATGCAAAGCAAAGCTGCTAATTTCAATACTGTACTTTTGAGCTGAAATGGATCTTGCTGCCTTCGACCTTCCAAAGTCAACTCTGTAGTCCACATTTCAGTTCCTCGTGGCTTTAAAAGCTCTCAGGTTGTTAGTGTTGGGTGGTCAAGTCTACAGCACAGAGTTCTTATTTCTGCGGCTTAAGTCCCCCCTGCCTTTCTTGTTCCGCCTCCAGCACAAGCAACAGATGATGACTGTGCTGATGATGACGGTGGACACGACTGCGATGATGATAAGGACGATTGAAGTGTCATGAGAAACCACCCCACCCCCCCCTTGTCCACCGCTACTGTTGGTTACCTCCTTAGGCTCTGAGGATGGGGTGGTTTTTACAGCCGGTGAGGAGGTGCTCCTTTGAGTTGGAGGTGTCTGGGGTTTCCTCTTCTCTGTTGATGTCAGCATGGGCTCCTCAGTAGAGCTGAGAGGCACCAAGTTCTCATCTGCCAGCAGAGTAATGATCTCACCATTCAGACTGAATGGAGTGTCGCACACAACTAGAGTTTGATTTGTTTTTGATGGATTCTGCCTCAGCCAGTTTCTTAGAGGAAGGATATCTTTGTCACACCTCCAGGGGTTCTGCTGCAGGAGTACCTCCTGTACTATATTCAAGGCATCCAGACTCTCCTGTGGCAGGTTGGCAAGAGAGTTATTTCTCAAGTCTATCTGTCCCAGGTGGCTCAGACCTTGGAGGAAACCAAAAGGGAGAGAGCGGATGAAGTTGTGCTCCAAGGAAATGTTGACCAGCCGTGGCAGGCCTTGGAAAGTCCCAGCTTCGAGTTTTTTGAGCTGATTGGTGTGAAGTGAAACCTCTCCAAGTTGTTCCAATCCTCTAAAAGCCCCAGAAGATACATGGCTAATCTGGTTTCGACTTAGCACTAGGAGACGCAACTGGGTTAGGTTCCTGAATGTGTCATCTTCCACACGACTCAGCTTGTTATCATACAGCCACAGCTCCCTCAGAGCCGTGGGTCCAAATACCCCAGGTCTGAGGGTCTCAAGCTGATTTTCATACAGGGAGATCTGGGAGAGGAGAGGCAGGTTTAAGAAGATCCCTTGTGGGATAGATGTGAGTCTGTTGTTAGAGAGGAACAGCCTTTGCAGCTTCAGTGTCTTGGAGAAAAGGTCAGGATGGAGATGAGTGATCTGGTTGTCATGAAGTGAAAGTTCCTCCAGGTTTCCAAGATCATCCAAAATGCCGATAGGGAGCTCCTGTAGAGAGTTTTTATTAAGGCGTAGTGTTTGCAGTTTGGAAAGACCCTGGAATGTCTCTCGTGATATTTGGCTTATACTGTTTCCAGAAAGAAAAAGAAGCTGCAGCTCAGACAGAGGGTGAAAAGTTTCTGCAGGTACAGAGGTGAACTGGTTCCTACTGAGGTCAAGCATTTTAAGACCTGTCAGCGCTGAGAACCAGTTAGGCCGGAGGACCAATAGTTTGTTGCTCTTCAGAGTTAAAGACTCAAGCTTCTGGAGATTTATGAACAAGGTATCAGGGAGATCTTGTAGTTCGGTGCCAGTAAACCCCAAGGCTCCTATGTTTTGGGTGGAATCAAGTGTGCTGGGGCGAACTTCCTTCAGACCAGTGTCTTTGACCACAAAGATGCTGAGGGCATTTGAGAAATCTGTCAGGTCCTCTGGTTTCAGAGAGGAGAAAGTGCAGTTGGAGAAGTACAGGGCAGTGGTTGATGAAGGCACTGTGCTGGGGAAGTCTGAGAGGCCATTGCAGAGGATTCTGGTTTCTTGGCATATGCATCTATCTGGACATGCCCAAGCCACAGCATTGAGGGAACAGAGAAGCAAAAGAGTCCAGGGTAGATTCATGATGTCTGCAGAATAAAAGAGAAAGCAATGTTACAGTCAGGGAGGACAAGATAAACAAAATAAAGGGCATTACCTCCTTCTTATTACAGAAACTCTAGGTTTCCCATTAGTAAACCCATGACAGCTTTTTAATTTTCCGTCTAGCCCTGGTGGACTGTTAACTGCATTAGTATAAGTGGAAATGAGACAAAGGACTTTCTCTCTGTGAGCTGATATTACAAAGATTAGTACAAAGATAGTATGGTCCTTGAGGAAGCATACTCCTTCGTACCAATGTTGTCCTATCCTCATGATCTAAGTATCACATATGTTTTTGGTCTTTTGTCAGTATGACCAGAGGATTTTTGAAAGACATGCACAAGTGAAAACAGGCAGTTTTTATGTCAGCTAAAGAGTCCTGTATTGATGCAACTTTACCTCACAACCAAAAATGCTTCCATAGGGGGTTGTGCTTAGCTACTTTATGGGTAGCCAGCTCTTTAATGTGGCGATAAGTGGTGTTACTAGAAAGAGCTACACATCTGCATAAAACTGCACATTGCTGAATGCAATAAAAAAATCATCACAATAATACAATTTTAAGCCTTTTCCTTTTTCTGATACACCAGATTTCTTTCTTTCTTTCTTTCTTTCTTTCTTTCTTTCTTTCTTTCTTTCTTTCTTTCTTTCTTTCTTTCTTTCTTTCTTTCTTTCTTTCTTATTATGATGAATGTTGTTATTGTTGTTATTGACAGTACCCCAGTCTGTGATAATGACTTTGTTAACACTTCAGGTAAAGTTCAAACTACATTTATAACAAAATACTAACAGTTAAAGTCATATAAGGGGATTTAAATTTTAATATAGAATAAATTTTGACCTTTTTATCTAACAAGAGCTTTTTTTGCAAGAGAATTTTATTTGACTTATTTCAATTTGTTGCGTTTTTATTTAGCTGTATTATGTTGGAGATTTGATTGATAAAAATTTATTTTTCCCCAACAGTCACCGAGGACAGGCCTAATTTTTACTCTCTTACTTCAAGAGCAGGCTCTAAAGGTTGTCTTTGGTCTTTAAATCACTGCCATAAGGCAGTTTTAGTGGGTGCAGCTCTGATTAGAAACAGTCCTTACATGTTGCAGCCTCAGCATTCCTGTGTTAACCCAAAACGAGACATTTCCATTAATTTAGTCAGTGTTTCACTGCGTTGCCTGTTGCTTTTAGCACAACTCATCTGCATTGTCAGTGGGATTAACTGGTACATCACCATGCTAAGCAGCTTTTTTGCATTAGAGTAATTTATTCTGAATTTCTCTCCTGGAAGAACCTTTTTACACACACATAAAAGTTTTTTTAGACAAAAGTTGAAAGACAAACCCCAAGTATTTTCTCAGAGAGAACATGGTATTTTTTAAGACCAAAAGTTAACAATGAATGTGTTGTGTCTACAAAACATCTCAAAACGCAGACTGCTTGCACATGTTGAGGCTGTGCTCACTGTTTGTAGCAGCACCAGAGGAGCCAAACACAAAGTCTGCCAGCTTACTGATCCAATTCTGTTTTAAATTTATGCAACTTCAGCTTGGCAGGCATGAGTAGTTCTTTAGTGGCCGAGGTGTATTAGGGTGCAGAGAGAGTTTTACCAAGGAAGTAACTTTCTAAAGAGACCCCTCCAAAATAAGCACTGCCATAGTTTGTTTTCTTTCTTTCTTTCTTTCTTTCTTTCTTTCTTTCTTTCTCTTTATATTTAATTTTAACATTTATTTTTTACTTTTTCTCTCAAAACTTGTGTTCACATACGTCCTGGTGTACCACAGCTGCTCTCATTTTAAGTATATTTGTTGCATTGTCGGTTTCCAGTTAATGCTGCAGTACTGCTGAGATAGGAACAAAAACATTGTCATTAAAAACTAATTGACCATCTGCAAGTTTAAAAGCCTGACATTTTCTTTTCTGACACAACAAACTCTCTTACATTACCTACATTACCTAAACCACCAGCAGCTCCAACCATTACTAATGGGCCTGTAATTTTCCTTTGTATTTCTCCAAATGTGGTTTCACGGAGCAGCTCCCTCTAGGGTTTTACTGTCATCATCACTTCCCTTTCCTTAACTTCTGTGAGTGTGAGGCGCAAGAGGGTCATGTTTAAGTCAGAGATATGTTACAGATTCTGGAAACTAAAAGTCAGCCCTTCATTGAGCAATTTATTATCTTAGTGTAGTTCCCCTTTTCGGGTAAAAAATAAATAAATAGTCGCACAAAACTTTTGGGACAATGCATCAAAGCAGCTGTGATGGCCTTTAGAGATACAAAACTTTAAAGAAACTTAGTCTCTGGATTACAAAAAGGAAAACAAAAAACACTCCACTCCAAGTATAAATTTAAAACGTGACTTTTCAACCATGTTTCCTCTCTGGTAAAACATCCCACTCCAACCTAAACCACAGTCTGCTCTTGACTGGAACAGACTGGAATGGTCTACGGCGCAGTGTAATTGCTAAAGCATTTCCAGTTCACCAATAATTGCTTTGATTTTTTTCCCCCTTGCCACAGCCGAAGAATCAGCATTTTGTTTGACTGAACGAGCTGAAAGTTAGACTGTACTTCCACGTGAGGCTTAACTGTCCTCTTTAACGGTTTGGTTATGACATTTATCCCTGATGTAGTGTTAATACTTAAGTTGTGCAAATAAACAGAGAAGTTTCTCTATTCATCAGAATGATTGCTAATTGAAGATAGTTTCCAAACATTAACTCAAAAAAAAAAGAGATAAGATATTAGGAAAAGGTTCAAGACATAATCTTTCATAACGCTGCACTCACTGATCATTTGTTTATAAAACCATCCAGCCACACCACCCCTAACATGTATATTGTGAGAAAGTATCAATCAGCACTATGTGTACCAGGACTGCATGCTGTTTTTCAGAACTTACCTCCCATGATGGCAGATGAATGAGTGAACCGTGATAGGGAGGTGGTGCAGTTATCTTATATGCACGTCCTCACTTCCTCCTCAGCTTCACAAATCCTCTGATGAAAGTTCCCGGCACCGTCTGAACTCTCACACCATCACATTTTCCTACTCTTCGTCATCACTGGATTCCCTTTACCAGTCTATTTTTTAAATTTGCCCTCAGCTCATGAAATCTGTAGCCTCCCTCTCACTCTCTGGGGCTGTGGTATCCCGGCTGTTCCCCCAGCCCCCTTCTCTCCCTTTCACACTCACGCTCACATTTTTGCTAAATGTGGTGGTGGGGGATCAAGCGCAAGAGAAGCCCCACCCTTTGGGTGTCTGTGCATGTTTGAATGCATGGAGGAGGATATGTGAACTGTTCTTCATTGGTAGGGGTCCACATGTTTTCAATTATATGATTACATGTTTACATCTTCCTCTAAGAATAAGGTGTGTTTGAGTTGGAGGTTTTGTTTGCAGGGAACTTTTTATTGCCAAAAACAATGAGGTTAGTTGTGTCTTTCATTTGTGACATTGATTTATACTTTTTGGGTATGCAAATTTGACAAACAACTGTAAATATCTTTGGTATGATGTCCCATTTTGGTTGCATAGCTTTTACGGGTTGAGCATTTGGCGGTTTGGGTGTTCACACTGAAATCAGCAGCCAGGGCTTCACAGATTACAAGACCGTTCAGAAATATGAAACAACCAATCCCTGGAAACATCTGCTAAATCCTGTTTTAGACAGGTAAATGAATTACCCCCCTGTTCAAGGATGTCTGTAAAAATAAATAAACATGTTTTTATTGAATTCATCATGTAGTTCATACATTTTAAGCTGTAGCTGTCCCTGTTGGTGTCAAAAACATCAAAATAATACAATAAGGTTATGAGATTGAAACAAACAAAGAGCCAATCATTCTACAAATAAAGCAGGACTAAAGGCAACACTGAATCTGCTCAGAAATGTGCTTTAGAGGAGATTTTAGATTCTTATTTTTCCACCTGTCCGTGACAACCCTGAAGATTTATATTTTGCTGCAACGTGTTCATCCATAAAAAGGGTTGAGCAACAAGTGCTCTGCTATGTCTAACATTCCTTTGCTGCCAAAAGTAAATCCATCTGCTCTGTAACAGAACAGACCTCCTCCTCCTCCTCCTCACCACAGCGCGCTGATAAATAGGGTGGAGTTAACGTATAGACAGTCAGTTACTGATCTACACAAAACAAACACAGTGTTTTTTTTTTGTTTTGTTTTTGTTTTTTTTATAAAATATCTGTAGAGACAAGAGTCATGTCTTTTTCCATTTTTCCATCCATGGAAGATCACAGTCTTTTATTGCTGCATTGACCTGAACTGTTTTTTGTAAGGAATGGTAGACATTTAAAATGATAGATTAAAGAGAAAATTTTATGTTCACTCAGTCACACAATATTCATGTTGTATTAAGTTATTTGTGACAGATGGTATGAGTTGCTTTATTGTCATGGTAAAAGTAGAAAAAAACTTAAAACTGTTAATAGTTTTAAAAACAAACAGTCGAGCACTGAGCTGCTGCAGCCATGTGTACAGCCATCTTGAAACCAACTTTAATGTAAAGGGAGAAATCCTTTGAGTTTTTTAAAAATTTCAGGGCAAGGAAACTGCATACTTTTTCCTATTTATTACTTTAGCCTGTGATTTGATCCGAGTGTAGTCAAATATCAGAGGTAGATGGAACTTTAATCATGGTTGTAGATCTTTTGACATTAGCTGCATCATATCATCATCAGCCCCCAGAAGGCTAATATCACCATCACCTTTTCCATTTTAAACACTTATTATCTATTTACAGTATATCAAATCAAAAGCAGTTACTGGCAAGTGTTTTGATTTAAAGTATGTTAAAGTGTATGGAATAATACAATATCTGTCATTTTCTGAAATATTTGCATTTCCCTTTTTTCCCCACATATCATGAGAAAACCAAGTGCGAAATTGCTTTTTTGAGAATTTCTTTATTCAAATCACTGTGAATCTCTGGCAGACCCAAACGACAGGTTCAGAAACAGTGAGATTTCAAACGTAACCAATCCAAGCTCCGCCCCCAGAGCCCCGCTATGCAGGCCACACTCCACATATAAGAAGAAATACAGGAAATCACATCTTTGTGGAGATTTATTTGACACAATAGATGAAAGTAACTCACCTAAGATTTGTCAGTTTAACATGATTTTTTCGGAACACATCTGTTGTAAGAGTGTTTCTGCTGGTAAAGTTAATATTTTGAGCTGTAAGTATGCTGATGGATTCTTATGAATGAACCTGTTTCCAGTAGGAATGTTTTTTTGATCACATTATTGATCCCACGCTATCATCTACATTCACTCTCACTTAAAATTGAACTGAAAGGTTGTCAGCCCGTGTGTTTCTTATTTCTGAGTCAAAGGAGAAATTATCCTAACCCTAAATTTTTCTCCCCCCTGGTTTGTGCTCAAGTCCTCATTTTTCTGTGCAGCTCAATTTTTAAAAGTTAGAGGTTCATGTCAGCTACGATTGACAATACAGCTTGTGGGCGCAAGAAGGCTGCGTAGGACATCTGGGGGTTATGCTGTTTAAAGACCCACTCCAATGAAAATCTTGTTTTTTTATATGTTCGTATGGCATTTTTCTGATGCTACAGGACATTTTCCCCAGTAATTCAAAAAATCGATCGAAAATATGATACAGGCTAGGATGCCCATGTAAATTAGTTAATGATTCAATCGTCATTATTGCTAGTTGGCTCCAGAATTACAAACTGGTTGTGCAAATGATAACTTTGTATTTTTCTTAGGCCTGAAGTCTGCTATCATAATGGTCTAATGTTCTACCTTGATGTAAACAAGTTCAGATGACAGATGACATCTTTCAGTGATGCTTGATGCAGTATTTAGTGTCTGGTTACACTAGCATACTACCAGAGCACTACATGACCAGAACAGGCATGTGAGTGTTTACCTGTTAACCTGTGAGAAAAGAACAGATGCTGGTGGTGCCAGCTCTGATAATGTTTAGCACAGTCAGCAAACCAATGTGACTGTTTCCTGGGTGTTTTCTCCCCTTCAGGCTGGTCTGTTAGTCAGAATTTAAATTTAGAAATAAGTTGTTTTTGAACTTCCTCGGCTGGAATGTGACTGTTTACTTGAGGACAAAAATGGCAGTACTTGATTACAAATCTTCACTTTCAAGATTTTATCAAGTACCTAAAGTTAGTATTGAAAACCCAAATGTCGTCACTGATGCTGAATTAAAACTGTTATCTGCTATTCTGTTTTCCAGTTAAAGCTGTTTTCACCCTAACGTCTGCCTAGCTGTGCTGTGGAAAATCCCTCTACATTCCATGTTCAATAAATTCATCTCCAAGAAACAAAGGTTGGAAGAAAGTAACATTTTTTATCTCTCACACTTGTTTTTTTGTCTGTGCTCAAATATTCCCGTGACTCCTGCAGCGTTATTTCCTCTCCAAACTCACACCCTCCCCTCACTCACTGTCCATGAATGTGTGTGTGTGTGTGTGTGTGTGTGTGTGTGTGTGTGTGTGTGTGTGTGTGTGTGTGTGTGTGTGTGTGTGTGTGTGTGTGTGTGTGTCTATGGGAGGGGGTTTGGGTGTGTGCCCACTGTTGTGTGAGCTCAGCGTACTGGAAGGGCCTAATCACCCGTTGTCATAGAGATGAACTTGGGTGCCGTTCACCAATTCATGCTCTTTTGTTTGCTGTTTGTTTTAAAGTCCAATCACTTCTTCAGGAATTTGTGGCATTTGTTGTCATGTTGTGGAGGTTTAAAAGCTTTGAAAGCTTTTTAAGGCATCATGGACATATTTATTTTTATTCCACTCAGAAAGAATAACTTTAATTCTTTACTAACTGGGCTGTATCACAACTTTTAGTAGAACTTCTTAAAACATTTGTGAGTATAATTTTACACAAAATTAAAAGTGCCCATCTTTCTTGATTATATCATGATTTTTTTTATTCATCGGTGCTTTAAAAAGGGGAACTCTAACTGTTATTTTTTTCTTGTGGTTTTGTGTCACACCTAAAGCTTGCGAAATGGATGACATGGCACTGTTTTGCAGTGAGTCATTTTTGCCTCCTTGACCCTAGAAATCTGAACAGTGACTGAATTTGTGCTTCCTGTTTTGAAGGCCATCACATTGTTAATAATATCATGTTTACAGACTCCAAGATATGATTCAGTTCGGGGAATACCATTTTTTTTTGTCCTTGAGATTGAGATAAAAAATTTAGCTTTGACATCATTAGATATGTGGAAAAAACTCACAATAGTGCTAATTTAGGCTATATAGGAGTGTTTAATTATACCACTATAAGTATAAATCTTTGAGTGTGGGAGAACATGTGTGTTAATTTGCATGAAAGGAGATATATTAGGTCTACAGGTTGAGATAAATTCTTCAGTATCTCCCCCCCCCAAAAAAACCACACAAATAAAAGGGGGAGGAGGGGACATGAAAAGCAGAACACAGTAGTTCCATCGTTATTAAGGCTTGATGCCATTTTCACTCACCTCAGGGTATAAAAAAGGGGTAAAGAAAATATACCCTTTCTCTTGAAGAAAGCAAGACAGAAAGATGAACAGGAAGACTATCCGTTATGATTTATTCAGGTTCCCTGGATACTTTCTGATGCAGTTCAAAGACTTTGCCACTTAAGGGGAACAAATAACAAATGATGGGTTGTTGTCTATTAATGGTTTAATTTTTCTCAGTGACTATCAAAATCACACTTGACTTAAGTTTTTCAGTAATAAGGGACTAATATCTTAAAGTATTGAAAACGGCCTCACTTTGATATCCACTAATACAACATAAAGCATGTGTTTGAGTGTCAAGAAGGCCATCTTTTCACCACTGTCTTATTGATTTATCCTGTCTGCAGGTTTTGTAATTATTGATCAATTTAATTCATTTTCATTGTGAGTTTTTATTTATTCTTTCAGAGTATCTTAAGTTTTGCACTCACATAAGACATAGAAGTTTATAGAAGTTTATAGACTGTCATGCAAATTTATTTGGATGAAATCTCGCACAAAATTATTGATTAAAAAAACATTTTCCTGCTTTAATTTTATCAACACTTGAATTTTCACTGTTACACAACATCAGGAAAACAACACAAAACAGCGATACTGAATTATTTAAGTGACAACACCAGAAGCAGACGTCTTATCTTGCCCTCTCATGCAGCCGGTCTAATATCATATTTTTTACCCACAAGTTTTTGCACACTCAGCCTGCAGCTCATACACAACATTGTCGAGGCGGTACAAACCATACATGGCAGCAAGAATGAGAGACACGCCTGTAGCTACAAGAATGATGTGAGAAAACATGAGGATCCCTGCCAGGACCGTATCTGAAGGCAGTGACCATACATAAACCCAGCTGTTGTGAATGTTGTGGTGAACAAAGTCAGACCCTTTCTCAAAAACCATCTTGTCATAGAAAGGAGGGGACACATCAGCAGTCTTAAAAGCCTTTTTAGAGCGGGGAAATTCCTCCGAGAACGGCAGGGTAGAGGTGGCAGTGGTGAAGGTGGTGATAATGTGTCTGTCGGTGGTAGTGCTGGTGGCAGTGCTGGTGGCAGTACTGGTGGCAGTGCTGGTGGCAGTGCTGGCGGCAGTGCTGGTGGTAGTGCTGGCGGCAGTGCTGGTGGCAGTGCTGGTGGTAGTGCTGGCGGCGGTAGTGGCGGCAGTGCTGGTGGTAGTGCGAGCAGTGCTGGTGAGGGGTTGACTTTTCAGAGTTGTCCTGAAATAACTTGGTGTGGTAGCATCACAAAAGAAAAACTCCTTATCATGCAGAGAGCCAAGAATGCGGTTTACGTGGTGCATGGGACTGCGGCACAGAGTATTATTACTGTCCGGAACCACACGCTCATTCTCTCTTATCCACTTTGACAGACTTCTAATACTACAATTACAGTCCCAGGAGTTGTTAGTCAAAAAGACCCTTTGCAAACCTTTATTTGATAAGAAAATATCTTCTGGGAGAGTCTTAAGCTTATTTTCTTGAAGATACAGTTTCATCAGTGAGCTTAGGTTAGAGAAGAGGTGCGGGTGAAGATGGTGGAGGTCGTTAGCTTCCAGTGAGAGAACTTGAAGGTTCTGGAGGCAGCAGAAGAGGTCTGAAGGCAGTTCTTTCAGCTGGTCATTGAACTTCAAGTGAAGAATCTGGAGTCCAGACATGTTTGTGAACAGATTTCCAGGAACAGTGGTGAGGTTTGTTCCATACAAAGCGAAGTTGCCAATGTAAGGCATGTGTCCCATCAGCTGGTCTGGAAGAGAAAGAAGTGGGTTTTTGTGGAGGGTCAGCGTCTGTAGCACGGGCATGAAGTAAAAGCTCTCTTCTGGGATAGTCTGAAGTTGGTTGTAGGACAGAAAGAGGATCTTCAGGTTTCTCAGTGGCCAGAACAACCGCGGGGGGAGGCTGCTGATCTGGTTTTTGTTTACTCTTAGGTCTTCAAGGGCCACAAGTCTGTCAAAGATCCCAGGTTCCAGCACCTCTAACTCATTGTAATCGAGAGACAGCTGGTTGAGTTTAGTAAGACTATGAAATATGGTGGAGGGCAGCTTTTTAATGAAGTTCCTGCCGAGATCCAAAGAGCGAAGGTTGGTCAGTCCATCAAAAATATCTGAAGCAAGACTTTTCAGTAGGTTCTGACGTAGGATTAGTTGCTGCAACCGAAAAAGTCCCTCAAACATGTCTGGAGCTATGGTTTCCAGCTGGTTGTCGTCTAAAATCAGCTGCAGCAATCCAGGCAGTGGACTGAACACCCGAGCTGGGAGGGTGGAGATATCAGTGGATGCCAGCCTGATAGACATGAGGTCTACAGCACTCTGGAAAGCCCGGGGATGGATGGAGTTTAAGGGGCTATCAGTCAGACTGAAGCGGGTCAGCTGTGGTAAAAAACTAAAGCTGTACTCATTTAGGACCCTTATGTTGGTGTGGGAAAGCAGCAGTTTGGTGGTGTTGAGAGGGAGTTCCCTGGGTACATCTTTAAAGTGCAAGCCAGAACAGTCGATGAAAAGCTTACAAGTGCAGCCTGATGGGCAGTTCAAAGTGCAGGTGAAAGGCAGGATGAAGAGGAGTATCAGCCAAAAGGATCCTGAAGAATTAGAGAGAAAGAAAATTAATGCTTTTCTGTTTCCTTTCTAGTTTCACTCTCTGTTTCTGACATTGTTGTGGGTAATTACTAGCCTCCACAGCAACACTGGGACTATTACATCATTACAACACTTGACACAACAGAAATGAACATTTACCCACAATAACAGGCTATCACACTATATACTTATCTGTATGAACTATATACTCGTGTCATTGAGGTACTCTACTTTAGACTCACTCAAAAAGTTTCATCGGCAGTTTGGGAGTTGTTTTGGTTTCATAATCTGATGCCTCCCTTTGTTTGACTAGCACTTGAACTTTTCCTTATATCCTATAATACCACATTGAATATTATATCAGGATATATATATATTTTTTTTGGCTATGATAACTGTGACGGGAATATTTTATACAATGACAACTCCAGTGTTTATACTCTTCTTGTCGTGCCCACTGTGCAGCAGTGGTTTTAGACATGTAAAAAGAGAGTGTTGAAATAATTAACCTCATGGCTGATATTCTGGTCTGGTTCGGCATCACATTTATTTTCAGTCATTTTTGTAACCACTTAAAAAATGTCTCAATGGAGTTTTAATGGTATTAATAAAGCTGCACTTGCCCATGCTCACTTCAAACTAACTTATAATGATCTATACAACATGAGATTTCAACTTAAAGGATCATGAAACACTTTAATCTGCACTTTTTTTTTTTTTTTTTGCTTTTCTATTTTTTTTAATGTCATGGTAATACATGTGCGTGGTGCTTTTTGGCTGCAATGGGAATATAGATCTTTTACTTATTTGTACTTTATCCAACAGTAGGAAATTTATTAAAACAGGATTAATTCTGATATCAGCTTAAACAGCTATGATTTGTTTTGATATTTTACAGTTATCTAAATACCAATATTTTCTTTTCAATTTTACTGTAAAATTTAAAGTGTAAGTCTTATTGGAATTCTTTAAGCTCTCACAAATGAGACCATGAGCTATAGACCGATTTATACCCTACAGTGAACAAAACAGTACACCTTGGCTATCCTCCTTTCTTTAAACAGTTAAACATAGTGTGCACTGTGAGCACTTTTCAGAAAACATGCAAAAATAAATAAATAAAAAACAAATTCTGCTAAAAATTGTAACCCACTTACTCGACAGCAGCTGATTCAAGTGTAAAAACCACATCTAGAAATATAATTTTTCAGTCTGTTTCATGGCCAGCCAAAATTCCTCATAGCAGCTTTAATTTCATAACTTGAAAATATTTCAAACACATGAAACTTTTTCAATATAAGAGTGATTTTAAAAAACAATTGTACATTTTTGTTTAAAAGGCCCCATACTGGCAAACAAGTCAAATGTTCTACTAACCTCTGAAGTAAGAACCCATTGTGATGTTAGGATGTTATGATGTTATGATCGTGAGGCAGCGCTCTTTTCTAAGTGGCTATGACAGATAAGACAGCCTCTCTATCAAGTCATCCTGTCCACAGCTAAATAAAAAGGCGGCCCAAGAATCATCTGTCACATCCCGAGTGGGTGTTAAGGGTATCTCTCTCTATTTTTAAGGGGATACTGTTATTCTATTGTGTGATATTTTACTGCAAATAAACTAAAACTACTCATCAAAGTCCTTAATGAACTCATATCAACATCAATGCTGTGACGTGGTTTTCAAAAGATGGGACACGTAACTGTGCATCAAACTTTGTGTTTGCTTTCTCACTTTTCTGTGAGGACCATCTGTACCAAGTTCATGTACGGGACTCAAAGCAGATCTTTGGTTCGTCTTTGCTTATATGCTTCAATCCTGGGAGTTCTTTTGTTGTAAGAAATTGTTCAGCCTATGATCTAAATGATTTCCTTGACTTGACACTGTGTTGTATGGTATGTTACCATTAAATGAGTGACATGAGGGATGCTGGGTCATTTCCTGTGGACTTATCTTGACAGGATGGTGTAAGCCCACAGAGTTTGAGCTACATACTGTGGACTGAACTTATACAGATAAATGTCAGTCAATTGGCCTGTACTCTGTCTGTTTGTCTTAGTCTTTTATCTAAACGTGTCAGTCATGTGCTGGTATTAAAGAAAGAAATGTCAGTTGAGAATCATACAGATTACTGGCAACTGTTGGCTGACTTGAACTGTTTGATTCATAAACTTTGATGGACTTCTCACAAGGGAGAAATTGCTATTGATTTTGGATTTAGAGATAGAGGTAATTACTATTCTGTATTTGTGAGGGAAAAAAGGGTTAATGGTGAATAGACTAATGGCGCACTTTTCTAGACTTTCTATTGCTTTTTAAATAATAAATATCGAGCAGCTTGTCCCTGGGCAAACTGATGAACAGTGATTATGTATGGGTTGAACTATAAAGTGAATGTGTATGTGTTTATTCAATTTATGTCTGGTTCAAGTTGGAAACAATAGAAATCCCCTGAGAGCATCACTGCTCGAAAGCAAAGCTCAACACTTTCCCTTCTGCTGCAGTGAGTACAGCCGGGAGTGTAGACTAAATAAACTCTGGTGTTAGTCATCCTCTGTGTGATTCACTTCTTTTCAAAACTGCTCATTCACTCTTTAGACAATCTTTGTGATTCATGTCTGTCTCCTGCCCCTGAAAGAGCCGCTCGAACCAACGTCAACTGAACAGTAATTCACCTGTCATCACAGACCTGCAGCTCATGTGACATTCCTTCACTCTGACACTTGTTTTCACTGTTGAAAATAAATGTTTTGTGAATTGTGGTTGAGAATTGTTGCACGAAAAACATTTAATGTTTTTTATTTGAAGTCAAGGAAAACACTATTTTAAACCCTGTTCGACTGCTTATATATACTCCTGTTTACAGATACATGAAAAAAGACAAAAAAATGTATTCACATAATAATTTTATTTCATTTGTAAAATGTTCAGCATTGTGTTTCTAAAAGCAGTGACAAATCAACTGTTTGAGGGCAGTGTTAAAAAAAAATGCTATGCACAATTCTTCCACAAGAGAGCAACAGAAACACAAGCAGAGAGCAACTAAAATCCCTGCTGATAATGAAATGTGTCCTCGCCGTCAAGTACACTTAGTCATGTCAGACCATCAAGTATTTCCAGTGAGCAGCTAAGTATTTACAGATAAAAACACTGAAATCCCTCCTCAGTGCAGTGAAATGTTCGATTTATTGATGAATTGGCTCAAGATACACCTATATACGTATATTGCTGTGATAAATACAATGTGATTATATTACTGAGTCTTAAGGCTATGTTGGGCTTTGCAGCAAGATTTTACAGAAGTGCTCCTCCGTCTGTCAGACACAGTATTTCCAGAAGCAGGCTGCAGATGAGAGGGGATAAAGTGAGTTAACATCTTGCTGTATGTTAGCATTAAAACTGTTATTGTAAATGAATAATGATCAAATTGTGTGATTATTTTTACTCACGCTCTCCTCTCTTCCTGGTTATAGATTTGCCTTCTGCTAGATTGGCTGAAATCTCCCTCTCCAGCTCCAGATCCTCCCTCAGCGCCCGCAGCTACGCACACAGAACATAGAGATGAAACACCGCAAGACAGGCAGCCGTCATCCTTGTGTTGTTAAATATCTCTAGAGGAAGTAGTCTGACAAGTTTTCATTTAGTGTACTTTGTTTACTACATGGGTTTTTCAGAAATTAAATCAAGTTGCCTACATTTAATCTAGAGACATTCACAATTTACAGACAGTTCAGTTAGTCATGACACATTTGCAATTTCAGAGTTGAAATCTGTAGACGTTCTTACCTCTTCTAATTCAGCTAATTTATTGGCCAGTTCAAGACCTGCAGAGAGGAAAATGAATCATAAGCAAAGAAGAAAGGATGCAGTCAACTTTCCTGAATCATAATTTGATTATCTGGATTTCTTCTCTCACCTAGAGGGTCGTCTTTTTCAACAGGAACTAAGCTCTTGTGTAGTAACAGTGCTAGAATCTTGCTCTGTGGATCTGTGTCTTCTTTTGGATTAAAAACATGGTTTCCTGAATGTCAAAAGCAAAGAGAAGTTTTAAGAACACCAAGTATAAAAAACATGATAGAAAATAAAGCTGAGGTATCTCAGTTTTAACTGAGTCATAGTCTCTTAATCTGCAGGAAAAATGATCAATTAAGCCAACGGTGTGGCTAATTTTAAGGGTTACAGTAGGTGCATGCAGCATTTTCATTAAATATATGCATCAAAGTTTCTGAATACTCACCAGGGGTAAATATGCTCCTCCCTTCCACATGTAGCACTCCCTGTAGCAGTAACAAACCCAGGAGTCCCAAGCAGCTGTTACAAACCGTCACTCTATCCATGCTACTCATCCTATAGTCCCAAACTAATGCTGTGCTGTGCGTTCCCCCAAAGCAAGGCAAGAAAATCCACTGTCTCGGGTCCTTCTGGCCAATATATTTATCCTTTCAGGGGCCAGGAGGAGGGGCCAAAACTGTTGCGTACAAGATCAATAGCTAGTCATAGCGGGTTTTGTCAATAGGCTGCCTTTTCATATGGACCGCGGAACGTCTGAGTGAAATACAGTGATCTGACATGGTAGGCGAGGCCAAAAACCCTTAAATCAGTCTGACGGGAGAGGGGAAGTTATCAATCAGCCTGGTGGTTATGAGAGGCCACAGTAAGATGTTGGCACATGCAAGTCTTTTTCTTTTATACTAATTGCTTCTTTAAATAGCCACACTAGGGAGGTAGATTGAATCCGTTTCTAAGTGCATCATAGCTGCAGATGAGCGCCCCTGTCTTGGCTGATTTGGAGCTGAAGGAACATCCATCACTGAAGGAAAGCCAACTTTATCCAACACCTCCTCAGTCACTGAAGTCTAGTTTGTGCATCAAGAAAATCAAATCTCATCTCTCTGCCAAGGGGGAAGCAGTGATTGTGTATGCAGTGAATTTGGCAACTGGGGGCCTCATAAAAGCTACCTCGGCCGCGCTGTACCCTGTCTGACATGACTGAGGAGTCTGTTGACGTCTGCTATCTCCCATCCAGCGACCTTTCATGTATCCATCACTTTGATTGCGTTGGATTTTAAAGAAGACTCAATCTGTTTTTTTTTTATTCGATCAGAGAGATTCTGGTCTTGTTTGGATATCAAATTGCCTTTTTGGGAATCTTCAGAGGCCACATAAGGCAAAATTCAATTTATTCATAACAAATGAAAAATAGTAATAATAACTATTATGATAAAACTGTAGGAAATAGGGACAAACCAAACATAAGTTGTGATGAAACACCATAAAAGCAAGTGTACTTTCAAATAAACCACTGCTATATGCATTAAGACTACCATGTTTTTTCAAATGTAGCAGTGTCACTTTAAGGCAACCAACAAATCTTTAATTTGCAGTAATTTTGGCATCCCCAGTGGACAAAGTGGGGCCTTTTGTCTATTTGCTGATCATGGCCTGTACAAATGTGAGTACTGTTTTGTAAAAATCTCATCAAACAGTCTTTTTTAAAGTTCAACACACTTTCAATCTCTGCCATAGAAAATGTAAACAAAGGCAACAAACAGAGTCTGTTTTATTCTTATTCAACTTTAAGCTTTTTGTTTGTAACTGAGACATTTCCGTTTGTATGAGAATTGTAGATGATGTACGAGTCAAAGCCCTGAGGTTATCGATCCTGTTTCAGAGCCCCACCAGTCAACTGCATCACTAATGAGAGGGGTCAGGGCCATGGTGACCTGTATGTCACTATAAAACAACACTTACTCTAATCTAGCATTAAGTATGGACGCATTCTGTATGTGTCTCCTAATGTTTGACATGCTAGTATAAATCCGCCAATAACCTGTGAGTGCTTTCCAGTGGCATTCTGACTTTTTCAGTTATCTATTGTTAGTGTCCTTGAAATTGTCAGCTACAACTTTTGGTTTTCTTTCAGCTACAGAGACTGTGAAAAGTGTTCACTCTCATAAAGCTTTGTTGTGGCAAAGAAACTATAAAACAAACTCAACCTGGTCCAGGTGACTTTTTATGTGAACATGCTCATAACACTCACAGCCAGTGCATTTTTTCTTATAAGTCCAGTCATTTCACCTCTCTGACACCATGCACATTTTAGTTTTTGCGTTGCAGTGCGATTCATGTTTCTGTCCGTTTGTAACTAGTAACTCATAATTTCTTTCAGCCCATTTATTACATTTGTTTTAAAGTGAAGCTTTTGCAGTTCAACAGTGGTTCCAGTGAGTACCTTAATGCAATGAAAATGGGTCTCCAGATTATTTTGAGACATGTTTTCTGCTTTTTCATCACTTACAGTCTGTTGATCTTATTTTATTCTTTTCCTTTTATTTGGTATGAGTTAAAGTACAGGATGTAGTGGTCACATTCACTACAGAAAGTAAGCAGGTGTGGTAACGGGCTGTGTTAGATTCTGAACACTAGAGGGAGCAATTATATTAGCATAATCAAAGTACCAGTTTCTGTAAGATATATGACGTTACGTATGTGCGTGTTTTTTGTTACTGTCTGTTATTTATAAATGTCTTCATCATTTAAACCAACAAGAGTAAATCTATCTCTGTCCACGTTCACTGTAACAATATCCTAACAGGAAAAATTCCCATAGAGAGTGTTTTAAAATTCACATTATTCAGTGCTACAGATACGGCCCCAGGGAATGTATTCTCTTCCGCTTCAAGGTGAGGACTTGTTTAAGCTGCAGCTGCAGATGTCTACAGTCACTGAACCCTGCAGAAACAGCTCAGTCAAGTTTAACACAAGTAGGCAGGATCATACCGGAAGTGTGATAATGTGATCTTCAATATCAACTCGGAAGCTGGGAGCAGCTTCCAAAAAGCGTTCATGACTGACAGTCTGAGTCAAAGTTTATATGATAAATGTAAATCTATGATAAATGTGAACTTAATTTTCCACTTTAAGACAGTTTTCAATAAGTACATTATCATTTTTGAAGAACCTGTCAAGTTACTATTATTGTCTAAACCTTAGAATAATGATGTTAAGAGTCATTACAAATGACCAACATTGTCTTCGATATTTGCTGGTAAAATCTTTTAAGAATATAAACTGTTTCAACAGATGAAAGTACAGCCACATATTTTAAGCTAATTTGTATGGAAGTAAATCTGTGCCATCTGATTTTGAATTTGGATTTCTGAAGCTGAATTTAATTTAGCATCAAAATCAGACCTTGAATGTCAAAACCATCGAATTTCAAGCATGCATTTTTGTTTCTGTCACTTATTTGTTTTTATAATGATAAAATAAATTCAGTGCAAAAATTCAGTCTCAAAGTGTTCATGTAGTAAAAATTAGACTTAAAAAACACTGTAAAACAACAACATTAAACATTCAACATAAAAAAAAAATCCAGTGTCAAATAGCTCAGTGTCAAAAAATTTTGTGTAAAACAGACCGAGTAATCAGGGTGAGGCAATCGAAGAATTCAATTTTTTTCAACTGTTTTTCTTTAAAGTTGAATTTTTCCTAAACTTATCTTTAGAGAGACCAAATTTCTACACTGAATTTATTTCATCATTGTGAAAAAAAAAATAATCGTAAGAAATATAAATGCATGCTTGAAGTTTGATGGTTTCAAATTCAAAGTCTGATTTCAATGCACACACAAAAAAAATTCAGCTTTAGAAATTCAAATTCAAAACCAGATGGCACAGATTTACTTCCATACCCCCGTGGAAGATTGAGGAATTGATTGCTTCTCCTTGATTACCCGGTCTGTTTTACCCTTAAATTTTTGCCACTGAGCTATTTGGCACAGATTTTTTTTAAGTTGGCTTTTTTTATTATTTATTTTTTTTAGATTTTTTAAGTTGATTTTTTTGTTGTTGTTTTTTATTAAGTTGAATTTTTACTACACAGGTATTTCAAGACACCAATCTTTTTTTAGACTGAATTCATTTCATCGTGGAAAAAAAAAGTGTAAGAAATAAAAACACGTGCTTGAAATTCGATGGTTTTGACATTCAAAGTCTGATTTTGATGCAAAAAAAATTTTGCTTTAGAAACTCAAATTCAAAATCAGATGGTACAGGTGAACTTCCATAATTTTGAGTCCTTTATTTTGAAATCCTGTAGCGGAAATAGCTAGCTTAATGATTGAAACTTGTCGGGCTGGTCGTGTGGAGGATCAGGGAGGGGAGGGACGCTCGTAGAAAACCTGACACGCTAGCTTCAGTGGGCAATTACAGCAGCGACGTACCGAGGGAGGGAGGCTACCCGAAACTAATCAAAAGGGCCGTCCAGCACCTGAACCATCAATCCGGTTGAGGACTAAAGGCGATCAATCAGCCTGCGGTTAACCTTCGGAGGGAACGTGCAATTCAACGTCAACGGTTTTTTTGTGACTTATTATCGGTGACAACATGGCTGAGTGTAACGTTAGCATCGACCAGAAAAAACTACCTGGAGTGAAAGAGGGTAACGTCCATAACATATTTACCGGCAATATGTGAATGAAGATAGCAGCTTAGCATCACCTGTGTCCAGTTAGGTGATACTAGAGAGAGTAATTTTACATGAAGTGTACACAAATGTTTCTGTTTGGGTCTCATACACAATGGTTTTAATGGTTGTTAGCACAGCTTGCTAGTTGATGCTAGCATAGATAAGTCTGGAGACAGGTAGGAAGAGAGCACTGATTACTGAACGTCTTAGTCTGAATACAGGCGCCAAACCAGACTAGAACATGACCCTCCTTACATTTTTACTCGGCTATAGTGTCCGAAAGCAAACTATTGTGTTCAGAGTTTCGCACATAGTGTACACACTCATATTTCACATGTTCTGTGTGGGTTGTGGTGATATGGTTTTGAGGCAAACAGAGAGAGACTGAAGTAAATACAGAGTAGAAGTGAAGTGACTTGTAGTTGTAGCTCTGGCACATGGAGGTGTTTGCTCTCTGGGAGATGTGTGGGTGAGTACTTGGAGGGAAACAGCATGTGGACACTTACACCTTATTCTGCATTAAAGATCTGCCCTATACTGATACTATTTGTTGGCCAGACAGTCACAGCTTTGACTGACTTTGTGATCAACCAATCCAAAACCCTCACAAAATTATCTTTACATGAACACAGACCAGACGTGGGCTATCTAAGGCAAATCAATACAACATCTGTACTGTGAAATCTACATTGATTCTAAAATGATAATTGTTCTTTCAATTGGACTACATAATATATGACAGTGTTTTTATTTGTGAATACAACACACTCCAGTACACCCACACTCCCACTATGTCCCACTATGCCTGCAGTGATCAATATAATCATCGTTCTGATCATGTCAACAAAAACTGAGAATTTAAAAGCTTCCTGAAAGTAGAGTTTGTGTGGTATTCTGGTGTTCATGATGTTATAGCTGTTACACAGGAGAAAAGCAGGTGAGGAGTGGAGCTTTTGACACTGGAGCACAATTGTGGATGCGATGCTGAGCTGGCGGGAAGGAGCCGTCCTGTTAGTGTGAAGCAGCTGCCCAGCAGGATGCTTGTTATTCCGGTCAGAGAGAGAGGGAGCGTGCATCCCCAACTCCTCGGCTGGTCTGCAGACAGAGAGATTGATAAAGCCGATAGAAAACTTTAAATCCTAAATTCCTCGGGAAAAGATCAGACGCTGTTGTTGTGCAAGAATGTCTGAGCTAAGCTTACGTTTTGCTGTTTTTTTTTACTGCATGTGAGGCACAAAGACTTAACTCTTGTTGCTGTTGTGTGTTTCAGTGAATCAATCAAACAATCTAGTCCTGCTATCACTTGTTGCTTTGTTTGGAAAACTTAACCCAGTTACACACTACACTTCGCTAAATGCCAGCGTCAACAAGCTGCTTAAGGGACAGTCACACTGACCAGTATTGTTTCATCACATCAGATGCATAGTGTGCGGATGAGGCAGAACAAATCTCAGGTTACTTGACTAAGAAGATTAAGCATATGGTCGGGGGAAAAAGGTCTGTGTTAGTCAAATCCTATAGTGCTTTGCCTTATGGCATCTGTTTTAACCATTCACACAGTCAGCCCCATCCCTTCAATACAGCCTCACAATCTGGACCACTCACTGGTGTTTTGTTTGAGTTGCAGGCGTCAATATTATTGGCAAATGATTTGTTTTCCCAGGGCCCTCTCTAATGTATGCCAACACTCAGTCACAGGCTGCTGGTGGTTATTAAATTTTAATGTGGATAAAGTAATGTTTGTTAGAGCAGAGGATGGGCACTAAGTCTGACAGCATGAGGTTACTGAGTGTGGCTAAGGAGGAGCAGAGCTTTGAATACAAGATTAGTGTTAAAGAGAGGGCTGATGTGGATTAATATAGATGGATATAGTGTTGATGGTTTGAATTATTCCCATCACACATCCTAGAGTAGGGAAAGAAGAAGGAAAGAAGTTGAGAGATTGTTTGGTATGACTGCTTTACACATCAATGGCTCTTTTTAAAAGATGAAATGATAGCTTTTTGTTGTTTTTGCGTGTGATGCAATCAAGTTTTGCTGCTGAACAAAAAGGAGATGCTAAAGTACACACATCCTCCAACAGAAGTTCTACCTCCTGACACTTTCAGGAAAGTCCCCTCTGTGATCCGTAGTGGGAAAACAGAGGGTGTACAAAACAAATTAAGAGGATTTCAAATAAGATAAGGTTATCTGCCTCATTTCAGGACAGCTCTGATTCATATGTGGCGATAGAACGGAGACAGTATGAGAAAGGCCCCCTCCCACAACTACTATCATAATTACTAACACCAGATGTTTTGCACTATTTCAGAAGTGCCCTCAAACATTAATGAAATATCAGCCATCGTTTGTATTTGCTCTGAAGATATTCAACAAACGGACAGATAAATGATGTTTTTTAGGTTTATCCTGCTGGCTGATTTATTGACTTATTACACAGAGGTGATAGATGATTAGAATTTAGTTGTACAGCATAAACTTAGTCTTACATGACTCATATATTAAACTACTTTTCAGAGTTTAGTCTGTTATATTTGAGATGTGAGCTTTGCGATCATTTTACTCATTCCTCAAAGCTTGTTTAAAAGAAACTACGTCTCAAATAAACTCAAATACATGACTCAGATTTAGAAATGACTGAAAAGCATAATGCTTAGGCAGAGATTTTTACTCATGTTCTGTGTTTTCATTGTCTGTGTTTTCAGGGACTTGCATAAGAATTTTATCAATCATAAACCCATTCTCACTTCTTACAAAAGCCCCATTTGCCTTTTAATAACTTCCAAAGAAAGAAGTTCAAACACCCCCCTCGACATCTGTCTTCATTCAGGCGTTTACATTTGAAGGTTGAATGGTTCCTCATTTACAGTTTCACTTCTTGTCTTTGCTGGCAGAAAATAACCAAACCACAAACCATCTGTGAAGACAGTGCACTGCAAACAGTCTTCACTGACAAATTTATTGCTACACGAGACATTAAATATCTGTAACCCTTTGTGAACAAAGTGACATAAGAATCCTTTTGATTAAGCCTTTGTATTTCCATACAAAGTCCAGAATTACTGATCACTGATGAACAAACACCAACCTGTGAAAAACCTGGTTAAGTCTTCAAAACCAGTCTTTAGGATACCGTCTCAAGTCCACCTATAGTTGAGCACTTGTTTCGGCAGCTGGCCCGAATGTCAGACATCTGGAGCATGACTGACAGACTCTGATAACATCTGAATTTCCTCAAGTCTGAACCAGCTTAAAAAAAATCATGCAGTGGTTGTGACTAATTGTGAAATCTCCTTATTCACACATGGTTATCTCAGATTTATTCTTTAATTTTATATCTTGTTTCTTTTTTTCAGTGTGCAAAGACTTTGCTGTGCTGGAGGATCACTGCCTGGCCTACAACCTCCAGGAACAAGAAAGTAAGAAACTTTTAAATAAGCTTTGGAAAATATGACTGTCTGTGCCTGTATGGTGGTATAAAAAGAGAGTAGTTCTCCAGACTGTCTGTTTATGCACTTAAGTCTTTTATTGTTGAAACCTTCCCTGCATCCAACCATTCCCACCTCTGTGGACTACTTTAGTCAGGCTGTCCTGCTGCATTCCTACAGCAGGTCACCTCCTGCTTACTTAGCAAAAAAACAAGCTATGAAAGACGCTTTTTTAGAGTACAGAGAAAGGAAAATGAATGCAGTGCACCATGTTCCTCTTTCCCTCTCTCTAAAATTTGCCAAGTCCAACTGGGTAAACTGCACCGTCAGTGGCTGCAGCCTGTTTAAGCCAACATAAACCCAGCTTCGGTCACACTATTAGCTGTGTGAATGGTGCAGGATGCCACTAAAGTGCAGCATCAGGGCAGGGCAGTGGCAGATTATGATGGCTCAGTGTGTGCTTTTTGATTAGATCGCATTAATATGTGTGTGTGCTGCAGCTTTAGGGAAACACAGATCTGAAGTTAGACTCCACATTCAGCTTTTACAGGAGTTAATATATGGAACATACTGAGAGAGAGACTGTTTGCAGGTTAGTCCCTGTAGGCCTCATTAGACGAATAGTAGAAATCTAATTACCATTTTAACTTTCTAGAGATTATTTTTCTTACTTCCCTGAGAAATACCCTCAGGAATGTCTGCCCCCCTCTCACTTTAACATAAGCCTCCTCCTGTACTGAAAAAACAGAGACAGACAAAACAGGGCCCTCCTTTCATCAAATGTATAGACATTTTGCAGATGGCTCATGACCAACTCATCTACTTATATCCTTATATCTTTAGCCTACATACTCCTACGTAAAGACGTGAAGGGAGAGGGGTAACTCTTTTAGGCTGTGTCAAAATTAAAGTGGTTTAATCTCTACAGACTAGAGGTGTTTCAGTGACTAATCCCAGCAGTTTGAAAAGAAATTTGAAATCTTACTCACCAGCCTGTCCAAGGGTAAAAAAAACATTCAGAAAACAGAGTCTACAGCAGGGCTTGACTCTAACTGTTTTCACAAGAAGCGCATGTGTTCTTAAGCTTTAAAAAGTAAGGAGCACACAAAGAACTTTAGGGGCAGAATGAAAACTGATCAAATAGTGTGTGTCTTATTGGTCAAACTTAGTACTGTTGTTTGAGATGAATTTTAGGTCTTTTGGTCACATGACATGGAAGCTATAAAACAGCCTTTTTTGAGAACATCAATCGGTAACTTATTGATGGTCCCTTACTCAACACCCAACGTTGACGGTGAGGGTGCTGAGTAGATTTAACCACGCTGCTGTTGCTATTCCCGGTCATGGAGAGTGAGAAGACACCGGTAGATCCACAGTGAAAGGCAGTCGAATGTCCAACCTAAAACTAACTTCCCTGCGATATTTACATGAAAAAAAACATTGTTGCCTCGGCTGATTTGTTTATGCGCACATGTCCCCCTAAATACACTTTACACACTTCTATTCGCAAATGGGAGTGAAACAGTCGCACTGTCGAGCCCTGGTCTACAAGCAAACAATGTCAAATTGGTTTACAGGTTGTTGCTGACCTTTTCGCAGCATCAGCTTTCAGTCTCCCCTGCAGGTTACTGACCACACCCCCCTGCTGGTTACATACTGCCCTAGTTCAGTGGTTAACCAGACACAGTCTATACACAAGTTCATCTCCATTTCCTAGATTAAAAACATTAATAAACTACATTACAAGATGGAATCTTTCATGTGTGCTCGTTCACATGCCGGTAGTAAAGCCATTACAGCAATCGCCATAAACCAAAGCTAGTGGAGGGTAGCTAGCTGCAAAATAATGATGAGCATTTTGGGTCTACAGTAACAAAAATCTAGATCATCTGTTGAACTGACTTGTATGTCTGATGTTGACTAGTGGGAGAGAAGGTGCTAAGTCAACTGAACATGTGCACTGCTGGTTCAGTCTCATGTTGAACCTTTTACTGTGATGGGATTAATACATTGAAAGTGCACACATTTGGAGCACAGCTGCTGTTTTTGCTGTGGTTTGTTTTGGCAGACATGTCCTTTTGTTGTCATTGACCTTTTTTAAATCTTTAGTAATCCAAGGCTCCTCGACCAGTGGTCCTTTTTTCACCACAGTAACTGATCTGGTTAGAACCGAATAAATGTTGATTCACCTCCGACCCTAAAGATCACAGAGGAGTATAGTGGCTGTCACAGACTGAGAGTCTTCTTGTCCCTTTGTTTGCAGCCGGGATCTCATCAACACAAGGCCGTCCATGAAAAGGCTCTTTGTGACAGTCATTTGAAGTTGATGTGGAGTCGCAGCTGGCTTTAATTCCCACCGAAAATGCTGAGTATGAAAATACTGGAGCATCCAAATGTCACATGGAAAACATTTCTGTACGGTCGTTTCAGCATTTGGTGACTTTGTTTCAGGAATGTGTTTCTGTTTTCCAACTTTTAGAAACAGGCTGATCAATCCGCGATGCAGAGAGTCTCAACTTTCTCACCTTATCTCACTATTTCCTCTCAAGGTTGATTTTGTTGAATGAACGAATGTCACAACACCTGGTCATGTTGAGGGGTTTTTTTTCCACGTTGAAAGATGAACCAATGAAAAACGTGGCGGTGGATAAATGATCTTGTCTTGGGTTGTGACATCAGGTTTTCCATAAAGCATTTTTTTTATAAGGTGTCAGAAGCTTGAACAATTGATCAGCATCATCCGAAGAAATCAATCTCACCCCCCGACTTTAAAGCGAGTCGCCACAGCTGTGACTCACCAGTCAGAGAGCGCAAACTTTATGGAGCCTCTCACGGTTGAAATTGCCAAACGCAATTTGGTGCTTTTCACATGAGCGCTGTGAATGGATCAATATCCAGGTGAACGAGAGCTGAGGAAGTGACTGATGCTCTCCATGCTTAGTAAGTGTCAAGAGTGCGTCAGCAGGCAGGATTTATCATCTGTTATGGCCCACAACAGGCTATCTCACAACCTTGGAACAGCACCTCTGCTGCGAACACTCATTTCTCAGTGACTAAGAGTGTTCTTTGTTTATTACCAGAGACTAAAGCATCTGTGTCCTCAACGTTAATGTTTTTCTCTGTGGAGCATTCAAGCTTCTCTGAGACGGAACATCAAGAGCCGTGTGCATGAGTAAATAAACTCTCCATCGCTGCTCTGTTTGTTGTTTATTGAATTCCTCATTATCACGAGTCTATCCTGGTTTGCTATACACAGTTTAAGAGGGTTGCTCATGTGTTTGTGTCCATAGTTGAGAGCCACTTGGCGTCCAATGTCAATAAGAGCCGCCTGGTGCAGAAGGACCTGCAGGTCGCAAAGAAGCTGCAGCAGGAGGAGGATCAGAGGGCCAAAGTCCAGAACCAGAAACAGCACACTGAAATGTGAGTTTTACATTTACATATATATGTGGGTTCATTAAAACAAAGTTCCACTCCTAGACATGGAGAGTTAAACATAGAAAAGCATGACACTAACCTGAAGAATGCAAGCTATAAGAGGAATGTCCTCCCTTGAGATAAATGTCACTGGAATCAGCACATAAGAGAGCTTGAAAATAGAGCAAAGATAATAATTTTATTTGCTTATCTCTCAATTTGATGGAAGCAGAAAGTTTCACAACACTCTGGAAAGGGACATTACCAAGATTTCAGCTGCCCAACAGCTCCGGGTTTCCTACATTTTTGTAGTTGTTGTTGTTTTTGTTTCATGATGTACCAGATGTTATCAGCGGGTGACAAATCAGAGATGCATGCAGACCAGTTTAAACCTCCGCCTCAAGCTTCTCTGTACCACCATCACCCTCATGATTTCGGTTTCAGTGATTTGCAAACATTCAAATGATGTTTTATTTACATTTTATGCAGCATGTTAACACACTGAATCCAATTTCAAGGGAGTAATTTTGGAATTGTGGTTAAATTATTTTGACAGTTTTACAGTGTATTACAGTATGAAGTCATGAAGTACGGCTGTAATAAATATTGAAGTTTCAGAATAACAGTGTTCACTCTAAATCATCTGTATCGACTGGCTTTATTCCTGGCTTTATACAGTAGATATTGTTGGTTGAGAGCATCTGTTTCAGATTAGTGTAATCTAATGTAATTACCTCATGCTTCAGACAGATTCATACAACAGGAGTGAGGTGAACAGCAGTACAGACACAGGTGACCACAAACTGATACATTTGGAGGTATATTCCATTACTGGCATTTAGCCATGGCTTGTGTCTTGCAGTCATCAGAATCAGTTTGCTTGTGTTTGCTGTTTTGGTCATATTGTGCTGAAGAATATTAATGAGAAGGTTTTGATTTATTAGCTGAGTCGGTGTTCCCACTTCGCTGCTGTGTCTGTTTGGAGGTATTTGCTAGACTTCAAATCAGAACTCATCCAGTTATACTGAAATGAGTAGGGATTATCAAGCCTGTCCTGACTGTGATATATGTTGTTTTCACTCACGGTAACAGTTACTGGTATTTTAGACAAGTAGGAGGAATCACAAGAAGCCCATTCACTGTGCTTGTGGTGTCTGTGTGGTATCTCCACAGCCATGGAGCTCCATAATTATGATTTTTAAGGGTTTGGGCAAGCTCCAGCTGCACGTCCAGAGCTATGCAGCTTCACCCCAGAGCGGGCTGCAGCTTCTACACATAGCTGGCTGTTCTTTTCCCCTTGCTTCAGCTCCAACACAATCCTGCAAACAGAAAAGCCCTCTCCTCACCACCGTATTTGTTTTTTGAAGGAAAACTGCTGGCTCACCGCTCGGTTATATAGCAGATTCAGATGCGTAAGCAAACACGCGGAAGCTCCAACAGTGAGGTGGCACCCCCAGAGAGAGGCCAGATGCTCAACCATCGATTGAGGGAGGCCTGTGCTACTTGTCATGCTGGGAGCCCACACTGTCATCTCCTGCCACTTCATATGAACCCACTCCCATACATACAGAAAGTACACACACAAGGGCATACAGCATCACTTCTACAGAAGAAGGGAAGCTTCTGTTTACTTTTACCAGCTTAAACTCAATAAGCGATCAGCTGCTCAGGTTAGATGAAGGGGCCATGTAAGAGAGCTATGCTGTCACTGCATGTTCTCCAGCCAAGCATCATGCTTTTGTTCGTCTTGTTTGACACACAGACAGAAAAAATCTGTCTATACTAATCTTCAAGGTAGAGGGTATTTTGTCAAAGTCAGATCTTTTTAAAATGTGAGGCTCAGGAGCTCTGTCGGATCATTTCTGCTGCTGCTGCTGCCTGACGCAAACACGCTAACTCCCACAACACGCTCACGAACAATTTCCCCATGTGTCATTTCTTTTCCCTTACATGATTCTTTCAAGTGTTGTGCAGTTCTTTACAGTGATCGCTTATTTCTCTAGTCTGCTCCGTGCAGGGGCTCCTTTGCTCTTTGGAGACATTCGAGGAAAATAAACAGAGATTGATAAAAACAAAATATGTATCCTGACTATTCAGAGATGCCTCTGCCTGTGTGTCACAACACATCTGGGTGTCAAGTTGTAATAAAGTCAAAGACACGTTTGACAGAAAGCCAAGCAGTATCATGTCTTTTATGTATGACTAATAATCATGCTAATAAAAAAGGACATCCTCACTTATTCAATCACAGCCATTTCTGATTTAAAAACATTGTCAGCAGTTGTTCTAGTAACCTAATATGTTATTACCATATGTGTTTTCCTAATGGTTCACCGCTCTTCAAATATCTCTTCGTATCTCCTCATATATTCATGCGAACATCAATGTATGGAAACTCCAGTGAGCGCCAAGACATTGAGATCGCCCATGAGATTCAGGAAGAACTGGTCCGACAGGCCGAGCAACAACGACAGCAGGAAGAGAAGGATGCGGTAAGACACACACACACACACACACACAGAGATTCACACCTGTTTAAGCACAATGTAGGACACATCTACCTGTCAGTGATTTGAATTCTGTTGGTATTAGTGGACTGTGACATGCAGGTCTTGAGTCATCACTTTGTCTGTGCTTTCCTTATGTACCAATAAAATGACAGTGACCTGAACTGCATGTCTGAATCACAACATTAGTAAGATACGAAGCCAACATAGTCATTCATTGACATAATGGCAATATCAGGTTGTTTTCCCATCATATTGTGAGTAAACGAGGCCACAGCTATGTTCAGTGTTTAACCTCAGTGATGAGGTTAATGAAAAGGCTCTGGTTCAGTCTCTGTCAATCCATCATGGCTGTCACTGTAAATATTTTAACTACCCTGTTAATTATCCAAAAGGTTAAGCTGTAAATAAGTCTTTGAAAATGTCTTCAAAGCGACTTTTTTGCTCATACTCTGATTTGAAGATGTGTTATCACTTAACAGGATTACAATGTTAGGAATTAATCCAATATTTGGTCCAAGAAGGACACCTTAATTATCTGTTGAGCCATCAGAAGATGACACTTAATAACCTCATATGTGTAAAATTTGTGTGAAAAAACTCTATTTTTATTATTTGTTATGGATCGGCCCAAACAGGAAATATTTATTTATCGTTATAGGATGGCGTGTTTACTCTGCCCCTGTTTGTTTGTTTGTTTGTAGGCCATCGCTCGTAAGCTGCAGGAGAAGGAGATGAAAGAGGAGAGGAGGAGACAGAAGCAGAAGGAAGCAAACTTTGAGGAGGAGTACTTTGAGGATCACGGAGGTGAGGAGAGCACAACTGGCTGAGAGCAATGTGTGTCTGCTCCTCTGTGTTTGCATGTGTTTTTCACATGTGCGTGCAGAGACGCAGGAGAAAATATGGTCCTCTTTGCTGCTTTAGATGAGTGAGAGTTGTGCTCTTGTTGTGGCAGAGCACAGGAGATAGTTCTGAACATGGGAGGTGATTTTGGACTGCGTTCCTAAGCTTTAATGAACCCTAAATGAGGCTTACATGTTCCTGCAAGGAAATGATTCATCATTTCACTCCAGTTAAAGAGCCAACACCAACGCTAATATGTTTAACAGTGCTTCAGTTTTCAGACTCAACATTAATATTATTTGAAAACAGATTCAATCTCATACATTACATTAGTCATCTATTGGGGTTTAGGGTTAGTTCCACTGTAGGTCTGTTTTGTTCCCATTTGAAGAGAAAAGGTTGATCTTTTCAGTTTCCTCTGTTGTCAAATTGTTGCGCTGAGCCAAGTCACTCCATGTGTGCGAGGTTCACCTTAAGATCAGAGTTGATCCTACGTCATCACCGCGTTTACAAAAGCCGGTTCAACGCAGGTCTTTTATAGTGACGGCCGATCAAGATGAGGAATGCTGCAGCAGCTGAATTATACGTCAGCTTTCTGGCTGCACTGTGGCTGGTTGTAATGCACTTACAGCCATGGGTGGGGTGTGACTTTGACAACACAGGAGAAATATATTTCACACAGTCCTCTCCTTATTTCGATTCCCTCCTGACTCATAAAAGCTCAGCTTTGTTCTCCGCAGCTTTTTTTTATCTCCTGCTGAGTCTAATTGGGCAGATTAGTTCATGGTTTTATGTCAGGGTGGTTTTGTTTTGGTGTTGGGAAGAACTCAATATGTTCTTTATATGTTAAAAGAAGATCAAAAATAGCCTTTCAAGAAAATTCTCAAAAAAAAAAAAAAAAAAGGAAATACCTCTACTAAAATCAGTCCACGTTCTCAGCATTTTAACATCCATTTACTTCCTGCAAGGACATGTATATCCTAGTATGTTAAAGTTATGACAGTCAAATGTTTTGTGGCAAAGAGAGCTGGATAGTAGAGTGATTGATCTTGGTATTATCTATTGATATTTTATGGTTAAATTAGAATCAGTTTGAATCAGAAGCTCACAGTTAATGCTTGGAAATGAGGATAGAAGTGTTCAGTTTCTTGAGCTCTTTTGGAGGGTGTATAAAGGCTGACCTACACCAAAAGATTTTATGAATCTGAACTGATGTTTGAAATGTGAGAGACACAATAGACAGGAAGCATCAGCGAGAACCCAAAAGTATTTGGATTACAACAGGTTATCAGGTAGTGAATACTGATCTGGAGCAGGGTTTGATATCAGTGCAGGGACAACTTCCTCCTGAGCAGATCAGAGAAGCCCCTTTTAACAGAGATCACAGGAAAATCTGGCATAATAAGAGGGAATCAGGCCCCATAACAGCTTGGTACCTTGTAGTGCTCACCCTGCATTAGTTCAACCTGGATGAAAACTGCTTAAAGGGAGGGGACAGTTATGTAAATACTCCACAGATTCTGTATCTGCACTTTGTTGACTTAAACGGGGCTTAAGGAGGGCTTTCAGCTGTCAGTCTATCTTCTCTGTTGTGTCTGTTTCATAAGTGTCTGGATCACAAGCTGCACTGGTGCTTCGCCTCCTTTTAAAGGTGTCACACATAACAGGTGGTCTGGATACAACTGCAGGTCCTCCATGCTTACTGCTATTCTTCCAGGAGAGCTGTGTTTGCACTTTCTTTCTTGCATGTTGCAAAACCTCATCACGTCATTATCCTGCAGAGTGTGTAAAAGAGCATGCACATGGAGGGGGAAAGGTTTCGCTTTCTTGTTCAACCTGACTCTGACACTTTGGGGTCACTCGTTACTCAGATACAAATTTATGAAGGATGTGAGATTGTGTCCAAGCAAAGATGTTTTTTTTTTTTTCTTTCTTTCTTTCTTTCTTTCTTTCTTTCTTTCTTTTTTTTCTCTTTTTCTTTCTTGCCTTCTTGCTTTCTTGTCTTTCTTTTCTTATTTTTCTTCCTCTTTCTTTCTCTTTCTCATTTCTTATTTTACTTTATTTCTCTCTTTTTCTTTCTTATCTTATTTCTCTTCCTTTCTCTCTCTCTTTCTCTCTCTTGCTTGCTTTCTTTTTGTCTTTCTTTCTTTTCTTATTTTTCTTTCTGTTTTTCTTATTTTCTTTCATTTTTTCTTTCTCTCTTGTCTTATTTTTCTTTCTTTCCTTCTTGCTTTTATTCTTTCTCTTTTGCTTTTCTTCTTGCTACTTTCTTTTTTCTTTCTTTCATTCTTTCTTTCTTTTGTTCTTTTTCTTTCTTTCTCATAGGTTTCACATTTGCTGAATAAGCATATTTTACTTTCATCTGAAAGTACATCTAAGTTTTCTAGTTCTCTAACTCTGCTGATGCTTTTTGAGTTTGGTAAATTAAATACTTAAAGACACGGTTTTAACAAAAGTTTCTGCCTAACTCTGTCCCTGTATTTACATTTCTTTCTTAATGCTTTGTTACCTCCTCCCCACCACACTGTCGATCCTCCTCAAACACATGTAAACACTTTTTATGAGGGTGTGTAATCTGCTGCTCCATACAGAAAATGAAACATTGCTAGCTGTGCTTTACCTAATCCAGTGGATTACAGCTGTCTAAAGCAAGCAGTGTGGGGGTGGACCCAGTCTGTGCCTGACAGATACACGACACTGGGAAAAAATGGGAAGAAGAGAGAAAGATACGAGTTAAGAAGTGAGATCGGATAGAAACGAACCTGTGCACTGTGAGCAGGTAGAAATCAGGCTGCCCTCGTACCTGCCCTCTTTTCTATTTGACTCAAGTTTGAACGTTAACAGACTCCAGTTCAGCAGCCAGTTTAGATGAGTGGAATTCCATTGCGCTGACTCTCAGCTCTGGCCTCTGCTGTGAGCTTCTTCTGTGTGTTTTTCCACATGTTTGTTTTCATTGAAACTTGTGTAGAGAGAAGGTCAACTCCCACTTTGAACTCTTTCATAAGGATAAACGTGTTTTTCTTGGTTTAATGTTCTTTTTTTCTCACTGACGTTCATTGGATCACAAAAGCTATCGGGGTGTTAAAGCACTGATTATTACGTTGCCACTGCAGTGACTTTCCAGTTTGGGTGCAGCTAATGTCGGTTCTCTTTACATCTCCAACATTGACCTTCTCTTTTGATTGTTACTCTCCTCACAGGTGGTGTCTACTAACTATGAGTTCCTACTAACCATCTTAAATTGTGTAACTGCTGTTTGATATTGTTTTCATATTTTCATGTTCACATCAACCGTCATCTTCATCATCATCATCATTTTCTCCATGCTCCCTTTCCCCCTTTTTCACCGCTGCGTCCCCGCTCAGCTGCACGACGAGCCCTCGACTTGGACAAACACAGCCATCACAAATCATCCGGACAGTACGATACGTACAATCCAGTGAGCTCACACAGGGATTACTCCCCAGATTATAGCTCCACTGAGCCCAAAAGAAGCAGGTACCCAAAACACAACCCTGCGGCACCCCACAGCCGCTCCAGATACCCCGAACACTACCTTGGGGCTGAGGGAGGGCGAAGCAGGCATGCAGATCCATATCCAGAACACCTGCTGCCCTCCAGGGGAAAGCACGGGGAGAGATATCAGGATTATGTGCCCATAGAAGCTGGTAGAGAGAGAGCGGTGAGGAGGAAGGAGAGACCAGCTAGACCTCCTCCACCGCACAGTCACATAGAGAGAGACAAGGCCTGGGACAGAGAAAGAGACAGGTATCGAGACAGAGACCGGGACAAAGTTAGAGACATGATGGAATGGGAGAGGCATGTGGGAAAAGACCACCGGAGAGACAAGGAACAGGACTTCAGGTCGGAAAGATGGGACAGAGAAAGATCTAAAGAAAGAGGACTCAGTGGGGACAGACAAAAGGATAAAGACAGACAGAGACAGAAAGACAAAGAGAGACGAGCGAGGGCCAAGAGCGTGGAGAGAGGACTCGAGGAGGAGCCGGGGTACAGCAGAAACAGGGAAAGAGTTGGCAGGACCTCCTGGGAAGAGGAGGGGGACGAAGAGGAGAGGGAGAGGAGTGGGAGAGGCCGGCAGCGGGTCCAGTCAGGCCACGAAGAAGTGTTTGATGATCTCAGGGGCGACACCAGTGAGTGGTTGGACCCCCAGCTGGGTGAGGGTCCTGGCAGGGAACGCAGTCTTACTCACCCCGGCGGAGATACAGGTACCACCCTGAGCCCCTCCCTGGGCTGTGCAGGGTTGTGGTGTGCTGTGGTTGCTTATTTTTGCTGTGGCGATCTCAGGTGGTGGGTTGATCTAACATCACAATCACTAATGAAGATACTAACTCTCTCTGCTCTCATGAGGATGACTCCGATCTCACAGTCATTTCTGGTGGGATTCAGACATTGATGGTTTGAAACGCTCTGATTTGTGGCTTTCTGGTTTGCTCGTTGTTGCTGTATCTTTTGGGGTGTGCTTTGATTGCAGAAATAATGTGCTGAGAGTGAAATTTGTGCTGTGATTGATTAGTCGAGAGGTTTCATGTATTTTTGACGAACTTAAAGTCGGCATTCATAAAGGGCTTCAGGGCTAGTGAGCCGGTTATATTCGCATATCTCATGACAGTTTAAAGGTGTTTGAAGAATAATCCTATAAAGACCAGTCCTGCAGCCCTTTAGATGCCTTATGGCTTCAATCCAACTGTGATTCCATTTATCGTAGTACCTAAATGATGATATTATCAGTCAAATAATTGTTTTATTTATTTAAATTTTCTTCAAAAAATACAAAAAAAAAAATCAGAATATAGATTTTTTATGTCTCCAAACTGAGTTGATGGAAAATGCAGAATGTAATTGTTACACGCAGCCCTGACTCATCACTGACACACTGCGTTCTAAACCACAGGCCGCATTGTGCACCGAGGGAGCGGAGCAGTAGTTGTAGCAGATGCGGAGTACGGACTGAACGAGGCCACTAAGGGGTTAACAAAGCTGGATCTCCGTGAGCTGGAGATGAAGGACATGGAGGTGGCCAGAAAACTCCAGGAAGAGGAAATCAAGGTGAGGGAAGAATCCAGAGAAGTATTTGATTTTGTTCATGGGTTTCACAGACGCGATTAAAATGAAATGAAAAGAACTGGAAATGATGGATAAGTCTGTTTGAGGTTTGGCTTTTAGCTGTTTTCCCATAAAGCTGTTCCACTGTATATAACTCTTCAATATGTCAGTGTCGTCAGATCAGATACACAAGGACAGATATCGAGCAGGTAATAAACCCAACATTAAATACTGAAGACTTAAGTCTTGAGTCAGATCTCAAAACAAAAGAGTCCAAGTACAGTAGCTGTTCCGTACACTGTGGGGATTTCCATTAAATATTAGGCTTGAAGATTTTAGCTATCATTTTCTGAATATTGAATGTTGTATAATGTTGTATCTGTGTGACTCAGTTTGTGGAAAATGTGATCATTTGGTCGTCTTCTCATTTCAGGCGAGTAAGATACATGTGCGTGCAGCCCAAGTGGCGCAGGATGAGGTGAGTGGGCATGAAGTCTGGAAACTTGTCCTCTACTGTCTGTCCTCCTTTCATATCCACTCTTTCCTGAACTCAGCCAATTACAGCTTCTGCTGTCACTTTACCTCATGTCTCCAAGCCTGGTTCTTACCCAAAGAAGAAGAAATAGTCAACTGTACAGGCTGTGATTTAGCAATTGAGAGCTGTAGACGGTTCATATGACACTAAAAATGTCTGTATGTGTTATATAAACGCAGTGACATTGACGTGCTGCCCACACAGATTACCAAGATTATGTAGGTTATGTTTCATTCAATGTGTATGTAACTGGTGTCTCAATTTGGCAGGAGATCGCCCGCCTGCTAGTGGAACAAGACAAAAAGGAATACAGGAAGCAACGGGAGCAGGAGAAAGAGAGAGAGCGAGAGAAGGAAAAGGAGCGAGAGAGGGAGAGGTTGGCCATGGAGAGGATGGCGATGGAAAGAAGACGACCAGAGGGAGACTACAGGGTAATTTTGAAGAGTTTGAGGGGAAATATTTCTGCTTTTGTTACACAGTCTAAGTTTACAACAGCTTCCACTGTTGCGCTGAAACCATAATTTCAAGAACCACAAATTTGTGATGTTTTGCAGCCAAATTCAGAAGAAGTTGTCCGACCGAGAACACGAGAGGAGTATGATCACCAGAGGCAGAGGGACCACAACAAGCCTGCCAGGTTCAAGACTCGTCACTTCTTCAGACCAAGTATTTCAAGTCAGTCAAAAAGTGAAAGCAGCGTCATTTCAGTTATTTTGTCCGTCTTTGTCTCCGTGTCTGTTTCAGACCTCCACAGCCTCGGTCGCACGACTATGAGAATGTGAACTCTGGCTACGGCTACTCGGACCACCATGTTCCTCCTCGAGCTCCCGCCAGACCTGAGGCTGCTTACAAAGGTGTGATATTATGTGGATTAGTTCATTGAAATTCAAATTCTACTCACTTCCTGCACTAATTTAACGCAGGGACACACTAGTATCTGTCTCAGAAATGATGGAAAGTAACTTATTAGATGTTCTTGATAATTTAGTTTGTCACAAAACAGTACAGGGAAAAAAAAAGGAAGTAACACTTTTGTCCGTCACAGACACCCATCTGTAAATCTAGTGCAACCCATCCCCTCCCTACTTCTCACTTTAATAGGAATCTGATTGGACAATTAGCACTCAGCCAGATAAACCTTTGGGTGTTTTAGCTCAACATAAAACACTTTTTACTTTAATGAGGAGCAAATTCTAAGACACCTTATGGATGAAAAAAATCTTGAAAATATCCAAAGCATACTCTTAATTCAGTTTCAGTTTCTCATGGTGAATGACTGGCACTCTTTAAAGACCCACTCTAATGAAAATCACGTTTCTCTTGTTTTTTATATGTTCATATGGCATTTTTCTGATGCTACAGGACATATCATGAGAAAACTAAAACGAAACTGCTCTTCTGAGTATTTCTTCATTCAAATCGCAGTGAATCTCTGGCAGACCCATATGGCAGGTTCAGAAACTGTGAGATATCATACATAACCAATACAAGCTCCGCACCCGGAGTCATATAGGAAATACAGAGGACTAAAGACATTAGCGTGCAAGAGCTAAATAGCTCCTATGTTACCTGCCACTTCTACTACACCGGAAATGTTAGGCTGCAAGCTAACATGAAGAGGAGTGTGCAGAGCAGCGCTGTCTCTGCTCACGACTCAGAGGCGAAATTCTAATGATCTACTGGAGCTCTGCAGCAGAAAAGCCCTCGAAAATGACACAGGTAACACGATTTTTGGTAAAAACTTCATAATCACAGTTTAAAGACCACTGATAACACTTCAAGTAGTAAAACAAAATGATCGGAGTGGGACTTGAAATCTCTATCCCTGCACGTATTTATCGTGTTGATGAGCACAGCGTGGAGGTTCAGCCACAGTCGACTTCAGCTCAACGATTACATATCCTCGAGTAGTCATGATAAAACCAGCACATCAAAAACGTCCTCACAGATCAGATCAGATCATTGAGATGAGGGGTGGATTACTGATGGAGTGCTCTGCTGTATGCAGTAGTTATGGGCAATGATGATGGACACACATAGACCAGAAACCAGATCTCTGAAAAGTGCAGTGAAAAGACGCCTTAACAACACAACTTTAAATTGGAGTGTGCTGTGTCAAGCTGCTGATGGATCATTTGTCTCCTCGGTTATTTTCCAGGTGCCTATTACAAGCGGTGACTCAGGCTCTCTGCTACGTCCAGACATGCTGTCAGTCCTCCTTCGTCCTCCTCTTTTAATTTATCTCCTTGTTTTCAACCATTCACTCTCTGTTGACCAAAAGCCTTGGGACAATCTAATGAGTTGGCAATGGCAGATTTTTTTTTTTTTTTTTTTTTTTACACCCTCCAAAGTTCATTAAGTGGATCCGAGTGCTGGAACCACACTCATCCTTTCTTTTTTTTAAATGGTTGTAAGTCAAGACTTAATATCTTTTCAGTGACTCCACTTCAAAAAAAAAGCCAAAATATCAGCCTTCTGACAGAAACTCCCATGATTCTTAGCTGTTTCAAATGAGGAACTGGCTCCTCACCCGCTGTGATCATGTGCTGATGTTCGTCCCATGGTGTGGACCATGCCATCACAAGGGCTCAAGGCCTCTGCTGGAAACAACCGTGCAATCTCAAATGATCCTCATGACTTCTTCATGGGACGTGCCTGTCTGCTCCAACATGGCTGCTACAGTGTCTTACATACTAACATGGCAGCTGCTTTGTTACACCCAAGCACCCCTGCAGTCCTCTTTTTTTCGGTCACATTCTGCATGGAGGACGTAGGAGCCGTCTCTGCGTGCAACCTGAGATGGAAACGCTCCCGTTTCTCTCTTCAACAAAACAACTTGTGAGCCTTGATCAACATGCTGGTGATTTTTTGCCCCCTTGTTCCGGCGCAGAGGAGGCGGTGCTTTGTGATGATCCATGGATTTTTAATTGGCTGTCAGCTGTCTTTCTCTGCTTAAGAGGGTTGTTTCGCTCCAACACCCTTAACCTTTTATGGGTGGATGATACTCTGTGTAGGACTCACTGTTTCTATGTGCATGCTTACTGAAAGTGTTCAACTGTGTACATGCATTTCAGCTCTTTATCAAATAACCAATCTGCTTCTTTTTTACCTTCAGAAAGGGCTAAGGCCGCGGACAGTTCTCCTCTCTTAAATAAAGAAAATATGTTAGCTCGTATACTGCTTTACAATATATCACTTTGCCACTATTTCATATCATTTACAAACCAAACCTGGCCCGTGTAAAAGCCAGTTCCAAAATGAAATGCATGTACATTGCTTGTCTGTTGTTGAATCTTATTTCATGCTTTGCGCTTACGGCGCAGATGTTGTGCGATTGAATATTTGTCCTTGTTTTATTTAAATGTAAATATTCATTTTTATTTAATCCTTTTTTTTACTTGCCAAACCAAATCCTGTCACCAACCATGGAAAATACAAGTCTCTCTCAAGTTCTTAAAGCTGTTTTCCCACTTATTATCTTTCTTCTGAAAAAGGGAGTCTTATACTTTATTTTGGTTTATTTTTCTGGTCTTTCCTCAGATTGTTTTCATTCCCCTTGAACTTTCCTGCTGTCACTTCCAGTCCTCTTCATTTTGTCTCAAAGTCAAAGGCAGACATCACTTCCTGCCTGCCTGCAGTAAATGCACATTTTCTCACAGTGGGAGAAAAATCTGGATGGAGGGGAATCATTCACAGAGACAGCAGGAAAACCTTTTCTCTAAAGGGACCTATTTTAGTGTTTTCACTGCTCCAGGATGCGTTGTTTTTGTTCATATTGAATAAGGATGAAAAGGAGAATAAAGCACATTTATATTTGTGGGGCCGGAAAGTGATTAGATCCTTAAGTGCTGCGTTCAGGTCCTCGTGTTGTGTCTAATGTTACTGGCGTTATAATTCAGCTTCCAAATTTAAAATTGATCCTTTCCCCACTCAGATCCCCCCTCTCTCTCTCTCTCTCTCTCTCTCTCTTTCCTCTCTATTGAAATAGTCAATTTTCTTTGCCCTGGTGTGAAGTGTTTCGGCTGCTGAGGACTGGCACGCTGGTGAAATTGAACTTTGTGATGATGTGCTAAATGCTGTTGACAGAATGAAATTTGTGCCATATGTTGATGATGTTTTCAGGGACTTAGAAATAGGAGAGCTTCAAGTAGTTGTGGTGTTAGCAGAGCTACCACACCCCAAAAAGTGGGAATCCTAATTTATTCTTGGGTGGGAGCACCACCTTGTGGACATGGTGACTATTGGAAAAAAGCTGATCAGAATGCGTCTTAATGTACTTGTGGACTGTTGTGCATCAGACATGACTTTGGAATTGAGTGCCGTCTTCATCATACATTGAGTGTTATGTTTTTATTTTTTTCAATCCAGGGCTTGTATGCAATCTACCAATCATGAATCAACACATACTGTATGTGTTGGCACTTAATGTAACAGAACTTTTTTAAGTAAAATGAATTAGCAAGTTGCTTTTACCTTATTGCATCTGAAAATGTAATAAACTGTATCAGCATTTCATCTGAGTGTGAATACATTCATTCAGTCACACTTGAACCACAATACATATAACCCCGCTTCAAACTGCATGACTAAGTTTCAGACTTTAAATTACCTCCAAAAGATCAACTTTGATCAGTTTATTATAAGTTTTTTTAATCATGGTTCTTTTCTTGAAGTGGGATCTTGACACACACACACACGTGTTCAGGTTTACTACTTCAACAACAGGACAGATGACGTTTTAATGTGGGCTGATTTTTGCTCCTTCCTCTCCCTCTACAGACACTGCCTTGAGAAAATCTGCACAACTAAAGCAGCAGACATTTACATTTAAAATGTGGAGGTGTGAACTCACAGTCTTATGTCATGTTAGTTTTAAATGTTATATAATGTGACACTCACCTGTTAGACTGCACTTCAACACCAAGAGTAACTAACAGTTAAAAATGAACAAAGACCTCTAGTTGTGTGTGTGTTCAATATGAACTACCTTTTAAACAAGGAAACAGATGATTTAACTAAAGTGTCTGAAGTACAGACATTTATGTTTAATTATCACAGACTTGCAGCATGTCCTCTGATAGGGTTTCATATTCAATAGTTAAAGCTGCATGTAAACTTTCCCTTTATCTACATTGATCTCATTTCTGCTCAGTACCCAGTATTTCCTTGTGTAATCATTTCCTCATGAGGGTGTCAGGTAGTCTTTTAATTGCCATCATTTTTAATAAATCATGCCACAAAGTACAGAGTTACACCCATCATCTGACAACGGCTGAGTGGAGCTGGTTCACCAACATACCTGACATAGTGATGCTTCTTTTGCATGTGGTAACACCACTGCCATGCCCTCATTGGGATATGTCACAACCAAACTACTGAAAGCTACACCTCTTTAATAACCCGAAACATGGCTGCTCCTGCTGCTGCAGCTGCTGCTACTACTGCTGCTACTGCCAATGTTTGTGAAACTAGAGAGGAGACCTAGTGGCTTTTATTTGCAGGGAATCATCTGCTTAACAAGTCAAGATTCTACTTGAATGTCTAAAATAAAGTCCAGACTTAGGCTAGCATTAATTTTGCTATTGGATGTAAATTTCCACGCTGTCCTATCAGATACTGAGAACTTTTGCTATTTTGCGCAGTATCCCCAGGCTGTCATCCAGTGATCTATCAGCAGAGTTAAATCGTTCTCGAGAACAGTCAGTTTCTTCTGAGTCCTTGTTGGAGAAAGTCCATCTGGTCACCTCTGTTCGGCCTTGCATGCACATTACACACACGACCAGAAACAATGACTGAAATTTTTGAGCAAATAATTCCCAGGCAAAGTTTCCAGCTGAGCGAGTAACAGAAAAGCTGTAGAGTAATCCTGTGGAGAGAAACGACAGTTATTGTCTCAAATTAGACGTCCTTCTGTGGGAAAGTGTTTCATTCATTAGGACCATGTCTGTTAATGCTTTGATCTTCACCTCCCTTTACTTGCTGTATTACAGAATACACAATAATGCCGCAGCTCAACACTGCAAGCAAATATTGATTTATGTTCAGGCTCAAACTCGTTTGATAAATTCAGCTACACTCTCAGTGGGCTGACAGTCACAGGCCCGCCGGGACAGGTGTTTGCACTAAACGCTGAAAAAGAACAAGAAGGCACACATCCTGACCAGAGAAGCTTCTTGTTAACAGTGTTACATAATAACTCAGACCAAACAGGACAATATGTGTTTATAGGTTAAAGTGAACTCACCTGTCCGTGTCCGTGTCATCCAATCACTCCAGTGCCCTCAGACTGATCAACAGGCTGCTGCGTTCAATGACTGACTGAAATTAATTCTCAAGGACTCTGTGTTTTTTCGTGTCTCACCTGGCAGGTAAAAAAGGTGAGTGCAGCTGTCTATCAAGTGGAGCACGCCGTGTTGGGACACGAAGACACACCCACTTATTAGAGAGAGAGTGAGGGAGAGAGAGAGAGAGAGAGAGAGAGAGAGAGACATAAGAAAAAAAAGGGAGAGAGCCTACCAATTGCCTCCAACTCATTGTTTTGGTCTTTATCAAGATGTAAATCCCTCTGACAGAGAGGAAAAAAAACACTCTTTGATACTGTGTGTGAAAGAAAAAGTGCCAGATAGCTTTTATCTGATGCGTTACATGTTTTTTTTTTTTTTTTCTCTCAGCCTGATAGAGCCTGGGGCACATCTTCAGGAAAAACCGGTAGAGGTGGTCAGAGAAGTATTTAGTCTGTAGACTTTACACTGATCCAACCCTGTATAGAGAAACACCAAGCTCTTTCAAACGTAAGGAAATCAATTCAACAAGCGCCGACGATTAAAATGGGAAATTATAGAAGAATCAATCAAAGAGTTTCCCTTACATTACATGTCTAATTTTAGCGGTTAAGCCTATTTTAACACCGCATTTCATGTCTTCCTCTAATCCAAGTACTAATACTCTTTGTGTCACGTACTAATCCTACACTGACAGGGCTGCATCTGCAAAGATTTCTCTGGTGCTGCACCTTCTACTCTCCCCAAAACTAATCAAAACTGACAGATCGCTGAGGATTTAGGCTTCAACTCAGATCTATTTACACTACATTTGCAAATTGGGATTCATAGTTGGCCCATACAGCATTAAGTGAGTTTAGATCACTTGCTGGCCTTGTGGTTTCATGTCAGACAAATGCAAAAATGTCCCTCTTAGATAATCACTTTTTTGATTCACCCTGACCTAAAACACCTTATAAAACCTTACCAATTAAAGAATGACACCCTCACAGCCCTGCAGGAGTGTCTGTCACATTGCAGAAGTTGAAATCCTGGCATGTGGACAAAAGCAAACATTCTCATAGTGAGGTTTAAAAATTAGGCAGGCCGTTTGGCCTCAGGCGCTCTGTGCTGTGCCTGATGCAGGAATGACAACGGACTGGTTTACAGCACCACCTAGACCCATCTGCACAGGGTGTCACCCTTGTAAGCATGCCAAGGCAATCCTCAGGTGTTTTGTTTGAGCTTGCACAAAGAAACACAGGTTGTACTGAATTTATTTTAGGATACTGATCAGCTCATGAGCAGGTGAAGAAGTAGGCATAAAAGAGAGCCATGGGTCCAAGTTATCACTTAAAGGATAAACCCCTGAGACAGTCATATAACCATTACTGTGATTTTGAAAATGGAGTTTAGATTTTTGTTGATGTGGGCCTCTATCATTTCAGCTTCAGTGTTCAGAGTCATCGGAAGATTTCTTGATAGGCCTTTTTCTTTGGCTTTAGGAAATTTACAGTAAAAAGGAAAACAAAAGAAGAATTATTTATTATTTGGGGGAATCTGTTGTATTTATCCAGTTTGCTTTGACTAATACAGAAAACTGAGCTCTCTGTCAAAATAAACACTCAATCCTAATTTTTTATTACCTCAAATGTGTGTTATAGAAATTCAAAAGCGGCAGTGATTTGAAGTAATTTCACTGAGCTAATGCTGTTAAGAGGTAATAAAGTGTGTCTTTATGTCAGTATTCAAAGATTGTATCTTAATAACTGGAGCAAATGACCAAAGCTGAAAACATCTGATCCATCAGAACCTATTACAAATGCTTCTATCAAAGGCTCATGCATCTTGCATTGTTAGTCTGTTGTTAAAGTTGTAGTGTGTAGTATTTAGCAGCATTTAGTGAAACAGACTTGGTAGAAATGGAATACGATAGGCCGCTTCTTCTGCTTGAGGGGCACTATAAATGGGAAGGGTGAATAAAGGTGTATTTCTCTCTGTCTGTTAGCTATATTTTAATTCTGATTTCTAAGCACTAAACCTTTAAATTCATGAAGCAGTACAGCGTCACTTGCAGTTGTACTTTCCGGCATCCAATTAGCACCCCGTAAGCTACATGAAATTTGTCCCACTGAACCTGCATGTTGCTGCCATTACACCTCATTAAGCCAGCTGTATTTCTTCAGTGTAGACTACTGATCTTGTGAGTATTTTAGAGTGTGAATAAAAGCACAGAAGGACTCTATGTAGAAGCGGCTCTTTGGCTGTGAAAACACCTGATGGGTTAAAGCTGTTATAAAGTGTTAGTTTTTGTCACACCTGTGTTGGACTTGTCAAACATCAACTGTGTGCCAAAGGCTTACTCACTGTCGCATTAAGTCTAGACCACTTGATGTTGTAGTAATCGCTCAATTAAACAGAAGAAAGTTTGAGGAGGTGATAATGAAATAATGCAACACTGGAATTTAGAATAATCTGACACTAAAAAAAGACATTTCATACATTAAATGGTTGGGAGTTAGATTTGTATCTTGACGTCTATCTTGTTGCAAAAGCTTCTAAAAAAAGAAAGTTAAGTTTGTGTTCTTAAACTTTAAATGACTTGAACAGCTTAATTTTAACTTTCTTGATTTTGTATTTAACTGAATATATTTAGCGCTGAATATATATAGTGAGCTAACAGACCAGATATATGAATATGATCAAGCCACTCTTTAGTTGCCGCAATAACAAGGTTAAAGAGTTAATAAAGTTCTCACAGTGTGTCCTCAGTGGCATCTGCTCCTGGGGCTTGTCATACTCAGAATGACCCCTAGATGGCATCTTCCTCATATACAGTCTTCTGTAGTAAACTGTACTCATCTGAGGGTTTGGCCTCTGCTGCAGATGTAGGTCGGTGTTTAATGAGCTTGCAGATTGCCCATTTTGTTGAGCTGTGTCCACTTTGACGACCTGGAGCCGCATTTTTTAGAAGCTGAGACAAAACTAATGATGCTAAATTATAAAAAGGCACTTTAACCTACTTTTGCTTCCATCCTCTTTACTCAGTAGCTCCACTAGATAAATATTTGGGTGTAATTAACTTGAATGGCTTGTTGCTATTCCCAGAAGTGAGATTAAAGTGGCTCCTCCCCGATGCCTGCTTCCTCCTTCATCCTGCGTGACGATGGAGAGAGTAATGAAGTCGTGCTGCCAACAGAGATCTCTTGAGGTCAGATGTGGAGATGGATGAGACCTCCATCTTTATCTTTCATGGCAGGAAAAGTCACTTAGCAACATACCAGTGATTCACTAAATGTACTGGAAAATGGACAGGAGATTATCTGTGAGTTTAAGTGTTAGATTTTTAACTGTGAACCCATAAACTCCTCAAAAGGCCCTGGCTGATGTGGTTAAGTTCTGTTTTTAGGCTTTAATCAGTCTTTTGGCATTAATCTATTCACTGTTATCCTGTGATAGTTATAGGAAAATGTTGGTTTATTTCTGCCGTATGCAATTTTTCAAAATACTAACCTGACCAATAATGACTGCCTGGTTTGCACACTGCAATGTACAATCTACAAGGCATCATAAAAGATACTACAGTTTGAGCTGAGGTTACGACCCATCTCAGAGGAGTCATTTTATGAGGAAAAACAACCTTTGTAAGCACCACATTAACACTTTCTGCCCGTTTTATTTTAACATCTCATAAAAACCCAGACTTTTGTTTTATCAGAGGAAACTGCAGATTTTTGATAAAGGCTGAAATAATAATAGAGAAAGTCTTTAAGCAAAGGGTCAATTCAAAGGAAGTTTGTGTATGTGACACACAAACATCGTCATATTCACTCAGTGAACCTGGAAAAAAATGTCTTTATTCTTAATTTAGAGGATAGGAAAATGTGGGGGATTACATGCCGTCAAATTTTGATTGAAGACTGAGGCCTCTGACGTTATGTCTGGCATTACAATCCGGGGCCTAACTGGGATTTAAATACACCTATATGCTTAAATTACAATATCTTTTGTCAGTTTAAATGGATTCATTCAAGGATCTCAGAAATAAATTGTTAGTTCTCCATCAGATTTAGATAATTTGTTTTTTGATCATAGCATTAACGTCATAATCTGCCTCTTCTTTAAAGATCTTCATAATTTCAGCCACTTTTTTGACACTTGCTTCTACAATAGGAGGTGCAGTATGAGTGTGTTTCGTTTTTGAGGTTCCGAGAATCCCTTCGCATTATTTCCCAAAAACTTGTGATAATAAACGCTGCCACCCCTCCCCTATTTTCGGTAACAACATGTGTCACAGTTACTGTTTAAGGGTTTTTTGTGTACGAACAAAAACTTTGAGACCTTATCACCTTTCAATGATCTGCCCTGAGGGTTATAAAAACATCTTTATCAGCAGTTAAAAGGGATGTGTGAGGGTCTGGTATATTTTTGGCTGTGTCTTGTTTAACTCAGTGCCCACAACATAATGCCTCATAATTCGCAGAGAGTCAATAACGATGAATCATATTATGTGTAATTAGCATTAAAATGTAATCTAGCTCTTTAAATCTGTGATTCAAAACCAGTAACAATGGTCCAGTTTTCTTTTAAGATATCCCTGATGTGTATTGCTCTATTTTTCTCCATATTATTAAGATCTTTTACTCATATTTTAAGTGGATTCTTGGGAGTAAGTTTTGATAAAAACATTTGCAGCAATTTCAGACAGAATCAAAACTTTACCGTCTTATCCTGATCAAATTATTAGACCACATATGTGAAATTGGGTCGTTCAAAAATATATATAATCAGAAGAGAAAGGCCCAGGACCTGATTGACCTGGTAGATGTAAAGTTAAATAGGCTTTTATGTGCAAGACATTATAGTCTATAGTTGCATAAGTCATTCTCACGCCCTGCATGGACAAAAACCTGAACATTAACTTCATCTTCATTTTAAATCTTCTTGTCCTTTTTACCTTTTGCACTCAGATGATGATAAACAACTATCTGACTTTTATAAATGCCCATTTTATAAAACACAAATCTAAAGATACAAAGCCTCTACCAGCACCTGTTAATTTGTACATTGTCAGAGTGCATCATCGAGCTGTTCTCATGAGACCCCTATAGGATGTGAGTCAGTGGCTTCTTATGTAAGGGACTGAAATGTCACGTGTGGAAAACAAAGCCTTATTACAGACACATGGCAGTTTACTTGGTGGATGGTGTTGCTTCACATAAACTAGGGAAAAAAAAACATTGCCAGGACAATACCAAATATTTCCTGATATTGTAGATAACCATCCGGCTTGGTGGCAGCCTGCAAATCCAGGCAGGAATTCGTCAGAAACAAAGTGCATAACCTGAGCTTAACTTTTGAATAAAATACATTAAACTAAAGGAATAATGAAATTCAAGCACGTTCAAGGGAATACCAAACACGGCCAGCTTTGGGATAATTTAAGCTGTGACTGAAAGTAGGGCAAAATGTTTTGATGAGGTTTATTTCAGGAAAGGGTGGACACTGATCCAATCTAAGAGGCCAATGCTGAGTGTTTACTGACTGGCATTCCTCGAACCAAATATGGTCAAATCATTCTGTAATTGTCTGGGTATAATCAACCCTTTTTGTTCATGTAAACACAAGCTTGGTGTTGTAAATTAGTGCAAAAAGGAACGACCCGTGAGAGCTTGTGGCTTTGCTTTTTGAGTAAAAGGATGACCCTTTTATTTGATGTTTCTTTTCCTGGTGTCCTTTGCTGTTGTTCTGATGTTCTGTTTGATGTTCTCTTTTTTAAGCACAAAATTACATTACACTATAGCAGACCATTTACAGTGATACAGTCATAATGAGAGTTAATATCAAATTGACAATATAGCTGACTTTGCCACACATCTATGAGGATGCTCCTGAATTTGTAATGCCAACAACAACAAAAAAAGAAGAAAAAAAAAAAAAAAGGAACTGCAAATAATAATAAAGTGTTTGGACTTGTTCATCTACTATATATGGCTAGATTGTGTGGTGTCATTATTGGCACAGGGTGACACAAAACTAGAGGGGCAATCAAACTCGCCCGGCCTTGCAGTCCAGTCTGACAATCTATGGAAATTTAAAGAATATATAATAAAAATCAGTTTTTATGCTTAACATCGTAAGAGGATCAATGGACGACTTGTTAATGACTGTCTTATGACTTATTCTAGCCCTAGCTTAAAGTTATCTTAAAATAGAACAATGACTGAGGTATGACAGGATGCCTTAATCTCTCCTCTAAAAAGTCCACATGTTTCACAGCTAGAATTTTTATCTGGAAGAAGCTTATTTTTAAATATATAGTTATTTTTTTTTACTTAGGGTTGTGTGAAATGGTTAATTGGCGCTCATCTCAGCTCACAATGTGCTCTTGTCTTCTCAGACAGAACACGACCCCTGACCATGTGAAGGAAGAAAACTAGTGTTCTACTTTTTAGTTGTGCCCTCTGGTGGCAAAGATAATTGCAATGTGACAACTTACCCATGTGACAACAAGCCCCGGTCTCCCCTACTTCAATACTGATACAACCTCACACCATCATTTCCTAATGAAGAAAACGACGCTGACATGTTAAGTTGGACTGAAACCATATAAGGTAAAACTGATTTCTTCTAATGTCATATCTGCAAATGTTGTTCAAGGGAATATGAGACTAATTTCCCATCCAACTTCTCTGGTACCATGTCGTGTTTTTTTCCCCCTGTAAAATCCTCCACCCTAGTGTCGAGCATCTGTGAACAATAGTCCTATATGACTCCACGAGCTTCTCCCATTATCAGCTGCAGGTGGAGTAGAGACCTCCCAGTGCGTCACGCGCCTTGGACTTTAAATAGAGGCTGCAGCCACGCGCACACATAACGGTCTGAGAGTTGTTTGAGGAATTTACTTAGACACCAATTTACATCTGACAGGGTTTTCATTATCAGCTGCTGCTCACTTATTGATTTTTATTCTCAAATTTCAACATTATCATCATACTCCTTATTTTATTGAACTCTTTTTGCCTTCTACCTGAACACGATGGCCAGCTCGGGACTACAGCTGCTCGGTTTTTTCCTCTGTATGGTCGGACTTGCTGCCACAGTGGGCGCTACTTTAATGGTTGAATGGAAGAAACAGTATCAGGGCAAAACGCACCGCATCTATGAAGGCTTGTGGATGAGCTGCAGCGGCAACGAGAGAACAACCTGTGAACTCCACCAGTCCCTCCTCAAGCTGCCAAGTATGTTTTTTTATCACATCTGCATCTGCCCTGAAAACCAGACACTGCCTGTTGAGATACCTTCCACTAACGATAAGTTACTAATATTAGCTGTAAGTGTGTGTTTGTCGTGGATTGACCTCTTAAGCAGTCTGATAATTGTGTAAGGAATGCAGAAAGTCATTCAAGGAGTTTATTTTTATAACAAACTTTGATTTTTGTTTATTTTATATGACTTCTTCTGAACTTTTTAATATTGTGTACAAGATAAAACGTTGTAGTTCATGGGGAAAAGAGTAAATTTGTAACACATTTAGTTTAAGAGAGGTTTGAAATCTGTGAAAGAGACACACACAGGAAGCTCAGATCATTTACTAAGACTGAGTGAGGATTTTTTCCTTTTTTTAAATGTGTGTTTTCCCTGTTTTTCTCTTCCAGTTGAAGTCCAGGCTACTAGGTCTGTGATGATGCTCAGCATCTTGCTCTCTTCTGTGGCTCTGCTGGTTTCCACAGTGGGGATGAAATGTACTCACTTCATGGACGACAAGCCTGACACCAAATCCATCACAGCCATGATAGGAGGACTTCTGTTCATTCTTTCAGGTGTGTTCAGTGAAAAACATACAGTATATGTCAAAAATGTGATCACACATGCCTCTATTCTTCATCTTTAATAGAAATTTTTGTTGGAATAATTATTTTTTTAAGGAAAATTGCATCGACCTTTCAAATCCCTTTTTGAGCTTGGCCAAAAAAGACAAAAACAAAACATTTAAAAGAGAAAAACAAAACTACAAGAAATAAGAAACTGGTCTATGAAATACTCAAACACAGTTTCTGATACCATAGACTGACACCACACAATACAATGAAAGCAACAAACAAAGAGAGACAAAAGTGAGGACACACAGTTTCTGCAATAAAACTGTGTAAAGATCACTACTGCACAGTGTTAGAGTAGGAAAAGTGAGCTCCTCATTGAGAAAACATATTGACTTATTCAAATATGGAATTATGTAAATGATATATTGAACATTACAAGATGATATTTCAAACCAGAAAAGTACTTTAAAACATTTTAAGGACATACTGTATATATGTCGATAAATCTGTGATGTTTCCTTGTTCAGGTTTGTTGACTGTTATCATAACCTCCTGGTACGTCAGCAACATTGTTCACATCTTCAAAGCGTCCCATCGTCTGGAAAGGTACGCACACAAACACAGTCCAGGTTGGTTTTCAGTGAACTTTGTTGTGCATATGTGAATGTAAATGTATTTTGTTTCTACACAGCTACGAGTTTGGTAAGGCTGTGTTTGTCAGCTGGGCTGGAGGCCTCCTCGTCATAGCGGGCGGTGCTTTCCTGAGCTGTCGGAGGTGCTCCCGGTCAGGGTCTGAGTCCATAAGTGTAAACCACCTCCTCCCCAGCAGCAGCAGCACCAGCAGCAGTAACCCGAAATCTAACTATGTCTAGTGGAAAGAACAAAAGAGGATCAGGATTAACCAGAGTTTAAAAGAGGAGCAGGACTGGTTTCAGTCCCGATGAACTGTCCCAACATGGGATCACTGAATACTACCTTCTATGTACCCTGTGCCCCATGTCAGGATCCAGGATCAAGATTACACATAAGACTAAGCAATGAAAACTAGCTTTACATCCAATTATAATTACGAATGTAAATAAAATGTAGCAGAAAATCAAACATGAATTTATTTAATTAAGCGTCATTACGTACTGTTTCATTGTTTTCAACCTTGTTTTGACCTTTACCTTGTTGTGATAGCTTTATTATGTAAATAGGACTGAACTGTTAAATTTTCTTATTGCATTTCATATAATTTGGTGGATTTTTCATGCAGTCATGTACACAGTATTAATATGTATTTTTACAGAAAAAAAATAAAAAGTTTATTTGATTTATAATTCATTTATGAATGTACAGTTATAGCCTAGTTATGTGTGTTAGACTCATGGTATAATTGACTTTATAAGAAATTTTAACAGAAATTCATCAAAGCACTTTATACACACAGCACTGAGTTAAGCAGTGACGAGAACATATGCCTTTTGGTAATAAAGGTAATAATTCTCCCTGAATAGAAACAGAGGGACAGTAAAGGAAATAAAGTATAAAATAGAAATGAATAAATATATGAATTTAACTTTATTTAACCAGAAGATCCTCACTGAAATTAAAAATCTTATTTGCACGAGTGTCCTGGCGGGGACAGACAGCAGTACAATTACAAAGTTACAGACATAAAACAATTACAGACAGATACAGACATAACAGCCAGCCAAGTCAAAGCCACAGAGAAGAACATTTTCAGTCAAAGCACTTACAGTCTGCTTGATCTTCCTCTTGGGCCTTAAATCTACATTTAAAAAGATTTAAAGAGACCAGCTCTCTAAGTCAGATTTTCTTGTTGCAGGTTCCAGTCTGCAAGAGCAGCATATCTGAAACTTCTTTTACCAATTTCAAGATGAACTTATAAAAGTAATGGTACCACAGAACTAAATACAGTTGCAGTGTTTACCGGTGTGTTTTAATTCTCACCTTAGCTGGTCGTGGTGAGGTCTTTGTAGGACACTAAGGAGGTTTAAGTCCGGTTAGAGCGCAGCTTCAAAGGGGAACAAAAGAGGAAACGACCTCAGTGAATGAGTCTAAGTGATGTTGTAAAGCAGGTGGTCTCAAATTAACCCTTACAATTATTTTCCTTAACTAGTAGAGCCACTGAATTTAACAGGAGGTTTCACAAGGATGCAGCACATTGTCAGATTTTTACATTCATCCCTCATTAAATATGTTAAAGTAAAGATAAAGTTGTATGGACTGTGTACGACTCTGTTGTCAGGTTGGATCCTGTACTCCAAAAAAAAAAAAAAAGGCCAAATGTGCTCAAGTAATTAGAAGCTTCCTGGCACAGTAACAGTTTCCTTCCTCTGATATATGCGGTCGTTTTACTCTCTAAACATTGTATTTACTGGCATCTACTGTCACATTTGCTGCCTCCGTGAATCGTGAGGACAATCGATTAGAAAGTGCCATTCTGTGGAACCCAGAAATGACTCACAGTCATAGGAAGTTACAGGGTGGAGACGCGGCTGAAAGATGACGTTGTATTATACTTTCCCTAATAAAGTTACTGAGGAGTGACTCATGAGCATTTGATACTGAAAAAGGATTAAAAAAAAGGCAGGTGCCCCAAAACAACAGGAACTGTACATGTTTGACTAAAACACAAGATCAGGCTTTTCTGTTGGGTTGGTTTCTTTTGTCACCAACTCCAGAGGCAACCTTAAATGGATCATGTTGGACAAAACAAGCTAATTTAAAAAAACAAACAAATATCAGGAGACCACGCTGTACCCAAAGCGGAAGCAAACTAATGTAGGAGACTGACTCATTGCTGCCTGTTGCTTCAAACATTTCCTGAACAGTACAAGAAGAAGTAAATAATGACAGCACCAGTTGATAAGGGTTGATATTTACCTTCTTGAGATGCTTATAATCTGTTGTACTCAGTTTAGCTTGGTTTCACATGTATTTTTACAGTATTGTTGCGATTTACGTTTTTACCTTTTGATTTTTGCTTTGAAAGGCCTCTCAAAGTATCTCTACCAAAAACCCTCAATACAAAATCTTTTCAGGAAAGAAAATCAGTCTATTTTTTACATAGAACCTTTTATTCCATATATCAGTTTTCTTTTCTTTTGGACATTTCTGATATACCATAGACCTCAAAGTTAAATTTTCACACTTTCCCTTTTTATGTATGTTGTTGAAAGTTAAAATTCTGCAAATAAAAATACTGCTTTTACTGCCACCTAGTGGTTCCCTTGTAGTTTTTTTCCTTATGCATATTTGACAAGGTTTTTGCATGGCGTTTTTATTCATCTTCTGTACAATTGTATTAATACAGAGGCCTAAGTATGTTCCAAATCGTGTAGACCTAATTATATGTTGCTTTCAATACTAACACGCCTGTCCTAAACATTCTCTATTAAAGGGATATTCCGGCGTAAAATTAAGTCAGGGTCAAACACACCATAACACCGAGTTAGACACCCCCTTGAGAGATGAATGTTGCCGACCGCTTGCATCTGTGGTTATACCAACTTAAGCAAGGACTGCACGATAGCAATACACAGAGCCATACACAAACCTCAACCAAAAAGCCACTCTATAGCCACTAATAATGCTCAGAACAGCATCTAACGTCACCAACAGTACATATAGGGTCCCAGCCACAGCACTAACCATCAAACATCTTTTTAACTTTACCTAATTTCTCTAGCAAAGAGACTAAACACAACTCACCTACTCTCTTCCAGCAGACGATTGTTTGTAGAGACCTCAGGCTAGTCCATTACGGACTGCAGCGGGGTGACGCAGCTCAAGGAAGAACATTTATGATCATTACTTTATAATTTCCTTTAAGTAATAATCACCATATAAATCATTTTGCACTACAGATGCGGTAGTTCTTCTGCCTTAGCGTCTCGGTCTGATTGCATTTCCATGAAGAACTTAATTTTACGCCGGAATATCCCTTTAAACTGCCTGTACGTGAGATTGCCGCTAGAGGGAGATAACCCCCAAGAAGTGGATATTTTCTGCCTGAGTGTAACTGCTCACATTGAACCCCCAAATTAAAGTAGTCTTCATCAAAAAAGACATTTACATTTTCTAAAATTGAAACAATGAATTTTAAACACCGTAACCATCTAATATCTACAATACAACACAACTGTCACCAGAGGTTTTGAACAGGGATAGTGTGGTCTATATTAAGAGATGCAATAAAATTCCCCTTTTGACAGAGGGTTAGTACCTTTTTCAGACCTTTTTTCAGTCACTTTATTCGGCCCGGTGATACCCCCTCTCTCTTTTAGACGATCCTCCTGACGATCCTCCTGATCCTCGGACTTAAGTTCTAAAACTCGACTTATGAACTTTTTTTGTTCGTTTGTTTGTTCAATAAAGTTTTTTTTAGCTTTCAAGTCAAGACGCTTCACCTGCTTTTTAAGAACATTTAGTGAAATTAGGGAAGGAAAAGTCTTGTTGTGTGTGGTGACCGTAGAGTCTATGGAGGACTACTTGGAGGACCCCTGAAGCCCCTCAGCGCCTGCCCCCGCTCCCTGTAAGTAGCGTGGGTCCTGATTGTATTCTGCCCATTCATCTCCTGGAGGGGCGGAGTTAGCGGAGTTTGAGAGGGGTCACAACAAAATGTGTGTCCCCGACTGAAGCAACATTATTTCCGCCCTGGTCCCGGTCGTGAGTGTCTCTGTTCGGGGTTTTAAATGGACTCTGACACGGGTGTGAACTGTGACTTGTGACTGTGACTGACAGCAGCTGTGTCTGCTCTCCGCCTGGAAGCTCCTCACCGTCTGAACCGAAGCAGAGGATGGATGGAAACTTCGCTCGGACTGCAGTCTTCTCACTACTTCTGCTAACTGTGGCACCACTTCCATCCTCTACTACAGCTTTCCTGAAGCCTTACGACCTTCTCTACAACGATGCGGTGCAGGCGTTTTACAACAGCGACTATGAAAAGGTGGTGCTCTACATGGAGGGAGCTCTCAGCAGCTACACTGAGGTCCGACACACCAGAGTCCGGTGCCGGTTGAGGTGCCAGGACCAGCATCCGTTTATGGAGAAATTCACAGACCTGCGCTTCTTCGATGTGGTCCTAAGGAGAGCAGCGTGTATGAACACATGCATAGAGGAGAAACTTGGTCCGCAGTCTGTGCAGAAAGTCAGCGAGGATGTAGTGCAGGACTTCCACAGGAGGATCCCCTACAACTATCTCCAACTTGCATATCAAAAGGTAAGGAAGATGGGGGCTTCACTGGAGGAGAAGAAGGCTGGGAGTGCATGGAAGCTCTGCTCAGTCACTCTGCTAAGCTCAATATTACCTGCTGCAGTCTTCATCAGCATCAAAGTGATGAAGAGGCATACAGAAAACTACTGTGACTAAAGGGGAGTCAGTGTTTTTTACTGAAGGTGAAGGAAACACCAGAACTTTAAGAGTCATGTGACTTGGGCATGTACACATGATGCCTTGGTCCTGTAGCCTACAACCTACACAAGTAGATTTTTGTCAACTTGGGTTAAAGTGTGACAACAGGTATTGCAATAGTGCTGAGGTAAAGCTTAACTACTGTTGTGGATGTTTGTGTGTGTGCCACAGAGGTTTTTCACTGATCTTGTATAACTTTTTAAACAAGGTAAACAAAACTTGACATGGAACCTCTGCCCAGTCACTCTGCTAAGCTCATTAGTACCTGCTGCAGTCTTCATCAGCATCAAAGTGATGAAGAGGCATACAGAAAGCTGCTGTGACTCTAGAGGAGTCAGTGTTTTTTACTGTAGGTGAAGAAAACACCAGAACTTTAAAGGTCATGTGACGTGGGCATGTATATATGGTGCCTATACAAGTAGATTTTTGTCAACTTGGGTTAAAGTGTGACAACAGGTATTGCAGCAAGTTAAATCTTAACTAATGTTGTGTATGTTTTTGTGTGTCATAATTGAGAGGTTTTTCAATTATCTTGTTTAACTTTTTAAAATAAGGTAAACAAAACTTGACTCGGATGGCTGTTCAGCAAGATGCTTACAGGTTGAGGAGACTATTTAATGAATATAAAATACCCCATACACGGGGTAAGTTGACCATAGGAGACCACTTTTTGTTTGGCATGCTATATTACCAATACAGTTATGTTTACACTCATTCTGTTGGTTTGCAGGGATACACAACATCTTGAAATATATGCAGATACACTAGTTAGAGACAAATCTATGATTGCCTTGATGTAGTGATCCGAAATATGAAAAATGGCTCATCTTACCCCACTCTCCCCTATTTGCTTAGCTTTGCGGTGTTATGTACACACGTTGTGGACACCAATATGTGTTTTTTACAGTCTAATGCTGATCTTGGTACGATTGTTTGCAAATGCCAGATTGATCACATTGGCATGTTTAAGCTCTTTATTCTCTAATAGAGACAGGTGATGGCAGCAGTATGCAACAGAGTGATTACACTGTGTGGATCATATTGCTGGTATTAGATTTACATACAAGTTGATCAAGGCTCATCAAGTCCGCTCTAAAGATGCCTGCGCACTTGCCTCAGTCCTTTGTTTACAACCAGTTTGTCTTTTATGGTTCCTCAGTGAGCAGCTTTATTTTAAAACATGTTACAAAAATGTCTGTGGGTTTTTCATGCAGCCCTAACTTTTACTTTCTCTTCCCTCCTCTATCCCACATCCATAAAGTTTGTTTACTCAACATCTGCTTAAAAATGCAGCCAGATAATAGAGTCATTGTGCTTGCGCAGTATTGCAACACTCCCATACTGCCACTATTTCTTAGAGTATTTGCAGGAGACATTATTTACTTACTATGTTAAAATGAATCTCAGCACATTTCCCATGAGGTCTAATTTTTTTCTGGGATAAAATTGTTTGCTGGTCGTGGGAACAGTCCAAGAGATAAAACAGGAGAGCTGGGAACAAAGTGCTTATTGAGACTGCTCTATTTGTTCCCAAGGAATGATAAAGTCTGATGTTGTGTCTGTTGTATAGCAGGAAAATTGCCATCAGTTTTTTCCCTGAACAATAACCATTTAGTGTAGAGTTTGACTCATGTCGCCATGTTGAAAGAGTTGTAAATTTCTTTCTTAATACCACCAGTAAAGGGATTGTCAGCATCTTTTGTGCAGGATAACAATGTCTTCTAGACTTAAGCTCCTAGATGAAAAGGCTGTAACTCGAGCTTCACAAAAACTTCATTCAACATGCAGACACACAATAAGATGCGTGACTGCTAACAATGATACAGTGATCATTGCAGGGTCAACTCCAGGACATTTCAGAGGGTGGATACTCGCAGCTTCAGTGGCTGGACTTGTAGTTGTTAAACATTCACAAAGTGAGAGTTTAGTCAAGCTATGAATGAATCTGATCGACATGATTACCTCTGTGTAAATTTGATGTAAGATTTCGACCTGGTCGGAGCTCAGCAGGGAAGCGTATACACCATCTCCTCACATGAACCTGAAACTCAGCTGACGTCCACCATGACTGACCGCGGCTCGGCTCCAAATACCTCGGTGATGACACACACAGCCTCTGCTGCTCCGAAGTAGAGGGAAGTTAATCTGCTCCGTCACTGTCTGGTTTCTCCATTTTTCTCTGAATCAGCAGAGAACGACTAAAAGCTAATGTGATCCTCTCATAAAAGAGCATGCTCCTGTCTAGACATGAGTAAAGACACAGACTTACACGCAGATCCTTTACCAGCTGTGAAAATAACACTAATATTCGGTGAAAAGATGTCTCGAACATCTGTTTGGAGAAAAAAGTGGAACAGGACAGGGTGTCTTTTTTTTTTTCCCACAACAAACAGACACTTGTGAATGTTTTAGATTTTTATTTCCCCCCTCCTCTGAGCTCCTGTGCGTCTGCTAGTGTGTTGACGTCTTAATGAAGTGAGTACATGGCAGCACATCAAGGCTAAGAGCTGTGATGTTGATCCAGCCACAGGTAAGGAGAGGCGAGCTGGAGTGTTCCTATTGGTCGAGCAGATCAGAGCAGTCAGTGTGTGTGTATATGTGTGTGCGCATTAGTGCCTGAATCATCTGTGTCTGTGTGTGTGTGACACCTCATATGTGTGTTAGTATGGGGGTACTTGGTGGTGTTTGTGAAAATAAATAACATTCCTGCAGTATTTAACATTCCAGCGTCACACACCCTCCTCCTGACAGCCTCTGTGGTATAAAGCTGCCTTTGGGCTCCACAGTCACTAACTGTTCTCCTCTCTCAGGCTGCTGCGTATGTCCCCGGCTTGCCCATTGCACAGTCTGGCAAATATTTTATTTTCCTGTTGTGGTCTGTTTGCGTGGCTAAAAAAAGAGTGAAACATCACCTTTTTTTAGGCGTTGAATGGAGACATTTGTAGCTGCTGTCGGGACGGACTCTGGTAGCCTCTAGTGATCTCTGACCCCAGGCCACCACAGTTCTCATTACACTAGAGGACCTGAACTGCCCTCAGGGGCGAGGAGAGATAGCATCCTGAACCATAGTAACTTTAATTTTATTAGTCTCACTGCAGCCAAGGAAGAGATTGTGAAAGATGTTCCCATTGTTCTCTGATTTATTTTCCATTTTAGTAAATTAAAGATTGAACTGATCCATGTTTATTTTATTTTACGAGAGATTATGACAAATTAGATTAAAATCCTCATAAGAATTGCTCATATGAGAATAATTTATGAAATGCAAAAGCACAACCCAGTTTAGTTTTATCAGGTTTGTTTCACTTTAAAGCTCCAGTGAGGAATGGTCAGTTTGTGTTGCCTCTGGTGCCCTCCTGTGGACAAAGCAGTCTCTGGCAGGTTTGTCTTGTAAGTGTGTGATGAGATTTTTGAAACGAATAATCCATCCTTAACTCACGGGAGCTTTAAGTAAAAAGACTTATTGACAAAACTTTTTCTGTCCTTTTTACAGAAACACTTCATACTGTTAAGTTTTGTTTTCACAGCACGTCCTTCCAGTCATTGAGCTGCTCTGGTGTGTGAGGCATTCAATTTTTAGTGTTCAGTGAAGTCTGACTTCTGCTTATCCTTCTGAAATGATCTTCAGCACTGTTGTCTTGGACAATATTTGATTGTAAATTTAACAGTTTTCCATTTTATGATTCAAGAGGCCTCCAGTGGAGTCTGAAAACTTTTGAATTTAGTCAACTAAGAGCCTGCAGAGTTGTAAGCTAGTGGCTTGCACTATGACTCGCCATATTGTAGTTTGGCAAATTGGGGTTCTATTTTTCGCTGTAGAATCCTAATTCCTAACATTTAACTCTTTTGCAATTTGTGCTTGGTTGCAGTTTTAGTGGAAATCTTCCAATAACTGTAAAGAAAAGTTACACCTTTACAAGTTACAAGTTATTTCAGTGCTTGACTTGTCTGAATATAAGGCAAGCGCTAAAATAACTTTCGTAGATGTAGCCATCTTGTTCCATGTGATTATGAGCCTTGACATCACATTATGCTTATATGTTCTTACAGAAAAATGCTCCTTAAAAATGAGGACCCTTTGTTTCTTCTTCAGGTATGTTGATGATTGTTGATGTTGACGTGAATCATTCAAATAATTTCACACTTTTTCTGTTGATTGAGCAAAAACACAAAGGCTTCCTTTTGGATATTGAACACAGAATAAACATTGTGTTGCTGCCAAGGGTGGCAAACAAATCGGTCAAAGGAAGAGTTAGACCTGAACCAATTTATGTTCAGTAGTCTGACAATGATGGCTGATTTGTAATTGTAGACCAGCAAACACTGTTTTATTCTTTTTAACAAACGCACCAAAACAGCTTCTACTTTTGGAACAACTGTCCTAAATTTGATCAAATATTCAGGAGTCTGTCAAATTGTGGTTGCATTTTCGCTTACCTCACAGTGCATTACGTTTCATAAAATTAGATCCTGATGGGAAAAGTTAAACTGCTTGATTCATGAAACTGGGATCGTCAGTAATCAGGGGGGGCTGATTATTCTGTAATGATCCTGCTGATGTGCTCACCCTGATCTTCTGAGACAAGACTTTCTCTCAGGGTCTTCGATCTAAACGTAGGGCCGGAAAATTGAAGAAGTTTGGCATCAGACGCTAAATGTAACCTGACCAAGTTTCTTCCAATTTCTCTGATAAAACAGAAAAAGGCTCAGCCTTCCCGTTAGTTAGTCAAGTTAATCCATTTGGGGAATTGAGATTCGCAACTCAACAGCCATCCCATCATTATTTTCTTATGAGAACTTGTCTGTGTCCTTCAGCACGATATTAAGAGGTGACAGCAGGTCAGAACAGTCTCTGAAGCCTCTCAGGAATTTTCTCCCTCCATTCTTGAGTCCTCTGTGAACGTGATGGTTTGATTACAACACAGCATGCAACTAGTTGCTCAACTAAAGTCCCTTTTGCCGTAGACGACCACGTGGTTTGATGAAATCTGCTGACTCAGTGGTGATTAGAGGTCATTTGTGGATCTGTGCAAAGGGCTGGTAATGATTGTAGCGCTTGAATTCGGCTTCAATATGTAGGAAATACATCTGTTCATCTGTTTCCAGCTCGAACCTCTGGATTGTTGGATGAAGTAAACGTGAGTAGAAATGAGGATTTGTGGGGATCAGCGATGATGTCATGTGCGTCTGGAGGTGAGTAAGTGAGTGAAGGTTTTAGACGGAGACACTGAGGTCTGTCTTAGGTTGAGTGAAAGTGAGCAGTAAAGCTGCCATTTGCTCAGAGGCAGACAAGTTGTTTGCTGCCAAGTCCAGATTTGTGTGTTGGATATATTCACGGGGTCGTTTCGTGGTTATTCCTGAAGTGATCAGGCTTGGAGGGTGACCAGAAGTCTTGAGAATCATAGGAATTTGTTCTCCAAAATTACCCACAATCTGGGTCATAAAGTCAAGAAAGTCAGACACTTGGGACTTGCAGCAGGGAGTCACAACATTTCTGGAGATTTTGATAATTACTTTCATTTATTGGTTGCTCTTATTTGAATTTGTCATAATCTCTATATCTTAATTTTGTTTTATGCTGTATTTGAGAGGCATGAGTTGATCCTTGTTGTTTGACAGAGCTTAACAGAAGAAATAACCCTGACGCTTGAGAAGTAGAGCAGAAATAGGCCGGACAGTTTATTTCCTTCCTTCTGTTTCTAACATGAAACTTAACTGAGTTAACACTTTCTCCTTTTCTTCTCCTCTTCTGCCGTCTGTTCAGACTGTGTTATTAAGACTGTGCTCTTTAAGATAAGGCTGTTTCATGTCCTTGATTTGTAAGTTTAGAGACCTGCACAGACTTAAACTCACAAATAAGGCAAAAGGAATTTAGTAAAGAGATATGGTACCTGTCAGTTCTGCTCTTCGCCCGGGCAGCTCGACATTGTGGCACGACTTGTGCCAAAAAACTTCTGCATGAATGGATTTGAGAGGATAACCAACCACAGGAATGTCAGGGGCACGCTGTGGCGTAACACGCCGATATTGTTCTTACCCTGATTAATGATTTAACCCTCTGCAGAGTAAGAAGAGGCTGGAGGCTGCTGGTGGTTGATCACAGAAAACACAGCTATCTTTTTGGGGTCGACATGGCGGCAGGTGGGAGCTGGACTCTGGGGTCGACTGACAAGTGCTGAGACAAAACAGAACAGAAGACTGGAGCATTTCTGATTGAGCTGCCAAACTGTCGTCTGCTAATTAATTGAGATTTATCTCAGTGACTGTCTTCTGACTGGAGCTTATTCCCAATTCATGGAAGTGCACAATATCTCCTGTCACAAATGGGAGGATCTGGATCGAATGTTTCAGTCTTGGCTAAAGCAGCAGTGTTAAGATATAAGTGTGTGTGTAGAATTCAGGGCTGGCAGCCTGGACAGTTGTTGTTTCTCTGGATTCATTGTGTGAGTGTCCATAAATTCTAGGGATGTGGTGATTATCAGTCTGGCCAAAGACTCCAGGGTGTCTGAGAGTAGAAATCAGCGCTGGGATGGAAAAACCAGCGATTGCCAAGCATCTGTTCAGCTTCACTAGTACCGACTTGAACTCTGTGTTGGCTGCTGAGGGGGTGTACGCACAAAAACCAGTTATTTGTGTCTTATTATCTTTCACACAGAAGACAGGCGAAACAGGTCAGTATTTGTTTTTCATTAAAAAAGAAAAACAAACACGTTCCAGTCAAGTGTGGTTCTTATTCAGCGCACACAAACTGAGGAGAGACGTGTTTGCATTAGTTGGTCGCTTGCTGACTTTCCCAGAAATCGACTTAAGAAAGTTTAAAGGATTTACAGACAGAACATCCATTGAAAAAAGTTGTTTCAGACTAGTTGTTGTTGACTTATTCATACACCCATGGGTGTGTCGATTTACTGTAAACCTCCAGTTAAAACAGCAGAGGTGTAAAGGACCAGTGTACACTGTTAATTTTGTCTTCGCCCAAATGTTTGTTCACATGAAGCCAGCAGTCAGTTCAGGCTCTATTCTGAATGTCCCAGTGTCCTGACCAATCACATATTTGGCTCTGACAGAACAGCTGGTACCAAAGTCATCAAATCTTTTCTATTCACACAAAAAAATAAAATGTTCTTCATGTTTTCTAAAGTATCCTGTAACCACTCTGCTGCTTGTTCTGCAAAACCTTGAGCTGTAAATTGTTCTGAGGTCTCAGGTTGCTTCTGTCCTCAGCAGATAATTTCTCACCGTGGAGAGCTGTGGGCTTCAGGGTGGGAACCACACAGAGAGTGAGGGCTATAGGAAGGAAAATGTGTTACACAAATAAGGAAAGTGAAGCTCTGATGGAGCATTTTTAGTGTTATAGCATTGACAGATTTCTCAGTAAGAATTGCTGTTTTTATTTTACGTGTTAATATCACTCTTTCTTAAAACAGCTCTTACACATTCACACTACATAGCTGCAGCAGGGTTACATGTCTCCTTCACTCTTGTTACACCGGCTCTTGTTATTTCAAGGCTCCATACCGGTCATGTTAAAGTTTCTGGACCAGTGCAGTCACCAAGACGAGAGTCACCTCTGCTCTTGTCTGAGCTGATAGCAGGTTACACCAGAACAATCTGTGCTGAGTCTAAGTCAAGTCTCCATTCCTTTAGTATCTGATGAACTGAAAAACATCTTCAACTCACTTGCTTTTCATCAAACTTTTAACAAACCAATCAACTTGGACTGGTTCTCTGGAATAGCAGCTGGGAAACAGTCATTGAAAGTCCTGGGAATACGTTTTGCTAAACTGCAGGTGAAGACGTGTCAGTCCTATTTCAAAGATGAACAAATCATTATAGTCTTATATAAAGACAACAAAGCAAAACAACAAAACAGTAACAAATCAAATGCAGTCAATGAGTGCAAGTTGAAGTTATTAAGTTGAGATATAACTCCTGAAATCAAGAACAGAGTCTGACAAAGTCTTCCAACTTTGGACCAAACAAGCTTTTTGAAGACACCACCCTGTGTCCAGAAACTGTGAATGTTTTGATCGAGGGAAGGTGAGCTTTTTTGCTGTTAACTCGTGCTTTCACCATAAAATAACTGACTTAAAAAGTTACATCAAACATTAAACGCCTTATCCACCAGTTGTCTTCAGGATTGAAAACCATCCATATTTCGGTGCAGCTTGTTTGCCTTTTTGACCCCACAGCTGTTTCCTGTAAAATTCCATTAGAAGTGTTGATTGTTTATCCGGGCTGCCTTTGCTGTCGTCAGCCTGCAGGGAGAAGGTCCCCCGTGTCTCTGTTGTAAATGTGCGCTTGTGTGGCACTGTTTATGTGAGAGAGACATGGGCGGATATCAGAGTATGCTTTGAATCAAAAGTGCTAAATCAATAGCAGACCTGAGATGTGTTTCGGTCTTGTCCTGTGTGTCTTGTGTTGTAAACTTTACAGTGAAGATGTCTTTATCTCACCCCAAGAGAGAGAGAGAACATGAGAGTGCTCTAAAAACACTCTATTCAGCACATCACCTAGTTAAGTTTGACAGCTGGCACCAAAAAGGGTCTATATCTAATTTGCACACCTCCTCCTTCCTCCACCCTCGAGCCAAAAAATAATTCATCTTAGCGGCGGTGCATAACGCCAGGATTTCCAACTATCATTTCCTGCTGTTCTCTGACCTGCTTATCTTTGTTGTCAGATCTCTGCCTCCGCTCTGTCAGAGAGGCTATTCCCTGCAGGGTAACAGGTAGTATTACACCTATTTAGATGATGGGAGAAAGTGGCTTTCATGATCTCATGTTGACCTGAACCCCGGCCGACACTGACCCTGCAGCGTCTCCACATCTGGTTCAGATCTCAGTGAATTGCAGCTAATAACAGTGCTAAACAGCGTCAGGCACAATGAGCCACAGGCCGGGCTTTCTGCTGTATCAAAGTTCTGTGACAACGGTGGGAGAAAGTGATGAAATGTGAACTAACATACTTTTTTTTAGCTGCCCTGAAGTCATCTTTGGATGATTTAAGGTTCCTCTCTGTGGCTCTGGTAAAGAGATAATGAGATCATGGTTATCTGTAAATTTGTCGGATGAGCGGTTTGTAACAGTTACTTCATAGGGCAGCTTTATAGTCATCATGTGTCTATTTAATTGTTCACGCTGTTATCCAAGCTGCTCCAAATGAGCTGAGACAATAATTTTAAGGAAAATAACTCACCCGTTTCTAAAATAAATCCTCAATAAAAGTAGTTTTGGACACCCACCATGTAAATGGTCATATCCTGTTATAGTGATTGAACAGAGAGTGAGTGTATTGCTCGTTGTCCTGAGCCAAATAGCCTTAAATAACCTTTGCTGATCACGTAGTAGGATTTTACTGAGCAGCAGGAGTGTATCATCTGCTAAATGTTAACACAGGGTCAGTTTGGTATCATCTCGCACCGGCTGCTTTTAAGATAAACTGAGCTGATTAACAGTTTCAAAAATTTGGACTGAAGGAGATACTCAGGGTCAAAAGACTGTAACAGCACTAAAGAATGAAGGATTTCAAAACAAATTAATCATCGGAAGGAGAGTCAGGACCCATCCGTCATTTTTTTTGCTGCAAGCAGATCTTTGATCTTCTTTTACTGTTGAGCTGCAAAGTTTTCCATGACACCAAACAGCTCATTTCTTCCTGGTTCCTGGCTGAGTTATTATAAAGATAAAAAAATAAGGATCATAGTCACATCGTAGGAAAAAAAATCAGGATTTTACTAACAGGATGCTGTCATCAGGCAATTAAAAACTCTGAAGACAGTTTAGTTTAGTTGAGTTGAGTTGAGTTGAGTTTAGTATAGTTTAGTATAGTTTATTGTAGTCTAGTGTAGTTTAGTTTAGTTTAGTTTAGCTTAGTTGAGTTTAGATTAATTTAGCTTAGTTGAGTTGAGTTGAGCTTAGTTTAGTTTACTTAAGTTTAGTCTAGTTTGGTTTAGTTTAGTTTAGCTTAGTTGAGTTAAGTTGAGTTGAGTTGAGTTGAGTTTAGTTCAGTTTCGATCCCCATTATCTTTTGCATAGCTGCACCTGTTCTTCCTGGGGTCCACTCAGTTTCAATGGGACAATACATAAATGCAAATATACAGAAACATACAAACATACATAAACAAACACAGAGATGTCTGTAACACGGTACAATGATTAACTACAACCACATCGCACACATTCACTCTTTAGCCAGAGTTCAGAGAGTTCAGAGAGTTCAGTGTCAGCCTTTTCATTTCTCACCAAGAGTGACACACAGGACAAATCAGAACTCTTATAACACAGTTTAAGAAACTCTGATTGTTTTGCAGTTTTGCTGTAAATTTTGAGAAAACAACAATATGCTGCCAACTCTAAAAAGCACTGACAAAATGTGTAGCATATAAAAGCAGTGAAGGTTTTATGACCTCAAGGTCATAAAACTTGTTTGTCTTACATAATCTTTTATGAGACACTTATCTTCTTCTGTAGGGATCAGTGATATCACTAAAAGTATTTTTAAGTGAGCTGGGATAATTGATTTATTCACCTCTTTTCTCTTTAAGTAACAAATAACATTTTAGACATCCAACATGATGTCAAACCAATCTCATAAAACCAATCTATAATCCCGTCACTCATGACCAAGCTCTCTGGCTCCTTTTTAACAGATTTTTACCGTTGGCTTCTGCTTTAGGATCGTGTTTATGTTCAGCTCTGTTTGCCAGTTTAGTAATGAGTTATTAAAACGAAGATTTGGAGGCTCAGCGCGAGTATATCATATGATGTCACCCAGTGGGAGAGCCCCCGCAAAGAATGTGAACTTCTTGACTTCAGAAGAAACGACCACAGCTCAGCTCCTTCAGACCGATATATTACCCCGAGACCACATGTGCTCATAAAGAGTGGAAGCATTCGTCTTCTTGAATGTCTACATGCAAGAGTAATCATTCAAGCTTTGGAGACAGACCAATACAGGAAAATAAACACTTCCTGCTGTTGTAATCATAAATATTATGACACAGCTAAAGCCAGACACCCTTTTGCTGTTATACTTAAGGGGGGGTTTACAATGTCACCCTGAACACGTCTGCTTTGTGTAACAGTGTTTACAGTCATTTACTGTTTTGATCCTGGAGGTACTAATGCTGGTCTATCTATGATCTCTGTTCCTGAAGCCTGAGTTTGGCCGTTACAGTTAAGGAGTCATGGAGGAGGCTCTCAGGGGTGATTGTGTACTCATTAAGTGGACAAAAAGCAGACAAGAGAAAGATATTTCATCTTTGGACTCAATTCTTATTTTCTTTTTTTGCTTGATGACCTTGTTTGTTAAATTTCTGCTGCTTCTACACTTTGCTAAAATTGTAGACATGGTTTCTAAGCATTTCGAGCCCCCTCCCACTCCTAGAATGGAAATCAAGCTGGCGTAACAGTCCACATACTTGGCTACTGTTCAGAAAAAGACACTTGATTTATATAAAAAAATACGGTTTCAACAAGAGCAGCTATGTCTTTTATTTTGGAGAAAAATGTATGGCCTTTTTCCTGCTGTCACAGCTCCGGTCTATAGGAATTTAATTCAAAAAGGATTACCTCTTTTTTATTGTTGTCTTGTATGGAAATCTTTACACAGCCAGTGAAACTGAGAAGAGGGGCGACTTAATTTAGCAGCAGAATACTCTGTGGGGGCTCACAGGAGTATTCACAGAATGTGAAGCCCCCCTGAAGGCCAAGGCCATCCTTCACTGTCCCGTACAGAGACTTGTCATTAGAGCAGGGCTGTGAGTGAGTGCAAGGAGGACAAAAGCAGGTAGCATAGAGAGACAATTTACTACTGAGAGGTTTCTACCGTCTTTTGTTTACGGACAGATTGATGTCTTCATCTCATCCCTCTCAAAACATCTGTTAAGCAAACATGTCAACTCCCCCGCTGTCTCTCCACATGTAGATGAGTCCTGTGAGCTTGTAAATGTAACGAGACCTTTATAATGGCCAGAAATGCCCAAACAGCTTCCTTTTATCGTCACGGTTACTAAACTGAAACATGTTTAGCACACTTGGCTTCTTCTTTAGGGTGTACAGTGATTCGCAGGAAGGTTATAATAGAGCTTTAAAGTGCTGATGTATTTGAAATCCACATGACTGACATATTTCCATTCATGCTGCTTTACCAGCAGACCCCAAACTCTTGTAAAGACAGACCCAAATATCTGAAGAGGGCTGTGCATGGTAGTTGAGGTGGTTTTAGTTAATTACAGGCGTTGGTACTAAGAATATCTCACATGTTCAGGGCACATGTTTGCCAGAGTGTGATGTTTTTGAATCCCCCTGCACAGCTGAGATGAATCATGAACTGTGCGTTGTAATTAAGTAGATTCTTTACCTAAACTGCGGCTCGCACAAAGAGAACCACATCCCATTAAGACGTCAGCTGTGGAAAAAGTGTCAGGGAACATGCCCGCTGCTCCTCTATGACTACTTAGACACAGGAAAGGCTACTTATTAATGAAATCCAGCAGAGGAGTACACCTTGTGGGCTGGTTTCTAAGCAGCAGCAAAGATACAAACAGATTCAATGACAGACTCGCTGCTCTGTGGTTCAACAGCATCTCCTCATCAGAGAGGGATTTGGACATGGTTTAGACAGAGAGGTGAAGATTAGAGAGAGTGTCATCCTGTAGAAAGGAGTGGTTAATTCCCTATGAGACTCCGGAGTATAGACATCGAGACAAGTTGGAGGGTGATGACTTTCTGTACAGTGGGACTATTGTAGAGAAATGGCGGCATGACATCATTTGGATTTTGGACTGTAAACAACTATTCTTTGTTCAACACGGACTGAGTGGGAAAGTTTTCTATGAGTTATTAGGTCTCTAAAGTGAAGCATTAGTTACTCCAAGCATCAATTAATCATACAGTAAAAGTATGAGAAATAAAAAAAAACAGAAGTGAAGCTCTTTCACATTTTTCCCCCTAATTATCTTCTGACTCTTCATCCTCTCTTCATCCTCTTCTCTTTCTCAATCTTGTGCAGGCTCACAGCGGTGCCATCACATCCAACAATAACACAGCCCCTCTGTGTCCTCTTATTCGCCGGGCGCAGTGCGGTTTTCCAGTTCACGTGTAGGCATGTCATTCATACAGTGGGGCCTCCGTGTTTCATGTTTTCCATGAGCTGCTCGCGTCTCCCGTACAGCCCGGTTGTGGTTTATAGCTGAAACGATGAGGTTTTTAGTGCATTGTCAGCCTGTAGGAGGCTGCCGCTCAGACTACATGTGCAGAGTTGAGAGTTATAACCTCAGACTCCTTATCACTGCCAGAACAGGATGAGCTCATGTGAATCAGCGGTGCTACAACTCTTAAGATTTAAATGTGGAATGGATGATGCGTATTGTGCAATTATGGGTTGCCAGACCCAAATTTGAATGTGAAAAATGTTCGATGTATTTAGACTGTTCACACCAAACACGGCTGAGCTGAGTAATTCAAACTGAACACTGAAACCAATGAGGCGCAAAACTAGGTCAAGATGTTTGGGACTCTGAGTCCCATATTGAAGACAAAAAGGGTCATTTAGAGCACAGATAGAGCCGTATAAAAGGTTTTTTCCTGACATCTTCGATAAGACTTGGTCATGTCTTTGGTCTGAGCGCCAACTGAAACCTTCCCTTTCCTACACTCTTGACTTGTCTTGTTGCTTTTAAAGTACCACTCCGATTGTGTTTTTTTTTACTACTTAAAATTATCAGTGGTCTTTAAACTGTGATTATTAAGTTTTTACCAAAAATCACATTACCTGTGTCATTTTCAAGGGCTTTTCTTCTGCAGAGCTCGAGTAGATCATTAGCAATTCACATCTGAGTCGTGGGCGGAGACAGCGCTGCTCTGCACACTTCTCCTTGAGTTAGCTTGCAGCCTGATATTGCCGGTGTAGTAGAAGAAACCGGTACCATAGGAGCTATTCAGCTCTCAGACACTATTGTCTTTAGGGGTATGGTGAAAGCTAATATCATAATTAGCTTTCTTACGAGCATTTCAATTCGCTAACGCAGACACTTGTTCCGTGATCATCCTCTCTGTTTCTCTGAGTCTGGCCTGCATAGGGCTCTGGGGCGGAGCTTGGATTGGTTACATAGGAAATCTCACTGTGTCTGATTCTTCTGTTTGGGTCTGCCAGAAATTCACAGTGATTTAAATGCAGAAATACTCAAAAATGCAATTTTGCACTTCTTTTTCTCATGATATGTCCTGTAGTATCAGAAAAATTTCATGTGAACATGTAGACAACAGGAAAAACATGATTTTCATCAGAATGAGTCTTTAAGAAAGTGGAAGATGGCAGAGTGAGATTTCAGGTCAAGGGCAGACAGAGGATGAGGATATGTTTATGTTCTGTTTATGTTTATCTGCAAGTGCGCCCTGATTTGGAGGTGGTCTGGGAGTGTGATGGTGAAAATGTGCTAGTCCACAATGATACCCTTCATATCCAGGTCAACAATGAGTCTCTATTTGATGCGGCGGCATGATTTCTGATTTGCCCTTTTCAATGTTTATGTCATTCCCAACAACATCAATTTAAAACCACCAAACTGGGTCTTATGTTGATACACTAGTGGTAAAAAAAATGTGATGTAATCAGAGATGGTAGCAATTTAAACACCAAACATACAGCTCTATATAGAGTGAAAATATCAACATATATCTGTTACCTGCTCAGTGGAAAAAGGCGTCTACATATATTGCTTCAAGCCTGACATTGTCTCTGTGTTCTGTAAGTACTTCAGCGTTGTTAAAGCAGAGCGTGTGAACCTCTGTCTCTAAATCATCCTCACCTTTACTTAAACCTCCTGCCTTTGCCTTGAGGCAGATAACCGCACACTTTCCAAAGGTCCATATATCATCCTTTTACTGAGTCCATAGATAAGACAACAATGGTGGTGATTTTAGTATTTTTTCTTGGAGGGAAATCCCAAAGATTAAACTAATTGCCTGCTGTTTGCTACACACACGCTCTGAGAATGTCTTTTGTTTGCGTTGTTTTGTTCAGCCCCTCTTCTTCGTTGTCTCAGCTCAGTGTGTTCATCCTTGGTTATCCTGCAGGCCTCAGAAAGACTTCAGTAGTTATGATTAAATGCCTTACAGGTGGCTTTTTCTAGACTTAAGGAATCCAAACTTGGGTGCATGCCTTTGTGGATTGTTCAGTGAAAGTTTACACACGTACCTATCCACCCCTGCTTTGTAATTTGGGAGACCTGTCTTGGGAATTGCCCCAATTTTCTAAGCATGTCATTATGATGTTCGTCAGTCATGTATTTGTTCACGCAAGAGCGCCTGGACCGCCTCAAGATATCAGAACCATTATGTGAGCGTCTTTTTCCAATGATGCCATGTTGAGGATTCAAGTATTCAGGTTTTATGGCTGTGATTATTTCACTCTGAGGCTGTTTCGAGCTATTACTCTTCCTCCAGTGACGTACAGAATAGAGATCACAGTAATTCCTGGCATGGTTTTGCAATAAGCCCAGACAAAAGAGCTGTCACTGGAATTCTGTGTCTGTGGATTGAGGTCTGCTGCTGCTGATGGAGTTAATGGAAACAACAGTCCCTCCGTTGGATGCCGTGTCACATCTCAGTCCCTGGCGAACAGAGGCAGGAAGACGAGTGAAGTGAAGCTCAGCTGGGTTCATGCTCAGGGTGAGCCAGCTGTGAACAGGGAGGAAATGAGGTCATTCCCAATTTAGAGAGGGAGGGATGTTTTTGGAGCTGCCACCGCATATGATATTAATGATGCATTTCCTAATACAAGTACTTGAATAGGCTTAACAGGACAGTCCCTCTGAGAGGTAGCCACCTGGTTAAAGTAGTAACAGTCTTTTTGGTCTATCTCTCTCTCTCGACAGCATTTTGTTTTGGGAGGTCTGGGGGAGTTTTTCCCCTCCAGACTGCTGGGGATTTCCTCTCCTTCCCTGGGGACATCCTGTTATCTGAGCTGTGACTCAGTGGAAAAATCTCTTTTCAGTGACTGGCTGTTTTTTGTCCCTCTGAAGCTGGGGATCTCTTTTATTTAAAGACTGTAGTCCCATTTTCTGATATCTATTATGGTTAGGGAAAACAACCATCACATTCAAATGAGATTCACAAAAGGTAGTCCATATAAGGTAATCATTCAGTCTAGTAACTTCAGTAACTGTGAGATGACTCAGGTCTATATGAGTGGAAAGTGGAAGTCATTATGGCAGCTCAAACTCTAAAGACATGACTTTTCAAAACTGCTTTATGAAAAGGCTCAAAAGTTCAAAGTTCGTCTAAATATACATTTTTTTTACAGGGGTATCAGTGATATAAATGAATTTAAAGGTTTACTGTAAATAGAAGAGAAAGAAATTAGATGTTTTGTTCACAGGTGAATGAATAACCAATAGTGATATATATGTTATAATCTAAGGGCCCTTTATAGAAAGGAAAATGGATTTTGTCTTCGGGACTCTATAATGTTGCATCTCTAGAGTGACCTAGAAGAGACAGACCCTTGATGAAAGTGTTTTCTACAGGTTTTCAGGGACCTTAGTTTCTAAAATCTGTTTATCTACATATATCTATCTATATAATTATAAATATATACTCATTCATTCATTTAATTTACCATTCTTACTAAACCTTTTCATTATTGTCACAGAAGTGTCTCCTTTGCATTATTTTCATGGCCACCAGAGGGCTTTGTTCATTCTAAAGTTAACATATTTTGTCAGAGGAGTCATTTTGATTTAGACTAAAATATATTAAACTTTATAAAGAATTGAAATATAAACAGAATTGGTCCTGAAGTTATTACTTTGAAAAAAAACCAGCTTGGCCTTTTCTTTTTGATAATGCCTCTTTGTTGGCAGCCTCAATACAAAGCTAGTTATACTTAAAACCCTTAAACCTCTGATATAACTTTGTAGGAATACAGCTGTTTGCTTGATTAAAGTGGCCTCCGAACATTGATCTTGTATTTTGTCTTTTAAGTAAAGAGTTGTGTAGTTTGAGTCATTTGAAAGTTTGTCAAACAAGGAAAAAAAGTCCATCTATCCTGTAAACCTCTGCCAATATTTTCTAGCAGTGTTATTAGCTTATCATTGTAATAAATCTGCAACATGGTCATAATAACGTGAGCCCTGGGACTACTCTTGTTTTTCAGATTGTGAAGGAGACCCCCCTCCTGTAAAAGGCAGGTGTTCATGTCTGAGCTTAGCATCTCCCTCTGTCAAACTCAAAGAGACGTTGTGTCTTTATGAAATTCCTGCACAGAGTAATTAACATGACTATGATGAGTAAAAGGGACAGAGAAGGAAGGAGACTGATAGAAATATAGGCCAATTCTGCCCAAGGGGCTGCTGTTTAACAGCAGGGTGGAGTGAACTCTGGCCTCTCTTTCTGGTGCACGAGCTTACATGTCAGTTTGTGCTTTTCCCTCTCTCTCTAGAAAGACTCTTACTAAAGCTTGTCATACAGAGTCACACCCTAAATGTGTTTTCAAGCTGAGTTCAATCATGATGCAAGATGCTGTGACCTATGAAGATGTAAATCAAAATACTGTTTTACTGACACTACAGGGATTTAGGGATTCTCCACACACATTTTACAGCCAACATCATTTTTTCGGCTGTTTGCACCTTGTTTGCTTTTCTCTTTTATGGAAAACTCTGGTTTATGAGTAAATTTGTATCCCCAAGTCTCCTGACTCATACCTGGAAATATGTCCAAGTTCAGTATCGCACATTTTCCTTGCTTCATGTACCTCTAAGTACCATGATCCAACAGATGACTGTATTAAATATAACAGGAGAAACAGATCTTGATAGTCTGGCGTTAATCTGGATCAGGCCTAATGGGACACACCACGAGTTTGAGAATAAACAGAGATCATTGAGACACAGGCTTTATCTTAAATACCCTGTCGATATATGGTGATTTGTTATTAAACTACAGCCATGTGGTGATCCAAGTCTTGTTTTTGCATGGCAGCTCATCCTTAGGGGACAATGTATTTCTGGCAATGAAGCAATATCCATGACTTTTGAGTGGGTACACCAAGCATCATGAGAAATGCTCAGTGCAAAACTGCAGTTCCTTAAGTGTCCACTTGGGACTGTCTCTAAAAGCCAAAGAATCTCCATTATAAGTTATCCACTTAAAGATATAAGGGCTACAAGTTTTGCACCATTAAGCATAAGTGAGGTGGGGCTGACTGGACTGGCAGGGGGGCGCATGTTAGCTGCTTGACAGGCAGCTTAAGATCCTCTTCCAGTCCTCTTTGGCAGTTTCTAGGTCGACTCGAAGTAAAGTCGAGTCAGCATTTCCAACAAGGCGACTCCCTCGTTCAGCTTTATAACTTCTCTTTACAAACCAACGGGTGATTGCGCAGAGACTACATCCATATTTTATACAGAACTGGCTTAACACCAGACATAACAGTACAAACTGTGGTTTTACACTCTGGAGAGTTTGGTTCTTGTTATACACATTGAAATTTTCTTTTTTTTTCTCAATGAGTTTATTCCCTGTTACTTAAATCAAGGTTCAGATTCAGCTTTTTATTTTGGTCTTCAGCCCACACCACTGACAGAACAGGGTGCTCACTGGCTTCTTTTAACCTGATTTTGTTGTTAAGCTTTGATAATGCCAACCAGATAATCTGAAGCTTAGTTTACACAGTAATTCACTTTGAGCCAATCTCCGTTGGTATTTCTCACTTTGTCTGTGCCAGAAAGTCAGGATCAAGGTGTTTGTGAAACAAAGTCAGACGTTCAGGGGGGGTTTCTGTTGACCACAGTCTTCCAGCTACAGCCAGGATTTTTCCGCAGAAGAGAAGCAGACTCCTTATAATGAACAGATGTCTAATTCCAGACCTCCTGTGTGTCCCTCTTTGCCAAACCACTTCCTCACAGTAGTTTAACAGGGCAGAGTCCAGACCTGAAACTCAGACTTTTCAGCCTCTCACCTACAGATGAAGTCCTTCCAACAGATGTCTCAAAATACTCAGCGGGGTTGAACAGTCGCTGTGGTCCAGAGGCCTCCCTGTTTACTATTTTAGGTGGCCGCGGGTATTGTTTCCTGTCAGAGTCACAGCCCTGAAAATAAGTTTTAAAGAGGAACAGACAGTAGGGCAGCCAGACTCTGAGTGTTCAAGATTCTTGGAGGGGGAGATCCTCTCAGCCTGCGTTGTATTGTTTGGCAGAGAAAAACCAGCACTGTTTGTCTCTGTCTGCTTGTGTTTATCGCTGAGAAGATTTCGGTGAGACTTTTCAGGGGTGATTATGAGTTAACCAAGAGAGCGTCTGTGCCTTTTTTTAAGAGGCCACTGCTCATTATTGGTGTTTAAACTGCATGCTCAATTAGACAGGAGAATCTGCTAGCTCTCAATTCCACACAAGGGGACTGAAGAACACACGCAGATGGACGTGCAGAGACACACATTCATGCATCAGCACCAGACTTTTGCCTGAGGTGTTTGTAGGCCGGGCTGCACATTTGTACGGGGGGAAGCCAATGCAGGTGGAAGACATCTATAAGCAATAACTCTACACTTGCATCCTCCTTCCCACACACAAATGCCCCGCTTTACTCTAATCTAAACTGATCTCGCCGTGACTCTTGTTTAACCTTGACAGGTAACCCCAGCACATGTTTTTATTTCCCAAGGTGGTGTTCTGAGGAAAGAGGCCAGTGTTCCAGCGTACACTGGAAAGTGTGTTTTTATTTTATTGCTCATGACCCAGCATGACCGCAGCAGAAACCATTGCCATGTGGGCTGCCCTGTCATGCAGACAGAGGGATGTTGATAGTTATCTCTGTCTCCAAGTGTTTCAGGATGCCCGGTGTGGAAGCGTTAGCTGCTGTCAGTCAATCACTCACATTTTAAAGATTAAAGATATCACCGGCTGGACTTTGGCCAGCACTTTTGGCTTTGGCTTTTATGTACCGCCAAACCACACTGATAGCTTTTGACTCCTACTCCAGCTGTTTCAAGGTGACATTTTTGCGGTTCAAAACAATGTTACGTCATTGAGGGGATGTGTTGTAGAGAGCAGTGTACATTTGAGAGCGAGCGAAGATCAAGACAGAAGGAAACAACATGAGTAAGTTCCAAAAACTGTGAGTGCTTTTTGGTATAGTGTTGTTATGCAGTGTAAAAGGAAGGAAGTTCAGAACTGAAGTGTTTCCTTTACTGCAGTTGGAAAAGCTCTTTAATTTTTCCTCTATTATTCTCTACTCTGTTTCAAGTCAATACAGGCTCTGCCAAGCCATGATGGTTTCTAGAATTACACTTCATTGTGTCGTTTGGTCATAATTGTTTTAGCAGTACTGTTGAGGTCTAGTGTAAAATGCATGTAAAGATGCATGGATTACAACCTCGAGCTGTGAGAGGCTATTGTCATTCAGGCTGATTAGAAAGTGTATCTCTGTGTTACTCCAAATTAGGACTCCTAACAGTGTATGCTCATATCAGAGGCCAGTCAGTTAACCACATGCCTTATTTAGTAAAAAAGTTTTCCTGAGAGATGTTCAGGGATGCTTAACTACAGGATATGAAGCCTCTCTCAGAGCCATGGAGGATATTTATATCTTCTCCCACAGTGCTGTTCTTGAAATAGTGGCCTCAGGTGCTTGAATTAGTCTTGGTTGAGTTGTGTGACAGCATTTCTTAAAGGGAATTTCTGGCGTGAAATTAATTTATCATCAATTAATTTAGGAAGAAACACACCATGACATGGAATTAGGCAACCCCTCGAGAGATGAATGTTGCAGACTGCTTGCTTCTTAAGTAACGAGCGCACGATAAATAATGCTCAGAACAGCACCTAACTTCATCAACAGTACATATGGGGTCCCAGTCACAGCACTAGCTACCAAACATCTTTTTAACTTTGCTTAATTTCTTCAGCAAAGAGTCTAAACACAACTCACCTTCTCTCTTCTAGCAGCCGCTTGTTTGTAGTGAGACCTTGGGCCAGTCCATCAGTGACTGCTGCGGGGTGACGCAGCTCAAGTTAGAACATTTATGATCATTTCTTCATGGACATGCAGTCAGACCGAGACGCTAAGGCAGAAGAACTACTGTGTCTGCAGTGCAAAATGATCAATATGGTGATTATTACTTCAAGGAAATGATAAAGTAATGATCATAAATATCATAAATAACATCTGGTGGAGCTCCCTCCTCCTGTGTATTGCTATCCTGCAGAAAGTTGGTTTAACTAGAGAAGTAAGCGGTCGGCAACATTCATCCCTCAAGGGGGTGTCTAACTCGGTGTTACGGTGTCTTTGACCCTAAATCAATTTTACGCTGGAATATCCCTTTTAAGGAAACACTCAGCCTTATTAAATGGTGTCTTTGTGTTGTGTTGAATTTACAGCCAACAATAAAAACTACAATTTGTCACAATTTTGAAAGAACTTTCTGCCCCGGTTGTTTTTATTATGTTTTATTACGCTGACATTATTCTTAGAATTCATGTTGTCTTCAGTCTTCTCCGACCTCACCAACAAAACTGCCACTTGTTGAGTCTACGCTGCAGAGCACACAGTACAAACAAGCTCCCCTCCCCATAAACACACATTATCTGATGCACGCACACAGACACACGGGGACACCCCACCATTTAGTGTGTGGTCACGAAGGTTTTGCTGAAACAGGAAATAAAATCCAAACTATGCTTCTCAGCGACAAGCAAATAGTGTAAGATTGTAAACAGGCTGGCAACATCTGGTGGAGGCCCCTCCTCCTCCGTCCCCCACTCTCCTTTTTCCAACCTCAGTGTGGAGAACTCAGGTCTGGGTTTAGTTTCTGTGGCTTATAAGGGCTCAGTTTCCTCTAATGGGGCCCAATCATGGAGACACTACCTTATACTTCTCCATCAATTTACCGTAGAATAAGAACCAAATGGATGAACTTGGACTCAACTGGGGTTAATTGGTTTCCATTAGCCTGCACCAACATTGCTAGAGGTCTCAGTGTGTTAAAGAGCGAAGGTACGTGAGGGTTTCCTCTGTAACAAAGAACAATTGAGGGCAGGAGAAAAGTGGACGCAGATTTTTGTAACGAAGGATGGAAATCTATGCTTGAGCCATATAGAAATCCCAGAGGGCAGAACCAACAGAGTTAATTATTGCCAGTTCCAAATCTTTGATTGTAGAAGATCAGCATGAGCTGAGTATGATTTTGTTTAAAGGGATGATTTTGACGGTGGTGTCCTCTTGTTCTGTGATGTTAAATGCTGTGTAAAGGAAACCACTGACTCTAATGTTGTAGCGGTAAAGATGAACCGAAAGCATCATTTAAATTACAAACCAATCCAACTCCTCCATGTTTCACTCATGTTATACAAAACCACAGCCTTGATTACACAGCGCAGTAAAGCAGTCACACACTGCCCTATCATCAGAGCCACACACAGACTGTTTTTCATAAACGCAGCACTGCCTTTACCACTGTCACTACTTACACTTTTGGCCTGGTGAGGCTTTTGATAACATCTTTCTTAACATCCAGATTTCCAGATGGTAACATAAAACACATCAAGTGTCAGGAGTACAGAAAAGTAAAATCTTTGGCAGCCTTTTCCAGAGTGAATATCCAGACTTCTTATCGAGTTCTGCCCAGAAATATGGTCCAAAGGTCACATCCCTGAGCTTTGAAATGCTTCCTAGTTGACTGCAGGGGGGCTATTATTGAGGGTCACTTCACTGATGCTGGAAGAAACGTTTTAAACATCAACAATCAGGCTGATCCCAATCACCCACACTAACCCACAATCAAGCAGCTGCTTTATAACAGAGCAACAAGAAGTAGGGGTTGAAAGCATGAACAGAAAATGGGACACCTCCTTGGAAAGGGAAATTATAAAGTTCTGTTTGGCATCTTGATATTGATTTTCATTTTAATGTGTTCCTTTGCATCTACTTCTAAAGACGCAAACCAACTCGAAGCACGATTCACAGCAAGAATTGGTTGATTCCTCACATGGAGTGTCTTAGCATCAGTCAGTACTTTTACATGACACTTGAGAAAACCAAATTATTGCCTTACTCTGAGTAAGACTGGACAACTTATGTGCATGTAAAAACCTTAGTCGGACTCCAATCAGAGTTTGAGAACTCCGATTAAGATAACCCAGATAATGTGATTGGAATTCAATTTTCTCTACCATGTAACCGGCGTAGTCGGCGTATGATTGGACAATGCATGTGCACGTGCGCCACGCCCCCGTAACCCCGGAACATCATGTACAATAAAAACAACGCTTTACGATGCTCCATCTTCTTGCTCAAAAATGCCCAGCAGCAGTTGTAGCTAATTCTACCGTCTGGCACGGACCTGCTGTTGTTGTTGTTGACAGTTGTATGGAGTTGGAAACAGCGCCGCTGAAAAGACCCATATTGCCCCCTAGTTTTTGGGTGGAGGACACGTTCATGTCAATAATTTAATTTTCTCAGCTGCATGTATACACAGACAAGGAGAGAAGCCTGATTTGGTGAAAAAAGGAATTATGAACTTAGTCCGATCAAGCTGTGCATGTAGATGTAAACGCACTGAGTGTCTTTGGATTTGCAGGTGGTTGGTCACAATCCAAAGACTTGGGGTGAAATTTCTACCTCAAGATGGCGCTAGAGAGAAAAGTACAGGTTACACCCAAGTCACTTGGTTTTTCAATTCATCCTCAAGATCATGCATGTCTGTACCAAGTTTCTTTTCGATTGATCCAGTCATAGAGGTTTGTTTTGGACCAAAGTGATAAACAACCAACAACAGCATCGATTAATCACTAAACTGACACATCAGAGTTTCTTTTGAACTGTAGTCGCCTGCAGCACCCTGTGTCTTGTCTGAACACCTCAGCTTCTCTGTCACTGCTTGAGAATGTGAGGCATGCTGGTTCCTGGGAAGTCTCACCACTAAGTCATCTCCCTGGCACCCTCATGACCCCCGACCCTGGTCCTGTCCAGCCGCTCACAACACGTCACATCAAAGGGAAAAGCAGAGGGGGAGTCGCTGTCTGTGCAGAGGGCTTTGCTGTAGACAGGAAGGGCTGAACAGGCTCAGACACGCTTGCTTACAAACTCGATTCCTTCCTTTTACACAACATTTGTTTATCCCGAGTCTGTAAAAACCCGGGGAAATACCTTTTTTTAAAACGAGAGTTAACAAAGGAGAAGATGATCATTCTGTTTTTGCTGTGGTGGAAAGCGTGCTCATAGATTAAACTGACATAGACATATAAACACACATGGATTGAGTCCCTAAACCCTCAGATCTTGATGAATCCTAAAAAAGGCCGGTAATTAATCATTATCATGTGATCTCTATGTGTGTGCGTGTGTGTGTGTGTGTGTGCCCAGGATGTGAGGAAGTTTATTTTTTGCTAAATTCCAGCCAGCATGCTGTGTGTCAGGGAAGCTAGGTTTGTGTAATGTGACAGCAGCCACAGGACCATGTCATGTTTACGAAGGGAGAACAAATCACTTTTAAGGCCTTTGAAAAGGTTTGCCTTTACCACTCTGTGGGTGGTTCATAATTACAGCGTCAGTTCAGCTGAACAGAAGGTCATATTGTTGTAGATGTACCAGTGCACTTTTGTTCCCTTTCAGTTCTGAGTCCACTGACCTCGACTTAAGTTGGACCAAAATTGGATTTCCTCTTAATATCAGTGTGATTAAGAAGAAATGTGGCTTGAGTAGAAGGTTTTTTAAAGTAGTGTTCCTTATTGACAGCTGAAACACTTAAATACTTGATCTGGATCTGAGATTTTGGGTCTTGTCTATTATGAGGACACCTTTTAGAAACATGTGTTTTAAGGTATCTGTGCAAACCCAAAGTTCAGCAGTTCTAAAACTGAGAAACTAAAATCTCTAATCTTAAATCTAACCCATACCAAACTGCAATAAGACCACTCTGATTAAAGGTGGGGTAGGCAGGATCTGAGGAAGTGCCAGTTTTTGGGAGAAATCTTGAATGTAAACACTACCCCTCCCAACCAGTTTTCCCCTCAGCTCCTCCTCTCCCCTCCCTCTCTGCTCCAGCAAACAGATGCTCATATCGTTTCAATTAAATTCAGATATAATGCAGATAAATACTTGAGATAATTGCAAATGGGGCCCAGTGAAAGTAGAAAACATTGGTGCTACTGTAGATGCCAACAGACAACCAGCAAACACAGTGTTTGCAGGACTTCTACAGCTAGGATAAAGTGACATAGTCCACGACCTGAGGTGAACAGTTTAGCGGCGCTACAACACGCAGCAGGTCCCATTTGACAAGAAACACTTCTGTTAAAGACACTTGAATTACTTCATTAAAGCAGTTCATCTGTCCAGCAGAAAGGTTACAGGGTCCATAAGATCCTGAAGCGTCCCCCATCGTTTATGCTGATGTTGACGCGGCTTCTTAGCTCTTGTCTGGCCTCCTCCGTTTTAAGCGCCCATTATTCCGCCAGAGTCACTATTCCACCAGTATTTACTTCATTTAATTGCTTGTGTTTTCTGTACTTTCTGGTTGGTTTCTACTGTGCGATGTTGTAGCACACTAACTTTTTTGAGCTCATTAACGTTATTCGAGGACGTGGAGCGTGCCTCACAACCAGTCAGCACTAAGGAGCAGCTTCCACCTCACAACCCAGTCAGGTTGGGGGAGGCAGAGAATAGTTTTGTTTACAGTCAGAAAGAGCAGACCGCTCAAAAATTTTCAAATGTTGACTACACAGACATAACAAAACACAGTGATATCGTTATATTACCAAATGTCCTCAATAACTATTAGCTGTTGACTGACATTAAAAGCTTTTTTGTATATACACCACAAAAAAAGATGCTTCTTTAATGGAGCCCTGCCTACCCACCTTTAACATCTGGGTCCAAGACATATTCAAAGCAATGCAGACTAAGATAGCAGTGATAGTATTTAACGGCTTTCCTTCCTTTTTAGGTCATGATCGTGCATTCCAAGAAAATTGTTGTTGACTCTAAAATCAATAAATCTTGCAGAGTGCAGTTTGACCAAGAAGACTTCTAAATTTAAGACAACAAGTCTCTTGCACACGTCTCCACAAATTGGTCACATGCAGTGGATGAATCTCTTTCCCAAAACTATCAATGTCACTATGTTGGGCTGAGAGCTACACTGCTTCTTGGAAACTACACCTCACTGCACATGAAGGAAGTGTTCATGCAGGAGGACAGTTTATTTTAATCAGGGAAACTCCCCAAAACAGACTGGGTCTTATAATATCATATCTGTGCACTGACTTTGGGATTTTATGGGATTTATTTGTCGAACATTAATATCGTGAAGATCCACATTTTGGCCCCAAGCCGCCTAATGGGAATTGATGCTTAAGCCTACAGAGAAAGAAAAATGTACTTAATGTAGAGCGGTGGAAAGTACACATTTTATATATATTTTTTTATTCTATATTTTGTGCAGTAAGTTTTCTTTCTCTTTACATCTGTATTCAGATTTTCCTCTTCTCACTACAGGTGTCATTAATTAGCCTCTCTGCAGTAAATAACTGAACCCGTGTCCTTGTGTGCGTTCGCTTTCATATAGAAGAGTTATGGCCGCTCGTTCACACACCAGCCGGCAGACACGGCCTCTCGCACATGCAAACAAACTCCCAAGTTTAGCTTTTCTCACTCACGCGTCCACACGCTCCTTCTTACAGCGAGTGTGTGTGGAAATCCAGATGAAATGCAGCAGTACGTTGACCCCCTGACACTTCAGTGTGGCCGGGATTTGTAACAGCACCCTGGAGGGAAGTGGTGGCGAGCTGAGAAAATGTCTCAAATGAGGGCTTGTCAGCTTTCTCTCCTCAGACACCTCCCCTGAAGATTGATGTGCTTTCTATGTCATCTTATGTGTGCAGGGTGTACTCTGACTGTAAAAATGCATTTACTATAAATCTGAGTTATTGTTACTGTCGCGGTAAGGGTCTGTGCCAAGTTCTCCCTGTGGGTGAAGAAAAACTGTGTGTTTCGGTGTGTGATTGTGTAACTCTTCCTACATTTCCCATTTGTTTTTAAGTTTTCCAATCACGTAAAGAATTTAGTCTTTCTACTTTCTATTGATTCCAGCCTCTCAACACCAAACACTTTGTCCTTATTCACATTTTTTACATCTTTTTATGGCCTCACTAACTCTACTGCACAGTGATTTATTCTTCTTCATAACTCAGATTGCATTTCCCCATCGGCTTGATGCAGAGTTTAATGGTTTTGTTGTTTTTTTTCTCCTTTTTATTGCAACATCAAAACATAGAAATCCTCCCACTATTGTCCCAGATTTATTAGGGCATGATTGAAGCCAAATCATGTAAAGCTGTTGCTTTCTCATGTAAACAAACAACCTTTATAGTCTCAGCTGGTGTATGATCTTTCTTCTTCTGGGAAAAAATTAGCAGCAGGTGTCCTTCATTTTCCTTTAAGAAGCTTATTAATATTTTTTTTTAACTCAAAACTTCCTTTTGCCTCTTGCTGAGTGTTTACACGAACAACCTGTGTCTGTGTTTCTTGCCTCCTCTTTTCACCCTCAGGACAGTTTCGCACTTCTTCCCTTATGTTCAACCCGGGAGAAAGCAACTCCTGGATCAAGTTGCACCCTTCTCCAGCGGTGGTCTCTGCAGGGGGTCTAAATTGCATTTCGCTCCAGGGGAGGTAGCAGAAGAATTCCACACCACCTTATCTTCTCAGAATTTGAGGTTTATTTTACAGTGCATGGGACCATTCATCATTAAAAACACTTGAGCTGGCTTTGCATGCCGCTCTGGAGGCTGAGAAAGGCTTCATATATCAGATGAGGGGTTGCTACTTAAGCCGCCATGCCCTGCTGTGGATCTGAGTAGCTTAGCCTCAGTTCACATACCACCAGCAGCTTTAGCGGACTGAAGATATGCATTCTTCTCCTCTTTAGGTAATCCTTAAATCATGCAAGCTTGACTTACTCTCCTTACTTTTTCCTCGCCATTTCTTGACCTCTGTACAACTGTCTTAAATTCGCCAAGGGAGGTTTTCTTTTTCCAGGGCTCAGAGCGTAGCGGTGTGATTGATGGTGTTATTTTGTGATGAAACTTTGAACAGGTCGTCTTTGTCGTCGTTCGATTTAGCCCCCAGGAAAAAGGTTACATCACCAGAGAGAGGGGGAAGGCCATGCTCGAGATTTAAAGCAGGAAACACTTCTCCAGGGCGCTTGACGCTCTCATACACTGACATTGAGAGCTGTTTTTTAAATATTTAGTGATTTGATCGCTCTTAGATGATGTTTTTATGCAAAATACTTTTGTTTTTGTGGCTTAAGTTTCATACAAGTGCACACGTTCATGCAAAAACAACTGATTTGTGTCAAATTAAAAGGACTTGTGTTTTATGGCTTCCTCTCTTTTCAAGTGTCATTCATGGACGATCTTTCCATCATAATTTCGGAGAACTTTTCAGCCCCCCATTATCCAAGCGTTCTGTGTGTGTTGTGTAACATCCTTTGTCTTTTAAAAGTGGCTCATTGCTACAACACCAGATTGATTTCAGCATGAACAAATATACTTGATATTTCTCTGGGATGTGAGGGGGGCCGGGCAGGGTGAGAACAGAGTGGGTTTATGAATGTGGGCTTTGTCTGCTGGGGCTAACACACACACACACACACACACACACACACACACACACACACACACACAGACCTATACACTATTCTCATTAGCGTCCTCCCTTGTTTTGTGTGAAGAATTAAACATTTGTCTGTTTTAGGTTTAACACTTAAACATCGCTTCATGCTCATCATCATCTCTTAATTTTCCAGCCTGTCCTTTCCGACAGTAATCTGCCCACGCTTATGTGAGAGGGTGACCTCTGACCCCCGTCTCTGAGTGGCATGCTTGTAAATCTTTCCTGTAAATGTGCTTCTTCTTGTAACACAGTCGTCTGAAGAGGGAAATCCCCTAATCTCTGGGGCTTTATGGGGAAACATCGTGAGAGGGCTGCAAAACTTCTGAAGTGGTTTGGTGTCAGGTGATATCCTCTGAGATAGAGGAGACTGTGGGGCGTAATATGTTAAAGGGATAGTTTGACATTATATAAAATACACTTGATATTAGGGCTGGGCGATATGGCCTCAAATCAATATCACGATATATTGAGCAGTTCACCTCGATAACGATAAATGGACGATAACTACTCCGAAATGGGCAAAATGACATCTGTTATTGTCATAAATTTCTGTATCTGTAAATTCTCAGTTAATCGCCCAGCCCTACTTGCTGTGTATGCTCAAGTATTTAACTTTAAACATGCTTCTCCAAACCTACATGAGATAACATTTTCGGTCACATTATCACACACATTTCTTTAGCTCTTGTAAGCATTTCAAGCTGTAATAAATATGTCTTACTATATTTGAAATCAGCATCATCTTAAGTAATACTCAAGAAGAACTGTTGACACCTGATTGTTAAAGAAAACACATTATTTCACAAAAACTGCTAGCTTATGTAAATTTATTTTTTTCTTTTTAAATTTGAAATTGAACTTTCTGTTGAACTTAGCACAAGCTCTGGATACTGATCTTGTTCTGGACATGTTTAAGTGTTGTTTTGTAACGAAAGAGTCCCCCCTGCCACGTGATAACAGTCAAATATAATCTTTGGAAGGTTGTTTTGGAAGAGCACATGATGATAGGCATCAGAAACAACCATCTGAGAGCAGCCAGTCTTGTACCTTATGAGCTTGTTTGCTCGCCTGGGTCATGTCAAGGCAAAACTGCACATTTAGAACTATTTCACAAATATTTAATGCTGCTCACAGGAGCTTTTAGGACATGAATAGACCAAGAGGATATCAAATAGGAGAACACAAATGGACAGGATGCCATATCTTTGTGCAGGTAAAAACAGTTTACCATCACCTTCTATTATCAAAGAGGATCATCAGCATCCTCAGTCATAGCCCCAGTTTAAGATGCAAAGATTGGGCCCACCCTTACATGAAACTACAGTCAGTGACCATAGATTGTATATACTATGGAAAACTTGGCTCCGCCATCCGTCATAAAAATTTGAAGCTGAATTGCTCTCGGTATTTTCGGGATTGTCTCCACTTCCTGGAACCACCACTTGCACAGTAGCGTTGTGCACATTCGGCGGGAGAGTCGCTGAGAGTCGCTGTGATGACACTCGGCTCAAACAGTGTATCCCCCGGGTGAGCTACGCAATCTTCGTACGCCCATAGGCTGTATCAAGTGTCAATCATAGAAAACATGAACCCCCTAATAACTTTTAAAAATGGAGCTGTAGAGAAAAAAAGAGGACTTTAGCACAAATCAGTCTTACTGTAACTACATGTCAACATCTCAAGCAGGGGGGAGAAAAAATTCTGTGTAAAAAATTTCTAAAGTTTGTCCACAGCTCCATAGGGATTGCTAGAGGAGGTGGGATTTATGACCTATACTGCAGCACGTCACCAGAGGGCGCTATTCTTGAGGTGGCTTCACCCAGTGAGGAGGCAGACGCTGTCCATTCTATAAACAGTCTATGACAGTGTTAGATTAGCTCAGATTAACAGAAGTGCTGGTTTCTACACCTGTAATACACACAATCCAGCACAAAGTAACAAGGCAGAGCATAACTGTTAGACAGTTGTGTGTTGTTTTCTGTTTTAGACAGGATCGTTTATGTGAATGGAAAGTGACAGAGAGTAAAATCAGAGGATTGTAGACTGAAAATAAGAACGCTGGCTAAGGAGTTTTGTTTTTGGAAGGTCTTGAGAGAAAGAGTGTATTTATGAGCGTACGTGAGTGACTGTATTTTGGGCAGGAGAGAACGTGAGAGAGTGGTTAGGAGGAGGGCATGAGGGCGGCAGCAGAGGAGGAAGACATTAGAGGTGATTTTCCACCCTGTCTGCGCTACTTAAAACATACACACCTTGTGTTTCTGAGGGTTTCCACACAAAGCTGGCCTTGTGTGTCCCAAAAGTGCCCAGGAAGCCAGATCAGACATGGGAAAGAGTGTGATGGTTCACTAAGGATACAGTAGCTACTGTGGTGTCGGATGGCCTCACAGGATAGCCCAGAGAAAAAAGAAAAAAAAAAAGGGTTGTGTATTAAACTCCCACAAAGCTAAACCGGGCTGTCACAGGAGATGGAAAGGATAAAGGAAGCAGTCATTTCCCTCAGCAACCAAATGATGATGTCAGCCCAGGGGCAGACAAGACAGATGTAGAAAAACCACCTCCATTCAAGTTGTCTGATCCAGATTAGCTCATAATTGACATGGACTGTGTTTTTACAGCTAATGGATTGAGAGTTTGTTCCATATTTGGGGTTCTCGATGAGTTCAGGCCACTGTGGTCAAATATGTGCACTCACTTTTCCCCCAAACGAAAACCAGCAGCAACAAAACACACAGTCAAGGTTTTCTCCTCTGTGGAGGAGCATTAACATTCCTGTTCTTCTGTTTTCGTTATTGTACGGCCTCCACGCTACATATACAACATCCTCTGATCACTTTGTAATCCATATGGAGGTCAAATGAGAACAATAACTCATTCATTTTCCCAGAGTCATTGCCTGTGTTTAATTACAGACTTAGAAAACTCCCAGCTGTCAAAAACATTTTGTTTGGCGCTCTAATGTCCACCATAAGAAACTTATGAGAAACAGGAAGTAGCCAGAGGGGTTACTAGGCATGGCACGGGCCCCTTTGAAATCTAATCAATTACCTTTTTAGCCACCCAAAAATTCTACATAATGAGTGGTTATTAGCCTTGTCAGAGGTAGCACTTACGCTAAAATCTGCTATTTGGGCTGTGTTGTGAGTGGCTGTGAGTAGCTTTCTTTACTTTTAAAATGCAGCGTATTTCCTGTCATCTGTGCTCTCAAACTTTGGACCTAGATTTTCTTTTTGAGTCAAGTTGAGAAGATTTAGAAGCTGCCATCTTGATGTGTTTTGTTTTCCATATAGAGAATAAAGAAAGATCCACATGAAACAGCGATACTGTTATTCGAGTAAAAGAGGAAAGAGGGTAGGGAGTGACATTGGTTAGAGAAAACCACAAGTCGGAAACAAACCCGGACTGAGGACTAAAGCTTCCATACGTGGGAGGTGTTACTCAACCACCTGGTCTGACTGGCACCCCCCTGAGACATTTCCTGCTTGACATTTAGCTTACCTACGAACAACCATTTTCCTCATCTGTTTATCTGTTCTCAGTGTTTTAAAACTTCACCAAACTCTGCCTTCAAGGTTAAGTTGTAAAGTACAGCAGGTTTAACAAGTGAAGGATGGAGCAGAGGCTTTAGTGTCCTCTGTTTCTTCAGGTGAGGGTGAAAGAGTCTGTGTAGCAGGGGCAGCACTGAGGCTTTTTCAGGCATTCCTTTGACATGACCTTATACGAGGAACACGCTCCGGCCCAGGGTGGATCCAGGACAGGCAAAAAGGGGCCACTGTGCGGAGCTGTCAGCGGGAACGGGCGGATGAGAGAAAGAGGGGGTGTTGTGATGGAGGGAGTGAGGAAAAGATGAAGGTGGACAGTTTTTACCCATGACATCACTGAGAGGAAAAGCTCCCCGCACGCTCATTTATTTTCCGCACCATGTGCTTAAAGTGTTAACCCCTGTTGCGTGTAATGTACACCTTGACTGGCTGGCTGCCTTCCTGGTTTACACGACAGAAATATGACTCACAGTCCAGATCTTGTGTTAAAGTGTTTGATTAGGCAGGAGAGCAAAAACAAACTATGTCTGATTCATTTAGCCGAGATTATAAAGCGACTAATTCACACCTTCAGCGTACAGTACGCACTTTATGTGTGAAAACTAAGCAGCTTGTTGTCCTTGAAAGCTTCAGAGTTAATGAGCAGAAAGGCCGAAGGGTGCATGATGGAGAGGTTAATTTGTAGAGGCTGTAGTGTTTTCCTTTCCAATTAGCTGAACACATACATCACAAGCACCCCTTGCTCCCGTGTGTGTTTGTGTTTGGACACGTGTGTGTGTGTGTGTGATTATCTGTTTCATCCATGCTGAGTCTGAATCTTCATTTTATCTTACAGCAGTTAATCTTAAAAGCAGGCAAAAGTTGTTTCCTAGATTTCCAGGAATTTCAGTCGTTCCTTGAAATTTCGATCCAAGTGCTCGCTGTGACCTCCTGAAAGGATCCAGAGTAGAAGGAAACGGGGCGCTCGCCTCATGGGGAGGTAATCAACCATTTAGACAAACTTTCCCATCGAGTTTCCCAGGCAAGGCTTTGGTGCCAACACTGTCCTCATTTTAACCGCTGCAGCTACAACTGACTATAAACATCTCTTTGATAGAGTCACCGGGCATCTGCAGCTTTCATCGTAACTCAAATATCATCCCGGTCCTGTTCCCATTTGTTACTGATTTACACCTATTGTGAAAGAGTCCCACTTTGCTTTACAACCAGATGCTCAGAGCTGAGTGCCAGCATCTTTACATACCAGATGTTTTTTTTTTTCAGCTTGAAACTCGACATAAATTGACTGAAGTGCTGGAAACTATAAAAAACTTTTTATGTGCAAATAGAAAGACTACTGTGTGTTTAATCTCAGTGTTGGATAGAGACGGAGAAGTACGCTCAACTTTGGATACAGTAAATAATTCAAATAAATGTTTTTTTTTAAAGGTAGAAGTTGGTCATTGTCTTTCCAAGCTTTAGTGGAGGGATCGCCGAGTTAAAAGGGATATTCGGGCGCAAAATTAAGTTAGGGTCAAACACACCGTAACACCGAGTTGAGAGACGAATGTTGCTGACCGCTTGTTTCTACTAGTTATATCAACTTTAGTAATGATCACGCGATAGCAATACACAGCGGTCCCAGGAGCCACATGCTCAACCAAAAAGCCACTCTATAGCCACAAATAATGCTCAGAACAGCACCTAACTTCATCAACAGTACATATAGGGTCCCAGCCATAGTACTAGACACCAAACATCTTTTTAACTTAGCCTGATTTCTTTAGCAAAGAGGCCAAACACAACTCATCCACTCTCTTCCAGCAGCCGATTGTTTGTACAGAGACCTCAGACAAGTCCATTACCGCAGCGGGGTGGCGCAGCTCAAGGAAGAACATTTATGATCATTACTTTATCATTTCCTTGAAGTAATAATCATCATATTAATCATTTTGCACTGAAGACGCGGTAGTTCTTCAGTCTGATTGCATTTCCATGAAGAAATGATCATAAATGTTCTTCCTTGAGCTGCTGAGTGTGGTCGTTACTAAAGTTGGTATAACTAGAGAAGCAAGCAGTCAGCAACAATAATTGCTCAACAGGGTGTCTAACTCAGTTTTACGGTGTGTTTGACCCTAACTTAATTTTATGCATGAATGTCCCTTTGACACGTCACTCATGTTTTTTTTATTTTGCCTTTTTAATGCCTCATTTCAGCTTTTGTAATAGAAGACGCTCTGGCCTTTATTTTGAACATATTTTGTCTGTTAGATTTTCCATACTGTCTCTTTGTCTCTTTATCTGGTTGTGTTACCTACAGAAAATGTCCAGGGCCACTACTTGCTGAAGTTAATCAAGGAGTAGAGAAAGGGATACGGCTAAGTTTATCATGAGCAGAGGGGAATCTTATAATCTTATGTATAGGGCTGCATCCTGGACTGCAAAGATTTTATCTGCTGCGACCATGTCTGTATACCTGTATGTAGTTACGGACACAAAGCACAATGACATCAACCAAGCAGTGAAAGCCAGATAGCCACCTCTGCTTTGTAAAATGATATTGTTGTTCATATTCTTTTTACAAAATCTAAGATTTGCAATGTTTGGTAAAAGGAAAGATGAAAACAATACAACTCAGACCAGCTGTAGTCCTCCTCAGTTGTGCTTTAGACACAGAGGCTCCCAGAAAACTTGCAGCCAAGCAAAAAGCAACAGAGTCTATCAAACCACAAACTACTTAAACTCAGTCATCATAAAGCTCACCATATGTTGTGCTCGAACAGCTGTAATGTTTGAGTTTGTTATGTCTATCCTCAAACACATCTGTGCTCAAAGTTTGGTGCTGGACCAGAGAAGAATACTCATGTGGTTTACTGCTTAGTCTGGGAGATAAATACCCTCTGCTTCATGACACAAACATTGGTTTAGAGACAGCAAAATGTGATGTTGGTTTGCTCAGAAAAGATAACAGTGTTTATCGAGGAGTAAATATTCTCATTTAAACCCTTCATGCAAAGGTATAAGCAGTCTCAGACCTTCAGAGACACTTAAGATGTTGAAGCCCTGCTTAGATGAATCTTTCTGTCCATCGTTTCAGAAGTTCATCAGCCGAAGCTCCTGGAAGTCAAATATATTCTGTCTTCTTGGTGTCACGAAGGAGACGTGGCCTTTCTTAGGCCCAAATATCATCCGGTTGTTTATGCCTGATGGTATGTAAACTGTTCCAACATTTCCTGCAGTAATGTGACAGTTTCTCTGTTGGACATTCCTCAACATCTGTATCAAATCGACCTCTCTAAAAACACCAGACACCACTTTCTCTCCTTCGCTGGCCTAAAGCTATTCCTAGCTCCGTGAGGATGCTGTTATCACACTTGCAGATGTTTCAGCTGGAGTGTGTCCAATCAAAAGGGGTGTGAGGCCAAACTGTCGTGTTGGTAGCCAGCGGTGATTTAATGCAACTTAATAAGGAGGGTCAGTCATGTTTTAGGAGGGTAAATGGCTATTTAACTGTAGCTGAGAGAGATTTTGGGAATCATTAGCGCTTACCAAGACTTCAGACTGAAAATGGCTTCTAATCCAAGCTGGCAAGTCCAGTTTGAGTAATATTTCCCTTTGAAGATTGTCAGTTTTAAAGCTTTTCAGTTGCGGTGACTTTTAAGTGAAGATCTGTATTTGCAGAGTGTTAGATTTTATATTACTTGTTATCACACTTTGCATTCATTTTATGCAGCAAATTTGATCCATCATCGTATGTTTCAGTCTCTCCTGGAAAACGTTTACAGTAGCTTTACAACTTGGTAGATACTGTGGGTTCGAACATCTGCTTGTTTATTTTCAGTTTGAAAATGATGGATGAACACTTTGGTTCTCTTTAGACTGGTGAAGAACTCTGTGACATTGAAACCCTCCCTGAATGTGAACCCTTCAGATTTACTGCATCTGTTCGTGTGCGCGGGGTTAACCTGAACACTAACCTCTGTCTTCTTCCTTACCTCTTGGGAACTGTATAAACTCTTTGAAACACCTTGCCTCTGAAGTATACAGGACTGCAGCTGCCAGGGTTGACCACTTGTTGTCAGCTCCTCTCTCATTTTATGGGTGGTACTTCTTCCCTGACAAGCCATCTGTGTAACTGTCCCCGGGGGGTGTTTGTGCCATTGCCAATCAGGCGTTTTTCTTTTTTTTTTCCTTCCATAACACCATCTCTGCATCTGTGGCGCCAACTCAAGCCTATTTACATACCTGGGAATCAAGCAGGAGGCCCAGAGGCATGCAAATGTGTGTTTGCATTGGCACTGCTGGGTGCCCACATCAAGAGCTGGTCCCTGAAAGCAGCAGGGCGGTCCAGCAGCTCGAACACAGGTCGCTCTTTAATGAGGGCGGCAGAGTGAGGGCTCACATGAGTGCTAATTATTCACCTCCACAGGTGCTGCTTTGAAATATGTGTCCAAGGAGAACTGGGCTCGAGGGACAAGATCTGCGGAGATGTGAATGTCTTAAAAAGATTTGATTTTAAAGGCAGAGGTTAGTGTTTGTAAAATATCAAATATCAGAATTGACTGATGGGTTTAAAGATTCAATATTTCTGAGGTGTGCTGTCAGCTTAATCTTTCAGCAAACATTAAAAATATTTTTGCATTCATAGCAAATCTGGGTTTGTTTATGTAATACAGCCAAAATAAATACCTCTGTCCGTTTTTTAAATCTTATAACCTCCCAACTAAATAATATTCCTTAAAACGCTGTAAATCACGGCGTGTGCTAGCTCCTGTTGGCTTGAATAGTAAACCCCCGTAGTAATAGACGGGATATGAATTACTGTCTATGTGTCCTTTTCCTCCTCTTTGCCTGACACTCCATCTAGATTTACTTCTGCTTGAATGCTTCTTGGCTGAAAAATTTTCCATGACCACTACTCACTCCTCTAAATAAACGCAATGTCACTTGGAAGCCATGACTGATTTTGGCTGTGTTATCCTGAGGGCCTGTTCTGGACTCTGTCTCTGACTCTTTGGGTTTTTTTTTTTTTTTGTCAGGACTCAAACTCCCAAGCTGACTGTTTCAGAGACCCACAGAGGTTTTAAGGTTTCTGGTGAAGTTATTTATTTATACCACTGAAACAGGAGTCCTACCTGGAACAGTAAATTTAGCACCCTCACTTTAACTGCATTGGTATAAATTTGAGTTTCTTATATATGAGCCCCCCGATAGAGGAGGAAAAACTGGAGTCCCCCCGTGTCCAAGGCTTCCCCTGGATTTTGCATGTCCGCTCTTGGAGAATAGGTCTGGCAGTGTCTCACCACAGCTGTGTTTGTGCTGGGATGTTGTACTGGAGAAATCCCCCCCTTCCTCTTGCTGACGCTTTAGCGTGAGCCCGGTTATCCTCGGAGGACTAAATGGGGGTGGGGGGTGAGGGGAGGAAGAGAGTCCAGGGCCCTTTTACTTCCTCCCTTCCTCCATCTCTTCTGTGATCTTCCTGTTTTGTCTCTGACTCTTGAAAAAAAAACGGGTCAGATAATTATCAAACCCAGAGATCCGAGTCGACAACACTCTCTCCAAGAGGGATTTTATCCTTGAATTATCTCGGCGCAACTTCTTCAAGATTTCAGAGTGCAGCAGACACAGGGTAGAGCTGGACTGTGTGCTTGAGGTTGCACCATCAGTTGGAGAAAAAGTCCAACCACAGAAACGCTTACACTGATTTCATCACTCATTAAAAGCAGTCCAAGCTTGACTGTATGCTCAAGTGTCGCAATCCAGCTTTCAGCGCTCTTGGGTTTCCTTTGTGGGCAAACTATTCCACTTCACTTTAGAAGTTGGCTGCATATACTTTTGGCCATGTTTGGGGTAGATTTAGTCGGTATCTACCATTCCCTGTTACAAGAGAGTCCCAAACAAGACAGATCACAAAAAAATCACCAAAGATTAAACAGATGATGAGAAGAACACATGTGGATTGATTAGTTAGAGGTGAACACCAAACCACTGAAGTCCACAAATCAATAAGACACTTATCCAGGATTGTCTGCTACAAGTACTTAAAGTGATTTAAAAGGTGTTTTACCTTTGAGTTAAAATAAATGAAGCTTCCCCACATCTTTTTTGTGCATCCATCTTTGACAGTGATTTATTTATTTCTTTTTGGCAGGTAACTCCTGGCCGTGATCCTCAAACTCATTCTGCAGCCGTTAAGGGGCCATATATATATTACTACTCACCTCCCCTCGCTCTAATAGCTCTTTGGTTGGTCTGTCAAACTGTCTAATCGGCTCCAGCCAGGTGATCCGACGACCAGGAATGCTTTCACCGCGAACTCACTCTCTGGCCTTTCAGGGGAATCCAAGCACGTCCTTCTGGGCTTTTCTCTCCCGCTTCCTCTGCTGTCACATTACAGAAAAACAATTTAGTCTGACAGGGGGAGTCATTCCTCAGAAAGCGGTGGGTTTATTTGGAGGAAAAGAGTTTCTGCTTCTGCTATTAGAGCAGCTCAGAATGTATTTTGTGATGACTTTGTGGAAATTGTTTCACCTCCCCCACAGAAAACACAGAGCTTTGTTTTCGTCTCTACGTGGGTTTGTGCTGAAAAGGTCATTCAACTCTGGACATCATATCTGCCAAATCTTTGGATGAATATGGGAATTCCCAGGTTTTTTCTTACTTTGTGTATTTAAGACTAATCTCGCAATGGATAGCAGAGAAAAGTGAGACAAATGATCTGCTTTGGGTTTGCACCTGTTTGGATCATGTAGGATTTAAACAAATGCAACACAGTGATCCTGTGACTGAGTGAAAGCAGCAGCAGCAGGATACATGAAATACATATGCCAGAGATTGAACTCTGTTTGCTGTAATATCAACCCTCACCTCTCTGTGTCTGCCCTTTATTTCCTTCTCCTGTCATCCTCTTTCTGTTTCCTCTTGAACTCCTCATCTTGCTCTCCAACTTTTCACCCGCTTAAGTCACCCGTTAAAGACAACACACCTCTACTTTTCATCCTCTTTAAGGTTCAGGCACCAAACTTGTTCAGGGTTATTGTGTAAAATGATCGTGTTCCTGTGAGAAGCAGAAATGCGACCCGTGTCGAGGCTTGAGTATGATACAAATCTGATCTGACAAGGACCAGGCATGTCCTGATGGTTGACTTCTCCCAGAATGATGCATGCTTTTAGTGATAAAAGCACACCTTAAAGCTACAAGAAGCTAGTTTGCACCAGACATCTACGATCTTTCCCCCTGAACAGAGCTCTGGGTTTCCCTTGATAGCAGATCCACAACAGTTGTGTATTGTGTAAAGGCAGAGCGCAAAAGTTTGCACATTTCCTTCAATTATCTTTCTTCGTGTTGCATTTGTTTAACCTGTGAGTCCCACATTTGCATGTGAGGAAAAGGAAATATATAAAAGAGTCTTGAAAGCATGATGATGATGACGATGAAGATGTCAAAGTGGACTGAAGTAGTGTTACAGTTACCTCGAAAGTCAGAGCTGGGTATGACCCGAGTTGACGATGTTCCAACTACAGGGCTGCCAAGTTTCAAAAAATGACAAGAGTGAGACTTGAGTGTTATGATACGAGCTGTAGTCGGTGGCAAAAAAAATTGGCCTTTTTTAATGTTGGTTCATGCGTTAAGACGGATGTCCACACCTCCATGCCAGCTGCTCTATGCCAGCGCTATGGTCTCCTAATGCTAGTCTTGATTAACCAGAAATTAGAAATGAGAAATTTAAATGTTGTTGTGTGTGAAAGATAGTTAGAGACGCCAAGACCCGCCTTATGTTGCTTCTGATTGGTTTATATTGCGTGGTGCCTTCCGTGTTTGGTTAGATCTCGGCACAAAGGACTGATGGATTGATCTGGAATTGGTTACCTTGGTCAGTCAATCAGAGTTACTCAAACTATGGCGAGCCAAGTTTGTTATCATGAAAAAAATAAATACAGACCATCATAGCACCGTGTTCACAGTAAGGCGTTGGGCAGGACAACATATACCACTAATTTAATTTCACTAAAACAGAAGTGCTAATAAATAACACATTATGAAAGCTTTCACTCTTTATTGTTGATGCACCGTGCTGCCATCTTGGATTATGACGTTGTCGTCAAGATGGGGTTGGTGAAGATCATCCAACTTTCCGAAATCTGACTTCAGCCGTTCCAGATAAATTTCCAACTCGGAGCTAAGAAATTCTGACCTCTGAGTACAACTCATATCTTGCAACTAATGGGTTAACTGAATGACCCATATGCATGTAAAAAAGCATTTCACACTGCTGCCCAGTATGCGCTCTTCTCGACTTAGCTGATACTTGGAATATATGAACTTATAAAGGCAAGAATAAGTCATCTTCACATGGAGTCTGTATAATCTGCCATCTTGGACGTCTTTCTGGTATTGTCTTCTGTATAAACTAGTTAAAAAGAAGCTGTATCTGCATATTCTGTTGTTTGTTTTCCTAAAGTACTTTTTTATGGTTAAGGTCAGAATAAAAAAACAATATTAAGCATATGTGGAATGAGTTTCCATGCACAGCATCAGTCCTGGCATATGAAGCAGCTAAACTCCAAAGGATACAGCTTGTAAAATTTGTGTTTTTTTTCTGTTTGGCTGAGATTATCAGTGAACAGCTGCCAGCTCTGATACATTACAGCTGCTGTTTTTCAGCCTTTTTGTTTTTCGGTCATTCATAGAGGACACGGTCTGCACTGTGTCAAAATCACTCTCAAACATTTGAACCCTTGGTGTCTTCCCTATCGGCGTCTCTGCTTCTTTTCCACCATGTTTATATGTTTGATACATTTCTCAAGAGGAGGATGAGATGCCTTTGCTTATTATTTTTTATGAATTACTTTAACAACCATTGTGTTTAGAGGCTCAGAGTGCAGAAACCTTATCCGTTATATTAGCTCTATTATGACAGCTCTCTTTAATGACAGGATGTGGCTGGAACAGCACGTCCTGTAAATCTGCTTTTTTTCTGGTTTAATGAACCAAACTCTAAAAAAACATAAATTATTTATAGTTTTGGATTCCAAAGCCTTTTGCCGTGAATCAGTTCTCCGAAGAGGCTTTCGTGCATCCTCTTATTCTGGTGAGTAGTCTGTTGTTCCTGTGAGCAGCTTCAGAAGAAAGTCTGCAGTTCGTGTCTGTCTTTCCTCCCCGTCTTAGGCAGTTAAACTCATAAAACCTCTGAGTTTTCTATTGACTTTTGTTTTGGGAGCAAAGCTGTCCATATGTTTCTGCTCAAGTTGAACATATTTAATCCTTAAATATGCAAACGCACATTCTTAGATTGGAGTGACTACAGAAACAAAGAGTCAAAAATCATGTACACACCTGACATGAGTAAGACCTTGCTCTGATAAAGTGTTTCTTTTCCTTCTGTTTCTCTGTAGTTGAAGCAGCCTGACAAAGCAGCAGCGGCAGCTCACACTTATTTCCAGGCCAACCCTGAACATGTGGAGATGGGTCAGAACCTGGAGCAGTACAAAGACCTGCAGGGAGTCAAGGAGGAGCACTTTGTGGACCGAGAAGCTCGGCCACACCAGGTCAGAAAAGGACAACTGACATCTGAAGATAACTTTGTTTTTCTTTTTTATCTCCTCTGAAGCTTCAGCCTTTACAAGTTTCATGTAACTACTGTCAGATGTTAACTTTCTGCCATCAATAATCAACTCAAGCTAACATGTCAGACGCTTTTTTCCACTTTGCTTCTCCCCGTTAAGGAAAAATAAAACCCTTTTCACTTTATAAAGCCTCTTTTTTGCTAATGGCCCTTGCAGTTTAATGACTGGAAACTCATTAAGGCTCTTTAGTCTCGGTTGCGGTTAAGCCCTGAATGCCAACAAGCTTTGAATCTTTTGTGCTCTGATTAATTTACAGTTTGTCAGCCATTTATATTCTCCTCTAACCCAGTCCTGTCCCCTCTCTGCCTGCATGCTTTTTCATTTTCTTTGAGTTTAACTTATACAAGACAAAACATCCACAGAAACACAGAAAAGACAATCACAGCACCTCAATCTGTAACCATCTGTCCCCTGTCTGACTAATCTGACTGCTTAGTGACCATAACTTATTGCATGTCATGTCTTCTTTTACATTTTTTCATACAAAACTCTCTCTGGGACTCGTTCATCTCAGAGCTGCAGAAGGAAACATGATGAGCACCAGAGGACTTATAAAATCTTTTATAAACTGGCTTCTGATTTACTGTTATGTTTTTCTCAACTGTAAAAATGAACAACAAATATTTGCTTCTGCAAGAACGTCAGAGAGAAAATATGTCTTTCATAAACAGATCATAAAGAGATTTCCTAGACAGCAAAGGTCATAAATACTCATCCCATCTTTCCTCACTCTCCCTTCACAGCGCTCCTTCACAGCAGCAGTAAGGCTGTACGATAAAGGTGACTACAAAGGAGCCATCGGTCTCTTCGAGGAGGCTTTGGAGGAGTACTATAAAGCGGACGTGGAGTGTCGGGCCCTGTGTCAGTGGCCACAGAGGTTTGAAGGCCACGACCACCTCCGCTATCGTTACAGCCTCCATGAGCTCATATCAGGTAAGAGCTGCTAAATGGAGAAACTAAAGTAATGGAAGGTGTGTTGCATCCTGTCTTTGTCCTAAAGGTAAAGAAGACAATGAAAATATTACAGGGATGTTATGGATGAACAAAAGGAAAGAATAAAATGACATTCGTAGGGTGTTGAGCTGCTTCAGACTTTAGAATCTGCTCTGTCTTTCGTCTGAGGAACTTTCATGTTATTTTCTTAAATTTCTAAGAAAAATGTTCAGACACAAAACCTTCTGACCTTCTGGTTTTAAATATTTTTAAGTCTGATTTAAATGTCAGGAATTCAGAGAAATACACAAACAGAAAGAAGAGGATTGTTTGGCATGGTGGTTAAAATACAAACCATACTGTTCTGACAATGTCTTTGGTTTATTCCCTCTGAGAAATCCCCTCTACTTTGCTGCTTTTCATGTAATCTCTCTGTACTGCCCACCTTAAGAAAAGGTCAAAAACGCTGCCAGAAAAACCACTCATTTAAACCTCTGCTTCAACTTATTTTATCAATATTTATTTTCATCAGTTGCCAAGCTTTTCCTGGAACTCCCCATGTTGAAAAACTGTTTAATGTGCCAAGTTTATTGGCGTAAAATTTGTCAGAGATAAAAAGGTGTAAATAAACGTCAGGCTGTAAACACTTCAGAGAGGATTGATGGGTAGGAGTTAGGAAAACACAGTTTAATCTGTGGTGAAAACAAATGCGTTCTGAATACAAGCAAGGCACACAGACCCTGCACAGACTCATGGGAGATTTGGTCCCACAAACTTGCATCAGTTTTTCATTGTTGCAGAGCTTACCACAGCGCAGGCCTCCTTCACTGTCAACGAACTGGAAAATTACAAACAGAAAACAAGAGGGCATAAATCAGTGCATATTTCAAATATTAGTCTGATCATGAGCTGTGTTTCTAAAGGCGAATGGACTTGATGTCACATTACAGACCACAGATGATCACTCAGCTTTATTAATAACATCGTTCAGATCCTGTGAGCAAAGACTGAGACTCGACTAAATCACTCACAGCTCAGATGTGTCTGATATTGATCTTTAGACCAGATTTACAAATTTAGTCAATGATTAAATGTTCTCAGTCTTACAAGTCGGCATGATAACCTGTCAATCAAAGAAATAACTAATATTTCTACTATTGTCTGTTACTCTGTAGGAGGGAGCATGAATAACAGATGGCATCTCACAGGGCGGTTTAGTTTGGCTGTATTATGATCTTAGAAAATAGAGATCAAGTATGTATGCTGTCTCAGGTTAAACAGGCATGTAACTGCTCATCCAGAGTGATGTACATCCTGCACAGGTGTGTGGATGTTAACCTGAACTAATTCACCAATATAACCTGCAGTTTCTTTCTTTTAAACCTGTGAGTTAAAGTCAAAAAGTAAATTCTTGAAGAAACCAGCAGGAGATAAGTCCTTTGACTTCCTTAAGTGTTCATCTTCATCAGGGGAGATTTTTAGCCTCGGCTGGCAAAGTAACTATAGATCAACCTGAAGCCCTACTCACTCACTACAACACTATCACTCTATCTTTTTATTTATGTATTTGTCTTTCTCATTTTTATCACCTGGCTTTTTTCTTTCACTCAAATGCTGCAACTTTATTTTTCATATTTTTGCTGATTATATGTTGGGTGTCACTGGTCCTGTTGTGTGCTCTCAGTTTGTGGTCCATTTAATTTTTTGGTGAATCCAAATACTAAATTTTTTTTTAACATAAAACCAAATAATTCAGACACTCATTTTCTCTCTTTTTTTTTTTTTATTTTGTTATGTCAGTGGGGATCAACCTTCAGTTTAGTTCTCTTTGCCATGTGGTTTGCACTTTTTCAGTGTCACTTAACTGGCAGCAATATAGAGGGTCATGCATCATGTCAATCACTATTGATTTTCATTATTTAGGCAAGGTTAATAAATACACACCAGCTTTGAATTTTCCTTTACCAGTCTGTGTTCCGGTTCACTTCAGTCAACATCATGTTGTCCTCAATAATCTGAAGGTCCTTCATTGTGTCTCTGAAACGAATCAGGCATCTGACTATGTTTGTTGTAGCATTTGCATCAAATTTAGAAGCCTCAGCTTAATTTCAACCAAGTGTGTGCTGTCTCCGAACTGTACAGTGAAATGTAAAGGTTTTTATGAATATGAAAGGGAGAGCTAATGAGTTTTGTCTGGGCTTTGTTGTACTTATAATCAGGAATTATTATACACAGTACCACTATGTGAAAGGATTCTGTGTATTTATTTTAGGATGTACGATTTAAATCTGCTCTGTAACTTTAATTCAAGAGAAAGGATGTTTAAGTACTTCCTCATGTAGCAGCCTCATATTCAGAGGAAAATATGTTGCTTTATAGCATTCAAACTCCGGCCTAAAACACTTCCATACCCGCTCCTCTGAGACCCTTTAAAGCCCAAAACAGACCTCAACTCTGCTCTGAGAGCAAGGAAAGTACTGCTACAGCTGTCTGAGAGTGACCCCCCCGTACAGCCACACTCTCACAACACACACACACACACACACACAACCACATGCTTGTACGCTGTCATCTTCTCGGCTGGATCAACATGAGTAAGTGATACGTAGTACCGCTGTAAAACCAGGATCAACAAACATGAGGGATCATCATCACCCAAGGAAAGACAAAAACACAAAAACAGAACAAAGATTATTTGACTGACTTCACAGCCACTAAGGAAAACCTGATGATGGACTCTTTTATTTTATTTGAAGAGTCTCATGCAGTCCAAGAACTTTTTATTTCCCAGAAACAGAGAATGGTCCACAGGGAACAAAAACACACTAATACACTTTAAGAGCAAAATTCATCATCTGTTTCATGCACACCACTTACCATTGCTGCATGAGACCAGGTTTTACTCTCATATGAGGATCTTTAATGTGGACAGGTACAACTATAGACTGTATACCAGTCTATAGTTGTACCAAAGGAAATTAGTCTCAGAATTTTAGTCTCTCAGGCTGAATATCTGCTGATACTGATTTCTATTTCTCACCTCTGATGCTCTCAAGTGGTTGATCATTTTCTTCCAAATCAATACTTTACATTTCCAAAGGACCACATGAGGGCTTATGCCTGAGTCAGCAGGCCAGGCAGTGTAATCCCATAACAATCTGTAACTATAGCTGCTCAGTCTTTGTATTAATACTGGTAGAGAAATAATCCAGTGTGAGGATTCATCATCATTTATGAAAAAACATGGTCAATCATTTCTCATTCATGAAAAGACATTTGATTACAAAATGAATGTTTTTTGTTTATATTCCTTCTTTTTTCATTGGTGCCGCCATGACATCAGTTAAAAAATCTCATTTAACACATTAGGTGTGTTTTTTAATTGAAATCGCTCACATTAGGTTGAATATTCGAGGTTTTTAATATACAGTACGTGGCATTTAGATGTTTGAATTGCCTAGCTTTCTTCTTTCTTACTGAATTTGCTGAAGTCCTGGATAGTGTCTGGATTGTAAAAATTGAACGCTGGGTAAATAAATGTTTATTACAGTTTTCACACATTGTCCACATTCATTAAATCTCCATCACTTAAACAAAAACCAATATTCAGGGTATGCAAGATGAGTAGCCAAATGCACCATATCAGAGGTTGCTTTCTCCGTCTTGTATCTGTTGAACTGACCTGAAACCCTCTTGTTACAGATCACTTCACTCAGGTGTTGCACTGTGAACACGAGTGTGTTCGAGACCTTGCCACTCGGCCAGGTCGTCTCTCACCGATGGAGAACTACCTTCCTCTGCACTATGACTACCTGCAGTTCGCCTACTACCGGGGTGAGTTTTTGAAAGGCTTCATGTTATATATTTAAAAAAAAACAGACCTGAAGTTGTTATGAGATTTTAAAGACGAACTCTACCTGAGTGTTTTTGATGTGTTCATGAACAAAGACGATGAACACACCTAGAGGTCATCTGTCCAAACACACACACAGACGTGCACATACAAGACCTCCATACAGAGCAGCAGACAGGTCGAGTCAAAGATGACCGCACCCTGAGTTTGTGCAACCTTCACATGGGTGTTTCCAGTCTGCTGCTCCAAGGTGTGTTTGCTTCTATGAGCGACTGTTTGTATGAGAGAGAGAGAACAATAAATCGATGTCCTGGAGTCTTGCTGGTAACTTTATGAAAAGCTATTCCAGACAAGTTTGTTGGCACAGGTAGAAAGAGTATCGGTAAAAGGCCGGGCTGTGGGGTTGTGAGATCACCAGATTACACTTAATGATCCACAAACATGTGGATCTAATAAAACAAAGTGGATCATTTGGTTCTGAGTAGATTAGTGAGTGAGCTTTGATTTGTAAAAAAGGCCGCCGATGGGTGTGTATTTACTTTGGTGTTTTATATGTGTGTGTTTGTGTGAGTCAGTGGAAGCTTAGTAAGCTTTTAATAACACCTTAGGTTTTAAAGTATCAGAATTAGGTGGATTCGTGTCTTCAATTTTGATCATATCAATCCCCTTTCCTTGACAACAGCATCTGAAAATTCAGTGTATGCTTTTGTCTCATAGTCTTCATAAATTTCCTACATAGTAACACAAACACACACATGCACACTGCAGTATCAGACTCTGGCCAATGGACTTCACTCAGGAGCCTCTCACTGTGCTCCACCTGCCTATGTTTACCAAATAAATCCTCCGAGACGTGTTTCTGTCTGACAGAGCAGGAGTCTCAAACTCTCAGTGACCTGGAAGTTCACAGCTGACGGCAGCAGCGACACTGCCCACTACCTCAGCTTCAGCCAAGGCAGGAAGGAAGTTTTTGGTTAACCCTGAGCTTTTACAAGCTGGTACAGAATGTGTTGGAGGGATGTAGAGCAGAAGGTGTGGACGTGAGTGTGAATACCTGTGAGAGTGTGTCATGTGTAGAGTGTGTGAAGACGGTACTGGATGATCCTGCTGTTGTGAGTTATCATAGACATACAATATGTGTGTGTGTGTGTTTGTGTGTATGTGTGTGACTTTTCCACAATGTCAACCACATCACAACTTTTGCTGTATTATATTAGCTATGCCTTAGAAATTTGACCGTGACAGAATCATTACACTCTCTCTCTCTCTCTCTCTCTCTCTCTCTCTCTCTCTCTCTTTCTCTCTCTTTCTCTCTCTTTCTCTCTCTCGGATGTATTAACACACACAGTGGTCATATAATACTGTAGATACAGTTGCCTAGCAGCTCTGTAGAAAACAGCAGAAAGCCAAAGCAGATCATCTGCACCTGACAAAATCTGTGGGTGTGCAGTTGTGTGTGTACGTGTGTTCCTCTTAAAGGTGCTCTGTGCAGTTCTCTTGCGATCAAATAAAAGTTCTGTTTACTCCCAGCTAGGACTCTTTGTTTGCATACTTAGGTCAGTGTATTAAAATGGCTTTTTCTGTCTTTCTGTCCGTTTCTCTGCAGTGGGCTGGCTGGAGGAGGCACTCGAGTGCGCTTTGACCTACCTGTTGTTCCACGAGGAAGAAGAGTTTGTCTCCGAAAATGTGGATTACTACAAAGAGGAAGTGGGACATGACGGCAAACCAAGAGAGGTCAGCGTTTTATTTTGATGTACTTGGCAATGGTTCAGATACAATTGAAAGCAGGATAAATGTCATTAGGTGGATTTATTTTCACTGTAACTGTTTTTTTTTATATATATAGAAAAACATCTGTACTGAAAATGAAAGGATTAACAGTAGCAAGGAAAGAAAAACCAGAGTAAGATGAGGGTTTAAAAAAGTGGCCAGATCTTAAAATATTTAAACAATCTGCAGATGTTTGGTGAAAAGATGGAAGGGAGCGCAAAGAGACAGCTTGTTCCTTTTTTAAAAAAAGGAACAGTTCATGTTTGTTGTTATTTTATTGTGTATCTGTCAATAAAAACTATATCAACCACAGCAGATGGGGTCATCCCTACCACACAATTTAGATTATTTTAACCAACTCCAATCTGAGTACCTTATACAACTGTATATCAGGGACATAAAACTATCCTTTAAGGCACAGTCAAGTTTTTAGTTCAGTGAGGAACTTTCAATTTGTGGCAATTTTGGCGCCCCCCTTTGGACAAAGCAGTCTTTGTTTAACTTGTCCTCAACATACTTTCGTAGCGTTGTCTGACAGAAATACTCGCCTTGCCGATTCTTAACAGACAAATATATTATTTATGTTTTATGAGGAAATTGTAAAAACACACCTGTCTCTTGGGTTGCCCTACTGACACCTACTCCCTTGCACTTGTTTCAAACATTAAGAATTACAATGTGAGAGTCAACAATCATATTTCTTGTGATTTTGTTTGCTTTTGAGTATCATAAAAAAGCATCCAAATAACTTTCAGTCCATTTCATAGATGTCAAAAAACACCTTACAGGGTTCTCCTTTAAAAGTCAGGGTTTTTAGATCATTTAAATCTTGAAAGGACTCATTGTAGTGCTTTGAAGGTCATAACTTGTAATATTAGCAGGAAATTGAGTGGAACAGCGTTACAATAATACGAGCCAAAGTGAGGAGGGGAACTATTTCAGCAGAGGTGGGGAATGGTATAAGTGTGCAGGGAGCATTTATTTAAGGGGAAAAGAGGAGTCAGCAGGCTGCTAGCTGTGTTTCTTGGATGAACTTGTTCCTTCCAGCTTGGCAGCAATAAAATTTACTTTTCACTTGTATATGTTTTCCATCCAGCTGGAAGAATTAAACCAATTTCGCTTTGTCAACGTGTTTATGACTAAATACTTCTTGCTCTGGGCTTGCTTATTTCCTCGTGTCCACAAGATCCGGACTAAACTGAAAGGTTGAATGTTTGTATGCTTGAGAAGATTAAAACGGTGAGATCTAGCTTCTTCTCGGCCACTTCGACAGAGAATTTGTCCTTCTTAACCTCCAATCAGCTCCTTCTTAAAGTCAAGCAGTGCCTTGTTTAAAGTCCCAACCACACAACCACTTTTTCCTAGAAAGCCTGGTGCTCATTAGGGCAGCAAGGCTCCCACCAGGACTGTGAATGTGTGAGTGTTCATGTGTGGATGTGTGTGATAAAGAGAGGCTGTAGCTGACGCACTAGAGCTCACGCTCATGTTTTTCTACTCATAGCTTACATTTTTCTTGCCCTCAAGTCTTTCCAGTCCCGTCAGTCATTGGCCATCAGATGGCCTCTCAGCGTCTTCTCCTCCCTTCAGCCTCGGGGAGCTCATTTACAGAGAGTTAGATCTCAGTGCCAGTCTCGCCTGTCTCCATGCCAAAGAATCTGGCCTTTCAGGAACTGTAAAGGAGGAGGAAAAGTCATGTCAGGGTGCCCAGCGAAGTCGCTGGAACAATTTGGGGGCTGTTTGCATTAAGGGTACTAGAAAAGAGGACTTTTCCTTTTTGTAACCCCCTCAAGAAAAACACTACTGGATGCTCAAGTTTCATAATACTGTTCAAGATGGCCTTGCTCCCCTCCTCATCCTCACCCTGTCTCTCCATCATGTATGTAGCCTTAGAGCACATCTTAACATCTTGATCTTTGGGTGACATTGTTGGGCAAGAGAAGCAGCATTTCTCTACACTTCCTCCAAACCCCTCTGGATCTACTGCTCAGGGGGGAAATAGTTCTGGATTTAGCTGTTGTTTACTTAACAACTTAAAGGCTAATGATTGAAATAAGAGCTTTTCAAGTCCTTGTGCTGGAAAGTTAATGAACCTGAAAATAAATTGTTTATACTGTTAATAAGTATCTCAAATGGGTATTAGGGGTCTTCTGGGATAGTGTGAATAAATTTGGCATGTTTGTTGTCGATATCCATTGTAAGATTTCTGTGTCAAACTGGCTTCCAAGTTTTGCACACTTTCCTGACGCTGTAGAATCAAAGAAGGTGATAGGAACTGGTAATAATGTTTGTATAAGTGTATCTGAGTAATTTTATGTTAAGAAAATACAGAACGTATAAGCAGTTTTTGTACCATCAAGGTCTATGTTTGATGTAAAACTAATGTTCAGTGTTTTCAGGATTCCTAGGTGGAAAAAACTGAACATTGACTTTGTTGATGTTGTTGCTGCTGCACTTTCCAGTTCAACTTTTGAAACACTGCTGTGCTCACAAATGTCACTACTCCATCAGCTGCTGATAAAAATCAAGAGGAGGGGAGACTTTTTTTCACCTTTATCAAAAACAATAACAGAGATCCATGCAGAGGAGAAACTAACCACACTTGTTTTTTCAAGAGGACAATACTTGGGTTCAGAGTGGCCATTAATGCCACTACACAGTCTCATCATTTTTTAACATTATAAAACATGTATATAATAGAACAGACTAGTCAGTCACTTCTTTTGGATGTGAAAGTGCTATGAAGCATTGTTTATTCTATGTGTATAAAGTATGGATGGAGAAGTATCAAACCACCTGTCATTAATACTTTCTTTAACTCGATTAATACAAGTTAATGGAAACACACTTTATTCCACAACTGATGCAAAGCGAGAAGTAGCGCTCTTTCTTTCTTGAATATTTCAGGTTTAATAAACACCTAGTTTTGCTTCCTTTTATATTATGCCTCCAGACAGGACACAGAAGTAGAGCGGTTTCTCTGAGAGAGCACAAAGAAAGAGGCCATCGCACTCCATTAAAGCTTGCACTGAGGCGAGAAGAGCAGAGGGAGGGGAAACTCTGGTTAACTTTGTTTTTGGGACAAGAGGGTCAGAGTCCTGCAGAGGTGTTGTAGTGAGCTTTAAAGTGTGAAAGATCAATATGACACGATAGATAGTCAGTATACACTGAAACCTAGGCTCCATATGAAAAGGTTAAAAAAATTCCTTCAGAGGGGGGATTTAGGACAATCCTAAAGCATACGTGTGCATTAATACTGAAACTATTTATGTGTTTGTGTTTGCAGAGAGCTGCGCGGTACTTAAGGAGACACAAACAGGAACTAGAACTCCTCCTGATCGGCAGTAAAACCATGGGTGTGGACTTCACTGAAGGGGTGAGTGAACAGATCACTACATCTTTCCAAAGCTTCATCGTTTTTCATGTGCAACCATAAACTCGAAGCAGATTGAAAGTATTAATATACCCACCAGTGGCCTTAAATCCTCAAAGGAAAGACTATGTACTTTAATTGGCACTTATTTATGAGCCAGTCCATGTGTTTTCGATCTTCTGCTGGGTGTGTGTGTGTGTGTGTGTGTGTGTGTGTGTGTGTGTGTGTGTGTGTGTGTGTGTGTGTGTGTGTGTGTGTGTGTGTGTGTGAATCATTCCTGTGCCCCTGCTGCTGCTGCTGACTCAAGCAGGGTAACAGGTGTCTGGCACAGCCGCTAGCACTCTGCTGCATCCTCAGCCGACAGCGACACCTGCTGGTTAAACACATGGCACATTTAAAGTGTCAGGGTAAAAACTGATTATTAATTTTTGTCTTTCTTACAGAATTACTGGAGCAGTACAGGGGGCAGAGATGACTCAAACAGGTAAAAGAGCCTTGCACTGAACAAAACTGAAAGTATTTTTGTAAGACTTAAAGCCCCACTTTGCTGCTTCTTTTATAAAGCTAGAGATTTTGCATATTTTTGCTCATATCTAGTAAGATTTAGATCCATCAGGTGGCCAGTAACACAACTTAAAATCATTAAAATGCTGTGAGTGTTCAAAGCTGGTTTCCTGTTGCCATGGGGAGAACAATAAATTAAAATATTGTAGTTTTGAAGTAATAATAAGACTCCTAATGACCAGCTTTTCTCCGTCCTTTCAGGATTCCCTCTGGAACTGATGGCTGGATGGAGTATGTTCCTATTTCAGAGAAGAAAAACATCACTGTTGCTGCTCAACAGCAGCTTAAAGAAGGTAAACCCTAACTGCAGCCAGAGATCAAGCAGGCTGAGAGTTATTTTACTCCTAAAAGTCTTGACGGCTTTGAGGTTAAATCTTGAGATAACTTGCCGCATACTTAAAGTAGCGCTTCTCTGTGATCTGCGTAGGAGGCCCCTTAGTGTACGACAACGTGCAGCTGGTGCAGAACTCTGCAGCCTTGAACGGGACCCAGCGGGTGCTGCTGGATCATGTCATATCTGAGGAGGAGTGTTCAGACCTCAGACACTTGGCACATGTAAGGACATTACACAACTTAATAAAATAAGGATTTTCACTGGAACTGTCAGACCAGATCGTAAATCTTATCGTGTAGGTTTACTCTTGGCTCAAGGTTTTAAAACACTGTACGAATGAAAGCTTCTCTCTCCCGGTGATGGCTGTTTGCTAAGTGTTTACGCACTTGAGGTTTAATTTCAAATCTTTCAGGCGGTTACCATGGCAGGAGATGGTTACAGAGGAAGGATGTCTCCACACACTCCAAATGAGAAGTTTGAGGGGGCCACTGTACTCAAAACCCTGCAGGTACACCCACCAATCATCAAAACTGCATTTTCTGAAAAGTTCTGACCAACACTTCAAAACTTAAATTTTCTGAGCAGGTCAGATGAGACAGTCTGTGAAAAAGCCCACAATTCAACAAACATCCTCTAACAGTCTCTCTCTCTTGATCGTTGTCTGTCCTGCAGTATGGCTACGAGGGCAGAGTACCAATGAGAAGCGCTCGTCTGTTCTATGATATCAGTGAGCGAGCCAGACGGATCACTGAGTCGTACTTTCAGCTCAACTCCACCCTGCACTTCTCCTACACACACCTGGTGTGCCGGACAGCCATCACAGGTCACTCACACACACACAGAACCGAAACCAAAACTCAAACACTGTCATTTCTGTTGTGGTCATTATTGCATAAAAACGTCAGAGAAGCAGCATAGATCCTGATTGGTTAAAATTCAGTATTTGCATTTTAAGAGTCAAAGCAGCTGCAGAACTGAAACTTCAGATCTATGAAGTTATCCTGATGGTTTACCCGCCTTGATCATTTTAAAGAATTGTTGTAAATGATCAAATAAGAAAATACTTGAAGGGGCTGTTTTGGCATCTTTTTACGTTTTTGTGCATTGTTTGTCCATCTACAGGTCAGCAGGATCACAGGAACGACCTGAGCCATCCCATCCACGCTGACAACTGTCTGCTGGACCCAGAGGCCAACGAGTGCTGGAAAGAACCCCCAGCATACACATACAGAGACTACAGGTGTGAAGCTACGGCCACTACCGGAAAACTCACTTGCATATCATTTAATCACTGTCACATTTTTACTGTTCTCTGCTTTACTGTTTTTATTAACAGTGCACTGCTTTATCTGAATGGAGATTTTGAAGGAGGGGAGTTCATTTTCACAGAAATGGATGCCAAAACAGTCACGGTAACTTAATTCTACTGCACCTATGGCATGTTTGGCTTAAGAGACTTATCCCTACAGGGAAAAGCCACAATGTGTTTGTTAGTGTGTGAAATGCTTGGTATTCTGGCAACGTTAAATCACACATTTTGACCCATATTTTTGGCTTTTCCTGATTGCAAAAAAAGTACCTTTAAAAAAAGTTATTTTAATCTCAGACATGTGATGGATATTTTAGCGCCACCTCTTAGCCCACTCTTTCTCTGTTTTCCCCTTCAGGCATCAGTAAAGCCCAGGTGTGGCAGGATGGTGGGTTTCTCCTCAGGAGGGGAGAATCCACATGGTGTGAAGGCCGTCACAAGTGGGCAGAGGTGTGCTGTCGCTCTCTGGTTCACACTGGACCCTCTCTTCAGAGAACTGGTAAACAGATTTCAAACATACCTATCAAATGAGAATGTTGTTGAGTTTTGTTTTGTGATCAATATTTTCTCATACTGTAGTTATTGAACTATTTTTCATCCAGTATAACAAAAACCCACATTTTTCATTTCTCATATGTTGTAAATTCTTCAGTCTTCCCTCAACCTTGAGATATACAAAGTCATCTTCACTGTTTCTTTTGCCAACCAGCTGGAAAAAAGCTTTTTCTGGCAGGTCTGAGTATTCTCCTGTGATGACGTAACAACAAGAGTGATTTACAAAGGCGTGCATGCAAAACCTCTGGCACCCCTCAAGCAATTCAGCTATCTCCTCCTTTGCTATTGTGATTTTGCTTTAGTGTTGCTGCCTAAGGATATCAAAGGTTAGAGTCAGACAACCAAACCAGATCCCAAGTATCTAGTTTGTGCTCCAGCAGTTTTTTTAATTGTCAACAATAACCTACTGGCTGCAGTGAGTGCTAGTTTGCTTGTTTTTGTGAACCAATTCACTGCAAAGAGTTTCAAGATACTCAAAAAAGGCAAAAATGTGTCAATACCACCCAAATTTTAATACACCATTCAGAGACATGCTGTTATAACCCCGGCTATGAACACTTAAATAGTTGCCTCCTCTTGTTCGCGGTCAGAATCTGGATCTGAAGTGTAATAAAGCCACTACCGTTATGACTCATTTGGTGCGTGGATGACGAAGGTTACAAAGGCTGCAGATCCACAGAGGCTGAGTTGGACTTGGTGCAACTGAACTCAAAACCTTGCTTGAAAGATAATTTGGTATTGGGGCTAAAAGGTATTTAACTGTGCTTGTAGTTTTATGGTCACAGTATTGGTCAGTGCATGGACCACTTTGGTCTGGACTAAAATACAGATTCATGGTTGAGTAAAATCCAGGTGTCTAAACTCCAATGGGAAGAATTTGCTCTGACAAATGCATATTAGTTTATGATGCAACACAGGGAATAATGGACCTCACTGTTATCTCATTTTTTCCTCTCATTCCCACTAGGAGAGACTACAGGCGGATGAGGTGATTCAGGCTTTGGACACACAGGCAATTTGGGGTCAAGGCCTCAATATCAACCCTAAAGATGAGCTATAGAAACAGAAAAACACCCCACCCCTGTTCCTCCCATTAAGCCCTTTATATTTTTTGACAGTCTTGAATTTAGCTTTGGATCAGAACATTTCTATTTTTGTACTGTTTGAAGTGCAAGGTTAATAATATTGTCACATCTTTTGTTGTCAGTTTGTTTGCTGTTGTTTATTGTCTCATGTTCAGCACTGGAGGTGACATGATGCTTCTTTGTCTTTCCCTTCAGATACAGGTCATAGTAAAAAAAAAAAAAAAAGAGATGTCTAATTCACTTAGTGTAGATGTATTTGTTGAGACTGTTTTTCTGTAAGACTGCTCATATCTGTAATCTCACTGAACTGTGAAGACGCCAAAGAGAAGAACCGTGGCTGAAAACTTTCTTTTCCTGCTCTGAACAACATTTTCAACCGGTCTTAACCAAAATATACGGATATTGAAAAGTAGATTAGTTCCAGTAGTTGTTACTGCTTCATCAGAAAATGGTACCTTTACTACTCTGTTATTTCATTTCCTAAAACATTTCATTATTTAAGTCTGTTTTATAACTGAGTGCCAGTAATAATTCTATTTAATATAGACAGTGCACTGTTTTTCTAATCTGGGTATTATTATTGTTAAACACTCATTCAAAGACATTTTTAAAAGGAGATGTTCTAATATGCTGAATATTTAATGATCATGCACTCTGTTTTTCTCTATGTGACAGTCTGAAACTGTCTTTTTGTCCACTCTCCCTTGTTGTTGGTGTTTTTGTTGATGTGATGAATTGTACTAGAGAACAATACTAGTTTAACTGTTCGCTGACATGAAAACATGGCATATGTATTTTTATTTTTTGTTTTAAATAATAGACAGCTGCTGTTGTAACTGTCTGCATAAGTCAAAGGAGCTTTTATTCATAAAAGGTATCAATCGTTCCTGTTTAAAGGAATACCTATTTGTTTGGTATTGTATGTCTTTATATTTGTGTTGATGATACAGGTGATAGGTTAAGTCGTGCACTGTAAATTCAATTTAAAGATATATTCAGAATAGCTTTGTTGTTGTCTGAGATTCAATCTGCTAACCAGAAACATAGTCCTGTTGTTTTAAAAGGTTGGCCACTTTTGTTTCACTGATATTTAATTCTAAAATGCTGTAGCACAAGAACGTGTATTTGTACATGCCTATTAAATTAAAAATATTTTCCATATCTTTATTTACTCATGTATTTCTGCTTTATTTTTTCATCACATATTGTTTAAGATAAGATAAAGAAAGATTTATTCCTGTTCTAATCAAAATGAATACAAATACAAAAACCCCGTCTTTGTGTGTCATGTGTTTATTGTGCCCATATGAAGAGTATTTCCCTCTTCTATCTTTATATTTCATTCCTGCACAGTTCCAGTTTTACCAAAACTGTTATAAAATTGAGCATAATCTTTGATCTAAATCACACACTGATAAAAAGGCAAACAGTAATGAATGGTTAAGCTCTCATGTATAAACTGCTCAGCACTGCAGGTGTATGAAGAGCTCCGTTTGAGTAAAGTGCTTCTGCCACTACAAAAAATATATATACAAAAAACATTCAGTCTATACATGTGAACACCATTTAAAATGATCCTGTTGTAATAATTGCTCAGGTATGTTAACACTTAGTTGAGGTCACTCCTTTAGGTTTTTTTTTAACACAGTCCTGGAATAGAAATGAAGACACAACATAGATTTAATGTATTCTCCTGTTTGTGATTAAATGACCGAGAGATAAAATTGAATTTATTACACTCTCTAATGATGGTCTGAAGAGTTCACGGCCGGTTTGATTTTATTGTTTCAGTACTGGTAGGCAAGCTGTTCATTAAATCTGAAAGGTCTGTTTTCATTTACAGTACACATCAGGTCCCTCAGGCGCCGTGCACGTCGCTCCTCCAGCACCAACCTGCGGGAACGCTCACGAGCCGCCTGCTGCTCGGCTCGCTTTTCTGCCCGCTTCCTCTTCAACCACCTGAGGTCAGAAAAAAAACAGGAAACAAAATGTAAGACCATAAAACCATGAAATCTAATATTAATGGAGTAAAATGAACAAATTATATATAAGTTATTCACAGTGTTCCTGTAGATTTCAGACCCCTCATGTGTATAAAAAAGTTGAACTTACACTTTAAAGGCATGTTCACACTCCTCACGGCTGCGTAACAGGTACCCACTGTCCTCCTCCATCTTCTTCAGCTCCTGCAGCTGTTTCTCTTTCTGCTGCTGCTCCTGTTTCCTCTGAAGCCACAGCCGGAATGACTCCTCAGGGTCATAGGAGTCCCTCTGCATGGTGGATGTACAAACACATCCAGCCACAGGGTGGAAATAAAAGTGGAAATGATGATTTAATTCATTGTGTAATTCAGCCGCTCTGATGCATCAGTTATTACAGTGCACTTCAGTCAGAGTCATATTTAAGAAAACTTAGTGAAATTATTAAATCAGTGTGGATAAAATTTGACACTATCAGCATCAGTCTTCAGTTATTTGAATACTAATTTGTATGAAAGAGGTTAGAAAAAAAGCAGAATGACACTGCAACTTTGAGAATACCAAATAATTCTGAAGTAATGTTAAAATTCAACAACATCTTCAAAAACTGAATAAAACCTGTTTAGATATTAGAGAAGTAATTAAAGGAGAGCCAATCAAAAAAGAGCATATATTTACTAAATCCATGCTCCACAGCATTCCTGTCGCATCAGCAACAAATGCTGGGTTTGTCTGCCCCCCTGTGGTCGTACCTTAGAATTCATCCTCTCCATCTCCTGGGCTCTGTGGATCCTCCTCTCCTCCTGAAGCTGCCCCCTCTTCCTTAACATCCAGGCTTTGAATGCCAGCTCGTTCTCCTGCTTCTTCTGTTCCTCCTCCTCTCGTTTCCTCTGCTCAGCCTGGCACAAGGAACAAGATAACCTCAATCTGAGACGTAAATTCAGTAACATTTTAGCAAGGAAAGTTACAACATTAGACAGTTTTACTGTAACTTCAATTAACACCCATTCCTCACCTCTCTGGCTAGCCTCTCCTTTCTCTCTCGGACCCTTTGCAGCAGCTCTTTCTGCTGGGGTGAGAGGGTGTAGGTGGCCTGGCAGGGGGTCCCAGTGGCTGACTGTGCTCGCCTGCTGTTGCTGCTGCTGCTGCTGTTGAGGCTCCGGCCTCCTCCTCTCTGGCTGTGGCTGGCTGAGCTGGGTCGGCTCCTCGGTTGAGCTGGAGGTCTGGGGGCATGGGAGTGATTTAGGCCTTGCTGGAGAGGAGAAGAGGAGGATCTGGGGATCTTTCTGGTGCTCTCAGTCAGTGTGGGGGAGCGTAAGTAGTCACTGTTTACTATTGGAGGAAGAAGCCCTTGACTCTCCACTTCTTTCAGGCTGACCAGGTCAAACTTGCCGTCCTTTTCTACAAGGATTCTACCTTCCTTCCCTGCCTGCTCTTCGGCAGATCCCCTCGACTGTAAATTTTCCTCTCTTGGAGAAAGTTTGAGCTCTGACAGCTTCCCTGACACCTCAGTGTCTGCCTCCGAACCTTTATTTGTGTCCTTGCTGATCTTTACTCCTTCCACCTCTCCACTATCTTTCTCATACTGCAGCGGAGGCACTACCAGATCCACCAGCTTCTCTTTAAAATGAAGCCGCCTGCGCCTCGTCACATCTGGAGCTTCCTGGTCCTGTAGCTCCCGATTTGCCTGCTGGATCTTCTCTTGTATGTACTTCTTATCCTCTTCTGACTGCTCATCTATTCCAGGGGGAGGGGGGACTATATGTAAAGACTTGTTTGGGCTGTCTCTGTCTGAATCGTACTCCAGCGGCTCCATAGGTGAGGGCCACCGCTCCTCATCTTCCTCTACCTCCTCTGTTTTGTTTCCTTGCTTCACCTCCTTCATGTTTTTCTTTTTTCTTTTTACTCCTTGTTGTTTCTCTTCCTCCTCCAATTCTCTATCAATTTCTGCTTCTAAGTCATCATAGTCAGGACCCTGTGGGAGAGACATTCTTTCATCAAGGCTGAATGTGAATGGGCAGCATCAATACTCAGCAGGTAGTAGCAAGTGTGATAATAGACGTGAGTGGAAGTGTTCATCAATATTGCATCCAGCGGCAGTGGAACAGTGAAAGTGTGTCACTGTATGTGGACAGAGTTGACTGGGAGACATGCCAGCTTGGGTTACTCAACATCTCTCACAGTCGTACTTTCATATAGTGGGATGAGACATTAGAGAAACACCCCAAATTATGTTTCACACAAGAAAAGAAAAAAAATGTGCAAGTGGGTTCAAATAAAAAGTTTCAGGAAACCGACAAAGTTAATCGAACTGATGATCGTCTGATGTACCTGATCCTCACATCGACTCTCCTCACTGATCAGCCAGTCCAGATCCTTCTCAAAGTCGTCCTCATACTCCTCCTGGGTCTTTGTGCAAACCACCTCACTCATAATCTTCACTGATGAAAAAGGACCAGTCAGAACAATATCAGATGCAGATCTCCAAAACATGCAGGTCTGAACTTAAACTTGTTGCTCTTAAACAGACTTCTCTGTAGGCGAAACAATGACTGTTTCATTTAATGCTTTTAGGCTGCTGTCAGGCTCATTAACATCACACAAGACCTTCTGTACGTCACCAATGATAGAACTGTACGAAATACAACAAATTTAAGACCCAATAGCTTCCAGTGAAGCCATACAAAACTATCTCTCTATGCTGAAAAAAGTTTGTGAGGCTCTAACATGTTTACTCTCTAAACTTTACCAATCAACCTTCACTTATACTTGAAAGATAATTAAGGGGCAAACTTCATGTACAATGACACTGAGTCATTTACAGAAGCAGTTAAAAGACAACAAGCAATCAAAGAAACCAGAAGAAATACTGATTTAAAACTATTAAATACTCAAATGGGGCAACATTTTATAAGGGACACCAGTTGTTATACAGAATAAAACAAGATCAATTAGGTTAAATATGAAGTGGTATAGGAGTCAGTTGTCCAATTAGGTACAGCAATTTTTAGTTTTGGAATAGTTAAATAATGTGTAAAGTGCAAAAGGTTATATCTAATGTGCATCTATCTTGTAGCCTTATTGCTTCATGTTATTTTACAGCTGTACCTTGTGTCAGAGAGTTGTCGACATCTGCTGGTTACAAAGTAGTATTATCAGTTTACCAGAAAACTACTTGTTTTGCATTTTTTTATTTTATTTTAACCCTCTCTATAAAAGGTTATGTTTTACAAAGCGCTGGCCCTGCTGTGACTCACCACCAGTTTATCCAGCCATTAGACACAGTTAGGTATAATTACACAGACTCTAATCCGGTTTATTTTGACAGCTTTGCTCGCTGTCAAAATAAACAGGGCCGAGATGGGACTTAAATGCTGATCTGGGGAGTACATTGGCGTCCAAAGGTAAAACGCTTCATCAAACAACTGTCGTTTATTCATAAAATGGGATTTAACGAATCGTGTTCAAGAAGCTGACAGTAAACTCACCACAGCAGCGGGCTCTTGAGTTGTATTCCAGTCGAGTTCAAAGCTGTTAAAAGCACCGTAGCATACTATTTTATAACTATCTCTTCATTGAAGTGGCCCACATTACTCCTGGCAGACAGCGGAGCAACACTTCTGCACATAATCTGCTCCTAGTCCCTCTACAGCCCTAAAAGGTTTAATAGTCTCGTCGCTATAGCGACCTACAACACGCTTTACTACCGACGCATGCGCAAAGAGAACCCCAGCGCAGTAAACGCAAAACTCGCTCCGAAATAGTACCCTTAAATTTCCATTTGAATACAGAAAAGAAAGGAAACCAAGAGAAAAATATATACCCTCACACGAAATGCTTTAAACTGTAAAAAGTTACTTATTATCATAAAAAAGATTCTGGATGTTTTAGAAAATGTTTAAAAAAAATAGGTATAACATGACCTGAATAATTTTAATTTGACTACTGTTGAATTGTTTGTGAGATTAAGGATAAACATTCCGGTAGCATTAAAATTGTCGACTGTCGTTTGTTAATGTTTATCGTGTACCATAATACACGGCCGTTGGACAGTCAATCTGTTTTTCGGTTCTGTAATCCGGTGAAGAGGACTATGAAAGGCTGAGACATTTTATCAATAATAAAGTTCGTGGTGTTGTTTGGTGGAATCTCTCTAATTATTATGTGGTAAGATATGTTATGTAGAGAGACTTCAATTCCATTATAACCGTGTTTAGCAGCTTCTTGAAAACTCCGAAACATCAACAAGGTACCCAAACGCAACATCATATTTTAAACGCACTGCACTCTGGGTATTGTGGTTTTTTATAGACTTTCACTATCGGAGGGGCCCGGTGCTCGCAATATCAAAATACTACATTTCCCATGTTGCACCCTTCCTTTCAGAGAAACAAACGCCCCTTAACGTGCAGTCAGTTGACACATTACTGATAGCACGTAGGCACAACTTGTGATAATGTTTTGAGTTAGTTCATGAGAACTGCGACAAGTCGCTGCGCAACGAGAAAAGAGCGAGTTAATACCAGATAAATGGCCACCATAGTCTTATGTGCAGTTAACAAAACGGCTCAGAGTACCCCAAGGAGATGTTTATTAGCATATTCAAAGGGTCTTGCTAGAGCAGGAGAGTCATCCACCGTTCCCAGCCTGTCACTGACTTTGCTTCCGGGAACGCGATGGTTTTCCAGAGGTGCCCGCGTGCGGTTCATGTCTCATGGGACCGCGAGCAGTACTGCAGCCGGAGGAACCAGGAGGGGAGCCCTGGCACTCAGTGGAGCCGTGGCAGTGTCAGCGGCTGCGGCAGTGGCGGGGGTACTGATCAACGCTAACCACTTCCAGCGTGCTGAAATGGCAACCAAAGTGTCTTCCGTGGCCGTGGATGAGCAGGAGGGAGATATCCTGGAGAGGTGCCGAGATTTCATGTCCGCTCCGGTGACCGACATCGCCGTGCTGCAGGAGAGGAAAGGAGAGATGAGTACAAGGATGGAGATGCTCATCATGGAGACGCAGGCCGACTTTTGTAAAGCCCTCCAGGAGGTGGATGGAGGGAAGTTCAAGGTGGATAGATGGCAGCGGAAGGAAGGTGAGGATGGTCCAAATAACAGATAATTTTTTTTCTTTTTAAAACACTCATAAATAAATGTTAATACAAAAATAAATAAATAAAGAAAAGGGGAAAGATAAAAAGAAAAGAAAAGGGGTAATAGAGTAGGAATAAGGGGGAAAACCGAAGAGAAAAGAGAGAAAAAAAAGAATCATAAGACTAAAAAAAAAAAAAATAGGGAGGGTAGGTTTCCTATAGTGCTCCTTAACCTGTTTTAGGTAATTCTTTCCGTCTCTTCAACTGTTTTTTTTTCCAATCATTACTCGATGGTGGCTTTGTATCCAACCATTTGCATGTAATTTGTTTTAAAGCATAAATTCGTACTATTGTAAATAGAGATATTTATCCCCTTCTCTATGTATTTTTAATGGAATAATACATAATAAAATATTAGCCTGGTGTAAGGGATTCTTTAAGATTTATTTATGAGTGTTAAAAAAAATAATGCTGGCTGAAATAAACAAGTAAAGGAAACTTGTAATATGCTATATATGAGACGAACATGTACAGTACAGGCCAGTTTGGACACACCTTCTCATTCAATGTCTTTTCTTTATTTTTTTTTATGACTATTTACATTGTAGATTATCACTGAAGGCATCAAAACTATGAATGAACACATGTAGAATTTTGCACTCATAAAAAAAGTGTGAAATAACTGAAAACATGTTTTATATTGTAGTTTCTTTAAAATAGCCCCCCTTTGCTCTTGATGACAGAAGTACTTAGTGACTGACTCTGCCAGTCATTGAAATAACCCTGACAAGACACACCTGTGAACGTTAAAACCATTTCAGGTGACTACCTCATGAAGCTCTTTGAGAGAACAGCAAAAGTTTGCAGCACTATCAAAAAAGCAAAAGGTGGCTACTTTGAGGAATCTAAAATATAAAACATGTTTTCAGTTATTTCACATTTTTTTCTTAAGCACATGATTCCACATGTGTTCATTCATAGTTTTGATGCCTTCACTGAGAATCTACAATTTAAATAGTAATGAGAATAAAGAAAATGCATTGAGTGAGAAGGTGTGTCCAAACTTTTGGCCTGTACTGTATGTAATGAATGAGCCAGCAATAAAGTATTTAAAAAAAGAACAAATAGATCCATGTGTACCCTTATCATAATTTCATTGTCAATGAGATTTTTTATTTTGTTTTTTTATTGTATTTTTTTATCAACCTGCCATATATTTTTGAGCCACAGCATCATGATCAAAGCGGTGAGCAAGAAACAGCAGAGAGACAGTGAATTTCCTCCCAGTCACTCATAATTCATTGTGGGCTTATGTGTTTGTCAGGTGGTGGAGGAATCAGCTGCGTGATGCAAGATGGAAAGGTGTTTGAAAAGGCAGGTGTCAACGTGTCAGTGGTGTTTGGATACCTGACCGAGGAGGCCGCCAAGCAGATGAGAAGCAGAGGGAAAGTCCTCAAGGGGAAAGATGGTAAGTTTCACGGAAAGCCTTTGAAAGAGTGGGGTTATCCACTTTTAAAGTTTTGTGTCATTGAGGAAGTTTGATGCCTCCTAGGTAAGCTGCCGTTTTGTGCCATGGGTGTGAGCTCTGTCATCCACCCCAAGAACCCCCACATCCCCACAGTGCACTTCAACTACAGATACTTCGAGATCGAGGAGGAAGATGGTGAGTGTGCGACTTTGACATCAGCAGTTGTGTCTTGGTGTCAGTGACACTATTGAGTCCATCAATGAATGATAACCCTTGTTTCTCTCTTCTAGGCTCTAAGCAGTGGTGGTTTGGCGGCGGCACAGACTTGACTCCAATTTATATCAATGAAGAAGATGCGTTTCACTTCCACAACACCCTGAAGGAGGCCTGTGACAAACACAGCTCACAATACTATCCTGACTTCAAGAAATGGTACTGTTTAATTTGAGATTGGTTATCTGTAATGACACAGAATTTTTTTGTGTTTCTCCCGCTGAGTATTCGCGTGTTTTTCAGCACGTACTCATTTGGAGGTTTGATTTCTGCGTATCGGATTACAATGGGTGTATCCTCACTGTAAGATGGTGATAAGGGCAAGCCTCTGCCTTAAATCTGCAGTTACGAAAAGACCGTTGAGTCATGGCTGGGTGTGGTTTAACTAGAAAGGCTCATATTGGAGCGAAATTTAAAACCAATTCCTTGGTCTTTGGTAAGAAGAGCTAGTTCAAATCCTACTACAGTCATTTTACAAAGCCAAGATAAGCCAAATATGTTCTGGTTTTAGCTTGAGCTCATTTAAACGTCTTTATGAATTGTCTGTCACTGTGCAGGTACTGTCACCTGACTTATTTTTAATTATCTATGCCATTTTAAGTCATCTTTTAGAGGCAGTTACATAAAGTTGCTGAAGTAATTTTTAAGTGAACTAAAATTAATAGTTTTATCATTCATGAAAAGTAAAAGAAACAAATGAAAAGGTTCCTCCTCATAAAAGCAGAGGGGGACATAGAGTTTGAATAATCAAAAAATAATGCAGTAAAAAATCACCAAAAGTAAAGGCAGTAACATATTTCACCTGTTGGTGCCAGCACACACCTGGTCACTTGCTTTTTCTTAACGCAAAGGCCTAATTTCACAACAGCCTTACTTGTGCATGTTTTATCTGTGGAATTCAAAAACTCAAACACCCAGCTTTCTGTTCTGCTTTTTTTGCCCTTTTCCAGCCACATGCCTGAGTAATATATCTGTTAGTTTCAGTTTGAAAGACTCAGGTCCTGCCCTGGTGAAAAGAAACAGAAAAAACAGCCTTTTGTTCATGTGTTTGAGGTCATTTGTACATTTAACTCTTTTGTTGTTTGTTTTCTGACATACATGTGTAGGTTACTCCTTCTTTTTGTTAATCAGTGAAGTTGACCTGATGACCTGACACCAAAACTGATTGATTCTTTTTCTTCTTTTGATGTTTAGGTGTGACAGATATTTTTACATACGGCACAGAGGAGAGACCCGAGGTATAGGAGGGATCTTCTTTGATGACCTTGACACTCCAAGTCAGGAGGCTGCGTTCAGCTTTGTAAAAAGCTGTGCCCGCACTGTTGTGCCCTGTTACCTGCCCATTGTATACAAACACCTGAAAGACTCCTTCACTGAGGAGGAGAAGGACTGGCAGCAGGTGCGACGAGGAAGGTGAGTGAAAGACGAACAATACAGAGCTAGAGTTGGTTTATGACGATTAGCAAACATCAGTTAATACAGTGATAACAAAACACTGAAAAAAACCTGTGTAATGTGACTCCTAACTAATTACACTCATTCGCAAAGTGGTAGTTGCATTGCCAGATTAAAATAAGGGTATTCTGGAGAGGTAGAGTCTCTCAGTAGTGAAGCTGGGATTCCTGTACAAAAGGGACGAGGCTGAAAACTGATACTGTTACAATCCGACTCTGAGGCCGCAACAGAAATGGGAGATGAGATAAAGTGTATGCAAAAAAACAAGTCATTATTTAAAAACTGAAGCAAAACAAATATCAGTATCTGTAGTGTAGGTGTGTGTGGGTGCATGTAAGTGTATAAGTGTGTAAAACAAAAGTGGCATCCACAATGTCTGCACGGGCAGGCAAGAAGATGGAGTTAACAACATCCATTTAAGCCTGAGGAGGATTTCTAGATGAGGACTAAATCAGGTTATGGTCGAGCTCACCTCTGGTGATGACACCGCTTCTTGGACCATAAATAGAAAGGAGACCCTGCAAAATAGGAACACCTAGTGGTGCAGAGGTGTCGTCACAATACTGAATGGTCATGAACTTTGGGCCCTCTGGTGGCCCTGCATGACTCTGTAGGAGATATCACTGCATGGGCTCCAAAAACCATTGTCCATGAACTCTGTTTGTAGCTGCCTAGCCACATATGCAGGTTAACACTCAACCATGCACAGAGGAAATGAAATGAGAATAGAAACCAGAAATGCATGAATTGAAGTGGAAACTTTATAGTTCCTGTGGTGTTAAAGATTAAAACCTGACAGCCTTTCTGTGAACCATCTTCTGTCCCCAAAGAGAGAGGCCCCCCAGCTTTGGTCTCAGCGTACGATTTAAAATTCAGCATCCTTGGTGGGATTAGGATGTATAACTGATCATTGCATGGGTAGTTTACACATATGGAAAGGCACCATGAATGCTGTTCAGTAATAATATATGCAGGTTTTGGAGACACATGTGCTGCCACAGATGCTTAACTACATTTGAATGTGTATTACAACAGTAAAGTTCAGGAGGTAAACTGGCCTGTATGCAATACCACTGACAAAAAAATATCACAGAGAAGACCCCAAACTGTTGAGCAGTGTAAATCCAATATCTAGACTTTCAAAACAGCAGAAACTGGTGTTGTTTCTAAGAAGAGGAGATGCTATAGGATAGTAAACATCCCTTGTCCTAGCTGTTATGAAACAAGTTGCTGGCATTAATGCATTGCAGTATCAAATATCAAAACAGTTCATTCCTCATAAATCACAAAAATTGATTGTAGTCTTTGATCCTTAAAAAAAAACAGGCTTTTTTTTTTCATAAAATTGTGTTGTTCAACAGCATTTTACACAGCATTCTATTGTAGAAATAAAAGTCAAATAAAACCACTCCATGGATCATAGTAATTTCAGCTTTAAAAAACAGCCTCACCACACACTAACAGACTCCAAAAAACTAAATAAACTGTGATACAACATAGTTTGAATGAAGATTTTTTTCCAAGTTCCAATAAAAAGAGGCCATGACACCCATTAATGAGATGCAGAGTAATTTATGAAAAAGACTTGATGCACAGCAGGTATTTTCTTTCAAAGCTGGTGCAGATTCTGGCAGAGTCCTCTGCCTCAGCAGAGAGTCCCTTTGAGACTCAATTACAGAGGATGAGCTAAAAAGCAAGTTAATGAGAAAAAGGCTGACAGTGAACTGGAATTCAGACAGGGACTGGATGGACTAGCCAGAGAGGAAAGAAGAAGATCCTCAGATTCCCGCTTTGCCCGGTGATGTCTTGTAATTACTGTAAACTTTGTGTGTTTGTGTTGCAGGTATGTTGAGTTCAACCTGGTGTACGACAGGGGTGTGAAGTTCGGTTTGGCCACACCTGGCTCCAGAATTGAGAGCATCCTCATGTCCCTTCCACTCACTGCCAGGTGAGTAAACAGCACTCTGTCACAGTGTCAGTTCTCTACTCTAGTGTGATGGTAATGAGCTATCTGTGTTGCCTGGTAACAAAGTCACCTGTCATTCTCAGATGGGAATACATGCATGAGCCTGCCAAAGGTACTCGAGAGGCCGAGATGCTGGAGGTACTACAAAACCCCAAGGAGTGGGTGTGAGCTTGGTGTTTACTGGTTTACGTGCGTTTATGGACAGCCAGGAAATTGTCTATGTGGTAATTAACCATGGCATTACCTGTTTGACCAGATCAACAGCAGTAATCACTGTGTTTACCAGAATAAGAGGAAGTAGCTTTGCTCTCCTTAAGATATTTTTGTAATCAACACAGGTACTTTTCTCTCTTCTTTGTTTACTCTTGTTTTGCTTGGCAGCCTTGTTGACACTTGATTACACCTGGATCTTATTTCTTTTCATATTAAGACATCATGTCTTTAAAATTGATCACTGAGCTTTAGGCTTGTGCTCGCTGCAGAGCTGTCCAAAACAAGACCAAAAATGTTACTACTTTGACAGCTTCTCATAGCTGTTTTTAAGTCATCTTGTGATCAAGCCTCAGTTGTAAGAAGTGATTACGTTAAGCACTTGTGTGTGTTTTTGTGTGTGTGCCTGGCCTGGCAGAGCTCTCCTCTCCTCTTACAACGCACTGAAAGGAAAAAGGGACAAACTGAGCCACTCTTTGTATGTTTTTGTGCCACTACTTGGATGACCCGTGAATAAATCTTGATTTGATATTTTAATGTTTGTCTTTTTAATCATTTTTTAGAAGTCAGGCTGACTTACTACAACATTAGTAATAACTGATCCTTGTCCAAACCATTGAATTGATGTTGGTCAATAGTATTTGAGTCGCTCTCTACTTTGTTTGAACAGCAGACAAACCAAACACTAGTATTTGGAGTCACGTTCCACAGAGGGGACAAAGGTGACTCAGAGGCCTAGTGGTGAATGAAACGAGGAAGAGAGTTGAAAAGGCAATGAATTGTGTCATATGATGATAGGATTTTTTTTCAATACCCATGATCCTCGTTTTCCACACAAACAGTCTTCTTTCTTTTCTTTTTAAAATTTTTTATTCTAAATCAACGACTTTACTCGCAGCTCTCTAGATCGCTTAAACATCCCCCACTGATACTGCTTCACTTCTTGTGCACAATTTCACACATACTGTATGTCTGTAATTTATCACTGAAAGCTGCGGTGAGGAACTTTGTTAATATTTCAGCACCAAGAAGGTAAACAATCTCATTGCTGTTTTTATCCTGCGCATGTATGAGTAAATCCTCATCTTCATTTGGCAATTAATAACAGGAGCTAAAATGTTCCTCTAAATCATCCATATTTAATTCTAGGACTCTGAACAAACAATGGATCAGAAGTTCATTAAATAAACTCGGAGTCAGGTGAGGTAAAGATGAACAGAATAATTTTAATGCCAAACAGAATAATTTTAATGCCAAAGAAAATTAAAGTTTTATATTCTCTTGGTTGCGTAATAAAATTGAGGAAACTTTTGGCACATTTTTAATATTTTATTACAAATTAATCCAAGCTTTGCACATATCAAGGATTTATAACAAGTTCCCTTGCATTTTCATGTTATAGAACATTTTGTTTGATAAGGCATTGTAAAAAAAGAAAAAAAAAAAGGAAAGAAAAAAAAAAAAAAAAGAGCTCTATAATTAACAGTACAACAACTGACCTAACCAAAATGGCTCCCTCCACCAGCACAACTGGGTTAAAGGTCATAGCAAGTGCTGAGGTTCACAGGTCAACTCACAAAACAGTCAAAGATAATAGTCAGTGCTCAGTGTGTGTGTGTGTGTGAGGTGCAGACAGGACATGTTACATTTAGCAGTATTCACAAATGTTAGACAGATATATTTGGTTTTTAGAGTGTATGCAGCAACGTTGCATAAAGATTATGAGCACTTCTGAGAGGATTACAGTGACATTGTTGTGGTCTAGAGTGATGTCGACGGTGTTAAACCAAACTGGTCCTTAATTTCATCCAACAGCTCAAATTTTGAGCTTAAACACAAAGTGCCTTCATTTAGTCCAAACCTACTGTTAAGTAGTTACACTAGTATCAATGCATTCACTGCACTCCTCTGCAGTGAAAAACAATCTCTCACTTTCACTCGTACAGACTATAGATTACTATATACATTACACATGATTTACATGATCTGAGGTTAGATACAGAATCTCTTTTCTCTGATAACTTTTTCTGTGTAGCTTCAGTTTCTATTGCTCTCTGTCCCACAATCCTGTGCAGCTCAACCCACAATATACATTTATAGTGAAGCTGCAAACCTATACAAAGAATCCTCAGCGTACTATCAGTGAAGACTCTTCAGTCACATCCCAACACGGTTATATTTGCTTTGAGGGGAAAAGGTAAAGAATAATTATTCACAGTAAAAGCAGGTTCTGGGAAGCTCAGAGGTGGATGTGGACCAAACTGAGATCAGTATAACACCAGGTTTCCTGGCCAAGCTACATGCAGTACAAAATATACAGACATATGACACCAACAATGAGCACGTGTCAGCACCTCTCTTTATAACTGATGGCCTTATCTTCAGTTTTAAACATTTTGACTAGAAAACATTCATGGGTATAATCTGGAGGTGGATTGATGCTTCCATTTGGCAACTTGACAATGAAAACCTGCATCAAAAGAATGTTTAAAATCTATAAATTACTCAGATAAATGTTTTTAATCTAATTACGTCACTAATAGTCTATAACTCTAGAGTAAAACAACAAATCTGCTTTTTGACACAGTGCTGACCGTGTGGCTTCTGTAGCCTGATTATTCACAGCATGTTTAAGTCTCAGACGTCCCTTTACAATAATAAAAAAAAACTATCCCTGGGTAAAGTTTCACATTATCTCACTTTTCTCCTTTTACATTTTCTTTATCTTGAATTCTAATTTTCCTTTTTGGTAAACTGTGCAATATAAAAAAGTCAGAACAAACGACATTGTTCAAATTAACTACTTCTAATGTTTCAAGTAGGGGAACCATCTGTTATCTGTCACATTAGTCTGAAGAATTGGCACAAACCTTCGGGGAAGCATCAGTCCACCTCTGTATAAACCCTTTTAGAAGAGCAGTCCTTCATTCAGCAAATCCGATTATTTTGTCTTATACCACATGCATCATTTGTTGTGTCCACCCAAGTTCAATGATTTGCTACGGTGTGACAGTAAAGATGCAACTTGAGTAAAATCAGCAGAGGTGTCGCTTGGTTTTAGTATTGCATCATCCTTTGCTTCTTCTTGCTGTCACTTCACCTCATGAGAAAAGGTTAGTGCAAATTTCAACTGCGCTGGCCCCAGCAAAAATTGCATTAGTCCACTGAGCACACAGTTAATAGTGTTTGTGTTGAAAAGGGAAGGCTGGTGATACCACAACAGTGGCGCTGCTTAATGATTAGAGGTTCTTAGTGAAGGTTAGGGCTTTGTTGGGGTGGTAGTTACAGACTGGTTTACTTCCCACGGGAACCGTTGCCACCAGAAGAACTCGTGTTGACAATGTCCTCGTACTGTGGAGGAGGCTCTGTCTCTATTTGGACATCTGCATGTCCCACAGCCTCCTCATAAGAAGGTGGAGGGTCCCCAGCACTTCCCCTCGCTGATGTGAGCTCAGAACCTGGATAAGCTGGACTGCTGTGGGCGCTGAGTTCTGAATGGTCACCATGGTGGTAATCTCTCCCCCAATGGTCCATAGAGACCACAGACAGGACATGGTCGTGATGTGAGCGTCCCAGGCTGGGGCTGCGCTGCGAGCGTTTGCGGGAATGGCAGCGCCACACAGTAATGGCAACGGCAGCGATGATGAGCACGACCAGCAGCAATGGCACGATCAAGTAGAGAGAGTGAACTCCGCCTACCACCGTCTCCAGCCCTCCAGATGGACTGCTCTCCCGCACGTACTCCTCCCAGAACCGTCTCTGCAGCCAGTCAGGGGACAAACACAACACTATCAAAATCAATTCAGCGGTTTAACTACAAACTGAAACAGTGTCAACACTTGGGAACAAAAGTGTTTGAAAACCGAGTCACGGGTACAGGGCTTCCACTGCACAATACTTTTTATCTGGATTACTGCAACACAAAGGCAGTGTGCAACAACCCCAGAACAAACAGTGACTATATGATTGTGACTTTGCTCTCTGGCCTTTCACAATGGTTTTACAAATACATCCCTGTCTCCAGCAAGCACTCGGCTGTTCTTCCTGCTGATAATCATCACTTCCTGAAAAAACACCCACATTCCTACAGCCACCACTCTTGGCCTTGGATTCCACTACTGGACACATGAACCTTACAACACAGTACTTGGTATGGATGTGTTTTTACAATGGGCGACTAATTATTCAGCAGTAATGATAATTTGTGGATGTGAGCTAGAGCTGTGAACCCCTAAGTTCAAGTTTTTGTACTGCCCTGCACTCGATTGTGTTTTTGGATGTCATATTTATCAAGCAACCCAACAAGCTACAAACACAGGACTCCATAACCTAAATCTATCAAACAATCAACAGACTGTAACGCGATTCCTTTGTGTTCAGCCTTACAGTCATGAAGAACTGCAGGTCTGGATCACTCACCGTTTTCTCATCGTTCTCAAAGGCCTCGCGGGCCTCCTCATAGGTGCAGATCTCCTCGCGGCACTCTCTCTGAATGTTGCCCTGCTTCATCTCCTCCAACAAGAAGTTGGCCCTGCGCAGTCGTCGCAGCACAGAGTGGGCCGCGTCAGCCGGCAGGAACACTGAGAGGCATACACAAGAGGGGGGGAAAGGTTGTAAGATCTTGAGATGTATGACAAAGAAGTCCTGCATGCCTGAAGATAACAAGTGAAGGCAAGAGAAAACAGAGAGGGGAGAGGAAACGAGGGGTGAGTCAGTGAGCAGAACAGCATGGAGGAGGAAGGGGGGAAGAGACAAAGTAGAGAAGGACAGAGGAGTGAGGCAGATAGAGAAAAGGAGGATAGACATGCTGGAAAAAAAGCCAAAAAACGGGAGAGAGAGGGAGCGAGGTGGGGACTGAAACAAAGGCTGCAGAGCTGAGTTGAGCGCTGCCCAAAGCCCACATTTCTGCATAAAAACAAAAGGTCCTTTGATTTAGGCATCCATCCCTGGGCCACATAAGAGAAACTGGAGGAATGAACTTAGTGAGACAGAGTAACCCTCTGTTTCACACACCCCAACATAAACTCTCCTACAGAAACTACACAAAAGATACCACAGCATGCTCTGGGAACGTCTGATGTGCAAATAATTCAACAAGTAATGGCGGCTGTCAGGTGACTCACAAATCCGACGATTTGATCATCTTATGACTCAAGAAGCACAACACATGCTAATACACAGGCAAAATGCTGGAAAACTGGAAACTCCCTCAGGAGAGGATAGTAATCGTATACTTAAGAGGACAGAAAAACCTGAAAAATGACATTCCATCGTCTACATTGTGTTTGACAAACAATGTAAATCAATGTAAAGAAAGAAGAATTTAAGGAGAGTTTCTCATGCGGTTAGAGATGAGAGATGACAGCTTCATAAACATTTTTGTGCCTTTGGCGTAGAGCAGACGATGTGTTAAATAAACTTACCACTCCCCATGATTCCTGCGGGTCTGTTTGGGGTAATTTGCCTGTTGAAAAACAAATATATGTAAACAAAGGACTCTCCCTGTAATGTTACTACCTATCCTTTGTTTTCATAAGTAGTTGTTCTAATGTTAAATCTAATCTCAGACAGGTATGGGATCCATACATGTCATCAGAGATTAAGAAAGGATGTAATGTTAAAAATAAAGTTTTACATACAGAGGAATATTTTAAAAGAGAAGTATATACAGCAACAAACAGGGAGTCAATGTTATAACAGAGCAGATAAATAATAATACCGTTTTACTAACAAGGCGTTTTACTGTGCTGTAAATGTGGGGCATCCTTGATCACAGCAGCAGTGACCAATGGCGGCTGCTGGTCACTCTTACACATGGATTTGTTACGGGAATGCTGCTGCTGCTGCTGCTGCTGGTAGCTTCCCAGAATAGACTGCAAGCGGCGGACACATCACAAACAAAGCGCCGCCGCCCCGTTACACGGATAACAAGCGAGAGTATACACACACTCAGACTAAAAGTTATGTTTGCTTAGCTTCACTGCGGCTGCCAAATGTCTACTTGTGCCTGTATTGGTAGTGTTGTGTGTCGGGTTCAGGCTGGTTTAAGCTACACGTACTGACAACCGGTGATGATTTGTAGGACTGGAGCGCCTTCAGTAACGGATGTGATAACAGGCAACACATGATTCAGACGACCGGAGCCAGCGACAGAGGTCGAAAGAAGGACCTCTGTTGCATATAACAAGCTTAAATTTAAGTCATTTTAGAATATTAATCACTCAAACAACTACTACTCACCGTTCGTCGTCCCCAAAATGCGCATAGGCAAACCCTCGTCTTCTTCACTGCCCCAAAGTGTTGCCATGCATATTGCGCATGCGCAGATCAGTGTTTGCGGACAGTAATCCCACGAACTGCCTCTGCCCCCGAATTAAAGGGACAGTTCACCGTGGGTCAAAGAGCACAATACAACTATTTCTTATAACTAAAGATTTTATTCTTACACATGACTGGATACTGACATCAAAACCATCGTAGTAAATCATTTTGTTGGAGTAATCGAACCCAACGTTCTTTATGAATGTCCAAAATGTTGATTAAGTGTCAGTCGTGGTGCCTTCGCTGTCAACATGAAGTTTCTTCAAAGTGCTAGCCAGCAAAATGTGCATTTAGATGAAAAAAAAAACCACACCGATGTAAAACAAAAAACAATCAACCAACCAAACAAACAATTTATTGGTGAAAGTCCATTCTTGCTTTCCTAAATGTTTTGCATATTTTCACCCATTTTAAATCTTGCAGGTCTAAACGAAGTAGCGTTCCTAATGGATTAAAACCTGATGTGATTTTTTTTTCAAGTCAGTACAATATGTTAAAAAAAATATCATAGTAAAGTATGATGAAAAATATCAAGGTATAGTCAATAATAAATTTAAAAATTTCATTTGAAAAAAGTCAGTATAATTTGTTAAAAAATGTAAAAGTATTGTATGAAAAAATATATTAATTTTAGTTTGAGAAAAAAGTCATACCATAGTTTGATAAAAAAGTTCAAATTTTAACTTGGGAAAAAAAGTCATAGTATAGTAGGTTAAAAAATGTCATAGTATTGTATAATAAAAAAATATGTTTTGTTATATAGTCATAGCATTATTTGTCAAAAAAAAGTGATAGTATAGTATGTTAAAAAAAGGTCATAGTATAGTATGTTGAAAAATGTCATAGTATAGAATGATGAAAAATATCAAATTTACTCAGAAAAAAATCTGTGTAGTATGATAAAAAAAATTCAGTAGTGTATGTTAAAAAATGTCATTTTGGTTTGAAAATAAAACTCATAGTACAGTTTGTTTAAAATGTCATAATGATTTTTCTTTATTCTTTCTCATTTTATTTTTTACTGATTTTTTTTTTTTTACTGATACTGATTCTTTTTAGTTTAATATTTTTTGGGCATTAAGGATTAATGCCCAAAGTTATGTCATTTTGTGAAGTATAATCTTATCATATAATATTGAACATGATTGCATGTAAAATAATAATTGCTCAACAATATTAGACATCATGCTTTTTTTTGTGTGTGTGTGTGTGTGTGTGTGTTTATTATATTACCCTTAATCATCTGTGGTACTTTACTGACATTTTTTTTTGATGAGACGGAAGTTATAACTTCCATTGCACAACTAAATACTTTGTTCATGCTTTTTGAACAAAGATTGTGTATAGAAATTCCTCAGCAGATGAGATGGGGGAATGTCTGTATATACACTATAGGTCTTTACCAATTACAGTCTATGGACTCACACACTTGTACACACAAAGATAATTTTACTATCATATAAACGTTTAAAAGTTACATAAATTTACTATCAGCTTCAACAAATTAATAGTGTGTGTGTGTGTGTGTGTGTGTGTGGTTGCTTCTCGTGTACTGTGAGCGTGCATCAATCAATATGAACTAATTTTGAGATTTTTCCCTGAGGAAAAAGGATTAGTAAAGTTCAATTAGGGGGAAAAATGAGCAGTGTAAGCCTCCCTGTGCAACACTGTTTGCGTGGGAGTGAGAGAAAGACAGAGAGAGAGAGCGAGAGAGAGAGACACACACACACACGGAGAGAGAGAGAGAGAAAAAGACTGATGGAAAATGAGGTGTTACACAAAGTGCTGCCTGAGGAGATAAAGGAGCGCTAGATTAGTAGGTTGAGGGTTGAGTGTTGCAGGAGGAAAGCAGTGATACGATTAAAGGAATGTTTACTGATAAAAAAGCTCCAGTGAATTTTTTTTCTGTGTATGAAACACAGTGAAGATCATATTGATTCAGCTGAAGAAAACAGTCCTGATTTTACAGTTTCCACAGAAAATATTCGGCCTGTGACACATTATGATTTAACTGTCAAAAGTCAGCAGGCTGAGACTTTTTGTCAGAAGAAATGAAAGTTCATTACATGAGCTTAAAATGAGGTGAAGTTGATAAAATACTCATCTATAAATAGACCTTTCTTATTTTTGAATGTTTTAAGACTTACTTTCACACAAATGTAGTCTCTACAATATAAAGACTTATATTATTTGAGCAACTTATCATTTAAAGTGAGTTGTAATAAGGAAATGTGAGAAAATTGATTACGGTCAGTTTGATATGTTTTTATGTAAAATATAATCAAAGAGAAATAGAAAGCCTCTTAATAAACATCTTTAGTAAAACATAATTTCCAATAAATACATCCTTTTTTTAAAATCCCAGACAACAGACAACAGAGCAAAAGCATTCACAGGTTTAAATGTCATGACTATGATACATATGGGGCTGTTTTGGCTTGCAAAAAATATTTCTGTTGCAAAATATTTGAAACAGATGAGCTCGGTTTCCTGGTCTGTTCACCCTTGTTCAAAGTTGAAGAATCAGCGTCTTATCTTATTGGAATCCTAAGGAGTAGTTAATTATGAAGTGTTTGTGTTGTCCGCTTCCATAGCCTAAAAATGTGGTATTTTGTCAGGAAGCATAATAAGATTACAAGACCAACAATCAATAAAAGCCTCAAATATTTCTGCACTTTTGCTCCTTTATTGTATGAATGTTGAGGAGCAATCATTAAGTCTTGCAAAAATATTACTGTTTAGTCAAGTTTTATCGAAGTAATCATAGGATGCACCATAGTACCAGCTGAAAGGTCACTAGTGGCCAATATTTGACCTATCTGCAAAAATGTTCCAATGCACCAATTTCAAGAGTTGATGGTAATCTGCATCTAATCCCATGGCGTTCCAGTATAAGATAACTCACTGTAACCAAGACACTCTAATTTATCGGACTATCTGAATAAAGAAGAATTAAGATGTTCTTTCATTAACTTATTTGTTTATCCTAACAACACCTTAAATACTGGGAAGCTGGTAAATCTCACTACTGATACAGAGAAGATTCGTTTTTTTGAGAGGTTGAGGGCATTATCTTTAGGGCAAAACATAAACTCATGTCATATTCAAATATGAAAAAAAATATATAAGCAGTGGTAGTTTTACACAGTATCTGAGCATGATCAGTCTTGCAGCTTGTCAGACATGTTATAATAACATTTGAAAAGGGTCTTGTGGGGAGGATTAATAGTAATAATTTGAATTAATCCAAACACAGAGGTCATTCAGAAAAATAGACAAAAAGAATTAGAATATATAGAAAACAACTATCTGCAAAATTATGGAGAGCATTGTTATCATTATCAACCCTGATTTTCACAAGTGGGGAATGTAATAGGCTAATTATTAAACAAAAAGTCCTCCTTATCTAAACAACTGTTAAAAATATATTACCAAAGCAATTATTGTTAATTAAAAAGTTTGGGTAAAGGACAAAATGTCAGTACAGATTTAAAGGGTAGAAAAATAATAGCCATTATATCACATTAATTTGAGATATGAAAGTGTAAAGAATCATGAAAAAAAGTTTGAAATGTCACTTGGATTAAAAAAAAAATCAAATACTAATTAAAAAAATCATCAACATAAAAAAATATAGTTTCTGTATTACAAAGTCATTTCCATAGGAATGAAATTGATCAAAAACTTTGTGCTAAAAACTTGATATCATTTTATAGGGCAGTATGTCATAAATAAAGCACAAGCCGAATTCTATAGTGTAGGTTAATTTTGTTTTTCTGACAATTAATTGATCACTCATATTTATGATGTAAGTATAAATAGTTTTTCATTTTGTATGGTGGCCGAGAATGGCTACTGCTGCAAATAAATAAGAATGCAGAAAAAAAAAGTAGCCACAATGGAAGTTACCGATGCAAAAAAAATACGAACCCCACTGCAAATAAAAAAATAAAATGGTGCGGATTAAAAAAAAAAAGAAAAAAAAAAAAAAAGAACCCTGCTGCCGGTGCATCATCATTATTGGTCCCCAGCAGCTCACTTCCATTTTTGCTTTTTTTTTTTTTTTTTTTTTTTCTATTGCCCCTTTTTTTGTGTATGTTGTTAACTTCCATTGTGACTTTTTTTTAATCTGCACCATTTCTTTTTTTTTCATCAGTAATGTCCGTTGTTACTTCTTTTTTTTTTTGCATTCTTTTTTATTATTAATAGCAGAGGCGGTTCTCAGCTACCATAATTTTGAAATGCAACATTTCATATTTTTAAGGGGATTGTTGTATTTTTGGCATCTAGTTTAACATTTTTAATAAGAGAGAGAGCGAGAGAGAGAGCGAGAGAGAGAGCGAGAGAGAGAGAGAGAGAGAGAGAGTTTCTCCTCGGCACTAGGACCCAGCAGCAGGTGCAGCAGCAGCTCCCTGTCATTTCACTGATCTGCGGCTCTCCTGTCCTCCTCACATTCAGGCACAACAGCAGCGCTGGTCCTCGGCAGCAGCAGCGGCAGCAGCAGCAGAGACTCTGCGCGGCTCTCCATCCTGCTTCACCCAGCGCTGGCACGGGCTGGGGGAGAGACTGCCTTCACTCACACCTTCATCTTTTTGTGGATTTTAGGAACAAGTCAGACCCCAGAGAGAAGACACACGCACTTTTCTTCCTTATTTTCCAGCGCCGTCAAATGTGTGAGATACTTTAGACATGGCTTCATCCGTGAGTGGCACAGAGGAGGTCCGAGTCTCGACGTTGACTCCCCTGAAGTTGGTGGGACTGGTGTGCGTGTTTCTCGCTCTGTGTCTGGATGTCGGAGCCCTACTGAGTCCCGCGTGGGTGACGGCGGATGACCAGTACTATCTGTCCATGTGGGAGTCCTGCTGGAAACCCGTCAGCTCCCGGGACTGGTCCTGCCACAGTACGCTGGCCACCGGTGAGACAGACGCTCACATGCCCGTAAACACGCTCACTTACCCGGGTTGATGCGCCTCCATGTTGTTTTGCAAGTTTTAATCCAGTTGGGTGCTGTAGTTTTAGGGAGGTGTCGAAGCAGAATTTGGGGTGCACACAGACACCCACATTCACATTCAAATAGGGGATAACAAAGAGTCCCTGCAGACAAAGCTCTGCTCAACCAATCTGTTCAGTGGGTGAGAATTATAAAACATCACCCAGGAGAGAGCTAAATGTTAATTACTTTATAATGAGTTATTGCCTGGTTCATTTAAACTGCAGAACTTTCCTGCATGTAATAAGATAGTGAACAATGTACTGCACATACTGCTCTCAAAGTGGGAGATAATTGGCTCTATTGACATTAACAAATTTGTCCTTGAGCCTCAGAGTGTGAAGTATAAGGCAGTTTTTTTTTCTGTTTTCTGGTTTACTTTGTTTTTTACAACATTTGCCCAGTACACCACTGAATGATGTGGGAATCCTGCCTCGCCAGGAGCGGTCCAGCTGGGGTTTCATTTGGCCTTTTGTTGCTCACAAAATGAGCCTTTGTGAGGGTTTCTTCACCGGCCAAGGAGCGAGGGCAACTCAGAGCAGAGAGCTCCCCAGAGATCCAGATGCCTGTAGATTAGTAACCAGGGAGACAAGTGAAGCACTCCAGAAATGCAGATTTTTTTTTCTTTTTTTAGGAGGGAAAGTTCCTAATGGAGGGTTTTTTTTTTCATCCTGGAAGTATTTCATTTTTCCAAAACAGCCAGCCTCTCAGTGTTAAAGAAAATAGGAATCAGGATGTGGCTTTTGTCTTTTTTTTTAAATCATGCATTACAGTAAATATAAAAGTGGCAAATAAAGAAAAAGCAGCACTGAAATATAACAAAATAAAAACAGAAATGAAATAAATCAATGTAAGGAAGTTTGTGGAGAATAAATCTCCTTTATTCAGTGAGTTGGCATGAAGTACTTCAGAGGAGCATTTATCAGTGCTTTGTTGCTGTAAAGGCTTGTTGTTGCCCCCAAAATCCCTGTAAAATGTGAAGCCTGTGAAATTTAGACATTGCTGCTAATAATTGAGTCCAGGACTCACTATCACTGCTTAAGACTTGAGCGCGTTTATCACAGCAGGGTTTTTATCAACCGAAATTGTTCATCTCTGCGTGAAAATTTGGGTAAAACTTATCTGTCTATCATTACATGGCTTGTGTACTAGCCTGCCACATTTTTAGTAAACCTATACTTCACTCTCTTCTGCCTCTGACTTCTCCCTGTGTGCTTCCTCGTGAATTGTGTTTTTGTTAGCCATACAAACTGTTTTCTTTCTGTCTGCGGGATGAGTAACTGCAGGTCAGTCACGCAGGCCCCAGTCCTCTTCTGTCAGCAAAGACAAAGTGCACTTTGGTGCCTTATAAAGACGTGCAGTCTCCATGTCAGCTCTCAGCGGCAGCAGCAGCAGCAGCATACCACAGTAAATGCACACAGCAAACTGCCCATTTCCTCAGGCTTGTGCTTGGCTGGGCTTATTGATTCGAATCCCGGTAATCAGTTTCTACCCCTCCCCTTTTAAGCCCCCCAATATTTCCTCAGTGTCATGCTCTGGGCATTAAATAAATCCTGTTAGTTTGAAACACCAGCTGGCTGCTCAGATGTTTTCAGCTTTTTTCTGCATGTGTGTGTTGTTTGTCTGGAAAACCTCAAAGAAAAGAGATGTGGCTTTGTTACATGCACATAAAGTGCAAAATATACACAGATTGCAACTCGTCTCCACTTTGATTTTCCCGCCTTTTTCACACACAGGCTAAAGCAGGGGTCAGAGGTCAAGCACAAGAGATAAAGACCTGACACAGAACCAGGAATGTGGAACGATCATGCAAGAGAAGTGTGTGTGGATGCCATGTTGGTGTGATATGAAGGGGACGAATTTTGAGCCAGTGTGAGAGCGAGTCAGTTAGACACTTTGGTGGTAAGAATATCATTGACGTTAATTATTGGTCACATATTTGGGTGACCGTCTTTAGTGTCTGTAGACCCGGCAGTCTTGAACGAGGGACCCCTGCTTGACTTCCCACTTTATAAACATCTCCATCCTTCTGCCCTGCTAGAGTGAGATGAGTGTGTGTGACAAGCAGAGAAACACTAGGGGCTCTTCTGTGACACAAATCTTCCACCATTGTCTCCAACAAAGGAACAGACTCGGGGGCCCAGAAGGATTTTTTCCATTAGCACCTCAGCACTCCCTGACATGCACATAATTAATGCTCAGATTGGATCTCGTCTACTGTATCTCCTTTTCCATCTGTCATCATGCAGGGCTTGGATTAATACTTTGGCGCTGTCTGCTCGTCAAAGCCTTTAAGCGCTCCGACTCTGGCTGCGTTTCTTGCGCGGGGAGTCAGTTCCAAATCTGTAAAGCATCCTGCTGTTTCACCGTGGCACTGATAAGGCTTTTGCTCGCAGACTGCCTGGGCTGAAACTGACCTAGAGAGGATATCTTGCCCACGATGAGCTCTGACAACTGCAGGTCAATTCGCTGTGGCCCCTCTCTGAGAGGCAGAGGCAGATAAAGTGAAGGGAAGGGGTCAGTCTTGGATGGATGGGGGGGCTTGGTGTTGTGCTAGCTGAAGGCCGGAGGGAGCTGGTGCTCTGCTTTTTGTGGGCTCTTTCCAACATCCTGTGGTGACAGGGCCCGTTTTTAAACTCTCAATCTTGAACCATATTTGGTCAAAGAAGTTGATGTTTGTTTATATTTGAGCTGCTTGGCCTCTGGAATAAAGTTTCCCTCCAACATGAGTGGGAAACGTATTCTAAGAAGCTTATCCTCCGTCACTTTCTCTCTGCTGGAGAATGTTTTAATGATTTTCTGCCTCAATAGAGAGGAAATATTCTTGGCACTGGTTCCTTTTTTATTTCCTGGGCTCTGTTATAGACAATACCATGTGCGATTAAAAAAAGACATCACATATTCTAACTTTGAGTCCCTCAGTTTGAGCTTTCCCTCCAAATATTGAATCACTTATTCATAGCTCAATCCCCTTAATGCTTTGATGTTATTTTTTTCACCCGCTGAACTTGAAATTATTTCCTCCTGTGTAATCAAATGCCTCATCATAATATCCTCTGCCTGTTTACATGGAGACCTCCTGTTTCCGTGAGTATACACTAAGGCTATGAAAGAGACCTTTAAACTCTTAGCAAAACAAAACAAAAAAAAAATAGTTTGTCTCAACAGCACTCAGTTGTCACTCCAAGGCAGATTGAAGACTCTGAAAAACTGATTTATTGAAACGAATCTGATTCTTATCACAAAAAAAATAAACAAAAATCATGTGTTTTTTGGGTTGAGGGACATTTTTTTTTCCTTTTAATTACACAGCATTCCAACAGGGACAGGGAAGCAGGAGGGAAAGAAACACTTGTTATTTCTTATTGAGTGTTCGCAAGTAAATGCGGCTAAAATGCTGAGAATGCTGCTGAGCTGGCATCAGCCGATACAGTGGGATACTCATTATCTGAGTCATCTCACAGAATGCCTTCCTGCTGCTCTGGGATCTGTTAATGAAGCGCTGAAATCCGCACATATGTAGCCAGGCGTGTATGCGTTTGTATCTTGTAAGCCGGAAACTGCTGCGCTTGGTCTGAGGGTTATTCACCGCATGGTTCACATTCTTCTCTTGCCACTGGTCTCCAGTGACTCGCATCAAAACATTATGAACCACTGCCAGCTTCTCGGAATATGCCTGAGGAATTGTTTCGGCCCCTGAACCACAAATATTTTGTTTCTACGCTGTGGTAATACGCCACAATTTCGAGTGGGTGGAAATGTTTTTCTCCAGTTTTTAGATAGAGCATGACCGTGGCCTGTGACCTCTTCTGCAGCTTGCCTCTTTCACTTCTCTCCTTCTCTTCGTCTCACTCCTCCTTCTCCTGTCAGCAGCTCAGACACGGCTCTCCAGAGTATCCTCATTTTAGCTACCTATGTCACTCTCTATCTTGCTGTGATTTCATGCCTTTCTATCCTCACCCCCTCCCTCTGCGTGTATGTGTGTTTGTCCCAGACTGGCAGATCGCCACGCTGGCCTTGCTGCTGGGGGGAGCAGCCCTCACTCTGCTCTCCTTCCTCGTGGCCCTGATCTCCTTGTGCTTCAGCTCCAGGAGTCGCTGTTACAAGCCAGTGGCTGTCATGCTGTTCGCTGCAGGTAGGTAAAGAGAAAAACAAGTCAGAGGAGATTAAAGACTGAACAAAAACACACACACACAAAATGACTTTTTAGCTTCCAGAAAGATCATGTGAACTGTTTTGGTCCCGAAACTGATACAAATGCCGGTGTCAATGTTGGCTGTCCCACTGGGAAAATAAAGTATCTGGTATCAGCAAATATGCCAGCCAAAGCACTGTTTTGATACCACTAAGTAGTCCTGAAAATCAGCAGGTTTTTGAAATTACCAACTGGCAATGACAAAAAACTGTTTGATGCAAGCAAAGAGAGTCATGTAAGTTAAAAATGAATGACAACAACACATATTTTGACCTAGAGGGCCTTTTGTTTTCATTGACTTTGCTGCACTACCATCTGAGAGGAACTGTACATCAGCTTAGACTGTGTGAAAAGGTGAATGACCTGACGGCCCCTCAAACATGAAGCCAAAACAGTCAGAGTTACTGCTGCTAAAAGGGTAGTGCACCCTTAAAATTCAAAACAGGTCAGAAAAGAGTTTTTCTCAAACATGGTTTCAGTCATCGAAAGTAGACTTATGCCCTAATATTTTTTTCCCAATAAATTTAGTTTGAAGCACTCGAAGCTTAAATAGAGTGTAACACACTTTGGCAGCTCTAAAGAAGCAGCAGGACATCAAGACTGCAGGTTCATTCAATGCAAACAATGGCCCAAAATGGGTGGTTCCCATGGGAGGTTGTTTGTTTTGGTTAAAATCAGGGCCCAAAGATCCCACATTATTTTAAGCTTGGATGTGATCTTGATGGCTGTCAGAGTGTTTAAGAGACTCGTTTTGACACTAATACCTTCTTCTCTTTTTTCCTCCACAGTGGTGCTCCAGGTGTGCAGCTTGGTCTTGTTCCCCATCAAGTTCATAGAGACTATCAGCCTGAGGGTGTACCACGAGTTTAACTGGGGCTACGGTCTGGCCTGGGGATCCACCATCTTTTCTTTTGGGGGAGCTATCCTATATTGCCTTAACCCCAAGAACTATGAAGACTACTACTAAAAGAAGAGGAGAAGAGGAGTCATGTTGAGACTGTACTCTCCCCAGGGTTCTCTCAGTAAAAGCAACTTCCTATTTGTTACACAGTGCAAAACCACAAACTTGTAAAGAAAAAAGAGGAAATACACAAAGGTTTACTGATAGTTTCAGGACTGGACCTTTTGAATACTGTGAAATGATGGACTCAGACAATCCTCACTCATCTGGACTTGAAAACCAGGATCTTTTTTGTCAACAGACTGTTAAAAAAAACAATGTAAGCAGTTTAAAACAGAAAGCATGTCATCAGTCAGATATCTCTGCGTCCCCTTTTAAGTGAAACTCCAGGAGGTCTTAGAGTGAGCTGAGAATCTGGAGGGAACAGATGGATTCAATGACCCCATACCAGGACAAAATGATGACTAATAAACCAATCAGAGCAGAGAGCGAGAAGAACAATGTAAACCCAGGCCAAATGGGACAGTGACGGATCCAACAAATAAAAAAAAAAAACGAACCCATTCAAGTGACATCCTGGAGATGACAAAGTGAGGAAATCCATCAGGCTACTTTTCCCAAGAGATGAAGCACATCTGGAACATGGCCTCGCTCTCCTACAGTAAAGAGGAATAAAAAAACAAAGATCCAAAGGACTCTCTCCATTTTCCTATCACAGTCTATTTAAAGGGTCAGAGATTGTGATAGCAAACAGAAACTTCCTTGGACGGTCAAAACATTCCTCATTCACCTTCTAAATAATATCATACTGGTGAGAGGAACATGAGCTGGTAACAAATAGAACAGCTTCTGTTACATGTAAACAAGAGCTTCAACTGTAAACCTGCAGCATAGCCCAAATTATATCTACATTTTAATTAAAGAAATTGTGTATTATATGTAATTATGTGCAGCACAACAAAGTGATATTCATTTCAAGAGACCAGTGGGAGGAAAGATGGCAAATGACCATGTCTGCTGATGAGTGTGCACCCATGCCTGCATGATCATACCACCCAGCATGTGCTCGCACACCACCACCCCATGTGATGCCTCCGTATCTCCCCCCATCTGTAGGAACCAGGAAAGCTCTCAGAGGAAACAGAACACAAAAGTAGATTTTTCTGTTTCTGTTAGGGACACAATGTCACAGAATATCATTGTAGCTACTAAAAAATTCAGTGTACTTAGTTTTTGCATTAAATTGAAGGTTCCCGATAAAGTACTTCAACAGATGAGCTGTGCATGTTATCAGGATTGTTTGGACCAGTCATGAAGGGAAAACAGAGTTTTGAACCTTTAAATAGAAAAGATGGGACTTGTCAATTGAAGAAGAGCTGCTGTGGTTAAAACTCTTCTGAATTCTCCTTTGGGATGATCAGAAACTCACATTATCAACTTCAACTTCTCCTTGTTACATTACAGAAAGTGAGTGTGTGCATGTCACTTCCATTTACTGCTGAGCTTTTGATTCCAACTGGTTTGATTACTAATGTAATAAACTTGTGCTGAAAGAAAGGTCTTTTTTCATAAGGTACAAATATGTCAGCTGTGCACGATCCACTCACATAGAATCAGCTCCTTTATTAAGTACAGCAAGTTGAGGCATTTGCACAGGAAATTAACATCTTCTGAACACATAATACAGGGTGGTTTAATATGCATAAAAGTACCAGGAATATACTGATATGCAGGTGTCTTTAGTGTTCTTTCAGTGAAATTAGCTCTTGTACAGAGCCAGATACAGTGTAGAGTCTACAATTCGCATTAGTCAGAACATATATAACATTGATTTCATTGTTCTGCCGTCAGAGAGGATGTCACAGGTCCTGCACTTAAGTGGAAGTGCCTCCATTTTTAGTCCAGGAATGGGCGCAGTCGTGTAAACAAGGCAGTCACTCAATCTGCGTGGAATGTTCTTTAGGTAAACTGCGGCTCCTCTTCGTAATCTTCTTCATCGGTTGCTTTGACCTTTTTTGAAGTCCTGTCCCAACCACTGCCAGAGTCGCACAGCGTCACTGCGATACATTTACTTTAAGAAGAGTCCCAGCTGTCCCGAAATGAGGAATCATCTGCTGATGAAGGGTCAAAGTGCACAGGAGTAGCAGACAGAAGCGGGTCGACAGAAGTTGGTAGAGCAGGATAGTGGCTCTTCCTCAGCAGGTAGTAGGCTCTTATATATTGACTGACAGGGGGAAGACCTCTGGATAGATTCTGCAGATTTTAAAAGGGTGGAGCTTATACTCTCCGAGGGGAGAAGGTGAGGTTGGGCAATACAGCGCAGCGCTAAATTCAGGTGTAGCGCGGCATTTCGCACTGTTCACAGCGGTTGAGTGCAGGGTGGTTGAGGAAGGTGCAGCTTTCACAGTTCCACTGGGCGCCCTCAAAGTCTTCATCCCTCTGAGGCCCTGGCGCTGGCTTTGGAGCCTGCTCAGCTTCTAGTAGAAAGAAAAAAAAAGCGGTTTGTACATGTGATGAACACAACAATGTAAGTGACATCTAGAAATTAACCACGGCTATCAGTAAGTAGACACGCATGAGGAATGCATTCAAGCAGCAGGCATTCACAGTAAAATATAATAGACATGAGCATTCACGTAATAGCAAGGTTTCTCATCTAGTTTCCATGACAACAAATTTGTATACATCAATTCAGACCACAGTGCGTTAAGCTTTTCGTCTTGGTTTTTAAACGAATAATGTTCAAAAACTTCTGAGACAAACACAATGTGTGCAATGACCTAAGAGGTCCTGCACTAAAACTTTTAACGGTATCCTGGCAACTGTTTGAACACGTAATTATACTCTGTCGAACATTTATTTCCTCCTCTTCTTAACCTTAGAGAAATGTTTCATGACTCACTTTTTTTTTCCTTAAAACTGAGCATAACAATTCTCACCTTTCTTCCCAGGTTTGGGGGGCACAACTGGACCGGGCTGAATGTTGTCATAGAAGTTGCTCATTGCTTTTGGGTCAAACTTCCCTGTGGAGGAAAGCAGAAACCAGATACAGGAGTTTGTTTACAATTGTCCATTCCAGTCTGAGATCCAATCAGTTCCCAGCCTACGATTCTCTGCGAATCTTTTGACAGAAGGATACAACTCAGCAGACTCTGGCCAAAAGACTCAATGGGCAAACAGTTAAAACAGGCTAACATTTATGCTCAAGTGTTATCCTTTGACATGCTTTTATACAGCATGCTGTTTTGCCATCCAACTGAGCCGTCTTAGATTGTATTCCACAAATTAACAGCTGCTAGTACAGCAAATAAGCCAGGCTAGGAACCATACACGTATTTACACACAGATGGTCTGCTTAATCACAGCATTTTGCTAGTTGATAGTGTCTCATTTCTTCAGCATGTTTTTTCTAAAAGGACTCGTAAAATCATGCTTAAATGCAAAACTCTACATTTGATCCCTAATTTATATATCAACAGGAGATATCAGTGTCTTCTCAGAGTAAGCACAGTTTTTCCTTGTTTTAAAATGCTGACAGACGAGCATTCATATTAACACGTTAACTTGTTAGCCATCTAATTTTGCTACTGAATGGAATTGTCTTGAGGCACAATTCCCAAACCCAACGAGCAGCTTTGTGATTGTACATCTCTGACATCACCAGCTGACATCACAACAGAGGCACAATGTATATGTGATTGTATATGCCGGCCAAACTTAATTGTTAGCCCAAGCTGAAAGTACATCCTATTGTTAAAAAAGAGACATAAACTTGCATGGTTCTGCGATTTTATATTGAATGAAATACACAGTGCTGATGTTGCATCAATCAAAAAAATTGAAAATGCTTCTTTTTGCAGAAGGTTCAGTTGTTCACTGACTGGGCAGAATATATATATGGGGGAGAGTGAGTAGGACACTGGTTAGGAAAACTCTGCAGATGCTTCTCAGAGGGCCAGTATTAAAAAACAAGCCTAAAAAGAAGAGGTTTCACAGTGAAGGCTTGAAAGATAGCAACAAAGCTCAAAAACTCTTTAGGTACCAACTAACAGTGATTGACACAATGCTTTCATGTTTTAGCATGCTGCCACACTGTAGTCAGGTGGATTATGAAGAAACGCTGCCATAAATGACATTGTTATTTAGGGATCATGTGTCAGAAAACATTGTATAAGACATGATACGGGTCAACTCTGGATCAGGCAGGTCGTGTTGCAAACCAGCTGGTTACCGTAGAGTGCCCCATCTATGTGCTGCATGATGAAACCTCATCCATCACTCTGGACCCAACTCTGTCTGCTCCTAGGCTTGGCTCTTTCAACATCAATGCTTTGAAATACATCAGACCGCACTTCAAAGGATCATGTGTTGGGATGCGCATTAATGTTTGTGTATGTGTGTGTGTGTGTGTGTTTACCTCTTGATTGCAGAAGATCTGTCTCCTTTAGGGTACAGTCGATATCAATCTGAAGCTGTCTGTTCAGACTCCGCAATCGGGTCATCTCCTCAGGCTGGGTACATGTGCAAAAGCAACAACCCAGTTAGATTGGATAAAAATAGGTGACCAAGTACTGCCTTCTGTCAAACTTATTCTTGCAAGTAAAGAATAAATTAACATCCTTTTAAATGACAAAAACAATCTTTGTAGCAACTGGTACCTAAATATTTTTCGGCCTTTTAAATGGCACATACACCTACATCCAAAGCCTGAATGAAATACATGAAAACAGTTGTGGTTGCTACAGATTCTGGATTGCATTATATCAGATTATATAAAGCAAACAAACTACAAGTCCTTACTCTTGGTATTAAACTGGTGGAGTTGACTCTTCGAAAGCGTCTTTGAAGGGCGTCATATTCCATATTATTGACATCAGCCTTCAGCTGTTCTAGTTTCTGCTTTTCCCGCAGCAGCTCCTTCAGGAGACGCTCCATTCTTGCCCGCTGGTGGAGCAGAAGCGCTGAGGAGGAGCAAACAAAAAAAACAACAACAAAAGAAGAATCTATGAGCTAGCCCAAACACTACACAACTTTAGCACTGATTTTTGTTGCAATAAACACAACAAAAGCAGATTTACAGACAAATCATAACATTTTAGAACAGCTTGCAGGAAGTTTCTTTCTTAAACAGTCTATCAGTGTTCTCACAGTAATAAGCAAAGGATTACACAACAACTTAAGGTAAACATACAAAAAGTGAAACATGACTTTTATCATTCAAACTCCTATAAAGTCTTTATTATAACTGAACAAAATATGCCAATAATATTGCAGTTGAAAAACAAAAAATGATAGTCACTGATGTCTCAAGGACTTCTTTTTCATAGTTTCAACAAATTTGCAAAAAGTAGTAACTTTTTTTATTGATAGCCACACAAGAAAATAATATACACTTGACAAGAGGCCAAATATTATGCTATGATTGAGTCACAAACATGTTTGAGTTAGGGCTGAGCAATGTAATGTTTGACTATCCCAACTGTGATATTTGTATGCACAACAGTCAGGGCGTGGGACATGCAACGCCATTCATATAACCTGGAACGCATCAAGCGTTCACCCCTCCCTCGTTGTTTTGGTTCAATCTATAATAAACACCCATCCAATATCACTTTAATGCAGCTCCTAATTTGCACATTAAGCACTGACCATGTGCATGCAGAGTCTGTACATGTATGTGGCACATGGCTGTGAAATCATGCGCACACAACACTTCTGCCATCGCAGACACCCCGCCATATGCCCAAAAAAAGCAAAGTGGATTTTACAACAGTGAGTTTTTGTTAATAATTTATAAATAACTACCAAGGGGCTGGTGATACCAATCACACCTTATTTTTTAATATCACCAGAAATTATTGAATATGTGTAAGGAAGCCGAGCACATTCATTAAGAAATTTAATGAAGTAATGTGTCGCTCCACCTTCACCCTCTTCTGGTGTAAAAGCTGCTGTCAGAGGAAGGGACACAATGTTGTAAAAGTAGGTAAGAGCTTTGATTGAAAAGCAGAAAATAGACTCACAGATCCAATCATAAATGTAGTTTCATTGTATTATTGGAAATATTAACTGTTTAAAAGTACATAAAACATACTGCACATATCTGGTATGAATTCACAGATTTTTTCATACTGCAAGAAACATCCCAGACAGGAAAATGGCAGTATTAGTTTCTTCTAGTAACCCCAATCTTAGTCTTGATTACAGTTTTATGAGCAACATTGTTAACATGCGTTAAGAAATCAAATATGTGCAGGCTGGAGTGACAAGTGACAACTACACTCGGCTGGAAGCACAGAATGGAACATTTATTACATTTTACACATTGTTCTAGCGAATTTCCCCTTGGGTATAAACAAAGTTCTTCTTATCATCCTATGTTATCTGCCAATACACAAAAATATCAGCAGCTTATGATATTTTATATACCAACACTCATGCCATCATGTCTCATATGACTTTTGTCATGAAGTCAGCCACTCTCAGGCTAAAAGCAACAGAAAGTCACACACATTTGCAGGGAAACTGAGCTGAAAAGAATGACTTACCTTGTGTATAGGCATAGTCATCAGAGCCTGAGCTGGAGCGTCGGGGCATTTGGTGAAACTGATTTGCAATGTTCCCAGGTAGAGCAGAGATGGGCAAGATGGGTGCAGGAGCAGCACTGTGCTCTCCGTGGTCTACTATGTTGAGCAGAGACTCGGCCTCAGCCACAGGAGGTGAGCTGGGGGGCCTCTGGGCCTGGCCTCCTGGCGACACTTTGATTTTGAAGGTGTAGGCTGACTGGCCAGGTTGAGGAGAGGAGGCAGGCCGAGGTCTTGCAGGGCCCTGATGAAGATACATCCCAGGGTGGAAGGACGCTGGGCCTGTAGGTCCAGTCAAAGTGATGCCCCTCGAAGGAGAGCTGGGTGAGGGGCTGGTGGCCATGTAGAGTGTTCCTTGGGGGTGGGGGTTGTGCACAGGTGAGTTACTGCGAGGTCTCGGACCCTCAAGGGTAATTTCTATCTGGTTCTTGAGGGAGCTTTTTGTGTGGTAGGGCCTGTAAACTGCTGGCTGTTGCTGCGGTTGTTGCTGGTGATGGTATGGCATGCTGGGAATGGGTGGAGAGCTAATAGGGAGGAAGACATATTGCTGGTGCTGGGGTTGGGGTTGGGGCTGTGGCTGAACCTGATGCTGGGGAGAGCTATAGGGGGAGCCGTATGTAGGAGTACTGTATGGGGACTGCTGATGCTGATACACAGACGCCCCTGAGGAGGACCAGGGTGCCGGCTGTGGGCTTTGGGAGGGTGATGGTCTAATGTACAGGGTGGGGTTGGAGTTATTAGCATAGTGCCCTGGGGGGATCTGCAGGGCTTGTGGAACACTGGGAATAGTTTGCGAAAGTGTGACTGTTATAGGACTCATATAACGTGAGACAGGGGAATACGTGGGGGACATGCCTTGCATTGTTGGTGGAGGGGTAGGCGTGCTAGCCGACCGACTCTGATCGTTCATAAAAAAGGGATTGTATCCTGGAGATGGGGCCATGTTAGCAGGGGCTGACAGTGGCTCGGGATAGCTAGGCCTCTGGGGTTCAATGTGACTGTCACTTGTACTGTGCACTAAAGAGCGCCCTACTCCTGGTGCTCCACCATTTGTCTTGTTTGCATCTGAGCCTGGGTAGCCCAGGCTGATGTGCAGCATGTGGTTTCTGCTGAGTCGTCCGTCCTCTGGACTGTGATGGAACTCTCCATACAGGTATCTGTTACTCTCCTGAGCCAGCAGATGGCAGCAGAGATCCAGGTTGTTGTTGTTCTGAGACAGCAACAGAGAATAGTCTGTTATTTGGCACAGATCAGTGGCAGTTTATTTACTCATATTGCTGCATTACTGCGTAGCATGCAGCAGATGCAGAGATAGAGGCTTGTACTTAATTTTTAGAAACTTATCAAGATATCTTGCAATAAAAAACACATATCAGATAAATATCAAACTATTAGAAAACCTACCTACCTCTGCCAGACATCAGATTCTATGTGTATGATTCTGTATACTCTCTCCCTCCCTCTCCCTTACTCATTCTCTCTCTCCTTCCCTCTGTCTTGTTCTCTTTCTCTCCTCCTGCCTGACTCCAGCTGCATCCTTTATGATTGTCCGCCTCAGGCCCTGAGCTCCTTCTTCTCTTAGGTTCCTCTGGACTGTTGCTGCAGACATTAACATCAGCCTCACCGACATTAATAACATAAAAGTAGAGTTAACTACTATTAGGCCTGCTGACTGTAATCACATTAAATTAATTTAACATAGTCCATAGTTACTTATATCCTGATCCTGTAAACCAGTTTTATTTTCGTTGACGATGACGTTGACTATATGTTTAGCGTTTGACTGACGAAATGCTCATGAATTTTGCAACTCTGTCCACCACTAACGTTTTTGTCTCGTCTCGTCAACATAAACGCACATTCGTCTCGTCACATTTTAGTCTTCAAAGACTTATGTTTAGCTCGTCAACGTCATGTCTTCGTCGTGGAAAAAATGGGACAATGATGAAATATTTTCGTCAACGATAACAACACTGCTGTAAACTGAATCCATATTGTTTCATCTTTACTTGCTCTGCAACCACAACTCTGCATGAGCTGTTGTGCCCTGTCTCTCTCTCGCTCCCTCCTTCTCCACTGTCTCTCCCTCTCTCTCTCCCTCTATCTTGTTCTCTTTCACTCCCCCTGCCCTCTCTCCTACTCCTCTGGCTTGGTGGCTGTCTAACATGATTCTGGTCCTGCCCAAGGTTTCTGCCTGTTAAAAGGAAGTTTTTCCTTGCCACTGTAGCTCATGTTAGATGAGATGGGCAAAATCCCATCTTAGGTTGGGTTTTTACACTGAGCGTGGTCTAGACCTGCTCTTTTTCTTTGGAAAGCGTCTTGGGATAATGACTGTTGTGAATTGGCCCTATATAAATAAATTTGATTGATTGATTGGTGTGTGAGTTTACCTGTAGAAGGCACTGTGACACTACCCCCTCTGGGATCTCTGGAAAACGCTGCTTAAGGTCCTGCAGGATGTGGTAGTCAAGCTGAGAGCCTCCCTGCGCCATCCTGAGCCAACACAGAGAGTCAACGAGCCCCAAACTGCAAACGGTGCACCAACCTGAGTGGTCTCATCCCCTGAGAACGACGTAGATCACAGGACACACACGAAACTGAACATGAAACACAACATGCAACGACAGTGCGCCCAATAATCTGATTAGCTCGGTTTGCCTGCCAAAAGTCAGTCACACACCCAAATGTGTCAGCAGAGATTACATCAAGTCTCACCGACATTGTCTCTGTAAAACCTGTCAGCCTCGATTTTAAAACAGGACCTCAGATCATCTACTCAAAATGAGTCACAGTCGTGTTTTAACTAAACAGGAAACACGCCAGAGTCGCTTGTATTCATTCACATTAGCACGGGGCTGCTATCAAGGCTCCCGTCAGTCTGTTGTTGTTTGTTTAGCCGAGCTGTTGCACCAAGCAACGACGACATACCATCGCTAGCTAGCAGGCTAGCTTTCGGCATCAGTTAGCCACTCAGTTGGTCACTCGTTACTAGAGTAGTTCAGAAATCTCCAGAAAAGTCACTTGTGCGAATCGAATTAACTTAATTAGACAAGAACTTGCCAGCTAACTCTGCTAATGCTAACCTTAGCCTGGTCAGCTGTCACAGCCTGGGTGTTGATGGATTAGCTAGCTAACAATGCTAAACTCAGGTACTTACAAACGACTTTTTCAAACTCACCACAAATTGTGAATCTCTCTCACGTCCCGGACCATAGCTCGGTCTCGAGGTGAGCTACGAAGTTTCTTAAACTGTACAGTGAGGCTTGTTGACTGTTTGTTTTGGCTAAATAACTTGAAGTTTCACATTCCAGTATCAGGCCCCTGCCGCTGAGTTGCATCCGTGCAGGCTGTCTATCGCGATAGTGTCAGATTTTCCCGGACCAGGAAGTCGTTCAAATCGGCTGAAGAATCGACGGTGTCGTTAGTGCGCATGTCTGCATACCTGGTGGCCCTGTTAATGAGCATTCAGCAAAACCAGTTTACACATAAGGATTTGTTTATTAAACTGGAAAACAAAACACTCACAATTTCATCTATAATATCTTTAATCCCAAAAAATTCACAAAAATGCCATCTCACAAATACTGAAATTGATTGAAAAGCTAAATATTTATTTGAAGATTTTAAATGGTGAGTATCAACTTCATGAGTTCTTGTTCTTGTATACAAGTGGTTTGGAAATGAGGCCAACAGCTGTGTATTGTGTTAAGGTGCTGACTTTGCTTATATTTGTCATTTTTCTTTTTTTGTATACTTTTAACCTTAGAACACTATCGCTAAAATTAGTAACACCATCACTGTCACCGGGTGATTTTTAGCCGAAATAATATATGCTAGTGTTTTAGCAGTTAAGAGTGAACAACACATAATCTATCCCTTTAACATTTTATGTATTGTATTTACATAAAGCTGGGATTGTTGACTTTAGCACAACAATATATTCATTTTTTTTGATCACACTGTAAAGAAAGACAGGTCTGAATTGGATGGAAACAGTTGAAAAGTCTGGGTTCTCAGCAAGCCATTGATGCAATGTATTTTCTTGACATGGTAATGTTGTCTCAGAGATCAATTTTTTGATTTTATATATGATGGAATGACACAAGCATATTCAAACTGGATAAGTTGACACTGAGCCCTACTCTGCCTTAACCAAGTTGTTATTTTCATACATGGGTTATATTCTATAGCTTATACTTGTATATTCATGTTATTTGTATCACACTACCTCTCAATCTCAAAAGATCTCTCTCAGAAAGACAGTGAGTTATCTGAACTTCATTAAATCTGCAAATGATATTAGTAGGGATATGGAAGCAACTTATGACTGCTCTCCTGAACCTCTGTTGAAGTCAGTTTAAGTCATTACAAAAGTATAAAACAAATGAGCATTTTTGGCACCAGGTCACAATTTTATTCCATCTAATGAAAGTTTGGAACCTCCTGCTACATTGAAGAAGCAAGTCCAAAGCTTACTACCACTAAAACGTTAAGCTTTTCAGCAAGAACAAGAACACAACAATATAAAACATTACAATTACATGAATTTGTTCATCTAATCATGACCTCTAGTTTGGTATTGGCCATTTACAAACTACAGAGAAATTATTTATTGTCAAGTTTTTAAAGTTATGAACCCCACATCACCAACATTTGACCCATAATGCGAATTAAATCAATGGCTTTAAGCGCCCTCTATTGGGCAAACATTTCCATGAGAAGTTATAAGACATCCTTTAGTGACTGCAGGGTTATGCAGGTGTAAAACAGATCAGAGGTGATATTTAAGTAAAAAGATATTTGACTTCTGTCTTTGCTCAAGTTGTAAAAAACAGTAAACAAAACAAAACAAAAGAAAGGCTGCAGTGTTTTGGGAAATGAATGTCATGATTGTTGTCATTTTCAGCATAATGGGTTTTATAAGTTGAAAACAGCAGCTACAGGAGTGTAATTTTTTTTAGGCAAGAAATTTGGTGACACATTTTTTTTTCTGATGTCGTGGTGCTGTGAAGCCTTCTGGGAGTTTAGAGAATTGAGGTTAAGTATAACCAGTTGTGAGGGTTTATTGCATTACTGCTGCTGTGCTTGATTTCTCATGCTTGACTTGGTGTAGCTAACCAGCTGGAAACCAGGAAGTATACAAAACCAAAATGATTCACAGATGTTGGATGAACATTGCATAAAGTAGGTGTTGACAACATCTCTGTTCAGGCATGAAACCCGTAATTCAACACATTTCTCTTGTACCCATTTATGACCATGGGATTTTTTTGGCAGTCTGCTTATGTCACTGAACAACTCAGAACAGATGAGCTGACAAAGTCCTGCTCTTCTTGGATGCTTTGCAAAGAGAAACTGGGTTCACACATTGTTGAGCTTCTGAAGAGGTTCAGCCAAGTTGGCTTTCTGTCTGACATCTCATGTGAATTTATGTGACGTAAGTGTGAAGCCAATGCTGGTTCTGGGGGGACTTCTGAAGGCCAGACTGAGGGTGGGATTCAATGTGATCAGGTGATGGAAAACATGCAGGCCTTCATTCCCATGTCAGCTGTAAATAGGGGATTTTTTTTCTGTGATTTTTGATTTTTTTTTGCATTTGTATGGTTTCAGAGCCGATTTGAAAAGAGAGAAAGTTGTTATAATTTATAAGGATTTGAAATATATAAAAAGCCAAGATTCAGAACTTAACTGAAAGAGCGCTGTGTTACCGTAAGAGGAATAAGTTTGTGGACCAATCTGAACAAAGAAACTAAAGAAACTAAATCAAATTTGATCTTCAAAAAAAGTGTCAAAGCCAGTATGTTGCGCAAATACAGGGAAATATGTGAATCTAAGTCTTGGTATGTTTTTTTTTTTGTTGTTGTTGTGAAAAAAAGTGAATTAACGTGGTATTATCTGTTTGTTTTGTGGGTTGTTTTTGAAAAATAAGAAATAATGAACTGTAAAAAGGCATATTGGCCTGCAGTTTTTGTTTATTTTCATTGTGTTTAGTTGATTTTAATCTTATGAAAGAGGGGCAGACTTAATATGAATTTTCTTCTTTGTGCTCCTTTTCATTCACGTTTGAGATTTTTCCTTGTTTGTATTGAATGTTTTAAATATTAACTGAATGAAGTTAAGTACGAAAATGAAAAAAAAGTGTTTCTCTTGGAGTATTTTCCTCGCCAGTTTATTAGAATAACACAATCAAACCAGAGAAGGTGGATCATAAGATTTGCAGGTTAGAAAATGGTTGAAAAAAATCCTCAAGATTCAAATAGTCAAAAGATTAAAATACAACAAAATGAATCATAAATCCAGTGGTATCAAATCAAATCTGATATCCAAAAGCCAAATAATGACTGCAAAGCTTACGTCTATGCTACACACACAAAAAAAAAAAACTTCCAACCCAGTGTTGGTGTAGTTATTGCAATAGACCTTAATGTGTCAGTAGATGTTGCTGTTGCAGTGTAAATGTGAGCACAGTTATTGTCCTTTTATCAGTAAACACTAAAGAAATAAATCTTTATTAACATAAAATTTAATAAAATTGGTTTTAACTCTGCAGTCACCAAAGTGAGGAAAAAAAGGATGTGCTTTGTAAACAAATCTGAACAAGTGATCTGAATGATAGAAGCTCTTAAAAAAAATCAGTTAAAGCCAAAGTTTTACTTGAGGAACAAAGGATATAGTATGTAAATAATTATTAAAATGTAAATAGGATGAATTTAGGCAAGTCAGTCTGAGGGGGGGGCACAGCTTTTCTGCTTATAAGTTCCTAGCAATGTATACAGTGTGATCAGAGGGTTAATGAGAATATTTGAGTCCATCCACCATCACATTGTCTAGATTTGTTCTGCTGAGCCGGTGTTCTGCAGTTTCAGTGGGAGGCTCGGGCTGTACCACCACTGAGACATTCATAGGGGTGTCAGGACTGAGCTGCAGCAGCTGCGGCTATAAGGCCCAGTCTGACTCAGGTTAGCTGTCCTTACAGTGCTGACAAGTTGCCACAACTGTGGGGCTATTTTAAGCGGTCCCCTTGTTGTCCCTAATGCCCTGCAGGACTCAGAACAGAGGCGGATGGAGCCCCTTTGCCCTGAGAGTTCACAGGACAGACTCCCTCCCAACAAATGCCTTAATCTGAGCAGGAAGTGAATAAATCAGAGGGCTGACAAACACCTTCCAGCTTTCTATGGGGAGAACAACATGCAATGCCATCTTGTAGGATGTTCTCTGAGGTTGAAGTACACTTACATCATATCAACATATAACTAGTCTTATTTTTATTTTTACCGGGTTGTGACACAATAAGATTTTTGCAAGGACTTTAAACCGACCTCCTCGACGATTCATCAAATAAATCCCCAACTGTTTCCAACTCTTCTCTTTCAGTGATGCTCTTGCTCTCAGGTTTCACTTCTTGGTACAGTATTAGCCTGAGCTTTGGCCCTCTCGCAGGGGGAATCCCAAACCCTCAACAACTTTAACTGAACACAGTGTGTGATGCAGTTATGTAACTTTTGCTAGTCATCCTGACATTTACCTTTAACCTGTAAAGTATGATTTAACCAAACACTGTATTTGGAAGATTACAAATACTACGAGTCGTAAGACAGCAACAAAGCTTTTGTGTGTGACCTCCAAAATATCTCTATAACATTCCCTGGATAGCTGAATGGGGACTTTGCTTGCTGGGTTCTCCGACTTGGGCCTGTGTGTGGTAGTGAGTCAGCAGCTGTGCTTGGAGTCATTATGGCAGACAAAATGTGTCTGCTGCAGGGTTTCTATTTACATCGGTTCACAATGAAAGAGCAGCTATCTCTTTTAAGTCAAGAGATATTCTTACCCATGCAGTTTGGTGTCTGACTTTGTTGTGTATTGTATATTTGCTGATAAGTTCACCTTTAGGAGTTCAGTGTTTTCAGAGAAAAAAGTGACCTAATTTATAAGTGGCTCTTCGAATGTGTTCCAACTGCCATCCCACTGCTGGGTGACAGCAACATCTAGGTTAGGCTGGAATAACAACAAACCAGCTGATGTTGCTATAAACTGATAAGTCAGGAATCTTGGCTCGCACAGGACGACAGGCAGATAATGATGATGTCTGTCTGCATGTAGTCTGTAGGCCCCCCAAACAGTCCTAATGAGATGTCTGTACAGCTTCTCTTGTCTCTGGGAACACAGCTTTTCTCTGGCTAATTAGGAATTTCTGGCATGGATAATGATAAAAAAGATAGAAAACAGGTGTTGACATAAAGAGAAATGGCCCTGGGAAAGTGGACATCTAGAAATTCTTACATATGACGCTTTTTTAATCACATTTTTTTTTCGTGAGCTACTGTCAAATAAATTAGTCCTAAGTTCTATGGAAATCCTGAAGTCATGTGGGCTTTGTTAACTCACTGAAGCTACAGCAATAAACCTTTATATAAATTTGGTGACACAAAAGTAACAGCAGAGTCAAGAATAAATCAAACCATGTCAGTCTGTAACTTATCAAACAAAATTACTAGTCTGTAGTTGTCTCTAAGTTTCCAGGAGCAATTTCCTACTTATTTATGCAGCTGTGACTGCAGATGACCAAGATGAGACCGTGTGGATGTATGTGTGCGCGCGCACATGAGGCAACAGCTGAACCTGCGGCAAGCGCGTGCGGAATGCAGTATCCGGTAGAAAGTAACGGTACTTTTATGGAAACTGGCGTCAAACAGCAGTCACTCGAGTTTGTTCACAGAGTGGTCGGCTCTCGGACGTTCCTGCGTTTTGCTTCTTCTGGTGAATACCTACTGAAAGGATTTGGTCATCTAAAGAGGGAGGGCGACAGGACGCTAAAAGGTAGGTTACGGTAGATTTTTAAAATTAATTATACGAGAAAAAGGAAGTCTGTAAAAATATTATGTAGCAAGGTCGAAGCTGCATGAGTTTGAAATTGGTTGCACTTTGGTGAACACTTATTTTTTTCAGGCTGAAATCAGCTCAAAGAGCCAATGAAGGTGTTATAATGTGTCTGGTAACAGCTACAGAGGGTAGTTACAATTCATGGTCACAGTAAGGGAATGGTAAATAAGAACAGAAACACAGTGCTTGATGGACTGCCATCAGTTCCTGATTTGTTTTTTAGTCAAGGGTCCATTTATCTAACAGTAACTTGTAGAAGTTGCTTGTTTCCTCGGTCAGAGCACAGGCTGCCCTTAGAAATTGTGAAAATGGCAGGTGAGCTTTGACAAGAGGAGTTGACTTGCCCTGTGGACCTCCTGACACAGTTTTCCTTGTTTCAGGATTGAGATGAGGGAATCTTTATGGATTACCAGCCTTTTGTGGAATATTTGATAACACTTATTCGACACAAGACTGGCATTACGCTGTCATTATCATGACATGACACTTGTCATTAACATGAATAAGGCTTATGAAGGTTGTCATTAAGTGGTATTTGGTAAATTATGACATCATTGGTGCTATGATGACATTGTTTGGGAAGGCATTGTCGTCAACATAGCACCTAAGGTGTCAAAATTTACTGAATTACACTTAATGACAACCCTCATAAGCCTTATTCGTGTCAATGAGGAGTGTCATGTCATGATTCTGACAGCGTAATGTCAGTCTAATGTATACCCATTCAAGTAAAGTGTTACCAAATATTTAAAGTTACAAGCAAAGGCCTTTGTTATCAAAATGAATTTGAGTATCACATTTACTGAGCTGCTTATACAAGAGCACGTGTTTGGCTGTGAAAGAAAGACAATGGTTCATGTTATCCAACAGTGGAATCAGTAGTTATAGACAAGTGTCGATGGAGTATGATTGAAAAACATATATTTGATTAATGGCTGAAAACAATATAAACTATGGCACTCTGTTTATTTAACACAGATTTTCTCATACTCCAGGAAAGCAGCATCATGTTGCTCTGTTGTCTTTATACGTGGATGTTAAGGGTATTTAAGGAGACTGATAAACAACAGCTTTAATGTTTGATGACTAACGGTCCTAACAGATCCCTCTCGGCCAGTTGTCTAGCTTTTGGTCTCTCCATTTTGTCAAGGGTCTGTGAGGCGACATGTGGGTGCCAACCAGAGCTCTGTCCAACTGTCTATCACCCATCAGAAATAGCCATGATCACATGTCCTGGACCCACTGAGTGGGCTATAAATAGAGGTCAGCAAGCTTCAATGGCCCTCTTTCTCAACATACTGGAGCAGATTTCCTTGCCCCTAACTTTGCTCTCACTAGGGCATGTTGTTCTTGTTAAACTTCACTCTGGAATAAAAAAGTCAGGGAATATTACAGAAACATAAATAAACTGGAAAAAGAAGAGGAGCTATCTTTGTAAATGGTGGTAAGTCGGTCTCTGGATATTCAGATGGAAAAGGAAAAACAGGCTAACATACATAGAAAAATTCAACAAAAAAACTTGCCTAAGGTTAAATAAAAGCAGCAACTCTTGTCTGTTTAAAATGTTTAAAGGATCTAGGCATTGAAATATATGACCATTACAAATTACATTATGCAGGACATAAACACAACCTAGAACTTATCGATGCTTTTTTATCTGAATACATGCATTTGAAAAAATCTTAGTAATACAATCTTTAAGACTGTAGAATTGCAGGTACTTGTAATGGAGTTGGTTTTTTTTGTCATAAAATTTCTGTTTTATTGTCAACTTGTGTTTTTTTTCTGTAAAACAACTGGTCACCTGTACCAATACCTGATAGATGCTGTGAGTCACAAGACTGATAACCACTTTTCCTCTGCTTCTCAGGTAAACTTTAAACTAAGCTTGTTTGTCGACAATCATTGGGGTGCAAACATGACTGAAGTGGCGCAGGTTACGACTGTAGACTTGGATGATGTCACGAACGAAAGTGATCACAACATAAGTGACGCAGAAGACAAAGGGAATGATATGACGCACGAGGAAGACAATGAAGAAGTTTGTGAGGATGAGGCAGCAGAAGTTGAGAGTGAAAAGATGTCACAGGTGGAAAATGAAAAGCCTTGCCGCACAAAGGATAAAGTGGATGAGGAGACTGACGAGACACAGATGAATGGAGTGAAGCACAATGAAGAGAACAAGGAAAATGAAAGATCAAATGTTAATGGTGTAGCAAAGGATGAGAAGAAGGAGGAGGACGCAGAACCTGTTGCAAATGAAGACCAGAATATTTCTGATGTGACACTTAAGAAGGAGGTGAGTGATATTATTGTAATTTTTATATGGATTTTACTTCTCACTCACACACTTGACAAGTCTGGCAGGAAAATTCACATCTCATCTTCACAATCATATTTAAACCACAGAGACTCCTGCGGTCCAGAAAGCCGGTGGCCAGGAGCTACATGCCCAAACTGAACAAAGAAAAGGGGGACGTGACTGGAAAGTTTGAGGCCATGCAGAAGGCCAGAGAGGAGCGCAGTAGGCAGAGGAACAGTGACGAGCAGCAGAAGAGGAAGGAACAGTACATCAAGGAGAGGGAGTGGAGTCGCAGGAAGCAGCAGGTCAAAGACTGATAACAACACTAACCCTGACTGTGACCTGCATGGCATGATGAAGCATGACCAGTGACAAGGTTTGAGTGAGAATTCACTACACTCTTTACACCACACTGAATTTGAAAGAATTAATCAGTTAATTATGAGATTGTTTTTGTGATATTTAACACAGAATTCAATTGACATGGCCGTATTAAAAAACAGCTTATTTACAAAATATTATGCGTCAAAGCATTAGAAGAATAAACTCCTCAAATCCTACAATTAGCTTGCTAAGCATTCCAGATGCATGGTGTTTAGCGGCTTTATTATTTGACTCACTTTGTTATTTTTCTAAATCTCATTTGCTGATACATTTAATGGAATTACTCGTTAAGTTTTGTAAATCAGAGTCGATTAAATCAAATTCCCATTGAGCAGCGATGAAAAACCCCAACTGTACATTTTAAAGTCTGATAGTATTTGTTGGGAACATTGCTGAACATGTGAAACAACTAATAAGTCTTTTGAAGTTCTATTTAGTTAGTGAATGATGTATGTCAAGGTTAAATCGTTGAATACTTTAAGGTTCTAGCTCAGCATATTTGATGGTTATTAGCTTTTTTCTGACTTCTGACCAGCGAAACATGACGTTTGTATACATAACTCCCTTTTCTCATAAAAATGCACCTTTTCGAATAACATACAGTGCCTGATCAGTCTCTGGGAAAACATCAGTGCAGTCAAAAAATTTAAATAATATGTAAGTCATAAATCAGTATACAGTCAGTTACACTTCAGTCAGTTATTTAATTATTTAAGTCTTTAAGAATTTTATGGATGAATCGATTTATAAAGAATTTGTTAAGAAAGGTATTAGTGGATTGGTTAAAAGCAGTTGCAGCTCTAGTTGACATTTTTACACATAATGTTTTTATTTTTCATTGCATGTGGTAAGTTATGAAAAAAATTCTGTCCTTAATTTTAATTTTAGAATGTAAGAAAAACATTTGAAAAAACATGTCATTGCAGTTGACATTCAGTGTAAGGCAACTGCTTCCGTGTCTAGAAAGCAACATGGGAGGGAATGAAAGATGAGAGAAAGAGATTAAGATTTCACGGTTAAGACAGTTTGTGTAAGAGGAGGTTGATTGTGGTAAAATAAACACAGATGATAGGGTGTTTCGTGAGTGGATTATCATTGATACTCAGATGGAACAACCTCCTTGTGTACAGCCCTGCCATAGCCGGCCAGGCTCTGACACCTGCGCTCATCTCCTGGCTGTGCAACAATACCAGTGCCCAATCAGTAGCCAGCCTGAGGGTCACATGACCTGGCTATTAGCAGGGATTAGGCCCATGTTCTTGCTGGGACCAGCATGGTGCCTGAGTGGCAAAAGAGATGATCCCAGCTAAACCGTAACCTCACCACGACTCTCCATTTGATCCGACACAGATAAAAGAACTGCTTGCTTCTAGTGATGAGGAGGAAGAGGTGAAGCCAGCAAAGGTGGAGAAATCCTACGTCCCCAAAATCACAGGTGAGACACACACTCACACACACAGATACGAAGGAAGAAAGGAACATGTTTGGTTAGCGCTCTGGGAGGATGAAGAGGGTAAAGGCTCTTGTTGTTATCTTTGAAATCCTCAGGTAGTGTGAAGGGGAAGTTTGCAGAGATGGAAAAACAAAGACAAGAGGAACAGAGAAAGAGGATGGAAGGAGAGAGGAAGAAGAGGGAAACTCAGGACTGCATTGAAAAAGCCAAAATAAAGAAAGAGTTGGCTCAGAAAGCAGCTGAGGTAAGTTAACCTGCAGTGGACTCCTTGCACAATGTCTCATCGGGAAGTGGGACAGCTTGTCTCGGTGCTTCAGTGCTGCCCTTCTGATAAGAGTGTCACACTTGTGTCTGTAGTGATTCAGGTAATCCTCAACTGCCACTTAGACAAGCTATTTTAAGTGGCATTCAAAGTCCAGGCAATTGGCAGAGGCTAGATATAGGTCTGGATATAGGAGCATTGTTTACAATTGTAAAATGGGTCACATGCTGTATATTTTATCTGAACTCGTAAGACTTGTGGCAATTTGTAATGTTATGAAATGCAATTCTGCAGAGCAGTTCGAATACGGAGACACAGGAAAGTACAAAAGCAACATTACAAAAGGACTTGTGAGGCCTTTAACATAGTCAGAGAGAGCAGTTCTAAGTAATAATTATGTAAATACTTTTTAGCCAAAAGGACATTTACTAGCAACTACCTGCTACTTTTTATTAATACTGCTTTTGTACTGTAAAATCAGACTAACTGATATTGACGATAAAGACCAACACTTTAAAAAGGCAGCAAACTATTATTTTTTTTCAAGTAAATTCAGAAGACATACAATAAATGATCATGGACTGATAAATTTTAAGGGCCAGTTACACTGTAGGTAGATCTATATCTGAAATCAGTATCCTTGTGTCGTTATTTTCTTACTTGAAGGGGGCTAGAGAAATAAAACTGTGCCCCTGTTTACCCCCTTAAATGAATCGGCAATCTCGGCGACACACTACATCCTTAGCAGTGGTTGGCTACTTGTCTTGTCAAAAACCAACTGTGTGCCATTAGGCTGGAAGGAGATTTCTTTGGATTTTAATGTAGTAAAAAAATTCTCAGTTCTTTAAAATGTAGAAAGAAATTTCAAAGCTGTTTTGAATGATAGGTAGAGGAATTAGTCCACCAAAAATTGCAAGCAACCCCCCCCCCCATAATAATCGATTTTCTTCACACTGCATGAGCTTGCAATTTTTGTAAGAACTTAGTAAAATCTCAATTTTGAGTCTTTAGAGGACCAAGCTTTGAAGATTAACACGTTTCCTTTCTGTTGTGTTACTTATTCAGAGTCAAAGGTTTTTATTCTGGATGTAAGCATCTCTGTGATACTTTAAAGGGATATTTCAGTATTTTTGACAAGAGGTCGTATGAGTTACATGTCACTGGCAAGTTTACTATATTTTTCAGCACAAAGCTTTGCCATCAGAAAGCTCTTTTGGTTTTGCAGACCCCACATGCTCCTCCACATGCAAAAGGATCAGCTGTGATGTATGATACGCTGTGGATTTTGACATTTTTGCATCTCAGTTTTGCACAATGTTCAGTCCTAAATACCCAAGATTACATAGAGACTTTCTTAAAGAGATTGTCAAGAGTATTCATATGCATTTCTACCTAAGATGTGTTAGACGTTGCAGGTCACACCTCATTTCTCCCTTCTTTAATGTTAGCATGAAAATGTGAAACTTAAGAGTTTAAATGGAGTACTGTCTAATGTCTACGTTGTTCCTGCTCTTGTTCTAGAAACAACTGGAACAGTTCACGTCCAGTGCCGCCAGGTGTAGACAGCATATGACTGGCAACTGTTTCCCACACCTCACAGGGACTAAATTAGCTCCAGACCCCCTTACACTGACCGAATTAGACTCTGCTATCTCAGACTGACACCCATACTCTGACCTACAGCAAATGGTGATATTAGGCCAGTGGAGTCACCCTCTACCCTCATACATGCTCTTATTCCCAGGGTTTTTGTCTGTGTATGAGTACTGAGATTGACCTGAATTTTAATTTTACAGTAACAGCTAACAGAAAATGAGAAATGTGTAATTTATTTGTTTTGATACTTTCATTGTAGAGATTTCCTAAATTGTTAACTCCAAAGTTAATAGGGGAATTTTGTCATACATAGAACAGCTAACAACTCTAAATTGTGTTAAAAAGGTCATGTTTGACTGCTGTCTAAAGTTACATTTAACTCCAGAGTTTCCAAAAATACCTACAGTCTGGTAGGCATTCTTGCAGGTTCTGCACTTAAGTGACTCCAAGCTCTGAATTGGGCTGAACGTGTATCACTTTACCATCGCAATCAACATGAACACAATAACAGTGCAGTATGAACAATGTCAGTCATACACTTGAAACAAGTCATGGTGCCTCCAGTTTGTAGTTTTTCCAGGATCAGTCTACAATAAATGTATACCTGACTTGACTCTAATATAGCTCCTCACTTTTAACACATGGAGAACTGACCGATGTGCATACAGAGGCTGTATCTGAATCTGTGTGTCACATGACTGTAAAATGTGAACATGTAATGCTGCTGTCAACACAGATACCCCTACAAATACTTAATCAAGTGTGATGGATTATGAGACAACGTCTTCTTCCTCATCCAGTTCATTGAGGGCACAAATACAGACTACTACAGAGTATTTTCTTTTAGTGTCTTAACCTGCATGGTACTGTTGTGATAACCACATGCAGTGGAAAAAAAGAATTTAAAAAAAATATTGTTAATATCACAGGGTTGGTAATGTAATTTAAATTTTCCAGTATTGTGCATCCCTAACTCTGAAGGACACTTCAGCTGTTGTCGGGTAAATTAATACGCCAGTTCAAACTTTCCTGTCTTGCCTGGTTTGCCTCTGACATATTTTTTAATCAAAATTTTGTTGTGCTCCATCTGTGAGACGTGACATCCACCACTTTCTGTATGACCTACCCAAAACCAATTGTTTTCAGTGTGGCAATATAATCAATAAGTACCAGTGAACACATGAGGGAAAAGTAATGTGCATGTTTTGAAGATGTAAGAAGTAGAAATTAAAAGCATTTCTTAGATATTTTAGGGTTAAATTTAATATTTAAGGGTATTAAGTTTTCATATCTGGTAACATAACATGACATAACCAAGTTCTACCCAACAGTACCACTGTGTATTACTGCATTAGGCCACTGTCAACCTTTTGCAAAGGATTTCAGTTTTCCTTAAACACACTGAATAAACTGAGTTCCTACTCTGTTCTGTTGTATCAACCAAGAGTCATTTTCATCAAACATCTCTTAGGAAGGAGATGACACCATCCTGGTACGGGTGGTTCCTGCAAAGTCATCGCGATCCCCTGGTAGAATCAAGATGAACTTTGAAGACATGGAGAAGAATAGAGTGGAAGAAATCAAGAAGAAAGAAGAGGAAGAGAAGAAGAGACGGTATGATGAGAACAGACGCTCCTTCAGGGACGCCAAGAGTCGCTCAGTCATTGAACAGGTGGGAAAAGATAAATGTTATGTTAACAGTCAGCTCAAACACCTGTTGAGCTTTCTTCATCTTCCTCAAAGCTACCTTGAATAGTAATTACCGCATTCTGCTACTCATTTTAATGTAGGATGAAGAGGAAAAGCCATCAGAGAGGGTGCAGACGACTCCCGGGAAACTAAAGATGACATTTGAGGAGCTGGAAAAGGAAAGGCAGGAGCTGAGGAAGAAGCAGGCTGAGGAGGGAGCCAAGCGCCGTCTGCTGGAGGAGAAGAAAGCTTTTGAGGAAGCCAGGCTAGGAATGGTAAATGCAACATAACTGGGCCTAAGACCTAAGACAAGATTGATTATTTCAACAAAATACTGTGTAGCAGCAGTAAAGTCTGAAAGATTTTAAGCTACAGCTGATAAACTCTTGAATATTGATAACCATTATTGGTCCTTTTTTTGTGGTCTTAGGAAGAAGATGAGGAGGATGCAAAGACAGCTCAAGAAGACAGGGAGGAAATCCGACCTGGGAGACTGAGGCTGAGCTTTGAAGAGCTGGAAAGACAAAGAGTAGAAGAAGAACGCAAGAAAGCAGAGGAGGAGGCCAAGAGACGAATGGAAGAGGAGAGGAGAGCTTTTGCTGAAGCCAGGAAGAGCATGGTCGGTATTCTTCCTTTAGGTTACTCAAAATTATAAATAAATTAATGTAACAAGGTCCATGAACACAGTCTTTCTAACCTCTCATTTTAACAAGTTAGACTTTTAAAATGAAATTAAACAAAAAACTGTTTAAAAATGACACTTGACCATTTTGTAGGTTGTACAAAAGCCTTTTCTTCAGCACTTACTTAAGCAGCTTCCTTGAATCAAAGAATAATTCTCATAGTCCCTTGTAAGATATCAAATTGTTCTGACAATAAATGATCTAACTATGTGAACTTTGGACATGGACACTGTTGAGCACTTTCATCTTCTACTGGGCCCACAGGAGCCTTGTTTTGACATTTTGGCGAACTGTTCTGTGTTGCTTCTCAGCTTGTAGATGAAGATGATGAAGTGCTGTTGGCCTTACTCAACCTAGAAGGCAGTAAACCTGGGAAGATATGTGCCAGTTTTGAGGACCTGGAACGCCAGAGAAGAGAGGAGGAGCAGAAGAAAGCTGAGGAGGAGGCAAAGAGGAGACTGGAGGAAGAGAAGAGGCTCTTTGCTGAGGCCCGCAAGAGCATGGTAAGTTACAATAGTTCTGTGACCAAAAGTTATTCCCTGCATGTATTTTACACACCATCAGCATATGAGGAGATGATTGTCATCGTAGCTAAAGGCTTTGATTTGCTTTGCTTCTTTGGACCTGCTTACTGTTGGCTTTTGAAAGAACAGAGAAAATGGTATTATGACCAGATGTCAAAATAAAAACTGCACAGCATGTAGTTCATACATATAATATTTTTAGGATGAATTTTTAATGCATAAATTGAAAGATTCATGCATGCATGTCAATTTAAAAAGTCTAACTGACTAACACACATTTGGACTCTTCACACTTATCCCATCATAAACCCTGAATTCTAATAGGTTGAGAGTCAAACATACTGTGCATGTTTCTGAATATCTCTGATGGGCTCTTTTGGTACAAAAAAATTGCTATTCCCTTGTCTAAATGATTTCTTTAAGAGCCCTGGCGTGGATCAGGAAAAATCTGCATATGGAGATGAAACAGTAAGATATTTTTACTTTTAAAAGTATATTTATCACTGAAAAGTTAGCATTAAAATGAATCACAACACTTTTCAGTTAAATATGCGAACGTGAATAAATTCACCACACACACAAGGACGAAAATGAGACAATCAGACAATATTGTGACTGGTGTATATTATTATTATTTCCTTGCATGTTGTCTTTTTGCACAATGAACAACAATGAGAATGGCTTTTGCTTAGTTTTTCTGATTGAATAACATTGTTCCATAATGGGTAAGTAGAGAGACCTGAATTCCTTTGCTCTATTATAAAGAATTTGATTAAAAAAAAAACACTGTCTTGGATCGCAGTACAGTTAACAGGACTGCATTTTTGTTTAATTATGTGCACAGGCAATGGATGAGGATGAAGGAATGGTAAAGAGTTCATCTCAGGAGGCACTGCACCCAAGAAAACTGGAGATCAACTTTGAAGAGTTACTGAAAGAGAAGGAAGAGGCTGAGAGAAGGCGCAAGGCAGAGGAACGCAAAAAGAAGATGGAGCAGGAGAAGCAGGAATTTGAACAACTCAGACAAGAAATGGGCGAGGTAAGACTACAACACGATACATTTTTCTAGCCCATGTCCATCTCTTTCTTTTTCCTGCAAATAAAGTGCCTGTGTCCCCTAATATTTATGGGCATACATACTAACAATGGTACTCACCTGACTTCGTTTTCACAGGATGTAGTAAATGAGAGCTCGGATGTTGTTAATAGAGAGTACGAAGAACTGACCAAGCTAAAGAGGACAGGCTCCATCCAGGCCAAGAACCTCAAGTCCAAGTTTGAGAAGATTAAGCAGCTGACTGATGAAGAAATTCAGAAAAAGATTGAGATGGAGAGAGCACGACGGAAGGCTATTGATGATGAAATTAAAGAGAGAGAAGCTGAAAGATTCCAGGAGGTAAGATAAGACATCAATAATTCAACAAAAAAACATAAGAAACTTTGAAGAGTCCCTTCTGACCTCGACATACTATTAATGAGGAATGTCTTAATGTCACTGTGTTTTTCAGGAGGATGAGGAAGGAGAAATGACATCAGTGAAAGCTGAGGAGACACCCTTCAAACAGAAGGTGGATATGAAGGCTCGATTTGAACAGATGGCCAAAGCCAGAGAGGAGGAGGAGAGGAGGAGAATAGAGGAGCAGAAGCTGCAGAGGATGCAGTTTGAACAGCAGGAGATTGATGCTGCCCTCCAAAAGGTTATTTTTCATTTTTTTGAACATATAAACCAGATTTTTTCAGGTTTGTATTACTTTGACATGTTGCAATATGTTTTTCAAATATATATCCTTTGTCTGCAGAAGAAGGAGGATGATGTGGAGGAAGAGGGCAGCATCATCAATGGCTCTGCAGCCTATGAAGATGAAGAGGATCACGCTAGGTCAGGGGCCCCATGGTTCAAGAAGCCACTAAAAAACCAATCAGTTGTGGACTCAGAGCCAGTGCGGTTCACAGTGAAGATCACTGGGGAGCCAAAGCCAGAGGTCACTTGGTGGTTTGAGGGAGAGATGCTCCAGGACTGTGAGGACTATCAGTATATAGAGAGAGGAGAGACATACTGCCTCTACCTGCCAGAGACCTTCCCAGAGGATGAGGGGGAGTATATGTGCAAGGCTGTCAACAGCAGAGGCACAGCAGCGAGTACCTGCATCCTCACAATAGAGAGTAAGACCACGTTGGTGTGATTGCATGCCTGCATGGATTTCAACTAGTCTCTTTGAGGTGGATCGCATGCTCCTCTTCCTGGTGAAGATGTAGCTGTGGGTAACTGTTCTTCTGTCTCTCTCTTGCAGCTTATGACTACTGATGCCCTTCCATGCTATGGAAACTTTCCCTGTTGTTTCTCACTCCGTTTGTTAATAAAAGAAAGCTCCCTCATGGTATGGTCAAACAGCAGAGGGAAGAAATAGCAGTATGCCTGGCATTCCTAAGGGAGGGATACACAACATAAAAGAAAAAAAGTGAAAAAGATGTTGTTTACGTATTGCTCAATTGTAAAGCTGCACTCCCGGTTACAGTAGGATGATACTTGTGCCAAAACCAGACATGATTCTTGTTTGTTTTTGTTTAAATGATATTTGCTGTGATGCCCTTGCAATACTCACAATACCAGCAGTTTCTAAGTATCAAAGTACTGTGTTGTAAATATCAAACTTAATGGTCCATACATGGAAAAGACTTAGCTTGAGGCACTAAAAAGAAAGAAGTTAGAAATTTGTGTGTACTAATTATAGAGGAATGACACGGTACAGGAAAATCATCCAAATATCTAACACCTCTTAGGCATCTCAAACTTCTTGGGTATTAATTACATTATAATTTAATACCCTCTTTGCCATTAGTTCAGGGTGATGCTATACTTGCCTGGAATGATGTGGGAGGTTAACACAGTGGTCATCGCTTCACTTAAAATCTACAGTGATGACAGGATACATTATAGAAACAAGACAATTTTTGACTCAGATGAAATCACCTCCATTTTTTTTATTAAACCCATTCGGTCCTTATTCAGTGTTTTTATACTCCAGAATTTTTTTTTTCCACCATTAGTCCCCCCATTGCTTTCTAAGCTAAAACTAATTCTCATTTTTCAGTTTTGCTGGACAGTAGGTTCCTGTTTTATGGTTTGATAATAAAACTTAGGCTAGCCTGAATATTTGTCATATATCATTAATGAACATGTTTTAATAAAATGAAAGAAAACAAAATGTGGTGTCTTTTTTTCTTGCTAAATTGGAAACACTGTAATCTCTTGCCTTTTACTTGACCTTTTAAACATTTCACTTTGGTGATATGATTAGCCCTTTGTTCATTCCGATAAAAAATCACATATAGCTGAAAATAAAGCAAGATACTTTCATCATTTGATATTTTTGAACTTTTCGTGCGACAAACCTTGTTCAAAACTGCAGTAATAAAGCATTATTTTTATCTTACTTTATATATTCCGTTCAAGTGACCCAGTTTTCTCATGATTAAAGAAAAACTAGGAACATAAAATTTCGTATATCCATTGCATAGGGGTCAGGATTATTAAGTAGAAATCGACATACTTACGTTGCTAGAGAAGATTATTTCTTGCAGTGTGTTCCTGGTTGAGGGTCAGTGAGGGCCCTATGACATATTTACTGCCAAGGCTTCACATATGGGCCCCCATATCATATCACATCATAAGACCAGTTTAGGTTAGGGGGGAAACCTACTTTAATTAAAAATACAGTGGTCAAAGCAACAAAAAAGCATTAGTCTGACACATACGGTGGAATTCAAATACTTTGAGCCTCGGAAGTTTGTTTTTGGGCTTCATCTATTCTTATGACATCGTCTTTCATCCGGACCTCAAATAACCTGAGCAATGGATTTCAAACCTACATTCAATATCAAACGCTAATGTTAAACAACGGCAAGTGCGCATGCGCATAGTGGGCGACAGGCTAAACATCCGCCCGGTGGCGACTTTTCCGCCTCTCTTCACTCCTGATTGGCTAGAAAAGCTGTATACGTCATCATACGACGATGACGTTTCTCAGCCATAAGAAATAACCAATCAGAGCCCAGCACTTCTAACCAATCAGAGGCAAAGGAGGGCGGGACCTTCTCCTACCATCCTACAAAAAAATTCGCGCCCGGTCGTAGAGCGCTTTCATTGAACTACTTGGGCAGCCATATTTGTTTACCTTATTCACTTGCTATATACACACGGGGAGAGGAGCAAAAACTATCGCCTAGGAAACGCATTCGGCCAAACACCACAGGAAAGCTGTTCCCCTACTTTTAAGACATTTGGACAGTTCCTATAGAGTCTACAGTCCATCTACCTAATGCACAGCTGTACGTTGTGAGACTAAATCCATCATACAACCCTGTTATGGTTTACTAAACGTTTAGCTCCATGCTAATGTGAACACTAAAAGAGATACTCCTTTATGTAGAAAGGTTAGACACATGTACCTGTCAGTATGGTCGTGTCTGTTGAAGAGGTTTCTTCGTCGCTTGTGCGGGAATATCTCAGTCGAAAGGTGAGTAAAGTTCGCTTCAAATGTCAAAATAAGGTCTATGTTGGGCTGACTCAACGGCGGCTAGCTGGGGTTAGCCCTTGTCTACCAATGTGAACAGATTTTTTGTCAGGTTAGATGCCAGACCGAAAATTATTATTGATGTTATTATTGATGCTACAAACTTAAATGATTTAGTCCTAAAGCTAGATTTACTGCCACAACAGAAAACGACCGCTACAACCAACAATTGTTATTCAACTGTCTAACTTACACAAGCATTTCATTTATGAAAACTGATTTTTATCACTCATTACTATTTCATGAAATAACAGCTTTATCACAATAAATAGAAAATCAGTGCTTACAGCTGACTGAGGGGTTAATAATGTAACCAACTGAATACAGGAGGATATTGTTTATCCACGAAGAAAAGGAGAGGAAAATAGGGGAGAGTGGGGTAAGTTGAGCCACAGGGAAAGTTAAGCCACCCCCTGTTGCTTGGAAATGGTAAAAGAAATTGATCATGTGACCAAATATTTAGGAGATGGGCATCAATTAATGGAGTCTGTGGAGGTTAGAAGCACATGGGTGAAGGGGTTAGACTATTTACAAAAAAAAACAACAATAACAAGAATTATTGTACCAGCTAAATAGGGTATAATAGATAAAAATACACATGAATGTAAAGAAGTGACTGTTATTTAGGGAGAGAGAAGGTGAGGGTGGGCTGGGGTGGAGAGTGGGGGGGGTAGTAGGGATACAGCTCAACTTACCCCGCTCCTGTGGTTAACTTACTCCATACACAGGGTAAGTTGACCATAGGAGACCACTTTTTTTGGCATGCTATATATCAAGGCAATTATGTTTACACTCATTCTGTTGGTTTGCAGGGATGCACAACATCTTAAAATATATGCAGATACACTAGTTATAGACAAAACTATGGTTGTCTTGATGTAGTGATCCGAAATATGAAAAATGGCTCATCTTACCCCACTCTCCCCTACATGTAAAGCAATCCCAACTACCTCAAATAATTCAAAGTAATATGCCATATTTTACATGTACACCCCACTTTAAAAGATGGTCAGTTTGTTTTTGGATAGATCAGTCTAGTTTTTGAACAGAAAACGTGGGGACTTTAATTCATTTTTCTTGTTTATGAGATGACACAGGAGGCACTTTGGGAAAAAAGTATTTTTCTTTTACCTTTCTTGCCCTGTAGCTCCTAAAATCAAAGAAAACACTTTTAAAATTGTGTCTGCAATTTAGCTTGTCCGTGATTTTTTTCCACAAAAGGTTTAGATTTAAACCAGACTCTTTTATTTGCTGTTCATTAGCGGTAGAAACTACTGAACATTTATATTGTCACTGCTCACACACTTACTTGTTTTGGTCTAATGTCTAAAGTTTGCTATCTTTTAAAAACTGTGATATAACCTCATTTACATGCAACAGTATAATCTATTAAACGGATGATTTAACTTCAAATATTTGTGATTTGGTTTATCTTGCAACTATTATGTGTAAATATCACATTCATACTTAGAAGTGGAAAAGTTATAACCTCCCTTTCTTAGTATCTGTCCATAATTTTTGCAGCTACTATAAATCATTAACATGTGTGTTCAAAATGAATAGAAAGACTGTAAAACTTAAAAACTCAATATCAAAATCTTTTCTATTTTGACATTTCATTCCTTGGTTTTTGTGCTTACTTAAGGATTTTGTTTGTCTTTCAGTAACTGTGCCTTTCTTTTGTATCATTTTAACTTTTACTTCCAAAACATCTTAGTGTCTATGTTTGCAAATTTCTGTATTTTGAAAAAAGTTGAAAAAACAGTATCAAAGTGAAAGTGTTGTTTTGTATGTGTGGATAAGTTACAACTGGGCATCTACTGTAACAGGTCCGACATAACTGTATATAACACTGCCATCTGTAGGGTCTGAGGAAAACTATTGCCTGTATGGATGAGGAGCATCCCCGCACAGAGGCCAGCATCAACAACAGATCTCTTTTAAGGCAGATTCTTAACATAGAGGATCTGTACAGGAAGAATAAGGTAAACCTTACAGTCTGCAAACTTTTAGAGGATATTGCCATGTTATGGATGACACAAGTAAAAATAGAAGTAATGTGATTTCTCTGTCATTGCAGCTTCAGAACTCCCCCCTGAAAACATTACTGGAAATAATTGTAAAGGATCACATCAGGGACGTAAAAAGTGACAAAATTACCAGCAATGATGATGACCACATGCAGCCTCCTCAGGCTTTTAGCTTGACTGCTGATAATTCTGCAGTAGAGATGAGGGACACAAAGCCAGAAGAAGGCGTCACAGCTTTTGCTTCAGGCCAACAAATCAAATTAAGGTATCTTCCATTAGGAATTTGTTGTGCCTAATTTTCCATTATATTTATTGACTTTTAAAAAGTTGGTCTTAAATCATCAGTAACTTTCTCCTCTTACAGCTCTGGAGCAGAAGACATTCCCCAGTCCCAGCCCACATATACATCTTCATTGCCCAAGGCGTTCATACTATCCAGTCATACTTCAACAGGTTTCCAGACTTCTGAATCAGAGGACAAAGAAATCCTGCCACTGTTTTCCTCCCTCCCAGAAACAGAGAGCAGCACTAGAAAAGAACAGGAAAAAAAGACTACTGCTGAGAGCACCCAGAGGATCAGAAAAAATCGAATGAGGCGTGGTATGATGGCCGGTCCAGTAGCCAGCACAGCTCAGGTACTGAACTTCTGATGCACGTCTTTAATGTTATCAACCTATGATACTCCTAATTGACTCTGTTTTAATACCAGTGTTTTTCTCTCAAGGAATTAAACAAAAAAAGGCAGAATCGAAGACAAGAAGGGCCACAGCTGCTCATCAGAAGAGAGGAGACAGAAGGGAATGGTGCATTTCAGACAAGCTTAGTGAGTGACCTCTCTGAAGTCAGCTCAGCTTACCCTGGAAATGGGCTAAGAGAACTGCAAAGCACATCAGAGAGATCAGAGAGGTGTTTTGAAAACCCTGGACGAGATGTGTTGGAGACTAAAAAGTAAATAGCTTTAACCTGCTAATACGACTATGTATGTGACATCATCACAGTTGTACACTTGATTTTTTCCCACCAAGCTTTGATTCAGTTTTTGTAAATCCTGTTTGTTTCTTAGAGTAAGGTCTTTGCCCTGGACAGCTGTTGCTGATTTGGACGTGTCTGAGATGGTTTTAGGTTAGTGCTGTGAAAATAGAAAAGTAAGCTGCATTGACTGTCTTTATTCCCATGTGTTAAAGCTGACTGTGTGTTTTATGAAATTTCAGATGATATTGATGATGATGACAACATGCGGGAACTCTCCAAAGTGTCCTTTCAGAGGACTGTCACAGAGCACAGTTTCACTGCCTGCCCCATGGACCTGCACACTGCAATGGTTTGTAGTTCATGTGGTTGTTCCCTGACCATTGTTAGGACGGTTTTTGCGATTGTCTCTGATTTTTCTTTGTTTTGATGCTTTCCAGGAATTAAAGTCAGTTCTTCTGGGTTCCAGTCTTAACTGTTTCAGTATTGAGTGGAGGAATCAGGGTTTCACATTCTCAGAAACATATGACCTGAGATATGGAGTAGTGCAGAGAAAGGTCCACTTAACTTTACCATCCAGCTAAAATTCATAAAGTCAGTAAACTCATTTTCGTCTGATTTCTTACATTTTGGTGTTTTTCACTCTGTGTTTTTATTTTCTAGGGTGGTCCCTGTGGAGTTCTGGCATCAGTTCAAGCCTTTGTTATAAAGAAGCTTCTGTTTGAAAACAGTAAAAGCAGCAATGCTGGTCATCAGTAAGTTATCCCATAAGTGACAGATTTCCATGTTTTGACCTCCTTATGTCCTATTGTAATCCTCTGAAGACTTTTACAGGCATTAGTTCACATCAAAGTGTTTTGTGTAGCTTCTGTTGAGTGTTGTGGTATTAACTGTTTGACGTGCTTTTGTGTGTAAATGCCACTTTGTTTTCAGGAGGTTGAGACCTTCTAACACTACAAGAAGAAAGGGTCTCATTTCGGCTGCAGCTGAAATCCTGTGGAGGGCCGGTGACCAAAACCAAGCAAAACTTGCAATGTAATGCAAACTGTTTAATCCACCACAACCACATGTATTTGGTAGCACAGATACTAAAACAGTATTTAACCTTGAGGAATGCATGTGATATGTGCCAATATCATCTGATTGACATACACCACAGAATACCTGATCAATCTGCTGGTTTGAGAGCAACATTGATTTGTACAGATTGTATATTCTTTTTTTTGCCCAATCATGTCAAAACAGAAATTCTGGGAGAAACCATTTCACTCCAAGTGGATGCTACAAATCTGAAGGAGTGCTTGAAAAGGTATGGACCTGAGCACTGTGAACGCCTGGTGAAATTTGACTGGTCACAGACGTGACAACTTCATGAAATTCACTTGGATAAATCTGTGTGTGCTGTGTTTGTTATTCTAAGATCTTTTGTATTTTACTAAACTGCTTTTATTGTGACCAGATTATGTAATTTTATTTTATCTTCATTATTTTTGGAGGAAACATTCAAAGACAATGACATTAAACTGATCGTATCATCATGTATCATTAAAGAAAAGAAATTCAATCACAGATTTTCACTTTTACTCCACGTACAGTTTGTACTTGTATCCATTAGGGACTTTAATGTGCTTTGCTGTTAAAGTTTTTAACCATTGCCTTTTCTTTTAGATAACATGTTACACACTTGATAACTTCAAAGATCTATTGTTGCTTCTGGAGCAGCACATAGAGCAGGTGAGGGACCAAATACGAACTTCCCCGGTGTAATTTTACTTGTAAAATCTGCAGAATTTACAGTCCTTTAAACTCTCATCCTTCTGTCTCCCTCAGTTTGAGATGGGGCCGTTAGGATGCATGCTGCTTACTATATCTGCTGTCCTCTCTCGATCAGTTGAAAAGTACGTAAAACCTTTGTTAAGTTCTGAAACTAGACAAGTTGTGCATTATGAAATATGACTTGGCGATTAAATAAAACATGAGCTTTATTATATTTTTCTTTATGTTTCATCAGAGTAAGGGAGGATATGGATGTGTCTACTACTTCACTCATCGGAGCTCATGGCTACTGCACTCAGGTTTAATGTAAAATCAAAATCATTCTTTGTGTCGTTTTTGTTTGTTTTTTTTTGTTTGCAATTCAGTGTCAGTATCCACAAAGGCTGAAGAGATAATGACAAGCTTAAGTCCACTGCTTTTAAAGTTAATGTTAAAGGTTGTATTTTAAAGTGCTGCCTCGAAGTCAGTGTGTTCAACAAAGCAGTCTCTGAGAATAATCCTTACTGCCACTCATACATATTTCTCTGTATAATCTGTCTGTTTTTAATTGTGTTCACCAGGAGCTGGTCAACCTGTTGATCTATGGCAGAGCTGTTTCTAACGTCTTTGACAATGACATGCAGTTGGACTCGGGCAACGGCAACATAACTCTCCTCAAAGGCATCAAAGGCCATTGTGATGTTGGTCTACTGTCCTTGTTTGAACATTACAACATCTGTAAGGTGAGTGACCGTGCTACCTGAGCAGATATTAGTGAGGTTCAAATGAAGACACAACACCCCAGTGGACATTTTTTAAATTTAATTTAATTTAATTTATTTATTTAAAGATTTTTATTTCTGGGCTCTTTGGCTTTTACTTGCCAGGACAGTGGGTAGAGCGGGAAACAGAGAGAGAGAGTGTGGAAAGGGCTGCACATGTACAGTATATTGGCATGTTTAGACTGCTAGGCCAGCAGCACCCCTCACTGGCCATCCATGACAGTAATCACTGGGCAAATGTAGCCCTCAGTGATGTTTTCCAAATATAATGGGACTAAAATACCTGTGAAAACCTCTTTGCATTCTAAAAATATCTGAATTAAAACAAAGAAATCAAGTTGGATTTTATTTGGAAATCCCCTCAACCAAATTTCATTTTAAAGAGTTGCGTAATTATTCAAATGTGTGACATCCTGGCTAATACTATAAAAAAAGAAAGGGTTGCAAAGGTTGGTGCAGACTGTAATGGTTTTTAGAGACAAACAACCTTGAGGAGGTTAGTGCAGGTTTTAAAAAACAGAGTTTCCTCAGCATTTCTGAACACATCTTCTCACCTCAGAGTTTTAGATTTTTATCCTTTTATATTCTTTCCCCAAGTTGATTGTTTTTATTTCCAGAGGAAAAGATTAAAACGAAAGATAATTTTATTTTGGGAGTCCAAAATTGTTTTATTGAAAGGCAAAAACGGAGTCCTGAACGAATGCTCCACTTAATATGTTCAAGAAGTGCATGTTTTAATGTTCCTAATATATTTGTATCCAAACTAGTATTATTTAACCTCAGTCTCTGCCATTTCAAGACATACTCTAGACAACAAATCAATTAGGTGTGCAAAGTTTAGCCCACCCCAAATCTTTCTAAAAAGAACTTTCATATACTCTGTGTCGTTAAAAAATACCATGCACACTTTCTCTTCTCTTCTCTTCTCTCTCTCAGTAATTTGATGATTTAAGATTTACTGCTACAGACTTTTTCCAGCCGTCTTCTGGGAATAATTTTTAAGTGGTTTCTTTTTTTTTTAACTTTATCCTCATTATCTTTTGGTAAGATTTTGCAAGCTTTTTATTGCTGTCAGGAATCAGGAGTCTAATAAAAAGTCAGCCTCTGATTTATCTCCCTCATGAAATGCCACGAAACAACATCTCATTTGTAAAACTGAGCAGCGAGATCTTTGGTCCAGGTCATGCTGAAAAGGCTACAGTTCTAAATCAGGTCAGCATCTGTTTTATTTATTTAGTTTTATTTGTGACAGCCAAGCAGTCTCAAATTTCACCTGACCTATTAAAGCGCATTTCCTCAATTCTCTATGATAAAAATGTTTACAGTGTATTTTTAGAGCTTTACATATGCATTTGTAGTACATATGTTGTTTTAAAATACTGCTTTATACTTAATCCTGCTAACAAACAAGTCTGAAGTAAAAAAAGCGATTTGTATCACCTGCATGAAAGACTTCTATGTACGTATTTGGTAACTTTCTTTTTAAAAGTCCCTTTAGACTGATTGCTATTGTCACCACTTTGATGTATGCATCAAGTTTAAGAGTGGAGAGAACATTACCCATTTTGCAGTTAATGATTTTGAAACAGGCGCTTTTTTTTCTTTGGAGATTGGAGTGCAGTAAATGACTTGTTACCAACATAATTTCTTGTTATATTTGAAGATCTCAAATTTAGAGAGTTGACTCTAAATCAACAGTTTTAGTGTCAAATGACATAAAACAGAAGCTTCCTCATTTTGCTCTCGACCTTTAAATTTATTGTTTCGCCTCGTGGAGACTGCCAGATGCCTTCCTGAAAAAAAACGAGACACATCTCTGCAGATTATATCTGTGAGAGAGGATTTTAATCTTTCAATTTTTACAGCTCATATTAGATTATTGTCTGTGTTAAGCAGCGACTTGAGTGTGTGTGAAACATCTTTCCTTTTTGCAATCAAGTTATTGCTTAATCTGTGACAGGTTTCCTGTTTCTAATGCGTTTTTGTATTTCATTTGTTCATCTATCAGGTTTTTCTGCTTTTGGTCTTGATGTTCTATATTTTAATGTCTATATAACCTGGTTTGATCCTTTGTATTTACTGAGCCAAAGTTTAGATTTGAGTCATACTTACATCATTTTTTTTTATCACAAAGTAGCCATCTAATCTGTTATACTTACTGATGTCATTGTCTCAGTTAGAAACCTAGAATTTCCTCCAGACTTCATGAATCATTTTCTATGTTGATTGGCCACAGAACCAGCCTCTGCGTGCTTCCCCCAAGATGCTTACATTGTACTCTGTGTCTTTGCATTAGAGTCTGGCTTTGGGTTCAGTATCAGATTTGCCTGTGGTGTCTAAGACAAGATTTTGTTCCAATCGGATTAGTTTTTTATTCCTGTTGCATGAGTGCTTTCACTGACGTCCACAGGAAGTTTAATGAGCGTGTTTCCTTGCTTTCAGGGAAATCTCACTTATTTTCCCAGTATTTGGGGTTTTAAGGGATGAGGGTTTGACCATTGACCTTATATGTAAAACAACATTTCTGATTGTCTTGAGGAACAAAATACAAATAATCAGTTAAAGGAGCAGACATTAGGTCCAGATTTGCCCTGATGGTTAGTATTAATTTGAAATTTATTAGAAGTTCCAAGATTTATCCTCAAACTACTATAATTTATAGGAACCAGGTACTTGACATATAGTCATGGATTATAAACAGAGTGGTGTCTGTGAGCATAGTCTGTAGTTTTTCCCTTCATTTTGATAACACTCTTAGACAAAGGCCTTGGAAAAAGCAAAGCACAATGTTTTTCTTATCTTTAACTTTTCTGTACATCTTTCTTTTACTGTAAAACCCTCCAGATTCAAAATATTCTACTTTAACCCTGCAACAACCACTGTGTTAGTTAGTTAGTTTATTAAGGATCCCCATTAGTCTACACAGTAAAAACATAAAATGCCGTACAGCATGATCATCAGTCCTAGAGTAAAGTATACAAACGTAAAAAACACAATTTACATTAATAGTAAAATAAAAGAAAAAACAAAGAAAACCAAAAAACAGTCCATCAGTCAAAAACGTAATCAAATTTGATATCTTTTCTGATTATTGCTACCTTAAGTCTCTTTTATTTACTTGGTATACCAAGAGGTAAGAACAGATAAAGATAATGAAAAAGGTTTGAATTTGAACTCTTTTGACTTTGGTAACAGGAGTTGCAAGTTAAGTTGGCATCTTCATATCGTGAAGAGAGCGCACGATAAAGACAACAGAGTTCCCTTCTGCACTTGCTCTGATTTGATTTGACTGATGCTCTTGATCATTCCCTTTTTCCCTCAATTTTTCTGTTCCCTCTAAGCATTAATCTACAAATAAAATCAAACAGTGAGGAAATTTTATCTTCAAACAACAACAACAACCAAAAAAGATTGTGTTCAATACATGTATGAAGTTTTTTTTTGTTTTGCTTTCCAAGGTGGGAACTTACCTGAAGACCCCCAATTACCCCATTTGGGTGGTGTGCAGTGAGAGCCACTTCAGTGTGCTGTTTGGCCTCCAGAGGGAGCTGTTGACCTATCAGGACCAAGGTCTAGAGTTCGACCTGTACTATTATGATGGCCTGGCCAACCAAAATGAAGAAATTCGCCTCACTGTGTGTAAGAAGCTTCAGTCGCCCCTCAGTCTCAGTACACGTCACTCTTATTTTCTTGTTGAAGTCATTCATTATTTCAGTATCTCATTATCAGTTCATCTCAGTGAGAGTGCTCAGATAAAATTTTATGAAGGAGTTATTTCTCTGATTGCAATTTTTTAACATTTTCATTGTTTCATCTCATTTCCTCTTACTGCACACAGTTGGTATATTTTTAGTGTCACATGAATTCTATATGTGCCTTATCTTTAAAAAAGCATCTTCTCTTTGTTTGTTCTTTAGCTCTCGGTAAATTGGCTCAGAGTGAAAGTGGCCAAGATGTTGACACTGACCTTATTCCTCCTCTGGAGCTCTGTATTCGGACAAGGTGAAGATTTTTTTTCTTGCCATGTTAAATTCACAGACATTCATTCACATTCTCTGTTATGACAAAAGATCCTGACAACCAACAAAAACGTGTTGTCAAGGAGTTTGAGTCAAAAGTTAAAGTGAAAGTTCTTTATTTTTTGAAGTTTGTATATGAATATGTGATAAGGAGTATCTGTGGCTTAGTTAACTTAGAGTTTCTCATGTTGTTATATTTCAGGTGGAAAGATGCAGCTGTCAACTGGAATGACACAGAGCCTATTCTTTGACTGTTCACATTACTAAATATTATTTAAATAATGACAAGGAGCAGTGGTCAACAATGAACGTCCTGTATCACCAGTACAGGTATCCGTATGTTATAAGTGCCCCAGTTATTGTCTTATATTTTCTTACATTCTGGCTTTATCATTTGCTTCTTGTATTACAGGAATGGATTTTTCTGCCTTTTCTTAACATGCCATGATGCTCTTGATGTTTCATATCATACATAGTGCAACTAAAATGGCCTGGGGTCCAAACATTCAGAAGGTGTACAGTGTAAGCTATCAATAATTTTGTCTAAAAAAAAGTTATATTGTTCTTCGCTTATGAAAATAAATACAATTGGAGAGAAACTGATGATATATTGGTGCAAGACACATCACAGTGGCCTTTGACTTATACTGATAGAGTTTGTTGCACATAATTTTCCTTATTGTTGTAGTTTGTTTCTTATGAGAAGTTACAACTCCAGTTCCAAAGAAGTTTGGACTCTGTACGAATGTCATTCAAATAAAGGTTGATAGTCTGCAGATTATTCAAGCCCTTTATTTAATTAAAAATAGAGTAATGACAACATTTTAACTGTGGAAACAGAATATTTTTGTTTTATGAAAAATTTACGGTCACTATAAACATGAAAAAGAAAAAGATGTGGCATGGATGGCAGCATATGTTGCTTCAAAATCTGTTAGCATTAGTGGAGCCTTCACAGATGTGCAAGTTAGCCGTGCCATGGGCACTGACACACCCCCAGACCATCACAGATCCTGGCTTTTGAACTTTGACTTGATAACAATCTTGATGGAAAATCATGTTTTCTGTCTAGACTGACGGTTCAGAGATTATTGAAAGCATGAGGATGTTTTTGCAGCATGTGTGAATAAAGAAGCTGTTTGCATCCGAACACGTTTATTAAACCTGTATCACAGATTTTTTTTTTTTTACTTAACTCTGCTTATTATTAAAATAAGACAAACTCAAAGCTGTTTTTAAAATGACTTGTAACTATGTCTCATTTCAGGTTAAAAAATAAGCAATCAAGCTGAAAGATGCCTTGCAGTTAATCAATGCGTTTGGTATTAACCATGGCAGCGTCAGAGAGTACACAGTGTGGGGCACACAGAGGGGGTGGTAGGGAGACCAGTGCCAACACCTCCAGCACACGGGATCAAAGATACACAGCTGGCACAAAGACAGAGCTGCAGCAACTCATTTCCTGTCAAATTGTCTTATTCTTCACAGATCTGGGTCCATTTTAAATCTTGAAGTGCAGCATGAGGGTCAACGTATATCTGAATCCCCAGAGAAACAGAAGAGCGTCTTTGTTTTATTAAATCTGGTAAAGTCAGTGACATTCCAAGAATTTGGACTTTGGTGCTCGAGTTGTGCTGGAGAAGAAGAGCTCTCAATGATGACAATGACTTCATTATTTTATCCTAATTGAGGCTGTGCTGTCTGAATGTATATTATTGGTGACTCATGTAGGGATTTATGTTTCCTACAAAAGACATAGGAAGAGCCATGAATTAATCATGAGACATGGAGAATCAATGAGCCCTCTCCAACATTTTTACAGCCATCAAGGCTACTGCAGTCACTATAAATAAGGTGGTTAGCTTGTATGAGGCCTTGGGGTCTAAGAAATCGGATTAAAGTGTTCACTTTTGCTATAAATTTTTTTTCTGAGGGAGTTTGTTAAACGTCATAAGAGCCATGTTTAGGTTTTAGATTATATGCTGCTCCTGATTTTTCCCTCAATAGTTGGGGCTTGAATCATTTTGGTCAGTGCCAAAGGGCTTATGAATGAAATAAATTCTATTAAAGACAGGAAAAGGGCCAATTTATTCCCTTACTGGTGAATCAACTCAGAACTGAAGTCTGTGAGAGATTTTTCTTATGGTCCAGATCAAAACCGGATAAAAAAGTATGACATACAAATTAAAAAAAGAGGAAGAAGTGTTCCTCAAAACAGAGCTGTGCTCTAAATGGCAATGAAGTTATAGTTGAAACACTGGGGTGTTTCTTTTCTGTGCTGCAGAGCTGTGGTTCAGCAGGGCGCAGCCTGACAGGAAGGACTTGGCCCGGCTTTGGTCTCTATTAACTATTTATCGCAGCAGCATTTCTCAAAGGTATCAGAGGAGGGATTTGGTGCTTGTGTGTAATTGTGTTAGAGCCCTCCCACATGCTGTCCCTTGTGCATCTTCTGTCTCCTCTCCTAATCTGTGCTGTTTGTCTTTAGATAAGTGATATCCTCCTCAGATCAGGATCCAGTGTCCCCAACCCTGCCCACCCGGAGGGAAAGGGATCCCCGGTGCATCCCCACGAGGTGCGAGCTTTATTTTTAGCAGCCTAATCCTTTTATAGCCGGGGCAGAAAACGTCACTCTTTTCCATTAATTGTCCAAAATAATCTTGATGTTATTTACCAGAGAGGAAGTGTTTGGTTTTGCAAAGTTTTGCAAGCATTAACTTCTTGTAAGACTTTCTGTTTGTGAGGAAGCTGTGATTTATGGAGGGCAGGCATTCATCCATTTTATGGCCACACAGAACATACATGTTGCTTGGATTGAGATAACTCTTATATCGCCTGGATTTAAACATCTTCAGGAGAAACATTCTTTCACTGTAGCTTCAGTTCACAACCCTCTGAACCACCAGCTTCTGTGTATGACTTTTTAACAATCCTACAGCAGGTCAAACCTTGTTGAATAATGCATGATCCACATTAATAAACTCTTCCTGCTCTGTCCATAGACATGCTGGCGTGAGAACTGAGCCGTTGTGATCTTTGGCTTAGCGTTTGTTTTCTTCAGAACCTTGTCTATCAGCATCTCTGTGGGCCTGGCTTAATATTTATTTCACTACCCCAAAAAAACAGCAGACAATCACTGTAACTCCTCCCTAGGCGCATATCTTACTACACAATGATACAACATGACAGGAAGGAGAATGTTTGATCTTGCTTATTTAGTTAGGAATTTACCGCGCTGTGTTACTGTTAGGGGTAGGTAATATAAACCCCCAGCAGAAACACTCAATGATCCAGAAGAGTTCAGTTTATCTTATATTAGAAGTTATTTCTAGGAAATAACAGCTTTGCTTTTTTAATCTCTTCATGTTCTCATACATGATGTTTACTGTTTTCCATAAACCAAGGCTTATAGACAAATAAGCAGGGTCACCAGAGAGAAACTACACACTTTTTAGTCCGGCATAAAGAGAAGACACTGTATGTTCACTGTGTGTCAGATTTAATCTACTGTACTCAAAAACTTGGCTGCTGCTCCAGGGCTATAATACCAGGCACACTTTAATAATCTGATTACATGGGTCGGTAGCGGGTTTGTGTCCCAAACTGCATTTGTCAACTGCACAAAAACCCTTGTCACTGATATTTTCCAAGCCTTCTGATTGGCAAATGCTTGGTTTTTGAAGATTGATTTCATTTAGATTATAGATTAAAGCTACAGGATTAAGTTATCTTTCCAGAAAACTGAAAAACAGCCTTGCACATGTGGATACTTCGGAGTTAACTACCCTCTTTGTACCCTTATCCAAAGTTTATTTGGTTCTGTTGAACTTGAATTGCTCAACATCCTGTTGAGTATAAGAGTCCAGGATATCTGACAGCTATGATGGAGTGTGTGACTGTCAGAGATGCAAACAAGAAAAATCCGCCTATGATTGTGCAATGAACTCCAGTTATTTGGGAAATCGGTGATTGTAACTTTTTTTTTGGAGGAGAAAGAACACCAGAAAGGTGCTGAAAAAAAAAAACTACTATGGAAGTGCCAGGAACAACACCAAGTAAAGCAAAACAAGGTTCAAACCTGGCCGCAAACACTTCATTTCTTTAGCAGTACACACTCACCACTCCAGCGCTTGTTTTTCAGTCACACTCATCTTACGCTCAACCCCTACATGGCCGATCCAACTCTGGATCGTATTTGTTTTCTTCTTTTTCACCTCGTCTCCAATAATAGCAAAATATGCTGTGCTTCAATATTCTTTATTGTTCAATGCTACAGTGCATCATCACCACTGTAGTCATTCCATATGTTCTCATTGTCAGCTATCACTCAAGTGCCAAATAAAATCTAATGAGGACAATGAAAGAACATGACAAATCATTCAGACCCATATTGGGAGAGGAATTCATAGGTGAAGAGAGAAAAAAATAAAAGCTTTCTTTCCATTAGATATAATTTTAATAACTAAAATAACCTGATTTGGAATGATTGTGACATTATTATATACATAACCTTTCAATAAATAGGTGTTTTTAATATTAAATTAATATTTTTCATACAAATATATGATACATACAGGTACACTTAAACAAAAAGAAAACTCGTTCAATGCTGACTATTGGCATTTTCAGAAATGACAAGAAAATAAAAACACTAAAAACACAACAATGTTCATATGTCTGCTGTGGATTTGAAGGCACTTCCTGATCCCTCATTCACTTTTGGGACCTGAAATGAAATGACAAAATAAATATTATTAGAATTTAATGTTTTCACTTTTTGCAGTTTTATTCAGATTTATTTCATATCCTTCTTTCCACCATTGGCAAAGACACATCTTTGTGCGGAAGCCAAAAAGGGGTCATTACTGACCTGACATAACTGGCCTCCATCGATGTTATGTCTCAGCTCATTCAAAAGTGATCAGGAATAATGAATCACTTAATAACCTAACTCAAAAAGCTCTTTGGTTGTGATATACCTTTGGCGTTTTTCTGAGAACTGTGCTGTCAGGATCTTATTATCCGATTCACTTGAGAAAATGAATACCTGAGAATGTGTCAGCCGCTTTAGTTTGATCATCGGCTTAAGCCCTATACCACGAAAAACTCAAATGAACTAGCATGGCCATTTTTGCAGATGAACTTTTGTAGCAATCACTCACCACATAGACTTAATTGCGTTCATTGCGAGCACATGTTGGACTAGACGACAGTGAGCTAATCCAAGCTGCTGTCATCTAAGATCAAAGTAACAAAAGGGTGTCTGTGACTTCATCCAAAGTTAAAGTACTGACAACGGTCTCAGTTGGCCTGTGTCTTCAAATGTTAGTTTTTTTTTTGTTTTTTTGTTTGTATGCAATTTCTTCACACTATTTTGGGGTGCACCATATTAGTAGAATGTTGTTATATATGTTGATATTTGCCCTGCTGAGAGACATCGGCCCAATGGAGAATTATCTATCATGCAAAGATGTCCGAAGCTGTTATTTGTTCATTGTTTATCAATGGATTGCTCCTATCAACAGTTTTGATGGGTTTAATATTACTTTTCCACCAAAGGACTTTTTTTTAAACAGTTCTCTGAAATCTTACAATAATGGAGTCCATTGCTCTTTGTTCTAGCTCATAGATAGTTGCCGTTGTGAAACAGTATCTAAGCTGTTCTACTATAGCAACATCAAAAAACAACACAGTGTATTTTCTCAGGGGAAGGGGACCAGCGTTATACAATTGATGATGCTCAAAATGTACCATAAACAAACTAACAGCATTTACAAATTTCTTCTTAAACAATAATGCTCACTTACAAAGCTCTAGTTTTCTGTTTTAGGTCTTTTCCAACACAAGTTTTAAAGCAACAAAAGCTCAAATGCAAAGTGGGCAGGTGGTTTGCAAATTCCCTCCACTAGTGTGTCTCATATCATAACCCTGAATAACTCCAAAGTGAGGTTAATGCTCTCCAGATGTAAAGCGTGTTGATTTTTTTAAACTTATATTTTCTTTTCTTTTTTTTGTTTTGTCTACAAAGTAACGTACATACAAAAATAGAACACAAGTTTTGGTGACAGTGAGCAATATTCCCTACAGTCTCCACATATCATGATCTGTTTTTTTTCAAGTGTTGTGAACAGCATTTAAGTCCTTCCATTTTCTCCATTTGTGGGAGCTTAATGTTGCTGGAGTCTTATGTTTTTCAACAAAGTCCAGCCAAATCTGACCTAATATTAAGTAGAGGACAAATGATATTGTTCTGTTGAAATGTGGTAAGAGAGGAGGTAGAAAAGCACTTACTTTGCAGGTAACAATGAGATGGAGCTTAAATGCTAACATAGCTGCTACCTGATGATAGCGAAAAGCTCGTTTAAGCTGTTGTACAACAGTAACTTATAGGTTTCAAAGTATGTTATTTTTTATGAAATATGGCCTTATTTCCAATCAGAGTTACTTTATCTCGTATTTTCAGTTGACAGTGAATAATAAGGCTGTAAAATGACTACAATTGAATTTGGACGCTGGTTCCTGGAGCTCTAGTCTTTGCGGTTTTTTGAACAGAAACATTCATCAAATGATTCAAATACTTGTTTCCTGTGTTAGCTTGACAATAAGGCTTAAATACTGCAAAATAACTTCCTGATTGTAATGAAATAGATTTGTGTCTTTCTGCCAACCAGCACTAAGTTCAAATGAAATATTTCATTTGAATTAAATACCGAGTGCGTCTTTTTGACAGTTAAATGCTTCAACATGGACGACACCGAAGAAAAATTTGTTTCAAGTATACAAATGTTGAACAGATGCACAACAGGTGTTTTGCATTATATAAGCTTTTGCTTCGCACCAGGCATATTGGCAGCAAAGAAATATATTTTCCTCCAATTAATTACAATAATGTAAATCCTTAAAAAAATTGACAAGACAAGAGGAGCACTTACATGCATTTTCTATGACTGCATGCAGAGTGGACTCATCGCTAATCGTGTTAGCAACCTCGCACATCTTTTGTAATCTGTGAATGAAAGAAGAATCGGTGAGAAAAGAGGGCATTAATGTGTTAAAATCACTCATGTAGTTAGAGCCTGCTAATGAAAGTTTCCTCTTTATATAGCTATAGTCTGAAAAGAGCCAGGAAATGAGGGTAGTAGAGAGAGGGGACAAAGGGTTGGGACTGAAAGTGGAACCAGCTACCGATTTGACAAGGGCTGTAGCCTAAGTACACAGTGCAGACTTAAACTGCTGGCCAACTGGCTCCTCACAGACGCATGTTTTAATAACAGAATCAGAGGAGTCCAAACAGCTGAAGTGACAAATCTGTCTTTAAATCACAATACAGATCAAGTTTTGTAAACCCAGACTATACCACCTTCACAGTGTTTTAAAAAGAACATAAAACATAATCATTTCGATCAAAGTGAGAAAGGTAAATATTCACTGCACTGTGAGCGACATTATGGTCAGTACTGACATCAGAGGAGTCCCAACATGTGAATTTCTCAGTGGGTGTTAAAAGCTAAGTTCTAGTCTAACAGAATCACTGGATCTGTAAATATCACCGTCACTCATGTTTGTTAATCCTGTTTCTGAATACAGTATAATGAGAAATCCCCAGTGTCACAGTCCACAGGACACTCTGCATCATATAAATCCAACAAACAGTACATGAAGCATGTCTATCAGCTGGCTGCTGTCTGTTTCTGCTCTCTGTGCATATCCATCATCTCCGGTTGAAACTAAACTTTCTATCAAAACACTACATTGAATTATTGCTTTTATTCTGAGTTAATGTTCATTTGACCTCACAGTACAAATAGACTCTGTCCACAGAAAAGGAGATTCCAGCTAAACAGATGTTTATCTGCAGCAGGGAAGCATCGTCTGGTATCACTCTCTGACGCCATCTTGACGTCATCTTACTAATTTCAAAATGCGAACTCCCCAGAGGGGTCTTCTGCTGCCCGAATGTACTTTATTTTTCTATGATCCTTTTAAAAGTTTGAAATCTTGGACAAACTCAATAATCAGATAAGAATACACAAATCTTTGCTAGGAGTGCTTTTTAATTAAAGAAATATATATAACCCTTTCAGGGCTTGGGGTGACATCTTGTATCGCTCTTATACCAAATCAGAGTGAAACAACTGATCTATATATTGTCTTGTAATGGTATCAATTTGGAAGAAACTATCATTGTTGTATATGACCTTTTATTTAGCTTGCCTTACATTACAAAACATTTCAACCTGCATGCCAGGGTATAAGAAACCTCCACAAATTAGTCAGGGACTGATCTACCAATCAAAATAGTTTACCATAATTATATTAACCTTAAAGTAAATATCTGAAAATGCCCATTAAGTGTCTGATTAGTCAATAAATTCCCACAATAATAATAAATTCCACATTAAAATGCTGAAGTAATGGGTATTCTGATTTTTGTTTGCAGTCTTAGTATTTTAGTATCTAACAACAATATAACTTTCTATCCATTTCAAGCACAGCTAACAATTAGATCTGAACTGTTGTTTTCTCAAGATTCATTTCATTACCACTTCTCACACTGCTAAATATACAAACCCAAAGTCCAATGAAGTTGGGATGTTGGCAAAACATGAGTACAACGATCTGCATATCCTATTCAACCCATCCTCAATTGAATGCACAACAAAGAGAAGATATCTAATATTCAAACTGATAAACTTTTTTTTTCAAATGTATTTACTCATTTTGGATTTGATTCAACATGCGTGGGCAGTGGAAACAAAAGATGGGAAAATTAAGGGTTGCTCCAAAAACACCAGTTTGAACCATTCCACAGGGAAACCTGTTTATTGGAAACAGGTGAGTATCATGATTGGATATAAAAGGAGCATCCTGAAAAGACTCAGTCGTTCACAAACAAGGATGGGGTAAAGTTCACCACTTCGTGAGCAACTGCTTAAGCCAATAGTCAATGTACAATTGCAGGAATTTAGGGATTTCATCATCTACAGTTCGTAATATCATCAAATTATTCAGAGAATCCAGAGAAATCTTTTGAATGTCTATTGACATTGAATGTCTGTGACCTTCGATCCCTCAGGAGGCACTGCATTAAGAACCTACACCACTCTCTAAAGGACATCACCACCTGGACACCACCACAGATCTTCATTACATCTACAAGTGAGTAACTCTGCTATGCAAAGCAAAAGCTAGGTATCAACAACAGCCAGAAATACTCCTCTAGGCCTGAGCTCATCTGAGATGGACTGACACAGAGTGGAAAAGTGTTCTGTGGTCTGACATGTCCATATTTCAAATAGTTTTTGGAAATTATAGACGTGGTGTCCTCCAGGCTAAAGAGGAAAAAAGAACCATCCAGATTATCGTCATCACAAAGTTCAAAGAAGCACAAAATACCACAATGAAGACCCCCGCTGTTAAATGACTGAAGTTGTACATGGGGCAAGAATGGGAAAGACTTCACCTCCAAAGCTTCAACAATTAGTGTCCTCAATTTCCCAACGCTTACTGAGCGTTGTTGAGAGGAAAGGTGATGTAACACAGCGGCAAACATGACCCTGACCCAACTTTTTTTGGATATATTTCAGCCATTAAATAAAAATGAATGAATATTAGAAAAAAAAAGGGGGTTTCTGTTTAACATCAAATATCTTGTCTTTGTCGTACATTTGATTGAATATAGGTCAAAAAGGATTTGCAAATCACTGTATTCTGTTTTTATTTACGTTTTACACAGCACCTAAACTTCATTGGACCAAAAGGAAGACTTGGCCAAAGGCCCCAGGTCAGTTTTAGTTTTAGCTCCAGAAATTTCTTAAAAATCATCTCTAATGTCATTAGATGATATCTGATAGATCAGCTTGACCAAATGTAACTGAAAGCTCTCTGGTTGGCAGTATTCTTTGGTATTATGATTTTAAGTCTGCATTTTTAGAGAGAAACAGAAGTAGCTTCTATCACAGTGGTTACTAATGTAGAGACAGAAATGAGTAGTTTACGTTTGTCCTCTGAATCTACTGAGTTGGAAGTGAACTGTTATCATGGCTGAACATAGAACAGATTGACGGCCGCTGATTTGATTTTTGGCCTCAGTCATTTATTCTTAATTGTCACCCTCTCTCTTCTCCTTATTCCCGGTTTCACCTACCGTTCTGTCCCCTAAATAAAAGTGTAAAATGTACTAAGATCATTCCAAACAAATATTGCTAAATCCTGATTGCTGAGTTGAAGTATCAGACATGAATTGAGCCCAGCTTCATAAAACCAGTAAACATAGAAAATAAGAAAAGAAAAAAGAAAAACAAAGGTAACTCTCTTGATCAAAATAGCCAACGTGTTGACACTCAAGCACCTGTTTCTCATGCTTGGACAAATCCCTCACAGTAAGAAGGTGATTGAAAACAGAAGGTTTTCCACATGTGTGTAAAGGGTTAAAACTTGCAATGATTAAGAATGGCATTAAAAACCTTGAGCAAAGGATAGAAAAAGCAACATTAGGGGGAAAAACATACGTACATGCTGGTCTTGAACAATCCCTTGTGTTGTGATAAAGTCTGTGAAAGTGTGTTCTGCACTCCGACGAGAACTTGACTGGTCCTGCTTAATGAGAAAGGTGGAATCAGGCAAGGAGGAAAAGATTTCCAGTGCTTTTTAGAAAAATTTCTCTTATTCATTTAGCCAGTGGGTATGACCAAACTTTGTACAAATATCACAAATTGAAAGTGAGCAGCACATGGTCTGGGAGTCAGGGTTCAACATGACTTAACACGGGAACTGAGTCTGTAATTATAATCACCATAGAGGTTTTTTTAACCAGCATTTAAACTTGCAGATTTTCACACCAATAATGAAGTCTACTCATTGGTCCTGAGACGAATAATCAGCTTAACCTTGCGCTGCCTTCAACTTAATTCTGTCGGCTTCAGACCATGTGCTGTTTCCCCGCAGCCTGGCCCTTCAGCTAAGCCAACAACCCTCTTCTGACCCACAGCAGTACCAGTGTTCACAAAGCATTCTAGGACTTAATCATACTGTACACTGAAGTAATAAATGAAAAGGATTTTCTCAAGGTTACAGATCTTGGAATTAGTTGTCAACTATCATTTAAATAACATTTATTACATTTTTGGAAAGGACCAATAAAATGCCAACAATGCTTTATCTGAGCTCCTATGATGCTGTCTTTGATGGGATTTTTCTTACCTGTGAAATGCTGAATGAATTTGCCTTTCATGTCTACATCTCTTGGGACAATTTCTGAAAAAGAGAAACACTGTTAGCTCATCAATGGACAGTCACTTATACAAAATTATACTTTCTAAAAGTAAGTCTGCATGCTCAATATGACTGTTGTTGTCAAAAGTATCATTTCCAGCAATTACAGCTTCACATTATCACTTCTTTCTGTGACTGAATACTTTTTACAGCCCGTATCTTGGTTAATTTTAGTACTTTATTATCTATAATCATGATTCTAATCTTAATATTTTTTCAATGAATCTTGTTCATCAGCGGTGCAGCTAGTGTCTCATTTCTGAGTTCACGTTATTCTCTGGGGGATCTGTCAGCTGGACTATTTCATACACATACCCCTCTGCTCATCCATGTAGGTGTCTGATGACACTTTGGCCAGACTAACAAGATAAAGAGATTATTGTATTTGAGCTTAATGCTCATCAAAATAAGTCCATGCAAGTCGTTGCAGTGCTAGGTTCATACATTAGCCCCCAGACCCAAGAGTCTGCTTGAACTGCAGAAGGAGAATAAAATCTGAAATAGACTCATGTTGACTAACGATTAAAACACATGTATTTTACCACCTTGACATGGTATCAGATGTGTTGAAGTCTGGATGTAAAGAACACAAATGGCAGTCTGGAGTAGGTAAAATCAACTGATATAGCCCAAAATTTAGGGTGCTGATCAAATCGTATTACCAGTATAGATACAAGAAAAAATTATTTAAGCTGCCAGACTGAAGTCTATTTCTTGTGCTGCACAACACTGTAGCTAATGGAAGTATAAATCTTTTCCCCTCGGTCATGTCCAGTGACATAGTATTGGTATTTCAGATGCATACTGAGAAATACAAAGCTCACACACAAGCATGCTTACAGATGTTCCTCTCTTCCTCATCATTCCAAAAATCTATCCTTGCGTGACCATGGATCTTTGGTAGCTTCACATGCACCAGTTGCTAATATGCTGCTTTTAATAACCTCTGAAGATAAATTCCACCCAACCAGTGGTCTGAGAAAAGGTACTTTTCCAATTGCATAAGCTCAAGCCAAGACTTTGAGCTTTGTAAGGCCTGTGTAACCTCTCGAAAATATGATCTAATTGATAGAGAAGTTGATGAGTACCATTTCAATGGGTAGATAAACAACATACTCTGCTCTAATGGCACTTAACTGACAACAGAGGCTTGGATCAAGACACTTTGAGTTACAACAGTGCTACTTCACATAAGGAGCAGGATTTTCTGGGTAGTCTGGTTAGGGCCACACTTCTTTGATCCTCTCTTATTTGAAAAAGTATTAAAGACAAGTAAAGTTTGTTCTGTGTTATATTTTAATTTAACTTCCATTATTATGTAATACTTTTGCTAAAGTGAATACAAGCACATTTTCATCAATCAAGTCCTCATTCCCTACAGAGGAAATGATCATTTTGAGTAAGAATGATGACTTGTTTTGGTTGGATAAAGGTTCTTCATCCAGGGTTACAACCTTTATAATACGCACCAAAGGAGCACGTTTCCTGAATTTCATAACTACAACGTAAAAGACTGACTAACAGTGAATCCAATGGACAGCTGCAAATTACCGTACTGTAATACAACACAGCCAGTCTTTTCTGATATGCAATTTATAGAGATGCTCTCTAGACTGTATTGTGTGCACCAGAGCGAATAGCAGCCATCATTCATGCTCCACAACAGATCAAATTGAATGAGTTATTCATAAATTTGGCATGACACTCCTCCTAAATTAATTTGTAGAACCTTTCCACATCTCTATCCATCAGTCTGTCACCGTTTGGATAAGGGAGTGACAGCGTGTGTCAAAGAAGCAGAAACAGACAGGGAATAAATATACCAGATTTTGTAACGGTAAAACAGCCTGTTTTTGTGCACAAATGAAACACATTACATGCTTCAAAGAAACCACTTCATAGTCAGTCACTTGAGTAGAAACAGGTAAATATGTTGAACCTTGTCTTTCAAGTTTGCCTGAACAGACATCCTAATTCTCTCCTCTATATAACTTAGACATCATGCAGACTTGTTCCATTCAGCCAAACTAAATAACGCTCATACATAAGGTGTGCAGCTCATACCAGACTGATGACAGCTGTCTCACCCAGAGAAATGAGGATTATGCTTTCATGATCGTGACCTAAAAATAAATCTTATCAGCTTACCTATGAGTCTACTGTTATCCAGCCTAGGAACATAGAAAGGCTTTTCCCTGGAGGAGAACTTCATGTCTTGGGCTGAGGAGAAGAGTCCACTGCTACAGCGCCTGGAGACACCTTTGTCCCGGTGCTGGTGCTGGCTGTCTCTGATAACCTGTAAGATTAGATCCAACAGGGTCCTTCTTTCTTTCTGCTTCACATCCTTGCTGTCCATGCACTGGCCTGAGGTGATGAGCAGAAAGAAGATAGACAACAATATGTGCCATTTCCTCTCCACCTGCATGACTTCACTGTCTGAAAACAGAAGAAAACACATTTGGTTACACATGAGTTAGTATTTCATGGAATTCTTAAAAACCATAAAGATAGTTGGCACAACACCAAATTGTGTTAAAGTTGATATTTGTAAAATCCATCATGTTCAAAAAAAATTACTGAAGAAGCTGTCCCTGTCAGAAAACAAAGACCCCTAAAGAGTGAAATCGTTCGTTCGAAATAAAGTGGTGCACCCATTTTACGCATCAGCAGTAATTCCTCAAGTTAAATGAAGGGCTAGAAATACTGGTCAAAATACCCACACTTACTATTTTAGGGGCTGAACAAGCTTATGTCCTGATGTGGACAGTTTTCTTCAATAAATTCTTCCAGGCGTTGTCTGTGGTCCCGGGAGGAGAGAGAGAACAGCCAGAAGATTGTGCTCACCACCGCCTTTCTTCAAATAATGCGTCCGTATTTATACGAGGAGCCACTTTCTTGAAGGTAATACAATCGATTTCGAGTGGGTGGTAAAGCAATGTTGACATCTTTGGCGCATTTCTTCCAGTGACATTCGCTCACTTTGGCATGCGCCCCGCCTTTACGCACCCAAACATCATAAGTTGTACTTTGACGGAGTTACTGAACTCTAATTGAAAAAGTCCTCGACTGACAAAGTAAAAGGGTTCAACATTCAGAAAAAGCCCCGATGGTTCCGTTGACGAAGTAAACGCCTGAGACCGTGACGCGCGCAACGCGCATGAGAGTAGTTTTCCAAATGGATCAACTTGTTGGATGTTGGACGCAGAGAAGGGAAGAATCTGTGGCCTGTAAACTTCTAGCTGACCTGTCAGTGTGGCGATGTGTTTGTTCACCGATGTTGAAGTCTTGTGACCGCCTAAGCGCTGCAGAGAATGCGCCTCCAGGAGCAGCCATCCGGCAGTTTTCCACCCTTTTTGGCTATTCCTCGAGAATAGTGATAAGTTTTTACAAAAAAAAAAAAAGAGTTATTTAAGGGTGCATTTGAAAAGATATTTTAAAGAGAGACAAAACGCTATTTGAATTAGACATCTACCTTTAACTAAAACTATGTAGCCTATTTAGGACATATTTCCTCTGCCTTTATTAGTGGAGACTTTTAGTGAGTCATTTAATCTTGCTGAAATAGAGCATGGATAGGGTTGTAGCTAGGCTGTACAACACAGAGTTGCAATATGGGGTAATTTATTATCATTATTCATTAGTGCTTGCAAGAATTTTTAGAGCTGAAACAGTGCATAGGCGTATTTTGTTTTATTAACAAAATATAAAACAGCATTCAACAAAGTATGCTATGCTGGTTTTTTCGCTAAATAAGGGTTATTATTATTATTATTAGTAGTAGTAGTAGTAGTAGTAGTAGTAGTAGCAGTAGTAGTAGTTTCATTTGAAGTAGAAGTTGTTTAACAGTATAATTTGTGAAAGGTGTTAGACAACCACAGGTTACACCATGGTGTCCAGCGGCACAGCCACGTGACTTACTTCCGGAATGACTGTTGCTATAGATACGAGCTAGTCACTCTAAACTGAGGAAAGCTGACCCCCTGTCTGCTGCATGTTTCGGTGTAGATTGAGAGACCCTTTAGCCTCCTTGTTGGATTACAGTATTAAGTGGCAAAGGGAAAAGAGGACAAACACTTTTTTTAAACCCTGAAGACAGAGCAATGTCACAAAGGTAAACTTTTTTTTACCGAAGTTGGTTGAACAAACGTTGAACAGCTAGCCAACGTTAGCTGGATTCCATTATATTCTTCCAAAGCTAAAACACATTTTTCATTATCATCCTGTGCATAAAACGTAAAATATACAATTAACATATTGTCTTGATCAAATGTACACCAATTCTGATATATTTATCTCTGACATATTTATCCCTGAATAACACTAGTTGAACTGTTGACACTCATTCAGGTCTTACAACCAGCTGTGGGCAGATGCTCAGTTGGAGTTGGGTCGTCTGCTGAATGAGGAGCTGCCTGCTGAGCCCCCTCGACCTGAGAAGGACAGGGTGGTGTTCTTCCAGCGCCTGGCCATGCGTTATGTGCGGTATATTCAAATTTTCAGACAGCTGGAGAAGGTCTATGATCAGGTTGTCCACCCCCAGAAGAGGCGTGATATCCGGGCCATTGTTGATGGGGTGATGGGCCGGGTGTTGGAGCTCAAGAATGAGATGGTGGAAAAAGAGTACTCAGAATACCACTACATGGATGATGTCCTTCATGTCCTAAAGCTTGTGCCTGTAAGTGTCATTTTGTGGCTGAAAATATGATGAAATGAGATTTCTTGAACATGATTTTACTGGTATACCCTTTTATAATGAGATAAGAGCTGTTTTCCTTCTTTGAACACCAGGCAGACCTTGAGATCCCTATCCCTCGCTATTTCATCAGTGAACGCAGCAGAGAAATCCAGGAACGAAAAGCGATGCTGACAGAAATCCTTAACATTGAGGAGTTCACTGGAAGCCCTGAAGTGAGTTGATAAAGTTTCAGTGAGGAACTTTAAGTGTTAGCACCTCTTGTGGATAAAACAGTCCTTGCTGAAATTGTCCTGTAGATGTGTAATTGGTATTTCAAGACCCCCAAAAACCTTATCCTGCTCTCTTACAACAATCATATGCATTACTCCTCAAGAAGCTTTGCAAAGCAGTAGGAAAAAAACAGTGTCAGCAGTATGCAGTTGATCAAATTTTGAACATGAAATGACTACATAGAAATAATCACTCTTCTCGCTCATGGTCTTGTCAAAAAGAGATATCACTGTTGGTTTTAGTATGTTATTGGACCAGCTAAAAAACTCCCCAAAGGAGTTTGAAAGCGTGATGTAATTTATTTATCTCTGGGTGTTGGTTTCACTCATAATTCATTTGTTCGAAACTTTCACAGATAGGCTTTGAGTGAGAAATAATGTTATGGAGATTTATTACATCATTCATGTCAAATGGACAAGGACATTACGTAAAGAAAACTACTGCAAGTGTTTTGTCTGCCTATGGTCTGTATAGCCTCCACTGACGGAGGACATGAGCCAAGAAGAGGCAATTAAGATCATTCAGATGTTGGAGAGGGCCCGTCAAGGCCGCCAGAGAGCAAAGTTGTATGAAGAAAGCAAAAACATGAACAGGATGTACGGAAGAAAGGACCCTGGTTCAGCAGAAATTGAGTTGGCCGCAGTCTGCATTCAAAAGGTCATCTATTCTCACGTCATTCAAAACACCTTTTCTTCTTTTTCTTTGTTGGACTTGCATCACCTTTTTACCGTTAGACGTCGCTGAATGTTATCCACAGGTTTGGAGGGGCTACAAAGCAAGAGTAAGAGCAAAGGCTGCCCGGGAGGAGGAAATGATCTTCCTGGGAATGGTGAGCAAAATAGATCAATATTGCAGATTTGAAGTAAATGAGCCAAAATACTCCTTCAGCTTTTGAGAAAACCATCTAAGAAATACATTTACCAAATCTCGAAGTTCAGTGTCATCTCTGGTTTGCTTTAGATTTTATAGCCGGACATAAAGGACATTTTAATTCTTTCTGGTGTGGAAGAATGTGAAACTTCATTGTCAAGCTCGTACTGCTATATTTCCTCATTGCACTCATATATAGACTGCACTAAACTTATACTCTCTTTTCTCTTTCTTCTTCATAACATAGTGATTTTTTTCTAATGGCTTGCAACAACTTTTGTTTGGTCTCATCCATGATAGGTAATGGATCCAAAATATCATGTGCCCTGCCCTGCAGAAATCACAGCCCAGGCCAATGAAGCTTATTTCCGCATTAAACAGGAAGAGTATGAAGAAGACTATCTGAAGTCTGTCGTGGCTGTCACAAACCAACTAAGAGATGTAGAGGGTTCAGACATGAGCAAAACCATGAAACAGCAGATCAGACAATGGTTCATTGAATGTCGGTGAGGTGGCACAGTAGAGCTTGTCATAGGTTTTTTTTTTACATTGATGCATCATTTTGACATTTGCTTAAATCAATCATTATCTCCTCTGTAAATCATGATTTTAAAATAGTGATGCGACAGGATCGTTTCCAGACTATCCTGACGTCGAGGATGGAGGCTCAGCTCTTATTTTTGCAGAAAAGGACCCTCAGCAGGTGAAATACATTTAGGAGCAAATTCTGTTTTATAGTTGCTTTGAAAGTGATGTACAAACTTGGGTTTAGTTAAGGGAAGAACTTGCTGCAAAGGAAGAGGAGGAGTCCAACAACAAACCAAAAGGAAAGGAGGAGAAGAAGGAAAAAGGGAAGAAGGACAAGGGGAAAGATAATGAGGAAGTAAGTGTAAACAGCTGTATTGTGTTATTTGTTGTTTTCTCATTATTGTACATTTGCAAGAATATTGAATAAATTAGATATCACTACTTTGATAGATCAACTTTTTAAGCTTGTTAGTTTATATGTGAACCAATATATTCTTTACTCTCAGGAAGAAGAAGCTGGATTGAAGATGCTTCCTTCTGCTTTTCTGTCAGACTTGGAAGCTGAAAGCAAAAAATTTTCAGGTGTGTCTAAATCTGAAAAGATCAAGTAATTTTGTGTTAGTATTTTACTCTCAAAATTAAGAAATAGTTTAGTTTCAAGTATCCTGTCTAGATGGAAGTCCTCATGATGGAAATTGGCCTGAGTTTTTTGTTGTGGTTAAAGTGTTTCCTGCATTTTAATAGTTCATTCACATGAAAAAACAATCTCTTAACATTTTTTGTCATCTTCAGATTTTTGGAAAACACGCGATGAGTCCCAAAATTTCAGTCAGAGGCACGAGGTGGAGTTGATCAAAGAACAAAAGAGGAAAGAAATCGAGACAGAGATTCGGCTACAGGTTGTGCAGACTGAAGAATGATACACTTTTATGCGTTATATGATACAATCAACACATTCAAGAGACTTCATATTTCACAGTCACCGATTCTGTGATAGAAACATTTAAGTTTAAAACTGATAACAATACCACCTGTAGCTGCTCTCACTCTTCTGTTTTTATCAGGTAGATGAGCAGATGAGACAAGAACTGGCTGAATGGAAACTAAATAAAGACAAGAGTGGTAAAAGCAAAGGAAATGCTAAGGTAAAAAGTGACAATTAAAAAATACTTAAAAAAAGAACACACCTTGATGTGTGTCCTAGTAACTACATTTATCTCAACAGAAAAAGAAAGGATCAAAGAGTGGAAAGAAGAAAAAAAAGGAAAAAGATTTAACATCAGATAGGTATGGTCACATTGTGGGTGCACTTGCCTTGTGCATCTTGTAGAGTATGATTTGAAGTCCAGAACTGAATTACATGAACTTGATTAACTGGTTTGTGCAGATACTGAAAAAGTCAATGGCATCATTAATCCATGTCTGCTAGGACCGTTGAGTCTCTGTGTCAGGAGCTGGTGGAACAGGGCTTGCTGAAAAAGGCTGATGACGTCAGACTGCAGGATTACTTGGGTGAGATTTATGCATTGTTTGCGCAAACTTGTACATCTTTCATCCTCATATTTTAGAAATCTTTCATTGTTTTTAAACTGATTAAAATTCATCAATGAAGCTGGGGCAAACCCTTTCAATACACTGTGGGCCTATTTAACAGTCAAGTGTTTGTGAAACTGTTTAGTGGTGACGTGCTGCCCTCTTCAGGTGTATGAACATCAAGACACCTCAATCACAAGAAATATTTATGAATAACACATCTGTCTACATTTTGAGTAGTGTATTCAAATATTTATTTTAAGTTTTATCAATCGCTGTAAAGTATATGAATAGTTATCTTTTTAATAGTTGTTTCCACATCTTCTCAGGTGACTATAACTATCTTGGGACCACCTTGAGGCAAAACGACATTGAACCCATGCCCTCATTATCAGATGTCCGGCAGGTCTTATCCCTGTATGCAATATTGCCATTAGGTATGACATGATTCAGTTCAAAGTGGGAATATATAATTAATCATTTCCCTGCTTTTGACTTTGACGCATGTGTTGTTTGCAGGCTCTCAGGTGGTGCACGAGAAGGCTCCTCTCATAAAGGCCATCCTGTTGGTAGGGCCAGCAGGTGTTGGGAAGAAGATGTTGATCCATGCTATCTGCCATGAGTCAGGTGCAAACCTGTTTGACCTGTCCCCTCTGAACATAGCAGGGAAATATCCAGGCAAGAACGGCCTCGCCATGATGCTCCACATGGTGTTTAAGGTACCACAATAACCTAAGTCTTGAATGATACTGAATGCCAAGTAAAAATGTGCGGTAGTTTAAAATGACTCCAGTACAAGTGGATAATGAGAGTATATGTAAAGCCGACTCAGTTAAATAACTTCAACTGTGACAACCCAGACATATGCAACAAATGTGGTAGAAAGGGCACATTATACCACTGTCTATGGGACTGCCTGCTGATTCAGGCTTTTTGGAGTGAAGTGAAGGATATGATTTTTCATGTTACAGGTTAAAAACTACTAATATGCTCAAAAATGTGTATTTTTGTAGTTTTACCCATAAATCATAACCTTAGCAAAGCAAAAAAATACATGATTAGTTTTCACATGTTATAAGCTCAATATACCAAAGCAAAATCTTGGAAATCCACTACTAAATCAAGTATTAGAGTCTGGCCTTCAGAACTGTCAGATTGTCTTGCACTGGAAAAACTCACTTTTACGTTAAAGGGTAAATATTTCATTATTGACAGTATGTGGAATTCCTTAGAGGGGAGGATAGCTTTCGAGGCACGTTCGAGGCACCATCAACAAACGGTTATTGCTATGTATTCACTATACGTCTGTTTGTTTTTCTTTTTTTTCTGTGTCATTTTAAGTGAAGTACTTTACCTTCCAGGATAAATTAAGTTGACTTCTGGACTACTGGAGATTCTGTGGGGGGATTTATGTTTTGGACTGTGTAAATACTTCATGTTACTGCCCTGTTATGTTTATCTGTATACCTTATTGAAGATAAGCTTTACTGTGATAGTTTTGTTTTACACCTGTATGATTTGTTGTAGTGGTTTTTTTTTCTTTTTTTCTCCTTTATAAACAATTAGAAAATACACTTTATTTAAAAAAGGAAAAAAAAAGTGCAGTAGAGGACACTTCAGATCCCCTGAGTAAAAACCAAACCCAGCTTTTATGTGCAACTCTAAACTCATTTTATGATTAGTTACCCTCAGTTCATTATCCCCTCAAAAAGAAAATAGTGAAAGTTCCCCAGTAAAGCATTTGTCTGTACCAAGCGTCGGCAAAAAAGTCAAATAAGTTGTTCAAGCCTTGGTGAAACAAAGGATTTGGATGAGATACTCGCTCAGATTTTTTGGCTCTGATAGAAATTGTATAATCATCGTCACACAGGTTGCGAGATTGCTGCAGCCTTCTGTAATATGGATTGAAGATGCAGAAAAAATGTTCTACAAGAAAGTTCCCAAGGAGGAAAAAGAGGTATTTCTTTGCAAGATGAGGTCTAAGAATTTATTTATTTATTTTAAATATTCTAAATCATTGTATGTGTACACAGTTGGACCCCAAACGCTTAAAAAAAGACTTGCTGAAGTCTCTCAAGTTGGTCAAAGGAGAAGATCGTGTTCTGGTAGTTGGAACAACTAAAGACCCACTAAGTGCTGATATCAAGTCATTGTGCAAAATGTACAGCAAAATTATCCTGATCCCCAGACCTGACTACGGCTCAAGATACAGTAAGAACAGACCTGTTGAGAGTCATTTTTAGTTTTTCATTGTAATTATAATGAAATATCAAGTTTTTGGCATCAAAAATGATCTGTCACTTTTGTCTTCTTTTCCAGTCTTGTGGGAACAGCTGATCAAAAAGCAGGGAGGTGTGATAACCAGGGCGCTTGACCTCAGCTCCCTTGCAAAGATTTCAGATGGCTACACACCTGGTCACATAGTCAAGGCGATTCAGAGCGTTATCACTAAGCGTCGCATCTTACGGCAGGCAAACCGACCTCTGATCGCCTCTGAGTTTGTTGCTCCATTAGCCAAGATTGACCCCGTGTTTCAAGAGGAAGAAGAGGCCCTCAAGGTACAGTACAAATCCTGTTTAATGTTATCATTGCCTTTTCATGAGCAATTGTCCAGCTGCAGACCTATACTTCTGAGTGCTTACACTTCCATTGTTTTTTGTCTTATGTGTAAAGACCTGGTATGCAAAGACCCCACTTGGAAAGAAGAGAATTAAAGCCGCCACAGGAAAGGAAGAAGAAGAAACCCCAGCTAAAGGCAAAAATGCAAAAAAGAAAGGAAAAAAATAATTTTCTTGTCGTGTTTTTTTCATTAATTCAAAAAGTGGAATGACAAGAGAAAGTTATTGATTGGATGCCAATTGTCTTTAACTACAACATTAATGTATGAATTAAAGTCTTGAAGCTGACATGTTGTTTGTGTTGATTACTTTATTTTGTTAGCCGGTACTGAGGTAAACAAATTAAGAAACTTGGTGTTTGATGTTATAAGGTTAAATACAAAATTCTGTGACTGCTTTTTAAAACTGGGTTAGGTTAAAGCTCAAATCTCCAAAGCCTGAAGTCGGTCTATAACAGAGGGTGCTAACTCTTGTCTTGTGACTAGCATGTTAAGAATACCAAGTAGGACACGATTTTATTTTGTTTGAAGATAAGAACATAAATAACCTCTGTGCTTGAAACCGTGTAATACCTGTACTTGCATTTTCACATATGTGTTGATCACCTAAATAATTATATCCAAACATATGAGAATGATCTGAAACGCTATTAGTGGCCTTAGTCTGATGGACTGACTCCTGTGGCTTTAGTTTTTAGACCCCAAGGACAAGCTGTAATTAGACTTTAAAGATTTGTGCATTAAAAGTAATTCGGTCTTTTTATATCCCTCTACTGTACATGTATGTCTGCTTGGCTGTGACATGATTTTGAATTCTGCATTTGAAATGATGCTGATGGACAAAGCATGTAGAAATGATGTTTTTTATCCAAAACTATTGAATACTTTGTACTCCTGTGTGGAGAAAAAAACTCTGTAATAGTTTTTGTAACCCTCTTTATTGAGTGCTTTCAGGTGAAGAGAATCTGGACCAGAGGAAATCTGACACACGGGACAGAGGGGTGTTTCCAAACGAGGATCCAGAGGCTTAAGAGGAGTGTTCAGCTGTTTTGTCGAGTTCTAAATTCACTCAACACATCCTCACATTGCCTCGTTCCTCTAACAACAGGCTATCTTTAGTTTTTGTGCACCACTTAGAGGATGCTACACACGTGAAGCACTACATTTCAAGATCTCTGCTGACTCCCATTACTGGTGCAAAACACAATTTAATGCTTTTTAAAAATTATTTTCAGTTAATGCATATTCTTTTGGGAAGACAAAAGCAAAGGTCTAATTTGTCCCCGAACCAACTACTGAAAATTCCTTCTCAAGTGTCCAAGAAAGCTGTTAAAAGCTTTGTAATGAATGAGCTGTCATTCCTCTCCCAGTGACGACAACTTGTTTTTTGCGTCTCCACAGGACCGCGCAGAGATTATCTTGCTGAGTTTCACTGGTGACTTAGTGACACATGGAGCTGTCTATCAAACTCAGGGGAACACAATGTGGGCCAGTGCTGGCTTTGTTTTGTGTTGCTGTCTGGGTAAGGGAACCACGCACATTTCCAGCATTTCAACAAACATCTTAAGAAAAATTGTTAGAAAGGCTTGAGGAAGGTGTACTGTCTCTGTGCAAATACGATCAGCCTGTTATGGTTGCAGGACTACGCTTAATGTTTTGGTTTTACACTCTTGCTTCAGTTGGGGCCCCTTATATGGAGGGTTTAGCCATCACTGGTATCTAACTCACTCTGATGTCAGAGAAACGGGATATGATGATTAATCTTTGGTGACCTTTTTACTAAAGCAGTGGTGAAAGCTCCTTGTGGAGATTTTTGGACGTGATCTCTTTAACCTGATGTTTGGGACACTGGCAAACATGTTAATGCACATGTGACTGAACAAAACCCTCATTTTAATGCAAAGAAAGCTCTACTTTTATCCAGAAGTGGTGGTTTATGGAAGAGGTCTAAGATCTCAGAGCAAGCAGCTTGAAAGTGAACTTAAACAAAGCTAGAAATACAAATGTAGATTTTCCATTTTCATGTTCTTGTTGCTTTAAAGTGACTTAACTTTCTCTCACTGAGATGCTACCAGTGATTTGCTCCTCTCCATCAGTCATGCTCACCAGAAAACCATCAGACCCACTAAGCCTATTGTACACATTTTGATTGTTTTGGATTGTTCCATTGACGCGGTCCATAGGCCACCTCTCATCATTGAAGACGCAGCTATCTTTGTGCTCATACTGACAGAAGGCTATTTTGGAGGTTAGTATGCAGGGTGAGATATGTCAGCTGTTCGGCACTAGCCTCAATCAAAGAGAAAAAAAGGGAAAGCACCAAAGGCTGTCTGCTTTAGGGACTGGGACTCGACTTAGGCATGCTCTCCTTTGGCTACATGTTTGTTGTTAATCTGGAAGCTGGTGTGGGAAACACAACAAGACAAGGATAGATCTGATACTGCGGTGGATTTTGTATCCAACTCCTTTTTCAGTTGAAGGTGCTCAGTTTTCTGGAATTTATGAGATGAAAGAGCCTGCATGGATTTACTTTTGAGAAAGCACCAGTTTAAGTCGAAGGTAGGTGCAGTATTGCATGCAATTTAAGTATGCACTTTATTTTTGTGCCATCTTGGCTATTTTGAGAGTCATGATTTCTTAGCATTTCTATGTTAATTAAAGCCAGTTTCATAAAAGGTCAAAGTATTCTGGGGTTATACTCTCTTGTACTTCGAATTCTTACACTCATTTCAAACAATACATTGCTTTTTCACTGTATCTTTTCAAAGCTTAGCCTCTAAATTTTAAGTAACTGTTTGGCAAACTCATTGTTGTTGTCTGACGTATTATGAAATTACATTAAAGCTGGTTGGTAATCAGAGCTATAATGACCATCCTCCTGAAGCGCTTAGTTATCCCTCATTATAATGACAGGAGCCAGCCCCTGAGAAACGTTTTAACATCTCAAATATCATATCAATCTGCTAAGTAAAAGACAGTTCTCCTTTGGACCCGGTTTCTTTTTTCAAAGCTACCCCGTCTTCTCAGTTCAGTGCATGCAGTCTAATGAAGGTGGCATCACAGCTGAGTCTATATTGGTGCTGCTGAGCTCAGCCAAGTGAGGTGACAGAGATTACTCTGCTCCTCATTACTGTGGAAGACTGGCATACCATCACAGGGTTCAACCGTACGAGGGCAGTGCCATGTGTATGCATTTTGACAGTGATGGTTTATAAATTTCCTAGCCTGAGAAGAATCTGTTTAGCTCATAATTTAGTTTTGTCCAAAAAATGCACAGAGCACATTCTGCAACAGGTTATTTACAGAACTGTATCTAATGAGTGTAGTTCATGTGTCAAAGTATAAGTGTTGATGATGTGAAATGGATTTTGTAGAAAGTGATGGTTTTATGCACTATTATGATTACAATACGCAATTAATTAAAGTTTTAGCCCCTCTGTGACAACTGTGGTCAAGACTCAACAGCGCACTTGAATCCCTCTGAAAGAGGAGCCAGAGCCATGGGAGACAGCATACCTGGAGGAATAGTTGCTGCTGCAAGTGAGAAATATTCATATGAAATCTCTGTAATTTCCAGTATAGGTTATGAAATAGGAAAGACCTCTTGATTTATTTTTCCTGTGTTCATTTATGTCTGCCAGAGAACCGTCTGCAAGTGATGAAGGGCTTGGAGGATGTTGAGGTGTCTGAATGTGAGTGCTGCCCCTTTGAGGTGACCCTCAACCTGGCTTACATTGAGGGGGTGTGGACCAGAGACGGGATGCAGCTGAAGTCCAAGCCAAACTGCCGCATCAGCACTCATGGGAAGAAACACTCACTGATCCTAAAAAGGGTTGCTCTGGGAGATGCAGGCCTGTTCTCTTTTCAGGCTGATGGCATTCAGACATCAGGCAGACTCACCATCAGAGGTAAAAGGGGACAATAAATTGTGATACCTTCAGGACCACATAAATTAAAGCTTTATTTTTTCAGCCAAGACAGAACACATGTTTAGTAACCCAGTCAAAGGCAAAATCTCTCCAGAACATTCAGACCACAAGATGTTGGTTTATCAGCTGAGTGTTTTGTCTACCTGTGCTCCAGACTAGACTTAATCTCCGGTCACCAGAAGATGAATCTAAGAGATCATTTCTCCTTGCACAGAGCATAATGTCACAACAACTTTTAAACAGACTGTTACACTCTCTGAGGATTTGAATAGATTTTAGAGACTTAGATTCAGAATTATCACCAGGTTCAAACTTCAATTTTTCCTGTGCATTGGTTTATAAATGCTTTACTTTTACTTTGTGATTTTTATGACCAAAAAATGTAAGAATGCTAATATGCTTAGCTAAATTAAACGAGGAGTTAAATTGGAACAGTTTAGCACTAAACAAAGCCTTATACTTGGACTTGTGTTACCCTTGAGTTTTGGATAAGATTTTAAATCATATTCTAATCACATTTACTATTAAAATCAACTCTTACAAAGAGTGAAGACTTATTAAGTTCTCTCGTAGGTTGCTTTTACTCATTTTACAGGCCTTGTTTGGTTGCTTTTCACCAGCTAGGGACATCCATGTAGTGAAGGAGCTGGAGGATGTTGACACAATGGAGCGTCAGCCTGTCAACTTCCTGTGTGAGGTTAATCAGGTGGATGTGGACGGTCGTTGGTACAGGGATGACTCCCGAATCCGACCTGGTGACAACATCAAAATTAGACACCAGGGTAAGAGTCCAGATGGTTTTAAAATCTTCACATTCAGACTAGAAATTAAAGAAAATATTTGCATGGCATCACACTCTGTTTTGCTAGAAAGCTGTGTTTAAATGCGGTTGGTGAAAAATGGAAAAAGAGGAACTCTACAACCTGGTCAAATACAAACAATAAAGTAGGACCTTTTTTCTTGATCTGATTGAAGGTAAATCTCACACCCTGATGTTTAAATCAGTGAGGCCAGAGCATGCAGGACAGATCAGATTCACAGCAGAGCGCGTCTCGTCATATGCATCTCTCACAGTTCATGGTGAGTCCCAGTGAAGTTTTTGTCTGATTTAACAATGATGTAGGCAAGGAAACAGGTATCCTCCCACTAAGCCTCTTACGGTTTACAACCCTTAAATTCCATTTTTCTTCTCACAGAGCTCCCGGTCCAAATACTACGTCCTCTGAGGGTCAAGATCGCCATGTATCGTCACCGGGGTCTGCTGGAGTGTCAGGTATCAAGGGCAAATGCTCAGGTCAGGTGGTACAAGAACCAGAGGGAGCTCGCGCCCGGTAAGAAGTACCAGCTGATCAGCCAGGATGTCTACAGACAGCTTACCATCGATGATGTCCGCTCTTCAGATGAGGACACCTACACCTGTGATGCAGGAGATGACAAAACCTCCTGTCAGCTTCTGGTGGAGGGTGAGATGCCTGTTGTCACAATCATCATCTCAGTTTTTATGTTGAATTGAAATCACACTGAATATTTATTAGATCTTTAAATTCTTGAAAACTTTACTTACTAAGCATGTTTCTCTTGCACAAATGTAATTCTAAGATACAACCTAAATTATCATGAGAGTCTTTTTTTATCATGTTAACAAGTCTGGTGCTGTGTCAGTACTATTAGTTCAATTGCTGTATATGCAGAGCAGGCTATCAAAATAGTGCGGGGGATGAGCTCAGTGGAGGTGATGGAGCCAGAACCAGCGCTTTTCCAAGTTGAGACCAGCCTGAAGTCAGGGAGACCCCCCCGATGGACCCTCAATGGAGAGGTGCTGGAGCCCAGTGCAGCGGTGAACATTGACAGGCAAGGTACCCTGCACAGCCTCCTGCTCACCTCCACAGACAGCTCCATGTCTGGTCCTGTGCTCTTTGTGGCTGGCAAGAGTCGCTGCACTGCTCAGCTGACTGTCAAGGGTGGGTGTTCAAAACTTTGTCTGGATATTTAGAAAATCCTGTGGCTGAGGCAACTCTAAAGGCATAGAATTGGATTTTTCAAAAACTTAAACTTACCTCTCATTAATCCTGAGTGTTTCATTTGGCTTCTCCACATTTGTCGTGTCCAGAGCGTCCTCTTCAGGTTTCTCAACACTTGGAAGATGTGCTGGTGAAGGAGAGCAGCTCTGTGACTCTGAGTTGTAGGTTTGCCCCCTCTCCCAGGGTGGTGAGGTGGTTTAAAGGTCGCACATCTCTGAAGACCTCCAACAAATACAGCATGAGGAGAGAAGGGAAACGAGTAGAGCTGACTATCCATGGCTTAATAGGGATGGATGCAGGACAATACCGCTGCGTAGCCGGGGGTTCACAAAGCTCAGCGCATGTTAATGTGGAAGGTAGGTTCGCCGTGGTAAAGTATTTTTTTTTATTTACTTTATTGGTTCAGTTGATTCAGATTAATCAGTTTTCTTCTTGCAACAGTCAAAACCCTGAAGTTGGTTAAACACCTTGAGCCGGTGGAAATTGAGGAGGATGGTGTCGCCACATTCTCATGTGAGCTCAATTACGTGGTTGCCAACGTTGAGTGGCTTGTCAACAACATTCGCCTTTACTCCAACGCCATTAACCGGATCCAGCACATGGCCACTATGCACAGCCTGACGATCAAGAAGTTGCGACCACAGCAGAGCAAAGTCACATTCAAAGCAGGCCTGCTCTCTGAGACAACCACCCTGAAGGTTAAAGGTCAGCCTGGAGAATAATTAGATTGCATGAGTAGGGATTTTCTTACACTGCTGTTTTTATTTGTTTATTTCTGGGAGACATGTGTGGCATGATTTGTAATCTTGGCTGCAGAGCGTCCAGCGGTATTCCTTAAGTCTCTGGAGGATGTATCAGGGGAGGAGCAAGGAGAAGTCTGCCTTCAGTGTGAAGTTTCCAAAGAGACAGTGACCCCTGTTTGGAGGAAGGATGGTATAGCCCTGGCTGCTGATGATAAACACGAATTACTTCAATTTGGGAAGTCTATGGCTCTGATAATTCATTCCCTGAGCAAGGATGACACTGGACATTACACCTGTGATTTGGGCACCAGTCAGACCAAGGCGAAAGTTACCGTGTATGGTGAGTCAGAGGAAAATCTTCATTACTTGGGAGGAGCTAAGAAAGTCTCATTTCAAGTAAAAATCCTACTTTGTTTTTGATCTGTGATTTTGTTCTGTGTACCTGTAGACTTACACATCACTATCATTCACCGGATAAAGACAACATCTGTCATAGAAGGGGAAAGCTGCACTTTTGACTGTCAGCTTTCTCATGATCTTGATGATGAGCCGACTTGGACTATTAATGGTGAGGTGGTGGTCACAGATGGCCGTATACAGATCATCAACAATGGTCGTAAATATAGGCTGTCTATCAGCGATGCTGTTCTTACGGATGCTGGAGATGTGGTCTTCACAGTTAAAGACCTAAGCTGCAGGACGATGCTCTTTGTCAAAGGTGACTGAGATAAAATCATAGGCACTGTTTGTCTTTGTGTTGTTACATTTTCTAAGTAGTAAACACATTTCAATAATAGAAATCACTATTTTGACTGAATGTGTTTCATTTTTCTGTAGAGAAGCCTGTACATATCTTCAGGCAACTGTTGAATGTCAAGGCAGTGCCGGGTGAGGACGCAGAGCTGAGCTGTGAGATCACCAAACCAGATGTTACGATCCGATGGATGAAAAATGGCCATTTGATCAGACCAAGCCCCAAGTATGAAATGAGTGTAGAAAAATACTTGGCACGATTGTTGATCAGGAACACCACCTTTAGAGACTCTGGAGAGTACTGCTGTGAGGCTGAGGGTATTGCTACACGTGCCAAGTTGGAGGTCAGAGGTAAGTTATTCTTTGTTTTTTGTTTTTTTTTTGCCAACACGATCTGCAGCTGTATTTCTAAATGTGAAACTGTTTTCTAAACTTCATTTCACCTTTCAGACCTCCAGCACACATTTGCGAGAGAGTTACGAGATACGCGAGCAGAAGAAAAGGGTAAAGTGACCCTGGAGTGTGAGACCAGGCGGCCAGCCAAGCGCGTGACCTGGCTGAGGGGGATGGTGGAGCTGCGGTCTGGCAGAAAGTATGTCATCAGGCAGAAAGGGGTAGTACTGTCCCTGACCATCGCCTGCCTGGAGTTATCGGACACGGATATTTACATATGTGATGTTGGCACCATGCAGTCCCGGGCACAGCTGACTGTGCAGGGTGAGGACAGAGTGAAGGGGACACTAGGCTCTGCATTACAGTTGTGCTGTGTTGTTGAAACTCTACCAGGGGCAAAATGGAAGTTGGGTTAACGTGCATGAAAATGAGAGGAACAAATCTTAAAAGAAATTGTTAGATTTTGTTTAGTTGAAGCTCAGGATTTTTTTATTCACACTCACACACATATGTTAAAAATTATACAATGACAGATAAGATAAATACTAAACAACAGAATAGAGGAATGTACGTGCAAACATTTACATGTGGAATCAAGAAGCTGCATAACAACTACTGAGAGTCCACAGAGTCCAGTGAAGCTCAATTTGCAATGATATGTTGATTTTGCCTGGTGTAAAAAGACAATCATATTGAATGCTTGAAGCCCAAGTCGATACCTTACTAACTATATAAGTCTTTTTTTTCAAGGGTCAGAAATACTCAACTTGTACGTTTTATTTACCAGGATAATTATAGAATAATTCATACTCTGCATGCTATTCATATTGCCTAGAATTTTCATCAAATCTTTTCCCAAATTCTCAGCAAAAATTAGCTCCAGCAAAAGTGCTAATATTTTGTCATTACTGAGTGTGAAATTGTGCATATGTTAAAGAGGAATATACCGTTAAATTTTGCTTTAAGAGGACCAGATAACACATCTTGATACAAGCTGGTAGTGGTAGTTTTGACTCATCCATCTCCTCCATGTTTCTCACAGGACAGAGAGTGCTGATCCTGGATGAATTGGAGGATGTTGAGTGCCTGGAGGGAGACACAGTCACATTCAGGTGTCGAATTTGTCCCAGTGACTACATTGGGGTTAAGTGGTACCTTGATGAAACTCTGCTGTACACCAATGAGCTCAATGAGATCCAGATGCTGCCTGGAGGCTATCACAGCCTAACTTTCAGACAGCTCGCTCGCAAAGACACTGGCACTATTTCTTTTTCAGCAGGGGACAAAAGATCATATGCCTCACTGCTGGTTAGAGGTAAGACCTTTTAACTGCCTGACGGTTTTGTTGTGTGTTTTTTTATGCCATGTTTGATTCCTAATTAATGTCTTTAACGCAACCAGAGAGGCGTCCCACCATCATTCAAGCACTGGAAGACTGTGAAGCTATCGAAGGAGGCGGTTTGGTTTTGTCTTGTGTGACCTCCAAGCCATGTCACATCCTTTGGTACAAAGATGGCTGTCTGATGTGGAACTCCTCGAGGTATTTTGCCACTCGCTCTGGCTGCGAGGCCCGACTGACGATTCGGGAGGTCAGCAACAATGATGCAGGAGTATACGAGTGCAGCGCTGGATCTGTTACAACAAGGGCTGTTGTAACTGTTAAAGGTATTATTTTTGTTTAATCAATGTCCCTCACTTTTGGAGTTATTTCTTTATCTATCAGTTAATTTAACAGGGAAAAAACATGTTACGTTGTTACATCTAGTTAAAGTGAAACTGATGTACTGTGCATAGGCCAATTTGCAGTCCTTGTCCCTGATTAGGCTTTTAGGAATAAGGCAGATGATACAAAACTAAGCTTTGAGGGCAGTTTATATTATAGAGAAGGGACTGGGACTGTCTTGCATTTGTTTGTGGCTTATAGTCTTCACCAACTGCACCTAAAAGTTTCTCTTTTTTGAATCAGAATTAGGATCAAGATTAGGATAACATTGTGCTGGGTAAAATTGTGATCATTTTAGCTTCTCTGCTTGTTGGTAACATATTAGGACTTGTATTTTTTCCTTTTTTTTGTCTTCATTAGCTATCCCAGCAGAGTTCACCCAGCCTCTGAAAACTGTGGAAGCCAAAGAGGGCGAGACAGTGACCCTGACCTGTGAGTACTCTCTGCCGGGGGTGCTTTTCCACTGGTGGAAAGGTTTTGAGAGCCTCAGAGCTGGTGACAAATACATGATGAGACAGAGAAAGACGATCAACTCCCTCACCATCAAAGCTGTGAAACCTGTGGACTCAGGAGAATATATTTGTCAATGCAGAGACCATCGCACTACAGCAATTCTCAAAGTACACGGTATGGCATAAACTGTTTCTCGACTTTTGTGCCTTTTTTTTCCAAAGCTAAACATACAACAGTTACCCCCCCCATTGCATATTAATTAACTTTTGGGGGAACACGGCTCACAGAATCACAGCAGATTGTCTGAAAGTTGTTTCAGCACTGACTGTAACCGAGCTGTCACAGATTTGTTGTTGATAGACAGCAGATTTCACACTTAGTTGTTTGTCATGAACAGCAAAAATCAAAGAAAGAAACTCAAATTTGATCACAACCTCAAGTAAAAGTTATTACCCTCCAAAATGCTAAACAACCATTTCAATTCATATTCACAGATATGTCTGTATCCCAAGGTACTTCCTTGGTTTTATAGTTCATTTGTTTAGGAAAAATGGTAAAACGTGCTTTTGCCTCATCTCCATTTGGTGGTTAAAAAATTGCTAGTTTATTTTTACTCCATGCAAACCTGTAAAAATACTTTTACCTGTACTGTCCATGGCTTGAACATTTCACCTCATTCCTAACTGCTTTTGCTAAAAGAAGGTTGCCTCTTGTTTTCCAGCTATCCCCATCACTTTTGTACAGCATTTGAAGAACATGCAAGCAGAGGAGGGGGTCAGTGTCTTACTGCGTTGTGAATTGTCCAAACCCGGACTGCCAGTGGAATGGAAGAAAGGACAGGAGCTGTTGTGGAACGGAGTTAAGCACCAGATGAAGAAGAGAGACACCACCCAGGAGCTTCTCATATGGAAGCCTGTGCCAGACGACAGTGGGGTCTACAGCTGTGTGTGTGCTGATCAGGTCACATCTGCCACTGTCAAAATCAATGGTAGGTTGATGGCAGTAGTTTTTAATTTACTAAAACATAAAAGTGATGTTGATAATTGTCAGAACTTACTTATCACACCTTCAGCTTTGCCAGTAACCTTCAAGCAGAAGCTGAGGAATACGCTGATCGAGGAGGGTAGCTCTGCAACTTTACGGTGTGAGCTGTCCAAACCTGGTCACAGCGTGGAGTGGAGGAAGGGGGGGAATGAACTCATCAGAAATGGAGACAAATACCAAATGAGGCAGAGAGACATGCTGATTGAATTGAGGATCTTTAGTATAACACCTGAGGACAGTGACATCTACACATGCATCTGTGGAAACATAGAGACCACTGCAACTCTGACTGTTAGTGGTAAGTACATTTGTTAGTATGGCTCAGTTTTATGAGCTCCCTGCCCTTCGATAGAAGGTATATGAAACAAAACCAAACAGGCACCAGTAACAACTCATTCAGTACGACAATGGTAAGGACCTTGGGTGGAGGCAGGTCACAAAGCAGTTCAGAAAGGACGCAAGGCAAGGGAGAGGGAATAGGCAGGCTAAAGCTGTTTAAATAGAACGCCTATTTTGCCAGTTGGAGGTGTTGAAGGTAGTTGGCTAAATTGACACAGGCTGGCATCAAGATCAGCTGATGTACTGTAGGTTGATCTTGAGCTCATTGCTTGCCTGTACAAATACTGGGCTCAGTGAACAACCGGCTCGTATCAAATGTTATTTGCTTGTATGATTAAAATCTTGATTTTCGGCTTCTTGATTATGATACAGTATTGTAGAGCACATTAGATACAACGCTTGTCAAAACAAAACAAAACAAATTTAACGGGACAACATTAAAATAGAATGGCAGGATAGGATACCACACAATAAGATACAATACCTGTGACCTGATATGTTACCTACCCTACAATACCTTTCTATACAATTTGATTCAATACAATAGTATGTGATTCAATGATATTCAATTTTAAATGTTATAATAAGGAATAATGAGCATATAAACAATTCAACACTACACATATGATATGTTATGATCTGATTGGACACATACAGTATGATACTGATTCTATATAAGCAGACACCACTGATATGATACACGTCATTGTTTCTGTTGGGGATTGTGTCATGAAAACAACCACAAGGAACATACATTACAGCAATGTTGCTTATGACTCCTCAACACCTTACTTTGTTTTTGCCTTTTAGCTCAACCCATCACCTTCAAGCAGAAATTAAGGAACCTGCAGGTAGAGGAAGGACATAACATCACACTCAACTGTGAGATTTCTAAACCTGGCATTCCAGTGGAGTGGAGGCTGGGAGGAGATCTGTTGGAGAGTGGAGAGAAATACCAGATAAGGCAGAGAGACACAGCTCTGGAACTGATCATCAATGATGCTGATCCAGAGGACAGTGGGGTCTACACCTGTGTGTGCAGAGAGCAGAGGACAAAAGCCACTGTTAAAACATTTTTTCGGTTATTTCACACTTTCTTTATAAGTACAAAATTCTACATGTGTTCATTCATAGTTTTAATGCCTTCAGTAATAATCTACAATGTAAACAGTCATATAAAAAAATAAAGAAAAGACATTGAATGAGAAGGTGTGTCCAAACTTTTGGTCTGTACATCACACTTAACTGTGAGATTTCTAAACCTGGTATTCCAGTGGAGTGGAGGCTGGGAGGAGATCTGTTGGAGAATGGAGAGAAATACCAGATAAGGCAGAGAGACACAACTCTGGAACTGATCATCCAAGATGCTGATCCAGAGGACAGTGGGGTCTACACCTGTGTGTGCAGAGAGCAGAGGACAAAAGCCACTGTTAAAGTAGTTGGTATGTTAGATGTTTGCATACTCTCTCTTCATTGATTAGTTACTCTTTATAGGAATATACTAAACTGCCTGTTGTTCCCTTACACCTGTAGTTTGTGTTACGTATGTAAACAGTGATTGCTTTTGGGTCCATAGCTGTTCCTGCAACATTTAAAGTGTGTCTGAAAAGCCAGGAGGCTGAAGAAGGAAAAAGTGTGACATTACGCTGTGAGCTGTCAAAGAAAGGAGTCCCTGTGCAGTGGCAGAGAGCCAACCAGGCGCTGTCTGTGGAGATGTTTCGAGGAAAATATCAGGTGGGGCAAGAAGGGAAGACTGCTCAGCTGACCATTCTTGATGTACAACCAGAGGATGCTGGAAAATACAGCTGTGTCGCAGGAGATGAGAAAACTACAGCTGAAGTCAAAGTAAAACGTAAGTCAAAGTATGCAAGGAGACATCATCGGGCTTAGAAATTACATCCAGTATGTGTAGTTTAAGGTGCACTTAAAAAATATGTTTTAGTGACTTAAAATTTCTTTGATAATTATTGAGAAACTGGTATTTTGAGTATAACCTGTCATCTTTGGGCACAGGATGTCCTTTACCTGATTGATGAGCATTTAAAGCATAACTTGGTAATACACAGCTACAGGTTCTCTAGTTTTAAACAGCAAAAACATGGGTATTTGTGTGAAATCCCAGTCAAGAAAGTAGAAATGCCAGGTTGCAAATCAGTGCGCTAAACAATAATAGCAAGAATCTGAAATATACTCCAAACAGCTTTTCCTGTAACATTCAAACGAGAGATCCAGAGCATGGAGGTGAAGGAAGGGGACAATGGAGTTTTCTTCTGTGAGCTCTCCAAACCAGGAGCTCCAGTGGAGTGGAGAAAAGGCAGAATGATCCTAAAGCCTGGAGAGAAATTTGAGATGAAGCAGGAGGGACGCCTCACCAAACTGATCATCAACAATGTAGAGGAGAGTGACGCTGGGAAGTACACTTGCAAGTCTAACCACAGCCAATCAACTGCTGAGCTGGTTGTTCAAGGTAAATGACAAACTAGATGATATTCTCAGTATCCAAGATTTTTCATTCATTCTTTTGTGAAGCACTTCTCATCTTTTTTTAAACCTTGCTAATGTTTTCAACAGAATCAGCTGAGCGCAGACGTCAACGAGGTCAGCTCTGATGTAGTAGAATCAAAGTAGACTTAGTGGGTGTTATCACTGTGTGACCCCATTATGGCATCCCACTATAGCAGAAATGAGAGATAACTGTTGCATTGCCACTTTGGTTGTTTTCCCACTTATGGACAAATTGCCAAAGTACAGTGTGCTGTACTGTACATTGCTGCCCATAAGCTGGGTGAAAAAGAAGAGTCATGTCATAAACACACAAACAACCTTGACTTAACGCCACCGTTAGACTTTAGAGTTGTTTATGTATGTTCACTATTTTGTGCCAGGAAAAGCACTTCTGGAGTAGCACCAACTAAACTGGATTATCATATAATCAGTTTAGTTGTTTAGTTTCAACTGAACAGCTTGTTTGAAAAAAAAAAAAAGATGTTCGCATGAAACATTTTTTTTATCTGACCATCACTTCTACAATGTAACTTCCATGTAATATTCATTAAGTTCATTGTCATTTTAAGGGGAAGGCAATGTGTTTCAAGTTCATCAAGTGGATTTTTGGATTTTCAGTACAATGTTAATGTGTTTCCTTTTGAGCTGTTTTAGTTCAAAAGCTTATAAATGTAATATCTCAGGTATCTGTCAATCCTTTTCTGCCTTTTGTTTCATTTATGGTAGTGTCAAGATGTCTGAAAAGCAAAGCTGTTGTTATTCTGTTGCGTATTCTAGTCTCATATTTTCTTCCAAGTATCGTTCTGTGGTGTGTCACAAGCACAAATGTTGTTGCTCAGGTGGTGACAAGTCTTTTGGGGATGTTAAAAGCTCTCTCTCTCATTACCAGGTCTCCCACCAAGATTCAAGTTGCCCCTAGTCAACCAGGAGGGGACGGAAGGCAACAGTGTGATCCTGCGCTGTGAGCTTGACAAACCCGCTGCTTCAGTGGAGTGGTGGAGAGGACCAGAATTGCTGAGAAATGGAGACAAATACCAGATGAGGAAAAAGGAGCTACAAGTGGAGATGAAGATATCAGACCTCAGTCTAGGTGACACTGGAGATTATACCTGCGTATGTGGTGAACACAGAACAAAAGCAACAGTCGTAGTAAATGGTGAGTGCTTCAAATGTCAATGACACGAATTCCTCTGAACAACTGATTTTGAGAGCATGTTGGTGTTAACTGAACGCACTCTTTATGAAGTTGCTGATTTCGCTCAGTCCATGTTACGTTGGTCCTGGATTCAAATCCAGTCCCCTGACATTTGCTGCATGTCATCCTCTCTCATACCCTCCTCTTATTATGCCACTCTTCAACAAATTTAGATAACAGATAACCTTCAAACTCCTTTACTTTATTACAATTAACAGCATACACACTACTGAATTACTGCCAGTAAGAACTCAACACAAACAAACATGCTGCATACGATTCAGATGGAGGAACAATGGAGCCAGGAAGCTAATACAGAACACAGTGTTAAAAAAAACAGCTGTGGATCCACTGATGTTTTGTAAAACAACATCTCTTGTGTTGCAGCTATTTTATCTACAGTTTTTATATGTCTTTGGATAGATGGTGATACCTCGAATGTATATGTAAAAACTTTGGTGATGATCTAAGGATGTCTTAATTTGAGTTAGGGGGCAGTAAAGCAGCAAATGGAAGTTCATTCTTTGTAATCATACTTTGATAACATGAAGCGTGTGTATAATTTCCTTTCTTCATTTCCAGAGCGGCCAATAAGATTCCTTCAGGAATTAAAGAATATTCAGGTTCAAGAGGGCAACGGAGTGACACTCAGCAGTGAGCTCTCCAAACCCAGCGTTTCAGTTCAGTGGAACAAGGGAGACAGAGTTTTGACAAATGGAGAGAAATACCAGATGAAGCAAAGCGGCTCCATCCTGGAGCTCCTCATCAGGAAAAGCCAGCCTGAAGACAGTGGCTCATACAGCTGTGTTTGTGATGATGACATAAAAACTGCTGCTACCATCATCATAACACGTAAGCACTTAAATTTCACAAGGAAATAATACTTTGACAATGTAAAACTCATGAAATGATGTTTTGTGTCTCTGGTTCACTACTCTTCAGCAATCCCAGTAACTTTCAAGCAAAAGTTGAAAAACCAGGAAGCTGTAGAGGAGGGCGATTTGACGCTGCGCTGTGAGCTATCTAAAGCTGGAGTCCTAGTGGATTGGAGGAAAGATGCTCAACTTCTGAAGGAGGGAGAGAAGTATCAGATGAGGCAGGAGGGTAGGATGGCTGAGCTGCAGATCAGGAATTTAACTCTCAAAGATGCCGGGGAATTCAGCTGCAATGTTGGCAGTGTTGTGACTTTAGCTGACATCAAAGTAAGAGGTATGCCAAATGGACAGAAAACTTTCCAGGAGAATGATGAGACAGATTTTCTCTTACTCTTAAAATAATAAATGTTGGGTTCATTGGGGGCAATTTTCATTTTCAGTATTTGCTCACTATTTTTATTCCTAGCAATTCCGGTCACATTTAAGCAAGAGGTGGCAAACTTGGAGGTGAAGGAGGGGGACAGTGGAGTTTTCTGCTGTGAGCTCTCCAAACAAGGAGCACCGGTGGTGTGGAGGAAAGGTAGAGAGGTCCTCAGACCTGGGTACAAATATGAGATGAAACAGGAGGGACGTCTCACTCAACTGATCATCAACAACATAGAAGAGAGCGATGCTGGGAGATACACCTGCAAAACTGATGACTACCAATCAACAGCTGAACTCACCGTTAAAGGTAAGATCAAGATTTCACTCTTGATATATGACATCCTTCTTTTTTCACAGATTTCTTTGCTGCAATAAACACATGATGGGATAGAATTTGTAATAATTTCATCAAGGAATCATTAGCGAGACTTTTTTTTTTAAAAGTAAACAAAATTGCCACAATTTTCTTCGCAGCTCCTCCCATCACATTCAAGACAAAGTTAAAGAACCAGCAGGTTGAAGAGGAAAACAGCATAACACTTAGCTGTGAGCTGTCAAAGCCTGGCCTCACAGTGGAATGGAAGAAAGGACAAGAGCTGCTGAAAAATAACTTCAAGTATCAGATCAAGAATAGAAACTGCATCATGGAGCTGACTATCAAAAACTCACAGCTTGAGGACAGTGGGCTTTACAGCTGTAACTACAGTGACGTTAAGACCACAGCCAACATCACTGTTACACGTAAGGGAAGATTGCTAATGCCAGCATGTGTGGTGTGTTTAAATATCTTAAAAATCTTTTTAAAAAATGATAAAAATAATGACAAAAACCTAAAAAATAACAAGGAAAACAGCAAGAGCTCAACCACCGTTATTTTTTTGATGTGTTCCCTCTTTTTAACCTTGAATAACTCATGTCTTATACATAAATTCATTGAGAAAGAATGATTGGTTGCATCTACTCTAAAATCAGTGTTTTGACAACAAGGCAGTCAAAGATAGTTTGGCATAGAAAAATAACAAACACACAACATGTACCTGGTTTCAACAGCGATCCCCCTTACCTTCAAAATGGGCTTGAAGAACCAGGAGGCCCCTGAGGGAGGCAATGTGACCCTTCTCTGTGAGCTATCCAGAGCCGGGGTCCCTGTGCAGTGGTGGAAGGCAGAGGACCAGCTCTATCATGGAGGGAGATATCAGATGACGCAGAGAGGGAAAATAGCAGAGCTGCACATCAAGAACATCCAGCCGGAGGATGTTGGGGAGTACAGCTGCATCCTGGGAGAGCAGAAGACAACGGCTGAAGTCAATGTTAGAGGTAATTGATGTGTGATGTGAAATGCACCTTTAAGATAATGATGTGTGTAATCAAGATCACTCTACATGACTTTTTCTGCTCAACCCAGTGTTATTGCTGCACTGTAGTTGATGTCACATTTCAGGGTAAAACAAAAAAGGGAAGGACCCAATATGCAGAAGGAAAACAGATTTATTTAAAAGGCACTAAAACAACAAAAACTTACATTCCAAATGTTCAACTCAAAAATCCCAAAAAACACAAAAGGCAAAATTCAACTGAATCAAAAATCCCAAATCCACAAAGACATTGGAGACGCTGACACACAGACTTACAACACAAACCACACACAATAAACCAACCAGGAAACAGGGGAAGACAGGGACTATATACAGTATACACACACACACAGGGAAACGAGCAACGAGAGGCAGGTGAGACACTGAGACACAGGTGAAGACAATTACTAATGGAGGAAAACTGAGGAAGTAAAAAGAGACTAGAAACACAGGGAATAAGCTACAACAAAATAAAACAGGAAACACTGATATAAGGAATAAAACACTAAGAACATGACAGGATCTGGGGTCAGACACAAACTGAAAACTAACAAGACAGGACTACAGGGGAACAGGAACACTAGGGAAAATCACTTAAGGGAAACACAAAACCAGGGAAAAAACTAAAAACCAGAACATATCATGACAGTTGTAAGAATGTACATAGGTTATATCAAATGGCTTTAAAATAGTGTTATTTTATTTTGTGGACCTGAATATCGGCTTTTAAGATCTAATTCAATATGACTCAGACTCCAGGAAAGAATTATCATTCCCAAAGCTCAACTCTTGAGATGAATCCCAGAGTCTGTTATTGTAAATCTATTACACAATAGTCCACTTATCATTTGTGTGAAAGTTAAAACTTGTTGACCTTTTTTTTTCTTTTTCTTTCATCAGCTGCAGCATCTGTATTCTTTGAGAAAGAACTGGAAAACCAAGCTGTGATGGAGGGGAAATCGGTGTTGCTGTCTTGTGAAGTTTCCAGTGCTAACGTCCCGGTCACTTGGAAGAAGGACAACAAAGCGGTTGAAGGAGAGAGATACATCATAAAGAAAAAAGGCCCCACGCACACCCTGGAGCTCAAGAAACTGTGTCTGGAGGATGCTGGGGAGTACTGCTGTATCAGCAGAGGCAAGAAGACAGTTGCACAGCTGATAGTGAGGGGTATGTGGATACTTTAGGTTCATATCCTTGATTTATTGTTTCAATCATTTACAATACTAACCAAGTGTTTTTTTTCATCTAATGTTTTGTAAATATATCCCATTCCATCTCTAAAAAGCCAGCTGTATCTAGCTTCCTCTTCCTCCACAGAGCGTGTGCGCATTGTCATGCATCTCCATGACATAACGGTGACAGCGGGCGAGGATGCAACGTTTATCTGTGAGCTGAGCCACGCAGACGTCACCGAGGGTGTCTGGTGGCTCGGCCCCAGCCCTCTGCAGAAGAATGAGATGAACCAGATGACGTGTCAGGGTCGTCAGCACCGGCTGGTCCTCACTATGACAACACCTGAGGAGACAGGCACTGTGGCATTTGTGATTGGGGAAGAGAGGACCTCTGCAAGTTTGCTTGTTGTTCCTAAAGCCAAAGGTGATCAAAAATAAAAGGAGTGAAGAATTGATTTAGCAAAAAGTAGAGCATAACATGGACAAACCTGAACCACAAATATTAATGTTTTGTTCTAAATTCCAGTTTTATTTGAGGAGAAGCCTACAGATGTTGTGATCATGGAGGGAGAGACAGCAACTTTGTCCTGCAAAATCTCTGACCTAACTTCCCTGGTTACCTGGAGGCGGAACCACATACCCCTCCGACACAGTGATAAGTATGAGCTGCGTAAGGAGGGAAAAGTCAACCTGCTGCTAATCCATGATGTGGATCCCCTGGATACTGGCATATATTCCTGTGATACAGGAGACGTACAGAGCAATGCCAAACTTACTGTAACAGGTAAAAACAGACTTCATATTGCTCACCATCAGTGAATAGATGTTTGCTGTTAAACCTGCGCCTTATAATTTTAAATCACAAAATGACTCAGTTCCTGTTCATTGCCCAATGTTTCCTCAGAGCTCCCTCCATTCTTCCAAGAAGAGTTGCAGAGTTTGGAAGCTGAAGAGGGAGAGTCAGCCTCTCTCTACTGTGAGCTGTCTAAACTTGGAGTGCCAGTCCAGTGGAAGAAGAACAAGCTGCCACTAAGAGCAAGCCGGAAGTACGAAATGAAGCAGGACGGCTGCCTCTTCCAGCTCCACATCAAGGATCTCAAACTTGAAGACGGTGGCATCTATACATGCCAAGCAGGAAATGTAGAGACCACTGCAACTGTGACAGTAAAAGGTTTGTGGGCCTCTTTTTTAAGACCTAAATGCACTGAAGTGCACGGTGCAGCAGGGTGTGTCTGTTTGTTCTAGGTGCTATGTCTTTTGGGTTAGCATCTCACTGACTGTATCTTTTGAGTTATAATACTGATCTTCAAACTTCATGTTTTAGAGCTGCCACCGTTCTTCAAGAAAGAGCTAAGAAGTGTGGAGGCTGAGGAAGGAGGTGCAGCCACTCTGTGCTGCGAGCTGTCAAGGCCTTTTGTGTCAGTGCAATGGAAGAAAAACAGACTACCTATCAAGGCCAGCAGAAAGTATGAGATGAAACAAGAGGGATGCTTGCTGCAGCTTCACATTAAGGAGCTCACACCTGAGGACCGTGGCAGCTACACGTGTCGAGTGGGAAGTGTAGAGACCACTGCAAACGTCTTAGTTAAAGGTGCGTGCATTTGGAGACCTATCCGAGCCTTAAATGATTGTTATTTGGTGTGCTACTCCTTTAAGATTGCAAACTTTTCATTTTATCTCTCCTTTTTATCTTTTTAAACCATTTTAGAGCTTCCACCATTCTTTAAAGTAGATTTGCAGAATGTGCGAGCAGAGGAGGGAGGCACAGCCAGCCTGTGCTGTGAGTCGTCGAAGGCTGGTGTGTCAGTCCAGTGGAAGAAGAACAAGCTGCCGCTCAGAGCCAGCAGAAAATATGAGATGGAGCAGGATGGAGGCATTCTTCAGCTCCATATAAGAGATCTCACACCTGAGGACAGAGGCAGTTACACATGTCAAGTAGAAAGTGCTGAAACAACAGCAACTGTGTCAGTAAGAGGTTTGTGTCCTTGAGCACCTGCTCTTAAGTTTCTTTGTAGTCTATAAGCCTCATCTGTGGGGGAAAATCAAATTACTACTTCATTCTTATAAATGCTTTGATTTAAGTCAGGAAATTACTATTTGTAAGTTCTAACTATTTGCATTTTTCAGAGCTCCCACCATTTTTCAAAGAGGAATTGCAAAATTTGAAGGTAGAGGAAGGAGATGCAGCCACCTTGTGCTGTGAGCTGTCTAAACCTGGAGTATCAGTCCAGTGGAAGAAGAACAATCTAACACTGAGAGCTAACAAGAAGTATGAGATTCAACAGGATGGCTGCGTCAACCAGCTTCACATTAAAGATCTCACACCTGAGGACAGTGCAAGCTACACATGTAAGGCTGGAGAGGAAGAAACCACAGCGACAGTGACAGTTAAAGGTTTGTGAATGAGGAACATTTAACTAAAAAGAAATGAACATATTTCACTCTAGACTGTGTTCTTTTGATTCTTGAGTCTAAATCTCGTTCTATATTTTGTTTTTAACCCACCAAAAAGCTTCATATTCAAATTCCTGTTTTTGAGGCACAGTTTGTGATCAACTCAGTTTTTTTTTTTTTTGCATTTTTGTCTCCAGAGCTTCCTCCTTTCTTTACCAAGGACTTGGTACATTTAGACGCTGATGAGGGAGCTACAGCATGCTTGTACTGTGAGCTCTCTAAACCTGAAGTGTCCGTTCAGTGGAAGAAAAACAAACTAACACTGAGAGCCAACAGGAAGTATGAGATGAAGCAGGATGGCTGCATGCTTCAGCTCCAAATCAAGGATCTCACACCTGAGGACAGTGGTAGTTACACATGTCAAACAGGCAGTGCAGAGACCACTGCAACTTTATCGGTAAAAGGTGTGTATTTGACGAAAACAAATTCAATGTTTTCTCATCATTTATGATATTGCACTAATTATGCCTTCCTTATAAGTCTCAACCATTTTTTTGAAACTGTCATTTTTGTAGAGCATGCACCATTCTTCAACAAAGAACTTCAAAGCTTGGAGTCTGAAGAAGAAGGGATAGCCTCCTTCTGCTGTGAGCTCTCTAAGCCTGGAGTGTCAGTCCAATGGAAGAAGAACAAACTACCACTGAGAGCCAACAGGAAGTATGAGACGAAACAGGATGGTTGTCTTCTCTCGCTGATCATAAAGGACCTTAAACCTGAGGACAGTGGCAGCTACTCATGTCAAACAGGAAGTGCAGAAACCACTGCAACTTTATCAGTGAAAGGTGTGTGCAGCGCAAAATAACATAAATGTTAGCAATGTGTGCAGTCATATACTGAGTGAAATTTGGAGAAAAATCATGAGTTTCCAGTATGGTTAGTATGCTGTTATAAATTTAGTTTTTATGCACATTTTAAATTTGCTATTTTCAATTTTCCCCAGAACTCCCGCCTATTTTCATGAAAGACTTATTTGATATGGAAGTTGAGGAGGAAGGCACAGCCTCACTCAAATGTGAGCTCTCTAAGCCTGGAGTGTCAGTCGTATGGAAGAAGAACAAACTACCTCTGAGAGCCAACAGGAAGTATGAGATGAAGCAGGATGGCTGCATGCTTCAGCTCTACATCAAGGATCTCACACCTGAGGACAGTGGAAGATACACATGCCAAGCTGGAAGTGCAGAGACCACAGCGACTGTGACAGTGAAAGGTGTGTACATCTGTGACAATGAATAATTTGGTTTTACTTAAAAGCTTAATTACGCAAATGAACATTTATAATTGTGAGGTTGATGTCACTAGAGATCCTCCTCACAACTAATGGATGTTTTAAAAGCCTTAAAATTTTCTGTCTGTAAAAAATCATGCATTATGTTAGTTTAAAAAAAAGAAAAACTTTATTTCCAGTATAAACATTTTTAAATTTGTCTTTTCAATCACCACCCTTTTTGCAGAACTTGCACCATCCTTTGACAAAGACCTGCAAAGTTTGGATGCAGAGGAGGGAGATGTAGCCTCCTTCTGCTGTGAGCTCTCTAAGCCTGGAGTGTCAGTTCAGTGGAAAAAGAACCAGCTGCCATTAAGAGCCAACAGGAAGTATGAGATAAAGCAGGATGGTTGTCTTCTCCAGCTGAGCATAAAGGACCTCAAACCTGAGGACAGTGGCAGCTACACGTGTCAAGCAGGAAGTGCAGAAACCACTGCAACATTATCAGTGAAAGGTGTGTAAATTGGTGACATTGACTCAGTGTTAAAAATGCATGAACTTCATCCTCGAGTTAAACTCAGAAAATCAGGGATTTTGTAGAAATCTCATGTATATTTAATTTCCGTTTTTACAGTCAATTATTTCTAAAAAATGCTAGTTGCTGAAGTTGCTGTATTGTAGCTGTTCCAATAATGTTTTATTGTAGTAAAGTTTGTCCAACATTATCCTTTTATACCAGAGCTCCCACCATTCTTCAAAGAGGACTTATGGAGCATGGAGGTGGAAGAGGGCGATACAGCCTACATGTGCTGTCAGTTATCTAAGCCTGGAGTATCTGTTCAGTGGAAGAAGAACAAACTACCACTCAGGGATAGCAGGAAGTATGAGATAAAGCAAAATGGTTGTCTTTTCCAGCTGAGCATAAAGGACCTCAAACCTGAGGACAGTGGCAGCTACACATGTCAGGCAGGAAGTGAAGAAACCTCTGCAACATTATCAGTGAAAGGTGTGTGTGCTTGGCAAGAGTGACATTAAATGTTAGCAATGCGTACAGACATATGTTGAATGAAATTTGGAGAATATCAAGAGTTTCTAGTTCAGACAAAGCTGGAAGATTTTGTGTTTTTATGCACATTTTTTAGATTTGCAAGCCAATCAAACTGACCATTGAATTTGTTTTGCCCCTCTGTTAGTTGACAGTGAATCATCTTTTGATTACGCAAAGCCTGTTTCAATTCTTCAATTGTCCCCAGAACTCCCACCTATTTTCGAGAAAGACTTATCTGATGTAGAAGTTGAGGAGGAAAGCACAGCCTCACTAAAATGTGAGCTCTCTAAGCCTGGAGTCTCAGTCCAATGGAAGAAGAACAAACTACCTCTGAGAGCCAACAGGAAGTATGAGATGAAGCAGGATGGTTGTCGTCTGCAGCTGATGGTAAAGGACCTTAAACCTGAGGACAGTGGCAGCTACTCATGTCAAGCAGGAAGTGCGGAAACCTCTGCAACATTATCAGTGAAAGGTGTGTGTTCTTGGCAAGAGTAAGATTAAATGTTAGCATTGCCTACAGTCAAATGTTGAGTAAAACTTGGAGGATATCAAGCGTTTCTTGCTCTGACAAAGCTGGAAGATTTTTTTATGCACATATTCAGGTTTGCAGACCAGTCAAACTGACCATTGAATTTTTTTGTCCCTCCATTAGTTGACAATCAATCATCTTTTGATTACAAAAAGCCTGTTTCAATACTTTCAATTTTCCCCAGAACTCCTGCCTATTTTCAAGAAAGACCTATCTGATGTAGAAGTTGAGGAGGAAGGCACAGCCTCACTGAAGTGTGAGCTCTCTAAGCCTGGAGTCTCAGTCCAATGGAAGAAGAACAAACTACCTCTGAGAGCCAACAGGAAGTATGAGCTGAAGCAGGATGGCTGCATGCTTCAGCTCTACATCAAGGATCTCACACCTGAGGACAGTGGCAGATACACATGCCAAGCTGGAAGTGCAGAGACCACAGCGACTGTGACAGTGAAAGGTGTGTGTATTTAAGAGTGAGGATATAACTGTTTGCTTGTTGAAAACCACACAACGAAAACCACTTTTACTGTTTTGTTGCTGTTCTTGCAGATCAATCTATTACAACATTATTTATTCCAAACCTCTAAAGAAAATTAAGTGGAACAGATTTAAATTTCTTCTGAATGTTCGGAGAATCTCTGATTTTACCTTTAGTTACAAAAAGTTTTTTGAACTTATAACTTGTTCATTTCACAGAGCTTGAACCATTTTTCACAAGGGAATTACAAAACTTTAATGGCGAGGAGGGGTGTGTAGCCTCCCTTTGTTGTGAGCTGTCTAAACCTGGAGTCTCAGTCCAGTGGAAGAAGAACAAGACTCCAATAAGAGCCAATAGGAAGTATGACATAAAACAGGATGGTTGTCTTCTCCAGCTCCAAATCAAAGATCTCAAACCTGAGGACAGTGGCAGCTACACATGTCAAGCAGGAAGTGCAGAAACCACTGCAACTTTATCAGTTAAAGGTATATCTACATTTAGCAGTCAGAAATCTATTGTTTACTCTAAATGGATATACCCACGCAATGAATAAGAGACATGTCACATGTCTAAAACAATGGGTTGATACAACTCAAATCTCATTTATTACAATGAAAGTGATTGACATTCTTGGATATAATTTTCTTCTTCCACTGAAATTTGCCAATATTTTTTCAGAGCCCCCAGCATTCTTCAAGAGAGATTTATCTGATGTAGAAGTTGAGGAGGAAGGCACAGCCTCACTGATATGTGAGCTCTCCAAGCCTGGAGTGTCAGTCCAGTGGAAAAAGAACAAACTACCTCTGAGAGCCAACAGGAAGTATGAGATGAAGCAGGATGGCTGCATGCTTCAGCTGTACATCAAGGATCTCACACCTGAGGACAGTGGTAGTTACACATGCCAAGCTGGAAGTGCAGAGACCACAGCGACTGTGACAGTGAAAGGTGTGTACACATGGATGATGTAGTTTAAGCATTTGAAATTTTCTTTGATAGCATCCTGATACAGGGAGAGATATATTTGATTATGAATAACTTAATATGATTAGACATTGTGGGACACTGATAGATTTGCAGTGAAGCAAATCTAAACTGATCAATTTAATTTGCAATGTTAAAAGATTTATGAAAACCGCTTTATCAACCTAGATACAAGATGCCTTTTTCATCAAAATAACTGAGAAAAGTATTGCCTCATATTTGGTTGACCAAAGTGTACATATTATAGCGTAAATGGGTACAAATCCCCTTTGCATTTTATTAAATATTGTCTCGAAACATATTTTGATCTTCTGTGTCAAACCTTCTCAGAGCTCCCACCATTTTTCAAGAAGGACCTACAGAGTGTGGAAGCCGATGAAGGGGGTACAGCTTCCCTGTGCTGTGAGCTGTCTAAGCCTGGAGTGTCCGTTCAATGGAAGAAAAACAAGCTGCCACTGAGAGCCAGCAGAAAATATGAGATGAAGCAGGACGGCTGCCTCTTCCAGCTTCAAATCAAAGAGCTTACACCTGAGGATTGTGGGAGCTACACGTGTCAAATAGGAAATGCAGATACCACTGCTATAGTGACAGTGAAAGGTGTGTACATTTGATGATTAATTGTTTACGTTGCAAGAAGTCAAGTTTATGAAGTGAAAGTTTTGTCCAAAAGTTATCACAGTATCCAGTCAATTTTTTTATTCTCTTGTCTAGCACTACAGCCGACTCTTCTGAAAGTAGAGCCTCCAGTGGTGCCACCTCAAGCAAAGGTTGCTGTTTCCAAACCAAATCTTACTCCAGAGGATGAGAGGCCTGTTATTCCAGAGGCTAAGCCCGTCCCTCCGGAGCCCAAAAAGAGAACTCATCGGAAAGCATCTATGACAAATTCAGAAAAAGATCTGGAGACAATCATTGACCTGAAACAGGCAATCCAGAGAGAGAACAGGGAGGAGCAAAGAGGCTTCCAGCAGGCAAAGTCTGTGGAGGACAACACTGATGTTGCACAGAATGTGATGCTACAGAAGACGGATGACAGTAAGGTGTATAAGAAAGTTGTTAAGACAATACCACAGCTGGAGACAGTGGATGGTGTCAACAGAGAATTAGAAAAGCCAGATAAGCCTTTGGAAACAGAAGAAGAAGCTTTAGTAGAAAGAAGACAAGCAGAAAGAAAGCTGGAGAATAAAGAAAAGACTGAATATCAGGAGAGTCAGTCAGATGGAGCCAGGAAAGACATTGTGTTTAAACAAAATAAAAAGATATTAACAGCCATGGAAAAGGAAAATGAAACTGATCTGAAGTCAAAACAAATAGAGGAGTCTGCAGAGAGGACAAGGGAAGTTGACAGAAGGGATAAGTTTCAAGAGTCAGAAGTGTCAGAGATTAGCGAGGATGACAAACGGTATTTGAAACCATCAGAAAAATTGTTTGAGATAGAGCAACCAAAAGAACCAGAGAAGTTCACAGCAATGAAGGTAGAAATACACAAAACGGAGGAGGAACCTCTGAAACCACCAGTTAGATCGAAAGGAAAGGTAACTGGGGAGAGGGAACCACCTAAATATGATGCCAAGGAAACAGAGGAGATCGGTGTCCCATCAGTGAAGCTCACTGTGAATGATTCTGAAGAAGACCACAAACAGAGAGTAAAAGCGGAGCAAGTGTCGACAGAGGCAGAGAGGGAGAAAAAAACAGTAAAAGAACCAGAAAAGACTGTAAAAGAGGCTGATATTACAGCTCCAAAACCACCTGTGAGGATGAGGAGCAAAGCGAAGGGGAGCATGGATAAGCAATATTCACGGGACACAGAGACGGATCAAGATGAGCAGCAAGCAACAAGAGCTGTGGCGAAAATAACAGCGGATCAGCCCTTGAAACTTTCTGATGATACTTTAAATACAGACGTTGAGGAGAAACCAAGATTTGAGAGAATAATAACAACAGACACTAAAATCGATGAGAAATCTGAGCAAACTGTAAAAGCTCTCAAGAAGGACGCAAACATCGAACAGCCAAACCAGCAACCTGTATCGACAGACAGCAGGAAACTTGAAGAAATGAAGATTCCAATGAAAGCTCCAGAAAAGGAAACACGTGTCAAACAGCCAGTTAAACCCATGAGAAAGGAACCTGAGGTGGACCAGGAAACAAAGCTGGTAGTTGAACCAATGAGAAGAGAGGAGGAACAACAAACAACAACAAAGACAGCTGAAGAAATACCCCTCCTTTACATTTCGGAGGATGAAACTTTCTCAGAGGCTTTGACTGAGATACCTCCAAACCTCGACCAGGACAGTATTCCTGAGCTTTTGGCTGAAAGGTCAAAACAACTACCTACTTCTCTCCCGACTACTGCACCCCAGTCAGCACAACCACCAAGTCAAGAGTCACCAGAGTTTGACATCAGCATTGAGGATGAACCACAACTCCAAGAAGCTGCGGTCAAAATTCAGGCTGCATTCAAAGGCTACAAAACCCGTAAAGACATGCGCCCTGTCTTTAAAGACGTTTTTAAGAACCAGAGTGCTGATCTTCATGGTACAATTACTCTAGTGTGTGTTGTAGAGGGTAAACCCAGCACTGTGCGCTGGCTGAAAAACAGCCAACAAATCACTGGTGATCATCGATGCCGTATTGAGACGACAGAAAATGGTGTTTGCACTCTCGTGATCAAAAACTTGACTGCAAATGACGGCGGCGTCTACACATGTGAGGTGGTGAATAAGTTTGGTGTGACCTCCTATAATGGAAACATAACAGTCGTACAGCCCCAGAAGTCTGCTCCTACTACCCAGAGGCCTATACACCCACCTCTCGCTGCCATAACTCCCCTGCAACTTGCCCCACAAAAGCCTGAAGTCCAGGCTATGACGCAGATCCAAACTCAGACGCCCATCTCTGCTACTGACGATGCAAACTATGTAGAAGGTGTTACTGAATCTCTGTGGGAGGCCTATAACCTGACAGAGCAGGACACCCAGTTGAGACTGCAGGAGAGGAGAGGGTCCTCACTCATTGCTGCTAGCTCAGGTAATAGTTTTGATGAGAAATATGAATTTCTTCTGCCATATATGTAGACTGCATTAATGATATTTCCTGCTTTCAACAGTATCAAGTCCATCTGATTATGAAACAGCTCCAGATATGATGGAACCTGTTGAGTCCGGTCCAGATGTACCAAAGTAAGAAGGCTAAAAGAAGATTTATTTCATGCGGGTTGTGTTGCTGCTTCTTGGTATCATGTTTTTTAAAGACACTGACATTTCAAATGGATTCTGTTACAGAGAGGTGACAAAAGCACTGGACCAAGCCCCTGTAAAGGATGAGGATGAACAGGCAGCTCCCACACTACCTCTAAAGAAACTACTGAGTGTCAAAGGTCAGTCATGGTGATTGCTCTCATCAGTGTTATCTCTCCATTTTCTGTAGTTTTTATTCATTTTTCTTTTAGGTTTGTTACAGTTATATACCCCTTTTTGTTTTTTGGTAGGTGCTCATGAGGGTAAATTGAGGACACCCTCTCCGAAACACCACCGATCTCACACACCCTTAACCAGCACTGTCTCTGGATCAGAGTCAGAAGGGGAACAAGACAGACGAGAGGTAAGCTAATAACCATAACTCAATCTACTTCTATAATAAATCCTTCTTTCATGCCTTCAAAATCTAACTTTGTTCTTCTTGCACCTCAGACATTTGAAATGTACGTGGCTCGAGCTGACTGCAGTCCTGACAGTGGAAATAAGGACAGCTTTGTACTGAAAGAGGGACAGTTTGTGGAGGTACTGGACTCTGTTCATCCTGATAAATGGTTGGTGAGGACCAAACCCACCAAAACCAACCCTGCTCGACAAGGATGGGTGTGTCCAGCCTACTTGGAGAAAAAGAGGAAGGTAGGTTAAATGACCAGGGGAGTCAGTTCCGATTTAAAACGTTATATCCTGTAATCTAAATCAGTTTGTGAGGTTTTTCATTCAACAAAGTGCTTTTATTTCATCAAGTAATAACAGATTGAAACCACACACTTACATTGTTCTCTAAATCAGGAGACCTTCCCTCAGTTAAGAACACCTCAGGAGGATCTAGATGGAATTGGGTCTACGGGAGAAGAGTACAGAAGAGCTCTGAGGTTCGCCATTCTTCCATTACACAACAAGTTAAATGACAATCGGACTGTGATTTTGATTATTTATATGTATTATAAAATGATACTGACTAAATTGTATTGAATTCTTAGCCAATTGATCCAAGGCCTCATCAATGGAGAAGAGGAATTTGTAAAGGAGATGAAGATGTTTACCTGTAACCAGCTAAATTATTTGGACTGTAGCCGGAATGTCCCCGTTAACATCCTTAACCAGAAAGAAATCCTCTTCAGGAATATCAAGGACATCGTACTTCTGCATGAGAGGTAATGTGAAAGCAAAACTAGATTGTCTTGTATTCAATATAACTAATACAATTTGAGTGTGTTAGTACAGCATGCAAATAAATGACATAGTCATATGTTTTCACCAGGTGTGTCCTTCCCGGTCTGAGAGTGTGCGCCACTGACGATGATGTGGCTATGCACCTCATCAAGCACGCTGTGGACTTTGAGAAGTATCTTCACTACATGGTGGGACAAGCACAAGCAGAAGCCTGCATCAATGACAAGACTGTCCAGCAGTTCTTCCAAGTGCGGATTCACTGTGTCATCTATCAGAAACATTATGGAGGTTAAGGTGCTGAAAGTTTTCATATCGTATGTATGCTTCTTATTACACTTAAGGAGTTGGCAGAATCTGGTCAGCCTGAGGCTCCATTTATGGACGTCTTGACCTTCCTCCAGCGGCCAGTGGAGAGGATTCAAACGTACCAGGCTCTACTGAAGGTAAGACTCACTCACACAGCTTCACAGCTTAACTTTTATGTGAGCCCTAGATCTTTAAGTTCTGCACAACTGCAGTAAACTCAGCTGTTTGCTTATCCTACTCTATGTCCCTTCATTGTAGTGTTACAAAAGGTAGATATGTTTGTTTCAACTCAATCTAAGCACTTAAGTTTGTGATGTTGTTATTACTTCATGAGGCGGTGCCTGCTGAATGTCTGAAATGTGAATTAATATTTTTTCGTTAGGAATTAATAAAGAACAAAGCCAAAAGTGGACAGAGCTGCTGTCTTTTGGAAGACGCTTTCTCCACAGTGTCCTGTCTGCCCTGGAGGTCTGACAACCTGCATCAGGTGTCCCTCATCGAGAACTACCCAGCTCCTCTGACATCATTAGGCGAGCCTGTGCGACAGGTAACTAAATAAGTTATTTTAATTTTTTTATTTCATGTCAGATTGACTTAAACGTACTGTATTTTGTTTTTATTTCACCAAGGGAGCCTTGTTTATAAGTTGTGGCTTTAATTCATTAGACTTTTTTCAACAAAGTGGCTGTGTAAATCCTTAAAATCAACAAAATTTTGATAACTGGTCATATACTGCACATGCATCATACTGTATGGTCTTCACTTTTAACAGGGAGTTTTCACAGTGTGGGAGGAATCGCCAGAAAGTAAAACAGCCTCTAGAGGGCATCAGAGACAAATCTTTCTCTTCAAGGAATGTATAGTGCTGTGTAAACTCAAAGGTGACACATATTCTTTCAAGAACAAAATGAAGGTAAGAGATAATCTCCTGCTCAGCCCTTTTTTCAGCTTTTATTCTACTTCTGCTTTATTCTTCGACTAAACTAATTAAAACAGGTCCTGTATACCCATACACACTCAATAGCTTTTTCCAATTCTCTGAGTTTTCGTTCTCATTTTCTACCTACCCAGCTAAATGATGTGGAAATAAAAGAGAGTGTGGGTGGAGAGGAGAAGTCCTGGGGGTTGTGGCATGAGCACAGAGGCTCAATGAGAAAGTACACCCTGCAGGGTCGCTCCTCTCTTGTTAAAGTCTCCTGGCTCAAGGATCTAAGGGAGTTACAGCAGCAGGCCAGCCTGCCCACTAATTGTATGTATTTTATTTTTTAAGGAAAATGCATACCAGTCTTAACAGTCAAACATTTGATCAGGAAATATTTTAGCTGTATTTATTCTAAATTCCAGCCGTTGTTTCGGGTGGACTACAGTTCTGGTATGGCGAGTGATTTCTGTATTTATGTCTCTGTCTCTTGACAGGCCCACCTGTTTTTGAGTCTCTCTTGTCTGACTGCACAGCAAAGATAGGGCAGACAATCAAACTAACATGTAAAGTCACAGGATCACCAAGACCAGTGGTTAGCTGGCTCAAAGGTCAGTAAACTCTACATGTTTGTTAATGTAAAAAAAGTGTTGATATACGCAGTTTATTCTGCAGTTTCTTTATGTACGTACTTATTACAATTGATGTATATATATAGGACTGATTTCCTGATCACATTTGTGGTAAATATATTGTATGGGTTGGTTTCACTGAGTAATAATCTAATGTCCTCCTCATAGATGGCCTCCCTTTGGAGGATGACCCACATCACATTATCACAGCAGACAAGTCAGGAACCTGCAGTCTGATCGTGGACGGCCTCACTGCAGAAGACTCTGGACAGTTTATCTGCCATGCTACCAGCTCCATGGGCAGTGCCGGTACTCTTTCAAAGGTGGTGGTGCAAGGTGAGTCTACAGAGGCATCTTAGCCTCGGGTAAATGATGTCAGAGCCATGTTTGTGTTTAAAGCTGGATATTGGATATCCTCTACATGAAGTGTTAAACGTAGCAAAACTTGTTTGTTATGTTTGTACCACTGTGTGTTTGTAATTACAATGAGCAATGCTGCCACTACTACAATAACTTAAAACTAATTTATATTGCAACTCTTTATTACTACTTTTATAGCTGCTCATAATACAGAAAAGTTTAATTCATAAAGTTAAAAATACAACTAAGGGGTATATTCTACTTCTTCAGCAACTATTACACCTAAACTTTCACTATCACAACAGTACTTCTGTAATTACAGATGTCAGATTTCTACATGTGTAACTTCAACTCCTGCAATGCTACTACTTTGCTGTGAAATACCAATATTACCTCCACAAACTAGTGCATTGCTCTGAGAAGCCCAATTACACTTTCAAGACCTACAACTTTGGTTAAATTTGTAATGTGTTAATTATGTTTTTTAACCTAGATCCAGTTCTATACTTTATCTACTGTAAGTTTTACTTCAGTAACTTTTGACAGTCGTCACAGACACTGATGACTTATTGCCACACAGTAACTTCCCAGAGGTATTTATTTCTAATCCTTCTTGCAGAAAAAGTTAGTGTATTTTTTCTTTGTCTAGCACCACCAAGATTTTTGTCCAGACTGGAGAGTGCCTGCCTGATAGAGGGAGAAGATATACAGTTTATCTGCTCCACACTCACTACTCCTTTACCACGAATCAGGTAAATAAATAAATAAATCAATAAATACTGAGCAGATATAACCCTGTTTGTTGCTGTTGTTTTTTTTCTGTCTATTCTGTGTCAAACAATTCCATCTTTGGGGTTTTTCAGGTGGTTGAAAGATGGCAGAGAGTTGACTGACCAGCAAAAATACTCCATCCAGAATGATGCTCGCAGCGGGATCTTGTGTCTGACAGTCATCAGTGCAACAGAGGCAGATATTGGGCAGTACGAGTGTGAGGTAGAAAAACAAACAAGTTTATCCAATGTCACAGATAACAGAGATTTTTCTCAGAGAGGAAGTTCATCAAATGTTTGTTTCTATTCTTTCAGCTTTGGAATGAGTTTGGATGTGTCAAGTGTAAAGCGGGGCTTGTGCCCGCCTTATGTACCAACAATTGACATTGAGAATGACCAACCAGAGGACTTGCCTCCAAAAGGTATGACAGCCAGACCTGCTAAAGGTAAATATTTTTCACACAGGACTCAAATCCAGGACTGGGTTCCCATAAAGCTGCCCCACACTCCTTTGAGAGGGGATGAAGCACATGCCATTGTCCAGTTTTACTTCAGTTTAAATCACCTCTGACCCTTTTTGCATCACATCATTTGACATCTGTTCACGTTCAAACAAACTGCAATGAGTTGCATCAATTACCACTTTCAAACTCCACCATTCATCCATTTTATCTACTCAATGCCATTTCAAGATTGACTCACATTTACTTTTTCCCATTTCACACACACTCACTTCATAAAAGGTTCCAACAACCATACCAGTGATCAGTAGATCCTCTGAGATCATGGCATGGACTCCTGTCATTGCATGAACAACAAGACAATGCAAAGGAGGAATGAGCAGTTACTTTCTGAGCTAATGTAGATTTGCACGGTTTAAATGTGTTACACATGTGTATGCATGAGTTAAAACAACCAACATATACATTTTCCATCTCTAATATTTACAATCAACTTATCTTCCATAGTACCACACTCCATAAAAGCACCGTTTTATTGTGTATTTGCTGTATCACTAGTTAGTTAAACCCATCTGTCCATTTTACATCTGCACATTACCTAAATTGAACCATTTCTGACCTCTAACAAAACCAGTTTTAACATTTCAATATTGTTTTTTTTTTTATCTGTTTCACCATGCACTTCATCGATCAATCATCCCAGCTGTGGTGTAAATCTTTTTCATCTCTGCATGCACTCAGTAGTTGTAGTAGTTTTTCCATCAATGAAACCTTCCAGTGCTCTGACCCAGCAGGATCTACTGGTAACCATTCAACCAAGACACCTCACTTCTGTCACCACATCCTCATCCATGAAAGACATCTTTATTGTACGAGATGTTTTTGTGTTTGTCATTATGTTTCTGCTTTCAGTAGAAGGGTTTGGATTAGAGCAGACTAGACCACAGCTACTTCAAACTGTCATTTGGTACAAAATTGTTTGCCAAAATTTAAAATGCTCTAAACTCAAACCAGGGGCTTTGAAAGCACCACCTTTTCCTCCCATGTATATTCATCATAGTGTCATAAAAGTATGAAGTAAAATTTAGATTTACTGTCGTCAACTATTCAGTTCAGATGAACACCAACTGCAGGTTTTATAGATGATCTCTGCATGCCATGTATAGTTGTCTGACTTGTATAGATTATTCTTCTGTATTTCTGACATCAGTTCATTATGTTAAATATGTTCATTATCTTCTTCCATTTCCATAACCTTCATGTTTTCCATCTCCCCTTTATAAGTCCTTAAGCAGGTGGTTCCTCACATGGACCGTCCCATGTAAGTCACCATTTTCATGATAACAAATAACCACTCAACATTACCCTTTCTCCTACTGCCAACGCATGCCCAGCTAACTCTTCACCCCTATGAACACAAGATGGTCATGTGCTGGGCAGGTGGTACCTCCATACAGTAGTGGGTGTATGCCCATATCCTGTTGTTGTGTTGGGTTAATGGGTTTGAACCCACAAGTACAGAGGTAAGAAGTGCAATATCACTGCTCTTGGTAGTAGAGGTAATGTATTTTATTTATTTTTCCTGTTTGATTAATTCATTATATTTAAAGTACAGTCAATAACAGATGATAATGCCTTAAAAAAGATTCAAAAATACACTTATATAATTCCCTCCTACCAGAAGCTCCTGCTCAGGCTCATTTTGTTTTTTGTAGATGCAGACTCCGAGGGCTGGTCCACTGCTTTTGTTAAAAAGTGGTTACAGACTGATTTCAGCCCAACCTCCATTGCTAAGATGCTCTTCCCTCCTGAACACACTGAACAGTAAGTTTAGCACCACCAGCCTTACTAAAGAATCCATCCTTGGTTAAGTAATAGATTGATTAAAATGCTCCCTCTGACAAATATCTATCTTTGAAACCAGAGCCGAGTACAGCGCTGAGGCGGTTGTTCCTACATCAACACCGATGGATCAGGCTCAACAGCAGCCGGTGTATTACCTGGAGGAAGAAGAGGAGGAGATTTACATGTCAGAGCAGTCCATACAGGAGATGACAGGTGATTTATTTGTCTCTTTAACAGAAGTGTATGACTGCTATCAAACTGTATTAGATCATTAACCGTTGATCAAACTGTTGTTGGATTTGATCTCGTTCCAGCTCCACCCTCCATCCAGGTACCTACTGAGGACCTGTGTGTGGAGCCAGGCCAACCAGCTACCTTTACTGCCATCATCACAGGGAGACCAGCTCCTACAATACAGTGGTACAAGGTAAGAGTGTTTAGACCAGTGATTTGAATATTATAGGTGGTTGACATGATAATTCTTGATGTTTTATCTCATGGGTAATGTACCATACTTAACAGCAAACGTTCTCCTCATACACATGAATTTTAACTTCAACCTTAAAGATAAAAAACTAAACTACTGGTGTAAAATCTTTCTCTTCACTCTCCCTGACTGCCTCACAAACACCATGCTTTTACTGTTGTGATTGCAGGATGAGGAGCAGGAGCTTGCTGCCAATGAGAATATGGAGATAGTCCAGCATGGAGCCCGCTGCTTGCTGACCATAATTTGCCCTGAGGGTGAGGACAGCGGCTTGTACACCTGCTTGGCGTACAATGACTTTGGCCATGCCTCATGTCAGGCTCAGCTGACAGTGGAAGAAGGTGAGGCGACACTAATGCTGCTGTGATCAACTGTTCCGGTTTCATAAACATGGATTTATTTGTCAGTGAATATTACTGAAGCTGCTAAATTATGCATATCAGAAATGAATGACGGGATAAGGACGGTATGACAGATTTTGTGATCTTTGTCAGTCCAAGTAGTATTTTCTTTTTCACCCTCAGGTCCATTGGAGCGACAGGAGAGAGAGGTGGAGCTGGGGAAGAGAAGAAAGTTATTCTCTGTCTATGATGTCCATGAGGAAATTGGAAGGTGAACCTTTATCCTTGTGTAGCTCTGTATACCCATTATCCCTGTTGAGGTTTCAAACATTGATGTTTCTGTATTTTAGGGGAACCTTTGGGGTGGTGAAGCGTGTGATCCACAGAAGAACAGGTGAAGTGTTTGCTGCCAAGTTTCTGCCCCTGCGCAGCAGCACTCGGACCAGGGCCTTCCAGGAGAGGGACCTGCTGTCTCGACTGGCTCACCCCAGAGTGGCCTGTTTGCTGGACTTCTTTTGCACCAGACGCACCCTGGTTTTGATCACAGAAATGTATCCTTCAAGCTAATTGCTATGAATTGATCACCTATTTTCTCCTTTTTTTCTATTTGATTTGTTTTCTATTATAAGATCTTTAACAAAATCTCTAGGTGCTGTGCTCATGGACTTCTTGACCACTTATTACTGAAAGGATCAGTCTCAGAGAAAGAGGTACAAGCTACTCTATATCTATATAGGATAATTTTTCTCTAACTTTATATGCCTAATGTGTGGCAATATTCAATATTTTGTTTCAGGTTCAGTCGTACATCCAGCAAATCCTGGAGGGAGTTGGTCACATTCACAGCATGAACATTTTACACTTGGACATTAAAGTGAGCGTCTTTGTGCATTTAACCTTAGATTATCAATCCTTACTTCATTCCTGCTGCAGTTCTGAATATCTTTCATTTTTTACCCACTTTAGCCAGATAATATCCTTATGGTGTACCCGCCAAGAGATGAAATCAAAATCTGCGACTTTGGCTTCTCCCAAGAAATAGACACATCCAGACACCAGTACAGCATGATTGGTACACCAGAGTTTGTTGCCCCTGAGATTGTTCACCAAGAACCAGTTACTGTAACCACTGACATTTGGTGAGTAAAACTACTAATACAGAAAATTGACAATTTACTTTATTTAAAGTGATTAACAGTAAAAAATTATCCCTCTATTCTCTATTTCAGGTCTGTAGGTGTTATAGCCTATATATGGTATGTATCAGTGCTATTTTGATCAAATACTCAATATCTATACATATTTATGCTGTTATAAGAGATTTGATGACAATTTAGGTAAAGTTTTGTGTTTGCTTTGACAGCCTGGTGGGTCGATGCCCTTTTGTGGGTGAGACTGACCGTGCCGTACTTCTGAGGGTGGGAGAGGGGACCCTAAACTGGGACACTCCTGATCTCACCAGTAGGAGCATGGAGGCCCAGAACTTTCTCTACATGCTCCTTCAGCCAGATCCAGAGTAAAGAACCTGCTCCATCACTGCATGCACTGCCAAAGCCATACGGTCACTCACAAAACTACAATTTTATCAGGGAAAAAATGAACATGTTTAAGTTTTGTGTGCATTTTTTGTCACCCCTTTAACATTAAACCCTTATCGGATTTTACATTTCCACTGATATTTTTTTGAGTACTTCAGCAGGAAGGATCACAGCATCAGTGGGATGAAACTTGGATGAATTGATTGTATTGTAATAATTACTGTTAATTTTAAGTCGAGCCTCAAATGTCTGACCATCACAAATTTCCCTCTTTTAGTAAGCGACCGTCTGCTTTTGAGTGCTTGAGCCATGAATGGTTCCAGGTGAGATGAAAAACCTCTACAGTCATTTATAAGCATACTACTGCTCTGTGAATTTGAAAAGCACTGACATCTTAAATATATGTTTTCAGGATGAACATGCAGGTGAGGATACAGATGAAATTAACACAAAGACAATGAAGGCCTTCATGTCAAAGAGGAAGTGGCAGGTGAGTCTCCCATTTCATGCTGTATCAGTTATTTAAACCACAAACTAACAGGAAAAGAAAGAACTGATTGGTAAATTTAAAGTAAGATTTTTGGTAAGAGAGGATGTATAGTGAGCTGGTGATTATGCAAATTTGAATCTTGACAAAGCGAGCGGGACACCAATGCAAACTGGTGGGATCCTTATTCTGTTGGGATTCTAGTTTTTATCTAGAGTGGAAAGCAAACAAAATTAAACCTCTTGAACTTTTGAAGTCATGTGAGGGATAAAAATTTCTACAAAAAAACAAAAAATTAAACAAAGATTGGTTTATTGTTAAAAAGAGTGTTTGAAACAAATATTTGGACTTAAGTAATTGAATTGAGATGTTGAGGTGTATTCTCTTTGGTAAAACGAGTCATAATATAATCACATCACGTTACGTGGATGACAGGTTGATATTAGAACTTCTTGTTAGTGCCCATATGCTGCTGTGTATTGAATAATATTTAAACTTCCAGCCTAACTGATGTCCAGCCCTCCTTATATCTGCCTCCATCTAATAGAACAAGTAAACTAATGGATATTCACAGATATTCAAATGTGACTTTTTATTTTGTGGAGTAAAATAACAAGTATGTTTACACCATGAATGTCATCACGATTCAAATTTTATGACTTAACTAGTTCTCAAGTGAATATTTCTAACTTTACTGGTTAATTAGTAATACAACAATGGTCTCCGACTAGTGATTTAGTTGCAATCTTTTTGGCCAATATGTTAACTAGTAAGCAACATGTTTATAATCATGTGGGCATCATTACATCAAAATCCTGTTTCCTGATTTGACGTCATTTTTCATTTTGAACCCAAGAGCCAATAGAAAACCTTTGTGAACAACTAGAATCACTGGTGAAGATTTTTGCCTTCACTAGTTAACATGACAAAGCTTCAGCTGTCTGATGCTTTAGATGTAAGAAATTAAACGTCTAACTAGTGAACCGGTGCTGTCAAAAGTATAAGTAGTTCAGGACAGTAACACTTGGTATCAATGATTTAAATAAATGCACAGAATGCTTTCCATATCTTTGCTGGTGAGAGTCAGTCCCTGTTGTGACCAATCAGAATCGAGTATTTTAGTAATTGTAAATTTTCCTCAAAAGACCACAACTTATCCAAACACGTCCTCACCAGTGTTTTTCTTAATGTCCTTTCCAGCGTTCTTTGACTTGCATCGGGTCGGTACTCACATTGAGGCCCATCCCTGAGCTGCTCGATGCCCCTCTGAGAGACACTGCTGTCACCGTACCTCGAGAGCATCAAGAGCACAGCAGCACTTCTCTGAGCAGTGGCTCCTCCTCAGAGTATGATGAAGCCGACTCCTGGGACTTTTTCCAGCACTATAGCCAGACCGAAGAAGAGGAGGAAGAAACAGAGGAGGATTATGATCCTTTAACAGAGAGAGCACGGATCCCTGAGCCTTTTACTAGACTCCATCTTGATGCAGAGGAGGAAGAAGAGGTGACTCTAGGAGAGGAGGAGGATGGAGACATGGTAGGAAGGAGGAGTGTAATAGAGCGAAGTATTAGCAGACAGTCGGTGGCGTCATCTGATGTCTCGTTCCCACATACACCTCAGCGGGAGCGCAGGTTCAGTAAAGACAGCAGTCCATCCCTCTATTTGTCTGATGGCGATGAGGGTTCAGGGAGTGATGGAGGTCGTATCCCTCGTGGGAGCGTCATCAGAAGCACTTTCTACAACACTTCTCAACAGCTTTCACCCATGTCAGCCAGACATATGACCTTGAGGGACAAATTCCAGGCCAAAAAGCAGGAAAGAGGCCGCAAACCTCTCCGCAGGAGCTTTTCAGGACGTCTAAATGAGCCTCTTATTGAGTATGTAGAGGATGACACAGAGACAAATCGTGGTCAGAGGCGGGCTTCTGTTCAACCGACAATGCAGAAGTCCTGCTCCTTTGACAGCGGTGTCGGCCTTGCCCATACCAACATCCCCCCTCACAGGAGGAGCAGGTCTCTCGATGAGTCTTCTCGACGATCACCGAGTTCACCCGCAGGCACAAAGTCTGCTGAGGAGGAAGGCTCTCAGAGTCTGAAGGAAGATTTCACAGATGACGAAGTGGCTGGAAGAAAGTTGTTGGCCATCCCAAGCCAACAGCCACACAGACCCCCAAGGAGGAGAGGCTCTGTTACTCCAAAGCAAGGGACTCATGTGTTAGGTGGATCATCGGTTCCCTCAAGCTTCCTCGCTGGAGACAGAAGGAGCCCCAGGCTGGATCAGGACCGAGCAGAGGGTGACACCTTTACTGGCTCCCAGGGGTCTTTAGCTGAGTCGTCTATCTTGGAGCAGGGCGGCTCTGAGTCCTCAAGTCGAGTTGGCTCCTATGAGGAGCTGAGTCATGGTCATCTCAGGGGAAGGTACCGGTCAGGAGAGAGTGATGGAAATGATGATCAGGGGGAGCCTCTGATTTCTTCATCCCCATGCTCATTTCAAGAAATTAAACACAGAGCCTTGTTACCCCAGGCACCGCCTCGTAACCGCACCCGCTCCAACCCAAACTTATCATCCAGCAGCAGAGCCCAGTCGGGGACCTTGCTAACCACAACCCCAAGTCCAAGTCCAAGTCTTTCCTCCCTCCAGTCTCCAGAGAGGCCTCCCAGATCCAGGGACAAGAAGGAAGTCCATGGCCTCCAGAGACATGCATCTGCTCCGGCTTTGGAAGTCCGGCCACCTACTGGAAGGTCACCCAAGCTAGGTCTGCTAAAGATCTTCCGCAGACAGTCGTGGACCGGCCATTCATACTCTCAGCTGGACGATGCAGAGTTAGGACCCACACTTGGAGAGATCATGAAGCCTGATACACCGACCATGTCTCTGAGGAAGAAAATGAGAGCTTCAGCTTCCAGTCTGACGAAGCTGTTTACAAAATCCTCTAGTAAGGAGGATGTGAGTAAAGGAGGTGAGGGAATGAAACATGTCCTTTGCATTTTATCATTGACAGAAAATAAACAAAGCTATAGGAATATTGATATGGAAAACTCATATTGTGATGTATTAAATATGATCTATTTATTATTATTTTTTTTTGTAGGGCCTATAGTAAAAGGATCAGCACCCGTTCCACCTGAACGACACAGAGGCAGTGGTCTTGAGAGTCCAAAAAAGAGGACATCCAAACGTTTGCCCTCCTTTAAAGTACCTGCATTCTTAAAGACAAAAGGTAACTGCTGAGCCAAAACGCTTGTTGTAATTTTAACAATCTTCCTGTCATTATTTTTGCTCCAAACCTTATTTTGGGAGTTATGTGAACTTATTAATTCCAGATCTACCAGCCCGTCCCAACAAGGCTGAAGTGTTCCAGTTAGATGGAGGTGGAGTCCTGCTGGTTTGGAGACCAGTGCTGTCTAGTGACCCTGTCACCTACTGTGTCCAGTACAGTACAGATGGTAAATTCACAAAGAATACACAGCAGAACAGATGTTAAAAAGTGATTTGTATGAATAGGAATGAATTGAATCAAAAAAAGAAGTATAACTCCTTAAAAGTTTGAAATGTTTCAAGTGTTTTTTTTTTAAATACAACAGAAGAATATACTGTAGCTCCTCAGTATCAAGAGCTGACAGCCAGTTTAAGTCCAACTGAAGGGCCTCCAAGTTTGATATTTAAGATTAGAGTCTGAATACCTATTCTTTACAGGCCATTGCCCTCTTAAAACGTGTTATTTCTTTAAATATATATATTTCTTTGTCGTCAGGCGGGGAATGGACAGTCCTGTCAGAGGAGGTGACCGACAGCTGCTACATGGTGAAGGATTTACCCAGAGGAACTTCTTATGTGTTCAGGGTGGGCTGCATCACGAAGACTGGTGCAGGACCCTTCAGTGATGCCTCAGCACCTGTTGTCATGGCTACACATCCTGAGGGTAAGAAAAATAGTTGATGTTACAGCTACACATAATAACTTTTCTTGATGTTTCAGATTTTCTGGTTTTAGATGAGAAAAGAATTTTTATGTTTGGAAAACTATTTATCTCCCTTTTGGATGTTTAGCATGAACAGTCTTACTGCAAGAGTTTTATACTTTGTTTACTTTGTTGTCCAGAAGTTCACATTCCTCTCATTCAGACTGAGTCTCTGGGGTCAAAGGTCACAGGGTCAGAACAGCGAACAACACACAAGAACTATAATTTCCTGTCTGAGATCAACCGGTGAGACCTTACATCATCTCTTACAATCAAGATGAAACATAAATAATATAAATATCTGAGCTTATACTCAGTATTGATCAATGTTTGCGTCTCTTTGCATTCATTTTGAAACACAGTTAAAACCTTTGAGGTTTATGGCACTAAAAAGATCTTCCTCAGTATTTCCTCATTATCATGTTTGTCTTTCATTCTCCTAGAGGTCGTTTCAGCGTTGTAACCCTGTGCAGGGATGCTGAGACCAGTCAAGTGTTTGCTGCAAAAATCACCCCTTACAAGGCAGAGCAGAGACAGTTGGTGCTGAGGGAATACCAGCTGCTGAAGAGGCTTCATCACCCTCATCTAGTGCAGCTGCACACGGCCTACATCACCCAGCGCTACCTGGTGTTAGTAGAGGAGCTGTGTCCGGGCAAGGAGCTGCTCTACAGCCTATCAGCAAGGTGCAGGACTAACTTGAAAAACATTTATCAGGCTGGTTTAAATATTCATTCTCTTCTTATCCCCAAATAAACATCACCTGTTCTTTTTAACTGGCACCAGATGCCGCTATAAGTGGGTAGGTGGTTGCATCTGTCTCTCATCTTGTCATGAATTATTGTCTTAATTAAGAGGATGTCTTCCTGACATCTTTAAAAGAGTCTGAAGCCCCTGCTCTGGAAATATGTACAGTCAGTATTCTGTCACAGGACTTTGGCCACTACATTGAAAATCCTCAATTTAATAACTGGATTGCAGACAACAGGGACCAGCCAAATAAATTTTCTGTTACAATTGAATGTAACGCACACTTTCTATTGTATCTGTGTTTCTCTATCCCAGAGTAAAGTAAGTGTTTACAAACAAATGGCTAATATATTGAAGCCTGTCTTTCTGTTTTTCTGCTCTCACAGAGATCTGTATTCAGAGACTCAAGTAGCAGAGCTGCTGGTTCAGATCCTGAGTGCAGTCGACTACCTTCACAGCCGTCGAGTCATCCACCTGGACCTGAAGTCTGACAACATGATGGTGGATGATGGTAACCACTTGAAGATAGTTGACTTTGGCTCAGCTCAGTCCTTCACACCCGGTCAGCCTCTTCAAATCGAACACATTCACGGTCTGTCGGACAACAAAGGTACTGATGTATTTTTTTTTTTATCTAAAAGACAAACTAAGAGCTTTCAATGCCTGCATTGTAGTAGATTCTTCTAATGCACTAAACCTTTGACTGTCGTGACCTTCAACAGACTGCCGCAGCAAAGGTACACACTCTTTAACGGAGGACGGATTGATGGATGGAAATAATACAGCCTAACTTCATCTACATCAGCAGCTACCATAGCTTAACAAACACAAGTCCATTTTTCTTTGACATTTTATTTCATCTGTCAATATCACGTTTGTGTAATTTTTCCTAATTCGATCCAATAAGCATGAAAGTGAATGTGGTTTGCCAGTAACAGCACAGCACTTTATGAATGGTGTCCTATGTCTGTCTGTTTTGTCAGTTTATATTGTCCTTCCTAAAGCTCCGGAAATCCTGGAAGGTCAGGGTGTCGGGCCTGAGACTGACATTTGGGCCATAGGAGTCCTGTCGTTCATCATGTAAGTGAAAAGGAAAAAGTTCTGTTTTATTCAGATACCCTTGAAATGAAAATGATATATCTGTAAATACTTTGACTTGTTGTTTTTGCAAGATAAAAACAAAGTCTGACATTATCTTAGCTTACTATATTAGCTTATTTAAGCAGACAGATGAACGCAATAAAAGTTTTTTAAGTAAACCAAATCTACTGCCTTAATCTCCTGTGATTCTGGGATGCATCATTATGAACTAATCTAGCGATATGCTGGACATTTATTTCATTTTGTCAAATAAATGATGTTTTTCCTTTCATCTCTAGGTTGAGTGCAGACAGCCCGTTTCATGCAGAGCACAGCTGGGATCAAGACAAAAACATCAAGAAAGGGAAGATCCAGTTTGGACGCTGTTATCCTGGTCTGTCTGAGGGAGCCTTAAACTTCATGAAGAGCAGCATGAATAATAAATCCTGGTGAGGTTTACATGTTTTCTACACTGATGCTTAAGAAGAAACAAGCTGTGTTTAATCCCAGATTACTTGTGTGACGAGTAGAATCTGTGAATTAAGAATATAAATGTGTTTTCCAATGTGAACTCAGGGGGAGACCCACTGCAGCTGAATGTCTTCAGAACCCCTGGCTGCGTGCACATCGTACCCCACACAAAGCCCGACCCTCCAAAGTGTGTTTCTCCACAGACAAGCTTAAAGATTACCTCAAGCAGAAGGAGGAGAAACGAGACCAGGTTCACACCAAGCTTCAGGGTCCTTTCTTCCAGTAAGGAAACACTGTAGAGGTGTAATTCCCACCAGCTCATGAATCGTTCCTGTTTGTCTCATTTCTGGTTTATATCACTTTAGATCCTCTGATTCTGAACATTTGACCTGTCTTAATACGTGTTCGTGTATCTATCCACTAGCTTGTACTATATGTAAGTGTGCTGTGTTTGTTGTGCATTGGTTTACGAGGAAACATATCAGGGATACGGTTTAGTCTCAGGAGTGAGTGCATGAGTTGTAAAATTTAAACTCTTGTGACATCTCTTAGTATCACTTTAGGGGCTCGGGAGTAAGGACGGGTGCAGGTTTGTTAAAAAAATAAGAACACAAATGCTCCTCTTCTGAGTAAGGCAGAAAATTTACCAGGTGTTGTGCTGTATTCATCACACATCAAAATATGCAGTGTTCTGGCCTTGAATAATAATAGAGTATAAATGGGAACTTAGTCATGTGAAAGTATTTATCAGAAAATTCTCAATGCTGAAATTTTGAATGATATAGAGAATAAATAAATACATTATGTGACACAAAAGTGGACATTTTTGACATCCTTTATTCACACTTATTTGTATTCAAACACCAAAACACACATTCAGATTATTCAGTTATATTTTATGAAGACAGATTAACAGACTGAAATTTTCATGAAGGTCATCATATTACCAACATAATATTAGTCATACAGATACATCACAGGAGGTTTTAAAAACTCTTTACTATGATTGAAATTATTTCTACTGTTTTAAAACTCATCAAAACAACTAAATGCAAAAAAACAAACTATTTCCAGTGTTGGAGCTAGAAACTGACTCGACAAACTTCTCACTTGTTAAAAAAAAACATGAAAAACTTTGAACTGCATTTGAACAGCTGTATCAAATATTTTTCTTTCAGATGGTTAATGAACCTGCTGGGTCGTGATTTTGATATCTGGATATTGACCATTGTCCCGACTAGATCTAACACAACCCAACCTCCCTTTTTGGTTAAAAGCAAAAATGTTTCTCCTTACAGTCCCTTTTTTTTCTCGCTGAGTGTGAAACCGCCCTGAGAAATACTCTGATCATGTTAGGGTAAAAAAAGAAAAGAAACAAAGTTGTTCACTAGATTTAACTCAGACCAGAGTCAAAAGTGTTGCTTCTTCTTTCCAGCAGCAGAAAGATCATATCTCTGCATGCATCCTTCTTAAGACTGGGCCTCTTGGACTTTTTTGATTTCCTATACACAAAAAAGAAAAAAGACAGATGAGGGAAATGTATCTCTGCCAAAACTTAAAGAATATAAACGGAGGGATTTTTCAGGTGGTCACTCACTTCATTGAGGATTTCTTTCAGCTCCTCGTAGGCCCTCTCTAGGTCGTCATTAATAATTACAACATCGAACACTCCTGGTTCCTTGCCTTTTTAAAAAGAGAAGCAGATCAGCTGCAGTTCTGTGCATTTCAGTATCATGTCCTACAAGAACTGATGAAGTACTTACTGAGCTCCATGTCAATGCGTGCTGCCTCCAGCCGCTTCTGTAAGCTCTCCTCCGTCTCTGTCTGCCTGTCCCTCAGACGCTTTTCCTGAGAGAAGAAACAAAAAACAAGTGAACATGATTGAAACTAGAGCTGCTTTACAGAGTTAGAAAACACAGTCATGTCTAAAGTTTCCAAGACAAATCCCAGAGAAGCACACGCTTTTGTAAGTTTATGTTGGATCATCTCAAACTATTACAAACTTTATGAATTTGCAATACTGTTGGTTAGATAGTTACCAGGATCTCCATGGAGGGAGGCTGGATGGAGATGTAGATGGGGTTCAGGTCGGTCTCTTTAATCCTCCTCACACCCTGGATGTCCACGTCCAAGATGCAGATTAGGTTCTGGGCCTGAACGTCTTCTATGGCGGCTTTACTAGAGAATCCATGAAAAGTTACATTTTAAGATTAAAACACAAGTATGTTAAAGCAAAAAGGATCAGGTCCGACGTTCAATCAGGTACTTAGAGTGTACATATGTAGTGGTATAGGTAGCAAGTAAGTTAAGAGGATTTTTGCATTGATCCCAGCTGCTCAGTCCTCAGTCTTGGGTGAGTGTGTGTTATCTCAGAAAAAGAGGAAGAGATTACATGTAACACTCGAGGTGCTGAGCCACAGTGCTGTTCTTTTTGACGTAATGCGATCAAAGCTCCATCTGTGACCTGAATTTTATAGCTCTTTGTGGCTTATCCTGAGGGTACTTCTTTTGATGAGGCCCGAGGCTTCATTTCTATTCAACGACGTTAATAGATCTGTGATACAGTATTTAGACTGACAAAAGCAGAAACACTCCCAAAGTTTTTAGATTTTTTTTTAAAGAAACAAATCAGTTTAAAATGAAAATGTAATAAAAATTATGGCGCAGTTACTACAAGAGTTTGATTATTTACCTTGTTCCGTACAGGTTTCCAGAAAACTCTGCGTTTTCTATGAAGTCTCCGTTTTCAATTCCCTCCAGCATCGCCTCTCTCGTTGTGAAGTGATAGTCTGCAAGATGCAATTTTTTATAATGAGCCCTGCGCTGTCTTTGGAAACGTGCACAGCTAAATAAAATCAGATCAAATCAAAGGAGCTGCTCACAAGAGTTCTTAACACAGTAAGCAGTAAAATAGCATTCAGCACAGGTCAAATGGATAATGCTAAATGATATTCTGCTTGGCAAATGTTGTGTGTAAAAGTCTACAATGTCCTCTGAGCTAAATTTGTAACTGTGTGTGAAATTTGTCAAAAAGAACAGACAAGTATGCAGTGGTTCACATAGAAGAGGCAAAGATGAGAAACATGTTTTTTTTTGTCAGCTACTTTCTAATGATATCATTAGTGTAACTGTCACAGTACACATTATTTTGACACAACATCAAAACCTCTGTGGATCTAAAGCAGCCGAGTTTTAGAGACAAACACGTTACTAGAACCACCACCACCACCGCTAATGGCCACTGCGATTGCACACAATCATTAGCATGACAACATGAAGGAGTCGGCTCAGACTGGAGTAACAATCTGAAGAGAAAAGCTGGATAGGAAGTGGCTGAGCTGTAAACAAATCGATAATAAGCCTAAAAAAATAAAAAATAAAAAGCCGGGACGCTTTAAACAGCACTCTGAAAAACAGCAGAGAAAAGAAAGAAAGCTGATTCTGGCCTATGGTGAGCAAATGTACTGTTGTTTTACTTCATCAATGAGGCATGTGTGAGATTAATAACATGCTATTCATTGTCCGAAATAAATAAATATATAAATAAATAAAACACCCAAAAATATGAACAGCTTTTTTTTCAGCTGCTCACAAATGAAGGACTGTCTGTCAGAGTATTTTTCCAGAATTTTTACTCATGGAGGCAGTGTGTAGAAACTTTATTTTTTCTTTCTCCAGCGATGCTAATGGTTGGCCACAAATCATTAGGCTCTATTAGCTACAGAGGAAACGGGACAGGTTTTTGTTTTTTTGGACATAAAACTTTGCAGGACTGGAAATAGAGGGGGTCACTACCGAGGCATCACAGGGGGCTATTTTCAAAAGCTTTTTACTCCAAAGTGCAGACTGTCTGATCCTGATTCCTTACATCTTTTCTTTAAAATTTTCTTTTATTGTTTTTGTTTGTTTTTGGTTATCATGCGAATAGTTTCTATAAATCCAATGAGAGCATACCAGGAAGATGAAAGTAACCCCCATCCCTCTGCCTTAAGAAACTAAAGTAGGGTCACCTTTATCTGTGGTTTCTGATTCATTTGGACACGAAAATGAGCTTGACATTTCTAAGTCTTCAGAGGATAAGACGTCTGCTACGGGTAGTAAAGTAGCCCCCAGAAGCAAGGGGAGCTTGTTCAGCCCTATGGAGAAAAGCAAAAAAGGCACAGAGAGAGGTTTATCCCTTCAGACCAGGGGAACTACACAGGGGGGACAAAACCATTTGTGCTGGTCACTTGGGAGTAAGAAGTGTTGTTGGTGTTATTTTTTTAGAGCATGCAGGTAGGGTAGAGGCGTGGGAATTTGGCTTAGAAACAAACAAAAAAAGGAAAGAGGTGTAAAAGAATTCAATCCAAGTCCAGGGCTCCTGCGTGTTGAATCAATGTGTTGGGGCTGAAAAGTGTTACCAACAAATCTAGAAATACTGTACCTTTGCCATCTTCCTCTCCTGGCCGAGGGTTCCTTGTTGTGTCTGGGAAAAGAAGACTTCACCGTGAAATAAGGTAATAAACATAAAGGTTATAAACATTTAAAGTTATGCAATGAAAGAAAACTATTTCTGCTCTCAGCTGGTGTAGAATTAGACCATGGGGCTGAGACACTGTGTGACTTTTTTTTGTCCTACTTCTCCCACAGACAGGATGTTATTGTAATTGAAGCCAATAACCAGCTGGCACAGGGACGTACGTGACACACTGAATCCAAACACGCCCTCGTGCTCCTTCATCAGCCTCTTCATCAGAGTGCTCTTCCCTGCTCCGGAGGGGCCGCTTAGCACCACAGGCCTCGGTCCTGACATTGCTTTGAGACAGACAGACAGACAGACGGATCGACAGACAGACAGACAGAAGGCAGCGGGAGAGACAGTGACAGAATGAGCTCAGGTTTGTGCCAAGAACAGATTAAAATCTGATCTTTTGTCCTGGAGATCATCAAGCATTAAAAATACTGCAGCAAAGACGCTTTTGTGAGGTTTCGAAGTTAGGAAAGTTTGGACAGGTTGAGATTTTCAGTCCCAGCCTCCTTTTTTTATCAATGATTTGAAACTCTTACTATCTATCTACGGTGTTGGTCCAGCTTGCCATCTGTCCCGTTAGCGGTCTAATGAGAAGTAAGACTAATCCTTTGATCTGAGCTTCCCTTTTGACCGCAACACTGTCAGGAGGAAACATCCCAACATGCACACAGACTGTGAGGAGCAGACTTTTGCTCATGTGGTTTGAATTTTCACAATTAATTAGTTAATGGTTAAGAAGTTATACTTTGTATTAAAATACTTTAACATGTCTTAGTCCTAACTGAAGACGCGTTAGACAGCCAGGAGCCCTGAGGTTAATGTTAAGAATGCCTGTTAATGAAGTCATGGCAGGTCGGTCAGCGGGATTAATTGGATCTGGGCCAGGCGGCACAGAGAGTCCAGGACAGGTGACCTGTTTACCTACTGCACTGAGACAGGATAATGTTTTAGGAACACTTGTAAATCAATTTAATGAAAATACCCCCTGATATGATGGCTCACAGTCTGTTACAACAAATGTCAATGTGAACTATATAAAATCATGTTGCTTTTTCAGCTTTAAATGCAGTTTTGAATTATATCTGTTAAAGAGATCCATCAAATCATGTTAATTTTTGTTGCTCTCTTTTAAGTTTTTAAGCCTTTAACCTTTATAAAAACAGTTATAAATAGATTTAAAAAAAATATATCATTACTTAGGAGCCACTCTGCTGAGGAGCATCAATGACCTTGTATTTACAACAACAACAATTAATTTCCAAGTGCAGATATTTTCAATTATTTCCAGTTTATAATGAGGTAAAAGTTTCAGCCTACCTTCTCTAACTCCTCCTGTGCGATCTGTCGCTGTGTAGCTCTTTTTCTTCTGCCTGGCTTCTTAATGGACTCTGTGAGATGAATGTGTGCGTATGTGTGTGCGTATGTGTGTGTGTGTACGTGCACTTGTGTAACACTGATTCGCTCACTGTCAATATGAGTTACCTCCACCTCTCTTCAGCTCGCTGTCCAATCACATGTGAGCATGCTAGCTTGTGTTTATCTGCACCCTTACCCCTCGCAGGAAAGGTAAAGGTGAAGAGCTCTCATAAACAAAAGATGAAGCATATTTGATTATAATTTTAAGAGTTGTTACTGAAGCATCAGACTTTTACAATTTTGACCTGGAAATGAAAAGCCTTATGAAGCTGTAATTCAGCACTTATTTCTTTGTTTGATTGTAGAAAATTAAACATAAATGTCTCTGATATTGTATAGAAGTCTTTTTTTAAAAATTAAATCATTCTGGATACTCGACCTAGATATCTTTCCTCTTTGGATTAAAACTAAGAAAAAGTTTCTCTTAATTTTACCTCAAAAGGTCTTTTGCTGAATGACTTGAGCAGATATAAACTTCAGTGGTCAAAATGGGTTAAGTTTGTTCTTTTATTAGACTCATCCCACAGTATTTCAAAAACAGACCAAAAAAAAAACAACACCCACAAAGTCTCACTCCACCTGTAGTTGTTTCCTGCCTCTTTTACTAAGATCGTAAATTTTCTAATGTGATGTTTTCCCTCTTTTTGTGATTGACCCCTGTAGTGTCATGTCCTGAGTGGTCTCCTGTCCTCTGCACGCTTTAAAGCTCAGAATAGCAGGATTTAGCGTCCCTTGACTCCATATGAGCTGCGATGGGCTCTGCCCGGCTAATCCTGCACCGACCCACTTCTTAAAGGTTAAAGACACCACAGTGTTATTATAAAAGGCCGTGGACCAACCTGAGCGGCACGGCATGTCGCTCCATTCACACAGTAAATCTACACATTGTTCACGCCACTCTCACTGTTCAAACACGCAGAATAAAAACAACTTTTTAGACACACATTTTATTTTAGTAACATTGATAAAATTAGATTTAATGACTCTATACAAAGAAACACAGAAATGATTATGGCAAAAGAAGCCTTAATGAGAGGAAATACTGTAAATGTGTCAAACCTACAGGCACTAAATGAATAATTTTAATAATAATAAATGATTTACGCAAAGACAAACTGTACAGTTCATACAGCCTGCTTGCTCTGCTAGTCAACATATACACACACCGATCCAAACATACACAAATTATATACATGTGCTTTAAATGAGATTCAACAGAGCTGGTTCGCTCACAAAACAGAAAGAAGGATTAGAAAAATCTGCTTATTTTATTCCAAAGCATGTATTCTTCTTGTTTTTAGTGCCTGAGCTCTCGGTTGGTGTTAGATGTTTGGGGAAATGGTTATTGTACAGAGATGTGAGGGGAGGGGGGCAAAGGTTACACGTGCTGTTCTTCAAATTGTCAGAGATATGTGGATGTAGGTGTGCACTGATGAACAGGTAGAACCAGGAGGGCATACGGAGGAGGAGAAGGAGGAGGAGGAGGAGGAGGAGGAGGTGTGAGTCTATGACAGGCCAGCTGCCCACAAGTCCACCCCTGATTGGTCAAAACAGAAGAGGTCCCTCCCCTGTATGAAGAAATGGCTGTGTCACAGGAAGACCCGTCTCAGGTCACCAGGTGAGGTGATGGTGTTGCACTGAGGACACAACTTCTTTGCTCCCTGGAATAAAAAAGAGACAAGTGAAACGAAGATTACACGTTTCAGTCGTTTCTTTGAGTAATTTCTCTTATTTCTAAAAATAATAAGTGTTGTCTTACCAGCGTTCGAAGCCAACACTCCTCACAGTGAACATGCCAGCACTGGATAGAGGTCAGTGGAGTCGTGTATGTGTCCTGGGGGGGAAAAATAGAGACACCGATTATCCTCAACAGCAGTACCATCAACTGCCACTAGATGTCGATGTGAGTCAATAGAGACAGCATTATGAGGCATCACATTTTCTTGTGCACCTTCCTCTTCAAAAGGAAAGGCTCAGCTGGTGTGTTAAGTGATTTATTGCTCTAAACTCTAAGTTACTATAGATAATTAAATACATGCTGCATCTCAATTCCCTCTCTAAAACCCTTCTTTCATAAATATTCTGTCACTTTTAAACCATTATCTGTCTTTTTTCCAAACAAAATGATATTAAATGTTAATTTAGAGCCGGTTTTATTCCTTTAAAATGTTTTTCCTATGCAGCTAAAATTTAGTCCCTTGAATTTAAAGGTTGGTCTTGTTTCTATACTTTCCTATTCCAATATTTTTAGTCATGTTTAAGCCTAAATATTAACTCACTTTGCTGCTATAAACCACATTAAACTTCCTATTCAATGATCTCTGAGTCTAAGCATCAGTGTTTTCTGTTGGCATTCAGATAAAGACAGCAGCACCTGGATAAAGTCCTCCTCAGTAACTTTTTAGAGTCTTCAACATTTCAACATTCAACATTCAACCAGCCCTGTAATAAACCCACAGCCTACACACTGTTGTAGTTTATGATTGCTGATTCTGTTATCTTCCCCTTGATCTACGTCTCTTTTAGCTCCTTGTGTGTTTTAACATCCCTCACTATTTCTGCACTCTTCTGTCCATTTCTGCCATTCCTCCTCTTCTTGTCCTCTTTTCTTTTCTTCTCTGCTGATGACTAGTCAGCTATTTATCACCAATCTCCAGTTCTGTCCCCTCTAAATAAACTGAAAGTAATACAGTATAAGGACGACGCTTTTAGAGACAAACATTTTCACACACTGTCAACAAGACGAGTTGAAATGTGTCGTACTCCTTTACACACATTGATTTGACATGAGTGTAATCCGGTTGTGCCTGGCAACACTCTTGTTCAGTGTTCAGAAATTATTTCCACTGTTATTGGCTTTTGACCAATCAAATTGAAGTATTAAATACCTCGAGGTGATTAATAAGAAAGCTGTGTAATTAAGATTATTAAAACAGAGTCTTTCTGTCAGTAAAGCAACTCTTCCATGAAATGACTAACCATCATAAAACCAGAGTAAAAAGTCTATTAATCAGAGTCAGGGCGATATTTCAAGGTCAAAATTTGTTTTTGCATCTTTATCAATAAAAAAAACAAACATAAACAAATAGAGGGAAGAACACATTAATTTTTTATGGATGCAAATTAAAACAGAAACTCTCAATTTCTGTCACTTTTCAATGGATAATTAAATAAGCATGATCAATAATACTTTTAGAGCCCAAACTGCAAGACTTTCAGAGTCCCTGCGTTACTGTGTTGTTGTCTATATTCAAAGTGTCCGCTCTGTCAGTGTAATTCGTCGTCACACTCACCATGCAGATGAGGCATTTAAATCTGTCTCCTTTAGACAACTGTTTCTCCAAATCCCGTATCCGAGCTTTAAGTGCATCCAGGGTTGTCAGCGTGGAATTCTCAGAGAGCCTGCACACACACACACACACACACACACACACACACACACACACACACACACACACACACACACACACACACACACACACACACACAGTTGGTAAAAAGAGCAGAGATAGGAGTGTGCGTGAGTTAGGCAGACACTGGAGAGTCATTTATAAATCGAAGACAGATTAAATTATTCGCTGGCCAACATGGACACTGAGCATGAAATTTATCAGCAATCACATTGGCTGCATCCACTGTCTCATTTATCACAGGAGTGGGGGGGTTGGTGGAGTGTCAGGGTCCTCACAGAGATAGACATTCACACAAACACACGTACAATTACTGGATAGACTATAGGACGATGGACAAACATAATGTACCACCAAGTTGACAAGGCATTAAGTGTGATGAAATGTGTGCACGTGCGTGTGTCGTCTGCCGCGCTCGTGATTGATGATGTCATCATATTGATTCTGGACAAATGTCACGTGACTGTGCGTCTATGCTAAATCTGCTACCATCAGAAAATTGAGACAAGTCCAGTTTCCCCCATCTTGACCCAGTGCATGCTGGGAGTCAGCAGGTACAAACTAACTCATTTTTTTGATCAGCAACATTTCAGACAATATGCGACAGGAAATTCAACAAACTCACGTCTCTATTTCAGCGTTTTTGCAGGTTCTGGGGAGACCCGCTGCGCTGCTGTCCCCTTTTTCTCCACTGCTGGTTGACGGACTCCCTGTGTGAACAAAATCAACTCATGAAGTACTGCTTATTTCCTAGTTTTGTCTGAGTAAGTTTCAGAAACTCACCATCATTTGACCATTTGGAGAACTCTAGGTGGAGCCTGGAGTCTGGTAATGTACTGCTGCTGCATAAAGAAAAGAAAGAAAATTAAAAACAGCAGTTAGGTGAGGTTCAAAGATAAATTAGCTATTAATGTGATCAATTTAATATCTGGATATATATCATGAATTGGAAATACTTACTTCACTGTGGTCTCTTTGGAGCTTTCTCCTGAGCAGGGAATTACATCTGTTTCTGTGTATCTGAAGTCAAAGGTCAGGAAAAACAAGCCTGACAACAAACAGAAATTTATCTAATTTCTTAAATACTAAAAAACAACAACATACTTTTACACAGTTTAAAAGTTTATAAGAAGATACTGAAAAATTCTCTTGATATGTAACTTTATCACATTGCTCAACCAGCTCTTTCCTGACAGTATCACTGCCAACGCCAGAAAGTGAAAACTGATCATTACTTGTCTTTTTAAAGCTCTGCTATGCTAACTTTAATCTATACATTTCTCAAAAATTCATCCCTTAAACCTTTCGTGTTGATATCGTCTTAATTGAACAGGATACTGTGCTCTGCCGTACTCCAGAGTGTCGTCTCCATCTACGTCCAGGTCTGCGTCACTGTCTCTGCACTCTTTGGTAGTTGTGCTCACCAGCACTGCAGCTGAAGAGACATTCAAATAAAGAAAAAGTTTGATAGTTTCCTTGTTTTAAAAACTCTGCTATAAAGTTTTTTTGAATCATGTAGAAGGTAAAGAACTTTTGATCTCATTTAAGGTCACAATAAGGTGAACTTTAAATCACAAAATATCATATTGCATGTCTTTCTCCCCTTCTTCTTGTGTCAGTCAGTCAATGTGAAACAAGATTGCAGGTCAGAGATTCCTCCTCCGGTAAAAGAAACCGTTACTTTTAAGTTTTTCCTTCCAGGCATCATTCTCTGCTGTAATGTGGACTGAAAAGTTCAGTGATTTTCAGCTGCCACTCAGTCACATCATTCACCCTCTACTGAACAAGATTATACACACAGGGACCACCAGAGCACGCACACACAAACACACACACACACAGCATCAAGCTTACCTTTAAACCCTCCAACTAAAGATGTCATCTGTATCCTCCTCTTCTCGTTCCAGTCGTCCTCTAACGGGACCAACTCTGCTGAACCCTCCTGAGAAACACACACACAAGCGCGCACACATATTTAATACATCTGTCTCCGTGAATCTGCCCATATGTCTCCCACAGCCTGCAGCTACAGATCTGCTCCTGTGTTGTCATAGCTGTGTGTTCACATGGATACACAGCGAGCCGACTGTGATCCTGATGCTACGTGAACAGAAGCAGTCAACAGTGTCAGGTTGGGGTGGACCGTTGTCATCCCCTCAACCTGAGATCTGATCGGCTGTGTTTTTATGTCAGGTAACAGTAAAATGTCAAGGAAACTTTTTTCATGCGATATCTTTACAAAAAAAAAAAAAATCCCCCACACACAGACAGACGCACACACAGACACGCACCTGTCCCTCTTCTGGTTTCCTCCTTTTCAGCTTCCCGATCCTGACTGTGGAAACACACAGAAATCAGAGATAAATGAGATGTAGACTGAACCTTTAAAGTCACTTTTACTTAACTTTGTCTTTTTGTGATTCTGTCAGATCAGGTCAAGTGGTTTTGTCTGATTTGACCTCTGAAACATTATCAGAAATCATTTAGTTTCTGACTGCAGACTGAATGAGCGGCTTTTTTTTCTGATTCTATTGCATTAAGTTGTTGTTTGTAGTATGCAGTTATTTATTTGTGTCATTTTTAGTCATTTTTAAGGGGATTTAATTGCTCTTTTTTTACTTCAGTTAAAGGTTACTTAAAACATCTGAACCCAAAACAAAAGCTCTCTTCTAACTACAGTTTCATTTTTAGAATGGCTGATCATCATCATCATCATCATCATTTTTACTGTTATTTTAATTTTCTGACATGTCATAGTAACAAACTAGGGCTGTCAGAATTTACAAACTAATCATGGTGAGATTAAAGCCCAAAACTGTGGTGTATTATTTTAAATTGTCTGCTATTTTGTCCCTTTTGGCAATCCATACTTGAGCCGCGGCAGCATCTTCCTTCTTCATGATAAGAGCAACAGTACTGTGCTTTTGAATGACACATATCACTTTTAAAAAACCCACAGGCAGCTCAGCTGGCAAGTCAAAAATACAGTAATCTGCATTTTCTTTTTTAAATAAAGTTTAAGTTTAAACTACCACCTCTGATCTAAGCCTAAGTGAAGCGGATTAGACCGATGTCAGCCAGAAACCCAATCACAAAACCCAGCAGTGTGCACCACAGACCAGTAGCTGAAACTAAAAGTTCCTAAAAGTGAACTTGAGGGCTTTTTATATGAGTGGGGGCTGATTACAGACTAGTCAGTACACTGGAGCAGTCCTCAGGTTGGCATGTTGTGATCAGTCAGATTACTTAGAGTAGATTAATTAATCAAAATGGGAACAATCGTTATGTTTTAATACCTTCATCTAATTTGAAAAATATGTCTTAAAAATACACCGTTATTATAAATGTACTCCAGTTTCCTCCATCTAAAGCTTCTGTGAGGACTTCTTAGTCTGCACTGATTTTGGCCTCCCTGTGGACAGAGCATTACTTCTGATTATCTTATTGTTTATTTTGTCTGATATTAATTATGACTCTTCCTTTTTTTTTTTTTTTTTCAGTCTTATCGTTTTTCCCGTTGACAGTCAAATGTAAGAGAATAACATAGAAAGAGCTGATCAGTGTGCTGATTGTCTTTTTTTTCCATAAAATTGTAACAATATGAATTCATGTCTATTTCATGGCCAGTGCAAAACCCTTTACATTAGAGAAAAACACAAAATGTAAAAATCTGCTCATAAAACTGTTGAGTTACAGCCCAAAGCCTAAAAATGAAGCAAAAAATCCACATTACCAGCTCAAAAACAGCTTATTTAAAAAGCATGAGCAAATGAGCATGCTAGGAACATAACGAACTTTGGGGATGTTGACGAGCTCATTGGTCAGCAGCGACACTCAAACATACCAACATTAATGTTGGAGCTCGTTTGAGAAAGTCTGCCACATCCACACACAGAACAACTACACATTCATCCAGGAAGCACGGATGATTTCAAATGTTTCCGACATACAGTGTTTCCCCCATTCCCACCCCTGCCATCAAATGACACCCCCCTCCTCCTCCCCCCAAACCTCCTCACTGATATAAAAGTTAACATGGCAGAACACCAACTGCACCTCCTCTCTCTTTCTCTCTGACCTGACTGACTGCAGATTGCTCAGGGGAACATTAAGTTTTAGGGGCCTCTAATTCCCCCTCTGGATGACAGTGGACTATGATGGGTGGAGGAGGTGGTCTCACACACACACACACACACACACACACACACACACACATTCAGAGCGGGTGGCCATGACCCGAGTGCTGCCATCATAGCACACATAATGAGGGTTAAAGAGATGGTCATATACGAGAGAGAGCTCATCAAACAGAGAGAGAGAGAGAAAGAGAGAGGGGTTGATTAATCAACGGAGGACTCCCCTTCTTCATCCCCTCTTCTTCTTCTTCTTCTTCTTCTTCTTTCTCCCTCCCTGACATGTATTTAGAAGCTCATTATGCTGTCCTGTTATAAGGCCCAATAAAGGCTAACAGAGCTCGACAGCAGAGGCAGTCTGAAGAGTCGGCTACGAGCCTGAGAATCTCAGCGGTAATAATAATAACAGGAGTAAGATGTCAGACAATCCTCTGCAGGTCGGCACAGAAACACTGCTGTACTTTAGCTCTGAGGAAGACCTGAGCTCAGTCACAACAAGTCGACTACTTTTTCTCGACGTAAAAAAAAACATTTTATTTTATTTTTAGACAAATAATCCTGCAACTTTGAGTGTTTTTCTTAAAGAGAAGTTGCAGTTTTCATTTTTGAGCAGGTTTCTTTTTTATTCGCTGTTACTGTCAAGAAGCAACCTTGTATCTCTTAATCCCAGAGATTTATTTATCAATTTTTTGCATAAAACAGCACTATTGATCTCTATCTTTGCCTATCAGAGGGCTCTTTGCAAATTGACAGATTGAAAAAGGAAAAAAAAAAATTAAAAATAGGGTTGTGATTGAATCTCATGCAGTTTTATTTTTACGCTCAGTTCATGTGGAGATACAAGGTTTCTGCCTGATGGTGACACCATGCAATGACACCTTCACAAGATAAATCAGCTACTTTAGTTTACTTCTGAAATGGTCGGAGGAAAAAACAGCTGAAATGTTTAACATTTTTACCAGAAATATTTTTATCTACTGGTTTGTCTTTCTAAAAAGAGGCAAATTATTCCACAAGTTTGATTCAGTTTTTATATATTTTCCAAATTACTTTACCTACTGAGCAATAGATGGCCATTAGACATCTAGTTTTTTTTTTTTAGACCTAATTTCAACCATCTAGATTCGATAACTATTTATTTCAAAAAGCTTCTCGTTGCATAACTGATTTCCAAGTATTTAACCAAAATAATTATGATGGCTGTTAAGCAATATATACAGTGTAGTATAGATATAGCCCAGATTTAGATTTGGTCTAAACTTGGTCTAAATTTACACGTCTAAAAAACTTTAGACCTGTGGTAGTCTGATTTTAGACCAGTCGTCTAGGCTACATTTAGACATCTATTAGACCTCTTTTAGATCAAAAACGTTAGCATATATAGTAACAAACAAATAATCAATTTTTATAAGTGGTGAACAAACCTACTTCTATAAATTAATGACTTTGCTTGATAGATGAGATTGAAACCATTATTAAGAACAATTTTAGTAAAACAGGTTAGTGTTACAGCACCCACACTTTAAGACTTGGGTTTGTGAAGGTGTCAGGTTAGAGGATAACAAAAACAAAAGTGCATTTGCTTGAAGGTAAAAATATGTTTGAAGTCCATGAGAATATAAATTCAGGGGTACATAATTTAACACCATGAGTGAAAACCCCGCTGGCCTTTATTAGAAAAATAACTCTGTTTTATTCCAAATTTATGCGTCAGTCTGAAGGTAAAGAAAGTGCTTCTGCACGTGTCTTACCAGATTGTGTGCAGTCTAGGTGGGATCCTGCGCTGTGGGGGCGCAAGGGGGCAGATTTGACGTAGCACCTGCACCAGCAGAGGTCATCGACTGTTAACATATCAAGAGGTCAAAGTTGAAAGGTTAATAGCTCCTCTGCTCGTGTGGGCGCTAGGCCGGTATAGATGTAGCGAGAAAGAAAAGGGTGATATCTGAACGGCTGGGGAAGGAGGGAGGGAGAAGACTGGACTGAACACAGAAGTGGTGGCATTTTGGCGAAACAAGGGAAACTCTTTAGTTGTGTCTTTTTTAAACATATAAAAGCTGCAGAGCTGACAGAGTCTACTGTTCTCTTTATGACAAACTGAGTCAGCAGCAGTGAAACTCAACAGGCAGTCCTGTCTGCATGCATCAACATACCATTTAGTCTGGTGTGTCTGTTGGCCCGCACACGGAGAAACGTCTGCAACACACACAGACACACGAACACAATCACATCAGCTGCATCATTTTTCTTCTAAACAATAAATTTACTTTCACAAAATAGTAAAAATCAACAACACAATAACAGCAGTAACAATTCAACACAGTTGATGTTGCTTTTTCTTGTGCTGACTATGGACTACACTTTCACAATATATATTTTTTGCAATATTCCTTTAAACACACTTAATATCGGGATCTGTATTATTTTACTCAAACAACAGAAATCTCTTGGTCTGTTCCCCAAATGTATATTTCCATAACTGCAGCTTCGTTGTTACTCTGTTGTCTGATCTGTGGTTCCTCTACAGAACTCTGACCTTTATCCTTTTTTATTAAATTTCTTTACCCTCAGATAATTCATTTGCACTCTATGACACTCTCTAAATCTCTGTTTTCAGTCTGAGGAATAACAACAGCTTAATTCAGCTCCTGATTAACCTTTTATTACAGGAGAGTTTGACCAGCCTTAGTCCATAAACCTTGTGAGTCACTGGCACCACACGAGGACAAACACTGTTTCATACAGTGTTTCTAAATACTAATAGTTTAGTCAGCAGTTTCAGTATTCACACTTAAAAATGATAAATGTAAAAATCTGGAAGCAGTGCCAGAAATGTTCACATTTTAACCTGTTGTACAAACCTATTTAAAAAAAAACTATATAAATATCAATTATTCCTCTTTTCAAAGTTGAATATGTTCATTTTATGTTCCTTATTTTCTATCAAACCCTGCAGTTCTATACACTGAAATCTGGCATATGATGTATAAATAATCCACTTTTTAGGTCTCTCTTCCTTCAAATCTGATAAAAGGTTGTTTTTGCTTTTCAGCCTTACTTGGTATCGGTCAGCGTGAGCTTCCTCAGATGGTCGAGGGGGCGATGTAGGAGAGCCCCCTTCACGTTTGATATGAAGAGACAGTGAGAAAGTCTGGACAGAAAAAAAGAAAAGAAAAACGATGAATTAGAGGCTCGATTTCAGCTTCTATGTTAACTTTATTTCATCAAGAGTTCAGCTGTTCTTACCTTCTGTGTCCTTATGAGGTGGTCATGCTGCACCGGAGTGGCACTTTGGAGAGCAAAAAGGAACAAAACGTGATAAATTTCGTGATAAAAAGTGAACACACAAACATACAAAGCATGAGAACTATTGCTTTAAAATATACAAACAAAATACTGTCTTCCAAATGTTTCATGAGTAACCTCTGCTTTTATCTTGTCTAAAATTGTATCTGAGTCTGTATAACCTCATTTCACTCTTTATGTCTGACACACAGAGACTGTACACACAACTCAACACACACACACACACACACGATCACACATACATATACACACATGCACATGCACATGCACAGTGTCCCCGTGGGCCAGGTTCAATTTGGAAGCATTACTGTCCACGGAGCGGTCGTTAAGCAGATTTGGAGTGTAATGTCTTTATTGGAGGAATCAGTCTTCTGGTCTAAGCAGCAGGTAATGTCTGAGTCTGTGTGTGTGTGTGTGTCTGAATATGTGTGTGTATCTCTGGACCTCCTGTGTATATTTTACACTGTGACTGTGTGTGTGTGTGTGTGTGTGTATGTGTGTAAGGCTCAGAGCAGCCATTAGCAGGACATTATCCTCCCGCTGTATGATTTGTCGCCTGAAGGCCGCAGGCTGTAATATGAAATATGTAGGAAACAATGAGGTGGCTTGTAAACACGGCACGCAGGTGACGGAGAAGATGAGAGATACCACCAGAGGAAAAGTGACAGTGTTGGAGGGGGGCCTCTGGATACTAAATCTGTCAACATTAATTATGACCCGGATAGAAAGTCTGTCGTAAAACAGGAGGAAAGTGACAAATGGACAAACAGAGGCAAACGAAAGAGAGGCGCAGATAGAAAAATGTCTCAAAGGAGGATTGGAAGACTTATTTTAGATGAACCATCCTTACACATGGAGACTGCTGCTTAATAATTTAAATCAAGGAAAATCAGACAAACTTAGACTTTGTTAAATCACATACCTGATCTGTAGTTGAGTGAGTTTGTTCAGCTCCTGCTCCATGTGATCCTGCAGCTCTCCTGGTCTCAGAACAGCCTGGCAGACAGGACACACAGGGGCCTGAGCGTCATAGAGGGCCTTCACTTTACCTGGATGACAGGAGATGATCACATTAAAGGAGGAAAAACTGTATCATGTTGGTCACTTAAGATGATAAAAAAGGAGTTCAAGAGTTTCCTGTGGGAAGTTCTCCTTCCTGATGAGATTTCATTCAGTTCTCAGAGTTTAGATTAACCAAAATACTGTCAGTCAGACGTGGTGTTATTTCCATTTCATTATTATAAAATTAAGCTTTAATGGGTAACTCTTGCACATACAGTATATCTAAGTCTAAGGACACGCTGCGTATGAAATTGTCTCACAGATGAGAATTTATGTAATGGTCAAAAATGTGCACTTCATTTTCAGATTTGTAAATTCAAGAGAATCTGAAATAGCAGTAAGTAAGAAGTCAAGAGGAAATAAGGTGAGAGGGAGGAAGGCTGGACTTTGAGTGGAGTCACCTTCATGACACCTCTACTCATTAATGATGAGGAGTTTGTGTGTTTGTTTGTGTGTGGATCTCTCTGTACAATTGACAGACAGTGACAGTGAGAGTAAAATCAGACTACACACACATACACACACACGCACACATAAATATAAACACACAATGCTGTGGCCCCCCGCTGTCAGTGTGTTGACATCATAGGCTGTCAATAGGAACATTACCCAGGAGGGCCGCTTGGCCCATTGGGCCCCACTGATGGATTACCGCCATAAGCAGCCAGCTGGGAGCTGGCGGAGCTCCACTATATCAAGATTTTACCTAGTAGATGAGGTGATTTACTCCTGAAAGCCATCAATCACATGCAGAGAGCTCGTAGGCAAGATGCACCTAATTTCCCACAGTCAAGAGAAAACAAATGACAGGGCTGAGAAGCAGAATGTAACACTTTCTGAAGTCAAAAATGACAAACAGATGAGTGTTACTGACACTCTCTGACCCCGCCATGAGAGGAAGAGCGGACAGAACTTTTATAAGCACTCTGTTCACACTGGGAAACACTTGCTGAGCTCCTCTTTAAATGACCAAAGACATGAGCAGCTAGATATCTGTGCAAGTGTTGTCCCCTGACATCAGTGCAGCTATGAGCCCTCCTAATGAGGAACCAAATGGGACAAAATGGCCTCTAAATAAAACATGGGGTGGAAAATAGAAAGGAGTCAGGTGTCCTTGGGAGAGAGTGACAGCTCTCCTGTTTTCACCCCGCCTCTCGTCTCTCTCGCCTTTTCTGCATCCCCTTGTGGAAGCCTAAATGACTTTTCCCGACACGCATCGAACGTTCCCGGGCTTTCTGCGCTCTGCCGCCCGGAACACGCACGCATCAGTAAACAATGAAATCTCTGGGCTGAAATTGAATTTATAACCACATTACCTGCACAGATAACGTCTCTGAATGGCGCCGCGATAAGAGCAATGGGATTTGATTTTCAGGTGTTTTATTGGTCCACTTTTTGGATAAGCCCCTCTCCCCTCTCATACTGTTCACCTCTGTTCCAAACAAACATCAGATTTAATGGCTCATGCTGGGATATATGGGTGTGTGTGTGTGTGTGTGTGTGTGTGTGTGTGTGTGTGTGTGTGTGTGTGTGTGTGTGTGTGTGTGCATGCTTTAGCAGAGGCTCCACTCTCTTATAAGTGACAGTTGTTGGTTCACGACCACCTTTTTACACATCTTCACTGCCCCCCCCCTCTTCTGTCCCATGTCCCGCCCACATAAACCCTGTCAGTGTGAGTCAGCCTCAGACCCTCCTCAGCCTGGGGGGTCTCAGACACACAACAGGGGGCTGTAAAAGCTGCCTGTGGGGCTTGTTAACCGTTCCCTCACTACGGCAACTGGCAGGGATGGATCGTCCCTCTCTGCGCTGAGTTCGACTCGCCTGTCTCCACACGGATTCACTGTCTCTGTGTCTGTGATTGTTTCCTTTTTCTGTCTTTGTGTCTCGCCAGTTCGAGACCTCTCTTCCTGGATGTCTAGTCTTTGTGCAGCTGCCATTTACTTTTCCTCACTTACTCATCCCACAGGGGGGAAAAGCTTCATCTGCTTCATCTAAGTCTCATACTAATGAAAAAAAAAAAGTAAGAGATTTGGCAAAATTTCTGGTTGGTCCTCTCTTATGGTAACCCCCTAGGTAAAGTGGAAAACTTTGATTCAAATTTTCCCTGTGAAATCAAGTATTGAATGGTCTTTTTGTCAGGGAGCAATCACATGGATGGGCTCAAAAAAATACATGCCTGAAAACAATCTCAACCTTATCTGCCAGATGGATTTTAAGAGCCCACACCCCTGGGGCCAACAACCTCTAAAGTCTCGATATCTTGAGCATCACAAGACACTAAAGTTCATGTTTTGAAACAAAACACGATACCTCTGTCCTCCTGATCCCCCCTGTATGATTGATGGTTAAATCCAGCCTCTGTTGTTCTGCATCAAAGACTAAACTCTGACTGGTCCGTGTTCAGCGCTTCCCGCTGAAACAGAGAGATCAGAATCCTGCTGACAAATCCTCAAAGCATGAAGTCCCCCCTGAGGACATGGGTAATGGCCGATGCCAGCGCCCATATGACGGCTGCCAGTTCTGCTGATGCAGACGAAGCAGAGATGCCTAACGTGACCTTTAGTGAATGCCACATCACATCAGACCTGGATGTCACCCACTGACATTATGCCGGGGCATGAAAAGGCTGTTCTGCAGGGGAGGCACGGTGACAAACATCCCCCCAGTGACAGACCTGTGGACGTGGTCTAATTCTGATTGACATGAGGGGGATTAGACAGCGTTGAATGGCAGGGGGACGTAAGAAGTAGCATCCAGGGGAGGATGTTGAACTTGTTCTGCGTCAGCTGGGTCTGCTTTTCTCTTCGCGCACTATAAAGTGCTGAGACGACTCACTCCAACAGCCATCATTATCCCAATCATCAAACAATTCTCTAAGCACATCAGAAATCCCTCCATAAAGTCGTAACAAGCACAGACTCTATATAACCAGTAGGCATGTAGATTTTGGCGGGGGGAGTGAAGTTAACGCTTGGCGGCGAACGCTCCAGTGGTGGGTTTGTGTAGGCAGGTCCTTGGCACATTTTCAGAGGAGATGGAGGGCTATAAAAGCCATTGGCTCCTGCCACACCTGTACCCCACCCTATCCCGCAGCCTGCTTCCTATTTAAAAGCATCACATGCAGGATATTAGTCAGGCTTTTTCACCGTCTGTGAGGTAGAAGTAACCTCTGAAGCGGAGGGGGGAGAGGGGAAAGTATGCAGGCCGCCGTTTGTTTTTTATTGGGGAAATAATGGCCTATTGAGAGGTTGGGTATTTAATGAGCAACATAATAGGCCCTGTAGTAACACATCTGCTATAAGCAGAGTCATTTCCTCAGCTTTCAAAGGCTGCTGCTCCAAGCCTTTGAAACAGCAAGTCCACTTGCCTTTGACTTCTAGATATCTGCTTTTTATTAATTGCAGTATTGCTACACCGGTAATACATAAAAGACAAATGTGCTGCTGAAGGCTCTCCGTTCAATCCTAACCACATTCAACCGCTGCTGACAAAGGTTTACTTCCTCTCCTGGCTTGACCTCGAACCTCGAAATGTCCAATCTAATACCGGCATTCTTCAAAACTATCTCTCATGCGCTGCGATCAATCGTGTTTAATGTATTAAAGACACTCACCACAACCACCACAACCTTTGGCCCTTGCAGGAATCATTGCCTCGTTAGAGCGCTAATGATCATTCATTGACTAATAAGATCTGTATCAACCTCTTGTAGAGCATTGATTGGCCTTTGGCCTCTGTAGTGCTCTGCGCATTACGCAGACAACAGGAGACAGCAGCTGTAAGTCCCGGGAAGTCTGATGATGAAACAGCTCCTGGTGGGAATGGACAGGAATCCTAAACCCCAAATAGACTAATTCAGAAGCACCTCAGGCCAGAAACCTTTTCTTCTGCCCTGCAGATCAATGAACATAACCTCTGTGACCACAGGTCAATCAACACACGACACCCCCCATCTCTCTCCCTCTCTCTCTCTCTCCTCCTCTCACTCATCTTCTCCATTAGTCACCACGATTGTTCCATCAGGTGCAGGCATGGCGCCGCATGTATGTGTCCAATCATCTGTTTGATGGAGAGTGGACTGTGTAGTTGTGTGACTGTGTCCCCGTGACCATATTTCCCCTTCTCAGGACCGGAGGGCAAAGATCGAACCCTGCCTCTGCTCTGCTCCAACCAATCAATCAGGTCCTCATTGAGATGCATGGCTCAATGATCTTTGATAGTGACTTACAGATGGGAGTGAGGGAGTGGAGGTTAGGACTGTCCTTGGGTATTTGTAGCAATATAAGGCTACTTACAGGCCATCTCGTGAGAAAATATCTGCTGATGTCTCTGAAGAGTTTGCTCTAAAATGTCGACCACTGGAAAACATGATCTGATGAACCAGCTGTTGTTTTCCCTTTACTTTGACCTGAATAAATCCTTCATCAATTTCTTGAGAGAGCCTGATTAAACTGTTTTGGGTGAGTCTTCCAAAAGTACAGTTACAGGAGAGCAGGATAAGCACCAGCATCCGTGATCTGACTAACAAAGAGAAGTAATATCTGGTCAGCAAGTGCCAAAAACACACTCTGATTTACCCTCGCTGTCTGTCGCAGTCAGTGCAGTCACTTTGAATCAAGATGCTGCTGATGGGGGACAGCGGCAGAGCTGCTCACCGGTGGCCTGTCACTCACTCTGATTCCTTCAACCTGCTCTTACATGACAGACAGGAATATACGGATATCCAGCTGTGTCACTCTGTGTCAGACAGCCAGGACATGAAGCTTTGCAATACACCTGAGGCCAGAAAGGCTCATATCATATCAAAATATTACTCTAGATACATTATGGCTAAGTGTCATAGATAACTCAGATAAGCTGCAAATATTGTAATAAAAGGTTAAGTATGTCTCACAAAAGCATTATAATAATGACTACTGGAGCTGCTCGCCAATGAAAAATGATTCGTTTGGTAGAGGCGCCAAGAGTTTTACTAAAGCAGTTTTTTTTATACATAAAAATAGTAAACGTGCAAAACAATCATTTCCACTCATCAGTAACCATATAATAAGACAATTTATTTAAAAATAATTACATGTCTTTGACTGAATCCTGCGGCCAACATCCTGAAGAATACTTGGTTTAACTTGTGCACGTGTAAAAGGTTTACATGTTTACGATATTTCCCACTGCTATCAAATGATCCATGTACGACTTTACATTTGAAGGAAGTTAGCAAAGCCCATTTTTAACACTTCTAAACCAAAAACTAAAAAAACACAGAAACTAAGTAAGCAGCAGTGTCTCGGATCTGTCCTAACAGTGTAGCTCTCTTTTTCTTTTTCCAACCTGTGCTTTTCACACAGACACTCATTTAACACAAAAACATGTATGTTACTTGTTCCTTCCACTTGCACTGAGTCTTTTCTGTTAAATGAAGTTAAATTTTACACATTGCACCTTAAAAAGTTAACATCTGATTAGAGCAAAAGCCTACTTGTTTATATTTTTATACCTATGATGTGTGCCGTCTTCTGAAAGTGACCATCAAAATGTACTCTGAGGTCTCTTAAGCCTAAAAACCAGTATGATGTCTGCATTATCTCTTCTTTTTTAAGAGCATGTGAGGTGAAGCTAACACACAAGAGGCTGTTAATGTAAATATTGTGTGTATATTTCAGCGTGTATGAGAGAGAGAGAGAGAGAGAGAGAGAGAGAGAGAGAGAGAGAGAGAGAGCGAGAAGAGATCAGGAGACATCCAGAGGCTAATAAACAGATCACAGTCCCTCATTAGAGGATAATTAGATCGGCTCCTAAAATACAGATCACTATTACCCAGACCACTGATTAATACACATTCATTCTCTCTCCCTCTCTCTCTCTTTCTCTCTCTGTTATTATTCCATCGTCTCCTCATCACATCTCTCCCATTTTCTTCTCCCTGCTCTCTCTTTCTCTCAATTAGTGGTTAATAAGGAGAAAATGAGATGATCGCTCTGTTGCTCGCATCAAGTACTCAACTTTTCTAAACAGCCCTGGACAAACAGTGAGTCACTGTGATTGGAGCTCAGTGAAGAGTTTAATTAGAACAATGCTCATCAGCTTCAGAACCACGACTAAAGACAGAATAAAAGTCTGTTTTTTAAGTACAGTATATAAGATCACAAAGATGAACTCAAATCGTGCAAATGGCTTCAGAGCTGCACAATACATTTTCAGTGAATTGTCTACTCCACCATAAGCTTGTGGCTTTCTAAGTTTCCCTAAATACCTCAGAAAAAAAAATCCTGGGATAGTGCCTAAAATCATTGCATCAAGTTGTAAAACCAGAGTCAAAGTAAGTGACTCGAGTGCCAATTCTTCAGGCACCCCAGGCTCTGTCTCACACTCTAAAAAACTCTCTGAACAAAGATCACACTTAGCTTTTTGCCAATTTTAAAACAGCAAGGCTTCAAAAGAACAAAATATTTGCCCAAATCACATCTACTGGCAGTCCTTTTTTAAAAGATTTACTGCTTTAATACTGCCACTATCAGGTGCATGAAGCTTTTTCTCAAAATACAGATGAAGTTCCCAGATGTGGCGAGAGGTTTAAGGAACCTTTATAAGCATAGTTAACGCTCGTGACGAAAAGAGAACTCAACAAAACTGACCAAAACACCAGTCCTCTTCTTGAAACTTGTTAAAAAGGTGGAAAAGAGAGATAGACCTCATGGAAATAAAGAGGAATTTGTTATTTTACATAGAATGACTCAGTGTTGTAGGAAGTTTTCTCCAACAAAGTAAAACAAATTAACTTTAGGGCTTCAGGCATTACTTTAGATACACTTTATGTCCCTCTCTTGTCTAAAAGCTCTTAAAAGATTAGTTTAGAGTGACACACAAACATTCAAGCACACACACAAACACACCTGCTCTCCTCTCACACACCTGTCACCTGCCCCACATACACTTTGTGTGCAGGGATTGATCCTAAAGAGAGGGATAGTCTTCAAACAGAATCTGAAGTGACACATTTCTAACAAAAAAAGGAAAAACAAAGGGCCCACACTGGACCCTAATAAGGGTACAAAAAAAGCCTCTATAGTAAAACTTGTTGAGCGGGCACCATTACAGATACCCATCAGTCCCCCCCTCCTCTCTTCTTCTATCCTCTCTTCAAGATAACATCTGATACTGTCAGAAACAGCCTGCAGACCGCTGCTGGTACCAGAGCACCTGGCCCTCTGCGATACACCTGTGTTTGGGTTAGTCACACTTCCTAAAGGATGTTATTGAGTCTGCATAGACCAGGGAACAATTGAAGCAGATGAAGATGTTTTTTATTTTTTTATCTTGAAATAGTGGACAGATGCAGGTGATTGGGCTAGCTATCTTTGGTGGAAAATGAATCAAGTACACTTTAGTGACATTGAAGTTCATTTCATTAGGTAAAAATGGAAGAAGGAAATGACTAAAAACTGGCTCATTAATATCTGGAAAGAAAGAAAGAAGCTTGTGTCAGTGTTGTCAGAGCGTGATTTAGTTCAAGAGAAACAACAACAGAATTTTAACACAAGATAATGTTTGAACTGCGCGTGATTCAAGCCTGAGATTAAAACTTTCTTGTAGCTGCCATTATTATCCTGTGACTTAATTAAAGCTACTATGAGGAGTTTTTATTACAACATGAAACATCCTGAAATCAATCGTGATGCTTCTTCTTTATGACCTACAAAAGCAAACAAGACCATTAACACCAAGATTAATGATCTTTGTATGATAATTTATCATGCCTAAAAGTGCCGCAGGGTAAGTGTCAGATAGTGTGACTAGAGCACACTGCCCAAACATCCTGTTTTATTTAACATTTTTAACAGTTTCCATAGTAATAAAACGGAGAAGAGTTTTTGTCATAAAATTAATTACTTACACATATACAGGACAGAGTCAACTGAAAGATTCGAGATCCCGCTTTGTCCACAGGGGGCGCCAAAATTAATGCTAACAAAAAGTAACTCATAGGAGTTTTGAATAACAAAATACATAAACAGATGACTCTTAACTACGTGTAGAAAATTACTGTGTAAAATCAAATACAGCATCACTACAACCCCTAAAATGACCATATTCTAGGCTAGACTTATCTTCACAATGCAAGTAGGAAATTTAAGAAAGATGATATCTGATTAATTTTACTTTTTTAAGATTTATTAGCAGGCTTTTCCGCCTTTGGTGAGCAAGGATAGGACAGTAGACAGAGGAGGAAACAGGGAGAAAAAGTAGGGAGTGACAGACTGGAAAGAAGACACAGGCTGGAAGTGAACCTAGGCCAACTGCTGGAGGTATAACCTCCATATATGGGGCACGTGTGCAGACTGCTAGACCAGTGGTGCTAACCCTATTCACACACACACTGGGCGCAGCCAGCAGAGGCGGTCGGGGTCAAGTGCCTTGCCAAAGGACACCTTGGTATACAGGCAGGGGACCTGGGTTCAAACCCCAAACCTCTGACTCAACTACTGAGCCAGAGCCACCCATTATTTACTGTCCACAAAAGTAGGCAGTAAATAAGGCTTTTCTGGGATTAAAGTAGTTTTTCACAAGATAAAGGGCAACAACATCTCTGCATGCAGTACAAGGTTTCCCAGGACCAGACTGACACGACTCAAAACCCTGAGGCCTTGTTAGCAAAAAGAAATATTTAGCTTTGATTCGATGCTCTTAAGTGGACCCATTACACCAGACAAGAAATCACTGTGACTGAGTTTTATTGTGATGGACTTTGTTCAGGAGATTTGCGCAAAGAGCAAGTGCTTAGCAAAACCAGGTGAACATGCCAAATTGTTTGTGTGAGCAAGGAAGAAATGTGCATGAAGACAAATTCCTGTTTTTGCCAGTATGTGTGTGTGTGCGTCGTGTACACAAACAAACACACACACCGCCTCGTAGCTGTGGTGAGTGCAGTAAAGTGTGAGCCCCCATCAATACGCCCCTCCGATCTACGCTGTCAGCAAACAGCGGGGAACAAAGAGGCCTGTGGCAGCGCCAGCAGGGTATAGATCTTCTCCCCTGTGTTCTGGCTCAGTGGGGTTGCGCAGGAGCCGCTCACACCTCAGTCCTCTCTATGCAACCAGTCCAGAGCTCTTAGCTGCAGCTAATGATACTGGACCATGTCCAGTCTGCAGGACCCCAAACAAGCCCACCCAGAGGATGATACAAGAAGCTATATTAGACTCTAAATCAAGACCAGAGTAATTAAAGTCACTGACATTACTGGTTCAGATAACTCAAATACATAAAGTCTAGCTCAGTAAGCATGATGTTAACGTTTTATCAAAAATTGTGTTTCATAAAATGCTTGTTCAAAAACTTTAAAATTCAGCAACAATAGGTTAACACTATCTATAAATGCAAAAAAATGAAGAACTGTTTTCTGCTTTAATTTATATTACCAAGGGCCACTGAGATAAAAAAATTCATGCAGATATTTAATAACAAATTTGGCATGATTTTTTAAGGAGTGAAAACGTCTCAGATCAGATTTGTAACAAAATGAGAAAACTTCAAACTGAGATTGAAAATATATACAGTATATAAACATAACTACAATATTTTTCATAAGCATTTAAATTTATACCTCTGCAACATTTATGTATACTAAAATAATTATATTTCTAATAAAAAGACAAGACAGACACGACAGTGGGACACCTGTTTTCACTTAGACAATCATTAAAATTGAGTTCAGTTTGAACTGATCTCTAAAACTTACTCAACATCTCTCCCTACAAACATCTCTCCCTCTGTACTTTGAATGTATATTTGACTGGATAATATAACTTACAGTAGATGACTTTTTGCATGACAGACTCAGCTACAGTAGCACTGCCACTTGACTTCCTATAATGGCGTCATTTACATCGAAACAATCCTCAGCATGCATCCCATGATCATTCAGTGATTGATTTGTGATTGCACTAATAGGGTCACGACCGAGACAATAGAATGTGTAAAGCAGAGCCTGTGCTCTTACTCGGCCTCACACAGTCACAGCGAGCCTGCCGAGCGCTGCATGTGTGGTCTGTGGGGACAATTAGCACAATCTCCATACTAATAGCAGCCTGTAATGGACACTGCTGAGCCTGCCAGCCACTGTGTGTGTGTGTGTGTTTGCATATGCATGTGTGTGTAAGGAAATGTTCGCATATGCGCATATCCTCCAGTGTGAGTGTCTTCCTGTGTGGAGTTGAGTGTCTATTTGTTCCTGTGTGTGTGTGAGCGCACTAAGTTCTCGAGTTTATGTATTTATGTATCTGCCGCGCTGGTATGTGTGTAAGGAGCCAGTGGCCTGTATTTTACAGAGGTAAACCCCCCTCCACCCCCTTCGCTGGCAGCTCTAACCCTGGTCCACGGCCACTCATTAGCACCATAATGAAGAGCTGAGACGACACGTAAAAGGTTATATACTGCTGGACTGCAGTTTTCCTATCAATTATCAGGCCTGTGATTTATGGCGCTGGCCCGATGCTATTCTCCGAGGAGAATTGGGGGAGTGTTTACACCCCTACACAGAGGAGGTGAAGGGTCAATCCTGGCAAACTCTGACCTTTGAGGGGAGGGGTGTACTGGCACTGATGGGAGTTTGTGAACTGCTTAGAAGTAACTGGATCAATGAGTGGGTTTTTAAGGATGCATGTGTAAGTAATCTGTGCTGTTTAAACTGTCACATGGACGCAGTCATAAAGCCCAGAGTTTGCTTCTTTTAAACCCTCTTCCTGGCTGTGTCTCATGACGTTGTCTACTGTAAACATTTTAATATCCAAATTCTGGTCTTAAACTGCAACATTTTCTTTTTGTGGCCTGTTACTGAAATGACAGAGAACAACACACATTCGACGACCTGTATATGACGGTAGCCACACCTCTCTGTAAAGCTGCTGAATGATGTCAGGATGTCATGTTTCCACTAATGCTATCACTTCAGGCATGCCTTTGACATATCTGCTTTTGTCAAGCTCCTACACCGCTGTTACACTCATAACAAGCACAGGTGACACGCCGTAATGAGGTTTGTGTGTGACACATGGCAAACACACACATATGCCTCATATGATATAAAAGTGAGTGTGTGTATATGTGTGTATGTGTGTGTGTGTAGCCACCTGGCTGTCATCCAGACGTGCAGTGTTGGTGTGGTCTTGCTTGTCTGTCTGCCTGCGCTGCTCCTCTGCAGCATGTGTTTAACCCCAGCGTTTGGCCTCTCTGCCCTCTCTATCTGCCTGACTGATTTGTTAGACTCCAGGGACATGACGGAGGATGTGAGTTTAAGCTGTGTGTGTGCGCGCGAGTGTGTGTGTGTGAGTGTACATGTGTGTGCGCCACTCCTCAAAAATGAGCAGTTCGGTCTACAGAAATACCCACTTCGCCTATGGATACGCTCACGCACACACGCACACACGCACACACACACACACACACACACACACACACACACACACACAAACCAGGTCTTTGAAGTGAGATCAGAGACGGCCATGATGCAAGTCGATCAGGTGCGTACAGAGAGGTTGAACTGGGGAAAAAGCAGCGAGGGGAAGAAGGAAAGATGTCTTGTGTTAAAACAAGGCTGTTGTTTTACTGACCCCCGGGTCCTGCACTCGTTTTGACCTCCCCTTCTCTCACTCTCTCTCTCTCTCTCTCTCTCTCTCTCTCTCTCTCTCTCTCTCTCTCTCTCTCTCTCAGAAACAGTGCTGCTCATGTGGGATGATCATAACAGCGATAGAGGCATTTGCAGCAACTACAATACTCATGTTTAGGCTGAACATCCTCCCGACCATCTAACAGGTGCCACAAAAAGACCCCCCCCCCCCACACACACACACCACACACACACACACACACACACACACACACACACACACACACACACACATTTCCCACAGCTACCATAAAAGCTACTAGCAGACCTATAGAAATCCTGTCTGTGTCCGACAAGCCATGTGGTCCCACAGCCTGACACCCGGAAACTTCTGAGGATCCATAGACCTGCATGGAAGCTTTAACACACATAAACATATAAACACATGCTACATTTACAATCACACAGAGGGCTAAAGAGGAGGCGAAAAAGCTGAGGAGAGTCTCCCCTCCCGCCAGGATGAAAGCCTCTTTTACTTGGGAGAACATTAGGAGAACAAACTGCCATCACAACAGGAGGGGGAACAGTCGACCGCGACGTGTTCTCACTTCAAACACGACCACCATTAATATTGTAATGCTTCCTCCCTGACTGTTTGAAATCAAGAGCGAGACTGCCAGTGTGGTCAGTGAGAGGGATGGCTGCAGATGTTTTATATTTGGAGACAATTTAGGTGTTAAAAAAACTGAGTGAAAACACAGTGAGTGTGGGGTGTGTCTCTGTTAGCTCAAAACAGGCCCAAGAGATTAAAATCATGTTCATCTATTCATGTTTGTAAGGATCTTTAATCCTAAACTTTATCTTATTTTAGTGTTTTATTTTAAATAATATGTGTGTTTGTTTCAATTTTGATTTTTTCCCTGATTTCACAAGAGTTTGTGCTTCTCATCTTTTTCCTTCACCTCCATTTTCTGACGACATCCCCAGTTTCACTTTCTTATTGCTACATTACTTTGGTTTTCTTGCTAGGGTTGGTTCGTGATCATTGAAAGCCAACACAAATTCACAGCTATATAACAAAGAAAAAAAAAGTCAAGCATATGGCCAGTGTAGCTGTTGATGCATGGAGCGCACATGCCGGTGCGCCTGATAAGGAGCAAACACCCTGGGAATAATAGCGAACAGAGGATATTATGTGTATGCATGAGCATTGAGTGGTTGCTATTGATCTCCTGTGGTCTGCCAGTGGGATGTAAACACTGTGTCTTTCAACAGGACACTCCACTCAATACGAGCGGCGAGCTGCTGCACGGAAAACACTGCGCATGGACGTCCTTCCTGTTATCAAATCAGCACACACAGCTGGAGTAATACAGCCTAGTGTGTGTCTGTGTTGAGGTCAAACGCATCAATGTACCAAACAAACTGATATGCAGAGATACATTAAAAAAGAGAAAGTTGTTTAACAGGAGAACAGTAATTAGATGATTTTTAGCTAATGCAAAAGAAGGCTAAAATCATGACTCTTACCCTAAACCATGGTGCTAATACTTCATGGTTAGGAGTCGGGCTGTTGCAATATATCAGCATCAGCAATAGCCGTATTTTAAAGATAAAACGACATATTGATGTTGTGCCAAAAATACACATGCAATAATAATGTGTAACTAATTGGTTCTTTGTTGTAACTGGTTCTCAACACTGATATTGCCACTACCATAAAACAGGGGTAAGATAAAAGAAGAAGAGACAAAGCCTCAGCCATAGAAGAAGTCAGTGAACCAGCCAGTGAGTGAGTGCCTACTGCTGAAGTGCAAACTCTGTCAGAGGAGATTACAGCAGAAAGCAAGATACTCTAACCTCATCCAAGTTCAGTTTCCTTGCCAAAATGAGAGTTTTTCTGATGTCCTAAAAAGCATTATGGCTGTATTTGTACAAATGTAACACGACATTAAGAGTAACTCGGTTGTATTTTAAAACCATGTGGCTCACATTTTATGTTGTGGTAACATCAGTCACTTATGGGGATATTTCTGTTGCTATTCGTGACTTTGGTTGTTGAAACAAAATTTGTCGTTGATCACATTTGTTACTGTTTTAAATGTTGGTGAATGCTGCTCTTTTTGTGTTCACCTCACGGTAGCAGTTATTCCACTCTGTGTGGGAGTGGCATCACCAAGTGGGCTCCTTTTGGGATTGATGCTTTTAACCTGTGTTGTAGCGTCTGCATTTGCCTTGTTTATTAAATTCTGTGTTCCATATTTGACCTGTATTTTCAGAAGAAGTCTCATTAGCTTTTATGGATTTAATGCATTTTCAACCTGCACTGAAAACATCCAATCCTGGTTTAACTAATGTTGGTAATTTTATATGCCATGTATTCTAACTACATGTTACATCTTCAATTCAATGAAAAAAAATGTTTGTAATTTTCAGAGTTACAGCTGGTGGTAAATGGTGTATAGTTGCATCTAATGAATAGCTGCATGTCATTGATTTATTGTTGTAAAGATGGGGTGTTACAGCTGTATGTTTTCCTATTTTGCAGATTCTGTCTGCTTCTCTGTGTCCTGATGGATCTAATGATCAGCTGAAGAGGTTTGACTGCTGGACTCAAAGATCGGAGGCATTTGGAGTGGGGATTGCTGCCTCTCAGACAGGGATTAGTGGTTTTGCTATGTAAAGTCCTGTTCATTTACTCTTAGTTGATATTTGTTTAACATTGTTGTCATCCATATAATAATTAATCTGCAAGTTTTTGACTATTGATGATGTTTTCTGTTGTTTTCACTGGGTCATTTTGTGGATAGCTGTTCGCTCCACAGGGTTACCTTTGGAGTGGGTCTTAAGAAAAAAAGGGCCACTTTGAAAAACATGCAACGTAAAATCACTCATAAAAGAAGACAGTGAGTTACCGTTTCATTGTAAAATAAAACAAAATAAAATATAAGATGAAAAAAGAAAAAGAGAAAGAAAAATGGAGGATTAAGTCATCAATATATTGTTGGTAATATATTAGTATTATTAAATTAAATATAAATAAATATTGCGATTACATCGTTATTATGAATTCATTTGGCTGTGATAATTATGAGGTAAAAATATATATATTGTTCTTTTTTTTTTAAACTGGATGTTCACAATGTCTACAATAAAATCTGAGTCACACATACAAATCATGTGAGCTGTACCTCGACACGCTCAGGTGACCAAAGTGACCAAACTTCAGCACAGAGATAATCTATGAGCCAAATCCAAGATGAATCTGTGTTGTATTGATTCTTGTCTGGCTGTCGCACTCATCTGCTAACAACCCGTGGATAACCGAGCGTGGAGAACGCTCACACTCTGACACATCTGGTGGAGGATCCTCAGTGTGTGTTACTCTTACATGTTTCCCCTCTATTAAGTTCCTGCAGGATTTCTCTCCACTCAGGTGAGGACTTGGAAAGTCTCTCAGTGCCCTCTCAAGAGAAGTCTTTGATGGTGCGTGTCCGATTGAAAGGTCTGATCATCATAGCATTTCAGTGTTGATTATCAGTCTTTGAGTGTAACTTCTGGCTTTAAGAAAAAAACGATCTTAGCTTTAATTCATTTTTTTTCAGTGTCAGATCCAGTCACTGGAACTTGTACCGAGTTTTATTTTAAAAACGACAGGTTGAATTAGGATTAAAGAAAAGGCAAAGGTGTCGTTTAACTATATATGAATTTCTTATTAACAGCTTGATGATATCAGTTTAATATTAATTTGCTGACTCTGTATTGGTGCAGTCCCAATAATTGCATGGAAGCTTTCTGGTTTGGAGTATTTAAACACACAACATTTGCATCAAATTGTGCAAAAATCTTGCGAACTAGATTGATTTGTAAACCAGGATGTTTCAACCATTTTTGGTGCACACAGATCAACACTGGATGACTGGTCCTGGTTTTTCTAGCGGTATGTTTTCACTGTACAGACAACTATCTCTTCTGTTCTCCTGTCTCAGAGATGTCTGCTGTTCAGGTAAAAGTCAACTCTCCACTGACAGCAACACCCAAGAGTTTGCTTGTTACAAGTATCACAACACAGGGGCTTTCAAACATCTGGCTTTAGTTATCACAGCTACCACTCATCTCGCCACCACACACAAAGCACCACTCCATCAGCGTCTGACTGTGGTGTGTTTTGCCACTCCTGTCCTCCAGTTTCCCAACCTGTGTTTCTGGTAAAAGACCGTTTTAGTTCCAGCTCCAGCCTGCAGCAGGAAGCATCTCCTTGAGGGAAATAAGCAGGACTCGCTCAAGTGAAGACATCTGCCCTTTGAAAGCAAGCGTGGCTGTTTGAACAGCTGTCAGAGCCCACCGTGTGTCTCAGACCGTCCCTGATAAAACAGAGGCGAGTCTAAGAGGGGGAAATCAACAGAGAGGAGGAACAAAATGGACAAGAGAAGATGTCCACTGCCAGTGATACACACACAGATGATGTTCTACCTGTGTGCTGTGTGGATGACAACAAGTTACCAGAGGAAAAACTCGAATAAAGCCTGATAACCAAACCAATTTAATCACATTTTTAACAGCTTGATTAAAATACAGAGCATTTCTTTAGGGTGCACGATTCAAACTTGAGGTTAACGGCAAAGCACTCAATTGTTGTGTATTTTTTAATGGTAAGTCAAAATTTTACTAATGATTTTTTTGTTACTTTTATAAGTGTTTTTGAATGTGAGGAAAAGAGAATGAAAAAAGACACGCAGCAAATGATTGTGGGAGTCGAACCTGTGACAACTACAACAAAGTCATTAACCTCTTTACATGAGGCGTCTGCTTAAACTACAAACCATGACATCTCTGCAAAAAGCAATAATTTAGTAATACCTTCACTCCTTAATTTGGACAATGTTGCAGTGTTCTAGGGGGGTTTGTATGTACCTATCATTACCTAAAAGTCCTGTAAAATCCAAAAAGGTTGAATATGTTTGATAGGGAAGCAGAGGCAAGAATCCAAATGAGTGTATTTTGTCCCATCACTTTTTCACAACCTTTAAAAAAACTGAACAACATTGGGCAGCAAGGTGCACCGTCCAGATGCTTCCTCCAATCTTGCTTTAGGAATTTGTCCTGCATTACCGATCATATATGATATCACTGTGAATATCTTAAAGGCTGAAGTTTGTTTTTTTTTTTTAATTAAAAAACAGCTCTGACAAAGAGAGAGTGCAAACATAATTATAAAGATTATTTCAATAACGAGGAGAAACTCACAAAGTTGAAGAGTTTTTATGGATTGGTTCGTACTTTGCACTTACTCTGAGTATTTGCATTCCTGCAGCAGTGTGCGAACAGCTCAGTCACAGATTTCAAGCTTAACACTTAAGACTTTTGCTCCTGAAGTGACTGTCTTTTACCCAGTCAAGAGGAACAAGTGTATGTCAGACTTAGAAAAGTGCCAGAAGCTCAATTGCATTAAAGCTCTTAGTTTGCCTGAGCTGCAATCTAATTGGATAAAGCTGAAAAAGCAGCTTCCAATGTGCTCAAATCCATTTTTTAAACCCCCATTCCCATTTTTTAGGGGATGCTCCTCATGTTATATCCCACCCCAATCTTTTGTCCTTGTCAACATTCCCCAAATGAGATTCCCGAAATCAGGAGGTGAGGGGAGCACGCATGCTCGAGTGCACTGAGCAAACATTGTCAGACAGACACACCTCTCACACCAGCATGCCGCCTGGCATCTCTTTCCTTTCCTGTCCTTATTAAAATTCCATATTGAGATTCTTCGCTGCCACTCCGCCTCCCTGGTCCTGTCACTCAGCCACCGAGCGGCGACAAAAAACCCAGCAAGTTTCAACAAAGACTCACACACATATGCACAGAGAAAGACACAATCCAAACTTTTCTTAAGACAACTCGTCCCTGCTCCCGCCCCTTTATGTGTGGGATGAAAGTTTCCTTTAGGTGCCGTGTGTGTGTAAGAGCGTGTTTCAGCGTCTCCATCTCTGCCCCCCCTCTCTCATTGTCATTATTTTCGATGGTGTCCCCCTCTGATCTGCCGAGCCTTTGGGTGCTCTCTCTCCTCTCTGTCTTCCTCTGGTCCCTTTCATCTGTCAGGCGCACCCCTTGGCTACCGCCACTGAGGGGGTTTGATTTCCCATCATGCCTAGCATTGCCTTCCTTGACTCCGGCTCCCTCTCTCCCTCTCTCTCTCCTCACCCACCCCCTCTCTCCCTCTGTTGTGCCCCCGCGTCGTCGGGCAATTATCCCAGGGAGTAATGAGGAGCGTCTCTCCCCGCGCGGCCTCGCTGACTGACACCTCTCCCACTCATTTGTCAACAAATCAGACGGCTGGTGTGGGCGGCCATATTGAGCTGAGGGTTGTCGTCGGGAAGCTGAGGCTTCATCGTTGCATCGCCACATCTGTCCCTCTCTCTCTCTCCCCCTCCATCCTTTCCTCTCTATCTCTGCCACCTCGTTATCTCTGACAGGGTGTCACTCGTTCCAACTCTCACTCCTCCTGTGTCAACCCCTCCATACGCTCGCATGTATTTGTGCTGCTCAGTCGCCGAGAAAAGTCTGACTTCCAATGGGTCCTAATGGTCATATGTGGCTAATGATCACTAAGCTGAACAAGTGACACTATTCAATTTATTTGTGTCGAAGTCGGCTGCAGTCTGCCGCTGTAAACACTTTGTCCAACTAGAAGATAAAGACCAAAGTGCGAAGGGGAAATATTCCAATATGCTCCACAAAGCCTGCTTTCAATTTGTCAACGTTATTTGATGCAGCTGTAGAGGAAATGTAAATATCTCCAGTGTCATGTCAGGGTTGGAAAGGTCTTTGAGACGCCAAATAAACTCTGTATACTTCTCTGCATGCTGTGACTGAGTGAGCCTCAGATGTGAGCTGTGTATGTTTACATATGAAGACATGTATCTGATGTGTGCCACTGTGATGGAAAGTCTACTCACTGTGTTCTTTGCGCTCTTCTGGGCTTGATGAAGCCTCTCCATCAGACAGCAGGCCGGACATGGAGAAAAGCTTCCTCCCTGAGTCCTCTCCACCTTTCAGGGAGCCCCCAGGAGAGCCAAAGTCAAACTCTTTACCCTCCATGTCTGGGAAGCAGTTTTTCAGCCTCTTTGCAGGGGTGAAAGCTGACTGGTAAACCCCCGACTCTCTCTCCTCTTGCGGGGAGGAGAAAGGACGAAAGGCGCCGACCCCGCTGTGATTTAGCATACTCAGAGTGGAGCAGTCCAGGTTTGGTGGGGTGAACTGGGGATGCAGGTGTAGCAGGGAGGCTGGGAAGTCTCGGGAGGGGAAGGTGCCTGATATGGGGCCCTGGCGCTGGTACATGGAGGTGAAAGTGTAAGAGGCAGAGGGGAATGGGAGGTGGAGGTCTTTTTCTACTGAGGCAGGGACACCAAAGGGCCGGGGCGCCTGGCATGGGACAGAGGCGTCTCGGCCGGCCTCAGCAGTGGAGGCGAGGACCATGAGAGCGGGGGAGGCTAGAGGAGTAGGCAGGTAGGAGGGGCTGTCCATCTTGAAGGGGCGGTGGAGGTCCATTCACCCTTGTTGGTGGTCCTGAGGAGAGGGAGAGGACACAGAGGATGAGGCTAAAACACAACATGAAGGGGGCAAATTGTTGCATTTTTTCAATTAAAGCTTATTCAGAGAGTGATTATTTCCACCTATTCCTCAGTGGGTTTTAAAACTGGTGTGGGCTTCTATTTAAAAAAATAACAAAGAAGGAATCATCATGTGCTTTGTAGAGTCACCAAATTTTAAGACACAACTCTTTATCCTCTCATTTTACAGAACAGTGCCTGTTGAAAATCCAGAGACGTTTTAACAATTAGAGTTTTGAATCCATTTCAGTCAAAAGGGTTAGAGGAGGCCTCCTGTGCCTGTAAATAATTACGACGGAATAAATAGCCAATAAAACACACACGCAGCTGAAGCCCGCCAAAGATCTACTTTTCATGGCGAGGTACAAGCAAATCCATTTTGGGAAGTCCTCTAAACATTCTCAAGGAAAAGAGAGACTCCTCATTTTGCTTTTTGTTCTGAATTAATTGTCTTAGTAATTCCATAAAATATAAATGAGACCGATAATTGCAAGACATTTAGGAATCTGTTTTAGGTTGAAAAAGTGTCCGAATACATGTTTGCCGTTCCTGTTTTTCTTTAATGACCAACGGTTTGCGCAAATGTTAAACAATTAACGGTGTGTTTTAATTAAGATTCTTTAAAATTAAAAGAAAAACTTCAATTCCTGTAAAGTTATAGGCTGAATGTCAATATTTAATGCGTAAAATCGTTTTTGTCTGCCGAGCAAATTCACTGCACTTTTTAAACACAAAACTCAAGTTTAACAGTGAAAAACTATTATAACAGGAATTTCCATGCAGGCCGGAAAATTTTACATTTTTCAATTAACTGCATCTTTTTACACTTCCCCCTTTTTCTTATTGATGAACCTAAACTATCAGAATAAAAAAGTTTGCGCGTAAAGTTGAAGGTTCAGCTGAATCTTGAATCTGAATATTCAGACACTCTGGAGTGAGCTTTAAATAGAATTTAAAACCACTTTTGCTCAACAAAAATGATTTAAAAGATCAAATTCGGTAAAATCCCCGTGCTGCCATTAATTTCTACCCAAATTAAAAGCGAAAGTGAAAATATTCCACCCTGAAATATTTCGAAATAACAGTTTTCACAAACTTCAGTGTACCAGCCTGAGCGCACAAGTTCCCACTCTTCAGGGACCAAAACTTCCACACAACCTCACAATACACATGGCAATCAAAGTAGTAATTAAAGCAATTAAGACAAATGGAGCTGTAATCACTTGTGTTGTCACTCCAGTACTTACCTGGACTCGGAGCGGGGATTTTTTTTTTCACCGTGAACAACTCTCTCCCTCTCCAACAACTTCTGATCTAAGGACGCGGCACTTTCTCCGGGTCCCGCAGAAAAGAGAGGGAAGGTGGAGAAAGTGGCAGCTGTAAGAAGCAGCTTCCCCAGTCCTTTTCCAGATGTTGCGAGCGCTGAAGAATGAGCTGAACTCTGAGAGGAGAGGAGTTCAGAGACGCGTGGAGTCGCTGCGTTTGTACGCACGATCAGGACATGAGTGAGTGAGTGGACTGGCTGGCTGCAGGTCGCTCTGTCTGTGTTGGTCTCTCCTTCCCGTGCTCTCCGTGTGACAAACAACCCCTTCCCACCCTTAACCCTCCCACCCCTCTCGTCTCCCCCTTTTTTCCCTGCCCTCTCTCTCGCTCTCTCACTCGCTCTCTGGAGCCTTCCCCCTCTTTCCCCCTTGTGCGCTGCTTGATATGGGCACCTTCAGTTTCTTAACCTGGAGAGAAGTGTTGGGCTGAAATTGAGTGAAAAGAAAAATAGGTGTTCATTTTTTTTTGGAGAGGGAAAAATATGACAACTTTGTGCCATAAATATACCAGATCATGTAACTTATTTTGGTTTCATCTCATAAAAGAGTAATGGTAACAATAAATCAGACTTTAGCACTTTTTATACAATCAAACTAAGTGTTTTACGTCAACAAATAGAATAAAAAAAACATGATCCAACATCAACCTGACCCCTCAAACTATGAGTTAGTAAGGACAAGTCTGCACCATCAAAATCAAACTCTAAATAAAAGATCATATGAAGTGGGTCGTAAGTGTTCGAGTTAACTCCTCACTGACACTGTGTATGTTTGTGTGTCACCGCTTTGTTTCCGTGAATGGCAGGTGATGGAATTATCCTCTCCACACTGAGCTCGCTCAGTCTCCACTCTGTGTGATTGACACTTGGGAACATTCCCTTTTGATGAGACACAATGCAAACCAGTGGTATTATTTGTCACTGATAATCTGCTTTCAACTCCAACACATTACACACGGCGTAATATCTACATTATTCATATCTGATTTCCAGCACATTGTCAGAAAACACAGCTCAGAGCACCACAAATCGGCCCAAATCACTCTTAATTTGTTTTTATCGGTATTGGTATTGCTTAAAGACTTTTTGAAATAATGTAATTGAAATAATTCCTTATTCCCCCAAGCCAATCCAGAGGCTTTACACTCCTAATCTAATGTGACACGCAATTTCCGTCTCTCAGACGATTGCTTCCCCTCAGGTCCCTGTCTTTAATGAACAGCCATTTGGCTGTGAGCCTGTGTGCGTGCATGTGTGTGACTGAGTGTGTGTGTGTAATCAGAGAGCAAGAAAGAGTCCTGAGACACGAAATGATTGAATAGGGAATATCTGAGAAGGCGAGAAGAAGAAGACACAAGGAAGAGACTGGGAATAAGAGGGGTCCTGGTGCTGGAAACTCTCTGAATAACTGGGATTCAGAGACAAACATTAGCTAAGACAGAGGAGAAACATGGTTCCTGCAAGAACATCCTCTAACATCTCTGGAGTGACCCCCCGAGATTGAGCATTCCATGTGCGCCCTCAGACTGCCCAGAGAAGAAGAGAAGGTCCAGCCAGCAGATGCAGACTTTTTAACGGGCACATAAAGAGTCCAGACTGGGTGTTACAGTCCTGCCCTCGGACCAGAGCGTGTAACACATGCATTCCTTGTGGTAAGGCAAGGTCATCACTCCACCTAGACCCCCCCCCCCTCCCCATTTCTCACACATTGTTTGGGGTCAGAGAAGCAGATGCCATGACACAAACTTACAAATATCAGACAAACTCTGCACTGATTCCAGCTCGAGGCAAGGGTAACTTTTGTTTGACTGGAAATTGACAAACAAAAGTGATCTGTGAGGCAAGCTTGTATTCCTCTAACAGGAAGTAGAAAAAAAGTATCCCAATTGCTCAGCTGACCAGTGAACACTCTCACTACAAGTGTCTCCATTGACATTATGATTATTATTTCTACCCTGTTCCCCCAATTTGGTCAGTGTGCTAGTGGCTGTGGGTGGTGTACAGTGGATGATGGGTGTGTGTGTCCTGCAGGCCCACTGAAGTGTTAATGATGTCCCCGCTGCCTCAGCCAGGTTATGGCACAGGGGCAGTTAGCCGCCCTGGGTAAACTGCACGGCTCCCAGAATAAATTGCCACCCGAAGCCACGCAGGCTGGACAGCCAGCCAATTACAGGCCTGCCCGCTCAGCTGAGGATGATGGGATATGATGTTAATTGTATGTCTTCATTTTCTGGCAGGAGGTGAGTCACTTGGCCATCTTCTTGACTGTCAAACACACACACACGGACATGCACACACACAGCGTAACGTCTTAATGCACACCATTTGTGGTCTGATTTAGTCTCTCTCTGGCCGTTGTTTGCTCTGTTAAGCAGCGTCACTCTGTCTCCGAGTTTGAAACATTTTGAAACAATTTCAAATGCTGAAAATTTCGACCAAGTTCCTCTGCGTAATTCCAACAAGTGATGGATCTTCAAAGCAAATGAAATCAACATGATGAGAGTTTTCCACTTCTTTTATTATGATGCCAGGGGTCATCAGTAGAGTCTTTTAACTTCTTTCAATGCCTAATTAGAGCAGCAAACATTAAATAGTCCTGTCTTTATTTCTTCCTCTCTCCTGTATTCCTGTTTTTGGGGCATGGAGTAAACTAAGTTACTGCTGTAATCATTTCCACACACCAATTAGTGGCAATTACCTTTTTGCTGTGGGACTCACAAGCTCCAGTTACAGCAGATTGCTTTCAAAATTCATACAGGTTCCCCTAAAGACAAAGAAAAGAGAGTGAGAGGGAGGAAAAAAGGGAGTATTCTGTCCTTTAAAAGTGTTTTATACCTGTCGGAAAAGCTGAAAAGAGCTGCGTCGGAGAGCCCAAGCAGTGGCAGTGGTGAAGATGAAGAGTGCTCAGTTCTGTGGAGTCAGTTGGGTAGTAGTCGTGTGTCGGAGTGCTCCACACTCTCCTCAGTATATCAACATAGAGACAGTCTGGTAGCAGTGCTATGGAGAGAGAGGTTAGCTACTATATTAACATAGGGAGAGACAGCGCCAGAGCGGCACAGTCTGCCAAACACTGAGCAAAGGAAGTGAGACAGAGAGAGAGGCCATCGACCAGACAGCTACAAGATGGAGTGGAAGGGAACGTGTGAGAGATGAGCTGTCGAACATGTGACAATGTGTGTGTGTGCGTGCGAGGGGGGAAAGTGGAAGTGTGTGTGTCAATGTGTGTGTGTGCGTGACAGCTCCCAATAGCAGCCAGCGAGCGTGAATGTGAGGAGGAATACAGAGAGGTGCATTATGGTCTCAATCATTGATCGCTTCCTCCCAAGGGGGCCAGTGACTGACCCCCACCAGACACAGACACACACACACAGACACACACACACACAACCACACATCAGTATCCTGTATGTTTACACATTTACAGCACAGTTGTAGGTACTCAACTTTGTTCATCCTGCTGAAGTTAAATTCCCTGAACTGAACGCGGTTTTATGAGGAGAGTACAGTTGGTGTAAATGGTTGTCAAAGAGACGAAATATTCAGTGAAGGACACAGAGCATGAACTGCATGCTGTGTGACTTCAGGGAACGTACTGTCCAATTATGTCATAACTTAAAGAATACATTTCCCCAACTGTCAACAAAACCTTCATAAGAGGAGAAACAGTATGGAAGTTTTCATGCCCTGTCTATGACACTCTGTCTAAAGTTCATACTGAAGATACTAAGAAAAGGTCTGTAGAGCAATTATCTTTTTTTTTATCACGTTTAATCACTGAATATCAGAAACTGATAGTGTTAAGTCTGGCTTTAAATAGTGTGCTTAAAATTGGATTATTTCACATTAAAAAACAGTTTTGAAGTTCACATAAACAACATTAAGCATTTCTAACCAGTGTCATTTCGAAGCAATATGAATGCTACACATTCTTCAAATAAATGCAGCACCAGAGTGGTCTGAAATCACGACTTAAAGGAAGAAGTGCTTTTTCAAAGAATGTAACGTCTGTGGGGCCAATCTAACTCAGTTGGCAGAGCAGGAACCCAGAGTTCAGAGTCTACAGATGTCCTCTACTGGTTGTTGGATTGATTTTTGGTTCCAACCAAGTGAAAACCTCCAGTCTTGAGTAATGAAGCAGATGCAGGAGTGTTAAATTCTGCAGTTTCCCATGTGCCCACTAGAGGCTGGCTGTAGAAGCACCAAAAACAACTTACACACCAACACACACAGGAGCAAATTTTTTTGTAGCATGTCAAAGGTCAGTGAATCAGGGGTGAAAGTAAGCCGGTACACAACGGTACACAATGGTACGCCGTACCAGGAAGGCATAAACAGCAGTTTACAGCCGGTATGCAGTGGTACACAAACTTTAACCCCTGCAATGTATGTAAGCTACATTTGCTTACCATGTTGTCGCACATCAGTCTGCACTCTGCGTTGCAACCGTAGTAATCCAATGGGACCATGCTGTTTGCAAGTAAGTCGTATTTCAAACAAACTACAGAAGTGGGAGCGCTTAGTGCACACTTTTGATTGGACGCTGGTCGCCTAGGTGCTGGGCATCGCCTCCCGCCTTTTGTGGAAGTAGGGAACTTTTAAAGAGACAGCTGCTTCAACCTTAATTCAGAAATAAAACAAAATGCAGAGAAAAAATGATTCTATGTTCAAGAGAAAGAGAGATGCAGCAGATGATGATGCCGTGGCATAAGAGTTGGCACCTCGTTAAACACTGTAGCTATTAGCAAGCAGGCTACAGACCCGTCTCTGATAGAATGACCAAAAGTTAGGTTGAGTCAGCATTGCCAATATGGCAACTGTCACTGATAGACTTCAAAGCTGCCTTAAAAAAAATTGGGCAGTGTCACAGATGCACCCAGTTATTGGTTACCAACTTTTGAACCCCATCAGCAGGGGCCGCCATATTGGAAATGCTGGCTCAGTCTAACCTAGGTTAACCTACCAGGAGACAAAGAGGTGGAGTTTGGACTTTCACATATTATCCTGTCAACAATAAAAAAAACATGTAACCATCTTCGTTCTGTAAGGCAAGCATGAATGTAAGGCCATGGTGTCTTTTCCAGAAAGAAACAGGATTGAAAAGCAGCCTTTCCTTTTTCTTCCACTCACTTCTAACCTTTATCTTACGTCTCATGTACCCAAGAGGCAAAAAGTAAAGAGCAGTGACAGCCTGTGTCCTCAACACACTGCCATTTTTTTTTCAGTCCACGCATATATATATATATATACACACACATAAACACAACACTGCCCACCACTAAACATCACACCCTGTCCCCTCCCCTAGCATATCCAGCCAGCCGGGGCCCAGCGTCCCCTCTCCTCTCTCACCGCCATGAGGCTGACACTAATGTGACACTCTGGAAAATAATTACCAACAAACGCACTGCTGACTGCAAACAGCTCGCTCCCCTCAGTGGACTGTCACTAGTCATTAGTCTGAACCCTGCGAGAGGACAGGACCACGGAGAGGAAAAGTGGAGGGTGGGGGTGTGTGGATGATGAGGAAGGCACACCATGTGAGGAAGGAGGAAATAAAGAGGAAGAGAAGAGCTGATGGGTGAGATGGAAATAATCTGATTTACAATTGTAAAACATGTAAAATAGTGTTGTGTGTTCGCCTGCCTGCGTTGCAGCCCTTTTTTCATCATTGGCCCCCTCTGGTGGTTTATTTTTTTATTTACTGTGGTTCAATGGAAACTCCAAGCCCACTTAACAGGAGGGGCTGTTTGGTATGAGGGATTCATACCTTACTCAGGTACATTTAGACAACCAATGCAGAGAGCAGTCTTAAGCTTTGTTTTTTGTGTCATTTATACACACCTCAAAATTAATCCATTAATGAGCGAGCGCTTGGAAGTTGTAAAAAGATAAAGAGGAAAAAACAACAACCTTCGAACAAGCAGAAAACTTAACCAGAACCAGACCCATTGGTAGACAGTCATCTGTAACACAACCATATAGCACTGGATACAAGGGAAATCCAATGGACTCTATACAACAATGGACAACATGACAGCTCTTTAAAAGTAAAGCCAAAAGATTTAGAGCCCCTCCTCTATACTGAAGTATAAGCCATTAAGTCTGCTGCCAACCCGCTAAAGGATGGGAGTTTGGACAAACTTGAGATTGGTTGACAGGAAGGGTGGGATGTCTAAACCACAGCTTTGAAAGTAGATCATCATAACTTAAAACATCAGCAACCTTTAAAAGGAACATATCTTAGCCTCACTTTTATTCAGTACAGAGCATCATTTATCTTGACATGCATACAGTTGATGCGAAATCCCATGTCTGATGGTTGGGGAAACAGAAAAATCTTCCATCCAGGTAAGCAAAGAAGTAAGTGAACAAAGCACACTCAGCCTGCAAAGTCTTCAAGGAGGCAGCAATTCCAACACAATTATCCAAATGCCACAGGGTACATCAATTCTTTGAATAGCAACCCCCTCCTCAAGACCCTTATTTGTGTTGCCTTCAGGGGGAGCTGTGCCAGAGAGAGATTAACATTTTTTAGAGCTTCCACGATGGCCAATATTAAAATGTCTCAATACATCTGCCTGGCTATTTTGATTGGTAACTTAACCCCTGACTCCTGAGTGAAAAAAGGCCCATTCTCTGAGCTGTTGTCAGTAAGCTGGAGTCTAATTCTGGAATGATTCAGGCTAATGAGCTAGTAATAGGTACTGTGTGTGTGTGTGTGTGTGTGTGTGTGTGTGTGTGTGTGTGTGTGTGTGTGTGTGTGTGTGTGTGTGTGTGTGTGTGTGTGTGTGTGTGGATGTGGAGAATATTACAGAGGAGTAGAAAAAAGGGAGGAGTGAGGATGGAGGGTTCTTATTGTTCAATAATCAAAGGGTACAAGGTTAAATATATGAGCAAGAAGCTGTTTCCTCTTTTTAAAACACAGAAACAGGTTCTTCCCCTTTCATAACTAACTAAAATATATGTAGTTTCCATACAAGCAGTCTGACTTGGTTGAAATTTGTGTTTATGTTTTACCCTTCTGAGTTCAAGATGGAGCCAGAGAGCGAGAGACAGGGAGTTAGAGAGAAAGTTGAAGAGCGTGTGTCTGTGTCATCCAGCCAATGGCTTTATCCAGCCTTATCCTGAACCATGAAACCATAGTGCATGACACCCTTCTATGCTCTGCACAGATATGGCTATTCACTGTTAGCACAGAGATTTGACAAGCCAGGCTGCGCTCACTCAACAGCCTGGGTCAAATGGATGACTGTCACAATCTTTTTTTATCTTTCTCTTCCTCTCTATTCCAGTCGCTGCACCCTCCTTTTACTCCCCACTTGCCACCAATCTCCCAACTTTGCCTGTTCAAATTGACAAATTCAACCAGCTACAAAAGAATAAATGAAAGCGAGAGGGAGAGGAGGCATCTGACGGGGGGATTATCTTCGACTGGGAGACGGGCAGGTGAACACATTCATGGGTTATTCACAAGGTCAACATTCAGATGTAAATGTTTCTCTAAACCGTGGAAAACGTGTTCAAGTTTGAGCAATGAGAAATTCTTCAATAGGAATTATATTTCTGGTTTTTAAAATTTTCAACAAAGAGTGGTCATAATTGGTCTAATTTTCACATTTTTGCTTTGCTAAGACGTGTCTGCAATTGGCTGTAAAAATACATGGTTTTTTTTCAGTGAAGGAAGCATCATCCCCCAAACAATGCATTTATATTTTACAATCTTGATGTTTAAATGTGGTTAAACTTAGCTCGAGTCCTAAACAAGCAGAGAATTTATCACATTTCAAGGAATAGTGCAATTATCTCACCATAAGAGGTGAAAAAAAATCATCTATTAACTTAAAACTAACTCAGGTTTGGGCTGATTTATACATCCCTGTGGACACAGTAACAGCTTGTTTCTCTTTTCTGATCTTTTCTTCAACATTTTAAAGTTGTGTTTTCTGACAAACATGTCATCCTGTTCGTTTCTTCTTAGTATCTGCTGTAGAAACTTTTTTTTTTTTAACCAGTTTGTTAATCAATTCTTACCAACTCCCTTGCAGTAGTTACAGACATTACATCATAGAAATAGTCAATCATGTTGCTGAGTCTTTTTGCTTTTGTAAATTATCAAAAAAATCTCTGTTAATTGTCGTCTGTTTTGCTGCAAGATACAAATCCTATCATATCGGGACTTTAAAATACATCTGAATAGTTTTTTTTTGTAATATATGAAAACGTATGACACCTTTTATGAACGTTTTCTTGTTTGTGTGCAAACATGTTACTGTTGCAACATCCTGAGTTTGGTTATCATGAACTAGCTCTGGAAGGATACTCCTGGCAAAGAGGGAGGAAAACCAACTAACCACCCTGCGACCTGATACCATGCTTTGGTTTACCTCACCAAGGCCTGCTCTCATGCTTGAGCTCATTGTGAAAAAAAAAACAAACAGGGAAAGCCTATGAGTGCAAATAAGGAAGGTATATGAAGTTGAGGGACACCTGCCAAAGAAGAGGCTGGAGATCCTGGTACTGGTCCGTACAGGTTGGGTGTTGGGGCTTTGCATGCCAGTCACTTTGGAGAGCTTTCACTGCACCTGGCACCATGAAAAAACAGATGCAGAAGAGCCATTTTCATCACAATGACATAAATGAGAAAACATCTATATAGTCTTACAGACATATTTTAATTTAGATACACTGAGTGACTAACGGCTAAAGTGAATATTTTCCTGTGAATCCACGTTTTGTTGTATGCTACTCATAACTATTAATTAATTCATTCATTCATTCACTGTAAGTATGATATTCAAATGACATCATTGAAAACCCCCACCTCATATATCCCATTGTCTCTGTTGCCGTGTGTCACCTCTGTCTGTCTACCTCTAAGCCCATGAGGCCCTTTTATGCAGCCTGTGGTTTTGTGTGTGTCAAAATCCTAATCATCACGCAATCCTCCAAACCACACACACACACACACTGACACACACATACACCGCCACACACACTCTATCGGTGTTCAGTCAGGTAAAGGTCTCTCAGTCGTGCTCTGTGAGTGGCCTCTGCTCAAACAGATCAATAGACACTGGCATGTCCCTCCACCAACCAAGAGAAAACAATTAAAAGCCATCGATCCTGTGCCAGGCTCCTCCATGAATATGCATGTGTCCTTGACCTTCCCTTGGAGAGGAGAAGAGAGACAGACAGATAGACTGACAGACAGACAAGTGTACGAGCGCTTTGTCTTTTTTCAGCCCTCCTCCAGTTTTCCTGTTATCAGGTTCATTTTTCTGCATTTCGCCGCCCTGTGTTGCTCCCTTCTCTGCGAATCTGCTCACATCAAATATCATCCATGCCTCCTGAGCTTCCATGAGGCAACTCGTTGCAATAAAGCCAATGAAACCAGTTGCTCTTTTAGATGCCCATTTTAGGCACAGATTGCTCTTTTCTAAGATCAAGTGGTCTCGCAAAGACTGTCCCCTCCAGCTCCCTTTGCTGCCTGCATCTTTTCTAATTACAGATGTGTGACATGCACATGGGGACGTCTCCATGTTAGCACATCACTGTGCCTGTCCTGACACATCCTGTGGCCACAACATCAGGGGGGCTGCAGGGGACAGCCTTGCCCTGTCCCCCGTCACTGGGGATTAGCATTAGCATGCTAACAGGACCCCTGGGGGGAGTGCTGCACCATGGGTCACACTGACAACTGTCAACAGCCGGCTTTAATTAGCCAAGCCTGGTCATCAAGAAGCTACGCTAAGGTTGATGCTACATTTAAATTCCTGATAATATATTCTGCACTTGAGCCAAAGTAGCAGTGTTTTTCATGCTAAGTGAAAGGATTCAAGTATGTCAGGCAGTTGCAGTTATATAAAAAAAAAAGAGGGTTACCCCTGTGTTTCCTCTTATCCATCATTCACCATCAAACCCAGAACCCTCCTGCTTCCTTTCTGCTTTATATCAGGAGTCAACCATGTGAGAGCTAACATGCCACACAAACTGGCTCTTAACCTGACAGTATCAAGATGGCGTTGTCATAGGCCCGGAGACAAGGTGAGAAGTGAAAGAGGTAGAGTATATCGTCAGTCAGACAGTGCATTATCCAGCTGTTCGGTGGCTGTCTACCTTTTTCAGTGGCAGGGTAATGGGAGTGTCACACACTGGCAGACAGTTGGGAGTCTCACTATTCAGCTGAGAGGCCACGTCCAGATACACACCGCCTGCTAACTGACTGCCAAGCCAGCGTTGCCTGGGCTGCCCCACAATGACTGTCAGCAGCAACCTGGGGGCTGGCGTGACTGTCAGCGACCGGTCACAAAGCATTTACCTGCTGACAGAATTGCAATTAGTCCCAGGAATGTTGTTATTGGAAGAAAAGAAAAAGGGGAGACGGAGAGGGGGTTAGCAGCAGGGACAGGTAAAGGAAGGGGTGGATAGACAAGAGATAAAAAGGAAGAGAAGGAGTGCTTTGGGGGAGGTGGTGGCAGGTGGGGAGGCATGCAGAGACAGCACAGATGGAGAGTGAGAGGTGAGTCGATAGACGAGGGTGAAAGAGGATTGTGAGAAGTGGACAGGTTTGATCTCTGAAGCAGCCTTCATTTTGTGCAAGTGTGAGATTGGTTTGAGAGGAATGTGCCTGGGTCAACATACATTAACTCACACAGAAACAGTACTCCAGTACTATAGTACTACCGCACTATAAATGTTAAAACACAAAACCATTAAGTCAGCTTCACACACTGATGACCCCCTACAGCAACTAGCTTGTGAGATTTAAAAGGAGAGAGACAAAAGCAAAAAGGACAGTCTTTTGATGCATGACCTCCTTTCAGCACCATGGACAGCTCAGTGTATCCTGTCTACGTGTCACTCTCATTTCAACACATCCATACAAATATTTGCACTAAAAAATACATAGGAGTGGCAGGAAGCACTTTGCCTTCACACAAAACCAGTAACCCTCTGTTTTCTCCCAAACTCTGGACCTCATCGCCATCCACTAATGACCCCTCTCTCTTTTTCTCTGCAAGCTAGCAGCACTCCTCTCCTGCTTCTCACTCCCCATCTTTCTCCATCCCACACACTCTTTGTGTGTGTGCTCTCGGCCTGATAAGAGAGTGGCAGGGGCTCCTCCCTGGCCCCTAAGGGAGAGACGAAGCGTGACTGAAACTGTAGTCCCAAACCAAACACAAGTGGAAATTGGTCCATGGGCCAGGATCAATAGTGAATTAGCCAGTACGCTGGTTCTATGGAGGGCTGCTTAGCTCTGATCTGATGATCCATAGTAAAGGGCTTCGAGTGGAGACTTGAGACAAGAACAGAGGAAAAGAGGACTTAGAGGTTGCGACATTGGCCTCAACAATCCAGTGGCGACCAACTCAAACTTGAAGTTTCAAGAAAATTTGAAGGCAAAGGACCAAAAATATCAACAACAGAAAAAGCCGATCCCTGAGGATAACATTTACTTCCACAGATTCGGACAATATCAGGCAGAGGTAGAAGTGATGCAATTACAGATCCATCAAGTCTACTTGGGGTAAAGGTTTGGGTGGATGGGTTTTAAAAAGTTATTTGGAGCTGTTTTTAATAAAGCTTCTACTACAGTTTCATTTTTTGGTGACATGGCCAGACTGGAGGTAATTGTTTAAAAATAAAGTGGACAAAATATAAGTGACATCCTGCAACATACACACTTCTCTACACCACCACTAACTAAGCCTTAAGCAATAAATATAAGGTATATATCATTTAACTGATGATGTCAGTAAAAAGTAAAATACAGGCGCCTTAAAGGTGAAATTTGTGGTAGTGCTGTTGCTTTGGTTTGCATGTATTCCTAGGTGTTTACAAAAGTATGGTTGGTTGATGTATATTCCACATGAATTATCAAATCAGTGTTTTTATTTCAAAGATGACTAAAGGAAGTGTTGTCTATATTGAAACAATCCAGAGTAAGATCACCGGGTCTCTGAGCAGGATTTTGTGTCTAGAGTTTTTTTTTCAAAAGGCCATTCGAGGCCATGGTCATGTCTTCTGATGTGTTTGTGGTTCAGGTGTGAGTGCTTCACTAAACTCTTACTACTGTTCATCACTGCCTGCCCTGATCTGGAAGGTGTGTGTGTGTGTGTGTGTGTGTGTGTGTGTGTGTGTGTGTGTGTGTGTGTGTGTGTGTGTGTGTCTGGTGATTAATGAGCAGCAAGGCCTGATGGATTGTTCTGATCACAGGAGGGACATCATGTTTAGACACACACACATAGTAAGACGGGATACAGGCTGTGCTGTCCGGCATGCATGCACACATACACAAGAACACCCACCCACACGCAGAGACAGACGGGCACACACACACACAGATGTGTTCATGTACAGGTCTTCAGTACTTTATGGGTACAACACTTTGTGAGTTCTCACATGAACAACTGTTTTCAGTGTAGCTGGAAATTGAGCAAAATATGGGTCTATCATTAGAGGAGGGGGATAATATGTCACTTTAAAAGACAGAACATTCATAAGGACCACATGAACTAAGTCTTTGAAAGATGTCCTCAAAAACAAAAATGTCCCCAAAATAAAGGTTCTCTACCAAAACCCACATGAATATATAAACACAGACACACACACACACACACGCTACTCAACCTCCTGCACCTTGTCCAGCTGACAGTCTGGAGTTTGGAGGCGAATATATGACCTGGGAACAGAGACGCTTCTATCACCACCTACTCTCTCTCTCTCTCTCAAAGCTCATATTGATGAGATTAGAGAAATCTCCACACCTACAGGCCAGAAAACACACACACATACACACACACACACACACACACACACACACACACACACACACACACACACACACACACACACACACACAAAACCAAGGTGGCCTTTTCCCTTAGGCCATAGCCGTAGCAGAGAACACATGTAACAATGCACCTCATGATGTTGCCTTGCTGTCTTTGCCCGGTGAAGTGGGTTATTGTGATCTGAATCCACTTTGCGACGCTCACCGTTTGACTGAGTTCTTTGGGTGATTTGCATCGATAGAGTACGGTAGCTTCGGGTCCAATGAATCGCATTTGGAATATCCCATTTTGCAACACAAACACATGCAAAGGTACAGACGCATACACATACAAACACATTCTCCCCCCCAGCAGCCTGATAAGGTTGTCTTATCAGAAAAGAAAGGGGGTGAAGTGAAAAGGGGTGCTAGCTGTGTGATAATGGCTTTCACCAAATCCCACCTCTGTCACAGATTAAAATGCCTGCTTGGAGAGCATTAGCAATCTTTCTTTTCATCTGTCTCCTCCTTTTTCCCTCCCTGTCGGCAAGTGCCATCGGATTTCTGGGCCAATCTATTGTCACAGGCTTGCCACACATACAAGGAGAAGTCAACCTCAATCTGATAGGCCATTGTCTTATTCTCCCCATCGCTGATTCCTGCTCATGGTATTGATCGCAAAGCTGTCCCTCTCCCATCTCATCACATCAGGAGCGTGTGTGTGTTTGTGTTTGTGTGTGTTTGCCTGTGTCAGTCAGTCTGATGGAAGATGTGGTCAGTGTCCCATTGGAGGAATCTCCCCCGTTGGGAGAAAACACCCAAGTTAGAACACTTATTTCGTAATGACACTCATCTATAGGTAGCTGGAGTGTTGGCTGAAACTATGTGGCATTAATCCCAGTGGACTTCCACCTAATCCGGTCACTCCAGGTATCAAGAGATCACAGAAGTGGGGAAGAAGAAGCCACTCAAAGCTAACTGTGACACTGCTCAGCTATCCCCCAGTAACACCCCTCCTCCTCCTCCTTCTCCTCGCTCTCGCGCCTCCTCCGCCATGCCTCACAGGCCCGTCTGTCACCCCTCTATAATTATGAGGAGTGAGAGTAATGTGTTGCAGTATGAATAGGATTGTCGGCCTGATTGTGATGTATAGGCTTTCATTACCATGTCCAGGCCTGTGCCCTTCGCCATGTAGGAAATCCTATTTAGGCCCTAATTTGGGAGCCTCCCCGACCATCCCGCCTGATAGCAATCACACACAGTAATTGTGTGCTGGGGCAACTGACAAGAGTGGAGGCTCAGACGTGGAGGGAAAGAAAGAAGGAGGGCTAGAAAGAGAGGGAGGAGGAGGAGCTGACAATGATATATCTGCATAGTTTGGTACATTATTTCTGTCATCCACAGCAGCATATGTATGTTTATAGCATATATCTACTCATTTTTAGGCTGTTTGTTAGCTTGCATATGATTTAGAGGCACTAGAAATATTCAGGTACTGCACAGGATCTCATGTAATTATAATATTGACAATTGGAGGGCTTCCCCTTTCCCCTCTCTCATCCTATTCCAACAATGCTACACAGCTAATTGGGAGGAGAGATCATGCTAACTCGATAATTATGATTTATGAGACAATCTCCAGTTGATATATCGTGTGTTCTCCCCTGATTCCAACACAACACAGAGCCAGCCCTCTAGCAATCAATATTTGTACATTTTCCATGTCCAAGTTGTTAACTTTTTTAATATTTCATTAGTTCCTTTTTAAAGGGGAGTGATGCTCCGCACCAACATTTATGCAGATCTGACTCCACTTATAAGCCTGTAGATAATGAATGTCTAATTGACTTATTTAAATACTTTTTGCCTGCAGGAGGGACTTTGCATTAAATGTTTGATTGCCCTCATATTAACTGTCATTAATCCCCTCTCTTCTTAATAAGGACTTTATGAGGCTTTCTTAAAACTTCTTGTCTACCTCACAGTTCTCCTTGCATAATTAAGTACAATATTCAAAAATATGGAAATGAAGAAGCTCTCAGGCTTTGACTAATGGTCTTTGTGCCACAGAACTCTAATTATAGGAAAACCTTTGCATTTCAGTTCTGCATTTGGGTCCCGGTTCATTAGCTCAGGTCAATGCGGGTCGATACTGTTAAGGCTTTTGTTTAATATCCAACTCAGGCCTGCTTTTCTTTCCACACGCAGCATTTAATAAAACTGATAGAAGTACTTTTACTTGTACAGAAAAACAAGTATTTGGACTTGGTCATGTCTTTTAAAGAAAGATGTTCAGCACAGAGGGAACTTTTGACGGTCATTACAAACTGTCACAGCGCCAGAGTGGGTGAGAGACACAAACTTGTCTGTGTTTATAGCTTAACTGATCCTCTTATTCCTGCTACTCCTCCAGTCTCTCTGCTCTGCCCTAATCTCTCCGGGGGTCTTACCGGCCCAGGATGACAAATGGGAAGGGGAGGCCAGCCAAGCGTGGGCTCTGTGGAGAGGCTCAGGCCTGGGGTCTCACTAAGCCCCCCTTGGCTCTGCCCTGGATCATCTCTGACATGGCCTTCACTAACCCCGAGGATGGAGAGGCCACACATGGCACACAAGCACAGGTACAGACACAGAATAGCTCCACAAATACAGACAAACGTGGAAAGTGTCAAACCTCTGATTGGTGTTCTGCGGCAGATTGATTTGTCGCCAATCTGCTACGACGTCTCTGCAACTTTTCATAGTTTCAGCTGCTCCAAAAGTCCTGTGCCAGTATGTGAATGTCAACTCAGAACCGGTGACACCAGATAAAACCCACCAAACTCTATTTAAGAGTACACAGTCCAGCTCAATAAAACCATGTACTAAATGACTGCAGTGTAATGAGTGGCTGTGTGGCTTCACTCTGACAGGCCATGAGAATGAAATGCGCTCTTCCCCCCTCTTCTCTCTCTCTTCTCTCTCTTTCACTCCATGCTCCTCTGCGCCCCGCTGCCTCTCAGCCACGGGATCAGCTGCAGCTGCTAATGAAACGTCAGTCAGGTAATTGAGGCTCTGGCGGTGGCGGACCAGCCAGGCAAGCAGTCAAGCTTGTGTGGGTGATGACATCGGGACGCTAGCTAGCAGCTACAGGAACTCAGCAACCCCCCTATGAAGCATCACAGGAACTGCTCCAGGAACCAGCAGGGTGGAAAGCAGTGCATTTACACTGACATTCCCCCCCACATTTTCCTGTTTGTGTTAGGAGGGAATTTAAACGATGAGTGGTGTGTGAGGTGTGTACCAGGAAGTGGAGTCATCAACTCAGCTCAGATTGTTAACCAGTTTGGCGATGGCTGCTCCCACCGAGGAGGATGTTCTGCCAGCAGCTTTAGTAAAGAAGTCAGAGGTTAAAATCCTTTGTTATTGCACCCCAGAGTGATGTTACCAACCCTGCCATGCACTGACCTGCTCAGCACCCCCAGTGAGTTATGGGTAATGTCTAATTCTCCTGCCGTGACAGCTGTGGATCCGCATGGTAAATTGGATTTTTTTTCTTTGTTAAAGTTGAGCTTGTGCAGGTGAAGACAGGGACATTCACCGCTCTGATTTGCCGGGGTAACTGTCACATATTGTTCAGAGGCCTCTCTATCTCTTGCTGACAAATCAAGTCAAACTGCTTCGTTTCTGAGGGCTGCTGGTTGAACAGAGCCGGGATGATCCGTCCAACCTGATCTCGTTTATGGTCAGCATGCAATCACAGCTCTAGCCTGAGTGGACCACACTGCTCACCCTAACGTGGCCCACTTTTCAATCATGTTTACTCTGATGTTAGAGCCAGACAATAAAATACAAGCCCATACATGAGATAAATTAGAGGCTGGTGGTTAACTCATTAATTCTTGATTCATCATCTTCATGCGCTTTTAACACCTATTGTTTTGTGACTGTTATACACCTTTGTTTCAGCACTTCACCTCACATTTCAAAACCTAACACCTTTGTTAACCATCATGAACACTATCTGCCCAGCAACAGATGGCAGACAAAAAAGTGAACTAGCTGGTTGAAGTGAAATCGCACCAAGCGGACAAAGAGCTGGACAAGAAGAACTTAGTGAAGACTGAGACAGAGTTCAAAGAATAGTAGTCGTACTAACAGCAGCAGAGGTTGAAATTTACAGATTTTACTCTCAAGCTCATGTGAGGAAATTTTGGTGTGCAGATTCTAGCCCCCTGTCTCTACCTATTTATCATCTTTATTTCAAAATCCCCCTAGATATTACTGCAGGAAGTATTTCTTATTATTCATCAAATCTACTCCTGCTTTCTTTTAACATTCGATCGAGCCACTCATTTTCAAATCTTGCATGCAAAGTTTAAAAACGAAAGTGCTTTTCTGTCAATCCCATCATGTGACGCCTCCCCTCCTGTTCTCTCACCGGTGATCTTGTTTGCTCTTGAAGAAGAGCCAATATTGATGTCAGTCTGTTTCATACGGATTAAAAATCTCTTTTCAAGGTCTTTAAATGTAAGGTCTGAGTCTTGTAGTTTGGACTGAATGAATAACTCACTAAAAGAAAGAAAGAGAAGAACTGTTTAGTGACGTCTCCAAGTGTTAATAGAGGTAAACCAGGAGTCAGCAAGGTGGCCTCATTATGTTTTATTATCTGAAGAGATTCCATAAAATTAAGATCTCACTTGTTGCCTGAATACATCTGCTATGTTTGTTGTACTCTGTGTTTCTTCTACACCTTGAAAAACAACACCTGACCAAGAAGAGCAGCACAGCACCAGGGAGTAGAAAGTCTAGATTTAGTCTACTCTCTCTGCTCTACTCCACTCTACTCTCCTCTTCTTCCTCCCTGGGGCTTTAATGTGGAGAGTGGACAGAGGGGTTAATGCCTAGCTGTAAGCACTGCTTAGCGACAGTGATTGGGTTTGTGTCGTACCAGGACTTCCCCTGGCAGCTAAAGAATTTTTTTTTTAAAAATACACTGTCCAGCCCTGTGGGCGACTGAGATTTTCAAACCTGCGGTTTTAACTCCCCTGTCCTTTGTTGCAGCTCAGTGTCCCAGGGGCACAGGTGAACTTGATGCGGAACAATGATTAAAAGTTCTGTCCCCCAAGGTGACCTGAATACAGCAGGAGGTGAAAGTCAAAGTGAGGACATGGAGATGAGAGAGGGGGGAGGAGATGAAGTCTGATTTGGACATCGAGTAAATGCCCAAACCACAACAAAGGAAAGAAATCCTCCAACCTCTGTACCTAAACTCTTATTAGACCATTCCTGCCTCTCCACCTTATAGTAATCAGTGATCATGTGAGATATGATGGGTGTAAAACGCTGTGCCACAGCAAGGAGACATAGACAATCTAATCATTGTCACATCAGCGATTACCTCCAGGCGTGATGTATTTGAACAGGCTTCTATCACATCTGCTATTACCTGCCTTTTCCTGCCTTATGTCCCTCAGTACACATCCTTTCTCTTAACTGTGTGTTCAATCACCCCCAGCAGCTTCGCCTGGCTGTGCTGCTGAGCGACCCCTCGACAGTGACGTATGCCGGCGATTAGCCTGGATACAGTTCAATTATGATAAACAGCCAGTGCACCTCTTAGGCCGTGATTAAAGCCTCAGCCTGGTCTTGATAAAGAGATCCCATCTCGATGCCATCACAACCACATTATAAGACACTCGGCCGCTGTGTTCTGCATCATGCTTTTCACATCAGTGTTACAGAACCTACACTGGAGCCTGGACCGAGCTCACAGCAGATGAAGCAAGAAGGGGTCTATATCATTCACACATGGCTGGTGATGCATCCCTGCCTCCTTTTTTTTCAATTTAGACTAGTATTTATTAATAACCTCCACTTTCTTGAAGCCTATCTTACAAGATAGCTGCCATATAACTTAAGCTGGGTTAACATATAGAGAGGTAAGAGAAAAAAGAAGACCCCGGTTTGATAAATGGATGAGCAGTGATGAAAAGCAGATATCAGAGGAGCATGAAAGGAGTGAGGGGGAGAGAAGAGCATTAATCCAACAGCAAGCTGGAAGAGAGAGGTAACGAGAATGAGAGACAGAGGAAAAAGGGGAGAGAGAGTGAGAGGGGAGGAGGAAGCCAAAGAAAGATAGCCTTTCGGCTGTGTTCTGTCAAGGGAGAAATTACACATTTACGGAGGTTTTTTCAAGCAACGACGGGTTCCATAGATCAAACCACTGGATTTATGAGCCAATTTCCAACATGAAATATAGACACAGAGAATCCATTTTACCCATGTTTACTTGCCTTCTCTCACTTCCCTTTTTCTCACTCTCTCTTTTTTCTATCATAGCCTCCAATGCGTGGACGGGTTTACCAGTGTAACTTAATCAGCTGTTATTACAGCTCTACATGACAATGTTATTACTGTGGTGAAAGGGGGAGTTTTCTGTAGTTAGAGAGAATCAAGACTTCAACATTTAAAGATTACACAAAAAATTCACCTTTTCCCTGTTTTTAAGCAAATGATCTGCTATCAACTCATCAGTATCGCACTTTAATTTTACAGCTGGGACTGTAGCGTCAAAACTTCATTAGTAATTTGTAATCCTTGTTTTCAGCTTCAGACAGCAAGATATAATTAAAGAAATTAAGAGCAATTCGGAATCAGTTGTAGTAATTTACATTCTGTATCTTGAAATACTTCAACTGTAGCAAAGCAAACCTCTAGATAGAAATATAAATAGCCACAGAATGCCCTGAACACAGCGCTGCCCTTGTCTAGGTAAACGAATTCAAAATTTGCATAGAAATTAATGTCTAAGTGGGCTAAACCCTGTAATTGACACGCAATTAGCAATATTATGGGGAGGGAGTCTAATGAAGTTTCAGTGGCACTTCAAACCTAAGAATGATCTCTGCTTAATTATCATATTAATGAAGTCATTAGTTGTCACTTAACTTAGATGACAGGTGAAATAACAATGTCATGATCTTACAATTTCTCCAGCAAATGTGTATTCAGCACTAATTACCTCCGAGTAAAGATGTCATCTGAGAAAGAGCGACACATCCTTGAAATGCGAAAAGGGCCACCGTGACATAAACAAACATAACAAGTAGGATAGAAAAAAAAAAACAATGACGTTTATTGAATCATTGACTGAAGGATCTTCAAGGCCCCCTGAGGACAAACAACACAGCTCAGCTCCTCTCCTCCAACACAGAGTGAAGGCAGCAGATGGAGCAGAAACATTCAGTGAGAGAGTCGAGAGCACTCCAGGTCGAGATGAAGCTTCGAGGGTGCGAATGGCTAACACAAATACACATTTCCAGTAAACACTACGGCATTGTTAGGCTACAAAAAAAGATATTGGCTCATGGTGCTCCCAATCCCAGTCTCTCTTTTCATTCCAATTCAGTTCAATTAAGCCGTCATTCCTGCCTTCCTGCTCGTGTCCCAATTTACAGTTGATCTTACCTCACCTGAGGCTGAGCAACAGTGGAGGCAGGGAGACAGGCAGTAATGAAATGAAATGTCACTCAGCTGTTGCCTTTGTCACTAAGATGCAAACTGGACCAGATGGGAATGGGTTGGAGAGGCGTTGTTGGTGGGTTAAAAATTGCGGTGTGTATGTGTGTGTAGTTAGCGATGTTTCAACAACAATGGAGGGGGATATGGTGCTCTGCCTCCCCATGTCCTTCTCGTCCAACCAGCCCCACTGTGACCAGAGTAACTGACACTGTCCCCCCTGTTCTCCACCGTTCAACAGCCAGAGCTCCTGTCCGCATCACGGCTTCTTCACCTTTTTGACTGAAGATGAGCTGGATGCTGACTCTCTCCTCTTGCGCTGCATAGTGACACAAAACACTCATGTTAAAAAAAAGAGTATTTAAACAGCCTGTGATCAAAGAAATTTGGTAGAATGTGTTCACAAAATTTCAAGGAACGTAGCCATAAATATTAAAACATCATCTAATAGATCACATGAACATGAGAACAACTTGAGACTGGGGGGCAAAAAGCTGATAAGACTCAAAATGCAGAACCACTGATATTGGAAAAAATTAAAAACTTTGCCTTTTGAGGCTTATCCAAACTTTCATTGATCAATTATAACATATCCTGGTTGCATAACCTAATTTGACTTTAGTCCTATCAGCAGACGCCAAATAACAAAGAAAAATAACTGCCTTAACATTGTTGGTCAGGTCTCCTTAGACTTGAGGATCTTGTCTTTTTCTTCTTAAAACTGAGTCTAGGACCAAGGTTTTCAGACTTACCGAGTTGGGGGTCAGTGGTGCTCCGACAACATCGATGATCTGCTCCTTGGCTTCCACCTTGATGTCATCAGTGCAGGGCCACGACTGAGATTCCCCAACCGGGGTAGAAGCTGTATTGCTGTTGTTGGCGTTAAGTTCTCCACTCTGTCCGGTAGAGGCTGGCCCTGTCCCAATAGATCCCCCACACATGCCTCCACTGCCAGCCTTCAGCAGTGCCTCATAACGATGACGCAGCATTTGTTGCTCATATTCACAGTTGCTGTGGGCCTGCTTCAGCTCATACAGCAGGACCAGGTCACTACGCAGCTCATTGAACATCTGAACAATCTCCTCTGTGGGCATGGGGTTCAGGTCTGGATTTACACCAAAGAGCACAAGCAGAGATGAGATACATTTAATTAAAACACAGATGTAACAGGAAGTTACAGGTTTTTCTTTGTTTTGATAAATAGATGAAAATTATGACTTAATCACCAATATTTGTCTCACTCTGGGGTCTCACTCTATTGTTACACATTTTAAACTCTTTCTCTATCTGTTTGTTTTTTAAGGAGTCTTTTGCAGAAGGGAGTGAAAAAATGTAAACTAACAAAACATCAGCAGAGCGCTAATATGTATTCACACGTACCGACTCCTTGTTCGACCAGGATCTGCTCGATGGCCTTGATCTTCTTCTGGCCAACTGAGCTTGGCAGTTTCATCTGAGACACACAAACACAAGAAAACATATGAACACCAGTGTGATTTAAGGTGCTGGGGGTATTAGGATAAACAGCTCCACCTTCGGGCTTTTAACTCATATGAAATGCACTTCAGTGAGCCAGATCAAAATGTCTTTATCCACTGAACTCTGTCTGACTGATGGCGTTGAGCAGTACTCCACTCCTTTAGCTGTGCTAATGCATTTTCCATAGAGAGTAGATGCTCCTCATCAGTCTTGAAGACGAATAAGTCCCCTGGCTAAGTCGTACAGATATTACATCGCCACTAACAGAATTAATCATCTCAGTGCTAATGAGAGATAGCCAGTCCAAGTCTGACATTCTGGTTTCATGTAGGGCTCACATTTATCAGCTACGGGGTCAAGTTTTACTGAGAAATGTTTTTATAAAATAACGGAAGTTTAAAGAAAACTTAACAAGTAAGCCACAGCAAAAAAGTGCAAGTATGATTTTGATGTTCATCACCATGTTAAAACTCAACAGTGTGCAGTATACACAGCTGCATCTTAATATCCTCAAATATTGTGAAATAGTCAAATACTTTTCTTCAGTTATCCAGGAAAGTGACCATCTAATAAGTTCCAATAAGTTACACCATGTATTCCTCAGTTTGGTTAACATCTCCAGGAAAGTAACATATTCCTCATATCAAGCCATGCCAGACCCAGAGACAAGGTCAGAAGAGTCTTACTGGGCCAAGGAGGGGAAAAAAAAAAGAACTGGACTTTCGCTCAGTGGTCCAAAGTCCTCTTTTCAAATAAAAGTAAATTTAGCATTTAATTTGGTTATCAAGGCCCTAAAGCCTGAAGGAAGAGAAGAGGGGCACGGAGTCCAATAATTTGGGATGCTGGGTCATTTACTGGTGCTAGTCCACTGTGTTTGTCTGAAGCTAATGCAGTCGTCTACTAGAAGATTTTAGGGCATGTCATCCTTCCATCTCCTGACAAGCTTTATGGAGATGCTGATTTCCTTTTCCAGCAGGAATTTGCACCTACCCACAGCGCCAAAACTACAACCAAATGGTTTGTTGACCATGCTTTCACTGTGCTTGGTTAGCCAGTACTCTGGCCTGACCTAAGCCCTGTAGAGAATCTGTGGAATATTTTTCAGGGGTGAATAAGAGAATCAGACCAAAGTTATAGACCAGCTAAAGACTGCTATGAAATATAAATATCATAAATTGATATTTCTGTATTTGTTTTTGATTAATCTTAATCACATGAGAAAATGCATTTCATTTTTTTTAATCAAAACAATTTTAAAAACTGGATCATATTCATGATATTCTGACTTTTTATAAAGAACCCTTAAGTTCCTTATACAGAGCTTTTGAATTGTTTCAACGATTCTATTCCAGTGTTGGTTCTTGTTTTGTCTGATTAGTGTTTTAAGATCTTCAATATTTCAAAGGGACAGTGAAATTTTAGATTTAAGATTGAGAACGCTGTCGTTTTATGCCCCAGTCAGATGAAGCTCTACTCACCCTCTGACTGCGCAGAGTGACTCCTGCTGATTTGAAGTCGGGGAACTTGATGCCTGCTGTCTCTGGAACAGCCTAAATGGGAAAAAAATGATAACAGATGACATATGACACCACTCTGGTCTAAAAAAAGACAACATGAAAACACTTGTGGGGAATTCTGACATGCTTTACATTCATTTACAGAGTGAGACTAGAGCTCTAAAGTCTGTGACTTTGACTCACATATTATATCAAAACATGAAAAATTAGCTATTTCCATCACTCTTGTGTACTTCTTCAGGCTTTCCCAACAAACAAGGCTTTACCTGAGTGGTAGAAATAGGTCAGCTATGTTTAATTTTGCTTCTTTTGTGTTTGTGCATTTCATACCGGTTTTTCTGTTTCTCTTTTTTGTGGGAGCTTCTTCTTGGAAACTCTCTTCTCCGCTCGCCTTAATTCTGTGGTCGTGTCAGCGGCTTTAATAAGTTTCTGCAGATCCTGGGCCTTCTTCTCCCTCTCTTTCTTCCTAGTCTCGATCTTCCTCAGTTCCTGAATAAGATATTCCTCTTCTGCCACCTGCAGGAAAATATGGAGAAGTGCAACCCAGATATTGGAGGACCACCTACCAGTATTGACAAGTCGTTTGATTTCTCAAGAGGAAATACGGCATTAAGGAGAAGTTTGTAACCGACATATGTTTTACACTGGCAGGATAACACTACACCAAAAAACACTGATCATTTAAATTAAATGGTAGTGTTACTTGTTCAGGTGTGCGATTGAAGAGCTTCTCCAACTGTTCTTTCCGACGCCTTTCATGGCCAGCGTCAAATATGTAGATCTTAGGCTCTGTCCCAGAAGCTGCACGGACCTTGGTCAGTTTTCCACAAATGTTATAATACCGTTCTTTCAGGTCTTCCACTGAACGTTTCTGAAGGAATTATTGAAGAGAATGTAGGAGAGATATGAGCTTTAATCTGCCATATCATTATTTTGTAACACTTCCACACTGAAGTTGGAGGTAAGCACTGTTGAGAAATGACTCTCATTACTCTGTATTGCTGGTAATCGTAACGATCGTGGACAACAATGAAGCGCAGGTCGAAGCGTTTGCAAAGGTCAAACAGGTGGTCTGTCTCTGCTTTAGTCCAGCCATCATCATGCAGATGCATCTGATACTCCTGCTCTGAGTAAACCGGTACCTGCACTGTCTGTAGAAAATGACAAGAGAAATATAAAAAAGTAGGTTGAGTAAAAGAAAAGAGTACATGAGAGTTTACATCTAATCAGAAGAAACAGCACAAGATAAGTAACCAAGATTAACCCATCCTTTGTGCTCGTCTTCCAGGACAATAGAGTGACTCTTAAAGGGATATTCCGGTGTAAATTTCAGTTGTGGTCAAACACACCGTAACACCAAGTTAGGCACCCCCCATTGGTATAACTTGAGAAGCAAGCAGTCGGCAACATTCATCTCTTGAGGGGGTGTCTAACTCAGTGTTACGGTGTGTTTGGCCATAACTTAAATTTACGCCGAAATATCCCTTGAACACTATCACAAGAAAATCCATCAATACCTTATTGAAGCGAGCAAAAGGGTAGTCTTTGCCCTCCTCTGCCACACGTCTCCAGTGGTGGAAAATAGCTCCATCCCTGCGGGCTGGATTGGTGAAGGGCATCCACTTCCAGGGACGGACTTTTTTGCAGCCCAGTTTGGCCTTGACAGTCCTGTAGCCCTGAGTTGTATCACTCGGCAGCAGAGGAGGTGCATCTCTGGAGATAACCAGAGGGGGGGGAAACAAGTGTTTGTCTGAGCAAGACTTTAAAAAGCAAGTGCAATAAATGATGCAATGATAAAAAACAAATTACATACTTTTTATCTGAGTAGAGCAAAGCGTAAACCTCTCTGTGCATTCCCTCTGGTCTCTTAAAGGTCAGTGTTTCTGTTGTCTTCTTGGATTTTTTCTAAAACAGGTGTTTGAGAAAATGATTATACACTCAAACATCATCATCATCACTGTTAAATATTTTTATTGATATAATTTGCAAATTTTTGTCAAGTAAGAATTATATACCATAACATCAAATAGAAAATACACTGAAGAAAGAAGGTAGATATAGTCTGTATGAAATAATTAGCATCATCAACTCAATCTCTTAATGTAAGAATGGCACATTTTGGTGATTTTTGAACAATATCGTTTGTAATCTTTTAATAATATAAATAAATGTGTTGATATAATTAAACCAACCTTTGAAATCAACATTACATGTGAGGATAGCTCACCTTGTCTGAGTTGATGAGATCTTTCTTGCTGATGGGACCTTCATTTTCCCCTCCAGTCAACTCCAGAATATCACGAACATCAGCACCGGTAGCCATGACCGTATAGAGTTGTAAATTCAAGCCTTTGAAGTCTCGTCCAGTTCAAATATCTCTCATTCATTCACCGGCGCAAGGATGTGGAGACCTCTCGTTGCTGTCTGAATAGCGCTCCTAGCTAAAGGCTAACGTTGTCATTCATAAAACTTTACGCAGAGCCGCAAAACAGCCGGGTTCAGATAAAGTCCAATATATTTTGTGATATAACTCCGTACGTATTAGTAAGAAAAACCTGTAAAAACTGTACAAAATGTTTATTTAAACATACATGGTCTATTGTTACGTTTTGATAAGCTAAGCTAAGACAGCACTACATCCGTCCGGCTGAAGTCATTGTGACTGAACTAGTATGTGAGAGTCGCCCCCCAGAGGCCTGGCGGTGTATCGTCATAATTATTTTGTTCCTTTTTTTCTTTTCTTTCCTTTTTTTCTTAATTTTAAATTTAAATACAACCCTTAAAGATATTTTTGTCAGTACAAGAAAATGTAAGCAGTTATTTATTCGCGTATCCACATGCCGTATGTATATATAAAAAAGGTTTTGTAGTCGAGGATGGGTGGAGTGTATTGTCTTAACTCCTAAATATTTAAGTTAATGTAGGGAAATAAAACTCTTTACAAAACTCACCGTCATATATCACAAGAAGGGACTGTTAGAAGCCACAGAATTTTGAATAGAATAATGAAGGACTGTATTTCTCTACCTTATTCTGTGGGGAAATACATTACATTACACGCCTGACTTATGTTTTCACAAAATTAAAGGTGCTGACTTTCTGCTCAAATGGGATTTTCAGAGTACCACATATTTATTAAGGCTTTCTTACCTTCACAAGCAAACATCACATACTGGAAAAATGCCCATCCAACATTTTGTCACCATACAACACTATTTTGAGGAATAGTAGGTTTATCACAATATATTTAAACAAAAAAACGTCCTTAAAGCTGTCTGGAATCAACGTGCTTTTGCTTTTGTTTTTTCACTACGTAAAGACAAATTTTTACAAAACATGAAATAATTCCTTATTTGTGAGCAATTTGAAATCATAAACCGTCCGGAAAGATAGTTTTGAATATCCCGTTTCACTGTCGTCAAGACCTTTACTTTGAAATACCCCACCGGAAGTAGGCTTTGGTTTAAATATATAAGAATTCATTGTGCGTGGCCCACTGATCTATCCGCCATTTTCGTGTACCTGGGTCTGACGAAGTGATCACAGTGGTACATAAATTAGGTCACTTTTGAAAGTCACTTTACTCATTCTTTTAATCAAGAATCCAGCTGTTTTCGCCGAATACTCAACAGCGCAGGAAAATGCCGAACGAGCAGGCCGAAACCACCGCCGAGAAAGCAGGCCAGCAGCCTGCTGCTCCTCAGCAGACACCGCAGCAGCAGCCGCCGCAGGGGTGAGTCCATTCATACAGCTCCCTTTGTTAGCAAGCTAATGCTAACTGTTATCTAATTATCTAAGAATAGCTTGAAAAAAAACTGCTTCTTGACACTTGTGAGCAGTCATGTTTGTTTGGATGTTTTCTGATTAAACAAATATTACAAAATTTGATGTATTGTTTGTTTGTTTTTTATGTTGCGAGTGCCTGAAGGCCCTATCTATGTGATGAAACGATTTGCCTTTTCATGTTATTGAATGTTACCAAGCGTTTACAGCTCCAGACACGTATCCGTTTCTCCCATAAAGCACCTTTAGACAACAAATTATTCAGTTATTTCCCGGTAGATGTGGAGATAACACCAAGTTGTGGATTAAAGTGTGTTAGTCGCGGCCGCGCCATGCGGCGTCTGTGCTGCCGCTTTGTTAGCAGACCAACATTAACTCTCATGGATGTACATTTTCTACTCTAGTAAACTTGAACTTGTTCATGTCTATATTAACGCTGTATGCATGACTCTAGATTCGTCGAATACATGTCACAACCAGTAAATAGATGGTTTTCTGTTTAATCTTAGTCAGATCGTCTAATTTGTCCCTTCTAACCGCCCGTAAACTTTAACTCGTGGAAATCTAAATCTGCTTTATAAGCTATTTCTGCAGTTCAGTACAAAGGTCTTTTAAAAGTGAATAACACAAATCTTCCATTCAAACTATGTCTCTATTCAGAGAAGTGAACGGGAAAGCCAAGCATGAGCCCAACTCCAGCAGGAAGGAGAGGCCCCAGAAGAGAGGTGGAGGCGGGCGTTATGAACCCTATGGAAACGCCAACAGAAGATACCGCGTTTTTGTCAGCAACATCCCTTATGATGTGAAATGGCAGGCTCTCAAAGACCTGATGAAAGAGAAAGGTAAGGTGTTTGGGAGAAGGGGCTGATTCAGCTTTAGAAAGTTAAGGTACCCATGGCCATTTCGGCCTGACCACTGCAGCTTTGAAGGGCTCTCGGGTATTTGTGCAGGGTCTCTATTTGAAGAACAGTGGTGTAATCTCGTGGGAGTTATTTGGAAGGAAGGTTATCAGTGAGGCCCCCCTACTTGTCTGTCAACTCAGGAGTTGCTGCAGATTTGCACGAGTTGTTTCAGTTTGAAGACTGAAGTCAGACTGAACATTCAAAATCCACTGAGATCAAAAACCTTTTGTGGTTTTGGGAGGTGGAGGTTGTGCATGTGCAAAGTAGATCCACGAATGGGAAAATGAAAATGAGTGGTGTACCCTGAGTGGTATAAGAATAAATAACAAAGCTGTAATATTTTTTTTCCCACAAATGGGGAACATTCTTCTTAGTCTTTATCAACAGTAATATCTAAGTCCTTGTGATTTTTATAAGTTGAAATTTGGATACATGTCCAAGGAGGTCAAAAGTGATGCAGCAACTTTGTCTATTTGCCAAAAGCTCTCTTTTTAAATGAACTGTGTGGATTATTATGTGCTGTCACTGTGGGGAAAGTTCTTGAAGGTATGGTGTATTGGAGGTGATGTATCACACGTAAATCACTCAAGTGGCATTCATTTAAAGTTAAAAGCATGTGTGTAGAACGGTGCAATCCTTTTCATAGGAGTGCCTGGTATTTGTTTTCTGACTGTCAGTTAAATTGCATTTTTCTTTTTTAGGAGTGTCCTTGACAAGCGAATATTTTCTCAGCAGATCTCCATGTTGTGCCAAACACGGCTATGCGTTGGGGATGTCTTTGGGGTACAGGTCTATAAAATGAAGCAACTTCTCACGCACTGTCCTTGTTTCTAGAGGTTTGGTCTCTGATGTCTTGCAGTTGAACAGACACAGGATCCGAGGAGGAGACACGGCTGTGGTCAACACGTAATCTAAATTCTGATGGTCTTAGGAGAAGGTCCACTTTAAGAACATGTTTGCAGTCTACAAGAGTGTGCCACCATTTAGCACATGAACATTTCTGTAACTGCAGGTTTCCTCTTATGTTCAGAGGAGGAGTGAATGATGTATCAGTCTGAGGTTAAAATGGGAACATTTGATAAGTATGCCCAGGTTTGACAATTAACTGGGTGGAGGAATTGATTGCGCGTCTCTCACTTGAAACTATTAAGGCAAGCATCTCGAGGTTCAAGGTGGTGTTCACGGCTATATATCCAAATAGGAGGGCTGATGGCCGATACAGCAGTTGTTGTACTAAGCCTAGTACCTTTGGTGCTTGGGTGCTTCCAACAAGGACAGGCTGAGAAGTGCAATTTTCTTTAAAGACTCTAGCTTGCTTTTTGTAGACCTGTACCATCTTGTGCTGCTGCAGAGGTGCTGGGGAAGGCTCAGGACCAGCGGTCTGAGCTCACTGTCACCGGCCACCCTGTTAGTGTTTCTGCTCTAAACCCCAATTGTTCTCTCGGCTTCTCTCCCCTTGGTGTGTGTCGTCTCTGGAATCTGATTTGTAGTGGGTGATGTTACGTACGTGGAACACTTAATGGACGCAGAAGGCAAATCAAGGGTAAGTGCAAATACATACAAATAAAACTCATGACTATTCCTTGACAAACCTGTGTTTGTCAGCTTTGGTTCCTTAATTTTCATTGTTGGAACTGTTCAGATACACAAACCTGGCGGAGTGTGTGTGAGAAGGTGACCCGCAGGAGGCGTGTTCTATTTGGTGTCGTCTGTGGCACTGACTTGAGGTCCTCATGAGGGTTGATGCTTTTGTAACAGGTCTCCAGCTTTCTATGTAGTCAATCCTGTGGGATTGCAGTAGTTGAACATGTCCCTTTGATGCTGAATTTGCTGCCTATGAACAGAAGTTCAGCCTGCAAGAGGTTGCTTTAAGGCTGTTCTGTTGGTTAAATTGTACTCATTCTGTAGCCTCCAATGCCCCAGTAGAGTGGAATCCTATCTCACAGTGGATATTCTGCCCTTTTGGTGTTGGAAAAATACTGCATTACTCCAGTCTTGACTGCATTGTGTTAGTGACTGTGGAAAATGTGACATCTTTACATTGCATTTTTATTTGCAAGCAAAGTTGTGGCAAAGTTTGTAGACTTCTTTTGATAAACAACATTTTGTTGTGCATGCAGTTCTCTCTTTTTTTACTGAGTAAAGTGCCAATGAGGACCATTGCCTAAACTAATTTGACATTTTCTTTACTCTTCTTGGTGCTGCATTTCATGACATCTTCAATCAACAAAGGGTTGTGCGTAAGTAGTCAATTTTTTTTATTTCCCGTCGTTTCTGTTGCAGTGCCACAGCTGGACTGATTGGAAATCAAAGCTTCTTTGACAATTAATTTAACTCAAAAGTAATTTTTGGAAAGTGTAATGATGTATTGTCCATATCTTTCAGTGTTGTTGAGTTTAGGAGTGAAGAGCTGATGAAGAAAGCTGTGGAAAAGGTCAACAAGCATAATCTCAATGGGAGACCCCTCAAAGTGAAAGAGGTAAGCTATAAGAGGAAATATCAGGGCGATAAACAGCACGAAAACATGAATGTTAAATTTTAAATTCCACATATATTGTGCTTTTTGTTAGGACCCTGATGGTGTGATTGCTCAGAGAGAAATCAACAAGGCTCAGGGTGGAGGACCCCCAGGAGGCCATGGGGCAATGGGCGGGATGGATCGGATGAATATGGATCGAATGGGCCCTGGACCCAATGGCCCCATGGTTAACATCCCTCCAAGCCTGATGAACAACCCAAACATTCCCAACGAGATCATTCATGGGCTTCAGGCTGGCAGAATTGGCAGCACCGTCTTTGTTGCTAATGTACGGATAAAAGATATTTGTCATTCCAATCAATAATCCTATTAAACATGATAAAGTCAGCCAAAGTTGCTTTACAGAAAGTTTCATTTTAATTTAATCAGTCTTAAAGACGACAAGTAACCTTTTCTGAAATTGTTGATGTTTGCAGCTTGACTACAAAGTGGGGTGGAAGAAGCTGAAAGAGGTTTTCAGCATGGCTGGTATGGTGGTGAGGGCTGACATCCTGGAAGACAAGGACGGGAAAAGCAGAGGCATGGGAACAGTGACATTTGACATGCCCCTTGAAGCAGTCCAAGCTGTCTGTATCCTTTTTGGAAAAAAAAAAAACATGTCTGAATGGAACAAAGTGAATTCACTGTTAACTCTGTAGAATCAAAAAATGTTTCCACTGTGCTTTCCTTAATGATGTCTAAGCTATGTTCAATGGGCAGCTGCTGTTCAACCGACTCATGCACGTTAAACTGGTGAGAATCCGAAACTCCCTTTTACATGATCTCAGAGTCATAAGTGGCGCAGTCTAAATCTGTTTATGTCTATTTTCTAGGATGAAAAATCAATGCCTAAAGATTTTGGACCAGCTGAGAGAGCAGCAGCTCTTCCCCGTAAGTACACTTGTGAATAGTTTCACGTATGTATTTAAAAAACTTAAAAGCAACAACCTCTGCATTCAGTCATTCACATTTTATTCATTTGGTGTAAAGTTAAAACATCCAAGGTGCCAACTGTTGCTCTTAATTTTGTCCCCTATCAACATTGGGTGGTCTATCAAAAGAAAGGACTGGGTCACCTAACATGTTGAACATGTAAATGTAACAATTTCTTCAAATTGCACCATTTTTCTCTACCCAGGTGGCCTGAGTGGTATTGGTTTGGGTCTAGGACCTGGTGGGCAACCCATTGATGCAGCTCAGCTCAACAGAGGAAGTGGTGGAGGAATGGGCAACATGGGTCCTGGAGGTGGATATCTAAAATGTTTCCAGTTTTTGTTTAAAAAATGTGCTAGTGGAATGATGAGCTAATTAACTCCTCTTCAACTTCTTTGTAGGAATGGATGGAATGGGCTTCGGCAACATGGGAGGTCGCATGGGAGGAGGAGGAGGAGGTGGAGGAGGTATGTAATGAAGTCTTTTGGTGACTATGGCCCCAACTGTGATCACGGCTACAGACGCACATATGCAACATAATTGCATAATAAGTACTTATTATCCTTAATGTGTTAAGTATGGAGTGTATCAGTAGGCAAATCCTTAGCCAATTACAGTAACTCACTAAATGGAACTGAAGTAATTCCAGCAGTGAGTTACAAAACAGTGCATCAATTATAATACTAATAGGAAAAGCATAGATTAAGATTTTTTCTCTTGTCTTTCAGGAGGAATGGACAACTTTGGAGGCATGAACAACATGGATCGTTTCGGTTCTTCAGGAATGGGCAGAATGAATGGTAAGGACCCGTTTGCGGTGTCAGTCACTACAAGGCAAGCGTGAAACACTCTCGCGTCTTGCTGGACATTTCTAATGGTTTCATCTCTTGCATTGTCAGAGATGGACCGTGGGATTGGTGGTGCTTTTGACAGGGAGTTTGGGCGAAATGAAATGGGAATGTCTCGCAATAATTTTGGAGACTCGTTTGAAAGAGGAATGGGTTAGTATGTTCAGGATTATGTTGGAAATACTTGTGACAGCCAACCTGGAGAGCCTTGTCAGAGGCAATGCCAACTCAATATCAGGACAGCCATTTAACCCTTTGCATTTTTTCCCTTGTATAGGAAACAACATGGGTATGGACCGCATGAGCTCTGGAATGGACCGCTTAGGATCCAGCATGGACCGCATGGGTGGGATGGACCGAATGGGCATGGACAGGATGGACCGTATGTCTGACCTGGATAGGCTTGGTTCAGGGTTTGACCGTATGGGCTCAGGGATGGACAGGCTGGGGCCCAGTATGGACAGGCTTGGACCTGGCCTAGACCGTATGGGCTCCAGCATGGACCGCCTTGGCCCAACTGGGTTTGATCGCCTCGGTTCCTCTGGGATGGATCGCATGGGCTCTGGCATGGACTTTGGCTCCCCAATGGGTATTGATCGCATGGGCAACACTGGGCTTGACAGAATGAGCAGCAGCTTCGACCGCATCGGCTCAACTGGAGGACTTGACCGCTTCCCCTCAGGTGGTCTTGACCGCATGGGCTCAGGCTTGGATCGAATGGGATCTGGAGGTGTGGGTGGTCAGTTTGATCGCTCTGCTGACATGGACCGTGGGTTTGGTGCAAACGCCTTTGGAGGAGCTGGAGGACCTGGAACTGGGGGCAGCAATGTCAGAAAGGGATGCCAGATCTTTGTGAGAAATGTAAGTGTTTTTTTCTTTGTGGTCAGTTTAACAGGAAATGTTCAGTTGTTTTCTTTCATGAATAATAATCCATTTTTGATGGTTGGTTTTCAGCTGCCCTTTGACTTCAGCTGGAAGATGCTGAAGGAAACTTTCAACACTTGCGGTAAGACTGGCCTACACTGTTGAACAATGTTTGCCATGGAGCACATGCAATATTCATACGCCTATGTACTCACTGTTTTATTTTTTACAGGCATTGTGCAGTATGCTGATATAAAGATGGAGAATGGCAAATCCAAAGGCTGTGGTGTGGTTCGCTTCGACAGCCCTGAGACCGCAGAGCGTGCCTGCAGGACCATGAACGGCTATCGCTTGAATGGAAGAGAGATCGATGTCAGGATTGATAGGAATGCTTAAGTCATTCGCCTGTCAGCCTATGGCATTTTGTTTAGCCTCTGATGTCAAACACTCTTATCATCTGAATTGCTGTTAGGCATATTCGTTCTGTATTCATATTCACTTGGTTTGTTAGATATATGTAACAGTTGTAATGATGTTTTAGGAAGTGATATGTTACCTATGGTGTTTGTTTTTGCTTAAATTTTACTTTTTTTAGAGACCAAATTTTAATTTTTTTCTGTCATGCTTCACTTATCATTGCCTTTGTTCTGTGTCATGGTTTTGATAAATAAACCTCGATATTTGAAGTGCTCTTTGTTACTGACTCACTTATTGGTACAACAGACTGATAAAGGAAGTGAACAATGTGAGACCAACTGAGTAAAGCCAGTAGTAGTTTTAACAGTATGTTGGGATAAAAACAAAAACCCTTGATGGATATGAAAGTCGGAACCAGCTATTTGATCTAAAATGAGGTTTTTTCACCGCGCTGTGAAGTCCCTCCCTCGTGGAAGTGGAAGGTCACAACCGGAAGAAGGTCATAGAAATCACATTCAAGATGGCGGCCCCCTTGTGTCAGTGTTATCAGGTGAGTTCTTGGGAAGTAATTTTCAAGAATTAATTTCAATCGACAAAGTAATGGAAAACCTTAAAGGTATGTTTGAACCAACCATTCTCCCCTAGATTTAACTGCAGTGATATTTTTCTTAGTTTATCACCAACAAAGCGCATGCTAGCTAAGTTAGCCCTGTTCATGAATATATTCAGCCGGTGTTTGGACTCAGAGCTACAAAGAGCAGTCAATGTAAGTTAAGAGTAAGCGTCGTCTTACTAATGATTGTAAAAGCGTTTGTAACTTGCGGAGTTATATTTTCAGTAAATGTATTTTCTAAATTAAAACCTAGTTTGTAAGAGAGTAGCACTTTACGCTTTGGTGTCGAGCTTTCATACAGAAACTTAACCCACTTGGCGTGACTGCCAAACGTAATTTTGTCTGTCTTTGCTCGTCATAACATCCAGATATGTGTAAGAAGAGGCTTTTCGACGTTCCCTTCATCATACATATTCCCCCACAACAGACCAAATGTCTACAGGATACGTGGACTCCTCACGTGCACCACACAGGTACCAGATGTTTTCAGTATCTTTGATTACTGACCTACCTCTATCTAAAGGCTTACTCTAAAGATATGTCAAACAAACTCACCAAAAGTCAATAATAACATTATATCATTAACATTGATTAAGTGTTTTAGCATTCATCTCTTCTAGTTTTAATGACAGGATTGTATTTTATTGAGCTATTTTGGTGCTCTTATTTTAATATCTTTTTCTGTTGTTTTTATTTCATCTTATTTATTATTTCTTAAATATCATTCTATGCTACTTTGTTTTCAGATCTTGACCCAAACCTCCAGTGTTTCCTTATCTTGAGTTTTAAAATGACCTTTCCTCAGTGTGCACACTTGTGTTTCCACAAAATTAAGCTCTTTTAAGTTAATGTATTTTAATACTGATTCTGATGCATTTAAGACTGTGGGGTGGGAATGAGGGGTTGGGCTGGGGTAGATTTGGGTATTCTGTGTGCTACATGGCTATGCATGAAAAGTGCTAAATATATTAAGACTGATTGATTGATTGATGATCCTGAATTGAAGCATGATTTAACTACTCCAGAAATGCCTGTGATTAAGTATTTGTGTATGTGTTTTCTTTTTTTTTTTTTCCTTTTCTACTTGATTGTATCCACAAGGTGCTTCACTTACCTGGTCCACAGGTGAGGTATATGTCAGCAGATAGAGGTGGTGGCAGAAAAGGTTTCCTGGGGGAGTTTCTGGACAACCTGAAACAAGAGTTAAACAAGAACAAAGAAATGAAAGAAAACATCAAGAAGTTCCGGGAAGAGGCCAAAAAACTGGAGGAGTCAGATGCATTGCAACAAGCTCGAAGGAAATATGTATGTACCTGTCCACACATGCCTACAGCTTTTTTTTTCATTTTGTTATTAGATATTCCTAATGTTGCACTCTCTCTCCCAGAAAACTATAGAGTCTGAAACAGCAAAGACATCTGAGGTTCTGAAGAAGAAATTGGAAAACATCTCTGAGACAGTCAAAGAGGTAAATGTGACAGGTATTTCAATTAGCTGTGGCCTCTTTCCAATGATAGACAATCTGTCATGGATGATTCATCCACAGTTACAAGTCCTAAATCTGTGTGTGCGTGTATTTGGACAGGGGCTGGGAGAAGTTGGCCGCACAGAAATTGGGAAGAAAATCAAGGAGGGAATGGAGGAAGCAGCAAAAACAGCCAAGACTTCAGCAGAGAGTGTCACAAAGGGTGGAGAGAAGTTGGGAAAAACTGGTGCCTTCAGAGCGATATCACAAGTATGGAGTCACTGTTCTCTTAAACTACCAATTAAGGAGCAACACACAATACTTAAACTAAGTATTTAATGACATCTAACTGCATTGCTATTTTGTGCAAAGCTTGTTTTGCTATGTTAAGGTAGAATTACAGTCATTTACCCTGAAAAAAAATATTTGCAGATTAAAGAAAACGGAAATGATTTTCCTGATCACCACTGTATGTTTTTCCTCTTGCTGTTTCTTCAAATATCAGGGCATGGAGAGTGTCAAGAAAGAAATTGGTGATCTTGGTCACACTGGACCTTATCGACCTCCTGCCAAACTAAGGAAGAGGACTGAGTTCTCATCCAAGGGGTCAGGGGATGAGAGCAAAGTTTTTGAAGCTAATGAGTAAGTGAGTTCCCTCTTCTATAACCTGACACTGGTAGAGGACAACTTTCAGCTTCAGTTTTAGCCCGTAGACTGAGAGCTCTATCTGGTTAGGCAAAAGAAGAACCCCTAACTATACTTGGCAAAGTCAGCTTTGTGATTGTTCTTGTGTTTTTTTAGGGAAGCTATGGGTGTGGTGCTCCATAAAGACTCAAAATGGTACCAGCAGTGGAAAGACTTCAAGGACAATAATGCGGTCTTCAACCGTAAGAACCAACTTAATGTTTTTTGTTTTTTTTTATCTTTGGAGGTTTTCTTTTCTGTCAGCTCTCATTTTGTGTCACACAACCTGAAATGGCATGCTGGGACAACAGTATCTATATTGCAGGAACAGTATGAGAGTATAATGGCCTGATGTTGGCTGAACTGAGTTACGGTGCTGTTGCAGAATAATATCATGAAAGAGGCTATGAAGTTTAAGTTTAACCAGAATTGGTATTGTATTTGTCAATTACAAATGCAATTAAGAAAGATTGATTTATCTTAATTTAGTGGTTCACATCTGGGTGTGATTTACAAGCTAATGAGGCTCCAATATGATGAGTTTACTCTGAAGTCCGGGTAAGCAGCATACCATATGGATAAGGGTAAGGAAGTGTAAATGTTACTTGGATGTTATAAAGAGAAAAGTTACATTAATAATTGTGCTTGGGCAGGTGCAGAAAAATACTCAAGTTTTAATGACAAAACATCACTCAATGTGTAGACTTGTCAATTTACATATTTAAGAATGCAGAAGCAACATATTTTACCTTTTGTGCTAGATACAAGGGCTGGACTGTGAACATGTGTGCTGCGAGAGGCTGTATACGCAGCAGATGTTTTTTATTCAGATGATTCATCAGAATAATTGCACTCCGGGGCTCTTACAGAATTTGCTAAATGGGACATAATTTCTGATTTGCTGTCCCTGTGTAATGTTCTGCACCAAATTAATCAATCTGCCCACAGTCACATAGGTGGTATCAATTGATAGATGTTTTGTTAAATAGGGAGGGAGACTTCAGATTTCAGATACAGAGGATCATCAATGAGTGTGTGTGTGTGTGTGTGTGTGTGTGTGTGTGTGTGTGTGTGTACTTTCTGTCTTACTCATGTGTTTGTATAAAGACGATGAAAGCCGCAGGTCTCGAAGACAAACTTACATTTTGCCTTTTTTATGTTCCCTGCAGGGTTTTTTGAGATGAAGATGAAGTATGATGAAAGTGATAACGCCCTCATCAGAGCATCTCGAGCTGTCACTGACAAGATGACTGACCTTATAGGTGAGAAACCTTTGGTTTGATAATCTGAATTAATCTCTCAGGGAGAAACTTTTAAGGTAAGAAGAGGACTCAAAGGTCATTGTAAATCAAACCCTTGAGCCAAAAAGAAAAGAGAAAAAAGTGATCTGTGTTAAACAGATTTAATTTCTTGAATTTACTATTGAGATCATTTTTCACCCAAAGTAGAACAGGTCCTGAGCTTTCCTTTAACAGGACAAATATATCTTGAATTGTTAGAGTTCTACTATTGATTTGCATTTTTCCCTGCACTGATGTTGCTCCTCTGTGTGTCTGTATGTGTCTAGGCGGGCTGTTTTCTAAGACGGAGATGTCTGAAGTATTAACAGAAATCCTAAAAGTCGACCCATCCTTTGACAAAGACTCTTTTCTGAAGCAGTGTGAACGAGATATCATCCCAAATATACTAGAGGTACGTCAGCCTGCAAATAACATTGGCCACAGAGTTTGTGTATTTGGCTCGGTTAGCTGTTACACATTTGAGTATAGCTGAAATGGATCACTTGAAGGGTGTTGATGACAATGATAGATTAATAAAATGTAAATTTAAGTAGATATGATTTTTTTTCCGTGCAAACACAGTAAAACATATAAAACTGTATGTTTAAAATAAAACATAGGTAAACCTTCAGGATTTTCCTTCCAGATTTCTTCAGGGAGTCTTTCTTTGTTTTCTAGTTTGTTTTTCTCTGTTTGCAGGCGATGATCAGAGGGGAGCTGGAGATTCTGAAAGACTGGTGTTATGAAGCGGTATGAATTTTCTCACATACTTGGTCTGAGCTTCAACTGCTGTTGTTACATATCCATACTTTTTCTTTAAGAAAAAGCACCACAGAGCTTACTGGTGCATATATTACCTTCAAGTGGGCATATCTACATGAACTGTATGGTGATAACGTTATCTTTGCTTTCCTCATAATGGGTGTGTAGACTTACAGCCAGCTGGCACACCCTATTCAGCAAGCCAAGGCTATGGGACTTCAATTTCACTCTAAGATCCTGGACATCGACAATATTGATGTAAGTGACTCCAGACTCCACAACTCAAGCTTACAGTTAATGTCTGTTTTTACTGAGCATGAGAAATGCCTGAAATCAAACATGATATCACCTTAAAATAATAATGATAGTCATCTTAGTGTCTTCTTAAACCTGGAATATAAAAAAACAACATTTTTCATAAGTAAATGGCACAACTTTGGGTTAACAAATACCAGCTGGTATTAAAGAAAATTGAAGCACATTAAGAATCCCTTTGTATGACTTTGTATTAACCATGTTTTCCTACATGAAACAAACTTTTACTGGACTTTGTAATGACAGCAACACCTGCTTTGCTTTGAAGAGCTTTTTTTTAATATTTGTGGTAATCTGTTGGGTCAAAATCAGACTACATCTTTAGTCTTTTTAACCGTTTTGATTTTCAGCCAGCACGTTGGTCTTTCAGCCGTAACAACTTGAATGCACTCACATGCATGTCGTCTTTTTCAGTTGGCAATGGGGAAGATGATGGATCAGGGTCCAGTGCTGATAATCACCTTTCAGGCTCAGTTAGTCATGGTGATCCGAAACACTAAAGGAGAGGTGGTGGAGGGAGATCCTGTAAGTAAAACACTCACATCCACATCAGATCAAAAACAGGAAGCAGTCTACACAAATAAAAACAAAACACAATAAATTATGCTGATAAAATATTACAAGACACAAAATAACTTGGGCATGGATTATATTTTTTTATGCTCCACACTTAAACTAAATCCATAATGGCTGTTTGTCAGCTGTGTTGTCTACTTAGAGCTATTTCAGGACACCTGTAATGGGTCAGGAGGTTGCTGTATCCACTCAGTACTAAGCAGTTGGCATCTTCCAAGCATTCAGTTTAAAAGACTCCTGCAGGAGGATTAATGGCGGATGTACTGTTCTCTCTTTTATCGGCTAAATCCAAATGTCGAACAGACAGACTGCCAATGGGGACCCTAGTATTCTCACTCTTAATCCTCTTTCAAACTTTCTTGGCTTTTAAGACAAAAGGGACATCAGGATTATTGACTCTGCAAAGCTGACCTAAATATCATGTGAGCAATAAAACTGAGTGTCAGTGGGTGTCATAGTCACCTCTTGACTCTCTAAATGGTCTCAGAGAGAGTTGATTATATAAAACCAGTACAGTAAGTGGGAAAAAAGTGCCAAAGCTCTTTTCATTCACCTGTTGGCGTGTTTCTAGTGCAGCCAATACTTTTCTAAATGTTAAGGGTTGATAAAAGGTAACAGAATATGATACTGATTCCTAAGGCATATATTTAATGAAACAACTACTGTGTCACTCAAAGAATCTCTGCATCATATCTGCAGAGTCAAGCGAGTTCATGTTAACTTGGCATTATGGTGAAAATACACTAGGAAGTGTCATTAAATGCCTATGATAGGTCACATAGTGCCTCATGGGTAATGTTTTAGGTGCTGTTATAAATCTTCAAGAGAAATTGTGGTATAAAAAGTCAGAAAAGGGGAGCTGGCTGCTGGGAAGAAGTCTGGGTATTCCCAGAAAGTCTCTGTATACTCACATGTATTCCATTTAAAAGTGGTGGTGCTTTTGCCTACTGTTGAATTGCATTAAACCCTACATTAGTTTCAGTATCTCTTAAACTTAATTCAAATTTGATCTGATTGATTTAATTCTGTCTGCCTCTAGTGTTTCACTGTGATTTTAGAATAATTGGTTGTTAAGACATGAACATGTCCCCCTAGGAAAAAGTGCTGAGGATGATGTACGTGTGGGCTTTGTGTCGAGACCAAGAGGAGCTCAACCCATATGCTGCATGGAGACTACTCGACATCTCAGCTTCAAGCACAGAGCAGATCCTCTAAGACTCTTTGATATGCACAGAATAAACATCAACTCAGGAGAGAACTTACTGTACCTGAAGAGATCCTGGTTCTGGCTGAGTAGAAAGAGGGGGAGAGAGGAAGGAAGGAGGGAGGAGCTGAAAGGCTGACGGGATGGGACGTGGGTCGACTCCAAAACAGAAGCATGAAGGAGTAGTGATAAAAGCTTGGAGCTTCACTCCTTTTTATCTCCCACCCTGGCTTTAGGATCAGTCACTGCAATCTCTTTTTTAAAGGCTGATAGTTGTTTCTCAGGCTCACACTGGGGGGCAGTAGAGTACCAACAACTCTCACCTAGTGCCCTATCTGCAAGGTTTGTACTGACACTGAACTTCACAGTGAGCAGTAGCTGTTCTTGTCCTTTCAATAATAAATTGAGGTATTTAATTATCAGGATAAGCTTTGAAACTTTTAAAAAAACTAAGAAATTATTTTCAAGTTCCACCTTGAACATCAGGTGGGAGCCAGTCTCTCTCCCCCTCTGAGATGTTGTGTCTTGTGGTGATAGATGGTTTTGTGGCCAATCAGCGCTCTCCTAGATACTTGTTTTTATCACGATTGTCCCATGTAATTGTTAAACTGTGAGAAAGTCTATATTTATTATGAAAAATAAAGATGAACCCATTTTTCACTCAAGCCAACATTTTTGAAAATAAATTTCTATTAAATATTTTTCACCTTCCTGCAAATGATTTTTTTTTCCTTTTTCTGTTTCTTATTTGACTCCTTTTAGGCGGTTACTGATATTTTTTAGTTCAATCCCAAAGTGTGGTCTCAGTCAAGCGTGTCTTTTAGTGAAAATACTTATTCTGAATGAATTTAACAACAAAAGCTGGAAGACTCATTTACTTTAAGCCACCTCTCTGAGCCCTGACCAGAAGCATTTTGGTGGCTTTCATTTAAAACCTTCCTCCTCTCTTATTTTTGCTTTTTGCTCATGATGCATCTCTTTTCCCTGCAGAATGGTGAAGAGCTGTAGGTCACTGCTCTATTTATTGTGCCATGTTGTTGCCCTGCACATCAGAACCAAAGGGCCCATAATTGACAGCCCGCGCCACTATGTTCAAGAAGGAGAAATGCAAGCGCTGATTTGCTCCCTCTGAAATATATCCAACCAATACCATCACCAGATTCTCGTCACATGATGGGGCTGGAGGTCATTTCTGCAGACTGGGCTTAAAGGGTATCATGTCAGGTATCGGGGCGCATTTAGCAGAACAGATTTTGTTTTTGTTAACCTAGGATTTTGTTTTTGTGTCATCATAAGGAGTGCGCCCCCCTTTAAGGAGGCTACCATTCTCCACTGCTGTTTCGACAGTGGCACAAAATGAACAAACTGGGGTAGGGGCCACACATTTGTAGTGGAAAGCCACTTGAAATCAACTAGAAAACGCTGTCTTTTGTGCATAAAAAAGGACTAACAAGTTTATGATCAGCTCCGTCTTGCCGGAGTCAGCTTTGATGTTATTTTTGCTTCCTTTCTAAAGGATTTCACCTCGATGTCCGACATACTGGACTAGTTTATAGTGTTTGATCCTGTTGTGTTCTTAGAAGGTAAATTAAAATCTGTTTTGAAGTCCCTTCTCCTTTCGAGACATGTGCTTCAATTTAGGTGTGTCTTAAATGCTTTTGGATACAGGTTGAAACTGTGATGTTCACAGTCCTTGGCAGCAGTCAGAAGGCTCAGTACAGATGGTTGGATGCAGAACAGCATGAAGGGTTGCATCTATTTGGACTGGTCTAGTCTCACTTGCAGGATTGATTACAGCAGCCTTGTTTTTGAAGGTATATGCCGTCCTTACAAAACAGCATTCATGTTGTGTATGCCCCCGTATGTGCTGGGATGTATGTCCGTACATGTAGACCAGCAGCTCCTTTGTTCCTCGGCTGTCCCGGATGATGGATCTTCTCTGTCGCTTTGCTGTGCTGAGGTTGCAGCTCCCCAATGTGGTGCTCATCGCTCAGGGTGCACCCCCCACATCCTACGCACAGAGCCCTGGACACAGGTATTCATGGGAGCCACTCTGAAGAATTTTCTGCTGGTAAAATGTTGTATCCTATCAGACACTCACAGACCGAGAGAAAATTTGACTAGCACCCATGTGAACCTGCACACAGCCTTAAGAACACGACTCCCAGAGGACAGGATAATCAGCTTGCTAAGTACTTTTCAACTTTGTTGCCGGAAAGTGGTTGATTTTATTAATATTTTAGTTTTTAAGGTAGCACTGTGGTGTTCTGCAGTAAATGCAGACACTCAAACCAGAATCGAAAGAAAATGGAAATCAATCAGTTTTGTATCGCCAGAAAAATAAACCTGGAATACAATCATGAAACTAAACTGGAGTACAGCAGAAATACTATTTAGTTAAGTTCTTTTTTGTGAATATGAAAACATATAAATGCCTTAACAGGTTGAATTTGAACTACAAGGAATCCTCATTTTGAGCTTGACCTCAAAAGTACTTCAAGTGTAATAGTAAAGTCCCAGACCTGAAAAAAAAAAACCCAGAATTAACTCCTACCAACAAGAGAATTGTCTCTTGGGAGATCTCCCTCATAATGACTATCAACTCCATCCTAACACATCCAGCGAGTACAATGTCACAGTTTGAAGGGCAGTGAAGGTAACAGTCGTGCAGCTGGTCAGCCGGGGGCCATTCTCACATGTGCTCATCCTTCCCCCGATGTACTCACATAGAGAAATGTTGCTAGGTCAAGTCCCAGGGAAGTGGGGCAGAAGTGTCACAAAGACTCTCTCACTTGACGGGTGAGTGCTGACATCTCTGTTGTGGCCTGGGATCCAGGTTGGCAGCCGCAGAAGGACTAACAAGCTCAGTGACAACAGCCAGGATAGAAAAAGTTAACCAATAAAAAAAATGTAAACGTCATCAGATATGATCACTGGGGAAGAAGAAGTTTGAGGAGCTCTCAAATCAAGTTCAACATTTGCCTTGATGCCCTTTTAAAACATAGAAAACAACACTGACACAAAAACCCATAAAGAGACATGTTTATACCTTAATGGTGGTAACACTGGTGAGTGACTGTAGTGTGCAGTACCTCAACACTTAAGAAATCAAACCAAAGTCAATAGCCTTTGCGTTTACCTTGCTTTTTTAGACCTGAAATGGTAGTTTCTAACATACAAGCGTCTCTTGCCTGTCACTCATCTCTTTATTAAACATCCGCCCCATTTCCCTCCTTCCCTGTCATGTGCTTGATGCCCCATTAACTAGGCTGTCCTTCAGCTCCCTTGGCACCCAGTCTCCTTACAGGACATTTAACCATTGCCGTCCTTCACTCCAGTCTCCCTTTTTTCTCATTATCTATTTTGATAGATGTAGAATTGATGTAAAATATACAGATAGGCACACAGTGGTCTCAGTGTCTAGTGTTTTTTCAAACACTGTAAGCAATATATTCACAAACAATAACGCCAGTCCCAAAGCCCAAATGAAGGTCACAATTCATATTTGCATGTGTGTATGAGAGCACAGGGGCTGACTCTGGCCCAGATTCACCAGGGCAGTGGGGTAGTGTGCCAACATGTCAGTTCATGAGCACACAGGAAAGAACAGTGTTTATACAGGCAGTCAGAAAATAGCAAGAAAAAGGTCAGGAAAGTACTCCAGTGGGAGTGGAATTATGCAGGGCCGTGGTATGTGCTTGGACTAAGGAAAAGTGAGGTCCAGTCAAACTCTTGACAACCTCTTTTCAGCCCTTCAATTACTTATAGAAGTTCATTTGTGAAAAGTATCAAGAACGTGTTTCAAAAACATTTTCAATCAGAGATATTTCTTCTTGTGTCAATGAAACAAGCAACAAGGTCAATTTCTTACAACCACCTTATAACAAAAAGATGACTTGTTTCATCGTCCTTTTTACACAACTCATCGGTAATATCAGGAGTGAAGCAGAGATATGCATGTTTGAATACAAAGTATAAAACTCTACTCATTTAGCAGAGTAAACAATGGAGAGTAACACTAAAATATGACTCAAGCCTTTTAAGGTTATCACACGTAACCAGCTTTACAAAATGTCCACCCCATCAGACTTCCCTTTTTCTTAAATCCCACCCTCTTTACACATAACTATTCTCCTGGAATTTTCTCTTTGTTTTTTTAAGTCAGCATGTCGTGTATTACTCTTCCTTTGCAGTCTTCTTGTTCTTCTGTGTCTCAAAACCAGAAAGAAACGTTCTCCCAGCCCCCAAAGGATTACAGCTCTGTGTATTGTTGTCTTGCCTTGTGCAGCTTTATTATTATCACACTTTCTATCATTTCTCTCTGCATGCTGCTGCTGCTCCCAAGTCCTGAACTCATCTAATGCAGAAGAGTAACTTCTGTGATAATATGCAATGACTGAGTGTATGTAAACCACATAAACAGAAGAACTTGAGTATAAGATCGGCTGACAGATTAAAAAATATCCTTTATAACTTTTATTGCACTAATTCACTGCCTATAATCTCTTTTAAATAAAATAGTTTTTTCTATATTATATTTAAGTTTGAAATGTAAGATACATTAATGTGGTGTTTGTTTTTTCCCTTGACCTCCATGTTGTTATGCTTAAGATAAAGTAGGATAAATAAAAACTCTACAACCCATGTGAACAAACAAAATCTTGTATTTTTGGACTACAAACTAAAGTGACCTGTGACAATTAAACACAATGTTCGGATCCATTCAGCAAAACTGCAATGTTCTGAGTTTTTTTATTTTTATATTTCCCCATTACTAACAGACAAAAGGAAGAGTACCCTGTGTACCTTTTGTCAAGGACACTCCAATAAAGATCTTTTTAGGGGGATGAAGCCTCGCATTAAAATTACACTTTTCTTCCAGGGGTTATCGTCTCCATCTTTCATAACGCTCCCCTTGTTATTGCAACACACTGTTATTACTACTACCACTGTTCAGGATCTAATACAGCTGAGCTTGTCTTCCTTTAAAATGGAAACTTGTGGTCAATATGTGCTTGCCTCATTTTCATATATCGGTTGAGTCTCACGAGATAAGACAACAAAATCAAAACACAGAGAGGAGCCCGTTTTAGACACGTGTAATGAAAAAATCACTTCACTTTAATGGGAAGATGATGGAGAAGAAGTGTGGTCAGTAGGAGAGAGAGCGCAGGAGAGCTGTAATGAGCGACATAACAGCAGACAGTACTTGTTTAGCATTGTAAATGAGCAGCAAAGCAAGCAGCAAATTTATGGAGGGTCAGGTGTGCCTGTTCAGCAGTAATAGGCAATGAGGGCGCTCTAACCAGCCCCCTGTCTAACGCAAGCATGCACGTCCGGAGAGCAGCAGGACATGGCAGACGTGCTGGAACTCTCAGGCTTGAAATTACAGTAAAAATGTGGGATGATGGCTGGTATATCTTTGTCAGACACAGCCCTGTGTGTGTGTGTGTCTGCATGCGTTGGTGCTGATAAATACTCAGTTAAGGCTGGATGAGGCTCCGCAAAGGCACTGAGAGGTCAGCTCGGGGTTGTTAAACAGGCATCTGCTCACATTTTCACTTTAACTTCACTTCCAGCACAGTTTCTTCCTTTTCAGAGGGAGAAAAACTGCAAACAGAGAAAAAAAACAGTGTAAAAGCATTGATTGATGTCTCTTGAATCAGCATCTGTTTGGCCTGAAGACTGCAAGTTCTAAAACTAAGTGTGGAGTGTGACTAATTAAGCTGGCCAGACCTTTTGAACCCACTCCAAATTTTTTGATTCAGGCTAGCGGCTTTAGGCTACAACAGTATATCCAGTACAAGAGTTTTACTGTTAATGAGGGACCAGAAACCCTTACTCTTCTCAAATCAGATTCAAGTTCACTCGCATAAAACTGCAGGAAAGAAACATATAGCTCATCTAAAGTTTGTTAAGGAGACCCTTTCGCCCACTCTGTCAGCTCCGAGGTAACACATTTACGCTCTAGTAAATTCTGAAAAACTCTTCTGTTTTCTATTTCCCCAGTTACTCCCTGTTTAAACCCTAACAACCTCCAAATAACTCATAATTTACTCAACATCCTTAAGGTTGAGGATTGGTCCCTAATGAGACGCCCCCCAGTAAATCCTTGTAAACACCCAAGTAAATCACAATTCATTCTCTGTTGACTCCCAGGTAATTTCTCATTAACTCCCCAGTTACCTCCACAGTAAATTCCTGTAAACCATCTAGTATCTCCATGGAAAGGGTCTGACTACTTTGTAACGACTCTCTAGCGGTGTGATGCTCTAATTTGTCATGACTAAATGATGAGGATTGCGTAAATGGTAGGCAAGCTGACAACAAAAACTGTCTGTTCATAAATGCTCCGACAAATAATCGCTTCAAATTCTTACCTCCTCCATTCATCCTATTTATTGTCACTGAATGAGTTCCTGCCTGGTGTATGTCTGTTTACAGTCTCTGGTGGGAAGCCAAATCTAGTTTGAACTCTCATGAAAAGCCCTGAGGAAAAAAAAAAAACATAAATAAAAATAAAAACATTAAGAAGGACACCACATGAACCCAACCCCCAGAGTGTCTGCCCAGGTAAATAACAACAATATATGATGATCGACTGACATGAACAAACAATAACTCTCTAATGTTTACTACACACAGATTTCTTTGTGTAATAGGATCTCTGTTGAGTTGCACTATCATAGCATTCTTTGGCAAAGTAGCAAAGTTCAACACAACAACTGTTAGCGATTTGCATGTCATGTGATATAAACTGATCTTTAACTTTTAACAGATTCAAGCCGTATTATGGTAGATTTTAAAATATGATTTATGATTTCTTCAGACTCATACAGAGTCGGTCAAATGTAGCTCCATGTAATGAAGAGAGAATTTGTGCTTTTAAAATGTGACTTATTGCACTTTTTAAAACAAGTTTTTGATATTCATTTTCGTCTATGGCATGAGGAAGTATGATAAGTATGATACTTGAACATCTCTAACCAAGATGACCAGACACTGAAAGTTTTACAACCAGGAGGAATATACTTGATTCTGATTGGTCAATACTCCAGAAAAATAGTCTGCTATTTCTTCATAGCAGACTGTTGCTAAGGATGTGTGCTGTCTCTGGTGGGCTGACTGTTATCACATCGATTTGTATACTTTAAACAACACGCCTATGATGCTTGGCTCCAACAAGCTTCCAAACCCACTCACGATACATCATCCCATACTCAGTAACTTTAGTAAAGGCTCATTTCTGTTTAGATGCTTTAAAGAAACCCTTTCCTGTATGTTGAAGGAACAAAACTGTGTAGAAAGACAAACCACAAAAATGCATCAAACTTTCTTATCCAGCTTGAGTGAGTCATCACGCAACGATTGCTGCTTCTTTAATATACAGCATTACTCTTTTCTCTTTAATCACTTTATGCTCTTTAGTTCTGTGAAACTCACGTAAGCTCATTTCTTGCTATTTCATTACCGCCTTTGTCTCTCTCCCTCCTCCTCTTACTTCAAAATCTAATCCCCTGTCCACCCATGACACCATCAGCAGGCCCATCCTAATTGCAGTGAGCAGCTCCTGCTGGCGATTCTGCTGAGAGGCGGAAAAGCAATGGAAGCAAATGCTGTTTCTATTGATCAGCTAGTGTCTCTGTCCTCCCTCCAGCCGGCTGTGTTTACTGTTCCTGCTCAGAGGTCTGATATGTCATAAGATTTAGTGGCCGGGGTGCACATATTAGCCTCTGCGGACAGAATTTCAGCAGTTGAACGGAGGAAAGCATCGCTATAAATACAGGCTGTTCTCCTAACCAGACACCCACAGTCCTGGGCTTTAAACGTGGCCATTAACTCCTGGCTTACAACACAAAGGCCAGTTTATCAGAAGATTCAAATTAGAGTGTGAAAAAGAATAAATCAACAAGTGGGGAAGAGGAGAGGTTTGATATCGAGAGTCCTTTATCTTGAGTGAGCGTACTAAGAGTCACATGTTTCCCGTATATCCTCTCTTTTTAACTAAGCCTCCAAGTATATACTCTGACAGATCACCTCACCTCTGGCGACAGCTAATCTATGTTAGTAAATCAGAACGGGGCTAAGGCCAAACGAGAGCTGGGATGGACTACAGGTGATACCCTCCTAGTCTGCTCACCCTTGCAGCTCTCCACAGCCCATCAATACCTCTAATAATGATGGAGGGTCGGTTAGATTAGCTTTCCACACTGTTACCATGTCCTATCAGTCAAGGAGGCCGGTGGGACAGAGAAACGAATGTTAGCTCATCAAAGGGTTTGCATTTGCATAGAAGAAAATGAAAAGACTGCAGATCGTTAAGAAAGGGCGATGTCCGGCTGTCCTCAGAGGTTAGTCCAGGACACGGAGCAGTAGTCCACAGCAGTGATAACTTTGTGTGTATGTATGTGTGTATCTCTGTCCTCTTTCTTGACCTTGACCTATATGTGTGTGTGTGTGTGTGTGTGTGTGTGTGTGTGTGTGTGTGTGTGTGTGTGTGTGTGTGTGTGTGTGTGTGTGTGTGTGTGTGTGTCTGCACATAGTGGTTGGCCTCTCTTTTTCCAAGAGTACGACAGACAGATGAAGTTGGAAATTAAGAGTTCTGACATCTCATCAAAAGTTATTAAGGTCAGAGTTCGAGGGAGAGACCGGTTCGGTTATTGCCTTTCTTTACATCCCCTCTTCACCTCAAGGTGGGGAGGGAGGTGAGGGAATAAAGACTGAGGTCAGATAGCACATATACTTATTCCAATACCAACTTGGACACCCCTTTAAAACTAATTTAATTTTGAAAATGTTACAACGCTATTAGAAAAACACTGAAAGCTGACAGTTTGCCAGCTTTGGGTATAGCATTACAATCTCCACTGGTCCTGTGTTGTTGTTTGTATTTGTTTGGCACAGTAGTAATAAAATAGCTTTATTCATAATGCAACTCTCAAAACCAGAGTTATGAGGTTTTTACAAAAGAGGGGACTGAGCCAACGAAAACAGTTATATAATGATATTTGAATAACAAGAATAAAGATGACGAATGAATAAGTAAAAATAGTGCACCAGTTATGAGAAGGCCCTAGAAAAGGGAATTCCTGAATTTTGGGACCTGATCGGGGAGGACATGATCGGCTTAGGTTACAAAGCAAAATTTAGGATCCTGTCAGAAAATCTCAATAGAGATCAGGTGCATAAAAAAGTAGAAAAACACAAAAATAAGACAGTGCCTGACCATACAAAACAAACAATAAAATCTTGAATTCAGGCCAGAAGTTTTTCAGTGAAGGTCAGCAAGAACTGGAGTCATGCCTTCACTTTTTCTTGAAAGGGTTGAAAGTCAAGCAACAGTATTTTGGGTAAACCGAAGCCTACAGTATGAATGCTTCCCTCACTAATTTTCTCTCCTCGAAATAATTACCTCTTACTCCAGTACAACTCTCACTGAACTCACCTCTAACTTCCCCAAAACTCCCCTGTAAAGTTCCCCTCAAACCTTGAACTCTCCTCTAACTAAACTGGAACTCTCCTCCCCTCAAACTCCCCTCTGCAGAGCCCCTAATTTGCCCATTTGGGTGTCAGATACTTGAACTTGTAAGTTCTCTAATCAGGTAAGTTTAACAGGTCCACTTTGTACAAATTTTCAGCTGTCTTTAAACAGTACAAGTCCTCTTATGAAGGATTACTGATCTGAGATAGAGTTCCTGATTTGGATGAGCTGTGATGAGACATGTGCCAGCTCTGCCAACTAACCCAGAGGTCTGTTCATTTCCAAATGTCTCTTCATTGTACAACTTGTAATTAACTTAAATCACACAGTTCATAGATTGTAGATCTAAAATGAAGCTGAACTTTTCAACATAAGCCAAATTAATATAGTGCTGCTTACATCTTCCTCAGCTTGTAGTGTTTCCTTGCAATCCCCTGTTAAATTACACAAGTGTCAAGATGACATAGTTAATCCACTGAGCTGTTCTCGTGAGAATCATCCATGGGCTAATCGTCCTTCAAAGAATAATTGCAGTCATTTAAAAGTAAATCATGAACAGTGTTTGATAATATGAGTTCATTTTCCCTGTAGACTATTTCCTTGTGGTCCTCCTTTGTGCCTTTGGCAAGGACTATGTGGACCCTTTTAATCCCCCATGTTTGTTTGGCTGGGGTCTTATCCTTTTGTGCTTTATCTATACAAAAAACAAATCTTTAGCAGCTGTTAAAATAATATATTCACAAAATATTATAAATAAAGAAATGAATTAATTCAGTCTGGCAAAACATTTAGCTTCTGGCTTTCACATTCATCTTTACAAACAGCTCTGTCCGGCTGCTCTCGCCATGTGTTTCACGCTACCAGCTAACTGATGTAAGCAGCTGCTACGCTAACCACGCCGATCTTAGTTTTGCATGCTATTGTGCTAATATATTCAATTTAGCACTTCACATATGCCAATACTGATGGAAATGTCATTAGTTTATGACTGAAATTTGAGGTGTAAGGGTAAAAATAAGGTAACGGTCTTAATCCACATAGTAGTCGTCCAAACCTGTTCTGAAACTTCAAAGTTACAACCTCTTGTGCCACAATGAGAATATTCAAGGAATCGAAATATTGAATCAGTGTCACCTTCAACACAAATTATTCAACCACCACTAAAACGATGTGATCCTGATGGAATGTCAATGTTGGATGAATGTCACCTTGTCATTTGGGACCTGAATCATCAGTGAAAGCTCAGGATACAAATCGACTCATGTCTCGGAGACATGAGACACGTTTTCAACACCTTATTTGGTTTTTATATCATTGGACATACTTCTTTTCTGAAATTTTTATAACCACTAACTCCTATCTGGGGAGCCATTTAGACACAGACCCAATCTTTTTTGGTATTCTAGCGTCCTTTTTTTAAACATTTTTAGTGTGTGACAGTCACACAAATGTCCAGATTAAACCTCTTGGCAAGTTACTGAGCAAATGTCAGGACATCTCCTAAAATGTTCACTGTAAACTTCCCGGAGAATGAGTGTTAAGTCAAGGAAACAAAGAAGTCTTAGGAATTAAAAAATGAATCTACATTTATACTTTCCACTGATGTACCTAACTGTTGTTTAAAATCTTTCAGTCTAAGCTGTCTATAACTCAAAGCTGACTCTTCATTCAGGACTGCACATTAGATCCTCAGACTAGAAAATCTGTGGAAGTTGTTTTCTAGTTACTTAGATTTCAATTTGTCCTCATTTTCAGTCTCTTTCTCTTATTCTCCAACCTTGAATCTATTTTTCTCGCTCTGAATCCATCTCCCCATCAATCTGTCCTTACAGAGGCCAATCAGGTGAACAGAGAGATGTTTACTAAGGAGCAGCCCATAGCTCCATAAAAGCGTCACACACAGTCAGGATTGTCGGCCTGGAGTGACGGATTATATCAGGCCTCCCTGCCGGAATAAATAGAGGCATTAGCAGCTCTACAGCTGGCCTGTGCTGCTGCAGAGGCTTACTGGCCTATGAAATGTGCAGCATGGCAGTGTCCTGGGCCTCGCCACACTGTGATGAATAGCTTATATTCCAGAGTAAAGCATATTAAAGTCAGATTGTATGATGGATAGCAGGCGGTAGACAGAAGAAAAGGGAGATAGGGAGGTAGAAGAGGGAGGATTAAGGAAGTGGGGAGAGAGTGTTTGATGAAATATGTAAAGGGAGGAAATTAAATCCCAAAAATATCAAAACCCCCCCCCTCTACCTTCCATTTCCTGTGACAGATGAAGAAAGCAGAGGTAATTTTGAATATTTAATAAGTCCCCTTTAGGCCCCTGGACAGTATCTAGTCTGTGAAGCAGTATTTGAAACAAATACTGCTTTACATATACTTAAGGTGCGCTCCTAAAGGTAATAATCAAACTAATCTGTGTCCCATAAATCTTTCCAAGGTCGCCTCTCACAAAGCGTCGTCTTTGTGTGAATTAATCTCCAAGAAACTTTAAGTGACACAAAAAAATTCTTTAAAGTTTTGAGTAAAGAAAAATGAAAAACTTGGAGCACTTTCATTGTAAAAAAAAACAACAACAACAAAAAAACACTGAAAATTTCTTGAACTCAACTGAGCAGCTTTGGAGCAAATGTGGATGCATTCAGATTTTAGCTCACACTCAGTCTCTTCTTTAAACTTTTTAGCATGTGCACAAGATGTTTGTTAAGTTTTAAAATTCAAAAGTCCATTAGCAACATGACTGTGTTTTTCATAAATTTTCATGCTTGAAACTGCTGACAGGGGGGATTCAGACCATATTTACTTAAACAGCAAATATTTACGATAGGTGGCACACACTGACAAAAAGCAGGATCATAATGTTTTGCAGAAAAATACGTCCTTGTTGTGTACAGGGAAAAAAATTAGCAAAGAGATGAGTTTGACATATTTGCCCACAGGGGTCATCAAATGAAGACAAATCCAAGTTCTTTACAGCAGCATTAGATAAGTGTTTATGTATTTTTAGAAAAAGATTTACTCACTTTTTCACCTCTTAATTGCTGAGGAGATGGGTGGCATATATCGAAATCCATCATGTCATCATCACCAACAAACATGCATTAGCTCAGCAGGTAGAGCAGTTGTCGAATAACTGGAAGGTTGGCAGTTCGATTCCCCCCTATCCCTAGTCTGTCCGTTGTGTTTTTGGGCAAAACACTTAACCCACCTTGCTCCCAGTGTGTGTCCTCCACTGGTGTATGATTGTGTGTGTTGTGTGGTGGTGGTCGGAGAGGCTATAGACACAAACTGGCAGCCATGTTTCTGTTGGTCTGCCCCAGGGCAGCTGTGACTATCAAGGTAGTTTAACACCACCAAAGTGAGACTGTGTGAGCGAATGAATGATGTATCCAATGTAAAGCACTTTGAGGGTCTCTGATAAAGCCCTATGTAAAATCTGATGTATCATTATTATCATTGTTTGTTGTCAATGTCAATGTTTGAAAGGCACACTGGGCTAATGCTACTAATACTGGTTCACAACAAGCCATGGCTTCTGTAGGGGGCCTGGAACCATCACATGAATTGAAAGACGAGCAAAATCCTTTGACAGGTAAATGGCTGAGTTAAGTATCTTAAAAAACATCCTCCATATATACAAGTCTCCTGAAGTGCATGTCATTTGACTGCAGGCATAAACAATGGCAGACAAATGAAAGATTTCAAGCAGAAAGTGCAAGATCCAAGTCTCCACCCCATACAGCAGACAGTTTTCACTTTATTTAATATTGTTAAATAAAGATTAGGTAAGCACTTCACATCATAGTAGTTGGCATTAATGCTGTATACTTTTGTCCCCCTCTGGCAAGAATCCACTGAAACTTGATACCAGGCCTTTTCAACAAAGTGAGTCTTCCTCATTCATCCTGTGTGAATAGCGGCGCTCCCTGCTGACATAAATCACTACATTTTCTGATGAGTCAGACTACATGCTCACAGGGAGACTCTATAGAAGTTTATGAAGTTCTTACTGACTCCAATAATGGTCTGACATAAAACAAGATTATTAAATTTTAATGTAATGAAAGATCCTGAAGTTAATGAATTCACACATACCAGAATTAGCATTGGTCAAATTATTTCGATATGTAGTGTTGTTGAAATTTATATTTCCTGCTCCATCATTAATTCAGTATGAAAATGGTTCTATTAAGAGGGTAATTTCCCTTTTCATTAGCTCTGCTGTCATAGGCTAATAATTGCATTTTACTGTGCTGGTGGGATGTTGGCATGATGAGTGGACATGTGTCATGTTGGCTGGTGCAGAGCAGGACTGATGGTGAAAATGTGATGCAGAAGCAGTTCTAGACATGTCCTTTTCCGGCTCTGTGGATAGAAAATTTTGCACTCTACCATATCAAGTCATTGATGGAAGAGCTCAATGTGTAAATTTCTCACCCGATCAAAACGTGACACCTGCATTGCCATCGGAGTAGCTCCGTGTGTGGCTTCTTACCTCCAATAACTTAGAGTGTGTCATGGATCAAAGAAGATTGATCCCTGGCCTCTTCTTTTTAATCACCGGTAGAAGGATGGTATTGACTTATTGGCTGTATTATCGTGAAGGTTTAAACAGACCATAGCAAGTCTAGTCCCCATCACATGATACAGTGAGTGTTGAAAAGGGTCATTGGTATTTGTGTGAATTTATACTTTCACCAGCATATTTTATAAAAAATTACAAATATGAAAGTGATGCATTGCGGCTGCATGGCTGGTTGCCTTTGTGGCAAGACTTATCCGTCATTTGTTATTAACATATTTATTATTTGTTTCATTAATTTAAAGTAATGATCGATCACTTTGAATGTAGCCAGAATTAATCCTCTGGCGATGCTAATCGGGTGGGGAAAATTTGAAACGGTGCATCATCAGTCAACTGGCTCCATCAGGCTCCGTTATCTGAACCAAGTGTCCTCTCATTTTAATTTAATTCCCCTCCCTCTCTCTCCTTCCCTCTTCCCCTGTATCTCACTTGCTCTCACTCTTGTTCTCTGAGGAGGAAAATTACACCGTGAGCAGCAGTACAAAATGATTTTGGCAGCCTGGTTTGACAGACTCCTCCAATCACTGTGTACGACTTCGGCGTGATCAGACCTGTACAGTTTTACACTTAATTTCCAAAGCTGATATTAAAGATTCATCAATCATTCTGCTATAACTTTTGGAGTAATAAATGTCCCACATCAAGCTGTTAAAAAGTCTGCTACCACCGGGAACTTGTCTCCTCTCTCTTTACACAGGGACTGTTTACTACTGTAGAACACCCATGAATAATTAAGCTCTTATGAATAACTAAGACCACACATTTAACCACACCGCATGCTCCCTCGGGACAGGAGACAAATCCTTCTAATGCTCTTACCAAGGTCAGAGGTTGGGCTAATGTCTCATTAAAAACTCATTTTCCCATCATGCTATCATAAGGACTGATGGACAGCCCCAGGGTATTGATCCACAGTTGTTGATCTCTCCACACTTTACACGTCAAGGTCTGTCACCAGATCATTGGCAGCACAAGTATAAATGTGAAAATAATCACAAAAATATCGTGAATTATAAAAAATGACACCAGGAGGGGCTAAGGACTTTGAATAGGACTTCCCGTTGTGGGGACTCAGAGAACCATGGGATTGTTGGTGGAGGTTGGCGGTTAGAACCTCCAGGAGGTTAAATTTTACAAGTCTAGAGGAGGTGGAAGTGAAGAATATAAATGGACTTGGTTTGTATTTGTTGTACAGTTCAGAACTTGTATGTGTTTGGTGTCTAGGCTCCAACTTAATCACTCAATCCTGTTCAGCTTGTACATGGAGAAAGTGTGGAGTGATGAGGCAACATAGCCAATAGATGATGGGGGTAGTAGTGGGGCTGATAATTTAAGCACAGCACTCATGCATGGCAGTGGTGGACACAGCAAAGCAGAGGCAGGGACTGGAAATCTTGCCGCTTGGATAAACTGCCAGATTGGGAGGATATTTTTGTCATGTGATATGTCAATGACACTCCAGTGAACTCTGGGTTTCATGTTTTTTTTTTTTTAGTAAGAAGTACTTATTATAGTACTTTTTAAATAAAGGACTTTTTATTTTTGCTTGATTAGATTCATAGGCCTGTACTTTTTCTTCTACTTAAGTGAAATGTCATTCAGATAACTTCACTTTGACTTGAGTAGAATAGTAAAATTTTAGTACTTTTTCCACCCTTGTTGAAATCCATTTGTACTCTGTCGTCCTAAAGAAGTCAAGTTGCTATTACAAGATGGCAACAACCAAAATACCAACTGCAGGCTGTTCAACAGGAGATTTATTTACTAATTGATGATGTCACTGTGGCTTTAACCACATTTATTATACAGTCTAAATACTTACATCTTCAAACCCTCACAAATGGATTTAAGCTTTGCAGGCTGGCACTGACTCTGATAAGTTTTCTTTCCAGATCTATTTGAAAGGAAATCATTCATGTCTTTTGACTTTCTATGCAAACAGAACAATAGCAAGGCAACTTTGCCACTAAACAGTTTCCTATTCATCTTGAAGTCCTAAACAAAGATTCTACACATGGACTCTTAAATCTGGATCTATTTGACAAAGGCTTAATCTAAGGACATGTAATATTATCCGAAGTATTGATCTCTCAGTGAGGGCTGAAATATGGGACAGGATACAGTAACGGTAATCCTAGAGGATGTACATTGCATTTCTGCTATACATACCTCCTCTATTTTTGGTCACACACTGGTTAATTCAATTCAAGCTATGCCACAAAATTCATCACTCCAATGACAGACTGGCTAAGAAATACCCCACTACGAACCCTTATTGTTCAAGGTGCAATAACCCAGTCTCCACGTCGTTGGCCACATATTTGGATCTTGCCCCTCCATGGTTAATCTCTGGTCTTTGGGATTCGATTGCTGTTCTGTTTTTGTTCTTGGACTGAATCCATTCACTGCCATCTTTTATATGGTACCTGTGAAAATCCATGCCTTAGATACACACAACAAAGCATTAACATTTGGTAACCTCATAGCATGCAGACTTATTGCAATGAACCGGAAATCTACCTTTGAGAGATGGGTACATGAGTTGTTGCTGGAACTTGAGATAATTAGACAAACACTAATAGAGTCCCTGACAAGGTTACTGAATGGTGGTCTCCATTCGGTGAACATATTAAGGAAATGAATGGAGCTCTATTTTCATAAGGAAAAAAAATAGATAGACGTCTTAGTCTGTTAAGGGCGACCCAATAAAAACAGTCAGTTGACCCACTTTGGATTGTATTCAGAGTTTGGGAAAGGCTGTTTTCAAGTAATTAAACAAAAATATTAAAATGGACTGTAAAGTGTGGCTCAGCTGGGAGGAGCTGCTTGGGAACACGTAGGTGAGGAGGTGTGTGTGTTCGTGTTTGAGTGTGTGCGTGTGTGTTGATTCTGCACACTGGTGGCACTGGGGAAGTCCAGGGAGTGAAGTTCACTGTATGATGAATGATCCCTGGACTGAAAAGGGACCGATTAAACCCTTTGCAACAATCACCCCCCTTGCAGCCTGTGTGAAACCATCGAGGGAAACAGCCTCTGCTCCCAGCAGTCCCGACAGCAGAGGACACACAAAGACACCCACATACACCCACCATTGAACGGTCATTTTTCTGGCTGCTTTCTCACGTTGGTGTGAACAACAATGAAATACGTGCATGTGGGAAAGGAAATTAATAAGTAAACATGTAGTAAAAGGGGTTGAAATGCTGTGGTGAGTGCTACATGTACATGTCTAATCCTTTGCTCATTTGAAATTCATGTCCATGCATGCTGGGGAAATTTGCTGATCTGGCGCTGTATTTCAGTCAGGAGAGCAACTACGATGAATTTCTTTCACGCATGAGCGTAAAGCTGTCAAATTTCTTAAACACTGACTGCTGATGTGTCCAAAGTTTTTTTCTGTAAATGTCTTTCTTCCTTAAGTTCAGCAAGGTTACTACTCCTCTGTGCTGCTCAAAAACACAAACCCCTATGGTACACACACACAGACACAAACACACACACATACACACACGCACATACACACATGCACACACACAGAGGACTAGCAGACTACAGGGGCACTGACATGGCTTTGAAGGTCACTGGCTACAAAACCAGCTCTGATTCTCAGTGGTTTTAATGACTTTCACACACATTAACTTTGAGAGCACTAAATGTAGTACTTCTCTTTTACTATTGTGAAAATTTCAGTGAGTTTTATATTCATCTTGGGAGGGACTACCACCATGAGGAAGGCTAAATTCATGAGAGATGACCACACATCCATACATGGCATGAACCCCCCACCTCCATAAATCTACTTCGTTTTTACAGCTACATCATTGCCCACCGTAAGAATGAATCAGTGGGCGATTAGTTTTTGTAAGCCGTATTTAGGTGCAATATTGTGTCAGGGTGCTTGAGTTATGGCAGGATATTTTGGGAGTGTCATTGCCTTGACTGTCAATCACAAAAATGGCAGACACTGCTTTGAGGTTTGTGTGTCAGTTTGATGGATCATGCTATATTTGGTAACATTAACTAAGAAAGGAGAGAGGATTCTTCCCTCCAAAGAGACAAATATGCCAAGGAGATTAATAATGCTGCTGAAATTTCACAACAGGTTGATTTTTTTTTAAATACAACATAAAGTAGGAAATAAAATGCTGAGGACATACAACAGAGGACCATAGAGATTAGCTTTTTAGACCATTTAAGAGATTACAGCCAGTTTTGTGAGTGCAAAAGTGTTAATTTGCCCAAGAGAAAAGCAGTAAACATGTTGGGGAAAAGTAAACGGTGTCTGGTCTGTGTTGTGTTGTTTCAAAAGGTTAATGAGGTGCTTGTTCGCTCTGAGGAGAGAAGACAACGATGCTCTTTACGGAAGAGGAGGCGTCGTACGCCTCAGGGGCCACCATAATGACACCCCTCAGATCTCATTATCAAGCTTATTGATTGGTCATGGCCACCTGCCCCTTCACCCACACACACCCAATACACACACACACAGACTCACAACCTAAAAATCTTTCACTGTTTCTGTAGAGATAAAGCATGGTTGAATATTGAATTTGTTAGAGTTAGACAATAGTTTATATACTGTATGGGCTGTGATGACTGTCTCACAAATATATAAATGCTCAATCATATTTTGTTGGATGAAAAATCAAATCAAATCAGTGTCTGTAATTTTCCTTTTAGGTTAACAAGGCAAGAGATTTGAGTCAACATGCCAGATATGGGCTCTCTTAGTCCATTCACAGCCTCCTACATACACACACACACACACATACACACACACACACACACACACACACACACACACACACACATATATGTGCACCCACATTCACACACATGTATCATTTATACAAACGCCTCAGAAAGTGACACACTCCACATTTGAACTGTTCTTGTGCATGCCCACATAACCACTCCACACGCGATGAAAACACACATACACACACTCAGATACTCTTTAAAGTACATGGACAGTTCCTGGCCCCATTGTGAAGCTGCCATTTTGTTCCAAGAGAAAATTGCTTTAATTAGAATTAGCACAGTGACAATGGGCGTCTGGCCAAGCTGTCAAAGGTTTGAACACATTAACCACTACATTTTCTTCTCATTTTCCCATGAGTCATGTGGGAATATTTGATGCCATTCAATAACATGTTAGAGCTGCACTTTCCTCGTGTCTGCTCAGAAACAATGATTGACGAATATTTTTGCATATTTTTCCTACCATTTTCAAGCAGCAAAGTTTTAATTTTCACATTTCGCTATTCTGCCATTTGAACCACAGTGCAAGAACATTACAATCATTTGGTTTGGTAATATCGAGGTAGACAGATAAGAGGTGTATTTCCAAATGGAGCATCAAATAAGCTCTTATGGCTTGGCAAAAATACAAAAAAATAGTTCCAGGAAGCAGGTTGGCAAAACTCACTCATCAATTACATAACTGCAGTGGAGGTGAGTCTGTGAAGACCAGAAGAACAAGAGCATAAATCTAATCAAAGCATTTTCACATGTAGGACCCTCTGTTACACCTTTAATGCTCTTGTTTCCCACCTGCCCCAGGCTCAAGCCCTGACCCGCTTCACTGGAGACGCAGGTGAGGGGACCTGCTCGAGTAACACCTGGCACTAAGATGAAGGGAAGGTGGCAGGTGGTACAGACTGCACAGATGCTGTTCGTTTCCTGCACATGGATGAAAGTGCAGAGAAAGGAAAGCATGATGGTATGGATTGGGTATTTGGGGAAACGATATGAAAAGGTAAGAAGAACAGAGATTTAGAAAAGAAGGTCAGAGATGTAGTGGATCAATACGAGGAAAAGCCCAAGAGTTGTTCTAGTGTAAACCAAAACTTTTGTTGGTGGAGTTTTGTTGTCTTGTTTTAACACCTCATCCATGTGCAGAAAATAAGACACATGAACATCATCAGAGGCTGGTTTCATTTTTGTTTTAAAATGAAGAAATATGCTTTTATACGTTTAAAAACAAAAATCTTGCTAGCAGCACAGATGCTATGTTTTTGACTTCTTGTAATTTTAACTCCATCTCGGCTTTTGCAGTAGTGCTTCTAACTCAAAAGGAGTCTGAGGACACTTCTCTACTCAAGCTACACAGTAAGGGTTTCAAAGTGCACCTTGCTTTATTTATTCTGGTGGCATTATCATAGCACATAATTGCTTTAATGGAAGGACTTGAAATGAAAGTGCAGAGGAGTAAGAGGATAAACAGACCCATTTTAAGAGGAAAGATGCTCAAAGAAGAACAGGCCATAATTATTTCATTACATTAGCTGCGATTAAAAAATCTTATCTGGCTTTTCTGCATTATAAGCTTTGTGCGAGAGGATCAGAAAGAATACAGTCTATTCTCTTCTAGTTTGCTCCACTACATGTACAGTATAAGGTCTTTATCTCCACACATAAGCAGACAAGACTGGACTTGACACCAATTACTTTTGTCAGGATTTCCAATGTAGACTTAGGAGAGAGTGGGGTAAGATGAGCCATTTTTCATATTTCGATCACTACATCAAAGAAATCATAGTTTTGTCTCTAACTAGTGTATCTCCATATATTTCAAGATGTTGTTTATCCCTGCAAACCAACAGAATGAGTGTAAACATAACTGTCTTGATAATATAGCATGCCAAAAAAAAAGTGGTCTCCTATGGTCAATTTACCCCGTCTATGGGGTAAGTTGAACTTTGATCTTTTTTGTCTGAACACAATTCTAATAAAACTTAAGACAGACTAAATTCACTTTCAAGAGTGAAAAAATGTTATTTTTTTAAATAAATGTCTAACCCCTTCACCCATGTGCTTCTAACCTTCACAGACTCCACGAATTGATGCCCATCTCCTAAATATTTGGTCACATGATCGATTTCTTTGACCATTTCCAAGCAACAGGGGGTGGCTCAACTTACCCTTTGGCTCAACTTACCCCGCTCTCCCCTACTCGTAGTTTTTAAACTCAGCACAGAGATTTACCTGGTGGCCCATTAATCACATTTTGGTCAGATATGAATAATCAACCTAAATCTGGTTAAGTGCAGATGTTTTTGTCTTTGAGGAAGAGTGTGATGAAGCCTATTGTACATTTATCTGTTATTGTGTTGAGGCCACATTTGTGATTGGCTGTGAGCCCCTGTGGGAGGCCGGAGTGGGTGGGGAGCTTTAAGAGTCTCTGCCTGTTTCCTGTCGCTGCTCCCAGAGTAGCGACTTTTCAGCAGCAGCAGCAGCAGTAACAGCAGCAGCTGAGGAGCAACACGAGGAAACCGGAGCAGGTGGAGGAGGAGGCACGAGCGCATCTCAAAGTTTGAGGCGACAGTGGACAGTCGCACGAGACGCCGTCTTGAACAGGTTCGTTCGATAATTTCTGCCTGTGTTTCCGGCTGCAAGTGATTTTCTGTTGGATTTGGCACAATTAAAGCAAGGCAAACCAGCAGAACGAGGATTTATAAGATACTACGATGTGAAACAACTGAGGGGGGATGACTTGCATGTCTTTGCTGTCTACGAAATCGTGTTGTTTAGCGTTAATTGTAGCTTGAAACTTCGTCATCGTTTCTATCAGTAGGTTATGTGTGTGTGTGTCAAACTCCACAGTGTGTGAAGTCCAAAGTAAAAGTCGGTGCAAATGACAGCAACACAGCAGCGAACAAAACCTGGATGGTTGTTTTTGTTAGTCTGGGACAAATCAGTGTAGCCGATGAAAAATTACAATATGTAATATGTAATTACAATATGTAAAAAACCCACTGACCTTTTTTAAGATTTTTTTTTTCCCAATTAAAAAAAAAATAAAACGTAATGCTGGTTATTTGTCTCGGTTGAAAGTATTTTTTTTTAAGGAGAAGCCTTTCCCCTTAAAAATAGAGGAAAATCCACTTAGGAAACCAGGTAACAACATTATGGATCAATGTGCTAAAAATTCACTATCATTACTTACAAAAAGCCCATTTGCCAAAAAAGATTGTTTCCCCCCCTTTTTAGCTTCAAGCAAGGCACCTTAAGGGGATGTGGGTTGAATCATCATGCTGAGATTGGGAACCCCTCAAAGGTTATGGCACAAATGCATACGTCCCGAACAGCTGACAGCTGGATTTATATGAGAGCTGTCAGAAAAAATAATTTCTTCTGTGAGGTATTTTGAACGTCTAACATTGCTTTTTCTGGTTTGTAATTGATGCTGATAGAAAAAAAACTTATCAGTGCATATTGACTGATGATTGACACCTGTCACCTACTGTGTAATGTGATCTGGTTCCTATCAAGGTGGAGGTGTGGGCTTTGACCAATTCTCCATCAGATCATTTACAAACCTGTGTTCTAAAATCTGTGCCAATCGTTGGATGTGTTTCCTGGCTTCCTGCATCTGCATCGTCTCACCTTACTCTGACAGTTGCTGAATAATTAACCATGTGTTGTTAACAGTAATGAGTAATCTGAGTTTTAGCTATCTGGAATCTGATGGAGGGTATTGAGGACAGGAAAGAGGTCCCGTGCTGTTTTTAGACTAGTTTGGGATTTCAGGTTAAATTATACGTGATACCCGAAGTAGCGAGCTGGTCAGCTGTCTCAGCTAAAAGACGGTCACACCGCTGCTCACAGGCCTACATTTCCATAAGGTTAATTAGCTACGCCCCATATTTTCACTGTCATGAGTTTCTTATTAAAACAACACTGGGTAAAACAGACTTTATTGAGCTGTTTGCTGAAACATTAACAGTAGTGCCCCATTAAAATGCAGCGGTCCTGTAATTGTCCTCTCAATAAAAACGCATATTATGCAGTTTATTTGAATTTGATTACAGTTTATGGTTATATCTTTACAATTGTAGAGTACTTCCAACTTTTCTGAGAACACTAATTATTTAAGGTCAAAATGGAAGATATGGATGAAAAGAGACAGAACAAGAAATCTAGTTTGCATTCAGTCCAGGGCATTTTAATTTCTACTTCCAAAATTAACTTTTGGGGAAACTATAGAGTCAAACATTTTACATGATTCAGATTGTCACACGAATAAAAATGGGAATAATGGTTAAAGCTGGTTTTGAACTTTATGGTTGTGTTGATTTTGGCAACCCCTGCAAAGGTGTACATCTTACTGCTTTTTCTTGTTTTGTTCTGTATGCCAAGGTGGTGTTTTCTTGTGAAAATATCACATCCTGCCCTATTCTTACAGTCAGATGTGGCAGTGAACCTTGCTGTGGAAAATGTACAAGAACAGCTTTTCCACAGCATCTGTCAATCATCCGGTCTGACACCCACCCCCTTGATGCGGTTTCAGGCATTGAGAGTTACTGCGTAAAAAGATGTTCAATCATTTTACAGATGTCTTGTTAGTTTTTGTAGGTCATAGAGAAGTATCAATATCAGTCAACCAGGTAAAAAAAGTCCTCACAGAGGCTTTAAGAGTTCGATAAATATAACGAAAATAAGAAGAATAACAACAAACAATGCTCTTTAAGCACTTAACCTTATTGAGTATTCTCAGTTTACCTCTTCTGATAGACAGCATGCCATGGTAGCACTGTCTGTGTTCACATGCGATGACCTGTAATGGGAGGAGAGATAAGAAGGAAAGAAAACCTCTGAGTGGTTTTACCCACAAAGCCCTCCTCGCAGCCCACTCAGGAAATACAGTGTTACATGGAGCACATTAGAGAATCAGGTTCCCCACTGTACAGCTGTCTCACTGCGTCTCTGACAATCTCTGTTATTAGCTCTGATATCTTATATCATTTATTCTCTATTGCCTCCCTTCATGGTTGCTTTATTACATTGTACAGGCCTTTGGAAGCAGCTGAGTGAGGAGGTTAAGTCACCAAAGTGTCTCCGCTGCATCGTTCTGACAGACACAATTTAAATCTCATGCTGCACGCTTCACTTGTGAAATGACTTTTTCACATTGAAGCGTAGAAATCACCTGTGCATTTTGCTGCACTTTGGTGTATTGCCCCAGAAATAATAGCAATGTCACACTGAGCGTGATTCAATTTGGCTGTATATAATGTGGCAACATAGCGCAGAGGGTCATAAACATCGTACTCGCTGTCACATGAACACGAAAACCACCAGGAGGGAGAAGGGGGAAATGTCTCAGTGCAGAGGAGACAGAGTCGAGTCATCATCATGTTTTCAACCTTGACAAGTGGGAGCAAGACGATCCTCAGAGTCATTTGGATCTCCTGTTGGAGATTGGCCATCAAATATTCATCAGCGCCATAATATATAGCCCTTTAATAACTGACACACAGGGCCCACGATTTAGTTGTGAGTTGCCTCTTGAGGACCTGAGAGCTGCCCAACACGAGTCTATTAACTGACTCTTCAGAAGAGGGCTGATTCACCTATTGAATAAAATGTGCTGATGGACTGTGAAGTGTGCAAGATAATCTCTCCTTTCTTCTGCCCTTAGATGTGTATGACTTTCCCTTTTCTTTGGTCTGCAGGGCTTTTAGACCCCACCCAACCCCCCTCCACCCTGCTGTACCCTGCTCAGTAATAGAATCAGCTGAACAGACTAACTTCTCTTGAGCTGATATGTCCGTGTCTTTGTGATGACTCTTCCTCTGTGTTAAATCCGTGCTTAGGAGTCCAACTGATGTCTCCAATTGTAAGCATGGATCAGCAGCACCCTGCTGAGCAAACTTTTTTCAGCTTCACTGATTGAATCAGCACTTTTTGCCATTATTGAGTATCTAAAGCTCTTTTTTTACTGTAAAGGAGGGCTGGGTCTTACAGCCAGATGTTATATTGTCACATTGAGGGGTGTGGGTCAGTGGTGGTTTTGCACTGCTGACTGAAAAGCATTGTTAGATATCCTGGCCTGTGCTTACTCTGACGTCTTGTGTCATTTCCTTTCACTGTACTTTCTGTCAAGTTTCAGATTTTTTTTTTTCTAGTGCTGACTCGCAGCTCTGCCAATCTTGTGTTGAGTAAGTGTTGTGTGGGCAGAGCATGTTATATATATGGACTTCATCTTGGGCCGGTTGGCTGGCTGGCACCAGCTCAGCTCAGTCCCTGTGGACTCAACAGAATTGCTGCCTGATGGAAAGAAAGTGCTATCCTCTGACTTTAAGACTGCTGACATTTCCATATGGCCTGTCTTCACACACAGACACACACTTTTCTTAATCTCATCTCTTTTTCTCTCACCTTCTTTCATTTTTTCCCCTCTAACCTCTTGTATGTGCTTGATGCAATCCTGAGCTCCCTGGGTAGCTGAATGCAGACACGAATCATAGAGATTATCATTCTACCCTCCATCTTTCCTCCCTCTGTACTTCTCTCGCTCTATTCTCCGCCTTCTCTTACCTTTTTCTCTCACCCAAAGTCCTCTCACCTCTGCTTGGTCTTTTCCAGTGGAGTACTTTGCTCTGTAAGCAATAATGACTGCAGCAGGGCATCTTTTCAAGGTGAATTATAGGTTCAGATTGACCATCATTATCACTTACAAACCCCTCCTGTCTTCCCTGTTGTCATTTTTCTCAGCTGATATATAAAAACCTTAAAAAAAAAACTTTTCTTGCTCTTTTTTTTTAACATTCTGACTCAGCAAACCCAACTCTGGCCCTGCTTCCACCCTCAACTCCGTGTTATTATATCATACTTGCCATTTCTTTGAATGGATGCCAGATATTGATGGATATTGTTTATCTGTTATTTATTTAGCCTGATGGAAAGCTGGGACAAATGGGACGGATTGCGAAGGAAATGATAGAAGTGATAGTCAGATATGACAGAGATCAGTAAGGTGAGAGTGCTGCAGGTGAACAGATGAGAAAGGTGTTTTTTTTGACTGCCTGTCAGACTGTGCGCATCAGTAAGCTAGATGGCTGGAAGAGACAAATATGTTCCAGGACTGGCTTGCCTTTGAGTCAGCCCCCAAGGTGCCACATAAAAAGATGAGAAAATCACATTTGGAGCCAGAGTCATGACTGTCTGAAATAAAATTCACAAATAGGCTTGCCCTGTGAGTGTGCACATTTAGCCTTTTTATTACCATTTTATTGCCATTATTATTTTTGTGGTATGGCACCTCTATTGAGCAGGGAGTGGCAGAATACTGAGAATACTAGACATAAACGACTAAGCAGCTCTCACATGTGTGTGTGTGTGTGTGTGTGTGTGTGTGTGTGTGTGTGTGTGTGTGTGTGTGTGTGTGTGTGTGTGTGTGTTAACAGCATGTGTGAGCTCAAAAACCTTGACATTTTAATAAAAATATACATATTTAGCAGCTTAAGTTAGCTAGTTTGTATTAAGCTCAATGCTCTAATATACTTATCCCACTATTTACAGTGTAGTGTAGGTCAGGTAATGAGAAGCACTGATACACTGGCATTATGTATCTCACAAAACATAATAGAGCAGTTCATCATGTTCTAGCCGCCATTAGGTATGCACCGATCTGATATTTGATATCGGTATCAGTCCCGATACTGAAGTAAATTCTAGATCGGGTATCGTGACAATGGGCCCGATGCATAGGGGCCGATCTATTCCGTCTAACTCCATGCTATGTGCCATGAGTGGCATCCACAAGTAAACACGCTGAGCAGATGCCCACATTGTTTTGAAAATGGAGTGAGCAAAGGGGTCTGCTATCTTGAACTTTATCACAATACCTCAGCCTGCAAGCTTGACGGCCACTTGCAATACCTGCGCAATAAACTTTCGAGATGCAGCGGTAAAACTTCAGGTTACAGCAAAAGGTAATTCAGCATGACTTTTCTGTATCGGAATTGGATCGGTATTGGCTGATACTACACTGTAGATATTAGTATTGATATGGAAGGTGAAAAAAGCGAATTGGTGCATCCCTAATTTACATCAGTACAGGGTGTGTGGGCATATCCCTCCAGCAGATGACTCTCTTAATTAAACTGAAGCCCGTACTGTCCAAACATGGATGAATGTCAACCTTGCATCTACTTGGCCACAGACAGTGTGGCTTGCCTGCCACGCTGCCTGGAGGAGATGTAGTCAGTGATATTTTCTCCTCTCAGTCCAGAGTATGCTGCTCTCTCAGAGCCACATCTGACCTACTTACATCACCAAAGGTTGTTAAATTCCAACACTAAACTGTTCTGAAAAGTATGTAAATTCTGTCATTCTGTGCAACGTGAGCTTGTAGTTGTATCAACATTGCTCCTGTATTTTACAGTCTTTATAAATACCTGTTTGGAGGATAAAAATAAAAACAAAGCAAAAGGTACAAAGGTGATATACGTATAAAGAAATCTGCTCACATATTCATAATCTGCCACATTTAATATCCATCTGCAACCTCAGGTAAGAGACACTGGAATGTACAGATCATTTACATTTTAGCCTTTTGTTGCTGTTTTGGTCCAGATGTTCACCAGTGTTGTGCTATACAAAATGATGCAGGCTATACATTACAAAGAGAGGGGTGTTTGGCTGGGGTATTGTACATAAACCACCTACTGTGTGCATACAATATTTATTCCTGCTCTCTTTGCACTCCCACACACCTTTCACTCTGTATACCAGTTTCTTTATACAGAAAATGTAAATTTGGCATCAGCACAACTCTCACAGGTGCAGTGAATAGAAGCACAACTCAGTTTAGAAGACAAGGTTTAGAAAAATGAATCTGTGGCCTTTTCACTTCGCTTATGTACTGAATCAATCTAGAGAGCGCTGCATCAGACACATTGATGCTTCAGGCTGTCGGGGGAGGGTGACACAAACGACTGAAAGGACAGACTAGCAACCCCCCCACACCACCACCCCCTGTCTGGAGATCTGATTCTGCTTGGCATTTTTGGGAGGAACATGCAGCACAGCAGATGACCTCTGTATTAAGCAGCTGTAACTAAATGAGGCCTCACTGTGTTTAGTTAAAACACAAATGGTATCTTGTACAAAATGAACACTGATCTCGAATCTTGAATTTTGATGCAGGAGTGACCTTGAAACCCCTAAATATGCTGATAGAGAAAATAGAGAGCGTGTTCATCTGGGCTGGTGATAAAGTGATAGATTGTAGGCAGCTCTGAAGATGGAATTGCTCAGCTGCATTGAGAATCACAAAAGGACTTGTTTTTTCTTTGCTCTGTCATCTGTGTACTCCATTTGTCTTTCTCTCCACTTCACCATCCCTTGTTCATTTCTACTGCTCCACTACAGCATACTGTAAGTTTTTCTGTCAGTTGACGCAAATACTTTCTTACAGTTTGTGGGGCTCTCTATTCAGATCATAGTATGCTTACATGCACAGTTAAAGGTATATTCCGGCGTAAAATGAATTTAGGGTCAAACACACTGTAACACTGAGTTAGATACCCCCTCGAGAGATTAATGTTGCCTACCACTTGATCATTACTTTATCATTTCCTTGAAGTAATAATCATTATATTAATCATTTTGCACTGCAGACACGGTAGTTCTTCTGCCTTAGCGTCTTGGTTGGATTGCATTTCCATGAAGAAATGATCATAAATGTTCTTCCTTGAGCTGCGTCACCCCGCTGTAGTCCGTAGTCCGCTGCTGGAAGAGAGTAGGTGAGTTGTGTTTAGTCTCTTTGTTAAAGAAATTAGGCAAAGTTAAAAATTTGTTTGGTGGCCAGTGCTGTGGCTGGGACCCTATGTGTACTGTTGATGAAGTTAGGTGCTGTTCTGATCATTATTTGTGACTATAGAGTGGCGTTTTGGTTGAGGTTTGTTTATGGCTCCTCAGACTGCTGTGTATTGCTATCGTGCGGTCATTGCTAAAGTTGGTATAGCTAGAGCGGTTGGCAACATTCATCTCTCATGGGGGTGTCTAACTTGGTGTTATGGTGTGTTTGACCCTAAATTAATTGTACGCTGGAATATTACTTTAAGTCGAGCTATGGTTACAGCTTCATTAGGCAATGTAACTGGACTTTGTTCTTCCTGTCCCAGTTTACATGCAAAGGTATAAAAGCATATCCACCTCCGCTGTGATAGGTGGCCAAAATGCCCCCATTCAGCTCACCTACTTGGCCGTCTCCTGGTTGATCTAGCAAGTGTCTGATAGGATGTTCATCATCGGGTGAAAACAACGTCACTTTTACAGCTCTGACTTACTTTCAGACCAAAGTATTGATTTGTATTGAAACAAAGACAGTTTAGTTTGTATTGTAATAAGCTAAAATCTCCTCACAGGAGCTTCAATTCAGATTTAACAGAAATGAGAAAAGAACATTATGCAAAAGTGCATGTCTGTAAACACATCTATACAAGCCCTAAACGAATGGCTAGCAAGCCTACCATAATACCTACCGTACTACCTGACCCTAACCGATGGCCACCCTTGTTAAAATGAGTGCCCAAGTTGTGGCACCCTTATCAAAAAAGTCTAGACGCGCCCCTGTTGGAGGAGCATGTTTCTATAAAAATGGGCCGCTTCCTGGTGAATACGAATCTGCAGTCTTGAGCACTCTCTGTTCTCACAATGCTGTTTCTCATTTGCATGTACACTTGGTAAGAGAACAGGGTGACCTCTCCACTAGTGTATCTTTATCTCTGCCTCAAACTTACAAATACACACCTTTTAGTGTGCCTGTGTGTGTGTGATTGTACCCAATGACGACCGTCTGGCTGTGTTGGAGCAGCAGAATATTTAATTGCCCCAAACTTTATCACCATTACTGTAGCGAGTGAGTGTCTGCCAGCCTAATTATGACGGTGGCTATCTGAGGAGCCGAGCTGAGCTGTTAGCCAAGTGTGAAAATGAAATGACTCCACAGACACTTCGTCTCCCTGGAGTGCTAAAAATACCTGAAAGCTGGTCATGTTTTGGTCTGTGATCTTTTAACGAGCATATGTACAAGTCGTGTGCCTGTATTAGCGTCTCATGTTACAGTTAAATAAAGTTGGTTTGTTGTTGCTCAGAGCTCAAGGTGACCGAGTCCCCGCCGTCCTCATTAGCTACAGACACACATCAGGAGTCAGCTCCCCGAGGTGACAAATGAACCGACACAAACACAAGGATCAGTTCAAAAAGAAAATCAAACATATCAATAAGGCTTGATGATGGATGGTAACAATATATTCCCTCTGTGACCTGCTACTGTCATAGCTTTGTATGTGTCAGTGTATGTATTTATGTATTCCTCCGACTGCTGCGTGTTTGCCTCGAAGTTACATTGCTCTTATTGTGATACTTGAGGGGAATACCCACCTGAGGTTGTGGGTCTCATGCAGCTGCCCTTCCACACGTCTCCAGGTCCACTCTATCTTTATAAACAGCAAATTGGAAAGGGTTAATTCAATTCCCAGCAGGCTGTGGCTGAGACTGGGAACAGTTACCATCTCTCTTCTCCTTTTTGCCCCTTTTCTCTCCCTCTCTCTCCCTTCTCCATTTCTCGTTGTTCCTAAAGTCTAATTACTTTTGGAGAGTGGCTTTACCCAGGCTATAAATAATGACAAATCAAGCCTGTCTCTGAGCTGAACCCTGCAGAGGCTGGCGGGGTTGGTGATCTTTTGGTTGGCTGTGCTTGAAGGCAAAGAATAGTAGGTTTTTTCCATTTTAAAATATAATACAGCCTGAAGGGAAAGTTGCATGACTTTTGGTATTTGTGTGGAGAGACAAAGAGCAAATGTGCTAAAGGAGCTACATAAAGAGAAACAACAAGGTTAGTCATATTTTCGTGGAAACATCCTAAATTCTGCATGCTTTCATTTCTTCAAAATTCACTTGAAATTCTAACGTTAGACAAAGTTGTTTACCTGTGTGCCCCCATATGTACTGTAGCTGTTTAGCATTTTTGCATCTCAGTACATCCTCATTGTAATGTAAGCATTAGACATATAGTAGAAACACTTGCAAAAATCCTTTAACTCTTTTAAATAATCACTTATAAACTATCATTAAATAGCCTTTTGATGCTTAAGTTAAAGAAAAACTTGGCCCTGAAACCGTAAAATACTGTAAATTTTTATGTGAGAGCATTTGTGTAAATATATGTTAAAGGACTCTATGAACACCCTGTAAGCAGTTAGAATGACAACAAACGTGTTTTGATAGTATTTTCCTCGGCTGTGTTAAATGCCCGATTCTTATTGGTGAAACCCCCACATCAACAATTGATTAATTACATCAGTTTCCATCTTAGACCAATTTTTAGAATTTGGAAATGATAACAGATACCAGACAGAGTTGTGAAAAGAGCCAGAGCAGAAAAAAAGTGGCTTAACATCCTGTCCTGTAAAAGATGCAGAGCTGATCTGTAAGCTGTAATAATATTAGCAGGGTCATTCAAAGTTGTGTCTTTTGCCTCGTTTATGTTTTAAAGTGTGTTGACTGTAAGGGCGAGGGTAAGGAGGTAAAGTGAGGATGGAGATGTATAGATTACGTAAAGATTGCTGCAGTTGTTGACCTTGTTCAGTGTTACTGTTATTGGATTTATTGGGTTAAGCTTAGTTACGATAGTAAAAAAAAGGCCAATGTTTTGAATTAAAATGATATATGTTAATTTGTAGGCGGTTATGAGTCTGTCGTTATGGCAACAATGTCTCCTTCCTTCTGATGATGAGACTGTCGTGATTCTCATTTGCACGACCTGTTCATTTACCTACATATGTGCATGTTTCTGTAGCTGTTTTTACCTCCTTAGTGTGTGTGTGTGTGTGTGTGTGTGTGTGTGTGTGTGTGTGTGTGTGTGTGTGTGTGTGTGTGTGTGTGTGTGTGTGTGTGTGTGTGTGTGTGTGTGTGTATGTTTGCATGTAAATGAGGGAAAGAAGATGGGGACAGCTAGAGAAAGGGGAAAAGCTGACACCCTGGTCACCTGAGATGTAACTAAACCAGTTTCAGCAGCTTGCTTCATTTCATTTACCATAATGAGTTCTGTCAACATTAGCTTGACCAATGGCTCTGTGAGGAAGTGAGGAAAGTGGTGCCTTCGGCGTGTATGTGTGTCAGGTATAAGTGAATCTCTTTCTTTTGATGTACTTTTTAATAAATAAGCTTAAGAATGAAATTTCAGTTCGTTCATCCAAAGGTTGTGTTTTCGTATTTTTTTCTTTATGACTCCTAATGACTTCCCCTATAGCGCACTTGGATGTCAGTGTGTATGAGTGTGTGTGTTTGTTTGTATATAGTATAAGCAAGAGCGCTGTCCATTTTAGGACTTTTCAATGAAGACTGATGAGTGTCCGCTTCGCCTCGCTCCCCCCTCAGGGGTCTGGACGGTGCTTTGAGGAAGTGTCCTGGAGAAGCAGTGGAGTGGGTGGGAGCTAACGCAAGTCAGGCGAGACGTATCTGATGGACGACAGTGATGTGCGTGTGAGTGTCTGTCTGTGTGTGTCTGAGTCTGTGTGTGTGTCAATGTGTGTACAAGTAGGTATGTGTGAGGCTGATGGAGGGTGATGGTGGGAGTGAGACTTAACGAGGAGGAAAATAAGCTGAGCAATCTCTGTCTGTCCTCCCTCTACCTCCCAATGACTTATTCACACACACACACACACACAACACATGTACACACGCACATACACACTTATTTAGAGTCCATGACTGAACCAAATGACCAGTGACTTCACATCGACTTGTTGCAAAGGCAAGAAATCCAGTGACACAGTATCTCTCTAATGTAAGGTTTCTCATTATTGAATCTAGTTTACCTTAATCAGTTTAAACCTGGTTCACTCGCCAAATAAATCAATGGGGCTACATTTAATGTAGAGGTAATGAAATATGGGCCACAGTGTGATATGATAAATTTCATCATTTGAAAATTCACATTCTTTCTTTAATTTTTAAACCAATTTCTTCTCTGCCTCAGCCTATTAATCATCCTTTGGTCTAAGAGAGGTAAGAGATAATGGAGGTACACAGGCACTGAATATGAATGTAAATAGAGGAGTGGGCCATGTTTGCACCATTTAGTCATTCTAACACATTCATGATGGAAATTATCCCTGCATGTGGATTTGATCAGCAATTTTCTCTTTTTCTGTGTGAATTTGAGCCCACTTTTTTACCGATGCACTCTTCTGTGGCCACCAGTCCATCCCTAAAAGCATCCCTCACTGTGGTTTGACCTAGACGTCCTGACTGCAGACACTTGACAAGGTTCGCAGCTCCCTGGATAGCCTCGGGGATCTCTGCAGGGGATGGGTGGGGGACCAGCTCGACACGGGCGTAGTACCAGAAGGTGGCTAATCGGGGTTTGGAGTAGGTGACAGCAGCACCGGCCAGAGTGGGTACTTTAGCCACCAGTTTTTGCACAGCCTGTGCCATGTTGACCCGTTCCCAGCCTTATCTATACAAAGGTATTATAACTCGTGCATTTTTGTCAGAGCTGGGGTTTTACTTCCACATCGGAACAACTCTGAACAAGGGTTTTGACCAAATACTTGCATATTCAGTGCGTCACAATAACCAAATGCTGTTCTTTGTATCTGTGCCCAACCTTCTAGGAAATAAAATCCCAAACCATGAATGAACAATTTTTCCTTTAGTTAACTCAGTGTATTATTTGGGTTCAGGTAGAGAAGCTGTAAGATATAAGACTGAAAAGAAGGAAGTATCCAGTCCTTCTAGTATGATGGTGGGAAAATCAAACTCCAGAAACAAACTGTTCATGAATTATGGCACAGACCCCATCTCAATAGCAGGTCATGGCAGTGCATTTGTGCAATACATGAAAATGAACAAATTGCAATTCTACCATAATTGTCATACTTATTTTTTAGCAACAGCCTCCGTTATTTCAACTCAAAGTTTTGTATTTAGCCAACACTCTGACCTTAAAACATCATCAAGAAATGACTCTTAAATAGATGAGAAACGTATAAAATGCCAAAATAATCATTGCAGCTCCAAAAGTAACAACACTGAAAGAAAAGTGGGAACAGCAGATGGAAAACAGTTCTTAGAGTAAGAGAGGCCTTTGGTGACACACCTTTCAAAATCAGTCTCAGTGCAGCTGATAACACATGAAATGCATTTCTGATGTAGCGCTATATAAGTGTGACAGCGTCAGTCCCAATGGGTCCTTCAAAACTGTTTCAAGGTTTTCTCACCTCCTGTTGGTTTGCAGTCCACAACAGTCATTGTAGGGCAAAGTGTAACACACAGATACACACTCACACACAGAGGCCTGTTTGCACACACACTAAAGTGCACGTTCATTTGGTGTGATAGCCACCTCCCAGGTGTGTCACTCTGCTGCCTGCCGGTCTGACTCTGGTGCACTGAACACCCTGAAGATGGTGGGTGATGAAGTAGCAGGTTGGAAACGTTTAAACTGAAAGCAGCAGAGACAAAGAGAGATAAAGAGCGAGAGAGAAAGAGAGGAAGAGAGAGAGAGGATATGGAAAAAGCTTGTTGCACTGGTCAGACAGAGGAAGGGCAGTCTAGTTAGTGCCAGAAAACCTCTGCTCTGTCCTGTACAGCTGCCCATTTATAATAGAAACTTCAGCTTGTTCATTCATCCTCCTGACCTCCATCTATCTTCAAACTTTGACTTTTATTTCCTTTGTGTCCTTTCATTTACTTTTCTGTCCATTCTACATTTCTGCAATTTTCTCACAACAAAACTAAGTCTTTTCATTTCTCCCTGTCCTGTAGTTATGTCTTCACACGGCAACAACAAAGTCTTTCCAAGTTATTTTTATTATTCAAATCTACACTCCTCACTGCATTCTTAGTTTCCCTCCTTTACAGCCGAACTAAAATCTAACATTGCTTTTTAAAATCTGCTGTACTGTTTCAGACCACCTCTGTTCTGTCTCCATTTGTCTCTTGTGCACCACCCCGGCACACGGAGTTCCCTGCAAATCTCTCTGTACGTCGTTGGCCTTAGAAAATAGCCCCGTCACCACTCCATTCAATTGGGTGAGCAGGTAAAATGGTTTTGTGAGTCTCATTTCCTCAGTGATTTGAAACCTGGTCCACCATGGGAGAAGTGATTTTAGATTATTAATGAGGCTCCACAAACACTTTGTCTTCCCCTCAGTCATATGAGGGAATGAATGAAAGGGGGTCAACAAGTGAACAGACGGCCGAGCGTAACAGTGCACTGACAAATGAGGGTGATGTAATGTCGTATCAGTGTTTATAATTGTGCATGCATTAGTGCTAATGTGGCCTTAATGACACCATAATCAGCTTACTAATTGAGTGTCATTACAGAGGATGCAGATGGCTAATGTCACTGTCGCTGTTACTTGTTGAACAAAGGGTGGAAATGATCACATAGTGTGATGAAAGGAGGAAGGAATGACTTAATCTGCTCCTTATGGCTCGCATTAGCAACAATCAGCGCTAATGGAAAAGTTGTGCAATGCCTATTGTTCTATTTTGAGGAATTTGTGCGAATGTAACATCCTCATTAGAGCTTTATTGGTGACATTTATTGACTTAATGCTAACCAGGTGCCTCTTTTTCTTTCAGGTGGCCTGTAAAAGGAAGCTGCAGTCACTCATCAGGACTTTCTGATGACACTACGTCTGGTATCGACCTCTTTGTCAAGAACTGCCGGAGCATAAACAGATTCTGATGACCCAACACTGGATGAAGGCTCCTTTCACATAGAAAAAACCCCCCCCACAAACTCACCTTTGAGACCTTCACACTCATTTGCTACCTCACCTAAACTTATTTGAGCCCTTGTCGGCTCTAACTCATTTATCCCGAGAGAAGGGAAAGCGTTACGTTCAGCCAACATCATCCGCCATGGTGATGATGAGCTGTTGTATATTCAGGGCAATCGATTCACTGACCTCCCAATTCCATTAGCCACACACAAACACCCACACAGACACACACCTGGTTTTGGCCCCTGCAGATTCTTGAAATAGTCTCGTTTGTGACACCTGGGGTTGGCTCTCTGTTCACTAACACCACACCCAGACACCGACTTAGACAGCTATACCAAATTGAGTGTTAGAAGTCCATCTGCACACTATTATCTCCCATAGAGAACACTGACCTTGACTGGGAATCAGACCTGTGTTTGTGTGTTTGCATTAGGGGGGGAGGCAGCAACACATCCTGTCTGCTCTAAATGAGAGTCAGAAGGAGAGCTGATGCGGCAGAGCAGCCCTGATATATACTCTAAAAACGTAACCGCCCGGGGGTCGGCCGCCTAAATTGGAAAGCCGTAGAGCTTCATTAGATTGTTTGGTCAGTTATTTTCTACATATTTGACTTTTTAAAATAGTGCATAATAATTGAAAGTGTTTCTGTGGTTGTGCGAGTGTCTGTCACATTGTCAGAGCACATTAAGGCCAGGCTTTTCTAGGTCATGTCTCTTTGACTGACCTAGATTCATCAAAGAAAAACTGGCAAGCTGAGGAAGATGTGATGTGACACTTTAGTTTTCTTATTTGTGTACTCCTTGACAATTTCTTATTGAGTGTACGTATCCTCCATCTTACAGAAGTTGTACAAAAGAATCTTTGTGAATCTCCTTTTTGTTCAGATCTGTGATCCCCTTACAGCCTGACCTCTTCTCCCTCATGAACACCTTTCCCTCCTTCTCCACCTCACCTCCCAATACACCAACCATCCAGTCAGTGTGTAAGCCTTGCCTTCGGGCCCCGTGGAGGATGAACGATGTGCCCACACTTGACTATGATTTGCTGCTGTCCCCGGCCAGCTCCTCGCTCCCTGGTGGTCCTGGCGGCGGCAGCAGCAGCAGCCCCCCGCTGGCTCTGGTTGGGGTGGACACCGAGCAGCGCACCGCCTTGGCCTTCGTAGGCCTCCTGATGCTCTTCCTGGTCTTCCTGCTGGTCAGGTGCTTCAGGATCCTGCTGGACCCCTACAGCCGCATGCCTGCATCATCCTGGACTGACCACAAGGAGGGGCTGGAGAGGGGCCAGTTTGATTACGCGTTGGTGTAGGGCTAAAAAAAAAAGAGGGTGAAAGTTTATTTCCCGTGTATGGAGTGCTTAATGTAGATGTAAATGAACAAGAGAACTATGAATGATCTCTGAAAGGGGGGTTAGGTTTTACCTCAACCTGAGAGTGGATTTAAAGTGGTGTATTTTACTGTACTGCCGCCTGTGTGTTGGTGTAAATATGAGGCTGCAGGACCCTTTGAAACAGGTCTATTTCAGCAACACAGACAAGTGGAATCTCTGTGAGCCAAACACTCACTCAGAACAGATGTTGAACCATGAAGGACAGAAATAATGAGCTGCACAGCTGCCTTAGCCTGACCTACTGTGCTAGTCAAACATGCTAACACATCATAACATCACTTCAGGGCTACATTTTCCAAACTCAAAGACTTGTCAGTATTTAAACACTCAATGATTTTGAATAATCACATAACACTCATTCACTTCATCCTTACGGTGGTGTTCCTGCTCAGAGCTCACGGTCAGGGAGGGAAACTTAAATGCTCTTAAAAAAATCAAGTAGACCTACTGCTGTGTTCACAAAGGTAACATTAGTTTTAATGTAAGATGGTAATTGGTTTTACAGTTTCTCGATTGATCAGCAAACCAAAGGACAGTAGACTTGAAATAGTTGATTGAAACTTCATGGTTAAAAGAAAGGTAACAGAAATATTTCGGCTGTCTGTATTTTCACTAAGAACTCTTGGATGCTAATTTTTTCTGTCATCTCAAATCCAATATCTATAAATATGACAGAAAGCTCTGGAGTTTCATGTTTCCTTGTCTTTCCAGTTGCAGATCAATCGAGAGGAAAAGACAGAAACACGTCATATTCTCTATGATAGTTTGACAAACCTGAAAGAAATGAGAGATACACAGTGACGGAGCTGACTCACCCTGAGTATGGGGTCGTGAAAGACATAGTTTCTTACCTCAAGGCTGTTTTTTGGTAAGAACCATCCAAATGTAGAAAACAGGCAGAGCTGAACTGGAAGAGTTTACACTTTGGCAAAAGCCCCTTTAATGTGTTAGTGTCCATTGTCTTTGTTTCATTTTGGACACTGATCCTTGAGCAGCGTTTCAGATTTCAGATGCTTTTCAAAGTCGAGCAGGTAGTTTGTGTCTCCATAAAAAGTTCTCGGTGTATGTTTTGTGTGTCTATAACTGAGAAGCCATATTGGAATTATATATCTAATAACTGCAAGTAGAGTTTGTGTTCACTGGTTGTGCCCTGCTTAAGTCAGCCTGCCAAGTGTGGTGTTGAAGCAAACAGCAACCTTTAGGCAACAAAAAGCTTTATTTTTCTATTCTTGACTCCAGTTTGGGAGTCTTTTTGCTATCTTTCTGTCCTCTTCCTCTTAACGTATCAAACTTCTTCAGACTGTGGATTTTTCAAAGTAGTCAAGCAGCCACGTGTTAGAAAAAGGCAAAGCAGGTAGCTTTGCTTTTTTGTCGTGTTTTGTAATTGCATATTTTTCTGACTATCGGCTTTGTTTTTTTACACTTGGTTGAATCTGTAAAAATAAAAAAAAATCTGGTTACTCCCTCAATTAATCTTCTTGAATTCCCACTGATAGCAGGACTGTGTGGACAGTCTGTGTTGTTCATGTTGGAAATAAAATGGTTACTACTTTAACTGTTTTAATCTTGTGTCACTTTTTTCACACCAGTCCAATAAAAAAAAAATAAAAAAAAACAGTATGCATGATTTAAAAATATAACCCACAATACTTTATTGCCATTAATGTCATAAGACAAAGGTTTACAATATTATGTGAATCATTCTAATTTTGGTGCCATTTGACTGCTGTTGGTGTCAGGAATCTTTGGTTTTGCCTTTGCACAAAATGACTCAAAAAAATGAAAACATCTCATGATAGATGCTCGATGTACGGATTCCTAGCTGTTAAATGTGGTGACAGGATGATATTCATTTCAGCTTTTAGCTGAAGTCTGGTAACGACAAGTGCAACAGCTGTGGTGAACGTTTGGACAAATGTAACAGAATCCTTATTTTAAAAGTAAAAACACTTAATTCAATGCAAGCAGATGATTGTTTCAAGTTTGACAGTGAAGCTGAGATACAGTAAGCACACGCAATACACTGTTTTTTTTTTTTTAAACATAGTGGCAAAAAAAAATACAAACTGAAAATTAAGGTACAAAGTATACAAATGTTCCCAGATAAGAGAAATGGTTATGTGTTATAAGCATTGCCTTGGCTGTTGGAGAGTGCAGCAACCTTGAATGTTAAGAGAGGAGGATATAGCACCATGGATTCTGGCTGGAGATGGTCAAGTTTGCATTGATCCTTGTGGCATTGTACAGACAGTGTAAGCTTGTATGACAAATGATGGAAATGTTAATCATCTGTAAGTCTAAGATGTTGGATTTCTTTTGGCTCATGGCTGATATGTCTGGAGGAAGTGGTTTCAAACAACTCAGTCAGTGATCACCAAACACAACACTGCATTCACTTTGGGTTTTTTCTTTTTCTCAACAAAACAAAGTCAACAGCACTTAAGGCCTTCAATCTTGGGTTTTGTATATTTTTTGGTAACCTTGACATTCAAAAAAAAAAAAAATCTACAATTCACTTAAAATATACAATTTAATTTTCAAGAAGCAAGTTTGATAATATTGGTTTTTCAGCACAGAGACAAAACAAAAGATGGACATACAAAAACAAAAACAATAATAAATCCTAGCAAAAAAAAAAAAACACTTTGCAATCCAGATTCAAGACTGCACAGCGTGTATAAGAGATGGTATTATTTAGCACCTTTTTTCTCTTTAAGAGAAAAAAAATTATGAAAGGTATGATGATAGCTTTGTTTTTGGTTTCTTTGTGAGGTTTGGTGCTTACCTGTGCGTGCCCCCTTGTATCATAAAGCATTACCTTTTGTTGCAGGAGGCAATGTTATCATGTCATGTACCTTTGAGAATGTGCTAATGTAATCAGCTGTGTATCTCAGACTTAAAGCTCATGGTCAAGTTCAAGATGCCAGGTACAGTCAACTTTAGACTTCATCAAAAAGCTGTTTCTCAGGTCCAGAATCAGTGCACCTGAGGTCTTAATCCCTACAGAGATAAATAAAAAATTGACCTGATCTATACTCTTTTAAGTCTATGAGCTACAAACTGCTGTATTCCCTACTCATGATGGTTGCTGAGTGACTCTAGCACCCTCTTATGTTTTAAAGTCAACACTGCAGCACTGTGTCCACACTGAGCAAGAGGTACTGAGGTAACAAACATGACAGCACACACATGCAGACACGCTAATCCCTGCTTGCCACTGCCGGGGCAGGGCAGAAATCAGTCACATCTGAGCAGAAAGACAGCTCATTGTTTCCTCATGTGTGATTTGGTTGGTATTCAGCTACAAAACAGACTGCTACGGACAAAGAACCTGAAATGCTGTGTAAATGTTGCAGTCCTTCGTGTTTACATAATTCAAACAGTACAAATACATTAAATGACACACTACAATACTGAGAGGGGGACAAACCATGTTCCCCAGTGTTGTGATTGTTTTTTTTTTTTTTAACCTAAGATCACAGAGAGGTGGCACAATCCTTGGCACGCCCCCACCCTTTCTTGAGCCAAACTACACCTTACAACACTGACATCAGTCTGGATACTGCACTTAAATACTGCCAAACCTGACACTATAAGACAGTTTCGGCCACTCTCAGCACTTCAGTTCTTCTAAATAAACCTCTCGTTTGTCTGTAAAAGTGCTTCATGGACTTGTGAACCATCTGTCTTCTGTTTTGTGTTAATTTGGGGTTGGCTGGTCCAAGAACAGGGGCACCTCTCTGTAATCTTCCCCACTGGCTCTCTCAGTGGTGAATGAGTGCTGGGTCGGGTACAAGTAGAGGGTTAGAGTAGAAAAAAAGAAACATGAAACATGAACCCTTAACATAAACAGTAACAAAGTGGTGGTAGACTTGGGCTGATTGACTCAGTCTTTTGTAGCCCTTGGTTTCTCCCTGTTGGGGTGGTGGTCCCGCAGGGTTTGGGTTTAGGTTGGGTTGGAGGGGAAGAGTTATAGGGGCAAGTCAAAACTCAAAGGCTTTAAGAATCAGTCCAGGATAGGATGGCCAGCACACTCTGAGCTCAGTGCAGGTGGATGTGGAGCTTGATGCGCAGGGCGTCTCCTATTTCACCTTGTAGGTAGTCACTGTCGTGCTGATCCTCCAGCTGGTGAAGTCTGCGGGGCCCGAACAGCCGCAGACTGGCGATATCTAGCCGGTAGGACCCTGGTGGAGGCGGCCTCTTGCCGAACCGGAGCACGCTCTTTCCGTCGCGGCGTTCCAGCAGGCGGAAGTGTTCATTATTGTTGCCGTGGGTGATGACGTAGCGGACGTGGTTCTCCAGGGGCTGCAGGGCAGGCAGTAGTTCAAGTAGAGGCTCCTTGTTGAGCAGGAAGGACAGAGAGAGGTTCATGTGGATGGAGTCCTGGGTGTCCACGCTGGCCATGCTCACTGCTGGTTCCTGCAGGGGAAATAAGGGGCAGAGGGAGAGAGATGAAACAGGCTCTTCAGAAATTCAAATATGCCCTCAAACTGACAAAAAATACACATACATACCTTTTTAATCTCATTTTCAGCTGCGTTTCGTTTGTGTCGTCCGCCTTTTCCTCCTCCGTTGATCTTACATTCATAACATGTTTCAGGAGACAGACTGTCTTCCTCATCACCATCCACAAGCTGGCTCGTGAAACCTGAGCCCGTTATACAGTGACTGTGTAGAAACAAGAAGTGAGAATTGATTTAATAATTTGTAATGTTGCAAATGTTCGCCAAAGAAGTTTAGTGACACCACATTTCACTGCCCGTTACTTAAACAATTTCTAAATCCGTTTCCTCACCCCTGTCCAGCTCTGTAGAAACCTCCAGGACAGCCACACAGGTAACCTCCGTCAGTGTTGGAGCAGCCGTAAATACAGGGATTGCTGCCTGTGCTACATTCATTCACATCCTGACACCCACCAGCGCCCTGCTCAAAGTCAAAGCCAGATGGACACACGCATTTGAAGCTGCCCAGTGTGTTGTAGCAAGAGGCGGAGCCACACACTGCTGAGCTCTGACACTCGTTCTCATCTGAGGAAGAGAGACAGAAAGTGTGACGATTACAAAGTACATGTTAAAGTGTTTATGATATTGATGGATGACGAGGTGATTGATTTCTGTAGCCTGGAAAACTCACCCACACACTGGTTCCACTGATAGTGCTGCACGTAGCCTTGAGGACAGCCACAGCGGTAGCCTCCCAGCATGTTCTGACAACCATGCTGACAGCGATGGTTACTGCTACACTCATCCACATCTAAGAAAAACGAAAAATAAGATTTCAAATCTCTTTTTTCTCTCAAGTGCAGTTTCCTTAATCACAAACATCTTAGGACGGCCATTTCATATTTCCATGAATTTGGAGATAAACAGACAAATTCAAAATACAGTGTCCTCTCACCTTCACACTCAATGCCTGTGGTGTCCAAAGAGAAACCTTTAGAGCATTCACAGTTGAAGCTGCCAGGTGTGTTGACACAAGACGCCCGGGTACCACACACGCTGTTCTGAGCGGCACACTCGTTGTTGTCTGGAAAAAGCAAAGACATCTGGAGTTAATGTTTGGTAGGAAAAAAGCTGCCTTTGTTTGAGTTTTTGTTGACAAGAAACATGCAGAGCTAAAACAGAGCATACACACCAATACAGGCGGTCTGGTGTTGTGTGAATCCAGGAGGACACTTGCAGGTGAAGCCTCCGATGGTGTTGACACAGAGGAATTGGCAGTTATGCTGCTTGGTGGAACATTCATCCAGATCTTGAAGAGAAAAAAAGAAAGCGCTCAATGTTAGATGGAGGAAACAACCCTCAAAGCCATGAGTATGTTAAAAAATTTACTTTACTTGATGCCTCTCTCTAAAACGCATTATAAATATATGTATAATGCGTTATAATCACATTATAGCACTTTATAACAATAGTTATAAACATTCATAAATGATCATAATGCTTTATAGCAATAATCATAACACATAAAGCATTTTATCAGGACTTACAAGGTCAGGTATTATATTGTATTAAACTGTTAACAACAGTAGCATTACATTATCTCTGTGGGCATTGTCAGTGAGTTGTGAACAGTTATAACACATTATAATACCTGACCTTGTAAGTAATGATTAAATGGTTCATAATGTATTATGATTATTGCTTTAAAACATCATGATCATTAATGAGTGTTTATAACTATTGTTAAACAGTGCTATGATGTGCTTATACCACATTATACATATATTTATAATGCGTTAGAGAGATAGGCGTCAAGTAAAGTGTTGACAAAAATTCATTGAAAAATACAAGCATAAAACTATATGAAACTACAACATCACTAAAAGACAACAATCCAAGAGTCCTCTTACCTTTGCAGGTCTTTCCGTCAGGCTGCAGGCTGTATCCTCTTGGGCAGGAACAGAGGTAGCTGCCCTCTGTGTTTTTACACAGGAAATTACAGGGTTTCGGAGACAACGCACACTCATCCATATCTGGAGGATAAACACAGGGGGATACAAATGTGAGCAGGGATGCTAAATTACGCAGCTATATTCAGCATCAGGAAAATCGAATGACTTTGCAGCTAAATAAAGAGAACACATGGAGAGAGGAGATCGGCCGTACCAACACAGGAGGTCGCAGTGAAGTCGGTTTTGTAGCCCACGTTACAGTGACAGCGGAAAGATCCAATGGTGTTGATGCACTGACCGTTCTTGCACAGATCCGGCATCACCAAGCATTCATTGATGTCTGGAGGCACAGGATCATTTCAGACAGGTTAGAATATATAAAAACAACAATTTATTTTCTAACTGTACCTTCTTTAAAATATGATTAGAATATATAACGCTTTATGAGAGGACTCAGTCAAGCTTCTGACCTCTGCCATCCGTAGTGTAGCCAGGTCCAAGTGGGCACATTTTCTTGTACTGTACGGTACCAGGCAGTGGGCAGAGCTCACACTGAGACCCCCAACCTCGGCCTGTGTTGCAGCAGCACTCTGACTTGGTCACGCTGTTTCTGCTGGTGGAAGACTGCTGGCACATCGTCTGCAGAACCTCTGCATAGCAGTAGCCCTTCCGGTTGTCTGAAGGAGGAAAAAATGTATGACTTAAAAGTTTTTGATGTTTAAATTTTAGGAAATAAAAGCAAAACTGCATCTATGATTTCTTCATCTTTGCAGTTGACAACATGGTCAGCCAGGAGAATGGATCTCACCGATACATTCAGTTCCAGTGGAGCTCGGCTCAAAACCGTCATTGCACTCGCAGCGGTAGCTTCCCACTGTGTTGACACAACGCCCGTTCTTACAGATGCCGGGCTTTGCACGACACTCATTCAAATCTAAGTGTGCAGAGAGAAGGATGAAGAATGAAGCAAATAAAGAGGCAAATAATTTAAGTAACTACAGCAGGTGCAGGTAAGGGAGTCTCACACTAGCTTTAACATTTCACTCACCCATGCATCCATCTCCATCTGGTCTGCGCTGCATGCCAGGAGGGCAGATACACATGAAGGTACCAATCAGGTTCTTACAAGTCATACCCTTGGAGTCGCAGTCATCCAGACCCTCAGCACACTCATCGTGATCTGGTGAGGAGTGATAGGAAATTGACAGTCAGTAATAACTGTGACCGTTCAGTTCTGTTTTGACCCGTTTGCAAACTGGAAATTCGATTGGATAATCTGTCGTGCCCTCTCACCTCTGCACATGCGTTGGTCATCCCTCAGCACGTATCCAGAGGGACACATGCACTCATAGGAACCAAAGGTGTTAACACAACGGAAGGCACAGAGGAGGGGATTGTTGGAGCACTCATTGATATCTGGGAGGGATTTTAAAATAAGAGATTAGTTGTTTAATAACATAAATGTAACTGACCTAGAAAAGCAGAACAACTCTGTAAATATCATGAGTGTCACTCTATGTATGACTGACCTTCACAGGTCATCATGGGTCCAGGTTCGAAGCCCTCCTGGCATGAGCACTCGAAACCTCCCACCACATTGGTGCAGGTTCCGTTTCCACATGGATTGCCTATGGAGCACTCGTCGGTGTCTGGAGAGGACAGAGAGCAGAGGCAGATGGAGGAAGTCATTAAAACCAATGAAACATTCACACCAAACACTAGGCTTTCAAAAACACTAATTAGCTTCCATACAGTTACTCTAATGTGATGCATGAACTAGCTGAACTCTGGTCCTTCTGGTGTTTAAAGCTGATGTAGGGGAAATATTCAGCGAAATATCATAGAGCTTTTTTTTTTTCTCTGCTTCCCTTTTTTATGGCAAAACCTCAAATGAATTCAGCCCTTTCATTTTCTGTTTGCAGGTCTGGTTTTTATAAGACAGTTTTATTATTTGCTTGTGCACTAACATTTCAAAAACCATCTTACCGACACAGTTCACTCCAGTGTAATCCAGGTTGTATCCGAAGGGGCATTCGCAGCGGAATGAACCATCTGTGTTGATGCAGATCCCATTCTGGCAGATGCCCGGGTTATCCAGACACTCGTTCATGTCTTAACAGGGAAAGAGGGGATTTGTATAATTTTATTAGATTGACAAAAACAAGACATCCATAATCATCTGCTGCATTCACGAGTCTGTGAAGTGGAACTCACCTTCTCGAGCGTCCCCGGGTCCAGGCAGCGCTCCATGGCCGTAAGGACAGAGAGTGTCAAAAGCGGCTGAGAACACACCAGAAAAGTTCATTGTTATTATTTAACAGAAACATCTCAGTGTTAATGTGTGTGTCTTAATAAAGGTTTGTAAATTTGTACATGTTGATGCGTTACTCACCCTCAGTCTCTCGAGGACACAGCTCACAGGGAAGACCCCAGCCTTCACCGGGCATCTTACTACAGCAGCACTTGGCCTTGGTGGTGTTGAAAGCTTTGGGGACAGAGCACTTCCCTGCTTCGAATTTGGTGAAACAGAAGCTCTGTCTGGTGTCTAAAAGAAAAAAAGATGATGCTCTAAATCTTTTGTTTCATCACAGATTGACAGCGACTGCTGCCATTTACGGAAAACGAGAAACAAAAGCCTCCTGCCTGCTACAGCAAATGTCACAGTGACACATTTTTGTGGCCCGTAACGAGGGAACCTTTTCACTTACCGTAGCAGCGCCGTTTGTTGTCAGAGAGTACGAAGCCTGGCTGACAGGTGCATTGGAAGCTTCCTGGGGTGTTTGTGCAGGTGCCAAACTGGCAGATGTTGGGCTCCACCTCACACTCGTTGATATCTGTGCAGGAGTGTATAAATGTGTTAAGGGAAAAGAGAATGACTGCTGAGCCTGTACTTGTGTGGATGTCAGAACAGATGGTTGGATCACTAATGTGTCCCTGATGTTCAGACGAGTGTGTTGATCAAAACTCAAGCTGGTTTATATTATTGGGTATCATTTGGCTCGTACAGATTGTGTATCTATGAGTGTGTGTTTGTGCCTCACCTATACACTGGTCATTTTGCACCTCATATCCAGGGGGACAGATACATCTGAAAGACCCGTCCAGATTCTGACAAGTTCCTGGAGAGCAGGTGCCGGGCAGACTCACACACTCATTGATATCTGTGGAAAAAGAGAGAAAATGTGTGTTTTGTTAAACTGTATTGTGAGAAAACAGACAAATACCAACCAATCCCATATTTCTCTTGTGTTTTTGCGGACTTACCAACACAGTTTTTCCCATCCTGAGTGTTCTCATACCCCTCGTGGCAGAGACACTGGAAGGAGCCAAGTCCATTGATGCACTGTCCATTCCTGCACACTTGGCCCTGTAAGGCGCTGCACTCGTCTATGTCTGCAAGGTTCAAATCAAGAGGATCAGAACTCTGAATATTCCTTTAATTTTGTCTATTCAAAAACAGCAACAATAAATCTTTAAAAAGTTGCTGAAAAAGTGTCAAAAAGTCCATGGAAGCTGGTTTATGGTGGAAAATTCATTGTGTGATATTTTTTCTCTAGAGGAAAGGAAAAAGGGGAAGATTTTTTATTAGAGTAGATTAGATTAGGAAAAACTTAACTGATCCTTTGAGGAAAGTTCCCTCAGGGAAATTAAAGACATATCATTTTATTTCAATTATTTTTTTACGACAACAGAAAATAGGATTGATAATTCAATGCAAACATCAAGTGCTTTTAACTCGGTGAGAGTACAGCGGTGTACGATCCTTACCCATGCAGTCATTGTTGTGTGTGAGCTCAAAGCCCGGGAAGCAGAGGCAGTTATATGACCCGACTGTGTTTTTGCAGGTGCCGTTACCACACGGCTGCCTGTCACACTCGTCAATGTCTAAATAAAGAGAAGAAACACAGGGGGAGACAGAATAAGCATTCAGATATTTATAAAAGCATGAATTATGTGTCTACTAAGACTTGGCAGGTTTAATGTTACACAGTGCTGTTTATACGCTAAACTGTGGACATTGTTTCTCACCCATGCACATAGTCTGGTCAGCAGTTGCCTTGAAGCCATTGTGGCACAGACAGCGATAACTTCCCTGGGTATCTATACACTCTCCGTGGCTGCAGGCGTTTGGAATCTCCTGGCACTCATTACGGTCTGAAAACCAGAGAAAACAACAAAACAACGCTGTAAAGGCACCACACAGTTAATAATTTTGCGTAATAAAGGTGATGTCTCCCCGATGCTTTTGTTCCCCTCCATTATCAAAAGGTATCCTCTGTGGCGCAAATTTTAGTCAGCTGTTAAATCGGGTCCTCATTGCGCTGCTCAGATCTTCCCTCCAACTGCAAAATAGTCCTCATTTTCTAAAGGGCATAAAAGCCCAAACATAAAACCTTTAATGGTATTTGGCTCACAATGATGAAAAACATTAATGGTGTTGCATTAATGATGTTAATGATGTCATTTCCAGATGAATAAACGTCTTTGATTTGTAGTTGGCCTACTTCTTGACTGTGAGTTACACTTGGTATGTAGAAATCCAACATGATATTTAGTCCATGTGTCATACCTCAATAGTTTGCTTTGTATTTATAGTATCTGTTGTTTCATTTACATTAGTCTCTCTACAACATAATCTCTCGTGTCTGGTTAATCTTGTTTTTTTATCTGAGTGTATTCAGATACTTGTGTTATTTCCTTTATATTTCATACAGAGTAGATTCAGCCAGACCTTCAGTGATGGATCTAAAGCTTGGATAAGTTCCCATTCCCAAGCAGATTTTCTACAGGAACATAAATTTCAATAATTATAGTTTAAACTCAAAGGGCCTATGTTTTACATTTTGCTAACATCACCAGCACGATCAGTCTTTCTGTCAGCCTCCCACCTTCTTTAAATGGAGAACCCCATCACAGCCTGTCAGACAGGCTAGACTCACCCACACAGGCCCCGTTGGGCGACAGTTTGAAGCCTGGCGAGCACTCGCAGCGGTAGCTGCCTGGGATGTTGATGCAGTTGGCATTGCGTTGGCACAGGTTATCCCCACTGTTACACTCGTCAATATCTACACAGCGGGAGAGAAACAGTGGGCATCATTCTCAGGCTCCATAACTGTCTGCTCAGAGCTGGCTGTCAGCAGCAGGAGAGAAAACACAACAGCTACATTTTGGCTCTGATACAGCGCATACAGTCACCGCAGGTTCTGAGTGATTGAAAGTCCAGGCAGGTGTTCCTATTCAGGGCTTCTATAGTTGCTTTTACTGGGACATATTTTATGTAGGAAAGGCAGCATTTATTCAGCTGAGGGACTGCTTATGAAATCACCTCTCAGCCAGTGAGTGAGTGTTACTGCGTTTATGTGCGTTCCTCCAGATGTGTATGACTGAGTATGACTATGTTATTTACGACAGAAACAGAGGTAAGTGATTGTGCCAGCAGACAGAAACTATTTTCACTGTATATATCATGCATAAACACGCAGTGATGAGTAGCATGTTCAAAAACTGGAGATTCTGTGTGTGCTGTACGAGAGGTATGTGTGTATGTTGTGTGATTGTTTCTGTCGGTGCAAACAAAATCAAAATCAAAGTAAAAGAGCTGGAAACCTTGGCAGCACCTCTTTTCTCACACAGTCTCATAAAAATGAGCGTTCTTCATTAAAAAAGGTTTTTATGTGAAGGAAAACATTTTCATCTAAACTGCAAAAGTAACATTTGCTCTGCTTTTTTATGACGAGGGAGGACAAGTGAGTCCAAGAAGTGTTACCTTCACAGATGAGAAGTATGTTGTTGTAGCTGAAGCCCATCGGACATTCACAGCGGAAGCTCCCGATCTGGTTGATACAAACTCCATTTTGACAGATTCCAGGGATCTCCCTGCATTCATCAATATCTACACACAACAATACAACAGAAGGGTCAATGAGCATGAACAATCGTCTGTCTATCACAGATTGGCACAGATTTAATATCGTAATGGCCTTACCAATTGGCTTGCCAGTGTGGATGTCAATGATGAAGCCCGGGGCCTGGTTGCCACACAGTAACTGGTACTCAGCTGAAACAGGAGGGACAGGAGACTCATAAAGACTTCATATTTATACAGATTTTTTCACAGCTGTTTGGAGCACTGAGAGACACTCACAGGTGGCAGGAGTTGGACAGGCCTCACACGGCTTGTTCCAGGCTTTCCCCACATTGTAGGCACAGCAGCACATCTTTTTAGTCATGTTAAAGGACAGCTCGTTCTCACATGTGTCGTTGAAGTTACGGTAACACACACTCTTCCTCATGTCTGTGTCAGAAGAGAGTAAACAAATATTGTTTACATATATATACATAAAAAAGACATGCTGAGGGTTTATTTTGTGAATGCAAATGTCAGCCAAAGAGGTTACTCTTACTCACCCATGCAGTTGTTTCCACCGTTGACCTGCATGTACTCAGGGGGGCAAACGCAGGTGTAGTTACCCAGAGTGTTGTAGCAGGTACCAGGTCCACAGATACCAATGTGGGTTGTGCACTCATCGATATCTGCACATGGAGATATGATTTAGGTTAAAAAAAAAGAAAAAAAGTATAAAATAGGAGCAGTTAAGCGATATAGTATATAGCTAAATAGTCTAGTTTCAGTTCTTACCCTCACAGATGCGAGTCTCCTCATTGAGATAGTAGCCTGCTGGACATTCACACTGGAAACTACCAAAGGTGTTAACACAGTTTCCACCCTGACAGAGACCTGGCAGCTCCTGGCACTCATCAATATCTGTAAAGTAATCCACAAATTTAGATCCAGATGTATTGATTTTGTGTTAGACTGCATCCATAACTTTGAATACAGCTGCATTTTCAGATTTAAATCAGGGCTGGAAAAAGATAAGCAAGGATCTACCTTCCAGGATGACAGTGATGGGGTTCGGCCTGAATCCCTCTCCTCCCGGACAGAGAGTCTTATACTCCGCTACAGGCAAGAAAGAGACAAACAGTAAGTTTTAACCATGACACTCACATGTGCATAAATAAATGTTTAAATAAATAATTCATAAATCTAAGGTCCTGTGGTGCATACTCGAGTTGGGGGCAGGGCAGAGTTCACAGGGGTTTCCCCAGGCTCCTCCAAGGGAGCAGCAGCAGGAAGCTCGGGTCACCCCCACTCCGATTTCAGCACTGCAAGAGATTCCTCCATCACCGCGGGCGAGGATATCCAGGAAGCAGTTTCCGACACGGGTATCTGAAAAAGTCATGAAAACATTAGATGTCCAATTACATGAAACAACACAAGGTGTATTTAATTTCTGTATTTGTTTTATTATTATTATTAGCATTATTTGTTTTCAGTGTTATAATATCAAATATTGTTAGCGTTTAATAAGTGCTCAATTAAGGATTTACTAAACTTCATAAGACATCATTCACACTCTAAACCCAGTAGCTGTAAAGGAGCATTGTTAGCTGTTAGTAAGTGCTTAATAAAGGATTAACTAATCCTTATAAGACATTAAACTAAACCTTTCATAGTCTTATTCATGTTATAGAACATCTAACGAAAGTTAGGAAGTGGCCTATGAATTGTTAAAATTCTAGTGAGTGCATAAAGGTAGGCTAATAAGCAACAAGAAATGTTTATGATTTTATCAAAAACTCATACAGTTGTATTAAAGTAAATAAACAACTTGTTAGCTTTTAAAAGTTGTCTCTGACTCTTATATGCTGTAATTGGTAATAACTTCCCACAAGTGTGTTGCAAGCTAATAATAAACATGTTTATTTATCTGTAATAAACCCTTCTTCATCTGAAAAACAGAAAATAGATGTTTCTCATGAATATTAACAAGTTCCCATAAAAAAAGACTACTAATATCTGATAAGCAATAACAAATATGTTCATGATGCTTCCATTAAAACCTGTTAATTCTTATTAGTGTTTATAAGCATCTTATAATTGCCTATAAGTAGCTTATTAACTATTAATTAATACTTGTTACAATGACCTTCATATAAAGCGTTACCAACTATTACTCACCCACACAGCCCACTCCGGTGGGATTGAGCTCGAAATCAGCCGGGCAGTTGCACCGGTAGCTCCCAGGAGTGTTCACACACAGCCCGTTGATGCAGTTCACAGGGTCTGCACACTCATTGATGTCTGCAAAAGAGACACACACACTCAGCAACACACACCAGATGGCTGACATCTTTATAACTGGATATCTCCTTATGCTGCTGAAAATGTGAGAGCTCAAAATACTTATCTACTTTTGGCACTTTAATTTATGTCACAAATTTACTTATCGTAGCTAGATACTGATCTGCACAAATGATGAAAAATTAGTTAGATGATGTCTTTTAAAAAAACATTTTTACCTTACGTATATTTTTTATTTTAGTGAGTTTTACAGGCTGTAAATGTCAAAGTACCTCAGCTGAACCCTACTCTGTGTCATAACTTGGAAACTTTACGGTTGTAGTAACGCCACACTAACCAGTGCAGTTTCCTCCGCTGCGGTCGAGTTCATAACCATCATCGCAAACACAGCGGAACATCCCTGGAAGGTTCTGGCACGTTCCAAACACACAGATGTTCTGGAAGTTACACTCATCAATGTCTGTAATAAAAGGCAGCCAGGAAAGAGAGAGAGAGCACATATAGTTACACCACCTTTATGAAACAAAGATGAATAAAAAAGTAAAAAAGAATAAAATCTGACAGAAAAAGTGTGAAATACCTTGACAGGCCTTGCTGTCTTCTGTAGGAGTGAAGCCCATCTCACACTCGCAGCGGTAGCCTCCTGGAGCATTCAGACACTGGCCGTTCTCACACAGGTTCACGTTGTCTGCGCACTCATCCATGTCTGAAATTTTGGTGCAATTTTTAGTTACGTGTTAATAGAACTGACAACGAAACAGATACAGTTTGGATGTACTTAAGACCCCATAATCTCACCTGAGCAGGAGAAACCGTCTCCATTGAATCCCTCTTTGCAGGTACACCTGTAGGATCCAGGTGTGTTGACACAGTCCGCATTGGGGTTACAGTTATGGTCCTCTGCAGAGCACTCATCCTGATCTGCAGATGGAGAAAGAAAAATTAAAACATGTCCAATCAAACAAGTTTCTTAGCTTTTTCTTCTTTTATTTTGTCTTTAAAAAGTCGTTATTTCACAGCTGAGAGTAAAAAGTACTTACCCACACACTTGATGCCATCTCCCACCCAGCCGTCTCGACAGCGGCATTTGAAGCTGCCAGGAACGTTGATGCAGGCAGCATGCATGTCGCAGTTGTGAGCGCCGATTTCACATTCATCAACATCTAGAGAGGCACATAAACGCTTATAAGCAGGAAACTGTATATGTCATTCTACAGGCTATTTCCCTGTGAATGCTGGACAAAACAAGAAGAATTCAACATTTGATTTTAACTCAGCAGATAGTTTTTAAATTCTATAAGTAGTAAATCATGAATAAATGATACTTTTTAAAGTTTTAAACCCTGAACTTCTGTATGCATGGCTGATCCGTCTCAACTCTCCACTCATATATGAACGCACAGAAGCCCAGACCATCTCAGCTCTTGTGTGTTTATGTGTGAGTGTACCTGTGCAGCCCGTGGATCCCTTCTTGACGAAGTATCCCAGCTGACAGTGGCAGATGAAGGAGCCTTTGGTGTTCTCACAGTCACCGTGGAGACAGATGTTTGGGTTCAAGTCACATTCGTTCACATCTGTGCAGACAGAGATGGACAGATTACAAGTGAACGCTCGGGCCTTTTGAGATTACAGTGAGAGGAAATGAGACTGACAGGGAAAGTCCCACAGATCAGGTTAGAGAGGCTGGATAAATAAATTCATGTTAGAGATAACGAAAGGAGGTCTGCAAAAATATCAAGCATACAATTAAAGTGAGAGAAAAAGCAGAACGTGTTTTTACAGCATTAATCAAACTAAGTATTGCTGTTTCTCTTACCGATACAAGTCCTCATGTCCATTGAAGCCATGAAGCCATCATAACACAGACAGCGGTATTCCCCGGGGATGTTGGTACACTGACCTCCATCACAGATGTCTGGAGTCTCCTCACACTCATCAATATCTGAAAGAGGTAGCAAGATAACAGATCAATGTGCTTTCTGTGGCAACAGCAAGAAATATAGTCTGCCAGGGTTTAACTGGAGAACTTTTTACACATTATCACATTGATTTATAGTTTTAGTCTCACAGGGGAGTGCCTTGGACACAGATCTACTTCGTATATGGTTTGTTTTATTACCTGAGCAGGTCCTGAGGTCAGGCATAAGAGCGTAACCCTCACTACAGCTGCACTCATAGCTGCCCTCTGAATTGGTACAGTGGGTCTCACAGCCTCCGTTCATGATGGTACACTCATCGATATCTGCCAAGAGAGGTCACAATAATAGATCGCATTAATTTGGGATTGGTCAGTTAATTTCCTAGATAATGATATTTTTGATTAGTGATGCTCACCAACACAGCCCTGTCGGTCTGGTGTTGCCTGGTAACCAGTGTCACAGGAGCACTGGTATGTCCCTGGCATGTTGACACACTGCCCATTTTTGCACAAGTTGTCACTCAGCTGGCACTCATTCACATCTGAAAGAAGAAGAATACAGAACATTATATATTGTTATTATGAAGTGAACCATATCTCAGTGAAATATCCCAGAACAATTCAAACATAGAATGCTATAACATAAACATGTGATCCATAACAATATGGTTAAAAGAAAGTACTTGATCAAGATGGGACAAGAAAGAGTAGGACTTTGAACATTAACACTTTTTCAAACAGGTTTGATGACTTTGCTACACAATGCAATTTGATCACGTTTATGAATGCACAAATGTTAGTGATGTTTAATGACTGCTTCACCTTCACAGGCTGATCCATCAGTGCTGAGTGAGTGTCCAGTGGGGCAGTCGCACTCATAACTCCCCTCTGTGTTCAGGCAGGTTCCTCCACGACACAGCAGGGGGTTCCTCTCGCACTCATCAATATCTGTGCGCAGAGTGGAGAAGACAGAGATGAGTGGAAGTTGAATAAAAAGAGGGCAATAGGAGAGAACATGAATGTGTGAAAAGATTTGGTGAGCTGATAAACCTGATTCACATTTAGGACGATGTTTCAAATAGTGTTTGTTATTGGCAAACGTTCAATAGTGCACATAAATGTGTTTCCAGCTTACCCATGCAGTTTTTCATCATCATGAAACCGCTCTCATATCCCTCGAAACATTCACACTCAAAGCTGCCAGGTGTGTTGACACAGGTACCATGACCACACAAGTCTGGGGAGATGCGGCACTCATCGATGTCTGAAACACAGAAGCATAAGAAGGTCTTACTAAATAACTGCTCACTGGTTTTAATGGAAACATTTTAATATAAAAAAAATCTGACTTTCGCTCTCATACCTGTGCAGTTCCTCTCCTCTGCCGTCAAAGCGAAGCCACTGTTGCAGCGACACTTAAAACTGCCGATGGTGTTCCGGCAATTTCCATGGGTACACAAACCCTGGAACACTTTACACTCATTTACATCTGAGGAAAAGGAGATCAAATTAATTCAAGATTAAACTGACAGAGATTTAGAAAAGTCACAGAAGCATATTTATTGTAAACATGTTTTAATGCAAAATAAAGCCATTTGTTCGACTGTTTTTGACAAAATTAAGACTTTAAAGAACAGAACAGAACAGAAATCTACACTCTAAGGTCACACATTAAGATAAAATTGTCCAGATCTAATGAGTTGAAATATCTACCTTTGTAGAAAGACCTGCCAGTCAGAATATCTCCCCTGTTGGCGAAGCCGTGCCCTCTGGGACAGATGGTTCTGTACTCTGGTGTGCCGGCTTTGGGACACTCCTCACAGTCGACTCCCCAAGCAGCACCCACAGAGCAGCAGCACATATCCACGCGGTATCTCCCTGGCAGTGGTTGGCCGCACTCATCCTCGTGCCATTTCATGAAACACTGCTCACTACGCATGTCTAGAAAAGTTGGTTATGAAATGAAAAACAAAGTGAGTAACATGATTGTCTCTGGAAAAAAAAACAAACCTCTTTGTATACTGATGAATCTCACATCCAGTCAACTATCATCTAACAGCAGAACATAACTTAAACAGTTAGCAAGGAGCATCTTACAGCAAAGACCTGATTCTCAGAGTGCTCTTACACCAGTTTTACATTATTATTTTTTATTTACATTATTATGAAAAAAATCCATGAACAGAGTTTGTAAGATAATAATGTGGATATGTGATTTCAATGTCCTTCAGTCCTCTTACCCACACATGTGCGACCAGAACTGTCCAAGGTCAGACCCTCAGCGCACTCGCAGCGGAACGAGCCCTGGGTGTTCATACAGCGGCCATTTGTACACACTCCAGGGAACACCTCACATTCATTAATATCTACAGGGAGCAGAACATTTTAAGAGCCATGATTACAAGGTGGAGCTCACACACACATACACACTCGTACACAATTATGCTAAAGAAGTCCATGGGGAAAACACAAAGGAACATTACAAGGACGAAAAGACTGAATGATTTCATAGGAGAGCTGACGGTTGGTTGCTGTTCATTAACTTATCAAATGCTCTTACCTTCACACACAAGGCCCTTCATGCGAGCGAACCCTCGAGAGCAGGCCGTATCTGCAGAGGCATAAGAAGATTGAAGGGTGTAATAAAAGTGTTTTATTTATGAGACGTAGCACATCTGCCGTATAGCGGTACCTTTCCCATGATCAAAGCAGCCATAAAGAAACTAACTTCACCTGAATTTTTACTTTCCACGAGTCAGGAAAACCTTGAGTCCTTGTCAGGTATTATCATAAAAATGGTGTTTATGTGTGTGTTTGTGTAGACTAACCAATCTCGCAGCGTTCACATGGGCTCCCCCAGGCGGCTCCCAGTGTGGAGCAGCACTCAGACTTCAGTGTGGCCCCGTTGATGTTGACCTCGCAGCCGCTGTCTTGTATGGTCAGCCAGCAGGTGCTCTTCATGCTGTCTGTGGTTTAACAACAAAGATTGGAATTTAAACCCTGTTTTTTCTTTCATACATTAGCACTTGTCACTTTTCTGTCTTCATCTTATTTATGTATCGGTTTATTTCTAACAAGCAAGAGAGAATAAGAGCTACTGTATGAATGAAGTGTAGAATGAGATTTATGTAAGTGTAATGTCGGTAAGTACATGTCAAAGTTCAAAATGAAAATGGAAAAGAAGATAAGGACCCCAGAAAGAGTAGTTTATTTTGTTGTAACTAATGGTGGATCCAAAATAAAACAAAACAAAATACTTACAAGTGAAGCACGGTTTCTCCCGCAGAAAAAACATCAGTATTTTGTCAAAAACTAATCTTCTACCAGAGGTCTAGATGTCAAAATATGACGTTATTTTTCAGCATGGCAACCAACTAAACTTAAATGACCAACATGTTATCCTTAACTCTCTTTAGTGCCAACAAACATGGGTCTCCATCTGAATGCACACTAAGATGAGTAAAAGCATGAATCATTGCATACAATCTTACCCAGTTTTATGCCAAATGAACAGTAAGACACCTTTTCCCTAAAACCACAAGGCCACCCAAACATCAAACCACATTTTTCTTCCCTTTCTTTCTTCTCCCTGTGACTAATGGGCTTCAAAACATAAAACAGAAATGATCCAAACCGGAGGATTTTGTGGACCTCTGACAGAGCCAGCTCATGCTAAATGTATGAGTATTTATTTAATGACTCATTCTCCCTCCCAGTTACAATAACATCTGTACTCTGTATTAGCATGTAGCTTTCTCGGAGTGATTTCCCAAAAGGACATACACAGATTAGCAGACCTCTGCAGAGAGCTTTACATACCAAATGTCATTTTGAATCTGCAGTGCAAATCTTGATGAAATAAAGCAATCTCCATGTGAGCTCAAGCCGTGCATGCAAGTGTTCATCTAATAAATCATCACTCTGTGCCATTCTGCCTAACATCTGAGGCTGATAATGTCTTTGGAAGGCTCCTGGAAACCTGAACCGTGGATGTTCTTGTTTACAAAAGTGGAGAGAAACTTCACCAAAATGGCCACACTCCAGACAGTCTTCAAGTTATGATTTGAACTTTATGAGGGTCCTTAAAAGAACTTGCAATAGCAGAGAAGATAAACAAAAAATAGCTAAAATATGTGATTTGGAAGGAAACCAGTGTAATTCAAACATTCACAACAGCTTTTTTTTAACATTTTTATCATACCTCATTTTCTTTTGCACCACAGACTTACATCCAATGGTGCCGTTTATTGTTTTGACACTACAGTTAATAGATAGTCATGTTTGTCAGCCAATAAGACTGTTTTTGTAATTTTCTGTAGACAAATTTAGTCTAAAACCCAAAGATAAGTAAAAATAAAAGCCATCCTCCCACTGTTCTCCTTCTGGCTCCAAAATGACCTGAACTCTGGTTTAAAAAAAAAAAACCTGCACCAGCTATTTCCTGCAGACACTTGTGTCTAAGTGTGTAATCATTATCTCACACAAGCTGCGTACAGGACCCCCAGTGCTCCTGTGATTTCCATCGAGCATTTTAAGGGAATGATGTCTTACCCACACAGATGGTGTTGGTGGAGTCCAGCTTGCTGCCATGTGAGCACTCACAGTTGAAGGACCCGGCCACATTGCGGCATGCTCCATTGATGCACGGGTTGGACTCGCACTCGTTGATATCTGAAACACGTGCAAATACACCTTAGGTCAGGGCTGATTCAAATGGATCATCATGCCTACTTGGTGCTTACAAACACAAGCAGTGTGTGTCGTCTTTCCATGATCCACATGTTTACTGAGAACTAATGCAGCACATCTGGTAATAATGTCGCTGCATAATGACCTTGATTGTCAGTGAAACCCACAAAACACATGTGGATATGAGGCAGCACGCACAGCTGAGTGTGTTTGTGTGTCAGTGAGGATGTGTGTGTGTGTGTGTGTGATCACAGGCGTACCTTCGCAGGTCTCTGAGTCAGGTTTGAAAACGTATCCTTTAGGACAGGAGCAGGTGTACGAGCCGGGGGTGTTTCTGCACAGGCCGTTGTCACAGAGGAGGCGGTTCACCAGACACTCGTTGATGTCTGCAGGAAGGGAAGAGATGGAAAACAAAGGAATTACAAAGCAGTCATGTAAGGTTAAAGTATTCAAATGGGAAGACACATTTTGTTAAAGGTTTGGAGTGTTAGTGCTGTAAAATTTGATGACTCTGTCTTTGCATTCACCTCTACGACCTTGTTGTAAACATACCACTTTTATAGTAAGGAACAATTTTATCTTAACTGAACAGACATTTTTTGTGGTTGTTGTTTAAAAATGGAGCTGTTGGGGCACGCAGATGGCCGAGTGGGTTAGCGCGCCCCATGTATGTGGACCATGGTCCCCGCAGTGGTCGCGGGCTCGAGTCTGACCCTGACCATGTGCCGCATATCCTCCCCCCTCTCTCTCTCTCTCTCTCTCTCTCTATCTCCCCACATTTCACCCTGTACCATCAATAAAAGGAAAAAAAAATCGCCCAAAAAATACTTTAAAAAATAAATGGAGCTGTTGTTCGTCTGACTCACCAACACAGTTCTTGCCACTGGTGTCTGACTCGTAACCAATGTTGCAAATACAGCGGTAGCTCCCTCTCAGGTTCTCACAGATGCCATTCTGACAAATGTCAGGGTCCAGGGCACACTCATTGATGTCTGCAAGGGAAAAGGTGCATATAAATAGTGTGTATAAATTGTAATGTGTTTCTAAAAATCACAATAACACTCATAAGCAAAGTACTCACCTCTGCCATCAGCTGTGATGCCAATACCGCTGCTGCACACAGCCTGGAACTCAGCTGAAAGATGACAGAAATTTTTATTACTTCATTCTCAAAGATTTCTATCTAACTCTCATTTTAATCAATCATTTTAATCCCCATTAGCAACTACCGAGGTTGCAAATTCCCTTTCCCATATCCACTCGTACAAAAAAAGTCAAAAGCAGATCAAATATGATACCTGAGTTTCTGGAAGGACAAGGGTGGCACGGCTCTCCGAATCCATGCTCTGGGTTTGCACAGCAGCACTCAGACTTAGTCACTGCACCAGGGAATGGTCGCGAGCATGTACCCATTTTTATAGCACCGTAGCAGGTGGTTCTCATGTGCGTGTCCACACATACTCTCCCGTCTACATCAATGGCCAGGCCCGGAGGGCACTCGCAGCGGAAGGAGCCCTCAGAGTTGATGCAGCGGCCGTTCATGCAAATGCCAGGTGTGAGACACTCGTCTATGTCTGTTGTGGGGAAGGAACACAATGTACGGATCATATGTCGGCTCAGGTTTATGAGCCGAGGCAGATGTGTGTATTTTAATTAGCAAATTTGAATGAGAAGTCCTCTGGAGATGATTTCATAGAGTAAATATGCAAGTCATTAAATCATTTCCTCTTGAAATTGACCTAATCCTTTCTTCTTTAACAATCAAAACGGGAAGCACCATTTGGGTTTATACGAGTATTTGGGTTATACACCTGTGGTGGCTGTCATGGTGTTACTAAAATGGAATGTCGGCTGCTCTCAGGGCTTTCCAACACACATTAAAACAACCGCTGACTGTCTGTCTACTGTTGGATTGTATATAGTAGAACCTCAGGATGAAGTAAACTGAGGGTCAAAACGAGGCCAGCAGGATTTCAACAAACACCAAATCAGTCAACGCTATTTGACCCAAGACATGAGGTCCCTGTTTGTTCTCCATTAATCACTCTTACCGGTGCAGTAGCGTCCATTGGGTGCCAAAGAAAAGCCAGGCTTGCAGATGCACTTAAAACTGCCGTCCTCGTTGATGCACATGCCGTTGAGACACATGTTGGTGGTGGCACACTCATCATGATCTGGACAGGAGCAATAGGAGATGAAATCAGGCTGAGCTTACGAAAGTGAGAGTTCACAAGCAGGTCAATCTGTCTCTGTGTGGACTCCTTACCAATACAGTTCTTTCCATCAGGAGTGAGCTCAAAGCCAGCGTTGCAGACACACTGAAAGCTTCCCTCTGTGTTTACACAGCGGCCATTTCGACACATCACTCCATTCATAATACACTCATCAATGTCTAAAAAGAGGAGAGGGAGGACAGTTTGTGTACTGATGTGAGTCTGTTTCAACAAGACATGTCAAATATTGATATTAATGATCAATCTCAAGACAGACATATCAGAGTTTGAGTCGGACGTACCGATGCAGGCCTGTTTGGACAGAGTTCCCTGGTATCCTTCATGGCACTTGCAGTGGTAGGATCCAGGTGTGTTGACACAGTCACCATTAGTACATGGTTTACTCACGCACTCATCCACATCTGAGGAGGGAGAAAATCAACCAAAAATCTTCAACATGAGAGGAAAAGAGGCAGTAAAGGAGCAAGGATGGACCTGCTCTTATATTAAGTTCCTTGAATCAGCAGAAGATGGCAGTGTAGTGCATGAATTTATGGTAGAACTGTCACAAAGTATCAGCCTCCTGGGCAGAGAGAGGCTGCTGAGAATTGACTAAGGAGTGAAACCGCGAGTGCATGCACTGATATCTTACCGATGCACTCTCCACGGACATCCTGTCTGTAACCCATGTTGCACTCGCAGCGGTAGCTTGTGGGTGTGGGGATGCAGCGTCCATTCAGACACAGGTTGGTGAAATGTTTGCAAACATCAATGGAGTCATTTAAAGACACAGTGCCTAAGAAGAAGACAACACAACAAGACAAAAATTCAATACAACAAGATCATTTTCTTGCTCAGTTTACACATTACAGTCTAGGAAGATACTCACCTATATTTGTCAGACTGCCTCCATTGCCTCCAAAGCCCCCTCCATTACCTCCGAAGCCTCCACCATTGCCCCCAAAGCCTCCTCCTCCGTTGCCACCGATGCCCCCGTTGCCGTTACCATTGGGTACACTGGGGAACTTGAATCCATAGTTGTACCCGTTGCCATTAGTGTTGGGGAATTGTCCGTTGGGGTAGCCATGAGGCAGACCTTGGGGAACGCCTACGATACACAGGCGCCTGAACTCATCTTGAAGAAAAAAAAAGCAGACCACAGAGAGCTAGTTAGTGGATGCAGTTTATGTGGGTTATTATAGTTATTCAGCCTCACACGACCTTTGAATCAGTCTGAACACTGGAAATCCTGCAGTCAGTGATTACAATCCCTCCTTTCCTGGAATTGCAGAGCTGACAAAGGCCAGAGCACTTTGCATTTCATGTTTATGTCTTGTTGAAGTTTTGTGTTATTGTTACCCGATATTCTTTAAATTGAAGAATAGCCTGACAAAACAAAATAGGGCCTGTGAAACAACAACTAATTTACTTCTTTAAGTATGTAAAATAGTGGCAGTTTTTTCTTATATATGACCTCACTAATGAATTTATATGTGCACACAGACATCTCTGAGTGTTTAGCACACTGTTGTCTGTATGTTTTCACATCATTTGACAGTCATAATAAATCAAACACACACAACTTATTTTGGCGGTGCCAGTAAAAAAAGATCAGTAACAGATCAGTTATGGAGCACGAGGTCTCACGCAGAGGGAGACTGCTCTAAATTCCTGCTTGACAGAGGAGATGATGGGTCATTATCTCGGCACAAATCTGTTCCATCTTTCTCTGTTTAGTTTGCACTCATGACATCATGCTCATCAGTCAGAGTGGGTGCTGTTCCCTCTCTGTTGCACACACATAGACACACACACACAAAGCTCTCTCTAATAGCCTAAACCTTGTATACTTTAACATTACAGCATGAGGCTCATTTGGCTTGTGAGACATTCATGCATGTGTGGCTTTATTTACTGCATGAGCTCATGCCAAGACATAGACAAACTAAGAGGAGTGCCAGTTTTGTGTCAGCAGAGGAAGAAGGTAATGGATGTTCAGCTAAATACATCACTTTATTTTGGATCGGCAAGGGCACATATTGTTAGAGCCATGTGTTTTTGTCAACAACTTAAAACTTTGGATCCGTCTATGACCTTCATTCTCTTTAAAATTGCTTTCGTGTGTACTCACCTGATCCCCTGACAGGGCACATCTCAGGGATTTGTCCCAAAGCCCAGCAGCGTCCTGTGTCACAGCAGCACTGCATCTTGGTGAACTGGCCGGTAAGCTCTGCAGCACAGCGGCCATTAGCCAGAGCGGAGAAGCAAGTGCCCACGCGCTGATCTGTAAGAAGAAACCGATTTAAAGAGTAAGACCAGTGAACAGGCAGAGAAATACAAGTTCAAGATTAATAGATTATCACAACAAAGAGCACATGTAATAGGAACAAATGTCTGGTATGTTTGTTAGGTCAAATGAAGGGGACGTTTGGGTTTTATGTGTCCTGGGTTTGTGGGAGACAAAACCTGAAATAACAAATTATAATAAAAAAGTTAAACCTGAAACTCTGCGATTCAACCTTGAGATGAAATACGTCTTCTTTGTGAAAGTAAGAAGGCCAAAATTCTTGGATTGGCTTTAAAAACAGCACAATTTCCTCATGATATTTAATACGCTTTTTGAAAAATTTCTGCTTGGTATTTCCATTTTGTAATGCCTGTAACTTTGATGAAATATACAAAAGTTAATATGCTTTTGTATGGTAAGTTACATAGACATCCATCGCTGCCCAGTAGACACCACCACACAGGCACTAGGTATTGACAGTGCAGATACTACCTACCCTACCACACCTAATGTAACCTCTGATATCATATTGTATTGACATAAATATTAAAAAATGTGTTTTTGCCTTGAGTTGCTCCCAAAACAAAAAGCGATCATCTTTGTTTAGTGATTAGAAGCCAAAACAACGGGCGATGCCACTCATCGGGAAAACATGATCCTCTCATGACCGAGGCCAGCTGTCACTCACAGAGGAAGGAAAGATACAGACATGGTGCCCGAAAGAAAGTAGCTATAAAGAAGGATGAGTTTACCTAAAACTGAGGCCAAGTTAGGACACTAATTTTAAGAAAACGGTTGTAAATGCAGCAGAATCATGAAACAACTGTCAAGTGACCAAGAAATACAGTGTCATGGAGTGAAATGTCCGTAGGGGGCAAACACAAAAGATCATCTTAAAATGCAAATGAGGTTCTCCCATTGGATCATTTAATAGCTATCAGTCTAGCTACGAATTTTGGCCTATTAGACCAAAAACGGGGTTTTTCTCAGCATAGATGGCCCAGATTTGATTCTCATCGGTTGCTCCTCTCCCACGTAGCCCCTCACCTTCCCTTCACTATTTCCTGTTCTCCCCACTGTCCTGTACTCTAAATACAAGCAGGAAAAAGCCAAAGAATTAATTAAATAAACACTTAAACAGTGTAAAAAAAAAAAAAATGTTAACTTTATGAAACAAGATTTGGTTTTCGGAGATCACACATAACCAGGATCTTGTATTCAGGAAAACATATCAGCAACAAGAACCTCCACATCATCATGGTCCACTTACAAAACAACTATCATGACTTCATGTAATAAATTAAGCACATACTTCTTACACCACTGACCGTGCTTTTTATGTGGGAAAAGGTTACAGGTAATCACCACTCTTAAAGTAGTATTGCTGTGAGTCACAGTGCTGGCCTAGCGAGAGGAAGCTTCTTTATGGGCAGGCAGTGGGAAAAGGTTGCCTGGGGTCTGAACAAACTGCAGGAATCTGAAGGGCCTCCAAAAGGGGGTCTTATTTGTTACAGTTTTCCAGGTCAGGGTCAATGGGGCAGAGAGGGGGCTGAGGTTCAAAGAGCGTGGATAAGGAGTAAATGGAGGAGAAGACTGGGGGTTTTCTGGGTATTTAAGGAAAAATACCCAGTGGAGGAAAAGGCAGAGTGAGAGGCCAAGCATGCATTTGTATCAGTTTTGGAAGGCGAGCTACACTTATGAAGGAGAAATTTTAAATGAATCCACAGAGGAGAAAAAAGGGGGAGAAAAAAAGAGCAGAATGAAGGGGGAAAGGAGGAGCACAAGTCGATTAACTCACTAATGAGCCAGCAGTCTGGAATTAATCAGTTCCATGTGGAGCAATTCTTGCCAATTAGATAGAACATGAGGGGCTGAGCTGAGTCTGGGAGCACATTCAGTACAGTACACACACACATTTACATGTAATTACACATACAAACACACATTTCCATACGAATCCAGATGTTGTTTGCAGTGAACCCTTATGGCCAAACACTGATACGCTGTCTGTACATAGATATAATGACCTGTTCACACATGTAAAAATACACGAAAAAAACATCCCAGAGGGCTGACAGAGCCGATGGCCGGGTCGAGGTGTAGAGGGGGAGTCAGGGTTTGCTGGTGAGGATGATGATGGCTTTAATTGGATCCAGACTGTGGTTTGCTCACTAGTGTTGCACCACTACACAAGCATATGCTTTCATTTGGTGATGTGTTTTTACAGACTGACTGACTGGACAGGCTTTTTTTTGTTTGTTTGTTTGTTTGTTTGTTTCAAGCTTCCACCCTGTTGACAGGGCATTAGGCTGTGATTACTGTCAGCTCCCCACCACAGCTCACTTGGCCTACTTCACCACAGGACAGATCATCCTGGGAAACACAGACTCATACACCTTGATCCACATGGTATACCCTGTAGCAGACCAGAAGTGTACATCCTGCTTCTGAAACATGAAGGCAGGCGAGATAGAAATCAGCCCCGTAAACAGGACTTACTCTTTTTTTCTTTACTTTATGTTCTAACCACAAAAAAGACAAGACGGATCAGACAGTGTGGGAAGTTGAATCAAAGTGTGTCAGTAACATCAGAGGAAACAAGCAAAGTTTACGATATCTATGTCTGACGGTTACTTGGGATCTCTGGTCTTTAGTATCTCTTCTAGTTTTGTTTCAGTTTACTTATCTTCTCTTTGTCTCTTCCTCATCCAGTCTAGTCCAGTTTGGAAGTGAGACATAGACAGAGGAAGGATATATGGGGTTATATCTGGCATCTGACTTATTTGCTTTTCTGCCTCTGCAGGCTGTAGAAATGCATCTGAAGGGAGCAGGGCACAGGGTCCAGATGTCAAGGAATAGGATGAAAAGGGTCTAAGAGCAAATGTTTAAATAAATGAAGAGGTGAAGAGGTAGAAAAGTCCAGGAGGGCCTTTGTTTTTGAGAAAAGGAATTTGTGAAGAGAAAACAACAACATCTGGAAGAGATGAATGAAAAGGAGTATTTTTTTGTTGAGCAGATTACGCACAGTTCCAGTGAAAATGTTGAGACTTTCTATTGTGAATCACCGAACTGCTAGATCGGAAAAACTACTCTTAGTGTGATTCACGCTCCAAAGTTGGGGAATCATGTCTCCTCAGGGGGCAAAAAAGAACAAAGGGGATTACAGAGAGGAGAAAAAAGACTAATATGGACACACTTAACGGCAGACACATGGGGAACTCCTGGGTTTGGGTGATTGGAGGACTGTGTCACTTTAAGATCCACAATTACTCAAGCCAAAGCACAGCAGGCTGCCAGTAACTACTTTATTTACAATGATCCCACTTATCTCTCGCTTCTCTTGCCAATTTTTACTGATGTGTTTTGGAAAACAGAAACATCTCCTTTTTCTACTCCGATCCAAACTGTTGGCTGTTCCCCTTCGATGAGCATTTTTTACTGTACTTTTTCTGTTTTGCATTTGTCCTCTACCTGCTTCACCGATCTATGTTCCACTCTATTTCCTCTGCTTGTTGCCTTCACAAGCACCACAGAGTCAAAAATGCGGTCACATCCAATTTTCCAGCTGGCAGAAGGACCTATTTTCTCAGTGTCCTGGGATGCCCTACTGACCCAGTGTACAATACCGTGTCTTTACAGAAACAGTTTTCCCAGTTTGGTGTGGAACAACTTGTCTGACCTGCACAGAGCCCAAACCTCCGGCTCTTTTAACACACTGAGAGCCACAAAGGTCTTATCTAGCATCAGCAGTTTAAGCTCTTTCTAGCTGCATGTGAGCAGTCCCTGCAGCCAGGTTTAACAGCTTGTGGAAAACCTTCATAGAGAGGACAACAAATCAAATACAAAACAATCCCGTAGTGTTTCAGTGTTCTGGTTTCCACATATTTTCAGATTTATTTGTTCCACCCTGCTGAGATTATTGGTGCCATTTTTTTGTGTCCTTCTGTCCTCTATTTCCTCTTTGTTTTCCTTTAAACAACACCACATGTCTGTCATCCTGGAGCTGAATGGTCCACCACATGACAGGCTAACCCACACTGGTTGTCAGATCGGCTTTTACCTTGTTTACGTTGGTGCAACATGTGTGTGAGATTCAGGAAATTGTTCTTTGTATTTTTCCCTCACAATAAAAAAAATACTTTCTTTATCCCCTACTTATCCTACAAAGAAAGTGATTTTATTTTGCATACAAGCCTGACTGTAGCTCAGTCGGGAAAGGCCTCTGATGATGATAGAGTGAAACAGGTTGACCCTGAGCTGTCTGCTTCGTGCTAAATCTTTAACTAATATATTAACACCTGGATGTGTTTAACTGTGGCTGCTGTTACAGATGAGGATTGCAGGAATACATTAACACCTGGTAGTGTTTCATGGGACATGTCAGTGAAGTATGCACTGTACATGTGCGCATATGTGTGTATGTGTGTGAATGAGTCAGAGGGGTACTAAGATTACAGTAAAGTCATGCCGTCAAGGCCAGAAAAGTGCGCGGACATTTGTTTCTCTGTGCACGGTGGCCACAGGTCTGCCAGGCAGCTTTACTCATCAGAGGGGAGGAAGGGAGGGAGGGAGGGAGGGACGTTACTGGTCTGATGGGAAGCGTTGGCTGGCCGGGGAGTGAGGAAATGAGCAAAAATGAGAGGGAGATTAACTATAAAAATGTGTTTATGAATGTGTGCGAGACTCACCCACACATCTGGAGCCGTCTGTGCTGGAGATGTAGCCTCGTGGACAGGTGCAAACGTAGCTGCCAGCAGTGTTGGTGCATTCTCCTCCATCACACACTCCAGGGATGGTGCTGCATTCGTCAATATCTAGGACACACAATCACACAATCATACAAGGGTATTGTACAATATGGTGCAATACGTAATGGGTGCATCATTTACATACTTCAGCTAAGTGAGATACCAAAGAAAAGAAGAGGTCATCTCCCCCTGATCACCAAAGCAGAATTACAAACAAGTGCATGTTAGGAAGCTTTGACAGTATAAACTATGAATCTCTGCGGGAGAGAAACAGCAGCTGCTTGAACCTAAGACTGATTTCTACAAGCGCACTTTACAGTCAAATAGTTCAGATTTATCATGTTTCGTATTAAGTTCATTTACAGCCTAACAACCAATCTATTTTCAAATAAAACAAACATACTCATCCAAACAATCACAACTACATGACAGGACTGAGCGTTTACCAAAACATTTCTGTTGCACAATGGAAACTATTGAAGCACTGGCACTAAATGTCTTGTCATCCTCATTCATCACATAACATTGAATTTATTAACTATGGCCAACTGGCATTGACCCAGTCACATAATAACCCTGCGAAGATATAATGCAGCACATCATTATTTAAAGAGCGCAGCATGAGTCTTAATAATTTGGTAAATCTGTGTAAACAGTTTTGTCCCATCTACACCCGGCATCTAAATTGAAACAAGAGAGAAAGCCCTCAAGCCTCGAGACGAGAATGAGCTGACCTAATTTTAGGTCTGACGAAGAAACATGTACAACGCCTGGGAGCACCTGGCTCCGGTCTTTGGCAGAACCCGTCTCAAGGTGGTACACTTTATGATGGCATTAAGCGGTATTATTGGTGAGATGGGGGCTCATAGCTCAGTGACGGGGGAGCCCAAAGTGAAGTTCCAGAAGGTATTGGGTTTTTATGATGTGTCACGCTTATTTATACGCATTCATAATTACTGCACCACTGCGGGGCATAATTACAGCAGCCCCTATACTTTCAATTGGAAAAGTGACGGAGCTTAAGTGTCTTTCTTGGAGTGAATATGAATGCATGTGTTTCTGTGTGTTTGTCTACATCTCGGTATAAAAAGGGCCCAGTAATGCCTGTCGTGGGAAGCTAAGTGGCTGTTCTTCCCCTGCTGACTCCTGTCTGACAGCCGCAGCAGAAGCCCGAGGTGAGGTTGTAAAAACGCGGCCAAATAAACCTTGTGTCAGCAGCAGCAACAGCACGCCAGACATTACACTCCACACAGACGTAGCGCTTTGGGACCGAATGTGTGTATGGAAGGAAATGAGTGTCACTTGGATAAATGTCTTCACCTGAGTCTGCCAAGTGTGTGCATGCGGGTGCATACCTGGAACAACCATCAAAATGTAAAAACTCCAAAAAAAAGTGTGAGTGAAATGAGACTGTTTCTGCTGTTACAAACAATCTGAACACTGATGTATGATCCTGTGTGTGTGTTTAGAGTGACGCCATGAGAATTCAAAAGGTGTCAGAGCAACAGGGAGGTCTGCGTGTGCACTGAGAAAGTCCCCCTGATGCCTTGTCTTTGTTCAGCACTAACAGCTGGTTTTAAGCCAAAAGGTTGTATTTATGGAAGACGAAGCAGAAAGAGGAGGGGAAAAGGAAAAGACCGAGCAGAAAGCAGGCCATAAAACCAGGTGCCTTGTTGAGCCCAAAAGGATCAGACACCCGTGACGTCTTAATTGTAGTTCATCTTAAGCGCTCCAAAAAAACTCCCTCGCTCCCCCACGAAAGCTCTCAGTGAGGCTGTTTGCTCATTATCTCGAAGGGCATTTCAATAAAAACCTTCAACCCCCAAAGGACCTGCTCTGATTGTTTGAGAGATTTCACTAAATATGGGTTTCCTGCTGATCCATTACTCAAGATACTCGTGAACAAACGTTCTTTTGTTTTCTTACTCTGCATGGGTGAAACGAAGGAACTGCGAGATAAATGCTTAAATCAACCAACTAAAAGTGACATCATTCAGTCCTGATTAAAGAAGCGAAATGGTCTATAATTTTGGACATTTACTTTTTGAGTTGGGTATTTTGGTTTGCTCGCTCTGTTTCTCTTGGTTGAGATTGTTAAATGTCGAGGCCAGGTGTGAGCAGTCGCGACAGCCGCAGCTGAACAAGCAGTGAAGCTGAAAACACCCTCTGTAAGTGTCACTCCCTGTCATACGTAAACATTTTTATACGTCTGTTGATTCTTATTAGATACCGTCATATCTCACTTTTGACCTGGAGGAATGATAAACAGATTGTTGTGTCAGCTAAATACTCCTCATGTTTTGTTTACCGCTGACAAAAGCCATCTGTTACCCCTTCATAACAATCAATCACTTCTTATAATCAAACATATTTGGATTGGCCCAAGCATCCGAAACGTGACGATCGCTGCATTTGTTTTAGATAAAAAGATCCTTATTTTTTAGTCTCCTCACTGAAACAATTAAGTGATTCAAAGATTCGAAATGGAGAAAAACATTATTTTCAACTTTTCCGACATTTTGTTGCAAAATCGTGTTTATTTGAAAACCACAGAAGGATTAATCAAGGATTTCACTGATCATTAGTCACAGCTGTGGTGGTGCTGTTGTGACCACAATCACTTTTGCTGAACAAAATACGCTAATGCTGTAAATGAAATGTGGGTTGACACCGAGAAGTTACAAATCTGTCATGTCTGGGAAACCCTGGAGGTCTCTATGAACCAGCTGTTTTTTCCTCACCTTCTCCCTGCCACTCATCAATCACAATGTAATTAGCTTCGGCCAGATTTCTTCAACATAGCAAAGCATTATAGAGCACAAAAGGTCAAAGTCTGGTCTGACGATAGAGAAGTGTCAGGTTTTATTAAAGATTTCTGCTCTGTCTCACACTGTCCTTAAGTCTACTAAAGCTCCTCTCCGCTTTTTAGTGCCAGATTCCAACATCCAAACCCAAAAATTTGTCTGGGAGCATCTTTCTGGATCACTTTTTCTTCCCGTACTGTAAGAAAGTACGTTCAGTGGCTTTCCACCAAAACCACAAGTGAAATTGAGACTCTGGTGAATCAAGAGAAATCATCCTTACTTCTTTTTCATTCACTGAGACATAATCATGTGTTTCACAGTAATTGTCTAAGGTGGTAAGTCTATTATTTTTTTGGCAGTCACATATGTTTGTATTCTCTCTGTATCCGGCTGATTTCTCACCAATACAAGAGGGTTACATAGGTAACTGCAGCATTTCCATAGCTTGTTCAGCTTGGTCTTGCTCAGTAAAATACATATCATCTGGGATGGCTGCCGAGCTTTAAGAGCTTTCTGTAATCCTCCCAGAAGACTAACAACACATCGGCTGCCATCCAAGAGACACAACCCCGCCTGGCTAACCATCAGACACTTCAGTCTGAGCACTGTTTAAATTCCAAAAAATCAACACATTGTAATATGAGTCCACTCTGTCTGTGTGAGTGTTTTCCATGTTTGTGTGTTTATGCTCACACGTCCAGACTACTTAAACTCGTCACTTTTTTAAACCTCCACAGAGATTTGTCAACCGATCCCACCAAACCCACAGTTATCATTAAGTGCACAGTCCGTGACTGTCTCACCGTTAACGCAACAAAATGTAACTCAAGCTCGACCTTCTGTCTAGGGTTTTGGTGGTGTGTAAGCACACTGAACTCTCTCCAAGTAAAACTGGTGGGTTTCTTTTGAGGTATTGGGTGTTTTTTTGTTTTAATCTGAAAAAAGTCATCTTTTTTTTTATCAGTGATTACCATATTACAAAAAGAAATTGCAGCATCCAAGAGCAAACAACAGCTTGTGTCTCTGTAATGCATATTAGTGGATTCAACAGCTCGTAATTGACCAGAATTAAAAACAAATTTCGGTTTACAGCCTCAATGATTAAGTTAGCATTTAGTCGGTAAACTCTTTTTCAAAAACCAGACTAACCTTCACATTTGTGGCTGGTTTCACTCTGCCGGTGGCCGGCGGGACATTTACACTCATAGGATCCCACGGTGTTGATGCAATTACCCCCAGAACAAAGACCTGGCACTGCCTGGCACTCGTCAACATCTGAGAGGTATGACGACAGAAGAAAAAAGACAGAGATTAGAAAGGCAAGACAAATTCACACACAAACAAATGTTCTCATGATTACTGCCGTCTGTGGGGCACAGGTTTGAGACAAACTGCACCCTATGTTTGCTTAGAACTACTTAAAAAAGAGTCAAACGATGCATGAGAACTGTGAAATTTCAATGTATTCACTTTTTCAAAAAAAGAGCTAGCGTGGTTTCTACTGAATAATTAGGGATTGATGGTCCTTTGCTTTTCTATTTTACTGTTTTGGGGAGGTAACGAGGTAAAAATGAGTGGTTACTTGGCACAAGTTGTAATGCGTAAGACCACTTCCAAAGAAACTCTCTCTTTCTCATGTTTGAGCAGGAAACGGCTTCTCAATCGTACATTTTTCCCAGCATTCAGCGTGAGTCACTTTTACCAGTATTGGTGATATGTGAGTGGCTGGGATTCTGATAAAACCTTTGGGTTTCCCAGGATTCTTCACAAACACGCACATACACACATTCACGTTGTCTCCATGCTGGTGAAATCCCCTGTGCTATCATGCATACACCTGCATGACAGTTATTGAAGAGTTGTTTCTAATCCTTTTAATACATTCGACCTCTGCTTCCTGCCAAGACGGCCTAAAAATACCACAAGTGTTGAGAAACTCTCAGTGCCAAAGGCTGGGAGAGAAAAAAAAGCACTGAACAGCCAACATCCTGATGTGGAGTCTGCACTCCTTACATTTGAATTCATGGTCAGGTGTGCTTTGAACTGCTGCCAGCAAGACGTTGCTCTTGGCTCTCTCCTGATTAGGTATCTTTGGTGTGTGTTTGTCTGTTTCTGTGTGTGTGTGTGTGAGGGAAAGAGAGAGAGAGGAAAAGAGCGGAGAGCTGAGGTGGGGGCAGAAACGATAAAAACAGATTCAGAGAGTCACAGAGAGGGAGTAAGAGAGGAGGTATATGAGTCACAGAGGGATGAGTGATTGTCTCACACAGGCAAACCTCTAACATATGAACAGCCAGACAGGAAGTTGTGGAGCTAAATACAAATCAGTGACTGATGCCAGATGTCCTACCTTTTGAGTTACCCTCTTATATAAACTGTGCAGACCCTCACTCAAAACTGGGTGGATTGTGGGTAAAACTAGTGGAACACTGTGCTGCTCAAATGTGCTGAGTTTAAACACAGGTCCTGTCAGTTCAGGAATATAGTAACAAACATTTACACTGTTCCGTGCATTTTTATAATACAATATAGTTCTATGAAAGCCAGTCTGTAATGAGTTGACTCAATTACGAACACGCTTGTAAAAGTTAGGAACAAAATTCTAAGATTTTTCTCTCCTTACTTGAATCTTGGAGAGAAAACTGGAAGTAACTCGATTTAGATAATAATCGGCACAAACGACACTAGGGATGAAAATAAGCGCCTTGGAGTGGAAAGTCGGTGAAACTTCTGTCTCGTTTTAACTTTCTTTTCTTTGTCTCCTCAATAACTCAACCTATTAAAATTACTCTCTTTGGTTGCAACACTGGATTGCAGCATATGATCTGTATAAACACCCAAATCGTTACAAGTGAAACCCAAACCTAACAGGTTTATGCACACACTGTTTTTTTTTTTCTCCAGCCAAACACTGACAGAAATATTATGTTTCTTCAAATAAACTTCTACTATCACCATGCCTGCGTGAAATCTGAGCAAACATAACTAGATCCTGTAATTTGATTGTTATTTTGGGAGTGGAAAGAGGATGCAAATGTCTGATTTACCGAGGTTGTTCAAATCCTGACTGATATTTAAATGTGTTTTGTATATTTTTCAAACAAAATTATTTATACAGCGATTTAACTTTAACACATGTGCTGGCACTTTCACTTAGCAGCTCTGGAAACAAAGGTCAACAGATCCTTGGATGCTGATATACCTCACTCATAACTACAAACACCATGTTTGAGTTGAATGTCAGTAATATTCAAGTGAAATCTGATCTAAATGTAGTTATTTTATCAACATCTAGATATGATGTTGAAAAAGCTTTCACTTTTTATATCTGATTTAATCTTGGCCGGTGATTTTTAAACAGTTCAATGAAAAAAACACTCCTTAGGTAACTTTATTTTAAGTATAAAGACCAAGATTTACTTTACTCCCTAATTTTCCAGGATAAACACATGAAACTGACGTTTTTAACTCTGTGACGATTCAGTACAGTACTACCCGAGACAAAAACAGTCTCCTTGTTTGACAGCCACAGCTTGATATCAACCATTGCAGTCTTCCTGGGATGCTGCTGATTGTGTCCATGTGGGAGGGGCCGGACTAAAGCAACAAAGATCCTGGCTAGGCTCATTTTACAAGGGACATGACCTCTGCGTGTGTCATATGTTGATGCAGTCTTATTGCTTAGTCTGGGCTGGGCCATAGGTTATTATAGAGGCATGCAGAGAGAGTCTGCTTCAGTCTGGTGGGGTATTTGGACACCAGTATCAGGAGTGTTGACAAAAAGGTCAATCTTAGTTCAGATTTTTCTTGATTATTTGAATATAAACTCCATCTCTCTACATTTGCTAATGAACACAGTGTATAAAATCAACACTTTGAGTATCTACATTTTGCCTTTTTTCAGTTGGATTAGTATTCAAGTGGTTTTCTGCTATTATTTGGTGACAGAGTGAACTTTAAATCCATCACGCCTATGTTAGTGACATGGATGAGCTCATATTTTGAGTTTTAGAGTGACTAATGTGGAAGCTGGGCATCTGTGGACACCTCAAACTACTGTTTTCAGTTTTCCTGATACTTTTCAGCACTATTCCTCCTGCAAATAGCTTTTACAGGAAAATACAAGGTGGTATCCTGCCTGCTGTGTACATGTAAACACCCTCTGGGTTTCTACTTAGCTAGCTGGATGGTGCTGTGAGAAGGAAAAGCAGCTGAGGCGATGAAGGATGACATAATGGCTTCAGTGTTTTACGTTTTCTCTCTCAGGCTGCACATCTGCATTCTACTGTACTGAACGTGTGTATTGAGGTGATTTTTGTATTTCCTCTATGGTGACCTTGGCAGGCTCCGGTGCGGATGTTGGGGATGAAGCCTCGTCTGCAGGGGTGCGGCTGGGCGGGGCACTGCTCACAGGGATGGCCCCAGGCTCGACCAATGGTAGCACAGCAGAGGGTTTTGGTGCAGACAATCCCACTGAGCTGGCCCTGACACATCTGGTTGTTCACCTGTGTGAAACATGGTCCAGTCCTATAGTCTATGGAGAGAGAAAAGAGGAGAATCCTTGTGTTAGTAAATGAGTGATTTAACATCGGATTGATGAGATGATAAAACAGTGATTCATTTCCTCAAACACATCTGGAGCAGCATTAAACAAAACCAGATTAGGTACATGAGTGAAAATTCCTTTATCAAGCAGTGACCATTCTTCTTGTAATGTCTGAGTCAGTCTCTCTGTCTTCTCTTTACAAACTCACTCAAACAGCAAATAGAGGAATGGATGTGGAAACAAGTTGGCACTTCATTAGAGAAAGATTTGGTTCGATTAACCACCGGACCCTTGAGCACGTCCTCATTGCTTAACTGAACCTTTGAATCAGCAGTTGGCTTTAAAATAGAAGCCTTAACAAGTAGCAGGTTTCACCAGGACTTAAGAGGAACAATATGAGAGTGGTAGCAACATAATAGATCATGTCGGAGCACGTGAATTCAGTCTTTTTTCTCAGAAGAGTGCTCAGATTAAACTGGAAAAGACGGAGTGTTTCTTTCAACAGGAACTCAGCAATGGGAAAGGAATGACTGCTATGTATTTAGCCCCTGTAATAATAAGTTAACTGGCTGGACTGACACACTAAAGCACATTCCCGTACTTAAACTAGGAGGAGGAGATGGGAGCTGAACAGTGGTGGTTTCTGTTTCCATCCTTATGGCAGCTAATGAAAGAGTGGTGGTGTGAAACCATCACCTCATGACGTTTATTCACTCTTTAAATTAACATCACAATTGCACGTCGTTTTTGTCACAATGATCTCGGGCGTGACTTTCCCAAAACGCTCATCACCGTGAACAATCATCACATGAGACGGATGAACAGATGTGCTTAAATTGCATATTTTATCTTAAGGCGAAGGATGGTAACAGATTGCAAACAGATGCTGCAAACAAACACATCTGAGAACAAAATGTCTCCAATGATCACCTTGCTTCCTCCCCACAGCTCGCTGCAGCGCTGCTCGCCAGTGAAAGTGTGGCATAACCTTATTAAATACACTTAACAAATCATGCACGGTGACCTCATGCTGATACTATTTCAGCAGCAACATGATGCTCATTTTTTTAATCACATACAGCCTACTGAAGGCTTCCCTTGTGGGAGAAACCCTTATTAAGTCCACTGCAGTGGCGCCAAACTTAATACAGCCATCATTACAAAAAAAAAAAGTCGATTGTTAGATTGTTGCAGAGGAGATTAAAGACAAACTGTATGGTTGGCTAGCCAAGGCTGTGACAGTGAGACGAGGGGAAAGAGAGCGGACTGTTCAGCCCTGAAGCACAGAATAAGATGGAAAGATAGCAGTCAGTGGTGGTGTCTGGTGGGGGTTTCTTTTTCGACTTATTGGTTCCTTGTGCTGGATGAAAGAGGATCATAGAGGATGGGGTAAAGAGTAAGAGGCGTAGAAAGAAAGAAAAAAGAAAGCAGAAAGCAAAGTAGGTCAATGCAAGCATGCAGAGCGCAGGTTGCAGTCCTCCCTCTCACCCATCTGTCTCTGTTTCTCTTTGCCCACTTAAGGTCTTCCTGTCGGCCTGCCTTCCACTCTCTCCAGCCGCATGTCAGCTGCTTTTTGATCTTCATCTTCACGTGGCCTGGTTGGCACAGTGCAGCGAAGACCAATCAACACATGTGCTTCTTCATGTTCTGAGCTCACACCTCAGAAGAGCCCATAAAAAGACGAAAACCAGAAACCCTGGAGTCCATCTATCAACTCTTCTCAACTTCATCACCCTTCACTGCATTTATGCGACACTCACGTAGTCAACTGGCTCCTACCAAAATATAACTCGTTCAAAATACACACCTTAGCAACTTGTTTTTTTGAGTAGACATCACAATTTAACTGCAATAACAAGTCATTAGTGTGTTTGATGAGGAAATGAATACATTTTTGGCCCTCTGGGGAGTACCAACACTGTGTTTGAAGGACATGCGTGTATGAGAGCAGAGAAAACACTGTGGCTATTGAAAACACTGATGTGTTTTGAATAGCTGTAGTCAAGATAGTTTGTCAAATGGACAGCAAAGAAGGGGGAAAAAGGAAAGAAAAGAAGAAAAAAATGTATGGCACTTCCAAGACTTCGGTCCAAGGTTCAAAGAAAAATTCAAACTCCTCGAGTAGACTGGACTTTCCCACACTCTGATCGTCTCGCAATACTCGACAGTCACACGGCTGCCAAGTTCAGCAGTGAACGCATGTGCACTGAATTAAACATATATGCATACTCATGCTTTATCAAACACCGACACACTTTCTTTTCTTCTTACACATAAAATCACGCTGGTCTGTGCAGACATTCCTTGATGAAACTCAGCTTTTGTTTTAGCTGCAGCACCGAGCCAAACAAGAAGCTAAAGCAGCTCACTTTAAGCACAAAATAACAAACAGCCATTGCAGATCTGTGTGTGAGTGTGTTATGTGTGTGTATGTGTCACAGTCAGAGTCCTAATCAATGTGTTTCTTCCATCTGTTTGTGCTTTTATTGGTCTTTTGCATGAATGTGTGTGTAGGGTACACATTTGTCTGTTTCAGTGGACACGTGCAAGCACGAGAGCGGGCAGGTCAGGACAACGGAGCGATCTAACATCCTGACTCGGTCCTGCAGACAACATTCGGAAGTAATTTAGTCTAATTAGTATCCAAATTGCTCAATAGATTAAAAACATTGGCCAGTCGCTGTCTGCTCTCCTCCATCCACTCCATTCTCCTTACTGCGCTTTTCCTCTCATCCAGACGTCTTTGGTTTCATTCATTTCCTTTTTCCTCTAACCAATCAGTCGCCATTACAATGCATACAGTCCTCTTCCTCTGAAAATGAAACTTTCTCTGTTAATTACTGACATTTAATAGAGTCATCTTGTACTTAGAAGTTTCCAGAAATAGAGTTTGTAACCTTTCACTTACATCGGTAACCCTAACAGCATGACAGTCATATCAGCTGATGCTAACAGGGTCTGACCCGCCACATACAAGGGTTTTGTAGTGAAGAATACCACATGTTAGCCTGCTATGAGAGAGAAAATAAGGAAAATGTGATCTCTTGTCAAAAGCACTCCCTCTCTCTATGATGAAAGCTGAATTTTAAGAAGATAAAATACTGTAAAAGCCTAAGTGGGGGAGAATAATCCTGTCTGGAACTCAAAGCCTTCTTGGAAATCAGTTTCCCTTTAACCTCAGTGTGTCAGCGGGATCAAGGATGACCTTGACCTGAGCACTGAAAAGCAGACAAAATAGAGGAAAAATAGCTCTAGAGACGAGTAGAAATCTAGTTTCACATTCATTAATAACTGTTGAAGTATTTTTAAAACTCCCAGGAGAAGAGGTCTGCAGAGATAAGAGGCCTGAAATATGAGCGGATCACATGGAAATAAAGATAACATCATTTATACAAACTACTCTCTGACAAGAGGTCAACAAGTCAAATGAATAAAGAGGAGAGATACACACATACACACCACACTTTTGCCTCTGGGTGTGTATGTGTGTTTGTGTGTGAGCAAGCATGAAAGGGCTCCTAAACCGAATCTCCTCTCCAGACTTTATACAGCTGGAAGAGTTGCCCTGAGCCTAAACGTCATGCTGTTACTCATCTATTGAGAAAAAAAGTCTTTTTTTAAACTATACTCTGTGCACATGAAAGTGTTGGAGTGTTTGTGTGTCTTTGTTTGGTTTGTGTGTAGACTGCGCACATGTCTGGCCGGTTTTGTGGAATTTCTAATTGCTTGCATTGCTTGTCCTTCTGCTGATGTGGATACAAATAAATGATTCAAATGTGTGGGCTCGTTTGTTCGTTTGTGCACCGGCGAGCGTGCATGCTGTGTGTTTGTGTGTGCCCGTTTTGTGTTTGGGTGGTTAGCTTGATTATGGCCAACCATAGCGGTCTGTGTTAGTCTTATCAGCGCCATTATCAACAAGCTTGAAATCACTCTTTTCCGTTATTTCTTATCACTCCTCAAAGAGTCTGCTCCTTTCATTTCTTACACACAGAAAACAGTCACTCAAATGTGACTAAATGTTTATCGCAAAATAGTTACGCACACACACACATGCACACACACACACACACACAGATTTACATGCAGATAACAACTGTGGGAGAGTAGCAGTGAGAGAGATAAGCCCTCTGCAGGCTGACAGAGATTTAAGTCTGAAAGCATACAGCTCTATGAGGCCAACTGTGCTGTGAATGAAATCATAACAACTTCGCCTGCTGGTCCTCAGAGGGACTGTGACGTCATATCTTGTGGCACCAACTCGTCCCCTGGTATTGTTCCTATATATGTCCCGCATTGTACTGTGGAATCTCTCTTCAATTCACCAGCTATATTTGTCCATTTTCAGACACTTCCCACTGCAATTCTGTCCAGCCGTGGAACAATAATGCAGACTCTATTGAATGCAGACACCGCCAGGCTACATCACACGCAGGCAAGTGGGCTCCAGACTCCATCAACAACTACCACTCATGAGACAAGTCACTGGTTCAGCCAGGGGAAGTCTTTGTAGTGCCTTCTGAGCTGCAGCGAGAGTAATTCAGCCCATTTTTCATCAGGCCGGATCAAAGACAGTCATCGATGTCGTCCCATGGGGCTACTCAAGTATTGATTTGAACAAACCCCTAGCCTCTAAATTTGGCCTCCTCATTGTTGAATAATTTCCTCTATTCTGTTTTTTGGATTAAATTTAATGCTCTTTATGAGAAACAGACTTCAAGAGTTCACATTACAAATAATTAATTCAAGTGAGATCTTCGCAGTTGCAATTAAAATTAGAAATGGCTGAGAAGTAAAGGTTTTTCATATATTGTTTCTGGATATGGAAGACACATCTGGATTTTTTTTTTCCTCAGAAAATCTGAGTTAGTCATAAGATTTATCACAGGTTCACATAACAATTTATTGCAATTTTCGAAGCATATTTTGAAGCTGTTGAAATTATTGTTAAAGTGGGCAGTACATCAAAGTCATCATTGAAAAAGTTCAATGCACAAATCAGATTCAAAGTAAAGATATGGACATCACATCAGCCTCTAAAACTGAAGCCAAAGTGGTTAAAGCTCCCCCTACTGACCGGCTGTATTAAGGGACATAATACCCATTTCCTCCGTTGTAACTAACAGAACATGAATCAGACTTAAAAAAGTCAAATCCATTTTCTTTAACATGTTTTTCATTATTTTTAGAGAGTTTTAGTTTTTATAAATAATTTTATATTAGAGGGAGGGGCTGCAGAGTCATGACTGACAGCTCTGTTAGAAAATGTGGGCCCCAGATTTAAAAAAAATTGGAAATTTTCCTACGAATTGACCTATCCAGCAATCCACCTCTGAGGCTTCCTTGTTCATCCATGTTCAGTCCAGTCTTATCCAGAGTCAATGGAGCAGAAATAGCACAACATCAAACACTTCCAGCACTCCAAAACACCCCTAACGTCATTGCCTGCAGGGTAGAGGGAATTGCCCCTTCGCTATTATCGCTTTATTTGCTCTGGACTGGGCCATGGGCTGGATTTTGGAAGTGACCACAGAGGCTTTTATGGGTCCAACGAGACAGACTGGACGGAGCAGCACTGGTGCAGAGCCAGCTCTGTGGGCCAAAGCTGTGTGGACACAGCGGCACCACTCCCTTTGTCTGAACATGCGGTGAAACAATACAAAAACATTATAGCTGTCAAAATTTTGGATACTTTCAATTTTTCAATACCTCGTGCTTTAAATTACCATCATGTGCGAGCCAAAGAGAGAGAGAGAGAGAGGATAGAGTCAACTCTATACAGTCCAGTTGCCGGATTTTGGAGATTTCAAGACAAACCATGACCTGTATGAATGAGACTCTACATGGACAATGTGGTTGTGTTACATTGGGAAAGAGTAAAGAGAGAGAAAGCTAGCATAAAAACAGTGAAACAGAAAATAAGATTATTATTTACCAGTTTGCCAAATATTGGTTTCTGTTCAATGACTTTTTCAAAACAACCACTGTTAAGAGTAACACACACTACTGTTTTACATTAATTGGGTAACTATGGCAGAGATATTGGAGGTATTTTTCTGATCAACAGATGAATGACTAACTCTACTTCCATCTCATAATACCCAAAGTCAGCAACCTCAGGCACACGCATGTTGAGCTGTCCACAAATATCTGCACGTGCACACAAACCACAAACACTCAAAGGATTCCCTCGACTCCATCTCCAACACCCTTTTCATACTGGTTTACTTTCACCATTTTCATAGTCATCGTTCACTAGAAGTCTTCCCGCTGAATCACACACACTAAATCTACTGAGTCATGGACAAAAACTCAATCTGTCAAACCACAGAGTACATTAAGTCGTGAGAGCAGCAAAGGTTACAGCAAGGGCATCCCATCTTTTACAGACCAAACCCAATATCTGAAAAAAACAGAAGTGGTCATTCATCAAAACTGAAGAATATCTCAGAGGATATTCAGCGTCTAAAATTTTGAAAATAATTTTTTCTCACTGACAGTATGTGGACAGCTGTGCAAAGCTGTTTTCTGGCCAATCGATTGACAAATGTCTGAATTTCTTCTGTAAACTTGAAGGTGTTGCAACAGTAAAGTGGAAAAAACACACGCTCTAAATCCAAACCATTAAGCTTCAATTTCGAATTTCCTAACCCAACATACGTCAGCTAAAACAATCCGTATTTCTGTCATCACTAATGTCACTCCTTAAGAATAATGTTGTTCATCTGGAGCCCCCCCTCTCTTCTCAAGGGTATTTTAAAAAACACAAACAAAGATTTATAAGTGTTTTCCCTGTCGTCCAACATGGTGTTTGTACTCTCCTCCACCAGGCTTTGTGTACACAGCTGGGTAGACCATTTTTATTTTCAGCACCCCCTCCCCCTCTGTAGTCTCCCTACCTTGCTCCACTCCTCATCAGGAAGTGTCCACAATCACCCCACAAAGAAAGTCTATTCTGTTAGTCCTGTGGGGATGCTGAGATGAGAGAGGTGAGTGTGTGTGGGTTGGAGGGGGGTGGGGCAGATGTCTGTAGGGCACCCTCTGGTGATCTCAACCACCAAAAGTCATATGAAACAATACCCAGAAGGTTTGCTGAGGAGCAAGATGAATGAGGGAAAGAGAAAGATACAGCAAGGGAAGTGTTACACACTTGATTTTGGTGTCCAAGAATGAGAGAGGAACACTATTTAGAAAAACTTGAGCTGTTGGTTTTTACACAAGTAGATATTTGTGATAAGACATGGAGGAAAGGTTGAAAAGAATGACAAGAGTGGAATTAAAAGACAGGGTTCTTCTTTACCTCAGTGTAGGTAACAGCAGTAGCGTTACAGAGAGGTGAGTTAAGAGAGGATATGAAAGTGCACAAAGTTTCTTTCCTCTGAAAAGGTGAACTGAGGTAAATCGGAAACACAGCAAAGCCATCAAATCATTTTTTTCACCTGCCACGAGACGGCACCACCTACTCCCAACACCCTGCCATCACTTCACACCCACCCCACACATACCTCAGGTCTGTGTTCAAAGCTTGTGAGCCGAACACCCACAGTCTGTCTGAGCTGGCTTTAAGAAGTCATCCACGTCAGAGAAGTCTGCACGCTCACAAGCACTGAGGACACAATCTAATGTGTCTGGGCTGATAGAAGAACACTTATGACCACACGGCCACTTCAAGGTCCTTCTTGTTTGATATCTTCCTTAACATCACAGAGTTTGTGAGGGAGTACGCTAATAAAAGGCAGAGCCAGACTATGGTCTACCACCTCTCCAAACTAACTGCATGGCTTCAATTCTAGCCAAAGCTGATCCAAGCTTGATAAATACTTTATAAACCTCTTAATTTTACACATAGATAAGAGAGGGACATAGGTGCAAGTATTAGTAGTCACTCTAGTAGTCACTGGAGTCTGATAGTCAAACAGAAAAGACATGGTACCCTGTATCAGGGCAAAACAAGTGCTAGCACTCACCTCTCTCGCACTGCGGGCCAGTGAAACCATAGACACAGGCACATCTGTTGGGTCCGATGCAGCGTCCACCGTTCTGGCAGCCGTTCTCACAAACAGCTGCAGAAAACAGGATTGTTTAAGCAAGAGTATCAGACACTTCTGCTCTCTTGATCAGCCATAAACACACAATCACAGATTTTCATAAATATTCAAGTGATATCTTTAAAATCATAAAAACAAACTGAGTATTTTGTATTTGTATAACAAACATACAGCATATCTGTATTTTGATTAATGGCGTCATTTCTGAGCACATAACATTGTAGGTTCTGCCTCTACATGCTAGAAGTTATCCAGCCTTAAAAAGTACAGGACTTAACTGAGCAGTAAAGCTAAAAAGTATGAGTATATAGTGAACCGACTTTCTGTTTTTATACATTTTATATTAAGGCTGGACCCATGACAGCCTTTTGGCCAATCTTTCCAAAGGTTGGAATGATCTCAGAAGTTCCAAGACTTCAAGCTTCATGAAGATATATAAAGATAGAGCCTTTCAAAATGTGCATGATTTGCAGATTTCCCCTGTCTTTTAACTCTTCAGAAGACATCTGCTGCATAAACACCAACAGGTGACACAGTATAACTTAACCCCCTCAATGCACTTCCCCAGTGTGCTGACTTTGCAGCAGCTTTCACTCACGCTGTCCACAGTGACTGCCTGTGTAGCCTTTGGGGCAGGAGCACGTGTCCTCCGAGCAGCTGCCTCCATTCATACACCTGACATTACAGGACTGAACTGTGGGGAGAAGAAATGGAGAGGGAGGTTAAAAAGGGAAGGGCACAAAGAAAGATGCAGGCACAAGTGAGAGTAGTTACAGTGAAAATAGTTGAGTTTCAAAACAGACATTATTATATTTATCAGTCAGTATGTTAACATGTTGAAAAAATAAATTATTGCCTCTGTCTGACTGATGCTGGATTTTTATGGAGACAAACAAACACACCAAATCAAACTTATCAGAGTAGGACAAACGCACCTACATTAAACTGTTTGAGATCAGTCAGGCTGAAACAAGCCTAAGCGTTCTGCGCATGCTCAAGTGTTCGCGTACCGGGCCTTGAGTCGGAAGTTGCGTTGCAAGAAGCCGGTAAGTAAACAAAAAAACTCAACAGACGAAGAAAAGATGTAACATATGAAACTTTCCTGTTGTTAAATCAAACCGCTAAGAGTTGTAAAAGTGACCGTTTTGACTCCACTCCCGTTAGCTTCTTGCTAACGCATTTTGTCACTTGATATTTCAACCAGGAAATGACCCGATAGTGACGAACCGAGAGGGGGCACGTCGCCACCTACCATAGCGGAGGCAGACTTGCTTTAGTCAGTAAATCAACTGTTGCCCAGTTCGGGTAAACTGGGACTAAATGCACATGAACAGTTAAGCAGAGCTACAGCCAAAGATCAATAAGGCGTTTGAACTGGACTACTGTCCTTAAAATGGTATTGTTACGTTCGCGAACGATTTGTTCAAAAGAACCGAATCCTTTAAGTGAACCGAATCACTTCCTCAAGTGATTCGTTCGTTTCTAACTTTAGTTGGGCTGTCAGCAGTGCTGGTGCTATAGCATGCAGCATTGCCAGGCGAGAACGAGGGACTGCATGTACTGATGCCTAAATCATATGATGAACAAATCACGCATTGAGCTACACTCTGTGGAATCATTTTTGTCAGACAAAACTACCTTTTTTTTTACTGCTAAATTGCCACCACAACAACTTGCATGTTACAAGTAGTGCACAAAACCCACAGCATCCTATCATTGCAGTGGTTTGCAATGGAGAGGCGCATGTTTAGTGTGAATTCTCCTATACAAGAACCCTACAACATAAAATGAGACCATGAGGACCAAAATAAAAACATAAACTAGATTAGAAGAGAAAGGTAATAAAAAGGGGGGGTAGAAAGCAGGAAACAGGACAGTAGATATAAAAAGATGATATTAATAATGATAATAAAATCCTAATAAAATAATAATGATGGTAATATTAATGATAAAATGGAATAACAAAAATGAGCAGGAAAAAACAATAAAAAGCCTAAAAGGTTAAATAAGAAAAGATTACAAGTAAAACAAGACTAAAAGGACAGGAAGTCCAAATAAGATAAAGATAAAAGACATAAAAGATAAAAGACTGCAAAAGGTAGGTTGGTCCACTTATGAGAAGATCAGTTTAGAGCAATTTCAGCTGAACTTATGTGTTAACATGTTCAGGTTCAGTCAGACTATAACAATAAATCGATTTTTTTCAAAGCATATAAACAAACTGAGCGTTATCCCTATTCTCTGGTTACGCTGAAATTGTTACCCTACAAAATAAACCGCTCCAAACATCTAATGGTTAAATATTCACAGCCAATTAAACACATTTAGAGAATTTTCCACTTCAGCTGGTGTTTCTTTAGTAGCTTTAGATGAACAGACAAGGCTCAGAAGCCCCCCGGCCACAAGACCAAAGCCAATCTAGCAGACTGGGGGGAGGCAATAAGTTGAGACAGCTGAACGCTACTCTCAGTCACTCACTCACTCAGGAATTTGCTGAGAGAAGAGGGAAACTAGGTGAGAGAGTTAGGAGAGGGAGGGAGGAGAGAAAAGAGGTACGATGGCAAAAAGAAATCTAAGCGGGATGCACAGGGGAGAAAACTTAAGATGAAGAAAAGGGTGTAACTTGAAAAAGCATGTAAAAAAAGTAGATGTGCCATGATGTTTTGGGTATAATGATGTGAAGCAGGGGCCTCCTGGTTGGCAGACTGCTACACCAGACTGAGAGGAAGCCAATCTTACAGTCTAAAACACGTAGCAGCAGCTCTTATAATAGAAACTAATTGGTCTACCTGGCAGGCAGCTCTCTGCTGAGCCAGCCTTTTACAAAACACAAGAAGAGAGGGCACACCTACAGATGTGGATGATAGAGAACTGTTTCCTCATAATGTTTCCTTGCATCCTCTTATTCCTTTCATCCAGCCAAGAGGATACTTTATGGTCTCTTAGTCTCCCTTTATTTTCCTTCTTCCTCCACTTTGCCTTTTCTCTCAGAGCTTTTCATGCCCTTCTGTCTATATCCTCACTGTAAGTTCAACATTAATTTCCTCCCTCTCTCTCTCTCCATCTGTCTGTTTGTGTCTCTTTCTCTCTATAAAATCTCTGGCATGCAGAGCTGAGCAGCAGAAGGGAAATGACTGAGCTTCCCCGTAGCTGACTCTGTCTAATGAGACTTTGGACGTTTGCACACTTGCCAACAGGAGGCATTTCAGCCTCTGTAATCCACCCACTTATTGTGAATGTACCTAAACACACTAAATACGACTGTGAGTCATGATGAGTGAATATACTCTCTGGGTAGCTTTTCATAGTGATCACGCACACTAGCATTACTGGCAGCTTACACAGCAGACTTCAGCTACGTGAGTCAAGGAACAAAAGCACAAATCTTGAATGGGAACCTTGTGCAGTTTCAGTAAATGGAAGGCAGAGGTGTTGTTCTCTGAGTCTGTCAACAGAGTTTTCATTTTCTTCATATATTTCACAGAAGTCTAGAAGGAATTGCAGTAGACTCTCTCCTGAGCAACACTTGGCAGACTGTGAGCAAACTTGGCAGGGACTGCTTTTCGCCTGGATTATATCTCATGGTAACATAAGGGGATAATTAAAGCTAATAGTTTGGGACTCTGGGGCAGTTTGGGTTTATAGGTCAGTTTCACTGATTGAATGTAAAGATGGAGGTGTCAGGGGTGTGTCCTGGGGGATGGCCAGGGGTGGTGTGGCCCCCTCTTCAAATCTGATTGGCCACCCCAGGTGCCATGCAAAATAGCTATAAAAATTAGAGACAAGACTTATGATAACAATAAACTATTAAATTATTTTACAACAGGCTGCCAGAAAATTATCTTCATTTTGACATGGCACTTTTACTGGTATTTTAAATTGAAGAAAATTACTATACACCTGTGTTTCATAAAAACATGGGGTGAGCCAGCTCTCTCAAACTATCTGTCAAAACACATTATTTGCAACATTTTGGTATTCTTTAACCACTCTGGACTAAAATCTTTTTTTTAATCCAGTAGAAATCAGATTAAAAGGATTATCAGTGTTAATGATGGAAGTCTGATCAGAGGAGTCAGATACGGTAAAAAAAAATGTGTTTGCACACATATTTGGTAATGTTGTTTCATCATCCAAACTATAACCGGGAAGTTATTTCATGTCTTTTTGGCTGAAAATGTTTTTGTTTTGGCTGGATTCTTTTTTCCTTTTTTTTGGCATGATCACTTGAGATTCGTGATTAATTTGTTTTTGTTATATTTCGCTATGCAATCGCCATCTCTCAAAACATGGGCTTAACATCACATAACTAGTAAATTCAAATTTAATATGAAAATGAATGTCTGGACACAATCAGTCTAGTGAAAATCAATTTTTATCACATAAACCATGTCTGAGAAAAACATCTTTGACGTGTATTTTGACTTTGAGGTTGGACCTATGTCCTATCTGTTAACATGGAAGATGCAGAGTTTATAAGCAATGCTGCAGCCAGTGGGCAGGGAGCTCCTGATGTTTTGGCTTCACGTTTGAGGTGCTGCTATATCGTCTATACACTTAGCATACGGAGGTGCCGTCTCTCTTCTTACCACCATGAACTCCTTACTGACTCTCTTCCTTCATTTCAAGGCCAACAATAGGCTCAGTGGTGCGAAGCGTAACAAATTACTGCAGTGAGTGACTGGAGCTTTTCCTGTCTTGTAACAAACCATGAAGGGAACAGTTCCAGCATGCTGTAATCCAGACTCCCCAAAAGATGAGGGCATCTTGGGTAAACTCTTCCATTTGTCAACAAGTCCCCCCGCCCCACTTAAAGTGTTTCTTATTAGGTCAAGAACATACACTTAGGGAAAAGATTCAGCCAGGGCCGATGAGACAAGAGATGTTGCAATACAGAGAGAGTTTCCCATTTGTTAAACCCTTTGCCCCCTAAACAAGAGTTCGATGGCTCAGGTGCTGCGAAATGCACAGAGATTCTGCCAGTGGTATGTTTATTTTGTTCCATAAACTAAATGAGACGAGTATGAGGAGGAAAGGGAAACAAACAAGCACATTTGGAGACAGGAGGAGATGATCTCACTGGTAAACTTCGCCCCTCGCTCCCCCTCCTCATGACACTCCATCTCCCTGCAGGTGGAGAGAGATGGCTTGCCCCAGTGACCCGCGCCCTGAAAAGCTGCACGTGCAAAGCAACAGCGCTGGGGGATAAGCATGTGTGTATCTGACTCTGTGTGTGTGCGAGCAAATCTTCCAGACGTCCGGCTAAAGTGGTTGGATGCTGGTTTTGGTGGACCACAATAGAGTTCTGTGTTCTGGAAGTGTCGTCGCTGAGCTGCTCACATCTGGGTGTTTTTTACGAGAGGCTGCGAAACACAAAAAGGTCAGGTTTGTGTGTTGAGTCTGTGTGTTTGTGCAGGTACACTGATGGAAAACTGGGGAGCTTAAGCAGTTTTGCCTTGATTTATGCACACCCAAGGGACTTCTGACTTTCAGCATGGATGGGTGATGTAGTGAAACAGAAAGCTGTATTTTAAATTTCATGAGAGTCGAACGCAAACTTTTCCCCTTCTAGAAAACTTGCCGTCTGTTTCAGCTGAGCGTATTCAGTACCTCAAACACGTCATTAATTTTACGGTGAATTGGACCGCATTTATTGCTGGGTGAGCATTACTCTGTGGTCAAGATGGACCAGAAGCGACACGGTTTCTAATTAAAAGTGACTCTCTCTGCTTTCCCAGGACTCTGTGCAGCTCCCTGTCAATGGCCAGTGGAAGTTTGTCAGTCTAGGGACAGCTGTTTCTTAGCATTAGGGGAAGAGCGTCTTTCGTAATGATTTAGTAATTATGGTTATGGGAGGACAAGGTTATAAAGATGACCCTGTAGGATCCTGAGCACAGCTGCTCTGCCCTAAACTGCCAGTGGGTTTATTACAAGGTTGACTTACAGCGTGAACCCTTGTTGTCTGGAAACTGTCGCGTAACTCCAGGTTATCTCTAAGTGTGCAGTGCACAGCGCCAGACCGGCGTTTAAAAGGTTTTGCTTTTCTAATTCTGGAAGTGTGTAATCTCCTTCAAGTGTATCCACACACAGCATGTGTTTTTATTGTTCGTGGACTAAAGGAAAAGATTCCAGGAAGAGTAATTAAAAATCCCAGACGCCCATCTGTGTGGAGCTATCGTAGGATATGTGTTACATGAAGGAAACCCTAAACGTGTCACTGATTTATTAAAGCTTTTACATTCCACAAACAAGACGTGAGACATAAAGATGCTATCTATAACCCCGTAAACCAGGGTGCTAGAATAAGATGGTGTAATTAAGGAAGAGGAAATTGGTGTTTCCAAATGGATCTCCATAGAGCTGCAATTTGTTCCCAACTGCACTGAATTATCCTGTTAAATGATGGACTCTTTCCAAAAGCTGGATTTGAGGGTAAGCACATTTGGAAGAAGAGAGCTCCAATGAGGAATGCTTGCCTTCTCTTGGCGAGGTGCTTTGACTCCTTAGAGACAGATAATGGTGTGAAAACAGTTTTCAGCTTATTAATATGATACACACACGCCCAAGACAGTAAGTGTGGTTCTGTGGGGGTTCTAGTCAAAACAAAGATTAACATCCAAATCTCAAGTGGAGAGGAAGTGATTACGAATATCTCACCCAAGAAAATGAAAAACGTGCATACGATGGAGTTTGGGAGTATGAACTTGGAGGAAAGTGAGAAAACTTCATTTTATACTTTAAGAAAACTCTAGTTTAAGACGATTAAAGGACAAGGCCAACCTTTACACGAGGTGACCACAGGAGTCATTCCACAGCGTTCACTGAGGGGTGTATGTTATCTCAGGTCATAAAGCTGTTTGAACTCTGACCTTCATGGAGGCTGTTGGAGAGGCCAGAGGAAGCAGTGATTCCTTCTTAAACATGCTCCTCATTTACTCATCATAAAACAATAAAGCTATCTCTGATCATCCAAGTCATCTGCTATGCCAGTAGCTCACTTTCCTTCCTTCCCACTGCCTGTAAACCTGCACAACAGCCAAGAAAAATCCCAGCAGGAAAGCTGAGAACCGCAACCTCTGACAGCCAGTTTGGTCCAGCTCTTCTTAGCTTTCAGTCTAATTTATCACTTTACAACTTTCTCGCGCCATTCTTGTCCCTAAGGCACATTACTTCATGGCTCTCGCCAAAGCACTAACTCTGCAGGAGATCTGCGTGTATCCTGTTGGTTTTTTTTCCATCTGACCATTCATGTCCCTGTTGATAATAACATTTATGCCTGGATGAGAGAGAGCAAACCAAACTCAGACTTTTTTCACAAACAGATCCAAATTTCCTCTTTATTGGAATAAAAACAACATCTAAAAGGACTTCCTTTTGTTTTGTAGTGGCAGCAATTTCCACAGATGCAACATCCATGCTAAACTGGAGCTCTCTCTGATGATAGTCTGCATCTACATCTTGAGCTCCAAACATGTTGAATCACTTACAGAGTCTACAGATTGATACTTACATTTCCCTTGGAAATCTCTGTCAGTATCAATGCCTGGGCATATCTGTAAGTCTGTTAGTGTTTTGCAAGTGAAAATGTGTGTTAGTGGGCTCAGTGGAATGCGAGCATGTGCAAAGGGTCTGGCAGGGGCCAAGCGTGACTGACGAGCTGACTTCAGCCCGACTAATGCAGTGAAGCTGAACACGCTCCACGCCTCTTAATACACACATTGACACATACTCTGCATGCCCCCTAGAGCTGCTTAACAGTGATGTTTTCTGCGTGCCTTGCATATATCAACATCATATTCAAACCCTGCACACACTGCGCTAATCTTACCAAGACAAACAAGATTTCACACACTCCACATGTGCAGTAAAAGACCTTCTCCTTTCCACTGCTTTCACACACACACACATCCTGAGTGGTCCATAACTAAGCCCAGTAGATTGAGCTGGGGCAGCCAGACTCTCTAGTTTAATCCTGACAAACCCTGTGACCTGCAGACTGCAGGCCTGGGACTCTACACCACTATTACATTGGCTGCAGTATCATTCTGGCTCCCATGAGAGAAGGGTGGGACCATGACATGTGGAAAATAGCCAAACAATTGGATGAGTTAGAGCTGAAACAGCTCAGTGTTTCGGGCGATATCATTTCATCATAAGTTTGGGCCACTTAACACGACCAGCACAGGGGAGTGGAGTCAGGCGCTGGGTCAGTGGAGATAAACCATTTCTATCCGAGCCCCAACAGTGGTGTAATTGATTATAATATAATATAACAGGATTATTTTAGGATAAATATATTTTTAAGGGACAGGTTTCTCCACCTTCATTTGGAAAGCACACTGATTCAGTTAAGACAGTTGTCATTCTTGTCTCTCAAAGACAAAGCTTTTGGAATTAGCTAACAAGCTTAGCACAGTGACTGCGCACGGGAGGTCAACGCGGGTCAGCCCAACAAAACTCTTAAACTGATAAAAACTTATTTGATTTAAACAGAACAAGACTTAGAAATGTGAAACTACCAGTAAAACCTTTTAATTTAATTTACTGAAAAAAGCTGGAGAACCAGGATAACAAGATAGCCAGCTAGCGCCAGAATCCTTGAGTGCTGGTGACACTTTAAATTCACACGTCTCCTGTTACTAATGAGTGAGGTTTGATGAAAATTGAATATGTATGTACAATAAGGGACAAAAACTGACCTCCTGCTCCTGCTCCACAGCTGGGAGAAAGCTGACCGCTTGAACAGGTACACATGTTTGGTCTGGAGCAGAAGCCGTCACCGCATGAATTCCTGCAAATAGCTGAGAAGAAGAAGGGTACAGTAAGTTTTATCCATACATAAACTTGTTATATCCTGTGACTCTATGCGATATTTCTTTCCCTTGACTTCAGAATTTCATATGAAAGATGATTTTGAGGATAGAGATACTTACGAACGATACACTGGTTTCCTCCCGGTAGAGTCTTCCAGCCTGGGCAGCAGTATGAATGGAAGCGAGAGCCACACACATTGGGCCTGACAGACACACACAAAAAAAGAACAAACAAACTTACTACACACCCAGACCTCCCAAATATATTTTATTCAGACCCTTGAAGAAACAGCTATGAGTTATTTACTAAGCTCCCCAAGACCTGCAAGGCCTCTGCTTTCAGAATAAACAAAACAAACTTTGATACCAAACCTCCTTGGGTGATGGATGGAGGTATTTTCAGAAAGGGCAGGGAAGAAAGGAAATGTGAGGGGGGCTACAGCACGAGGAGAAGCATTTTGTTTTCATTCATGGCTGAATTCAAACTCTGAGGGACAGGATGTATAAAAACCTCCTTTCTCCTAAATTCCATGACTGGCTGTCCTGTTTTCTGGCAAGTATCCAGTCTTGCCCCCCTTCACTGCCTCAGCCTGCAGAGAACTTTGACCCCGTCTGACAGATGTAAGATTCATCACAGCTTATGGAGGCCTCGATTGGCCTGACAGGTTAGCCACAAATTTTCCTTCATAGGAGATGGCTAAACCACATCTGAGAGTGGCTTGCCCCCTGCTCACACGCACACACACAAACGCACTCGTAAACACGCAGTTGGCCTGAGTTAGGCTGCTGAAAAACATACAAACCGATGCTCAAAATGCGTGAGATTTTATCTCACATGAATAATTACACACATACTTGTGACTCTGTTTACTCAAAAACTGAGTTTGAGTGCTGACTTGTATCAATTACAAAACCGAAAACCATAGAAAATGTAAAAGCGTACACTTCTATGTTATGCACCAAGATGTAGCATGAAGCTGTTTAACATGCTGAAGGGATTCCAACACTGTGGTGGTGCTAATGATATCCTCAGTGACCTCTCAAAGCATATAATGACGGGTGTATCCGTCAGCATCTGTGTTGGTGGTTAGTTTTTTGCATTTGCTGTTGGCATGACTAAGAAAGGCCATGATGGACCACAGTTTGGTAAATTGGAATTAAGTCTGATCCAGATGCTCGTGGTAAAGTCATTACACAGGGATTACATCTCTCTTGCCAGGGCAGTATCAACCCCCAGGATGTTATTTATGACTGTTCAAAGTCACGCTAGATTAGCCTTGGATTTTTTAAGGTTACCAAGGAGTGGTACAATCAGACAACAACTCATAAAGCCCTCCAAAGAATGTATATAGGCTAAGTATTATGCTACCAAATGTTTTGGGACTTGTGAAAGACCCAACTAATGCATTTCTGATAATGCAACTTTATCCAAAGAGCTTCAATACCTACAGTTTACCATAGCGCTTTGAAATGAGCCACATAATTGAAAATTTTCCATTTTAATATTCAAAGGGATGGAAATGGTTGAAAGACTAACAATATATGATATGACATGACATGATATTATATGATATAATACTATGTTCTTTAATATGATATAAGATGATACGATGGGATACATATGATACGACACAAATCGATACAAAACTAAATTAAGCAAAAGGAAACAAAAAGAGAAAAAAACAAAAGGACACGATACAATTTAGCACAATAAGATCCAATAACAGATTCATTGCCTAATATAACAATAATATGAAAATTTAGCACCTCTACAATAGTTGATGACTTGTAAGACAGTTGTAAAACAAAAAGAAAACAAAAGAACATATGCTAATATATACTTAAAAACGCAAAATGTCCCTCAAAAGTGGAGCGCATGATAAAATGTCATCAGACCCACCCTGAGTAATGACTAAGTGGTGGCATGTTAAGTCAAACAAGAGGAAGATGAAAAGAAGAAGAAAAGGAAGAACTTTATCAATCCCTCAATGTATAATATAAATATTTGGTCCTTTGAGGCCATAAATGATTGGCCAGATCAGAATGATAATGCATTGTTCTATCAAACTTTTGTCCCACTTCTAATTTAAAGTCTCAGTTTTGAATCATGTTTATTTCCAGCGACAGATTCTCAATTCAGTCATATGTTTTGGTCACGAAAGCAGTAGTCCTAGTTTTAACCTATCAGGTTTGAAAGTGGGCTACACTTGTGGGAAAAAGTCCAAGAGGAAAGCAAAGAGCTATAAACTACTAAAAACAGCTGTCTGACAATAATTCCCCTATTTGTGTTCCTCTATGAACACATTTTCAGATGCATGTATGTAACAATGTGGTCCCTATTAACATGAACTCGATTCTGTTGCCTCAGGTTGCTAGTGTGGCAGTAAACATCACCAGCATACTGAGGGGGACGTTTTGGCCCGGATGTCTGTTATCAGTTATCCAGATATCTCCTGGCTGCAGTGGAAGTTACAGTGGAAGAATTATTAGCAGCATCTCCCAGAGGCTGAGTCCTTGTCAGGCCAACGCTGATGGGCTCCAAGACTGAACTGGAGTTAATCCTGATGACATCATTATGACTCTCATCAGGGTCAGACATTGCAGAGCGCTCTCTAGAGCCACACAAGTTAGCCTGCTGCAGAAATGTGCTCAGTGGCGTGCCACATCACGAGTAAACTCTTAGACTGATGAGAAGCTTTCATGTGTTCATTTTTATTCTTTTCTTATGAGGCACCATGAAAGTTAAATACTCAACTGCTTTAAAAATTATTGTCAAATTTATGTCATTGAAAAACTTGCTATCCCACAAGCAATAGTCATTAATCTTCATTGTCAGAAATGCTGTTGCAACTTCCAATTATTATTGATTTAAGCAGCACACTATCAATAAGTATATGAATTTCAGAGAGACGACAAGAACAAATACTTCAGAAACTAGAACCAGTGACATTCATGCATTTGTGTGTAATAAATGACTTAAAGGAGTAGTTCAACATTTAAAATAAGTTCTCTGTCATCTTGTTTGCTAATTAAATTTTCACAAAAAGATTGACACCCTCTCGCAAGATAGAATGAAACTCACTTTTCCACTTTTGTGATCAATATTTTAGGAGACAAGCTTCAAATAAGGGGAACAGTTTGTAGACTAAACCGGGGGATAACAGATCAAGAGTCAGTGTGGGGAATGAACTGTTAACTCTGATGAACTTCTCAAGTTTCTCTCTTTGAAACCTTCTCTCCTCCTCCTCCTCCTCTTCCCCCAGAGAGATGGCAGCTGGGGTTTGAATCTCTGATGGATGCAGAGCGGCGCACACCTCCGAACACATTACCAGATGGCACAAGAAGACAGACAAACAGGTGGGCAGGCAGACAAGGCATGTTTACTCAGTCAAGACAAAAAAGAAAGATAAAAATAAGACAGGAAGGGAGGAAGGACAAAAGCCGCGGGTTCTTTGGGAGATTCAAACATGACAGTTGGTTTTGGAGAGAAAGTGTGAAGAGGATGGCGGGCAGGGGGAGAGAAGACAGGATGGTGGGAAAGGAACAGGGGATCAGTGGGAGGGAAAGCAAAAAAAGTTTATGTTGAGAAGAGGAGGAAGCAAGAGGAGGAGTGGGACGGAAAACTGAGATATGGAAACAAAGGAGAAAGCAGCATAAGCAAGAAGAGGCCGGACCCTTGGTGGGGGTTGAATTTCTGGGGTAAATACACAAACCATTGAGAGCTTTGAAAAAACTTCAGAAATGCATGGAGCGAGACTTTGGCATTCCAGCACTTAATGAGTGAACCCGTCTTCGCTGATCTATTTCTCTGCGAAGCGTCTAAGATTTTCCACTGTTTCAGACCTTAAGGATGTCAATATATGAAGGATTACACGGGCCTGACCCTGAGGTGCTCTGGTTTGTTATTCTTCCTCTCTTCCCGCTCTCTAAGTCTTTCCTTCAGGTCAGTGCCTGGTCTCCTATCACATAGAGGAGGCTTTAGAGGATGAACTGAAGTAAAACAGAATGAAAGACAGCCATAAAAAAGCAGTTTAAGCCCCAGGGGTTTTCCTCAATATTGAAATGTCCTACTGTTCCCGCAGCTCAATCTAAAGGAGATTAACTCTTCTGTGGCCATGGCGCTGCCTTTGAAGTTGCCTCCCGGGCCGTGGATCGCTCGTTAACTGCCATTAATAGTAATAAAAGGAACATGGCTGCCACCTCATCCAAGGGGAAGTATGAAGATCGAAGGAAACAGGAACACTGCAGCCAGAGACTAAAGGAAAAGGGTGAGCTACGGTCATGGCTACTTTATCTGGGAAGTTTTACAATCCACATATCATCCAATCATTTTAAAACCGTCAAACTAATTATAATCTGTATGAGCGTTGGCTACAATTTTCATATTTTAAAGTCTGTCTGAGCTTTATTTGGGTTTAAAGCAAAGAAACCCCTTGAGTTATCTGTCTGTAGTTGACCTAAGGGTCCTCTTCCCAGGAATCCACAGGGGTCAAAGGTCAGGGCAGTTCAATGCAGCCGGTCTCCGCTGACATACAAGGAAGGGCAGCAGCAGGCAGGCATGGAAAACGACTACAGACAGCCTGTTTCCATGAAGACACAGAGCAGAAGTTCACAGTTGCTAGGGCCTCAGGTCAGGTGTCTGTGTCAGTAGATACATGTGTCAGTGTACTGGTCAGAGGTCAAAGGTCATCTGCCTGGTATCTGACCCCCTTCGGCAAGATGCTTATGTATTGCTGCCTCCAGCAACACCTGGGACTGTTGCTCTGCTATCTGATCTCAAACTGGGGGTGTTGACGGAGTGAAGTTTGTAGAGAATAGCCCAATGAAAGCAAAGCAGATTTTGATCTGTGGTGGAAGAGTTACCCAAAACAAAGAGACATACTTTACACCAACCAAGCTGAGATAAAATGGAGGGCAAAAGATGGAGAAATTGGGGAATGGACAGCAGTCATAAGAAATTCACAGTGAAAGAACAAATGCAATAATATCAAAATATCAAAATAAATGTTCATTGTAGTAAATTACTATTAACAACGTGTATGTAGGTGTTAAAATCCCCATATATCCAAGTAACATTCAAACAAATCAAGTATAGATACATTTTCAGCAAAATTTATCGATGGAAGCCAAAAAGTCCCTGTGGCTTAAGAGGAAATCAAAATTCTGAGTAACCTACAATTTTAAAGGTAAGTACATAGAAATCAGTCAAAATTTACCCAAATTTCTTTCACACATCTTTACAAAAGATCACAGAGTCTGCAGCTAAACAGTGTCATATTGGCATGTTAAATAAAGCCAGCATTAGCAGTGCTAGCACCACCGGCGTTCAGTTCTCTTTGTGGGTAAAACGTCCAAATATGCATGCTGATGATTGTGCATAGCTTGAGTGGTCTCATGCCGGTTCAACCAGACACAGCCTACATAACACTCTGTTGCCATTTGCTACATCAAAAGACTGCTAAAGCAGGCCACACTATCCCATCTGTCATCTGTGCTTGTTTACATCAGAGTCGGGAAAATATTAGTCCAGCTGACTTGTAATTTTGGTGCCAACTAGTTAGGGAGTGACAATTAAATGACTCGGTTAATTATGCACTTACCTGCAAAAAAAATGAGTCCCATTACATTTTGTGTACAAAACTTGACCAAATACTTGATTGATTGGATTTAGAAAAAAAATACTAAAATCTAAAGAACTAGTCCAGTGGTGTGGGTTTTTGTCAGGTGATGTAGTTGTCTAGCATGATAACTCAAGCCGTGGTGAACCACATGAACCCCAGGCAATATATCTGTTTATCAGTTCTGATTCAATAAAAGCCAGACTGTTTGGATTTAAATGATTTGTTGAAAGCTGTTTTTGTTTGTGATTAGCTCCGATGACCCGCTGTTTAGCAGAGGCAATTGAAAATCAAATAAAGCTCCTTTAATAGATCAGCTCATGCAAAGGCTTCTTGTGTATGAATGAAAAATGTTTGTGAGTTTCCAAAAATGTCCGATTGAGGAAGTAAACTGATTGCTGAAAGGTTTCATACAATCAGACATTTAAGTGGAAGCTGCTTTTGTAAGAGACCACATGCCAATCAGCTGTCCAAGATAATCCCATTTTTACAGTTTAGTCTTAGCCAGCTCATACAGTAAGCATTAAATGCAGACACATAAAACCTAAATGGAACCTAATGCACATAAAACAGAGAGGGAAACTGGCAAATGTTCACTCAGTCCAGATATAAATTCCTCTTGAACATTTCATCAGGCTTTTTTCTCCTCATTTCCTGAAAACACTCCGATACTGTTCGTCTGAGGTTAGCAGGTTCATACTGAGTCATCCAGAAAAGAGAAATGCTTTTATTTGCTTTCAAATGAAGCATACGACAAGACAGGCAGTAGGCTGAGGACCCCATCCAGGCTATCAGGGTGGTACTGACATTATTCTTGGAGGGACATGAATGGTCTGGTGTAATTCTCTGCTATCGGGCTGCCAAGTTAGTCAGAGTCCAAGGCAGAGCCGCCTCCAGCTCGGCAAAGTTGGGCCAAGTTAATAAGGTGCATGAGTTAAAAAAAAATTTGTCTGGACCCTTTTAGTCCAACATTCAAAAGGTCTTCTTAAACAATGAATATTCAGATGTTTCAGCCAAAAGAAAAATTCTCAGTCTCTGCCTCATGCTTGTCTTTCTCTCACACTACCAACCAGACAGTCAATCAGCCATCAAGAAGGCAAGCCAGCCAGCCTCGGGTCTGATCAGATACCGCCCGTGAGTGGACTGATGCCAGGCTGCAGTGGGAGCCAATAAATCAGAGTCAGTCAGCATCAGACCTAATGCTAGCAGAGACAGACCAGGGGATATGGTGCGCTAGCCAGCAAATAAACACAGCACCCCAGCCCAAGGCCAGCATAATGACCATCATTAAACTAACCTCCCTCCATCTCCCACACAGAGAATCCATGAAAGCCAAACTGACTTACTGACAGTCTGCCTCTTCACCACAAGACAAAGGCTGGAGTTTACATGTAACACAAGTTTGATGGGCTAAGAGAGTTGTAGTCAATTCAACAACTCCTGTATAACAAAGATCTGGCTCTGATAGAAGGCAACTGTCTTTACCCTGTGAAAGGTTGGATGAATCAAGCACATTTGTAGATGACTAATTTAGTCCAATGTCAGATCAGCTGTGATCGTTCCCAGCCTTTGACACTCAACAGTAACTGAAAATAAATTCAGCACATTTAGCTGATTTGCCTTGGCCAGGCCTGTTGTGGCAAATGGCAAATGCTCTTTAATTCATCTGACAGTTAACAGGCAACACCTAAAAAAGAAATCAAAAGGATGTTGAACATTTTGTCAGACAACTTTGGTTAGTGGTCCCCAAACTGGCCCGAAGCCCAGCATGCAAACAGATCTTTTTAGCCTTAAAGTACCCTGAGCTTCAAAGATGCTCTGTAATCTCATTACCAATTAACTTCAGTACACAAAGCTGTCAGTACATGAGCCGTTCATTCCAAACACAGTCGTGTTTCCAGAGCTTAACAATGTAATGGAAAAAGTCTGCAGGCTTTTCTTACATGTTTTCATGAAATCACACGCTGCTTGGTGGAAATAATCTACTATTGTGCAAGGTCTCCTGCTTTCTTGACTCTCTCTTCTGGCTCATAACTAGAGCAGAAATATAAAAGGACCGCGTGCACACTCTACGCTTGGTGGGAAAAAATGTTTTGTCTTAGTATCTCTTTTGATTCAACATGGGCTGACACCTTCCATGTCAACCATTTTAAATGACAGAACAGGGAATATCTATTTCAATTACCCAGCAGGAGTTTCCACTGACCATGTTTATAGAGAAAACACCAGCTCTACTCCTCAGACTGAACTCTATCCTGTTTTATTAATGAGTTTCTACTAAATACAATTCATTGTGTCTGGTGTGTTTTCTGTTTCTCTCTGTCCTTGGTGATTCCTTCTTTATATGTCAAATTTCTTTCTTTCAATCTTTAAGCTCCCTGTTCTTGTCTCAGTAGCTCTGTCACCTACAGCAGTGAAATAAATGCCCCTTTTCATACCCCCCTCCGGTCATACGAATACCTCATTTCCTGTGGCTTGGCACTGGGGGACTCATAAGTTGGGACAGATGGGACTCTGATTGGAATAACTGATGCAGACATGAAAACTGGCCCCAACAAAACTTTCTTTGTTTTTTAAGAAGTGGTAAACTATACAGTTGAATCTTTTAGCTGCACTTATATACACCCCACACCCAAATTTGTCATGTTTAGGAAACAAAGTTAAAGAGCTAGACAGCAAGAGAGAAAGAGAGTGGGGGAGGAGGTGAGAGGGGGTCTGTTACAGCCGGTTAAAGGTGATGTGATCTTTGTGGTTCACTTCATTTCCCACATTCATACATACACTCAAATGAACAACACACACATGCAGGTTCATATTTACCGCACAGCAGGGCCAGTAATCCCCCCACAGCAGTCTTGAACTACTTTCTCCAGCTTAACTAATACAGTCAGGGGAATTTGGGTCAAGCTTTTCAGTCATCATCTCATCATGAGATGTATAGAAAGCTGAGTTTTTTTCCTTTCCCATGAAAATGTCAATTTGCTGTAAATACACTGGGAAATTTCAGAGTGGCAAGCAGCCTGTTAGGGTCAAACATGTGCTGTTTTTGAGAAAACAATGTGGTAGTATTCAGCAGCATAATTTGGTATAAGGCGAGCTTGGCCTCAGACCAGGAAGCACAGCAGTTGAAAGAGTGTTGCCAGGAAAGCAGAGAGGGAAAAGCCATTTATATTCAAACCATCTCCAGACACATCAACAAATGTTCAGAGTTATGTTTGCAAAACCAAACTTGAGGAGATTTTTTGAGTTTAAAAAATGACGCACAATGAAAACAATAGTTGGCATACACACAAAAGTTCTCTTCCTTACCCTCTCAGTGTCTCCTGACCACGACGTCGAACCCGCTGCACCTCTCTCTGGTCCACAGTGCCGGTGAACCGGCTTGCTTGGTACGGTCCATCTCCAGTTTGAGCACCATTCACATGGACAGCTGAGAGGCACACCGCTGCCCATCCCAGCAGCACCTGAGCCAGCTTCCCTGACCCCATTGGTCGGTCTGGCTATCCCTCCAGTCGTAGCACCTCTGTTTCACCACTCACTCCCTAGTCAGGTATTCTCTGTGCGGACCCAGGCTGAGCAGAGGGATGTAGACCTGGACCCTGACCAAGTCCTGGGGAGCACTCCAGAATAGAGGCTAGACAGGAAAGAGACAGATGAAAGCTAAAACAAAAAACTGTTGAACTCATAAATAGCTGAAGACAGATCAGTTCATCTCACACAGCAGCTTTTAAGATCCTCTGTCTCACCTCTCTATGGGGTTTGGAAATATTGGCAAAAACATGGTAGACTTCAGATGGATTTTGTAAAGGTATTCATTTTATCTTCAAACTTTTTGTTTAATTTTTGATAAAGTTTTTGGCCCTCATTGACAGGTAGAAGACAGTAGATAAATGAGGAAACAATGAAATGCAGGAAATGGGCCACAGGGTGGTATGTGACTTGGGCCGCCTGCATATTTGGGGAGAAGCCAGATCACTATGATATCAGCACTCACAAGTTAACTTTTTGAGCTGTTTGTGTCACTTTTAGCTAACAACTTGCATAGTTCTCTTCTCTATAGTGATGGCAAAATTTTAAGCTTTTTACTTAGTTTTCATGAATTCATTATGTTTATTACTTTTGACACTGGTGTACTTGGAACTTTTTGGCTTTCTTGACTTTTCTACGTGATTAGATCATCTTTCCACATACTTCTTAGCAATAGGTGCTTGGCCTACTCTACTGACATTTTTTCTACCTTTGTGAATCAATCAATCTCATACATTATTCATTGTTTTTCTATTTTTTTAATATGCTGGAACGAAAACGTGTGTTGGGTTTGTGAAAGAAAGAAAGAACAAGAACATTTCAGGAAATAGAAGACGCACAGAAATCCTGATTTCCCATAACTTTTTTCACTATTCTTCACTTCAAAGTAGTCTTAAAAGTGGTTTACCACTTCATTGACACCAGTTATGGACTGACATCAGATGAAAGAAAGAAGCCATAAGATCACTAGAGAGAAATGAGCCAGTGCTGTCGAGTATGAATTATTATTGCTGTTAAATTGGGAGTCAACAAAGATCACAGTCCCGTAAAACCCAAGATAGTGTCTACATTTCTTAATAGTTGGACTGTAATTTCTAAGTGAACCACTGCAATAAGATGAAACCTCCATTTTCCTGTAGAGCAACACAGCTCTGTGGGTGAGCACAATATCTGTAAGCCTGTTATTTTTTATTTAAGTCTCAATCCACCAGTGTATCAATAAAATAACATTTATCAAGGTCAAAAGACAAAAAAGTATTTGCTTCATAAATAAATATATAACCTTCAGTCTCTTCATGATAAACTGCAAATTTAAACCCAATTAAGCCTTTAAAAAGCCATACAAGCAAACTATGAAGAGCAGACATGATGAAAGACTGTTGCAGTTTTGGGGCCTGAAACCTTATCTTTATGCCTAGAGGGAGCCAGAGAGACAGACTGAGGGGATGTGGTAGGAAGGGCTGAGGTAAAGCTTATCCATCATCTCGTAATGATCTCTCCGCATCACACTTACTGTAATAAGAGAGACTGTAAATATTTAATTATTAACAAAGAGCAGTTAGTCATCCAGGGCATAAAATCAAATTACTCTGGTAATTTTTCATTATGTAATATATGAAGTCTGAAGCCCTAAATCTAATTATATTTGATTTGCTAACCTCATAGCCTATAGTCTTACACACATGTTCTGGCTACATTAAGTTATATTAGACCAAGTGATTGGACAGCCCTGGGGTTTATTTTCTCTTCTCCACCTCATTATAGACCACAGGTCTATGGTGGGCCCCTGGTGATATATAACCTCAGCAGACCCAGCCTTCAACCCTGCAGCCAGGGGTCCAACCACATTATATATCTGGGCTGGACAAGATAAGAAAATAAATATGGCCCCGTGTCCCTCTGGCTCAGATGAATTTAAATGGTATAGATGAGATAGATGAGAAGTGAACTCACTTGAGCATGTAGATACAAGAGCAAAAAAAGAGGTAAGGCAGAGACCAGCCAGAAGGGAGATGGATATTAAATAAATGCATTGCTAATTTCTCTTTCAAAGGATCATAAATTAAATGTTTCTAGCACATCTGGCTTATTGAGAGGTCCCTTACATTAGTTAGTAACTGTGAAGAGCTTTTGGAGAGATTTTCCACAGTAATAAACTTGTTCAGACCATCCACAAGAAATCCACAAGAAAAAAAGAAAAGTTTAAGAAAAAGTTTTGTGTGTTGTGTTCCTTGCACTGAGGATGGAAGTGGGATCAATGCGGAACAAAAGAAATGCCAGATCAATTCTCCTGACTCTCATTCGGTTAATCGCTTCTTCGTCTGTGCTGTCAAAACGATTACGGTAAAGTTTTCATCCCGTATGAAGAGTTAATCATCGAATCACCTGAATGCACCATGCCCTTTAGATCATCATAGGATATATAACCAAACATTTAGTCGACTAGTTCACGATTAATCGAGGAAAACAACTCTTGCACATCTTAAGAGACTAAACGGAGGAAAGTCACATCTATAAAACTGCCATTAACACAGCTTTCTGCAAACTTTTTACAATAAAACATTATTGTAATGATCTCTGCATGTCACTGCAACTTTTATGAATGGAGCAAAAAAAATGCAACATCAGCTTCTGCTAACTTAAACTGCGCAAAATCCCAGCTGGGGAAACACTTTAGAGCACGTTTTTATTCCACTTAACTTGACAGGAAAACCACTGCATGATAAGTTTGGCAAAGCGAGCCATCAAACTGTAAAACGTGACTCGCATGTATTGCACATTTTCCATGCAGTTTCTGAAAAGCCGGTAAAATCTGCAACTTCCTACCGTCACGCGCCTAGAAACATATGTCAAAGTGGTTTACTAATCCAGATTTCTGCATGTTAATCTCGTTAATTGACCTTCGTTGATTCCACAGACATGCATAAAAAGTTAATCCCCCGTGAAACAACGGGTTTCTGAGACAATAGGCACAATCTCGACCACTGATAATCTGACTGAGGTGAATAATGTGCAGCATACCTTGCAACAATTGGAGTGCCTTGGCGTCGAGGAGCCCAGAGTCGGAATTTGAGACAGGATATGTGCCCCCAGACTGGAATATTGAACTATAGCCTTGCGAGAAAAAGAGAAAAGTTAGGGAAATGCCCTGTTTGAGAGAGGGGAGGGGACATAGATGGAGGCAGAGACAGAGAGAGAGAGAGAGAGAGAGAGAGAGAAAGAGAGGGGGTAGTAACGGACTGCAGGACAAACCCACATTCCTCAAGACTCCTAGAGTCGTTATAACAAGGGGGCCAAGCAGCTAAACCTTCACACTGTGGCTTGCATGTCTTCACTGTCATCACCCTGAAAAACATGCTGCTCCAGGCCACCTCACTGATGAGATAAGAGTCACACCAAATCTTTGATGGTTGCTAAGCAGCATTTGCATTAACATCAGGAGTAAGTCTGCTTTAACAGATAAGTCCGATAAACACTATTCATTAAGAAGTGGAGAGGTCACAGTATCTGTTCATCATAATGAAAGACAATAGATTTTAAAACCCCTCTGTTTGTGAATGAAGTTTACAACTAAGCAGATGAGGGAGTTACTCTGGACCAGTGCATCACATTTACGCCTGCTATCCAAACAATCCTGCTATTTACTGCTCCAGCAGCTCGCTAGTGCTTGTGATTGACACATCCTTGTGCTTTGTTGCCATAGGAAGTTAACACTGAGTGACGCCATCTGGGTGGTATATTGGTGAGGACAGCTGAGCACATCCCAAGTGTTTCTAACCTGCTGAGCTGATACCACCTCTCTAAACAAAGGTAGGTCAACGGAGGTCCTCAGTGGAGAGTGTTTTTGCTTGAATCAGCTGAGACACAGAGGTGAATGAGCTTGTTCTCAAGGAAACTCATTGTTGCAGTTACAAAAGGTATTGTATGTAAATTAATCCACTGAATACCATAGTTTTTACAGGAAAGTGGCCATTATTAGGTCATGACCACATTTCTGCGACAGCACATACACAGTACATTGATCTACAGTAAAAAAAAAAATGTGTATTTTTACTTACCACGCTGTTGTGTCACTTCTCACAGCACATGAACATTTGTGCTTTTGTGGGCTTTTAACAAAAGGGGGGCCAGCTTCAAGACCTTGACTTGGAAACATCTGTCAGCTAAATTTTCCAACATCTGCCCTTCTCCAAAATCTGGAGGCATCAATCAATGACCAGATTAGCTCTGATGTGCATTTTTGACACTACAAACGATTTGGTTGAACTTTCAGACTTTCCAGTGGTATCTGCCACATTTACCTCTATTTTTATTGTTAATTGCTGACAACACACAAAGTTAAAATACTGTTGAACCATCCAATCTGTGTTCATCGTACATGATAAGCATAGATTGCCTTTTTTGAGCAAGACTTCTACATGTTTTTCCAACTGCCATGGTGTTTTGTCTGTATGTTTTGTCTTGTGATAACTTCTTTAGGACAACCGATGAAATTTAGCAACTGTGCTGAGTCCGGCATGTTTCCTTTGATGCTTTTACTGATAGGTTGATCAACGTGCATTGTTTTAATCAAATAAATAAATCAAATAAATTATGCCACAGAAAAGTAACAACTAAGATCCTTCATATCTCTTTTTACAGATCCTGCATTAGAGGACAAAATCTGGAGATGTGACCAAGGAAGGATAGTAGGGTTGTTGTGTTTGTTTGTAGTACTGCTACTACCATTCACTGCTGGTACTGGGTGTATGTAGGAAATAGCAAAAGGGGCAAAAAGCAAAGTTTTAGCTGTAATAAATGTATATAAATTAATTTCTGCCTAAGTAACCATCTACTCCTTGCCTTGCCTTGTCAAACCTTGACCTTGCCAAATGTAAGTCTTCACCCTTAAAATACCAGCTTTATAGCTAACCCCTGGCTCTCTCCTCTCCCTATCTCTCTGTATTCCTCCCTAACCCAGCAGCAGCCTGGTGGCTGTCTAGCATGAGTCTGGTCTTACCCAAGGTTTCTGCCTGTTAAAAGGAATCTTTTCCTTGCCACTGTTACTCGTGTTAGATGAGATGGGCCAAATCCCGTCTTAGGTTGGGTCCTGGTAATTCATCAAACAATAAGCATGGTCTAGACCTGCTCTTTTTCTTTGGAAAGCGTCCTGAGATGACGGCTGTTGTGAATTGGTGCTATATAAATAAAATTTGATTGATTTGATTGATTGACACAGCAGGCCCCAAAAAGTTGACTTGATTATTGACCGATGACAAGCCATCGAGTTTAAAATTGTGATTCTGCCGCTGAGGCAAAGAAACAGCCAAGGTTTCAGCTTTTTGACAGCACTGATAGAACAGAAAATACGTCTAAAGAGCCACCTGTTGGCAGAGTGAATACACCTGTTTGTTACTGAGCAACTAAAAGCAGAGTCGATGTTTTCTGAGGATAACAACACTTGAGTCATCTCCTTTTGTGTTCACTCACAGGTTTCCGAGGGTCTTCTTTTTTCCAACCAACAGGACAAAATGGACCTGAAGGCTATCTGGAAGTACTCTTATTTATTTCCTGTGACATCCACCGGTGAGCCTGAAATGACTAACATGTTGTAATGAAATGACTTCAGCTAGTTTTTAGGACAAAGATTAACAAAGCTTGGTAATAACAAACATGTGCACAGTGCTTTTTGTCTGAGAAGGTGCTGGCATGATCTAAATCTACCAGGCTGAATGTTACCTTTCAAGTTTTAGGAGCTCAGATGTCTGGAAATGGATGATGTAAAACCAACTCAAATTAGCAGAGGATGTATTATAATTTTACTTCAGTGCACAAACATCTTCTCATTTGTCTTTTAATGATGAATGACTATTAAGCTTTGTCACAACTACGTGATGTAAACAACAGAGAAGCCAACCAAAGAAATTTCAATTGATCCCATTTCGACATTGCAGCCCACTCCCCTACAACACAGACACAGCTAGCATGTTTCCACTCAATAAAACACCATCCACTGCGCATTGTTACCCTAATTTCACTTCATGCTGTTGAACATGGCAGTGCATCCTAATGGGGACCATGCAGCAGGCTATAGGACCAGCCCTCAACATGCAGAATGATTTGTAGTGTGCTGCAGAAGCTCTTGGGGAGTTTCACAGTCACACACTGACACCATGAAACACTGAGAGGGATGAGAACAAAGAATTAGACCCTGAGGAGGTTTGAGCTCATTTTAGGTTTTTTTAGTGTATCTATCCGTGTGTGTGTGTGTGTGTGTGTGTGTGTGTGTGTGTGTGTGTGTGTGTGTGTGTGTGTGTGTGTGTGTGTGTGTGTGTGTGTGTGTGTTTTCTATTTCTTTTCACCCTCCCTCTCACTCCCTCTCCCAGCAGGCCCTCCCTTTCCCCTCTAAACAAAACCACATTTTTGCCAAGCAGTGATCTAGCCACAGTAAAAACACACCACTGTCTGTGTGTATTATATTCTCAGAGCCCAGGGAGATACTTTTACTAGCCCTTTCTCCCCCACTCACTTGTCTCCCATCAATGTTTTTGCAGCACATACATGTAAATTCTTACAACGTATTGACCGGAGTGGGCTATATAAACAACTCAAGAGCTGTGTCCGCTAGCAATGTCTGCAAATTTCATTCCCCTTGATAATATTTTGATAGAGTTTTTGCACTCGATACGCTTTTGTTTCGTATCTGTTATACCGTAAGAGAAAAGAGGGTTCATGAGATGTTTGGTTAGTGTTTTGGAGTCTACATGGGCAAGTTATTTGTCTTACATGAACCAGACAGATTTTTTTATTATTACATGCGCCTGGCCTGGCAAAGGAGTAGTAATGTTTGGACTCTGAAGTTTGCTTTGGGTCTCCCTTGTAGCTCACATGATATAAAAGATGACAAGCCAATAGAGAAACCAGATGAGAATTCACTGTCCTCACATGAACACTAAGCAACACACCCTTAAAATCCAGCCTGATGCAGCTCCCATGTATGTCTACTTTGATCAAAAGTATCATCGAGAATGATATGACTCAAAAACACAGTGACTACTGTCATGCATACTTTTTCTTTGGACTCATGCTTGTTGAATTTCTGGAGTGATATCTGATCTCTCCCTGCACTAAAAGTGAGATCCACAGTCTGAAGGGAGCTTTAAGACTGTCTTTAGCCCAGCTAGGTGAGCCATCACTGAGCCAGATAACTTCCATGACGGCCTCTCTGCAGGGAGAGATTCATGGCCAGAATTAGTCATACTGTAACTGCTGTTCATAGAGGTGAACCAGTGCGTTTGTGGATTATTAGAGACAGGACTGTGCTTGAGGAGCTTATATTAAAGGATTTAAACTTGTATCCATTAGTTTTTTTCTACAGCTGCGTGGCTTTTCTACATACATGGCTCCGCATTGAACCTACAGGGTCAAATATGTAGAATATAATACAGCTTAAGCCATTATGTATGCTTTTTAGTGGTTCCCATACGATATACTTTTTTTATCAGATGGAGGATTTGTTACAAAGACATAAAAATATGTTTTGACCTCAAGTTAGACCTCTTTGGAAATGTGTACTGTGATACGTCTGCACAGACTACTCCTGCTTTTATAAGGTGTTCAAATGTGCAGTAACTCTAGGATGCTTCACCTCAGGCCTTGTGTGAGATATTCCATATGGACTCCTAGAAGATCACAGGTTTTTCCCAGGTGGGGCGGTTGGATGCACACCAAGAAAGTGATGCTAAAGCCACTGGCTATTGTGAGCTCAGTAAACATTTGAGTTATCAACTACGAGGAATAATCATGTGTCAAGAGAGGAGACAAAAGCTCCAAGAATCACTTAATGCATGTTTGAAACAGCAGGGTCATAAGATAAACAGGGGATTGTTTTGGTCATTTCTTTTCATTAAATATAAGCTAAGCAGGTCAAATTGGGGCAACAATGACGCAATGATGAGGCTCGCTGGAGCTTCAAAGCACTCAAATGTACTTCACTGTCTGTCACTGTTCCCGTTTTCCACGCTGAGTCTAAACACTTCGTTGGCTCTCTGGCTTGTAGAGTTGAACCTTAAGGTCATGATGGCGTTGAGGTGTATGTATGTGTTTGCGCTAAGGTGGGGCTGAGGGATTAGAGGTTGGTCTCATGGTGTCATCATGATCTTGGGGTTTGTGGTTGGAGCCTGTCGGGCCAGGGTGGAG